TCGTGGTGGCGATAAAATCGAGTGTTCCATTACTAGGTTGGTTCATTACGTGGTGCCCAGACTTACGACAGGCTCTATGCTGCCGTTCAGGGGTCAAGAATAGCGCCGTACTCAATCGGATACGATATCCACCAGCCTTGGCATGTATCACGTGTTTGCGCAGCCCACGAAACTCCGCACCCAGAAATTATCATCGAAATTCAGATCCCCCTCCAACATCTTGCCGTCAATTGCGCGCACGCCTCGTTCAATTCATTATTCCTCCACCAGACAACAACTGCAATCATGACTACTCAACAAGGAGCGATTTCCAAGCGTCGCAAGTTCGTCGCCGACGGTGTCTTCTATGCCGAACTGAACGAGTTCTTCCAGCGTGAGCTGGCCGAGGAAGGTTACTCTGGAGTCGAAGTCCGAGTTACACCCACCGTCACCGATATCAGTATGCAGCTCTTGCGAACCTTTCAAAAAGAAAAAAACAAATGAGACACGAAATCTGACTTTACATCTTACTCACAGTCATCCGCGCCACACACACCCAAGAAGTCCTAGGCGAGCAGGGACGACGAATCCGCGAACTCACCTCCCTCATCCAGAAGCGATTCAAGTTCCCCGAAAACAGCGTCTCTCTCTACGCCGCCAAGGTCCAGAACCGTGGTCTCTCTGCCGTCGCCCAGTGCGAATCCCTCCGATACAAACTTCTCAATGGCTTGGCTGTCCGAAGAGCATGCTACGGTGTTCTGAGATTTATCATGGAGAGCGGTGCTAAGGGTTGCGAGGTCGTTGTCAGCGGAAAGCTGAGAGCCGCCCGTGCAAAGAGCATGAAGTTCACTGTAAGGACAACTCGCCCGATTTCAGAGTTGCACAAATTCAAGACATGAAGAGGATATTGACCAGTGTTTTTTCTCAATCTAGGACGGATTCATGATCCACTCCGGTCAACCAGTCAACGACTTCATCGACCACGCCACCCGCCACGTGCTGCTACGACAAGGTGTGCTCGGCATCAAAGTCAAGATCATGCGCGGCAGCGATCCTGAAGGCAAAGCTGGACCCCAGAAATCCCTCCCCGATACCGTCACCATCATCGATCCCAAGGAAGAGCAGCAGGTCGTACAGCCCATGTCGCAAGACTACGGTGCTAAGGCCCTGGCCGCACAGCAGGCAGCTCAGGACGCTCGCGCCACCGAGGATCAGGAGAATGGTGCTGCGGAAGGTGGTGAGGAACAGCAGTTCGCACAGGAGTAGTAGTTCCGTGCGTGGTGTTGGGAAAATTACTTGGCTGGTCTTGTTGTGTTTCTTATGCATCGCAGAACTGGCTCCATCAAGATACACTGGGAGTTGAAAAATGCTCATTGAACCTCTTTTTTCTTACCATGAGTTCTCATCTCTCTACTGATATCGTGATGGTTTGAGCATCATACTGGTGAACTGCCTAGTTAGACGACTTGGTGGCAATTTCTTCAAGCATCACGTTTTCGTTCGTCTGCTAGAGGAGACGAGACATGGAATTGAATGAATGATGTGATCTCGGATAGCGCATCGAATGAAAACATCACATCTTGATTCTCAATCATCCTCATGCTCATTGTCATACCTTCTTCACTTCGTTTCCTTTCTAATCTTGCCATGCGAAGTAGCGCTACTTTTCCTCGTCTAACTGGATATATGAAACTGAAGAACTTGATGGATCAAGACTTCATGTGTCAGACTCAATGCCCGACGTCCCATTTCATTGCCCCTGATCACAGGAAAACCTCCACATTGAACTCCAGCACACTGACAGGATATTTCAACTCAAACTTCTCCAAGACCGAAGGGTGCAGGATTCCGAAACTGCCAATCACGACATCCTTGCCCGCGATCATAGCATGTATACTCGCAGCATGGCCAGGGAAGAAAGTTTGCTCGTTGAGCTCCTCAATCCAATACTGGATACTACTTCCCGCGGTACCGTTCTTAGCCTCAAGTCCCTCCTCCCTCGTAACGAATGCGGTCTTTAACATGGCAAGAATGCGGTCGAGCAAGCCATGGACGACCTCGAAACCTGAGGTCTTGCCATACCAGGCAGCTGCAAAGTGGCGCTCATTACGGGACTTGCGCTCAAGGTCGGGGGCTTTGTAGGCGACGTCGCTGACCTCGAAGATCTTGATCGGGATCGAGTGGTGCTTATTCTCACGGATCGTCTTCAACAGGCCCGGGATCAGCGTCGTCCGCACGACCTGGTATTCCGCCGTCTTGGGATTCGCGAGCCGCACCGCTGTTGATCCGTCGTCTGTGCGGTTCAGCCAGCTGAAGTTCTCGTCGTGCGAACAAAGGATCAAAGTGAGAACTTCAGACCACCCGGCCATGGCGGCTTCGAGGCGTAGGATGTCCGAGAGCTTATTGATCGCGAGTGGCGCAGCGATGGTGGCGCCGACTTTGGGGAAGGCTCTTGGGAGCTTGTTGAAGCCGTAGGCGATGCAGACGTCTTCCATGATGTCGGCTTGGTGCAGGATGTCAGCACGTGTGGGTGGTATGTCAACGTCGATGAGGTTGGGATCGGATTTAGAGGGTCGGGCCGTGTATGACATGCGAGTGAGGAGGTTGCATATGTCGGTTGGGGAGAGGGAGAGGCCACAGCAGGCATTGATGTAGTCCACTTCAGCCTGTGTGGAGCGAGGTGTCAAATCAGGGACTTGTCTGGACTCGCCGTTGTGTTCGGAAATGATTTGGATGGGCTCGACGGTGAATTTCTCCGAGGTGTATTGCGAGAACATGGAGACCAGGACGTTGATGACCATTTCGACTTTGGTTTTGTCGGTGGCCGTGCACTCAATGAAGACGTTTGTAGTGTTGATGCTTATCTTGCTTTGGTCACCATTGATGATCGGAGGTAGCGAGCAGACATCGTGGTTTGAGTCGTAGATGACTGGGTATACTGGGGAGTCTCTGATGATGTGCAGATAGCGGCCAAGATGCTTGTCCTTTTCGTAGAAAGTCATGAGTTCCTCGCCGTTCATCTCCTTACTCTGATTTAATGGAGTGAACTTGATATCCTTTGGAGGCAATGCTTCATATGTGAAAGGTCCTTTGATGGTGTCGAGATCATGGGTACCAATGGCAACAAGAGTCCGCTGTCTTGCCAGATTTTGATGTAGCTTGTCCTGCAGGTCGATGAAGGACTCGTATCTGGCTTGGTCGAACTTGATATTTCGCAGAATCGCACCTGAGACGTAAGGTCTTATGCTGGAAGTTGCCTTGGCCACGGTGATCGACTGCAATTCACCATTTGGTGGAGCTTTCAAGACATACTTCGGAGCTTGGATCTTGCGGTTGAAGACATTCAGCATGAGTTGAATGCCTTCATAGCAGAGCATGTCGTACCGATTGGCGGGAATTTCGATTTTCAACTGGGGCGGTTCTTGCTTTCCGTTGACTACGGGTCTCTCCGTGAGTGATGTATCTTCATCCAGTTCAATACCAAAATCGAAACATAACTCGTCGAACTCGTCAGTTGTGTATTCTCTGCCCAGTGCCTGGAAGAGGGCAGCCTTGTCCACGGTGATAGTAGGCATGATGGCGGGATGTGCGGTGAGAGATGATGGTGCTTTGGGAGACCACCAGGCGACACTCTCCGTGCTCAGATGTCGTAGATATTAGTCTTGCGATGCTAAAAAGCCGTTCCCTGTGACTTGTTCGCTGGGAAGAGACAATATCAGATTCTTCTTACTGCTTGAAGACCAGTCATTGAAGGCTTGGCGGGATATTTTCGAGTTTCGAAAACAAACGGCTGTCATTTGAGTCATTCAAATAGTGTGGCGCTACTACTGTGGCTTCGTAGGGCAGCAACAGAAAACACCAGCCACAGCCACACGTCCATCCAAAAAGGTCACATATGACGGAAAGCTCATACAACGATTCTCCCAATTGCCATTCCCATTGCCATTCCGACTCCCACTCACCCACTGAAACACCTCTTCAACTCATCCACTCAACATCCAACCCTCAATCTTACGGTCTGCTCGAGTCCTTGTCCTCCGCGCTGTCCGGATTGGGACTTTTGAACCTGTTTCATTGGTAAGTGGCTGCGCTACATGTCCTGCGAGTGTCTTTCTTGTCCCTATCGTCCACCGCACAGCCCTGCCTCCACCATGCGTCAACAAACACCTTGTTCACCCTTTGAAATGTACAGTTAATTGACTCTCGGACAGACAGGCATGTGTTGGATGTTGCTTTGATTCGCCACCTACTTTTACGCACCCTCAGCCTGCTTCCCACTTAATACGCGTTCACCAGCCATCCCGCCCACCCACCACCATCCCCTCCCCCGGCTTCCCTCACAACCTGGGAATTCCGCCATAATTCTCGACCCCATTCACAAGCAAACATGGCAGATCAAGAAAGTGGCGACGAGCTCTATCCCATTGCAGTATTGATTGACGAGCTGAAGGTATGGCTGCACTTCCCAACCATTTAAAACCTTGCCAGGTTGTGACTGACACTATCAAAAGCATGATGATGTTCTCCTGCGCCTAAACGCCATTCATAGGCTTTCCACCATCGCCCTTGCTTTGGGTCCTGATCGAACAAGAGACGAGTTAATACCTTTTTTGGATGGTACGTACTGGCTTCTACTATTATCGTCTCCCTGCTTCAAATACTGATACTCTCCCCCAGACTCTGTCGAAGATGAAGATGAAGTCCTTACCGCACTCGCCGAAGAGCTTGGGAACTTCATAGAGTATGTCGGAGGACCAGACTATGGTCACGTGCTGTTGGCACCGCTGGAAAATCTGGCAGCCATCGAGGAGCCACTTGTCAGGGACAAGGTATGAGGAGCTTCAAAACAAATCCTCAATACTGATTTCTAACATTCTTAGGCCGTCGAATCTCTGAACAAAATCTGCGAAGAGTTGTCCGACAGACAAGTAGAAGAATACTTCATTCCCCTCACAATTCGTCTGTCCAAGGCGGATTGGTTCACATCTAAAATTTCGGCATGCGGCCTGTACACAACTCCCTATAAGAAAGCTTCTCCTTCTTCCCAACAAGGTTTACGCACACAGTTTGGGCACCTGGTTCACGATGAGACACCTATGGTGAGACGTCAATCCGCAAACAACCTCGCTAAATTCATCAAAGAAGTAGGACCATCAGTGGTCATTGATGAGATGATTCCCTTGTTCCAACACCTGGCCAGCGACGACCAGGACAGTGTTCGTTTGCTTACCGTTGAGGTTCTCATTTCAATTTCAGAAGTCATCCCTAAGGAGCAGCAGCCAAGCCACGGCGTTCTTCTCACTGCTTTGCGTAGTCTCTTCGAAGACAAAAGCTGGAGAGTGCGATATATGGTGGCTGAAAAGTTCGAAAAGATTGCCAAAGCTGTCAATGAAGAGGTTGTCACTCGAGATCTGGTTCCAGCATTTGTTAAGCTTCTCAAGGATAGCGAAGCCGAAGTCAGAACCGCCGTCGCCAGTCAAATTCCAGGTTTCTGCGCACTACTTGATCGCGAGACATTGCTCAACGAAATCATGACAAGCATTGAAGATCTTGTATCCGATCCTTCTCAACATGTTCGAGCGGCTCTTGGAACTCAGCTTAGTGGATTGGCACCTATTCTTGGCAAGGAGGAGACCATCTCTCATCTTCTGCCCATGTTCTTGCAGATGCTCAAGGACGAATTCCCCGACGTACGATTACACATCATTTCCAAGCTGGAACTTGTCAACGATGTCATTGGAATCGATCTGCTCTCTCAATCTCTCCTACCAGCTATCGTACAACTAGCCGAAGACAAACAATGGCGAGTTCGTCTTGCTATCATTGAATACATCCCCCTATTGGCCAAACAGCTGGGTGTGAAGTTCTTTGATGAGCAATTAAGTTCACTTTGTATGGGATGGCTGGGTGATACCGTCTTCTCTATTAGAGAAGCCGCCACACTAAATCTGAAGAAACTGACCGAAGTGTTTGGTGTCGAGTGGGCCAGCCGTTCGATCATCCCCAAGGTGACTGCGATGAGCCAACAAGAGAACTATCTCTACCGTATGACTACATGCTTCGCTATCACGGTAAGTCTATGGTTGATCGGGAACACGAATTATGGCAGAGCATTCTAACCAAATCTTTTAGACACTAGCCCCTGTGGTCACCCTCGACATCATTCGAGAAAGCGTGCTTCCTATGATGGATCGGCTCGTGGCAGATCCCATTCCCAATATCCGCTTCAATGTGGCCAAATCATATGCCGTACTGATCGATACGCTCCGAAGACTTCCCGAATCTGGCACAATCGCTGAACTTGAGTCGTCCAGCACTGGTGGCTCACCCAGTCCCAAGGGTCAAGACCTCATCAACGAACATGTTCTACCCAATCTAGAGAAGCTGAAAGACGATGAGGATGTGGATGTCCGGTATTTTGCCACCATAGCTGCCGGTGGTACCACAACCAATGCAACCGAGAGGATGGACACGGGACAGTAGATTTTCCCGCTCCTCTCAGTCAACTTGGCTGCCAGCTCTCTGGGCTGGAGGGGATGGTTTCGGGGTGGTGGAAGAGCGTCACAGTCCTCATCGTCGTCAACGTCGTCATCGTCAAACATAGAGCAAGAAGAACAAGAGAGAAATGATTGGGAAAGGACAAGAAATCCCTCACCACTCCAGAAAACCCCCCCGAATAAGGGAATATGAGGATTCAAGGAAAGGGGCCGATGGAAATAAATGAGTGATACCACAGTTGAGAAATGATGAGACAAGTGTGAGATGATTTAATTACCTGTGCGTTGTGTACATGTGAGACCAAGGTTTGAGCACTGGAATCTTGTCTCTATCCTAGTTCATCCTCTTTCTCCCACACACTGGCTCTCCTTCCCCCCTTGTTTCCATTTCCCCACCTGTGAATCGCGGAGACACATGGACTATAGCTAGAACGCGTCGACATGCCCAAGACGCCTATCCAATCCAAGCCGCCTCCTCTCGTCCGGCCAAATACTTGCCGACGTCAAAGGCCTAAAGCAGGTGAGGCCCCTCAGGGACGAATGCCATGTGCGACATATCAGCAACACGAACTTATCCTCAGGTTTGACTGTGTCTAATTGTACCTTGCCAAAGGAATGCCATTGATGGCCGGATCGGGTGTCAAAGCAAGTGCTAAATGTGGGCACACTGTGACATCAATGATACGCTGGTAAATACAAGGAAAATTGGGCGTTTTTGAAAAATGCTGTTCTTTTTATACAGTCCACTTGATGGGAAGGGAGTTAGCTTGTGGCCGAGTCGAGGCGGGGCGGCTTTGGTCAGGCTGGATGAGCTATAGCTATACAAACAGGGTGGCTGCAGTGTGGTATCCAAGAATGAAACAACGGCAAACCAGCATGGCCGGCGGTCTCACCGGTGGTATAGTGTTATATCCAAAACGAAATCAAGCCAGTTACATCCACGATATCACATGTATCCAAAACATGCGTGACCACAAGGCAGCAGCGCTTTCCAAAACAATAATGAGCTCTGCTAGTCGTCCCACAATCATAAGCTGAATCCAATGTTATATCTGTTGTCGTCGATCAGACGGCCGTATCTGGAGACAAATCATGTTAGCCACACCTCGCATCGTACGTCGAGGAGTTAAAACTCACTCAAGCAACAATCTAAAATACCAAACCTCCAAATCTTCATTTCTCAGCGCCTTCTGCGCCCATTCGCGGCTCTGCTGCGCGATTTTCTTGGCCTCGACCTTGCCGGACTCGACCTGATCGAAATACCGTACCGACTCGACATATTCGTCGCCGACCAAGCCGAGCGGGACATAGTGGAGCCACGGTCGGATCCACTCGTCGTGCCACTCGCGGAACACGGCGAGCTTGTACACGATGGATTTACTCAGTAGCCAGGCGTAGTAGCGGCCAGAAAAGGCGTTGCCATCGATGTCAAGCAGATAGCGTGAAGCGAAAGCATCGAACATATTGACGGGCTCGACGGTGCCAAAATATGCGCGCTGGGCATCGCAATCGCCTGGGTCGCACTGGCCGATGTGTGTGAATTTGACGTCGAAGTAGTGCGCCATCGACTCTGTTGAGATCTGCTTCTCGCGCCACATGTCGGGCGTGGCGGTTGAGTTATCAAGTTCCAGAATCTTGGACTTGCTCAACGGTTGGATCTTGGTGAGGAATCGTTGACGATGCTGTCTCCTCCACCCTCCATCGCGAGAGAATCCTCCAGTAGTACTTCCTCGCCAGAACATGGTGGGAACTTTTTCTTCCCATGTCATGTCCTTCTCCTTCTCGTATTTGACTCGACCCACGTAATACCAAGGTGACGGATAGAGAATATCTTGGAAGCTAGAGATCTTGGATTGTGAGAAGATTGGGAACAGTTCGTGCGTCACGTCAAACGCGTTTGGCCGATCAAAAAATCCAAAAGACTTCTCCATACTTGGAGAGTTACATATATCAGAAAATGCTGTCGTGTTGCGAATGAAGCCCAACGGGAGATCAGAATATGCGGCCACGTTATCGGGGCAGGAATCATTGAGACATGATCGAGCCGGACTGTCAGGAGAACAGGACAATCGCGAATTACTCCAGGTCGGTTGGTGTGCAAAGCGGTTGAACCTCGTTGTCCTATACTCCTTAATTCGTATGCCCTCACCCAAATCGGCTGGCCGAGGAGACCATTTGTTCTTCGGGTTCTGGTTTTCATATGCTTTGGGCATGTTCTGATCTGTAGCGACTTGAACATGATGCAGCAGGTCGTCATGTTGCATCACCACTCTCGGCTCATCATGAATGTTAAATGGCAGGTCCATATCCGGTAAATATTTGATGAAATCTTTCAACATGATGGGTGTGGCCTCACGATGCCACTGATACATGTCACCACCGCCATCGATCTTGGTGATCTCACCATTCCGAATCATGACCGAAATCAGCGCATTGTCGAATCCGATCGCCTCCCTGGTCCTCTCACGAATGACTGACGGTTCCAGAGCCCAAAAAGGGAGGAGCTGATGGTAGATAGTATCATATTCATCAATCAGCTCGACGCCTCTCTTCTTCGCGAAATTGTACCACTTGTCAAAATGTGGGGGTGGAGGCAGTTTGTATCGCCTGCGGTACTCGGCGACCGCATCATTTAGGGACCGCGACTGGCGCGAGAGGACGGCCTGGAAGTTACCGTCGGCCTCGGCAACTAACTTGTGGATGGGGTGTGATAGGGAGCTCGCGGGAAGGACAGGCAGTTTCTCCTCGTGCGTATGATGACCGTAGAGGATGTTCTGGGCGGATTCATCGATGTAATAAGGGTCGCGCAGCCAAACGAGGGTGAATACTGCGACGGCGACCAGGAAAGTCAGGCCCAGTAACTTTCGAGATCTTATCATGCCTTGCACATGGCTCGTATTGGGGTTTCGCAGACTCATACATAAGACGGGAGTGGTTGAGGGGAGCACAGACGCATGCTTCGATGGTGGCACTGTGAGATGGTTTGCGATTCGGGATTTGCAAGATGAGGCGGGTGCACAGCGATCTATCTGTGAGCGACCGAGATGATCATGCTCCTCGATAGGCTATTACAAACAGTCAGTTGTACGACAGTCAGAGGAGGAGAAGTACAGCTCGATCGACGAACAAGGGGCTCTACAAGCGATTCCTGAATCCTGCCGGCCTCATGCTTTTTGTTGGAGTTCTGGCCGCGGGTTAAAGTACTTACTAGCGGCTCACACCATCCGAGGTTAGTACTAGTGAGGAGTGCTAGCCCCACTAATGTATTCTTAGTGCTCGGCCATCTCCCTCTCAAGGAAAGTGTTCCGAGTTGAAGATATCTGGCAATCCTCGACAAGCACTCTTCATCCATTCCATACGAGAACTCCTATGTTTTAAAACGGTGACAATAATAGTTCCTATCTAGCTATCCGGTCCACACATTTATGAAGCTCAATATCCCAGAACTTTCCAAAACGGCCTACTCAACTTCGCACCAACATCGCTAATAACACCAACCCATCCTCTCGCCGTAGCAATCAGATTCGTGACCCCAATAATGCGCCTGACAAAGACATCGGACTGCTCGAAATCATGAGCGTAGACGTCCCAGATCGCCTGGTCTGCCACCACAGGTTGCAGTCCCGCGGCTTTCGCCACCGACGAGGGCCCTCGAAACCCAATGACCAGCGCACGGCCTATGATTCCCTGGTCTGCGACCAGTCGCGTGGTTGCTTCGATGACATCTTCTATCTTCGCCATTGCGCCGCCGGCCATCACCAATGCTCCATCAATGCCCAGGAGCGGTGTTTCAACGAAATCTAGACGCAGGCATTCTCGTCAGTAAACCGTGTTGCCTTGTAGAGAGCTCTGCCGCGAACGCCATATCATACGTAACAGCGACGCTCGACAATACTCACATGGATTGATCATGTTGACGCGAATGCCACTCTTAAGCGCGCCCGTGATCCGCAATGTCCTGAACAACCCCACCACGCCATGTTTGGCAGTCGCGTAGAAAGGCAAACTCGGGAGACCGCTCAAACCCGCCAGCGACGAAACAAGTATCAAATGCCGATCGCGTGGCGCGGTATGCTCGTCCACGCTGCAATTCCTGCTACCAGGGTTACGCGACAAATACGCGATTGCCAGGTGCGTAGTGTAGACGACGCCCGTGAGATTGATATCCAGCGTCCGGTGCACCGGCGCAGGGGGATCCTCCATAGTCGCGTAGTCTGGCGGGTCCTGGAAGGAGCCCTCTTCCGGCACGCTGGTGATGCCCGCGTTGGCCATGACATGATCGATGCCGCCATGGGGACTGAGCTTCGCGGCTTGCTTGAAGAAGGCAGCTTGACTGGGCCAGCTGCTCACGTCGAGTGAGAGGAAATGGTGGTTGGCGTTGCCTGTTTCTTTTCTTATGCGCGCCACGAGTTCAGTGCCTGCTTGGGCGTTCACGTCGCCAATGATCACATTTGCGCCGTGGTTAGCCCATTGTTGGAAACACGCGGCGCCGAAGCCTGATGCGCCGCCTGTGATGAGAATGGTCTTGCCCGCGATGTTCTTGTAGTTGATGGGCAAAGACACGTCCACGGCGTTCGATCTGATCACGCTGCTCCCGTACGGTATTTGCCCTGCTTCTTGAGATTCCATGATAAGGAGTTGGCGGTGTAAAAACAGGTCAGTCTTTGCTAGGGAATTTTAAGTTTTATATTCGTTCTCGGTAAGCAGCCACCAAATAAATCGAAAGCCACAATGGAAAAGCATCTGATTTCTACGGTGTCTATTTCAGTGGGTGTTGTATATATACTTCTATTGTTGGTACTTTGTGTAATCTCCGTGGACCTTGAATCGTTTGCACATTCTCTATCTACCGGAAGCGGCTCACTTAACAAAACGGCCCAGTCCCAGCGAGTTGCCGCCCGTTGTAGCCCGTTGCAGACAAGATAACCTGACATGAAATCACTCGTCTGTTCTGCTCCATGAGACGATTACTGATGAGTGGTGAGTGAAGATGGAGAGGAACTACAAGCCGAAATCCTTGTGGCCTACTTGATTGTGTTGTGGACTACAGCTTGCCAAATTTTATGTCAGATCTTGTTCATTATAACCGTTTATCAACTGGGGTATCTTTTCGTACACATAAGCTCCCAACACTGAACCGATCAGGGTCAGACTGTCAGCAAGTCACTGAGCGGTGGCGATCCATATGGCTGAACCTTCTCTACCACCTCAGTCGTCTGCTCGAGATCTTTGAGCAAGTGCAATTCGGAAGTTGTTGAACCGATGGCATCAAGACTTCTAAATCCTTCTTCTACCGACCATCTCTGATTCTCGCCCACTTGATGCAAGACGCCACATGAGTGACCGACCACAAGAAGGCCCGGTGGACGTGAGCCTTCATCTTCTACTGCCTGACAGACATATTGTAATGTGGTTCGAATGACTCTCTGGTCCGGACAGCTGGCACGCTCAATCACTGTGCAGGGTGTACTTGATGGCCACAATTTTCGTTTCGGACCCTGTCCAGCTTCTTCATCCGGAAATACAGTAAGACTCTGAACTAGACTCTCGAGTCTGTGCAACGCCATCAAGAACACGACCGTCTTACTCTTTCTGTATGATGGAGGCTCCGGTGCGGCACCCTTCCTACCCGTCCCTGTACAAATAACAACTTGGTCTGCAACAGCTCGGTGAGTTACGGGTATATCTGCGAAAAGTGGCGCAGAAAGTGCACTTGTAATGCCAGGAATTACCCTCACATCATAGCCGCGCTCACGGAAAAATGTCACCTCTTCGGCTCCGCGCCCATAGAGATAGGGATCGCCTTGCTTCAAGCGAAGCACATCCTTACCTTCCCTTGCAGCATTCAGCCCAAGCTGCAAAAGTTCCTCCTGAGCTGCATCTGCATTACCAGGAAACTTGCGAGCGATATGGACTGGAGTTCGTCGTGGGATAAGCGCCAAAATCTCAGCAGGAACGAGCTTGTCGGCTAGGATAAAGTGAGATGTCTGAATCGCTGTTTGTGTAGCGATTGTCAGAAGAGAAGGATGGCCTGGACCTGACCCTGCCAGTGTGATTGTACCTTTACGCAGGGGCAATTTTTCTGATAGTATGGACTGCTCAAGCGTGCTATCGGAAACTGGTGGAGGTGGTTGCGCAGTAGTTTTGTAGGCCTCAAGAATCTTTGCGACATCTGAATCTGTGATGCTTGCCAGCCTGTTCAGCGGCCAGTACTCGCATATTTGTGAGAGCCATCTCAGTCTCCTTGTCCTCAGAACTGCTGGATCGCGATCATTTTCTCGGACCAGTTTGTTAAAGGTGTACTTTTGCGCTGCAGCCTCTTCATCTTCTATCTCAGCCTCTGCTGCCGGTATAGAGCCACCAGTTTGTGTTCGATAATCCTCTTCCCAGATCTGCCTTCTCAGTGATCCCAGCCTTTCGACTGACTCACCAAAGTTGGCTGGCAAAGAGGAGACGACCTCGCGCCGAATGCGAGAAGAAAGTTTGCAGCCACTCCCGGATGTAGTGATTCCTATTTGTAACGGCCCGTCCAAATGTGTAGATAGGAGGGTGAATGTGCAGAGTTTAGGAGCATCGACAACATTAACAGGTATTCGCTTGCGCCTGCAGAGACCAGAGATGCGAATGCTCCTAGAATCGTCCGCTGGCAGGGTCACGAAGACTGCATCGACATAGCCGTCTAATTCTTCTCTTCCTAGTGAATTCAATTGTTGCTCCTCAAAGTCTTGCTCTATCCGGGATACCTTGCCCTCCTCGATGGCGCGGGCTAGAGTAAAATGGACTTCTTCGTGGGCGGGAGCGATAATGATGGGTCGTGCGCCAACTTGTAGGGATTTGGTGCATCTTGAGGCTGCGAGTGGTCCACATCCAATGATCAGATGGACATGCTCAACACAACTGTGTGCAGTCAGCAGTGCAGGGACCTGCATTGTGACTTGATCGAGGAGGGGTTTGCTGCTGAGCTTTAGGAAAGAATATGAGATGTGGAGAAATGAATGTAAATCGAAGTTGAGAATCTGCCGCCCAACGCCATAGAAATGCAAAAACGACTATGAAATAGGAAATGTCGTCCAAAACCGGTCCCATGAGAAGACCTGGACCTCAGAAGGCGAACAAAAAGATTTGTTGGAGACGCTCGGAGAAAGAGTGACCTGCGTTTCGGAAGAAAAAGAAATGACGCGATTTTGATTTGCCAGAGGCTTCTTATCGCTTATCGCCCAGTGGAGGCCCATTTTTTGGCTGCGGGGCCGCGGAGGCATTTCCCAGCAGCTCTGGTCCTCTGTAGCAGCCATTACTCCACGGGTCAACCGACACACTGCATTTGCTGTATCTTATCAAGCACGATTAGACATAACGCCCATATCACTTGCTGATGTTATCTCGACCAACATGCTGTGCCGTACCCTGCAACACCGACCACCAGGCGTGGTGGATAGTTGCACCGACAGGTTGACAACAACAACCCATTCTCGTCGGTGAAGTCAACTCGTTGAGCATTAACAAGACAGCTTAGTCCTTTTTCGTAATGATTCAGCCTTGTGTGGGCGTATCAATGGAATTTACCTGCGGTGAAAGACTAGCAGATTAGCTCCACTGGTTCTGCCGCGGACGTAGGCGGTGCTTTAGGTCGCAGACACATGTGTCAATGACATGAATAGCCGTGGTGTTGAGCGCCACTGTCGGTCTTCAGTCGTCCTCTTCTGCATCATCGTCGAAGGACAGTGTTTTGCTCATATATGGACCATCAAGCGTGTACCCAAGACGTTCATAGTAGCTTCTGACACCAACTCCACTGATGACGCTCATCTTCTCGCTGCCATGCTCATCTCGAGCGATTCTTTCAGCTTCCTTCATCAGTAGGGTTCCATAGCCTTGGTGTTGGAATCTGCTCTTCTCACGACCGTGAATGGGAACAGCCAGTCCATAGACATGAAGTTCTCGCACAATACTGGTTGGTTGGCCGGTGAGTTCGGGTCGGAAGGTGTGACTGTCTGTGCACTTCCTGAGTCTTAGCAATGCAATCAGGATGTCCTGTTTGGGATCCTCATAGGCAAGAAATGTTTCCCAGCCACCATTAGCAGTGTAGTCTCGCCTCACAAGTTCTACCTGGGAGGGTCTGATTTTGTTCTTCACTTCATTTATGCCCACTTCTCTTGTCCGGACATCTCGACATGTGGTCCCAAAGTCCTTCATTCGAGAGAGTGCCAATTCTCTCAAATTGCCATTCTCTACACCTGAGGTCACCAGGGGCATGGGGATATCTCGTTGGACGCGATAAATCCTAGTCCAAGGAGGAATGAGTGCTAGAATACGTGCAACCAAGTCGACGAGAGCATTTGGCGTATAGTTCTTGTATCGACCGGTCCGCCATAGTTCATAAAGTCCTGTCCCTCGAATGACTAGAGTGGGATAAATCTTGAGTCCGTCGGTTCGAAAGTCCGGGTTTTCAAAGTATTCTTGGAACTGGAAGATATCTCGTTCCATGCCAACATTGGGTAAATCAGGCATCATGTGAGAGACAACCTTGAAACCCGCATCCTTGCATAGCTTGAATGTTTCGACCACTGAAGCCACAGTGTGGCCTCTGTTCGTGTCTCGAGCGACATCCTCGTACAAGGATTGCACTCCGAGTTCAAGGCGGGTGCAGCCATACCGCAACATGTCGGTCAAATGCTGTGTTTGACAATGGTCGGGCCTTGTCTCGATAGTAAGGCCAACGCATTTGATACTGGCCATCTCGCCTGCCATGACTGCTTCATCAACATTGCTTGTTTGATAGCCTGAACAAGCATTGTGTAACTGAGCAACAAAATCTTCTCGATAACTGCTCGGAAGTGACATAAAGGTTCCACCCATGAGAATGAATTCGACTTTGTCAACACTGTGGCCCAGAGAACGAATTTGGTCTATCCGTCCTCGAGCTTGTTCGAATGGATCGTAACGGGCACGGATCGCGCGCATTGATGTGGGTTCATATCCAGTGTATGATTGAGTCGAATACTCAAAGTCTGAGTCTGGACCTCCTGGACAATAGACACATGCATTTCCTGTGAAGGCGATGTGCTGGATTACGACTATCAGTAAAAGGACAATCGTTTTGGTTTTCTTGGCATGGGTCACCTACGGGACAACGATGTGGCTTGCTCATACAAGCAACGACAGCAATTCCACTTGCCGATCTTACTGGCTTTGCCATTAATTTTGCCATCAAATGCTTCTTGTAGTTTTCGGGAACGGCGGAGAGAATTGCTGTAAGTGGAGGCTGGTTGCTAAGTCTGTGCTTCTTTGAAACATCGCCTCGGAGTCGGTTCAGATTGATATCCTTCTTCGGCTTGGAAGAATCCAGACTAGACTCATACTCCTGAATCAAAGCATTTGCAATGTCGGTACAAGCGGCCATGTAGCGAACATTCTCAGGTGCCAATTTCTCCCTCTTACTCAACTTCACCTTGGTCTGGGTTACCGTCTCTGTTGCCATTGTGTTGTGAGGTCGTAGGTCAATGTTTTCGTATGCAAATTTTGGCCATCAACAGCGACAGCGTCCGATAGTCGATGAATAACGCATCTAACATTGAACTTGAAAGGAGGTGGTCTGCATAAAGTGGCACAGCAGAACCTGTGACTACCACGGGGAATGGTGTAAATTCAAAAATGATAGACCAATTAGGCAAGGCGCAGATTTTGTTGACCGGGATGGAATTACTTTTGCTCGGCTTGGCATAGCAGCTCTTGCCCAGGATTGCAGCTTCCGCGGCGAATTGCTCCTTAACCGTGAATTGGAACACGGGTTGGTCTTCTAGGCTCTGAGCTGCTCGCCCGTCCCACTCCGAATCGGCAAGGAACACCTCCGCAGCGCAGCCTCTTCTTGTCTGGGGAGCTCATCGGCGCACATTATTGAAACAGATACAGAACAACTCGCTTTCCCTCGAACTCGCAGCCAATCTTCTCAACAGACTCAACATCCGCAGTCCTTGAGCTGAATCTCGAGGAACCCTTTCTATCTCGCTGTTTCCTGTCACCTTGGCCGCCCAGCCATGCATGCCATCAAGACTTGCGCCTCTACGGCGATGCGACATGCATCCCGTAGAGGTTATGCTTCTGTTTCCTCGGGCTCAGCTTACAGTCAGAGTATCCCAAACTTGAGAATCAACTCGGAGACAAAGGTCATCTTCCAGGGGTTCACAGGTAAGCTATCGCCTGCCCATTCTCACTCTGGCAGCTACTGATATGGTTGTGCAGGAAAACAAGGAACGTGAGTTTACACTCGAATCTGGACGACCCAACATCTTCTAACGACCTCCAAGGTTTCACGCACAACAAGCAATCGAATATGGAACGAAAGTTGTCGGAGGGTAGGTGGCAGGGAATCAAAAGATACGAATTCTACAGGCTCACAATTCTCAGAACAAATCCCAAGAAAGCTGGTTCTTCCCACCTCTCTCTTCCCGTGTTCAAGAACGTCAGTGATGCAGTCAAGGAGACGGGTGCTGATGCAACGGCAATCTTTGTTCCTCCACCGCTAGCTGCTGCTGGTATTGAAGAAGCCATTGCAGCCGAGATCCCTCTTGTAGTCTGCATCACCGAAGGCATGTGCTGCATGGTTCCTTTGTGGAGTGAGTCTGTTCTAATATTACTAGGTATTCCCCAACACGACATGATTCGAGTGACGAATATCCTCAAGACCCAAAGCAAAACTCGTCTGGTCGGACCTAATTGTCCTGGTATCATTGCTCCCGGTCAATGCAAGATTGGTATCATGCCCGGATTCATCCACAAGCGAGGACGCGTTGGTATTGTTTCACGATCCGGTACTTTGACATACGAGGCGGTTAATCAAACCACGCAAGCTGGCCTTGGCCAGTCCTTGGTTATTGGAATTGGAGGTGACCCCTTTGCTGGAACCAATTTTATCGACTCCCTACAGGTTTTCCTTGCCGATGAAGAGACTGAAGGTATCATCATGATTGGTGAAATCGGTGGCAGTGCTGAGGAGGATGCAGCGGACTTCCTGAAGAGCGAAAACAAGAAGAACAAGCCTGTTGTGAGCTTTATTGCCGGCATCAGTGCTCCTCCTGGACGAAGAATGGGTCATGCAGGTGCAATTGTCAGTGGCGGCAAGGGTGGTGCCGACTCCAAGATCTCGGCCCTGGAAGCTGCTGGCGTTGTTGTTCAACGGAGTCCAGCATTGTTGGGCAAGTCACTGCACGAGCAATTCGTAGCCCGTGATTTGCTATAGGTTTGAAGAGGTCGGCTGGGACTGGGTTACTTTGTTCACAGGACATAAAGGTCTTTTTTGTACTTCAGAAATGGGACAGCCTTTGCGTTGTACACGTCTGAATGGTCCATAGCGAATCTGTCGATACTTGTGTTGATTTCTATAATGCCCTTCCTTGGATGTCATGGGCTGCACGAAGCGACCAGCCCGAGCTCATATGCTTCCCAAGACACTAGATGATCCGTCCGTACTCTGGGCAGCTATTGATTTATGTCCTTCGTTGACGATTACCGCAACGATATTTGTCCCCTCCGACTGGCTCGGACGTTTAGCCAGGCTTGAAATCCGCAGAATACCATAAAGCCGGCATATATCTACAAGGATCAATAAGACGATGATATTCAAATCAACAGACTGGGTAAGTACTCACAGCGACCGCAATAAAAATAGAACCAGCCACCGCAGCAGGGTTCTCTGGGTCCTCTACCATACCCATCATCATATGGTGATCTCGCTGCGGCAAGTTAGTCAACTATCGGGCTCGCAGTAGAGGGTGTCGACACATACCGCGAACAGACTACCTATCACACTTAATATTACTATGGCGAAGGCCGAAATGACAGTGCTGGAGATCTGTTAGCTCAGCCGTTGGACATGGAAGAGAACGTGTGGCTGACCAGAACCAGGCATTGAAGGCGGAGACGACGGGCTTCATCTTGGGCGGCTGCTGGTGATAAACCAAGATATTGTAGATAGACTGGAAACAGGGAGAGGTCGGCTCGTGGAGAGGTTCGTGGACGAGTGCGAATGAAGTGATGAGGGATCGAAAGCGGTGCCTGGGGTGTGGACTGTGGCGGATTGCTGGGTTGCGATAGGGGAGTGTTGAGTTGAAGAGGTCCAACAATGGTGCAGCAGGAGCCTTGAGATTGTTGGATCGCAATCAATCGAGGTTCTTGAAGTGTTGAAGGTCGAGGATAGGAAGTGGCAGGCAAGCGCAGTTCGAGTTGAAGATGAACTTGAAGATGTCAGTCGTAGGTGGACAAGGGCCAATCATAGCGTGGGTTGGGCGAAGCTGGTTGCCAGTTGCACCTGCCGTGGGGAGCCCTGGATAAACGTTCTTGAGCGTGTCTTCGGTCGTTCCTTCCGCATCATCGCCCATCATCGCCCATCATCGCCCATCACCTCCTGACTCCTGCTTTATGCATCCATCCAGTTTTTCCCACGGCCAGCTGACTCGGTCATAGGACTTGGTAGCAGCCCTGATCACATTATTAGTCACTCAACAACTGCATACTAAAACGCCAGGGTTGATCTCATCCGGCTGCTTGTTAACACTTCAGCTTAAGCGCGACTGGTCCGCACTGTAACAAACTCACCCAAACTTCTCTCTATCTGATTCCTCTTATTCATGCCCCGAAGTAATCCAGCTCTCGACATCGACGAACAGTCACCACTCATCGGGGCCGAGGAGACCTCTGAAAATGGCGATGTCGAAGAAAGACCTTTGTCCGAGGCCATTGATCTAGAGGATTCCTTCGTCGAGTCAAAAAGCTCTTGGTATCTTGCCCTCCTCACCCTTTCCATTGGAGGTCTCCAGATCGTCTGGTCGGTCGAGCTGTCAAATGGCTCGCCCTATTTACTGTCGCTGGGTATGAGCAAAGCCCTGGTCGCATTTGTGTGGCTTGCCGGGCCACTGACTGGAGTGCTTGTTCAACCTTATATTGGCATTCTAAGTGATCGGTCTCGAATCTCTTGGGGGAAACGCAAACCGTTCATGGTAGCTGGCGCGGTGGGGACCGTCATCACCTCCATCACCCTTTCTTACGCGAAAGATATCATACGTGTTCTTGGTGGTCTGGCCAAGGACGCGACCTATGATGGAGGATATAAGACCGCCACCATCATTCTGGCCACCATCATGATGTGGTGTCTAGACTTTGCCATCAACGCTGGTCCGTCTATCTTGAAATTCCATTCTATTCTTGCTGATGTTATCTAGTCCAAGCCGCAATCCGTGCTTTCATAGTTGACAATGCCCCATCCCACCAACAGGAGTCTGCAAATGCATGGGCTTCTCGCATGACAGGGATCGGCAACGTACTTGGATACATATTTGGCTATCTCAATCTGCCTCAATATATGTCCTTCTTTGGAAATACTCAATTCAAGGTTTTGTGCGTCATTGCATCTATTGCTGTGAGCGTCACAGTCTTGATCAGCGTCTTGTTCATCAAAGAACGCAATCCGCAATTAGATCCACCATCCAGGTCCGACCACAAATCATCTGGATTTCTGAGTTTCTTCAAGGATGTTTTCCTGTCTATCAAAAGACTTCCTCCACAAACAAAAACAGTATGCAAAATCCAATTCTTCCATTGGATGGGCTGGTTCCCATTCCTCTTCTACATCACTACTTACATCGGACAATTGTACGTCAATCCTTACCTGAAGCCAGGGTTGTCGGATGACGAGGTCAATCAACTCTGGGACAAGGCGACTCGGATTGGGACCTTAGCTTTACTGATCTACGCAATTACCTCTTTTGCCTCGAATCTGATTCTTCCATTCCTGGTCGTCCCAACCTATGTTGCTCAGACGTCCCCTTCTTCAACTGAAATCACCCGACCCATCACGCCGAGCTCACCAGTTGGGATAAGGGAAAGAACAGCGTCGTGGGGGGAGCTTGCAATGGCACATAATCGCGCTCTGTCCACAAGTTCCAATTCACCCCTTGCCAAGAGTGGTTCTCTCAAATCCCCGAGTCTGCTTCATCGCTGGTTAGAGCGTCTCCAAATTCCTGGTTTGACGCTACGGCGTGCTTGGCTACTTTCCCAGCTGCTATTCTCGTTATGCACTTTCAGCACCTTCTTTATCTCGACTCCACAGGCGGCCACTGTGATGACTGCACTGATTGGTATCACTTGGTCCCTGACGCTCTGGGCACCTTTCGCCTTGATATCGGCTGAAATATCTCGGCGGGACGAGAGAAGACGTCATCGAGACCGCCAAAGACTAATGAACGACCCAGATGAGGAAGATGGTGATGGGGACGAGGAGGAGGAAGATAAAGCCGGGATCATCCTCGGCATTCACAACGTTGCGGTCAGCAGTCCTCAAGTTCTTGCCACCATCGTCTGCAGCCTTGTGTTCAAACTTCTTCAAAAGCCGAGAAATGTACCGGGTGATGTCAGTGTCGGCTGGACATTAAGACTGGGCGGTCTTGCAACTTTGATATCGGCCTTCATCACCTGGAGAATGAAAGAGGCGGGTGATGAGGATCTAAATAAGTGAGAGCAATTCCCAATGAGGTGAAAATGGGGCAGCGGATCAATCAAAACAAGTGCGGCTCTGGAATTACCTCGAATTCTTCCAAAAGAGGCCGTTCCGGATGAACGGAATCCAGTTATGCATACTCCAGGATGCTATCTCGGGAAAGAAGTCACTAAGGTTCAGCAACAATCATCTATCAATAGCCAACCGGTCGTATTGAATATTGTTGCTTCGTATTCGTCTTCTTCGTCTGGGAGGAGCACAGATATCGGAAGCGGCGGGCGAAAGTACACTGCAGGTTGTCTGTAACAACAGGGGACTGCAGAAGCAAGTTGTCTCGGGCCTGAGCCTAGCAGCCCGTCATCCTCATCGCTTGATGCTCGTTAGCTCCATCTTCGCTACCCGCCACTTTTTGCAGGGTGTTGACCCTCGTGGTTCTGCAAATGGTATCGTTCTGCTCCTCCGTCACAAACAGAGTCCTTGGATCTTTAGCTCTAACTCCATACTTGGGTAGTCATCCCATCCACCGGCCCCATAAGATAGTAATCTCACAGGGTATGAAGCTGCGCAATGATTTCCGCGCCCAAAAGACAGCGCCTCTTTATACATGGCTCTCAACACGTTGGCTGCATTGCACTTCAGAAGCGGTCTCACCGAAGACAAGCCCGCGTTGTATACCTGACAGATCGCCACCAGAAGGAGTTATGCGATGCACAAAGTCTCCGGCTGACACGATAAATGAACAATCGGTCTAGGCGAGGCCACAGGTCAGTCAGTCAGTCAGATGCTCCAGACTCACGAGCAGGGACTCTAGATCCTTTCCGGACATTGATCCAACACCTATCTTCTTGGCCGAGCCTCTACTGGGTTGACACAGTAACACTGGGAGTGGGCACTACAGAACCCGGAGAGGACATGAGACTTGTGTAGTCGTGATAGAAGACCCGAAGAGAAACCGTATGGCCAGAATCTTGGACTATCTCTGGTACAACGTTGGCAAATGGGACTAGGCTAAATTTCGGCACTCGAGCCATCGGCCCAGACGCACTCCGCAACCAATCCGGTAGAATTCATTCTCGCGTGATCCAAGCAAAATCTTCGGTTCAGCAGAAGATGTGGAGCGATCAAGCTTTAGCAATATATTTAACCAGAGGAGTACTACCGCCATGCTCCCGAAAAGAACGAAAAGATACATATATATCAAGCCATTGGAGCCTCTCTATCACTTCCTTGTTCTCCCTTGTTTTCTGTGCAAGACGGTCAAACCTTGTGGTTGGAATCAAGGTTCGAAAAAAACTTCCCAAGGCTCCCAAGGCAAACGCTGCCTAAAAGTCCAACGGATCGCCCGGAGTTTAATTGGGTCAAGTGGAACACTAGTTAAATCCCCTTCTCTCGCTTTAAAAGCAAGGGATTTCCCCAGGCCAGCCGTACCCCAAAAAGCCACATTACGCCAACCCAGAACCGCTAAACACTCCAGTCATGGTTAAAGACAACGCGCCTAAGGCCGGCCTCCCGGCTAATTTCCTCTGGGGATTTGCTACTGCAGCGTACGTCCTTTTGTTGCATCCGAATTAAAGCCCAAACTCTTCTCGTTGGGGAGCCTAACACGATTTCTGCAGGTACCAAATTGAAGGCGGTGCTACAGCAGATGGTCGTGGTCCTTCGATATGGGATACTTTCTGCAAAATCCCGGGCAAGATTGCTGATGGTAGTTCTGGAGATGTCGCCTGTGATTCTTACCACCGAACCGATCAGGATATTGAGTTATTGAAGAAGCTCGGTGCCAGAGCATATCGATTTTCAGTTTCTTGGTCTCGAGTCATCCCACTCGGTGGTCGAAATGATCCTGTCAATGAAGCCGGTCTCCAATACTACGTCAAATTTGTTGATGATCTCCTAGCCGCTGGCATTGTACCCTTCATCACACTCTTTCACTGGGATCTTCCCGATGAGCTTGACAAGCGCTATGGAGGTTTCTTGAACAAGGAGGAATTCGTTGCCGACTTCGCAAACTATGCCCGCGTCATGTTTGACGCCCTGGGTGACAAGGTCAAGCATTGGATCACCTTTAACGAACCCTTTTGCAGCGCTGTTCTTGGATATAATGTCGGTGCCTTTGCTCCAGGCCATTCCAGTGACCGGAAGAAGAGTGCACTTGGTGATGGAACCACTGAGCCTTGGATTGTGGGACACAACATTCTGATCGCACATGGCAAAGCCGTCAAAATCTATCGTGATGACTACAAGTCCAAGATTGATGGTGAAATCGGCATTACGCTGAATGGTATGTACCATCGTAGGTCGCCGTTGACCATGCTAACGCATCTCAGGTGACTGGACAGAACCTTATGACCCTCATTCGGAAGCTGATAGATTGGCATGCGACCGCAAGATCGAGTTCGCTATCTGCTGGTTTGGTGACCCAGTGTACTTTGGACATTACCCCGAGTCTATGGTCAAGCAACTGGGAGACCGGCTACCTACATTCACCGAGGAAGAGAAGGAGCTCGTCAAAGGCTCCAACGACTTCTACGGCATGAATCATTACTGCGCCAACTACATCAAAAACAAGGAGACCGATCCTGACCCAGAGGATGTCAGCGGAAACCTTGACGTCCTGTTTGAAGACAAGAACGGCAACAGCATCGGCCCAGTGACACAAAGTCCCTGGCTACGACCCCATGCACCAGGTTTCCGCAAATTGATGAAATGGCTGAGTGACCGATACGGTGGACCCAAGATCTACGTGACTGAAAACGGAACGAGTATCAAGGGGGAGAACGACTTACCCATGGAGGAGATCCTCGAAGACGACTTCCGTGTCGAGTACTTCCGAGGATACATTACGTCCATGGCCGAAGCCGTTGCTGAGGATGGTATCAACTGCCAAGGATACATGGCATGGAGTCTGATGGAGTAAGTCCATTCTCGTTGCTAACTACAATTGTTTCCTCGTGCTGACCTGTCCCCTCTTAGCAACTTCGAGTGGGCCGAAGGATACGAGACGAGGTTCGGTGTCACATACGTCGACTACGCCAATGGTCAAAAGAGATACCCCAAGAAGAGTGCATTGGAGCTGAAGAACATCTTTGACCAATATATCGGCAAGGTCTAGAGGATTGAACATGCAGCTCTTTTGTCGTCTGTATTTCATCTGCCCACAAAATAATGCCGTTCACGGATATGTATCTGTTTTGGGAGTCTAGATGTGGGACCAACGACATGAGTTTTTGTGTCTTGGTGGGTTTGTTTTGGGACTGTGTGCACCAGCGTGCCATGCCATGTTATTGTTAAGGAAGAGTGCAAATCGTAGGTACTTTAGGTAGTCCAAAGGATTGGGTATCAAATAGTACCAAGGTACCCACTCATTGTTACACAATCCATCAATATGACAACCGAGCCTCGACATCCGAAGTATCACACAGCACCTTCCATCTGTCTATCGTAAGATGCAGGCCCTCTTTTATCCCGCGCGTTGCTACTACTGGCAGCATTATCATCGGAGAAAAGCCGCGGGAAGTGAAAAGTGAAAGGTGAAATGTTATTCCCGACCCGGCCTAAAGGGCAACCATTTCAGGTAGTTGGCGAGTTGGGTCCCTCCTCAGCCTTCACCACTTCCAGCAGTTTGGCTCGACGGCCATCCGGACATCCAATATTCCGTGGGTATCCAGCTCTTGGAACATCTCATTCTTTCACAATGAAAATCACTAATATCTGGCCTGTCCGTCTTGAATATAACATCTGAGAGTGACAAACAAATAAATGCTTGATCGCCAACCTTAATTCTCTTCCGGGTTCGTTGCCAAAATCACGAGCTTTCAACATCTTCAACATCTCCTTGAAATTTCCCTCCACCATTATTGTTGCTCAAACTCAAGAAAGGTGAGGTCGTGGACTCCGATTACCAAGTTCTTACCTACAATAATCAACATCCTAAACCGACACATACAGAACTGATCAGCCATGGACACACCATCGGTGCCTCTCAACTTCGTCCCCGCCGGGACGGGCGAGACATTCAAAGTCGGCACCATCCAGATCCGCATCATGGAGGATGGCTCGAGGACTGACAATCGCATTGGAAGTGCTGAGTTTACTGTTCCCCCACATACTTCTGGGTGAGTCGTGATCCATCGTTGGCAGACTCGTGTTTTCGGACGAAGAGGGACAGTATTGGTCTTGTCGGTGAAGAAAGCCGAATGCTGATCGTTGTTTGTTTTGTGATAATTGAAGACCGCCGCCTCATTGGCATGAGATGGTAAGTTGTCCTTCCTTCCTTCCTTCCTTCCTTCCTCATACCTCAATGCACGAACCTCCCGACACGAGAATATAACCAAAGCTAAGTCCACCACACATAGCACGATGAAACCTTCCTCATCACCCAAGGCACACTGCGCTTCCACGGCCTGGAGGGCAATACCATCGACGCAAAGCTAGGAGACTACATCACCGTCCCGCCCCGCTCACCCCACACCTTCTCGAACCCGTACGACGAACCCGCAAAGTTCTTCAACACCTACACTCCCGCGTTCTACATCAATTACTTCAAGCTGTTGGCAACGCTGGGTGAGGCCGGCAAACCCATGGATCCCGAAGCGAATCGTCGCGCTATGGCTGTGAGTTGTGCTTAACCCGCTCCTTGATTCTATTTGTTTGAGTGCTCGCTGACGTGAGGGAATGTCCCTTCGTGACCAACAGTATTTCGCAACCATCGGCGTCGCGGACGATGAGATGCAGGTCGACAAGCAGCAATTCTATGGAGCGGGCGAAGCGAACGGAGACGGAAAAGGAAACGGCCAGGCTGCGAAGAACGGCAAGTGAGAGAGACGCCTGTCTCATGATAAACGGAAGGCACGGCCGATCTCTTTGCTGGCTGGGTTTTCATGTTGAGCTGAGACGAGCAACGTCACGCCCCCGTCCGCGTTGGACATATTCTGCAGATGGGATGTGGTATGTGGCCATCCTTGTGTAGCTTGCGTCTTTAGTTGGCCAGACCAGTGAGAGGGCCGTCGTCGGGTTGAAATTCTGGTGCGTTCGAATATGAAGACCGAGATGCTTGATGAATGATCGATGGATGAGTGAATCCATGAATGAAAGTTGGGGAATGACTAGACAATCGAGGGCCAAAGGTTTCTCGCTCTGTCTTCCTTCGATGGGGCTACTGATTGTTTTTATCCAGTGGACCTCTAGATACATAGAAAAACGCCGGACATAATGAACTCCTCCGCCCCCACACGGCGACGTACACAAACCCTCCGTGTTTGACGAGGATGCACGTATAAATCGCTCACCATCAGCTTCCACACGAGCCAGTATAACCTTGAAATTGCATGCGATGATCACTGAGCGCAACTTGAAGGGGTAAAATTCTTTACTCTCACACGCGACATGACTTCATCAACGTAAAGGTAGTTCCTGAATCTGCAAAATTATACTGGCCAAAGTAAATATGTACCATAAGAAAATCACGACAGATAAACAGACATGCAATGCTTTCATCTCGAATCATCCCAGTATGGTATATATAGAATTGGTCGGATTGTTTTCTTTTCGATGGTTTTCATATTATTTAAGCCTCGTTGACAAACACGCCCGCCATGCCCATTCCGGTCCCTACACACATGGACGTGACGACGACTTTGGCGTTCCGCCGCTTCAGCTCCGAGAGGGCCGTCACGACCTGTCGTGTGCCTGTGCAACCTAGAGGGTGGCCGATGGCGCTGTCGCAGGATACGTTAGAATGAGTGGGATTGAGGACACGAAAGGGAGCTGCAAGCTGAGGTATGGACTTACATGGCGCCGCCTCGAACGTTCACTTTCTCGATGTCCAGGCCGAGCTCGTTGACGCAGTAGACGTACTAGAAATTGAGGAAATTCGGCGTTAGTTTGGAAGAATTCAAAGTGTGGAGGGCATGGTTTTCACGGGTGTCGAGTGGAATGAAACTCACCATGCTGGCGAAAGCCTCGTTGATCTCAAAGAGATCGACATCCTCCTTGGTCAGGCCGGTCTTCTCCAGGATCTTGGGGATGGCGAGGCTGGGGCCGATGCCCATGATACGGGGCTCGAGGCCGACGACCGTGCTCTTGACGTACTTGCCGATGATCTTTTGGCCGAGCCTCTGGGCCGTCGACCGCTTCATCAGCAGCACCGCCGCCGCTCCGTCCGTCACTTGGCTGGCGTTGCCGCCCGTCGTGGTGGGGCCCCAGTGCGGGAACGCGGAGCGGATTTTTGCGAGCCCTTCATATGTGGTGCCCGGTCGGATGCCGTCGTCCTTGTCGACGGTGATGGTCTTCTTCTCCTTCGTCTTTGGGTCGATCCATTGGGTCGTCACGGGCGCGATCTCGTCGGCCGTCCAGCCTTCCCGTTGCGAGCGCTCCGCGCGGTTCTGAGACATGGCGGCGAACTTGTCTTGCGTTTCGCGCGGGATGTTGAAGTCTCGGGCGACGTTTTCCGACGTCCAGCCCATGGGTTGGAGGTTGTCTTTGGCGATTGGATGCTCCGTGATCACGGAGCTCATTGGGGGTGGTTTGTCGTCGTTGGTCGACATGCTCTCGACTCCGACGGCGATGCCGACGTCGATCGCGCCGATGGCGATGGAGCTGGCGACGGTCTGAATCGACAGCAGTCCCGACGAGCAGAAACGGCTCGCAATGTTGGCCGCCGTGCTGATGGGGAATCCGGCGGCTAGAACGGCACTTCTGGCGACGAAGCCCGGGGCCGGTTGCAGAACATTTCCCACGCAGACGTCTTCAACCACATTGGGGTCGATTCCGGATTTGTCCTTGATCGCTTTTAATACATGGACGATGAGCTCTTCTGCGGGAGTGTCTTTGAGACCGCCTTTGCGGGCTTTTGTGAGAGGTGTGCGGACTGAGGCTGTGATGACGATGTCGTCGGGGTTCTTCTCCAAGATCTTCTTCAAGCCTGGCGAGGTTGTTGTCGTTGCACTGGAATTGAGATGGCCAGCGACGGCATCCAGTCTTTGTTGAGCACCCATGGCTGTCTGATGTTTATTATGTAGATATATCTGGCTTGTTGGACTTTTTAGCTGAAAACGAGTACAGAATGTGATTGAAAGTTCTCGTTTCAGCAAGATGCCTCAGATGGAAATACTAGTATCAATCAACTACCGGGATAAAATCGGGAGGCTACGACTGCAATATAATTTTTTCTTGATATTGATAATAATCAATTGGTGATCAGCTTCAAGAGTGATCTTTGTTGAGTTAGTAAGGGTTTGATGCCTCGGCTTGTCTAGAACGGCATCAGGGTGGACGAAGAACGGGTCCCGCATCTTGATGACTTGAAACCGAAACCAACTGCCGAACACTGTCATCCCTTTCACATTTTGCCACGGCCATCCCATCCACCCAACTGCCATTTGGCTTGGGGGCTGCGTCGAGGCGCCCTTGCGGCCTTAGCTAACCTAGGTATACGTACCTAGGATTTATTTTGCTTCCGGGAGTCAAGGGCAACCAGAAACACCGAGTACCTGTGTCTGCTTCTTTAAGCTGGCACTCCTTTGTTGAACAGCAGCCCCACCTCCGCATTCGATTGTGTGAAGTCGTGGAGGACAGATCCCTTGATCTTGGGGGCACTATTTGGTGGAGGTTGTCGCCTGTTAGACATCTCGTTCAAGTTGCTCATGAATCCTTCATAGCTATTCTGTCTGTTGGAAACTTCCTGAATCCCCTTGCTATGCATAAAGTTATTTTTCTATCGTTTACATTTCCTCTAGAGCAAACACCAGCATCAAGCTTGAAACCATAGCGGGGCTGCCGCCGGAAGAATAGACTAGGCGGCTCCAGTGGAATTGAACTTGATCCCTGCCTTGCCCCGGACCGAGATCCCCAAGTTTAACCTCGATACTTTATCACCATTGTCACTATTGTCTGGCTCAGACCCAGCTACTCTTTGAGGAACTTTACTGGCAGCATAATTTAACGGCATCTGAATCCTGTTCTCTCTTTACGTCCGTACTTGGAATTCTACCTGTCCCCCTCCATCTCCCGTTGCGTGTACCGATTGAAGAGTACCGCTTAGCTGTTCTCTACACAAACTCAGATTGACCAGAAGGGCTGGCTGGCATCAACGCCATATAGATTGTGAACTTCCATTGCTCAGCATTATTGTTGTTCTGAACTATTACGCCTAGTTTCTCACCTATCTCGAGTCTTTCTCTCGAGAGAGAAATTCTCTTACTTTTCGAATCTGCCAGCGGACCAGATTGTTTCCAGGCCTTTTAATCTACACTCATCACGATGTCTACAATCGCTGCATCAACTGCTGCGGCAGCTGGGCTGTTGTACTATGCAAACCACTCGCTAGGAATTACAAAAGACATCTCCCAATATCGACTAGACGCTTCGTTCGGAGCAAGGTACCCTCAATTTCTAGCGAAACTAGGTCCTCAGTCGCCTCACCTTTATCGGATGCTAGAATTGGCAGACCCGAATGCAGATGCCATTTGGTTCGAAGGGCGAACGTGGAACTATCGGGCCATGAAACAAAAAGTCGATGAATTGGCCTTGGGTTTTCACGAACTGGGTGTTAAGAATGGCGACATTGTTGCGGTTTTCATGGCCAATTCTCCGGAGATGGTTTTCACAGTGTACGCATTGACGAAATTGGGCGCAGCACCTGCGTTGATCAATAATGCCCTTCGCGACGAAACATTGCTTCACTGTGTTCGACTTCCTTCGGCGAATCTCATCGTCGCAACTCCAGATATTGTTTTATATGCAGCTTCGGCGGCGGCTTCTTTGAACGGTAGCATAAAGACAGTTCGATTGAATCTCGGCTCTTTCCTCCCAACTCCATTACCGAGCGACGATATTTCGGAATTTCCCTTCCTGGACCCTGCTGGGATTGCTTCACTTCCACCCACACCACCAAAATCAGTCGCCTCGGTAGGAGCTTTGATCTACACTTCGGGGACTACAGGAAAACCAAAGGCATGCAGCATCAAGAATGCCCTAATTACAGTGGTCGCTTGCACCACCTCCGTTGATCACAAAAACCCCAAGAAATACCTCAAAGGACTGCGAACTTACTCCTGCATGCCTTTGTTTCATGGTACAACATTTTTCACTGGCTTATGCTATTCAGTCGGTCAAAGTACTTGCTACGCAATCGGACGAAAGTTCTCGGCGAGAGGGTTTTGGAAAGAGGCATATGAGTCAAGATCTACTCGAATTCTCTACGTGGGTGAATTGATGCGGTTTCTGCTCGCCACAGCCCCTGGACCGTATGATCGAAAGCACAACGTCCTGGTCGCCGCAGGAAATGGTTTGCAGAAAGATGTCTGGGTGGACTTTCAGAAACGATTCAATGTGCCTGAAGTGCGAGAATTTTACCGCTCGACTGAAGGCTTGGTCAAATTCGACAATGTCCACCGACGGGGTCGACCGGGTGCCGGGAAAGTGGGCTATCTTGGTGTGCTCAGAAAGAAGGTATTGGAAAAGGATCAATGGATTGTCAAGTTTGATTATGATACCGAACAGCCAATTCGAGACCCACAAACAGGATGGGCTCAAATTGCGGATAGGGGCGAGCCTGGAGAGGCCATCGCCAGGATCAAGAACATGGACACATATATCAATTATCATGGAAACCCGGAAGCTACCGAGCAGAAATTGCTGAGAAATGTTTTCGAGAAGGGCGATGTTTTCCAACGCAGCGGAGATCTTCTCGTTCAAGAAAAAGACAACTGGGTCAAATTTGTGGACCGCATAGGTGATACATACCGATGGATGGGTGAAAACGTGTCTGCTGGTGAAGTCAGAGGCTTCATCTCTGAACTACCGGGGGTGAAGGACGCAGTCGTTGTTGGTCGACGACTCAACAAATACGACGGCCAAGCTGGTACCGCACTAGTCGTTCTTGATATCGACTCGGAGAAGCAAGGTGCTGGACAAAGCGAGACGGTGTTCATGACTCGCTTGTTCAAGGAACTGAGATCCAAGGGTGTCCCACGTTATGCAGTGCCTCGACTGATATTGGTGAGGGGTGATCTGGTCGATGTTGGTGATACCTTCAAACATGCGAAGGCTGTGGTGAAGAACATCGCATGGGGCGTTCCGGACCAGTCGGGCGCCACGAGGCAATACTACCTGGACCTTGAGAGTGAGACATTCAAACCTCTGGATCTGGACAGCTGGACAAGGATTGAAAGTGGAAAGGCGAAGTTATAGTCCCTACAAATATAAGGTGTCTGGAAGAGGATCTGGTGAAGAGACTAAGTTATGTCACTTCATGTCAAGCAACTTTCTTTTGGCTAAAGCATTTGGAAGCCACTTTATTTTCACTGGTTTGAGCACGAATCTACGTTGGTTGCTCGTAGGTTGATAAATTGGTGCCTATTCATGCATAATTCGCTTCTAATAATAACCAAGCCCTTCCACGATTCTCTGCACCTGGAGTGTTTGATGAGCAAAATTAGCCAGGCTCTTCGTTAACACGTTGTAGATCGAGTTTTCTCAGGGATAAAGCAATTTCCCTTGGCAGGCAATGTCTTCCAAGTCCTTAAATCGCCTAAAGAGCTCCTTCCTTTTATAATAGAGGGGGAATATCGAGTCCTCCTCATATCAAAGGCCTGTCTGAGGCATTTGCGCCGATCTGAACCTTTTCTTGATCCGTGATCTGGTATCAGAGCCGTACCGAGCAGTTTGAATTGCTGTCGCCCGTCGATTCAGAGAAATTGATCTCGATGAAAACTTCGCCAGCCCCTTTGCAGCCTGCTATCAGTGGGAGCCACCCAAGAGCCGGATGACCTTCGTAGTCTAACACTTTAATTTCTATATCTATCGATCCAATGGGCGTAATATCAAAGAACCGCAAATTGAGGTCCTTTTCCGTTCCGTGAACGTCACTGCAACCCCAAAAATATCAGCCATGTCTTTTATTAGAGCTTGGAGGGGAGCATACAAAGTTAAATGCCATTTCCACACAGCTCCTGGTGACCAGACGTCCTTGTGCTTTTTGGCTCCCTGGAACGACACAACAATGCAAGGTCGACGGCACTCAAACAGTCCTCTTGTACCCAGAATACTGATACTCAATTTGCCTTTGGGAATGCGTACTTGTGGTGATTTCGAATCCTCTTCAATCTCAGGAACAGGGAGCACGCCTTTCCCTAAGGTGTCTAGGTGTTCCGTGAGAAGGAGTGATAGATCGAGCTCGGCGAGCTCACCGGGGGTCTGGAGTTGTCGATTTCTGGTCATCATGTCTGCCTGGTTGGTTAAAAGCAGTATGCACATTGCTCTATCCAACGGTGTTCTCCCACATACAAAATGCAATGGCGTGTCCCAGTTTTTGTCCTTCGCATTGATCTCCGTGCCATGTCTCAACAGCATATCAACAGTCTCATGGTCGGACTGCCAAACTGCGAGATGTAGCGGGGTTTGGCCGAAGACGTCTTTAGCATTGATAAATGTTCGCCACATCGTAGTTGCGCCGGCAGTATCACCTAGACCTTCGAAATGGTCCTTGAAAATTCGAAAGAGCCCAATATCAGACGAAGCCCCTACATGGTGAAGCGGAATCCTCTTCATCCGGTCACGGCAGTTCACATCCGCTCCATGCTTTAGGAGGAGTTTCACCGCTTTTCTGTGTCCTCGACTCGTAGCCGCAATGAGAGGGATAGAGTGCTCGCCACCCTCAATATTCGGATCTTCACAATTGTTCAGAAGGTGCTCCATCCAGGAAACTAAGTTGCATTCACTGGTCTGATATAGTAAAGAGGTATTTGACGGAAGATCCTCTTTTAAAGCGACCCAACGACTCCAGATGCTTGGTTGGCGCAAGCGGTTGATGATGTGGCTAGCATCAACACCTTCTTCTTCAGCCGCAGCCGCATGGGCGAAAAACATGTCCGACACATAGAATAGCAGTGTGGAAAGTGTTCGAAAGTGTGGCTTCTCCCGGACAGAGACGGTGTGGCGGCTGTGGGACTCCGGACTTGATCGATGGCGTTGCTGAGGACTGGGGGGCTGGAGTCGCGCAAGTATCTTTGAAGCATCAGCTCCATATCAGAGGGACCACCCAGAGGCTCTGCGGAATTATTTTGCGCTTTGGTGGGCGGTAATATGAGGCGAGTCATTGCGTCGTTAATCGCAGTCTGATGGTCGCAGAATGGACGTTGACCAAAACCGGAATATGCCGATGCCGAAGACCCAAAGCTTGCCACGCTCATGCTACTCCGCCAGATCCTTCGTCGATTTTCTCGCAATGGAGATGTTCTAGATGGCGAGGCAGGATAGGGCTGGTAATAACATTCGTCGAGGAGTAATGGGTCCAGCTGGTTTTTCCATTCTCCGAAGTAGGATGAAACTCCTGTGAGCTGTGACGCGTTGCAAGTTGCTTCAACACGGCCCTCGATCAAAGGAGAGAACTCCTCGAGACATATGTAGTCCACGCATGTCTCCAAGACGGATAAGTGAGCGTAGCCAAGTGCATGAACCTGAAGTTTTGAGTCTAGAATTGAGAAGCCGTCCTTCAGAAAGAACTCATGAACGGACTCGTGGATAAAATGGACCACCCTAGTATCGCCTTTGCCACTGTCCATTGACCCAGCCCGGGCACCCATGGAATTCCATTCATCGCCAGGCTGCATTGAAATTGCGATCTCGTTTTGCCATCTGACCTCGACAAGACCTTTAGAGATGCTCCTGATCTGTTGTTCAAGCTGCTGATCACTCTCTATGAAGCCGTCCGACGCTCGCCAGGCGCGTAAGGAACGTGGAGGCTCAGATCTTATGAAGGCCAACACATGATACCATTCACGCAGACGACGCGCCCGTCTTGCTACCAGAACCCATTGGAAGAGTCTAGTGGCCGATTGAACGTCTTTGCCGGTAATGTCTCGAAGAATCTCCGTGTAGAGTTCTTCGAGTCGCTGAGGAACCTGCTGGAGTTGCCTCAGTAGGAATTGGAGACTGGCTTGCCCCTTATCACGATGTTCCAGTAGCATCTCGATGACCAGAATAACCCAGAGAAACACTCCACGGGATCACTCGAGTATTGTGGCCTGTAGTGCTTCCCAGCCCTGTTCGTCACCTGCGGCAGCGACGGCAAGCTTTTGTTGCACATAGAGCTCTATATCGTGTGTGTTGCAATCTTCGACGGCAATTTCGGGGCATTGATGGAGAGTAATTGCTGGATATTTTCTGCTAGAAAGGCACACGTTCAGACTTACATCTCTTCCATAGGCGCAATCTGTAACAGTCCGAAAAAAGTAAGCCAGCTCCCGCCAGTTGCCGTGCTCACATTCGTTCAGAGCATCAATAAAAATCACAGTAGCACCTTCCTGAGGTTTTGTCAGCATTGTTTCGAGAACGTTCTTGAGTTCCTCTTCCTGCCAGTCTACTTTCTTGCCTTGGCCTTTACGTTTCTCTTTGTAAAGCATTAGGAAATCCTGAAGGCTTTCTGGGAATCGAGGGAGCAGTTGATATAGCAGTGATCGAAATAGAGTCAGGGGTGTTTGTTGGGACTGCTTTCCACTGGCGTGAAAGAAGAATCCCGCGACACGCAGTGTCTTGGTGGTTTTTTGCAGTTTTGCGAGTCGAAAAGCGCTTTTAATCACGGTAGACTTGCCTGTGCCAGGGTTTCCCTTGATCCAAAGAAGGCCGCGATGACTTTCCAAGTCTTGAAGGTCCCACCATCTTTTGTATGTCGGTAAGTCAAAAAGCCAAGAGCAAGTTTCCTCCAAGCGTCTTGTAATCGAGTGATAGCGAACATCAATACCTGGGTATTGGAGAGACAAAAGACAATCTAACTTCAGGATTTAGATCCAGGGATTCGAACGAGATGGTGTGTAGATAACCCACCTTTCCCCTGTTTTGTCGTTTCCAGAGGGGTGTGCTCCGTTGCTAAGTAGGCTCAGAGACAAAGTTCCTGGTGACCTTGGAGTTGCTCCACGAACCAAGGGCATCATGGCTTGACAGCGCCGAGGAGTTCTGCAATATTGTGGCCTGCGCAATCAGCGGGTTGTACAATATCAGAAGTTCACCTCCGACTTTGGCGTAGTTTGGATCACCACGGTGAGTGAAACGACAGAGATTTGAACGATTTGCATCTAAAGTTTCTGCGTTTTCTCGAGCGTCACCGAGCTCTGAAGAGTAGTCCGGAACAAGCTAAGGGGATATTAGTACACGAGAGCCCAGTCTCCACCACAGCAGTATAGACCAGTCCAAGAATTCAGAACTACCAGTTCATTCAGCAGACCCAAATTGATACCAGTCATTGCCAAGGTCTCTTGAAACGTCTTGACCCGGAAATCATACGATCCCCAGGTCTTTGAGAAGGATTCCTGGCATCGCTCAAGGTCGGAGTTCTGCAGACCTAACGAAGCAAGTATCTTGGGATTGGAATCTATACCACACGCAGCCAGGACTTTGCGAGTTACCTCTGCAGCCCCTGCCAGGTCTTTGGACCCACGGTGTGGAGTGCCGAGAAAGAAAATAGGTGCAGTCGACTCTACCACATTTTTGTAGACAGGCTCCTCTGACCTTTCTGACTGTGCGAGCATCTGGGATAGTGAGAATCTGAATACAGCTGCAGAATGTAGTGCAGCTCACCTCCTTTACCAAGATCCCCCCGAGTGAGTGAGCGACAAATATTAGTCGCCGTTTGAGCGGTATTTTCCTCCCGATCTGGAAAAGAAAGTTCCTTGCATGTTTATAAATGGTATTCTGGTTGACTGCAGTCCCAGGTCCAGACATCTTGGTATCATAACCAAGGGTCAAGATTCGAGCCTCAGGGAGTCATCCGAGAGGAAATCTACAGGCCAAAAGACGGTTGATAAGCGAGAAGCTGGCACAGTATCACTCCCAGATTGGTTTCTTTCATCGCTCAAGACAGGATCAGTGCTTGATCGTGGCTTACGACGTCGTGGGATCAGCCGACGAAAAGAACTTGCTTTCTGACTGTTGTCTTCTGCCGGGGCAAAGCAGAGGTCAGGCGTTAGTTGCCCATGTTCCCGGTGGGAGGGAACAAATTGACCGACGAGCTTCAAGGCGCTGGGCCTCCCCACCACGTTTTTGTTTCTGGCTCCCGTGCTCCGTGGTTGCCCAGGTCTTGTAGGGGTCGCCTTGCAAAGCGTGAACGAAGATTATACCGTAAAGAAGTTAGTCTCATCAAACTCTATCACAACCAGACGAGATCAGATAGGGCCGTAGACCTACTCAGCGATTGGTTCTCCGATATCAGGCTGATAGACTATCGACAAGCCCGAATTGAGGATGGTAGAAACAGGAAACTTCATCGCGGACGAGCAGAATGCGTGAGGCTGAAACCCTCTAGATGTGAATCCTAGGCGGAGAAGAGGATTGCTTGGGTTGAAGGTACGGCGGCATGAGTTGTCTAGGTACAACTATGTAGGAGTGAGGCTGCTTTTGTGCCATAGACAGCCGTAAACGTGAGGGGCACCAGTGTGCCAAGCCAGTAAAACAGCTAAAATCACATGCTGAGGCTTCCTCGTGATCATGAACGCTTTGGGAACAGCAGTACCTAGGTACCGAATTAGGTACCTAAGTACTTAAATGGTCTCTTCGTCATTGATAGTCTGATATTAATCTGAATTAGCATCGGAGAGCAGCCTGAATGGGTGGCTGCGAACCCACAGAGACTCTCCCAAAGTCTAAACTCGAAGACAAGGGAGTCACCGGGTACCGAGCAAAAAGGGTAAACGCGCTCTGCGTCACATTAAAAGTTTCCATGTTTATCATCTCCTAGCTGCGAAGTTCCCTTAGTAACTACATTTACAGAACCGACCACAGTGTTCAATGAGTAATCCCGCAATACTACCGATCCTGGCGCTTGGGCAAAGTACTCGGAATGCCTCGCAACGACAGACCCCGAGCTTACGACCATTTACCATCAGAGCGCTATCAAGGCCGTGCTTCTTTCGGAGAGCCGCCTGCAAAGGTAAAGCGAAAGGAGATTGCGGATGAAACACTGTCTAGGGATTCCTGGCGTCCTCAAAACCTTGGGGTCCCCGAACAGCCAGAGTCGAGTTTCTTCTCATCACAGCTCAAAGAGCTTGATATGAGCGTCAACCACGGACACCTGTCACCCGAGATCAAGGTTCGCTATGGTGATACTTTCTGTCTGGCTCGAGAGCTTCTCAAGTCCCGGCCCGACTACACTGGCAACATGGCTGTGCTGAACTGCGCTTCTGACACTGAACTTGCTGGAGGCTGGCGGCATCGGTCTGGGACGACTCATGAGGATGCACTTTGCTATTCTTCCACACTTTGGCCAACCCTTGATAAATGGAGTGGCACCTATCCTTGGCGCACGACAGTTGACAGAGACGGAAATCCAGGAGAATGTGCAGGCATATTCCACCCCAACGTGGTCAACTTTCGGGATGAGTTGGCGAAAAACTGCTGCGTCCTTGAGCGGAAGGACTGATCAACTGTGAGCGTTATCAGTGTTGCAGCCTTGGCCTGTCCTCCTCTGGCACCAGCACGCCAGTTCAGAGGTGACCAGGATATGCAATTGAAGCTCGACGAGGATGTCCATAGGCTCAAAGAACGATTCAGAACGATTCTACGTATGGCGGCGGGACAAGAGAAGAGTGTATTGTTATTGGCGGCAATCGGCTGTGGGGTTTGGAAATGTCCTCCAAGGCAAACAGCGGAGCTCCTCAAGGATTGTCTTGAAGAGGCAGAGTTCCAGGGATGGTTTGAGGATGTCTGGATCGAGATCTATGACTGAAAAGTCCATGAGATTTGGCGAGAGGTGTTGGAGTCTGGAGCTTCATCGTAGTAATGTATGCAATCAGTCTGTAGCTAGACTGAGATTTAATCGCACCAGTCGTAGGGGATGAAAGGACGAACTCGCAAGGACTGGAGTACCTGTTGGCGCCTATCTAACTGATGGAAGCTCGGGAGGAGCCCCTCAGGCCATTTGTTGGTGGGCCCCTCGGGCGGGCGGGCGGCCATAGCCTGTGTCTGGTGATCTAGCTGCCAGGTTCGCAGCTAACTATTTAGTTAGCAAGCATGCGCGCTTGACTACCCGGCCTCAGCAGGTAACCCTAAACACGTGTTGAGCGGGACAAACCGAACATCGGAACGGTAAACCGACTATCCTGATTACGCCAAAAAAACTCAGGGAACTTTATAAGGCGCCAGTACGTGAGAACCGATTGAAACGTGGACACCGCGCCTGATTTAAGATTTCAATCTTCATAACGCTCTCCACAGACATTTAAATCACAGGCCTGTTCATGACCACGATCGGCACCCCACTACTTCCAAGCAGCCACGCTCAGAGAGGCTGGGCATTTGAGAGGGGAAGCTCCTTTCGGTTGGATCGCCAAGACCGGCCTCGGTAATATCTGTTGCTTGGATTTCGTGGCAGGATGGGTGGGTACGAAGTAGATGGTGAATATCAAGGCTGCCCAGATTAGTTGACCATCGCTTTTGCCTGTGTTCTGGTACCTTTGGAGATAGCTGATGGGCACGCTTTGACGGTCTATCAGACCCTATTCCTTCAATCACCAGTGCCCCGATCAGACATGAAAGGATCCGACATTCCTTTGGGTGCTCAGAGTATCAGCCTTGGTGCAGTCCCAAGATGCAACCGATGTGCGGCAACACACCTCAGTTTTCACCGTCCGGCCAGCTGTGTTACTTCTCCTTGGCATCTCGTGTTTGTGCCAACATTGCTTCATATGGCTACCTTAGGCCCCTTGTGGCTGCATTGGCGGGCGGACGGCGTGTCAACAGCCATGTTCCGATGGTCTTCATTCGGCATACGAGCCTACTGTTTGCCTTCTACGACGCCTGGTCCAGGTACTAAGCCTCATATGCTGGCTGTACCGAGCCTTCTTGATGCGCAGTCTTTCGAGTGACAGCTCACACTCTCGCTCAGCTATTGACATGAATACTAAGTATGTTTTGCCATACGACTTATTACTATTCTCCTGGAGAGACACTTTTACACTACCTTTGACCTTTCTCCGTGCGTTGAAAGGGAGTCATTCAGTTTGAAGATGCATCAATACCGGTTCTGTCAAGCCTTACTCTCCTTAGCAATTGCACTCACAGTCTTCCTTTCCATAACCTTTGGCCAGCAAGTCATATCAGCGGGCGATCTCGCGCCCGCAGAGCAGACTTATAGTTTTTCGCGAGGAAGTCGGTTGAGGCTACTAGCCCATCAGAGCGTTGTCCTGGAAAGCTCAGATCGCCACCTTCTTGTCATTGATGGAGGGTTTGGTAAGTTTGAAGTGGAGGGAAAAAATGGAGAGGTGCTGGAGGTACTAGACTTGAGTACGTCGTCCCTGCAGCGATGTTTTCGTTACACAAGCAAATGAGGTGCTGATGTAGATCAACGTATCAAGACCGGTACACAGTTGCGTTCGATCTTTCAAAAGACATCAAAACTACGAATTTACAGCCAGCCTGGCAGTTCCAAAAGCCTAACGATGGGAAAGCCAAGTTCCAGATCACGAACCATGGCGGCCTGTTTATCTCAGCGGATCAAAAGAAGCTTTGGTACCAGGGTGGCCATTTCTATAATGCTGCTGGCTGGAATGAGAGCTTGTATCATGTCGATAAACCCGATATCCCGGAATGGCAACTGTGGGAGCTAGACCTTACAAATCACCTTCAGAAACCGAATGGATGGCTCGATGTCACGAATGGCGTCGCTGGACATGAAAATGTAAATCGTACCTTCGCTGGCGCTAGTGTGTCAGTGCCAGGCATAGGTAAGAGCTTCTGGATTGGGTAAGTGGTTGGCATTTACGAGTGACCACACTTGAACGACCAAAACCATGTTTCTGTCGAAATCTCCTGGTTAACAACTTACTGACTTGTTCATGATGCAGCGGGGCATCAACACCACGTACATCCAGAACAACCCCAATCGACAGATTTGAGACCACCTCACAGATGCTTATCTTCGACGAAACCAGAAGAGAGATTTCATCCTCGAATTACTCGGGTTCGTGGTCAGACAGTGGAGACTATGGCTACTATCACGGCAAGCTTCTTCACCTTCCCATCGGCTCTGGTGCTGGCTATCTACTATCTCTGATGTCTCTTGCTGCACCTGCCTACGAATCATGGGTGGATCCCGATGGTGACGGTGGCAGTCGCGAGGATATTGTGCCCCCTGTGACAAACGTATCATGGAAAACGATTCCTCTCTACGACCTGCAACAAGAAAGATGGATTACTCAAGAAACGTCGTATTTTGAAGAAGAGCTGCCGGAGCCACGGACTCGTTTCTGTGCAGCCCTATTCCACAACGAACTAAACTGCACGTGGGATCTTTGGGTGCATGGCGGGCAGCGTCCAACTGAAGATGAGACCGCCACTACAGCCATCTACGTATTGTCTATGCCGAGCTTTACTTGGAAACGGGTGGTGCCGCTTTTCCCCGAGTTGAACGAGCTTCGGAGCCATACCTGTCATGCGGTGGGAGACCAGTTGCTCATCGTAGGGGGTTACCCAACTGGACAGACCGTGCTACGGGAGACATCCATTGATGATCAGTATATCAAAGTACTGAGAATCGGGGATAGCTTGACCTGGACCGATACCTACCAGCCAGAAACGACGTATCAAACGCCTGATGACGTTCAGCGAGCAGCAACAGGTCAGGAACCGTTTTATCCTTGGGCGGACGACAGACTGAGGGAAGCATTTGAATGCAAACAACCACCGGATCCGCATCCGCCCCCATTGCCGGTGGCAGCCATCGCTGGAGGTGTTGTCGGTGGCGTATTCGGTGTATTTGTTGTATTCGTAGCCCTGTGGGTCTTGAGAAGGCACCGGCGAGCCAAGAAGGCCCATGGTGCAGCCAAACTGGAGGGGAATGATCCCCGATCGCCGCTGTATGGTCAGCCTGAAGCGATCAAGGATGGGAACTTACAGCCCGCGGCCACAGTGGTGCAAACAAGAGCATCACCTGCTCGGGATACGCCTGACGATGGTAGCGGACAGAGAGAGCATGAATTAGAAGGATCGACACCTGACGAGCATGTGGCCATGAGACAACGGAGTATCTAAAGCCCCAGACTATAAACAGAAATGGAAGACGAGAGCCCTAATCCAAGTAATGGTTATTGTTGTAGGTCTGGCAAAAGTCTCGGCACTGGAGAGTTTCTAGCCTGCCTGTACGCAACGAAGTGGTATCAAAATTGTATATGTCGCTACACGAATTTACTTCTAGTTGATTACTCGCTCGAATCGTAACGCTATTCTACTGTGGATATACATTATATCTTGAACCTAAGGATACACGTATATAGTTAGTAGCTATTACTTAGTAAGTAAGAGGAAGTATAGCTATTAAGGAGGATCAGAGAGAAGGGAGGGTATAGAAACGAAGAGATTTAAGTAGCTTTACGATAAAGGGAAAAGTAGTCTAGCGGACGTAGGTAAGTATATTTTCTTCTTGTCGCTTAAGTTATCGTCCCCTTATACTTATGTCTCGCTGATATTTCGAGGATTTCTGGGTTTAAATACTAGTAGAAATTTGCACCGCCGTCAGACGAGCGGCTGGGAAGTCCTGTTTTCCACATCTGATGGTCGATTGTGACAGAAAATGCTCAGGAATTATATAAGTATAACCACCACCTGCTAATAGTAACATACCCTAACTAGACGGACGAAGGTCACATCGCATCTGATCTACTCGAAGATCTATCAAGCCTATGCCACGTATAAGCCGTAAGCGCATATCATGCTGAGAAATGTGATACATGATTGGTGGATTACCATTCAAATGAGATGCCGCCTAATGAGTCTAAGATTAAAAGGCTATCGATGACAACTCTCCGAGATCTGGTCCTCCACAAAATTTAATTGAAGGACTCCGTGTCCTCGCATCCCACATTATGATCGAAATTCCATTGAATGCGCGGCTCACGCTCCGCTGCCGAGCCGTCCACCCTATTCAGCATGCAGACAATCACAGTCTTCAGTCTGCTCGGGTCTACTGAGAGTTGGCACGGCGGGCATGTGGGTTCTGCTGTGGATGCCACCGAGAGTGCGCACGAAGAAATGATACGTCTGCGCCAAGCCCATGCAGGTGGCATGCTTGATGTCGTCGCCCTGGAACTTGGCGCACTCCATGGACATATCCCGCAGAAAGTTGTCGTCGATCATCTCGCGATTTCCACTGTTCAGCCGCCCTTGATGTTTGTAGTTACGGTACCCAAAATCGTGGCGGCGACAGCTGTTGTGGAACTTGAATCCAAGCGGATGGTCTGGTGACAGCGAGCACCCGTCGTCGCTCCAGACCAGCTCAGCAGAGCACACTCCGGAGCGCTTCGCCTGGAGGAATCGTGCCATGGATGTGTGATACAGGAGTGAATCGGTCAGTTGTTGGACATTGCTGCAGACACCGACTGCTGCTCGGGTGATGGCTGTCCCAGATCTTAGTAGACTTCACACTCCATTGCGGGTTTGGGAGAACCTACGAGTGCTCCGGAGTTTCGCCAGGTCGTCATCTGACGCCTTTACGCCAGTCTGACTCAGGATTTCATTTGGCATATTTTGATCATATCATTAGCTTTGGGTTAGACTTCGGTATGGCTCAGGAATCAATCAGACGAAGCTCCAGGACGTGGGTCGTGTGCTATTTGATCATTTTGATCGGTCAGGTTGAGGTCAAACCATCACCCTTTGCCCTCATTTTCAGCTTCGTGCTGTGGTTCGTGTTGGTGCGGGGATTGAGCGCCACTGTCACCAATGCTTCTGCGAACGATTATTCAAGATCATGCATTCTGAACTTGCTGGATGTGAAACCTTTGTACCAGACAATTCCAATGGAAAGGCATAAAAAGTCGATAGCTAGGACTGGCGCAAGATCATCGCTATCGACCACGAGCTAAATCCCCAGCCAATTGGTGAGCCATCTCCGGGCAAGCCTGCCGCCGTATCCTCATCTTCTCGCTTGATTCGAGTAAGAAGGGGCTCAACTGCCAGATGAAACACGCTCTTTGCCCACTACAACATTCCCAGAATAGAATAATCGTAGCGTCGATGAATGATAGCCCACCAGGAGCTCCCTCTAATGTGGAGTGAATTATCATACGGGGAGTGCCTTGCCACTATGCCCGTAAAGCCACCCGTCGCAATGCCTTGGCATGGAATCCTCTGAACAGCCTCTTAGACGATGTATGTGCCGCCAATACCTAGGTAGAAACACTAAGTACCTAGGTACTTGTCTCATCCCAATGCTTGCGATCGTACCTCGTACGATGCTGCACTGATCATATTGAAGAGGTTGAGTTTAAGCTCTGTGCTGCGCCTTGATGCCTGGGCATATCTCTCCATTACTACACCGACCATACGCCAAATTAGCCACTGCTCCACGGCACTAACTAGCCGTAGTCTACGAGTAAGCTAAAGGCAGAGAAGAAACCAACGGACGGAGCCTAATCGTACTTAGAACTGGAATGACGACAGTGTTGCTGCAACCTCTTTCCCTTCTACAGCGGCAGACACAAGCTCCAAGTTTTGTAGTAACATTCAAATATTGCTAGATCAGAGCATGAAATATTCTGGTGAATTATGATCAACAAACTTCACCCGTTACCGAGTCCCGAGTACTATACTAACTAGTACCTAGGGCGTGCTAGGGTTGGTGGTGCCTAGTAGGCACCTAACTCACTGGTAGCTCACGCAGCGGCACGGATCTGGGCCGCACAAGCTAGGCAAGGTGTCCATTGTTTGGCGCTTAACGCTGTCCATCCTGAGTAATCGCACACTCTCTTCCTCTTCTCCTAACCACCTCCCATGAACAGCTTGCTGTCACGGGAATAATCAGAAGTGCCTTAGGAAGGTGGTGTGCAGGCATTCCCTGACAGAGGAACACATCGCGGCGCAGGATGAAAGACATCCGCCGACCCCTACACCGTCCAACCCCTACAACTTTTGAATGTGCTGGCTCAACTAACTCCCCCGTTCAGGAACACCAGTCTGGGGTCTAAGTCAACGTGCTGCAGCCTCATTTCGAAATGAGAGCGTAGCTAATGGAGAACAAAAGAGTGAACAGATTGCTGCGACTATTGCAAAGCTTGATCAGTGCAATGACACAAGGGAGCTGATGGCATTATTGGCTTAGAACACAATATGAATTCTGTTCCAACTGCGGCTTTTCTTAGAGGTCAAAAGCAGACGTTCAAAATGTAAACGCCACAACATGCACTACCACAGAAAGAAATGCTTGTTGCAATGGAAGCTTCCATTGCACAGTTCCTTGAAGAAACCACCGCCTCAGACGTTTCGGCCCGGTCTGTGAGATCTCTCTAGATTGGCTCCGCTGCTAGTAAGTACTAGTATGTTGACGCCCAGCATCAGGCTCAAGCTCAAGCTCTGTCTTCCTCATTCTTATACGCAGTGCGAAGTTTCAGGACCGCACTATACTCCTTTACAATGAACACAACAGGTACAATAAACATGCGCAAGAGCCTTACGAAAGCCACCTATACTCTTCCACCGTTGAGCCCATCTCATGACAGGCTGTTGTGCTCTTGCCGCTTCCGAGGTTGCCTTCCGGGCCGGACGGTACCAGTTGATTCAGTGGTCAGGCTCCCTCCAGCATTTTGATGGGCAGTTCTGGCATTCTTAAGAGTTGGGCAAACAGACACTAGTATAGTACTAGTACTAATTTCTGGACGCAAATCCCAAACGTTTCCGGTCCAGGGAATCGGTGACCGCAGCAAATCCGACGACGCAGCACGAAATTGACTGGTTTCATCTTAGTCGGTGGAGACACAAAGCCCATAGACCTGGCCTTGCATTTGTGTGGTTCTACTTGAGACGAGAATCCGATTGGCACGGTAAAGTTGATGGCAACGAATAGTACTAGTACTTCCACAACCAGCTGCTGACACCGTCATGGAATGGCCTGAGATTCTCGAATTCGAAGTCTATTAACGATGTGGTACTTCTATAACTGCAATACACAAATTGATAGGGGCTTGACTTGACTAGCATTGATACTGGGAGGTCTACAAGTACTAGTACTGCTTGTACTTCCTAATCACAATACCACTCGCTAGTATGATCTCACACTGGACTTCGTGCAGTGCGCGCAGTGTCTTTTCCTGCAACTTCAACCATTTCCGCATCTGCGTCATCTGTGGACTTCTCGTCCTTGACCTCGACCGGGTGTGCAACACAGCGAACCTCATCGCCGAACAAAGCCGCAACTTCTTCGAGTGGCATACCCTTAGTATTTGGGAACCAGAACAATATAATCAGCGCCATGACTGTGCCGGGAACAATCAGACAGAGGTAAAACCTCCAACCTATGTTCGCAAATGCCGTCGGAGCAACTTGCAACCAAACGATGTTTATGAGATTAAGACCAGCCATGCCCAGGGCGATCCCTTTTGCCCTGAGATGGGTGGGGAATATCTCGCCCAAGTACACGAACTGGCCCCCGTCGACAGTCAACTGAAATATGACGATATAGATCTGCTAATCCTTAGCCATGAAAAGAGGGGATGTGCTGATTGTTGCATCTCGGGTACAGAGTTTCACTTACGTAGAACATTGCCACGGCAGCCTGAAGTGCGCTCTTGTTCGGAGACTTCAATGCTTCGGCTGAAGCGTACTTTGCGACCAATGCCGCCTCAATCGAAAGACAAACCAAGCAGCCCAGAACACCGCCAGCAAGGAGTCTTGGCCGTGGCATGGTCTCGACAACCAGAAGAGAAAGCATCCCAGCTCCAAAAGAAAGCGTCAACCAGCCCCCTTGGTAGATGAATTGTTTGTTCACGCCGAAGCCCAAGCTGCTGTAGATGATAGGGCCGTAGTTATTAATTATGAACGGACCAGTGAACTGAATCGAGATCGTTGTGAGAAGTCCCAAAGCAACGCGTTTCCGGTAGCTTGGTTTGGTGAGCAAGGAAATGTAAGAGCTTTCGAGGGTCCTGTCAAGTTCTGTCTGTGCCTGAATCTGGACCAGCTCGTACTCGGCTTCTTCACGTGTGTGCAGCTTTTCGAGCACCTGCTTGGCCTCTGCATCCCTTCCTTGCAACATCAGGAATCTAGGGCTTTCCGGAAGCCAGTATAGACAGCACAGGAGCAGCATTGCGGGCAGACACGTGAACACAATTGGCGCCCGCCACTGGGTTAGATTGTCCGTGTGCAGTTGGAAGAAGCCATAACCAATCCACACCGCAGCACAGAAGCCAAAGAGAATGGCCGCACCGTGAATGTTGACCAGGGGTCCTCGAGCGTGAGCAGGGACGACCTCGCTCATCCACAAGGGAACCGCAGAGACGATCATATACGCTGCGGCTCCGGCAAAGGGTCGAACTGCGATGAACATCTCGATGTTGACGCTTCCAGCCAGCAACGCGCCTGACACAACGGTCAACGCTGCAGGTACCGCTATTCCAACCTTTCGACCCCAGCGGTCGGCGAAGAATGAAACGAAGAAAGTGCCAATGAAGCCCCCAGCCTGATACAGGGAGCCTGTGAGTCCGATAAGCTCGTTTGCGTTGCTGCGTTTGTCGAGCTCCATGTAGGCGAAGAACGATGGTTGCGCCAGCGTCGTGGAGATGATGCTTGCCGCTGTTCATGGTCAGCTACAATCTTGATGCGGCGGCGAGGTCCACTCACAGTACCCATATGACATTGAGCCTAAGCCCATAATGAGGACTATCACGACATTGTACGGTTTGATGCGACGTAGAGAGCCCTTGGGCCTCTCGATGTATTGTTCCATGGTGATAGATGGCAATCAGGATCCCTTCGTGTTGGCGATGTGAGGTTGTCATGGCGTTGCTTCAGTGGGAGGGACCATGATGATTAAATAGTGATTTGCGCCAGCTACTCCATTGTAGACTGGAACGACTCTGTGCGAGGCAAAACATTTGCGTGATGGTTTGGTCAAGTCTAGCCGTCAATAATTTCGCACGCTACGAGAAAGGGGCCTCTCGGTAGCAGCACCCCGTTGGACAACGTGGAAAATGCCCCGGATTTGGTTCGAGTTGGAGCAGAAAGTGCCTTGAATGTGGTTGATGATTCGCACGGTAAAGACGTGCGGTTCTCGGGTTTCTGGAGCGGCTCTCACTGCCGAAGAGGTACCCCACGGGGTCCATCGAGCCGCCTACCCCGGTGATTTCGCACCCTGAACGTTCAGAACCGTGTGAGACAGATCTGTACCCAGCTGTGATTGAAGTCGAACGAGAGCGACGCTTGACCCTTGCCAAGCTAAGGGCAATCGAGAGCGACGTATGACCTCGATTATATCCGACTTTCTCACATCCTTGTACTAGGATATCGACACGATTGAATCGCTCCTTCGAGAATCCAAGCGTCAACTCAATCTCACATACCAACATCCAATGGAGCATGTCAATGGCTGGCAAGACAGCCTCCTGGAAGATGCAGTAGATCCTCCTGACCTAAAAATACCTAATTCGAATGTCGCGGTCGATCTAAAGATCATTGACAGGTACGACGGATGGCTATCAAATTGCGTCCATAGAATTAGCCTGCTAACATATGTGGAAAGCACGTCGAGACTGACAGCTCCAATGCACATGTTTATACAGCCTCCAATTGAGGGTCATGAGCAGCTGGACTGCCCTTCATTCGCGTTCCTGATCCAGCATCCGACCGGGCGAAAGGTGCTCTTTGATATCGGGACACGGAAAGATGTAGAAAATCTTCCTCCTGCCGTGCTGAAAATCTTCACAGAGCATTCCTTGGGCGCCCAGGTGCAGAAGGATGTGTTTGAGATCCTAGAAGAGCATGAGTTCGGAGTCAGCCAGGGCGCCATAGAAGCTGTCATCTGGAGTCATTGGCATTATGACCATATTGGTGACATCAGCAAGTATCCAGCTTCAACCGATCTAGTGGTGGGACCAGGCTTCAAGGAAGCCTTCATTCCTGGTTATCCTCTGCGAGAAGATGGTCTGATACGTCAATCCGACTATGAAGGGAGAGAGCTGAAAGAGATCTCCTTCGACGCCACGACAGATATCCGCATAGGTGGTTTCCTCGCCCATGACTTCTTCGGTGATGGGAGTTTCTACCTTCTCGACACCCCCGGCCACGCCATTGGGCATATCTGTGGCCTTGCAAGGGTCACGGCAGGGCAAGGTTCCGACAGTACCTTTGTCTTCATGGGAGGCGATGCGTGTCATCACGGAGGGGAATTCAGACCCACCAAGTTTCTGCCATTACCGAAAAGGATCAAATTACCACCAACCCCTGTATGGCCCACGGGCATCTGCCCGGGGGACGTGATGCAGAAACTCCACTTTAAGAACGATGCATGTTCGCCGTTTTACGATGTTTCGCAGGACTTTCCTCTCAATCGAGAACAACTACTGTCAACGATCGATAAGATGCAAGAATTTGATGCCGCACCAAATGTTTTTGTTGTTTTAGCTCACGACCAGACTCTGTTGGACATGGGCATGGACATGTTCCCGAAAAGCGTGAATGATTGGAAGTCCAAGGCTTATGATGTGGAAGGGAGATGGGGATTCTTGAACGATTTTGCGAAAGCGGCAGAGAAATTTCTCTAGCATCTAGTAGTGCTAGTATCTGATAGCGAGCAAGATGTACTGAGGTCTGAATCACTTCCATGCCGCCTGACCAGAGGTGCAACTTATGACAAGTAACCTTACCACGAACCAGTACTAGCCCATCAACATTGGATTGTGTTTAACACGATGAAATGAGGGCTGCAACACTGTGGACGATATCAGGCTCTTCGATTGTCTTCTCGACACATGGAATCGGCTGGAGGCAGCCCTGTTTCTGACATTAGTCGCCAGAAATTTGTGGAGCAGGCCGAGGCTGCCCTCGACAGCCTCCTAACCAGTCAGCATCCTGTGATCAACAGTCCTAAGCTCCATAAGAGGATATTAGCTCCTCTCTGTTGAGTCATGCTGGGTTGTCGGCCCTCGGAAGAAAGCCTTGTCGCCTCCTACACGCTGTTCTCGGCAATTGACCACGGCCCCCGGGTGCAGAATCTCGCTTATTCTACCGATGCCGTGTATAAAAGCTCCAATCAAAATACCTAACAGTATAAAGCTCCTGGATTAATGGTTAATTTCAGTGAGAAGGCCCAGTAACCATACAAACCAAGGCTCGGTACTTTCGATTCAACTCCTGAAATCTGTCCAAAATACCACCACAGTACGACCTCTGTCTGTATTAGTTCTACTACGATATTTAGGGGGCCAATACAGCCGGAAACAAAGATGGCTGACGCATCCAAGCCTTCAGAGAAGCTGGTGCTTGGACGTCAGATGGTAAAAGAGTTCATAGGCGAATACCGTTTGAAGGCTATCAATGCAAACATGGTCAGTCTACCCATCGAGGCACCAATGCCCAATCTGTTGGACATTGAAGGCATGAAGTCCTCGAAAGCCTCAGACTGACTATGGGACAGAGAGATGATATATTCACGAGAACCAGTGCGGAGTTCATTGCCGAAGTCTGCTTTTCGGGATATGCCAGACCGGGTCTCGAATTCAAAGATCGTGCACTCATGAATATCGCCATGCTGATTGCCCTGGGGAGGGCTCCGGAGTTGCGTATCCACATTCGAGCAGCATTCGACAATGGGTGGACAGAAGAGCAAATTTGCGAGGCATGCCGGCATGCAATGGTCTACTGCGGCGTCCCAGCCGGTCGAGATGCTTTGATCATTGCGAGCGAGATATTCGAGGACCTGAGACAGTCTGGCGAATACGGCAAGAAGGCTTAGATCTCCCAGTCTCCAATCGAAAGCCAATGAGAGAAACATAGAATAAGAAATCCCTCAGTCCCAATTGCTTCCTAATGTCTTCGATGTCGGAAAACTAGACTAATTTATCACTTCCCAACTTTGATGACAATTTTCCCGACCCCAGACTGTGCCACCAGCGCAGCAAAGGCGTCTTTTGCGTTCTCCCATTCATACGTGTGCGATATCTGGGGGTGAAGGCCTTTCTCATCGTATATCTTCAGCACCTTCGCTACCATGTCCTTCCGTATTTGAAATATGCCTCGAATGGTCTTGGCGCCGAAGAGCATTGCAGGAACGATATCATATGTCTTTGGCTTCGACAAATATCCTATCAAGGACACCAGGCCCGCCTGCCTGGTGGCTTGCAGAGATTGTTCCAGTGTATCGGCACCTCCAACGTCGAGCACATGATCTACCCCTTTTCCGTTGGTGATTCGTAGGACTTCTTCCGCCCAGTTGGGCGTCGTGTTGTAGTTGATTGTATGTGAAGCTCCCATCTTCTTTGCGAGCTCCAGCTTTGAATCACTTGAAGATGTTGCTATGACTGTGGCACCACAGGCCGATGCAAGCTGTGAAATACCGACAGTCAGAAACCATGAAGTGGACGAGCATTAAATCCATAATGCAACCATGCCTGTACTCACCTGGATTGCTCCCGAGCTAACCCCACCTGTGCCTTGTGTAAGGACAGTCATGCCCTTCTTAAGCGGCATTGGGCCAAAGAAGAGGGCATTTGCGGCTGTACCAGCAGCACAGGGCAATGCTGCCAACTCTTCGTACGAAAGAGACGAAGGAGCGGCAAGCAGATACTCATCTTCCTTGAAAGCGCGTTCGTCAGCATATGGTTCCTCTCAGCGAACAGTGCAAATCATGGAGATACGCCCGTACCACGACAGCATATTCTCTAAGGGTGCCTTCCAAATCCGCTGCCCCCATTCCCTTCGCTTCAAACAGGGTTCCTGGATCTCCTTCCAACCAGCGACAAGGGACGAGCACCACCCTGTCGCCTGGCCGCCATACACTTCCTTCCCCAGCTTCCTCTACTACCCCTGCTCCATCTCCACATGGGCTTAGATTTGGCGAAGCGAAACTCTGGTAAATCGGGTCCCGGGCAACGACCATCATGTCCCTGGCATTTAGGGCGGCAGCTCGAATACGGATGAGAGCTGTCTTTGGACCCGGATTGGGCTTCTCAACATCGTTTGCGAGGTGCAAGTTCGAGATGCCATCTAGAGTCCGCCAGTCCTTCGACTCAGAGGGCAGTATCTGCCAGGCTGACGGCATTTCGACGTTGCGGTATCACGCTGGTGAATTGCTGGAGAGACGGAAGGTAGAATTCAAGAGTACTCAGTAGTTAGTCGATTGTCCAGCTTCGCTAGTGTGACTATCGTGGGCTTTGGGCTGGTGCCAGGCTTTTTGGATCCGACATGATAGACTGTAGATCCACAGCATGCTGGGCTACAGCTCAAAGAACGCAAGAAAAGTCAATAGCCATCAGAAATCATGGGAGGAGAGAACGGCAGTGGAACCCCGAGCGTCGCTTCTCGTGCTGCCGAGAGCCGTCACTTGACCCGATTGAGGGATGCTGTGCATGATGGTGCCTGGGAGCTCTGGCAGGTGCAAGTTCCAATCTTGGCTCTCAATAGCTGTGGGGGAGAATGGCAGCTGCTATTCGTCTTCTTCGGAGGTGGTTCACCTCAAATCGAGACAAAGCGACTCTCGCCACATTGGATGACAGTGGTCACCAAAATGTTTCGCAATGGGTAACTATGGGCCTGGCTATAAAGGCAAACCCGTAGTTCATCCCCCCACGGTGGACAGGAAAGACAGTGGAAGAGGTACCTAGGTAAGGAGGAGGGGAACCAGCTCACCCATTGCCCCGCACTGCACCCCGCATTACCAATGCCCTTCAAGTCAGGTAGGCTGAAAGGCTTGAAAGGCGAAGCTGGCAGAGGGGAGGGTAATTATATCCTTGCATGTAACCGAAATAGTGCGGTATTTCGCAACAATTGAATTAAACCTGCGTAGTGGTAATCATAATGGATCAAACTCGTACGCGCAACAGCAAAGTCTGTATTCAATGTCATTCTCGCAAGGTACAGTAGCTGCGGTTGACAAACTAGTAGTTACTAACAATTCTCAGATCAAGTGCGACTTGCAGGACAGCACAGATGGGACGTGTCGCAATTGCCGCAGGACAAGTCAGACGTGCAGGCAAGTGAATATGTCCTGGATAGATGATAGCAAACATTGACCGACGTCAAGACCACGGCTTGGTATTCGCCAGCGCGGACTGCAGAACCAGACTGCCCAACCTAGGCGCGACGATGAGAGCACGCCAGCCGCATCTTCAACAGCGTCGGTAGGGTATATGGGAGAGGAGAGCTACCTTCGCAATCCCAGTGTCCCTGAGTTCTTCGACGACACAGTTGCTGAGACCGCCGAAATGCGAGGAAAGATCCTTCAAGTGACTGGAGCAACTGTGCTTCCACCCCAAATGTTAATCGACGCGTTGGCCGACGTATATTTTGACCATGTCTACCCCCATTACCCGATCGTAGACAGGGCAGATATGATCCAACACCATTCCTCGCCGCTTCTGCTGCTGAGCCTATGCCTGGTTGGCGCCTCATACGGCCACCGTCGAGGTTCCGTGAGCCAGATCAGCATGGCAAATCAATTTTACTTGAAGGTGAAGACGCTTTTGGATGTTGAGCATGAGAAGGATAACGTCGTTGTCCTGAAAGCTTTATGTCTTCTGACGTGTCGGAGCGTCAAACTACCAACACAAATATGTATGGAGAGTAATTGGCACTGGCAGGGCGTGGCGATTCGGTATGCCGTCCATATGGGCCTCCATAAAGAGGCAACGTATACTGGAAGGGAAGCCAGAGGCAGTTGCAGAAGAATGTGGTGGCATTTATTCGTAAGGGATAAGCTGTTATTGACGTGAAGATGGTATGCTGACCGAAGCAGAACCAGGACAAAATGACAGCTTTCTGCTATGGACGACTGACGTCAATCAATCTCCGGGCAACAGACGTCCAACTCCCTTCCCGAGACGACTTTCCCGCAACATTCTTGGACAGCGACGTCTTCATAGAGAAGACCAAGCTCTGCATCATCCTTGGTCGACTTGGGAATGCTCAACTGGACCCAACGTCTGTCCAAGATGATAAAACAGATATTGAGGAGGCTCTGAGCAATTGGTTTCACGCCCTCCCGGAAGACCTCCGTGTGCCCGATGGAGAAAGACGACATACATACCGCCGTATTGTCTCGGAGCTGCAGATACTTTATCTTGCTTGTGTGGTAATCTACCACCAGTCCGTGGTGAAGTCGGAGCCTGATCCCATCCGATCAAGATCAAGCTTGGAAGAGTGTGTTCGCGCATCGTCGCAGATCACAAGACTTCTGGAAGAGATCTACTACAGGAATGATGTTTCTTACATCGCACCTATCAACAACTGGTATTGTTTACTTGCCGGAGTGATTCAGATTCGTGCTCGCGCAACATTGCCGGACAAGAGAGCTTTACGGACCGAAGAGCTCGGAATTCTCAAGATCGTCCTACAAGAGATGATTCCTACAGTCCCGAGCTCGAACTTGATACTTAAGAATTTGGAACGCCTGGAACAAGCATCTAGAGTAGCCCCAGAGCGCTCGACTGACGTTCCGAAGCATACGTCAACCACTGAGCACGAAGAAGAGTCCGTCATGCAAGATGATCACAACCCCCAACACTCACTGTTGTGTTCTGACAGTGGTGTGAGTCCAAATTTCCTTGGTGCCGATAACTACACTGGGCTGAACGCCAGTGTCCTCACCCCGGTTGACAACTGGGCTTTTGATGGCAATTTCGACTTCAATTTTGTAGACATTCAAGCAGATGTATTCATGCAGGAGATATGAAGCCATCTCCAAGCACCGGTCTTCTGAGCGGGTGAGTATTGAGAGATGTGCGAGTTATTAACTTACAACAGCGTTCTCCATTCATCCGAGAACGAAATATGGGACAATCTTATCACATGGATGAGAAGAAAGAGTCTCTATTAGGGATGATCGGCTCTGCTAAGATTGTAATCCGATAGTGGTTGCGGCCTACACAGTGCGGCACTCGGCTGCAGCGGGAATGCTTCTGCCGAGAAGCGAAAGACGAGAAGCAGGTGGAAACACTGGGCACAACTTCGGATACTCGCACCTTCACTCACTCGGCCCGTGAATGTATGGTATGCGAAGATGAGCTTGTTGCCTCTTGTCACGTTGAACCCATCCGGCATATATTGCAGAGGCATAGTGCTGCTGCTGTTGTGCGCAACAAGGACGCCTCACCGCCACGCTTGACCTGTAAGCAAACCAAGCAAGATGGGCTCCTACGAACCGAATGAGACCTTGTACAAGGGAACAGTAGAAGGAGGGTTCTCCACATTGGAGCAACCCATGGGGACCCCTCGGCATGTCAAGATCATCACGATCGGTGCAGGCGTGAGCGGGCTTAACATGATCAGGAGGTTGCGCAAGAGCCTGGTCAACTATGAACATACAGTCTACGAAAAGAATGCCGACGTCGCCGGGACTTGGTTCGAAAACACCTACCCTGGATGTCAGTGCGACCATCCTTCTCATAATTATCAATTTTCATGGAGACCAAATCCAGCTTGGTCACAGTTCTCGGCGACGTCTGCCGAAATCAAAGCATATCTTTGCGACCTCTGCGATGCCGAAGCCATGCGACCAGAAATCAAGTTGATGCACAAAGTACAACACGCGGAGTGGAACGAGGCAGATGGAGAGTGGAAGCTGGAAATTCAGAATCTTCAAACAGGGGAGGTTGGTTTAGACCACTGCCATTTTCTCCTGAATGCGACTGGTGTTTTGAAGTAAAGAAAAACCTTGGTTTCTGAAATGAAAGTTGCAAGACTGACGTGAAGTAGCAATTGGAAATGGCCCGATATTCCAGGATTGCACGAATTTACCGGAGTTCTTGTTCACAGCGCCGCTTGGTTGAAGGATTTCGACCACCACGGCAAGAGAGTGGCAGTCATCGGCAATGGCTCCTCTGGAGTACAGATCGTGCCCGCGCTGCAACCAGGTAGTGCAAGCTCATCTTGAGGATGGCTAGGACTGACCGAGTCTGCAGATGTTGATCACTTGGTCCATTTCGTTCGATCTCCTACTTGGATACTGCCGCCACAAGAGGAGCGAGTGCTCAAAAAGAGTTCAGTCGAGCTATTAAGGGGTACGATCATGGACGGCAACAAGTTTACGCCCCAACAGATCCAACGGTTCAGGGATGATCCTGTTTACTACAAATCCTTTATCAAAGCTACAGAGGAACAGGTCAATGCACTGTTCAAAGTGGTTAGTTCTCCGACATGAATTCCGGGGGAAGACTTGCATAATTGACACTTCGAATTAGTTGGTTGACAACGAAGGCTCGGCTCGAATATTGACCGAAACCCTCACGGAGAACATGTCCGCAGCCCTGAAACATGATCAGACTCTAATGAAAGCAATAATTCCAACCTTTACTGCCGGTTGTCGGAGGCTGACACCCGGACCGGGCTATTTGGAGTCCTTGACTGAGCCTAACGTCCGCGTCGTGACAGACAAGATCGTTCGAGTCCATCCCGAGGGTATTGAGCTTGTTGGCGGAGAAGTTATCAAAGTCGACGCGATTGTCTGTGCGACTGGTTTTGACGTCTCCTTTCGCCCCCGGTTTCCCATCATTGGTCGACGAGGTAATCTACAAGATATATGGGCAAAGGAGCTACCTGTAGCGTACATGTCTTGCGCAGTTGCGCACATGCCGAACTATTTCTGTATGAAGCTCTCCAGATTTGGCTCTCAGGGAATATTACTAACTTCGTGTGCTTAGTGTTCATGGGTCCCAATTCCCCAGCCGGCCACGGGAGCATCATGACTATCGCAGAGCAGGTTGCCCGCTATGTAACCATTGTGTTGAAAAAATGGCAGACAGAACATATCATTTCCCTGGCGCCAAAGGCAGAGATTGTCCACGAGTTCGCACAATATTCCCATGTCCTTCTTCGACGTACAGTATGGGCTGGCGCTTGCCGGTCGTGGTACAAGAACGGGACGGTGGATGGTCCGATCACAGCCTTGCATGCCGGGAGTCGAATCCACTGGTTTCACATGATGGAGAACTTCAAGGGAGAAGACTATGACTACGTTTACGACTCTTCGAACCGTTTTCGATATCTAGGCAATGGTTTCTCAGTCCGGGAGACAGGATCCAATCCTACTTGGTATCTAGACAATCCAGATCTAGTGGGCGAGGAGAAAGCTCCTTATTATTGAATGGTGGCGAGATTTGGAAAGTAGCCTGAAACAGTCTGAGACTCAACATTATGCTAGATATAGAGCAATATACATATTCGAGTCCCGTGACACAACAGCTTCGCTCAGTCGTTTCTCCTGACATTGAAATTAAACTTGAGAACTTAGCGGGCATCCGTTTGCGGCATCGGCAGCCATTCGGCGCAGCAAGTACCGCTCTTTCGGTAGACGCTACTGGCCCCAAGTGTAGTAGACATTCCACGGACCGAGGATGATTTAAGACATGTGAACTCGACCCCCGACTTCGATATTCCTGGATTACAGTGTAGAAATTGATGTCTGGTCATTGAGTGAGAATACATCTCGTGCATCGCAAGAAGGAAATACACGGTGGACGAAATCAGCGATTGAAGGTCAAACATGCCCGTCGCAATTGTTACAGGCGCCTCCAGAGGACTTGGCAGAGCAATCGCCCTGAGGCTCGCCGATGATGGCTTGGATGTCGCTGTCTGTCTCCACTGGGTTTACTAGAAAAAGACATGTTCTGACTTGATCTCTGCAGGTCAACGACATCCCGCCGCAATCTGGCGACCTTGACAAGGTGAAAGTAGAGATTGAGCAAAAGGGTATGTCGGTGGAGCGCACTCTGTTTTAACCCTCCAGAAAGGCTAAAAGGTCGACGACGGTGTCAACAGGCCGACGGTCAGTCTGTGTAATCGCGGACGTCACGAATGAAGAAGAAGTCAAGAATATGGTTGCGACGACGGTGGAGACACTCGGCGAGCTCACTGTCAGTCTTGACCAACTTGGACGTTGAAACAAGTCAATGCTGACTATTTTCTCAGGTCCTTGTCGCAAATGCCGGTATCGTCATCCCAAAGCCGTTGATCGAGACCGAATTGTCAGAGTTCAGGAAGGTCGTGGATGTATGGTGTAGCTTCGACATTGCAGCTGGTATTCCTGGTTGACAACGTGCAGATTAACATCACGGGCGTATTTCTCTGCTACCGAGAAGCAGGTTGGTTCAGTGGCCTTCGCAACGCACAGGCATGTTTTCTAATCAAAACCGTACAGCGAAGCAAATGATTGCACAAGGGAAAGGAGGTCGTATTATAGGGGCTTCGTCTCTGGCAGGCTTTCGACCGGTACGTGTCCCAGTGTCTAGGCAAACGTCGTCGAGTTGCTCAGCTTCATCATTCTCAGTCTCCAGGAGCCATATCATATCCAACAAGCAAATGGGCAGTGCGTGGTTTGACTCAAAGTTCCGCGATGGAGCTGGCCCCCTATGATATTAATGTACGTATATAGCCTTGTTCGCAAAGTACTTCCGCTAACGGCTACAGGTCAATGGTAAATGTCTGGACAAACTGCCAGAATGGTAACAGCTAATTGCACTACAGCGTATTGTCCCGGACCGGTAGATACACCTGTATGTCTTTGACCCAGGTTCAGGAACTCTCACTAACTCTATCACCAAAGATGTGGGAAGTCCTAGACGAAGCCATCGGTAAAAAGCAAGGCCTGGCCAAAGGAGTTGCCTTTGAAAAATCCGTCGAAGCACGCTCAGCGTTCAAAAGAGCATCGGTACGTCCTCAGATCCCACTGGACCTTGACACAGGCACCGAACACTGATCATGGAGCAGACACCCGAGGATGTTGCAGCGTTGGTGAGCTTCCTGGCCGGCCCGGACTCGAGAAATATCACAGGGCAAAGTCTCCTGGTAGATGGCGGTAAGAATTCTAGTGGTCTTTGCTGCACGCCCAGTCTCTGATCGTGGTGTAGGTATTGCCTTTTGAGAAAACAACAATCGGCATTTTGCCGGGTTGACAGGGATGCGAGTTTACAAGCGAGAAGGGCGTCCAACGCGTGTATCAGACGTTGAGCAATGCAAGGAGAAGTTTTTCATGTACGAGAACAGACACAAGCGCATAAGTCTCATAGTACGAAAAAATAAGCAGCAGTGGACAGTCCGAATCAAGCCTGTGTACGAGTATTGGAAAGGTCTTTTGTCCACGTTTCGTGGCCGAGAAATGAATGTCAGCCCGGACTTCACATAAAATTGACCTCGCGACCCGGTGCCATAATAAGCATATGGAGCATCTAGATTCACTTACGTTGTTGCTCGGGGATATCTCCAGATTGAGACGAAACATGCGAGGTATAGATTGGGCGGGTCTGGATCTGACACTGGCCAGCTGGACTGCATGTCTATGATTCATTACAATTCAAGAACTCCCTCCATGCATTGACTCTAGCTATCAAGGCTCATACAACACTTTGACCATGGGTGTTGTCAGTGAGAGAAGTCATTGACTAGGAAATTGACGTGAAGTCTTAAGTCTATAAAGTGAACAACACCACGTTATGTTTTGTAGAGAGGTGAGATCAAGATACTATCTAGAAGAAAATAAACCATCTATACAAGCAGCATCGTGCAAACTATCCCATAGCGGGCATAGCGTCAACACCCTGCTTCCCAGCCTTCTTGACACTCTTCCACTCGAAACAGCACGCCGCAAGGAACGCCATACCTGATACAGCGACCGTCACGCGATAGCAGTCCCTCAAGGCATAGACATACGCCTCGATAGCCTGATGAATATGGTCTTCGAGCCCCATGCTACTAAGGGTACTGCGGATAGCGGTGGCGCCAGTATTGAGGAGTAGCTGAGGTTCTAGGTCCGGCGCATATTTGGCAACGCCGGTGACTAGACCGTTGGAGAAGACAGCTTGGCCAACGGCGATGAAGAGTGCGCCACCTAGAGATTGACAGAACATGAGGAGTACGGTTCCCTGTGGGATGTCGGCCATGGGAAGAACGGTCTGAACGGCCACCAGGGGTAGATTGAAGCCGAATCCGGCTCCCAAACCTGCGGCGATTTGATATCCGAACCACTCGCGGAAGGGTGAGTCGACAGTCCAGGTGGTGATGAGGCCGTATCCAATAGTCATGAGTGCGGCCGCGCCGATTAGTAGAGGTGTGTAATAGCCGATGATGGTGACAGCGATGCCGCCAATGATTGAGGTCAAGACTGTGGACAACATGAGTGGTAGAGTTTGTATGCCGGATTCAGTTGGCGAGGAGCCCTTTACACTTTGAAGGTATAGAGGCAGGTAGTACATCAAGATGAAAATGCCAGCGCCGAAAAAGAATACAAAGGCACAAGCCGCCATCAGAGTGCGCTGTCGCAAAAGGCGAGGTGGGATGGTGGCCGCTTCACCGAGACGCCACTGTGAGACGCCAAAGAGAACGAGTAGTATGCCTGCCCCGACAAAGAGACCGATGATACGAGAGCTGTTCCATGGGTACGTTGAGCCGCCCCATTGTACTGCAAGTAGCAGACAGATGATGGCTGGGATAAGAATCGAGGCTCCAATGAGATCGAGTTCAAGAATGCGCTTGAGAATTGGTTTTTCTGCCAACTTTGGGTCTTGTGGGATGTTCAGAACGAACACAACAACGACGATGGAGAATGCCCCAATGGGAAGACTGAATTTTGAGAACGTCCCCGGTCAGTACAGTGGATCAGAGCGCAGGGTTATGCTCGCGACAGGAGAGTGACTTGTATGTCATGGCCCAACCCGACGTGGTATGGCTTGGGGTGGAAGGAGACGAGGAAACTTACTTAATATAAAAGCACCACCGCCACGACAAATGATCTGTGAATACGCCTCCCAAGAGAGGACCAGCAACAGAAGCTAGGCCCCACATGGCACCAGTCAATCCGAAGACCATAGGCCGACGGATCAGCGGGAGAGAATGTGCGATGATGACCAAAGCACCTGAGAAGATTCCACCAACACCAATGCCTGCAATGGCTCTACCAATAATCAGAGCAGTGCTCGAAGGTGCAACAGCACAGATCAATGAGCCTAGCTCAAAGACGAGAATAGCGCCAAGGAAAACCCATTTAATCTGGAAGACTTTGTAGATACGACCGAAACTTGGCTGTAGCGCGGTACTCGTGAGAAAATAGGCACTTCCATACCAACCAATGTCGGCAATGCTGTTGAAGCGATCGGTAATCTTCGGAATGGCTGTCGCGATAATGGTTTGATCGAGGGCGACAAGAAATACAGCCAGGCATAAAGCTGCGATAAGCGAGTAGAGTTTGATACCGTGTGGATAATTGGATTCATCCTCAGCTTCAGGGTTGTCTTCAACATCAATCTCGGGCTCCTTCTCATTCTCGAGATTCTTTTCGTCCTGTATGATAGAATGGTCATGGGGTTTGTCAACGGAAAGCGAAGATGCAGATGTAGACACTGGTGTGCGTTCACGAGACGCTTGTTGGGGTCTCGAATCTGTTCTCGTCATTGTTGCGGGTGGCGCTTGTTGTTCTTCTGGAATGCCCATTGTGATTGTGGTGTTTAGGGATGAACAAACAATAGTTTAACAACAAGTCCGGAGCAGAAGCTAGAAAGTTGATGGAAGAAGATGAGCAGCAGGCTAGAGTTTATATATTCGTCATAGATCGCACCATGTTCGTACCCAGTAGCCCGATGTGGCTTGAATACGAAAGGTAGAAAAGGAGCACGAAACATGTCGACCCCAGACAGGGCACAATGGGCAATTTCACTGGTTGGAAATAGCTGTAGATCCGAGCCGCGATTAGGCTGCTCCTGAAATGGGGAGACATTCCTCCTCCGGATATCGCAGGTGTTAAAGCCGGGGGATCTTGAAAGCTTGACAAGCAGTTGCCATTCATGATCAGTGGGCATATTCAGCACTGACTCGGACTTCCACCGTGCCAAGTTTGGATGACTGCGTGCCGGGTTGTTCTTTTGATACAATCTAGTTGATTGATCGAATTTCACTGGCATGCGACGACGCTCAAGCGACGACGTGATTCGGCCACTGGTCGCACGTTGAGAATGATCGCACGAATGATTTACCAATTTAAGCCCCTAGAAGCGAAAGTATCGTCTGAGCTTGACCCACCAGACTCGGGTATCTGGAGGGTTTTGGTGCCGAGCACTGTCTTGGCCAATGTCAAACGAGGCTTGCCCGGGGCGTTGTTCGGCCGCTGCCAATCGGAGCTCCATGGAAGCCCTCGAAAGCGTGCAAAAGTCCGCATCATTACTCAGCGGCTGCTAGATGTTGCTCTTTCTTCTTTCGAATGGTCCCCAGTTCGTAAGAGCCTCCTCTATTGGAAGGCGAGAGGCATCTAGTAAAAGCCTCCGAAGTTTTTGCGTCGCAAGGTTTTGATGAATATATATCCATCAACATGAAAGAAATGTGGTGTTCGAGAGCAAAGAGGGAGTTTGCCTGGAGTGTCAATAGTTGTTACGCAGACAACCTGCAATGTCCACCGCGAGTCTGCCTCAGTCCTCCTCACCACGCCGAATTCGGTATTATTCCACACTTAGAACGACCAGCTGGACTTTCCTGGGACGGTAAATCCGGGGTCCCCATGTTCTTTCTGCCGGTTTGGGCAGACCGTATTGTGCCTCGAACGATGACGTGCTCGAAGTGTTGAATGAGCCATCGGAGATCAAAGCCGAAGATGCATGTCCACACACATCAATGGTGGACCAGCTGACTTCCCTACCACTAGCAGGTGCATATCCGTACGTACCTGAGCTAGGCTTGGTGCCTCAGGAATCAATTTCCTGGCCTCCTTGAATATTGCCTTGTTGAACTTTCGTCTTGAGTCAGTCTGCCAGAATTTCTAATGACCCAACAGAGCAGAGACTTGTGGAATACCTGAGCAGTAAGTACCCTGTGGGCATGCGCCTCCAGAAGAGACCCATCGGCAATGTGCAAAGGCTCTTGGTGTGTAGACACATTTGAAGGAGCTATATCAGAGACAGAGCAGGCAGTTGGAGGGAGGTCATCATGTTTTTGTCACACAAGGAAAGTGCGAAGGATAGCGCGAACGATTCCCCCGGAGGAACCTGAGCTCCGTGCTGACGTGGTTCCGAGGCACGCAAGGCACGAATATTACTGTGCTGCATATTATTATGATGAGATGAACGGTCACGAGAGAAGGATACACTAGGCAGGGTGTAATTCTTTCGTTGATTTCGTTGATTAATAACAAAAGTCGAAGGAGACAGTGATATTGGGTTTTGGGTTTGAATGTGAATGTTCTTCAATATCTCCTCCCCTTGCACTCCCTATTCCGTTAAAATGCATTTCTATTCATAATAATGTTCCATTCTTCAGTCTCGTACGACCTGATCCATTGTTCATTGACTGCAAGCCATCTGACCATGCCAGCGTATGGCGATTTTCTGGTGATTGATTGATGATGTCTTGAGACGACGTTGGAAGTATATTTATTTCTATTCGAGATGAGGCATATCAGTAATTTGTTCCTGCAATGGTCATGGAAGATTGATAGAAAGGACATACTCCGCAAGAAGCGCAGGTGCAGCTAGAGCCGCAGTTGCATGAGGAAGGACCGGAGCACTGGCAAGGACCCATTTTGATTGATGGTTGGTTTGGTTGAAAAGGTGATTTGATTCTGAGTTGACTTGGATGTCTTTTGAGATTGTGTTGCTTGGATGGAGGGAATAAGAGTGTTCTTTGAGATGAAGTCCGGGTCGAAATATATAGCCACAGAACCGAACCAACCCCGCTGCGTGCGTTGTGCGTAGTGGCGGCCAATTGAGGATCCTTTCAGGCACACAACCTATGAACTCTCTGATCACCAAACCCTATCCGTTTGACGCACAAGTTTCTCAACATCAAAGCCAATCGGCAACCGCCCAGAATCTGTCAGACGGAGTACTCCAACTCTTGATTCTTGAAAGGAGCCAAAAAGCGCACAAGTCGCTCATTGTTACCCCGCTGCAACACGGCAACAGACTTCGTACGGGCTCATTTGCTTTTTATTCTCGATCATTCTTTGCGCGGTTCCTTTGTGTCAGATCATTAGTCACGAGCCGATCTCCATCATGGCCTTCCGAAACGAGAAGCCCAAGAGTGGCCTGAAAGAGTGGCATGTTTGACAGGCTTTGGAAGGGTCGTGGCCTGGATCTTTCGCGAATGGGCGGCCGCGATTTACGTCTGGCGTTATTCGTGCTTCGACCTTAACAGTCCCACGTCATCGCGAGAGCCAGCCGCAAATCAAACACTGCGAAAATTGTGCGTGTTTTCCTCGTCACGGTTCACTTGCATCGCAGTGAACAAACCTCAGTGGTCATTAGCTAAAATCCAATGAATCCCTCCATTTACCCGTGGAGATATGTACTGTGTTGGGCACTGAACATCAGAGAAGGTGTACCAGGCGGCCTCTATCCTCGCTGGCTAGCCAACGTCCACTAGCCATGACTGGGTCGACATATGCATGACCAACTAGTTCGTAGATATCTTGTTTGTGGAGTTCAGAGAGCTCAGCTGACTTGCGTAGTATGGCTGGGAGTGTACAACCCTCGAGATGCCAGATGGAATCCCCAACTCTCGCATTTCGATGTGCCCAGCCCAACAGGACGCGAGAGATGTACGGTAGTTGCTGCGAACCGCCGTCACTGATACACATGAGCCGAAGGCCTTCTTGGAGTATGGATGCAACAGATTCCACGATCGCCTGGAACGAGATCCCTCTTCGTCGACTACTTGATTCGCCCGACGAGGAATATTCTTTCCACCCAGCTGATATCCGTGTTTCGTCCAGAAGTCCCGAGGATCTGATTCTTATTGTTGGTTGTTCACCCACGCCAGGGAAGGTCTCGATTTGCAAACCGAAACTAGTGAGGAACTGGCGATGTTCGTCAAGCCATCTCCACACATTTCCATGGCCAAGTTGTTCGTAGTATTCCTCGGGGAGAGCGTAGAGAAGGTTGATAAAGTCTATGCCACTAAGATGGCCGAATGTCTGGTTGTGAGATAACAAAAGCAGCCGGCGGAACGCTTTGGCAATGATATCAGAGGGACTCTTTTCCAACGCAACAGACGCGGTGAAATGATCGTTATCACTGGATCCATTCAAAATGCCACCCACAACCGTGATGTATCCCTCACGAATTCCTTTCAGCGTCAACTTGCTGCCATCAAATTCGAACGAGTCAGGGATATCCTGGTTCATCCGCGCCGAAGCAGCAAATGCTCGCCTCCTCTCCCATCCAAGATTTTCATCTTTCCCACAGATATACGAGACCAGAAACTTGTCAAAGGGATCGGCCTTGAAATGGAAATAATCCGGACACCAAGACGGAAGTCCCTCCTGACCAGCGAGTATGCTCCTCAGGAAGACAATATCCACCGAAGCATACCAATTGATATAGTTCGCCGTCATCTCCAAGCAAAGCTCAGGTTCCGACACGTCGTCCGCATAGTTCGGCTCTTGCACGAAATCCGCCCAGTCGGACGCCAAGCCCAGTAGACCATACACCTTGTCTCTGAGCACGCTGGTCTCTGAAGCGCTCGTTAGTGCCAGAATTTCCATCAACCGCGGCTTCTGCTGCGCTCTGCATACCGCTCGTACGGACAGAACCTGCTGAGCGAGTCGAGACTTGTCATTCGTCATCTCGATTTCTTGATCATGGTCGCGGACGAGAATTTCCAGCGGTCGTAACTCGAACGTATATGAGCCCCACGCTATAGTTGTCCTCCGAGCTGCGGCGATCTCCTGGATAATCCATACCCTGCTCCAGTAAGGTTGTTTGAGAAGCCTCTCGAGCGCCGCGAGCGCTGCCGGGGTGGCTGCGATCGGTTTACCTTTACTCCCCCTGCCTGGAGTCTTGGTGTGCTCGACAAGCTTGTGCAATTCCTCGATTTCATCGTCGGGGCCAATGTCTTGTCCAAGCCAGACGACAACCTCTCGAGCAATCCGATAAATAGCGAACATTCGTGTAACCTCTTTGCTCTTCTCAATCGCATTGCCTTGGTCGATCGAGATTGCGTCGACCCATATCAACGAAATTCCGTTCTGTGACATCCGATGTAATGCGGCTGCGAGATTCGGAGTGACGTGGAACTCTTGCCCGTCCACTTCTGTGACCACCATCTCATCCTTTCGACTTATTCCCCATGAGTACGAGAGCGCGGCATATTGAGGCCTCTGGCTTAACTTGGCGTGAAAAAGCTCAAACCGAAGTTGGTCATCGTCCTTGCTGTTGCTCGAAATGAACCTCAGTAAACGTATCTGGCCTTCCTCTAGTGGGCGGTAATGAAACCTAGTTGGCATCATCTTCTGCCTCTTGAAGCCACACCGCATTGAGTCACGTGATGGACATTTGCCTTGAAATGTCTGTCTCCTTCACCTGTGCCGGGTATACGTATGGTATGAAGGATACCTGACATGAAGAGGATCACTGTACGGTTTGCGTATGTGCCACCGTCATGTAACATCAAGTGCATCAAACCAGGAGGACGAAAATCAAGGTGGTAAGCAAGTAGACTTGTGGCAAACAGCTACTACGCGCTCTCCGCGTCTGATCCGCCGGAGCAGCCTCTGCGTTACTTTAGTGGCGACGCACCTTAGTGTCGTTATGTCGGCGACATGTACAACCTCACTAAGTGGCGTGCTGTACACCCTGTATATGCTCCAATGCTCTGAAGAAGTACGGTAAGAATCTCTTTGGGTCTTCACTCATTGGAAAATGGCCCAGACCTTCCATTTCTTCAAACACCGCTCCCTGGATCTTTGCCGCTGTTTCACGACTCATGTTAGGCGAGCAACTATAATCATACTCCCCTGTGAGCATATACACCGGACACGCCTTGGTATCAATCTGCGACATCCTCTCTCGTCCATCCCACCCTTCGAAGTAGAATTTGAGATCTCCAGGAAAGATCTTGGTTGCCTGGGAAGAGTAGATCCACCAGTTGAGTCTCTTGTAGATCGCTGGGGCTGTCGGCGCGATCATCCCACATACGCGTTCTGGATTGAGGATTGATTCGTCACCGGTCAAGGAGTAGATTTTCTGCGCTCGTTGTTCTGGAATGTAGTCGCATGCTTCGCAAGGAATGACACCGCTTACACCCAGCTGCTCTGCGCGGAGGGCAACCGCAAGGCAGACTTGGCCACCCATAGAAGCCCCTGACACGATAACATGGTGAAGACCGAGCCGAGAGATCATCTGACCAATGGCTGAGATGTAGAATTCCTCGGAGTTGCTATATGCGGCGGGGAATTGGTGCTCGCCGGGAAATGAACGTCCGTGACCCGGAAGGTCGAAAGCATACATTTTACACTTTTGCTGGAGTGTTTTGTTCATCATAAGGGAATGGTACTGTCTTGAGTCAGCCCCGGCGGTGTGGAGGAACAGTATATGTTGACTGCCAGAGCCAGATGTCTCGTAGAAGACCTTGCATTTGCCCAACTCCGCTAACTTGATCCAGAGGTAATGCCCAATGATGGAGTCATCGTCCAGTTCATCATCTTCAACGAATGACCTGTTCACGGTCGCTTCTGATGGAGGGTGAAGCGCATCGCGCACTAGATCAATGGCCAGTCTCCACACTCTGGCAAAGGAGGTGAACGCAGTCTGGTCACCCGCCACAGAGACTCCGGCTTCAGTACCAAGGAGCCGTAACATACCCCAGTATGATTGGAATGGCCGCTGAGGGACTGCTTCAAATACTTTCTCCCAATGAGCGGATTGCGCAAAAAGGGTAAATTCAGTCTTCCGTCCTGAGTCGGGCTGAGCAAAGACCTGAATCTGGTTTTTTGAGATTTCAAATCCCAGAGCAGATGTGTGGTCTTTGCAGGCCAGTTGAAAGGACGTGTGTTGGGCATGGGCGATTGCGGCCTGAAACTCAACATTGCCATGGATGGCAGCTTCGATCGATCGAATGGCCGTCTCGTCCATACGACTGAATACATTGTGTATTGCTTCCATTTTCATGATCACTCGGACTTACGTTTGATGCTGCGAGTATCACTTCATCTGCATGCATGATTGACCAACCTGGTGCTCAGCGTATTCAACCCCCCGCATTTCCGAGGCTTTGTGTTGATTGTGGAGAATGACTAGGACCCCTCACACGAAGAAATTACGTCTGGAGCAGAGCAACCTCGGAAGTACGTTCACTTGGTATGCCGCGAGTAGAGCGCAATGTTAGTCTAACCATAGGAGAAGCCTTGTGCCAGCCACCACCCTCCACAGAGACGTGGAAATGAGAGAATACTGGAAGGCCTCGAACCAGCTACAAGGAAACGAGGTGTGGTGAGAGAGGAGAATTCGTGTTCATACCCTAACCTACCATCAAAGAACGCTGAGAGTTTGTGAGGGTCGAAAATACAACCGTCGTGTCAGAGACACAATCCTGTCGTTCCGAGTAAGACCAAGGTCTGGCCCGGAGGGAATTCAAGAGTACTCCATAGTCACGTAACGTAGGTCTGATGGAAATCCAGTCGCGACTGCAAGCCATCGTTGAGAGTCCATTTTTGTGTGATCTCACCTAGAACAAGAGGCTGCATCAGAGGTCCAATGACCATATTGATCGTAGCAGTTGGTGGACGTGGCCCGTGGCCTTTGCGAACCACGAGAGTCTAACAACAGGTAGGAATTGTTTGATCGTTGGGATGGAACAACCCCTGCGATAGGAACCGACAAGGATCACGGATGTTGGTAGCGAGATGAGGTACCCGTTACAAGCAACCGCGTGTTCTCATTCTCTCAGGGCATGGCAACTTTAATTCGTAGTCGTACGACGGATAGTAAAACGTATCACAGAAACATACCTTTCAGCAACTGTGAATATTCGCAGGTTGTGTGATACGTTATCCACCATGTCTCTCGAGTTTGGAGTGCGGATCGTGAAGGATATGAGCGATTGTGCTGGATGTTTCAAACCGAGATAGTAGACGGAGCTGTTAGAGTCGAAGCACAAATGACGCCGGATATGAAGGGCGGCCACCCATTGACGAGATGACTAGTGGATTTGTATTGCTGCAAGGTTCTTGGTCGTATCTACAGGAGGTACTCGGTACGAAATATCATTGAAACAAGTAAACATGTTTCCGGAAGACCCTCAAACCGTACATGAGGCTCGTTCGCACAAGATTCTTCGGTCCAAATGATTCTAGAGAGACGAGCTGGGAAGACTGTGATTTGCTGCACAACTGACCCTTGGCAAAGCGTTAGGAGGGGATGCTGAAAGTTCTCTTGCCAGTGAAGGGAGAAAAGTGAATGGAGATTGATTGACTTTGACCAAATGAACAAATTTCCCAAGTGGGGGGGCACGTTGAGCTCATTTGCCCGTTAGGGAGTGAGAAGGTTGTCTTCATCTCCGATGATGGGCTAGACAGAGGCTTGCCTTGAGACCTATGGGGAACTAGTGGAGGTGCCTGGAAGTGCCTAGGAAAGCTTTGGCGGTGCGAGATGCAGGAACAGGCACGCTTAAACGACGCCCAGAGCCACTAGTAGAGTCTCTAAGAGCCAAGCTTATTAGCACCCACAAGCACCACCATAGATTGGCTGGATATGCTATCCTGCGCTGGCCCTGTCTCGTGGCAGTCATTAAGTTGACAACTAGTGACAGGGCAGATAACCCTAGCTAAGTACACTTTGCCTTTCCCGACTCTAGCTTACCATCTTCCGCGAGGGCGATGCCCCTGCCACCTCCCAACTCCCCCCCATCAGAATTGTATTCGTACTCCGTCGCAGTCAGTGTCAGCCGTTTGTCACCTGCCTGCGCTGTTCACAATTCTTTTCGCCTTCACCCTCGCTGCACCTCACTCACCACACAAACCTCACCTCACCACCGACCCCATCCCTCCTGTCCTTTGACATGTCGCGTGCTTCAATTTACATCTATATACACAACATCTAATACCGGACGGCGCTTTTGATCATCACCGCCTCTCCTCATTAATCGAAATCCTAATCAATATCCGTACACTTTGCTTTGCAGGGAGGCTGGAAAAGAAACAGAGCTCGACTCACCTCATATCGCAAGCCATACATGCGACCAGTTTCGCCATTCCATTCCTTAAAAACTCCTCTCACTATCGAGGACGCAACAGATTCCCATCCACTATGCAATACTTGAGTTGAGGTAGGTCATCCACTTTTCTTCCCGTCTCCATGTCTCACATCTCGCATGCGACTGACACTCTCTCCTTCATCGCTTTCAGGCTCATATTTTTCTGCCTTTCTCTGCTGGACGTGAAGCCAGCATCCACTCATTCACCATACCTACAACACATTCGCTTCAACGCGCGCTGCTTGATCAACGCAGCCCTGCCTCGGCGCCTCTCGTTCGCCTGACAAATAAACGACCACCACACATTGATTGCTCGAAGCATCACAGCAATTGCGACCGGCTTCGCCTCCAAGAATCGAAATACCTAATCATTAAGCCTGCATTCTCGATTGTGCAGCTTGCATCATCTCTCCGATCAACAGTACACGTGCTGGGTTACTGACCAGAGACCATGGACAGACCAGCAAAGAGAATGAAAATCTCAAACCCAGATATCCGGAACCCTCGAGATACGGGCTCGAGAATGACTGAGGGTCTATTTACCTCTGAACAAGGCATCCGTGGTGGAGATCAGGACCACGGAGCCCGTCCCACACGTACCATTAGCCTCAGCGAGTTCCAAAAACGAAACAAATACAGCAACTACCAACACCTACGGCCCATTCTTCCGCGAAGAAATGCTGGCATCTATTTACTTCCTCGTGCCCCTGATGCCACCGTCACCGCAAGTGTGATTGAAGTCAACGTGAATGATGGAACATCCACCTCCAAAGTCACAGAGATTCCTGCTGCAACCACCGGCACTGTTGTAGAACTCTCGGATGTCGGTCAAGTAACTGTTCCCGGAGTTGCCAGTGCTACCGATGCAACGGGTACAACTACTACCTCATCTGGCACAATCACGACCTCATCTATAACACCTCCGCCAAGCTCCTCAACCACATCTACAAGCTTGAGTCCTGCCGGCTCAGTGCTCTCAGACGCACTCAATAGCACCACTACTCTCTCTGATACGTCTTCCCAGGAGCGAACAGTTACTATAACAGCAACGTCTACCTTTGAAGTGTCGTTGATCAATGGCACCGTGATCGTAACCGGGACTTCAAAGGACACTACAATCACAAAAACAGGTACGAATATTGTCACGGCCTCTCGAAGTTCAAGTTCTGCCGAATATACCTTCAATCAACTGGACCCTGGAGAAATCACAACAACTGGCTACCTATCCAGTTACAGCGTTGAATCGACAGATTATTTCACAGGTGCTGTTAACACAGGCATAGCTGGCTCCCCAACAGCCTCATCGCCTTCATCAGCTACCTCTGATTCGGACTCTGGTAGTAGCGGTCCAGGCCTAACTCCGAAGCAGCAGACAGTCGTTGGTGGTGTTGTTGGAGGCGTAGCTGGAGTTGCTCTAGCCCTAGTCGTTGTACTGTTTGTTCTCAGATGGTACCGTCGTCATCTCAAGGCTCGAGGAGAGCTTCCAGAACAAATTGCAGCCCGCGATCTTGCTGGTGGTACTGGCCCTTCTTACCCGATGTCTCAACGCTCATCCACCGTCCCGTTTGCTGCCGCTGTAGCCCACAACATACGACGTCTGAGACCTCACAGCAATCAAACCGTGGACACCGCTATCACCGCTACGACTGATCTGAGTGCTCGGGATTCGGAGCGTGGATTCCAGAGGATTGCTGGTCGGAAAATCGCGCCTGTCCTGGGGAGTGGTGGTGATCCCTACGGGGGCAATTATGGTGCCTTTGAGAAAGAAATCGGTGCAAGCCATGAGACTCCTCCAGGTGACAAAGGTAGAGGTCTTTCGGGCGCATCATTCTACCGAGACAGTGATGGATTTCACGGTGGAAATGGAACGCACTCGCCGACATTCCCACCATCTCCAACAATTGCAACGAGTGAAGCTAGAACAGGCGATGTTGCTACCACCGTTGGTTCTGCATCCAGCACTCGAGATTTTGCCAGACCTACCTTTCCAACCGCACTTAAAAGTGGCAGTCAGCTATCATTGACTTCCCCGAGCAAGCCCGATGGATTTGCCGTCATGCGACCCAGCCCCGCCAGAACCCCTGTCACCTTGAGTCCAGCTGCCAGTTCAATTCGTCTACCAATTCAGCAGGCCCCGACACTAGACGAGAACGCGCCTCCATTGCCAATGAATGTTCCTATCCTTGGGATGCATAGAGATGCTGTCGGCAGAAGTCTTGCTAGTCAAGATGGGAGTCGTGTAAGTAAGAGCAGTGGGAGAAGTGCTGGAAGATTTGTGGAGAACATGTAATGTTTTGGAAATCGAGACTGGACCCTTGCATGTTTGTCACTATTATCTAGCGAGGTGTTCTGGATATTGACCATGGGTTGTTCCGAGTTATATATGTGTGGGACAATCTTGTTTCTACACAGCGTCTGATATGATACCCATTGCTTTGCTTTTTTCCAATATCCAAGTTCATACAGAACTAATGGCCTGCCTGAGAGATTCCGGAAAGGATCTCAAAATCTAAGCCACTATCAAATGATGAATTTTAATGTCAACGAGATATCTTCTGACTTCCTACAACCAAAGCGATTAGTCAATAGTTTCTCGTCATCGACCCTGAGCTCGAGTTCTTCGGCTGAAACAGAGGTTCTCGTAGGCTATAGCCCGTTGATCAATCTGGCCTCGGCCATGACTTCGTTCGCTAAAATCTGCGCCTTGATACAGGTTCAGTCTCAGCGTCTTCCTGCTCTCGGTCGGTGGTTGGCCAGCAGACCACTGAACAGGTCTCAATAGCCGTAGCCGGGTGCCCCTTAGCGCCCGAGATCTGATCGGCTTAAATCGCACTCCGTTGGCTTTGGAGCCAATGACACAGCTACATCTGGGCCGCAAAAGGCAGTGCTGCCTTACATTAGATCGGGGCGCAAGGCATCACAATGTGTTTATTAGTGGTTCTTATAAAGACCCAGGGCAATCCAATCGTGAATCCTGGAACTTGTCGTCTTCATACTTGATACCTTGCCCCAGGTCTACGACCTCGAGAATAACAAACCTGTTCCCGGCCCCGCATCCAGCGAGGCGTACAAAGCTGAGTTTCACAGGCTGGGTCTTGGCTGGTAGCATCGGCGCAGTGCAATGGTTGAATCGTGGATAAAATACTCAGTCTCGCGGCCGTACCCGTACAAATGGGTCACTCCTGTGGTAGTGGTGGGAGGTATCTTGCTCACGGGCCTTTTCTCACTGTTGAACTATGTGTCCTCGGGTTTCTATCTAAGGTATGTCAAGGCCATTAAAGGAATTCATTGCTCATTTGTGGATGCAGCCTGCAATCCGTTAGAGATCCAAACACAACGATAGCCGATGCTTCTTGGATGAATCATTGGCCATCGTACTTCACAGGTCAAATGAAGCCGGTTTGCCAGCCAAAGGAGTTCCAGATCAACAATGGCAAGAATATGCAGAGAAACCCTCCAGCAAGAACGAAACTAATTAGTTGCAGTATTTTACACGAATCAAAGTGCACTAATGTATACCGTGATGAGTGTATGGACTTTATCGGACGGCAACACCCCAATACTACAACCAGGTTTAACATATATGAACAACCCACTTGAGGACTGCCAGATCCATAATATACATATTGATTTCGAAGCCGAAGATCGCACAGCAACCCAGTATGGCTGGAACTCTTGGGGCCAGACTTTACGCGCGTTTATGACTTGCTCGATTGAAGCCGAGGCGGGCGTTACATACTTTAATCTTACCACGACTTATGACTTCGTGCCTTCCACCGCCCAATTTCCTACAGGCAACTACGACACGCAAGTGGGAACCTTTAGCTTCTCAACGCGCAATGCCACGTCCAAAGCGAGCCTTTGGTGGGGCGAATCTCTCCTGTAGGTCGTATTGTCAAAGGATTTTGGTTCAGACCTAACATTGATTCCAGTGCGCAATACTGGGCCTATGCTTCCACCCTAATGCAGGACATCCGACAGAATACTGGCAACAACCTTAGGAAAGGCACTATCCGTAAGCTTTTAGTTTTCGGTTGTGTTGGTATCATGCTTACTCTCCCGTTGTAGATTTTACGCAACAAAGCGGGCAAAAAGACATTACAAGACTCGACTTTTGGGATGTGGATTCACGCTTCATCACCAACACCGATATCCAAAACCAGGATTCTACATGGGACCGAAGTGGCGTGGCTACCTACCCTTTAGGAGGAAGCGTATCAGATCTTGCTGCTGGCAAGGATTCCAGCACACTTGACCTAGACGCGATATGGATCCCATCAGATAGCCTGGCCAAATCATTCTATTCCACCATCTTAGTTGACCTGGGCCAGATCACCGCAACACCGAATGTTCTCACTGACGAGAACGCCTTGCAATTCTTCACTCAAAATTTCACGACCATGCAAAAAGGTACCGCGAATGCTCAGCCAGGTCCGGCTCATGACAGCTATCACGCGTTGAAAGCGCAGACCGGACCACTACAGATCTCGCCATCTATCATCTCGTCCAAGTACCTGTGCCAGATACCAAAACGAAAGTCTCCAGGCACGCTATTCGTGTCCATTCTTGTCGCGGATTTAGTACTGATACAGGCTGCGTGGAAGTTGTTCAGCCTATTCACTAGCTCCTGGCTCACTAACAAATACCCTGAAGGTAAGTTACAACTCCTGCTTGTCGACTTTGATAAGAACAAGCTCTAATGTGATTAGCGGACTACTGTATTGGATGTGACCAGGGGCCCGTTGTCCTCGAGACGGCTTTGAAAGGGATGCCGGAGAAGCACAGCTTAATCACACAACAAGATCTTCGATACTGCCCATAAAGAGCGAGGGAATGATCTACGAGACTATGGCTCCTATTTAGTTGCTAGTCTAGCGACCAGCGTGGAAGCGGAACTTCTTCCTACGCTGTTTTGACGAGGATCAACCCATTGATCATATTCGTCTAGTACCATACCATCATGTACTTCCAATAGCATCACATCATCATTCCAGTTTTCAATCGCCGCTTCAATGTTATGCGAGTCCCACGGCCCATAAACCTTGCTTTGCGCCTGCCCGTTGTAATGCGGACTCTGCGAAAGTTTTATTCGTTCTTGTGTCTCGTGTCTGATCATAGATCTCCAACAGCCATAGCCAGTCTTAAGAAGCTCTGTGCTATACACCTCCCATAAGCTCGGCAATAGCTCGACATCATATGCACAATACTGTAGAATATCCGGTCTCAGAGGACATTCATTGAAGACTTCATAGCGGCCACCGCTTTTAGGATCGTAGAGTCGACCGATAGCCTCTTTCGTCTCTCGCCAGGCTCTTTTGGAATCATCAGACACGGAACTATCAGTTTGGATGCATTTAGCTAAGCCAGCCACACGGTTTCTAGAGCCTTTTCGTGTTGCGAGTTCGAGCAGTTGGAGGTCGACAACTCCATTGATGGAGATTTGATAATGGCTATAAAGAGCATCTGAGTCGTTCCGGACGTCGAAAAATACTTTCGGTATGTGTTGGCTCTCAAGCACCGTCTTGAGTGACCACTCTTTGTTAGTGCTTAACGTTGAGAAGGCGCTACCACATAACAAGTTGACGTCAACGATGTAGGTCTTTGAATGAGGGGCAACATGAAGCGATACGAGGGATATTGAGCCAAGGCGGCCGAGTCGAATGCCTTCAAGGTCAAAGTATAGAGAGGGAGGCTCGACAGGAAGTTCAAGGATGGAATCAAGGAGATGAATCAGCGCAGGTTGGGAGTCGACAACTGTCGGAGCAGTATCTTGCTTGGTCGCGGTCATTTTTTGAGTGAATTTATAAAGCCTCTTGCATTGAGAATATCTGTGAAAAGCTTTTTAGCTGTAGATGTCGGCCAATTCACCAGCCTGCTGTGTAACAAGGGCCGTAGCCAGTCGCAGCATGCCACAAATCTCTACCAAGCCCAAACCCCACTTTCTTGTCCGTTGCATGCCAAACTGTACAACACTGGAAAGCACTTCAAACCTCGAAGGCCGCAATTGTTGGAGGGGGTAATACTTTTTCCACCGTTGTGGACATCCGTGGCTGGAAAAGGTCGAACCATGATGACGGCGAACACCACCTAGAAGCTAACTGAGGATCACCATAGCGATGGTCTACCTTTTGGACCGCACAGCGTTTCGTATGACTGCAGTGGGTTGGTCTCGCGGCGGGTACGTACCTACAAATGATTTGGACCATTGCCCTGATTAGCTAGATGCAAAGTTACTCAATGCTAAGCCTGTCGCTGAGCATGAGTGCTGCACATCGTTGAAATGATGAATTCTTGTCGAATACATTCATGACCTAGCTAGGCCAATTGCAGGCGAGGATGTCTGAGGTCATTAGTGAGTTGTCCCAGGGACTACAGATTGTCATGCGACTCGGAATCTCCGCTGCGACGAACAGCAAATTGTCATCTTTACGGAGCTTGCCTGCTGAATATGGATCCACAAACCTTAACATTGACGTAAAGTTGGGTTTCGATATCGCTTCGACCGAGCATCGTAGATGCTGATAGAATCTTCGGTGAAAGGTAAAGTAAGCCGAGGTTGTGTCGCGTACAGAACAAAAAGTCTGATGACGGGTACACTGAAGGGCCACCCTGGTCTTGAGAGAATCAGACAGGATGGATCTGTTCCCAGGGGCTCAGCTGCTGCCTTTCTCGACTCTTGATATTATCTGCTTGACAAGTCTCGAGACCTCTGAGTTACCCATTATCAGGTGAATCTCACGGTGATGACGAGATAAACTCGACAGGTGCTAGACCTGGATAAACGTGACTGATTAGCGATTTGGTATCTTATCCAGCATATGTGTGATGGAAGGATCTGACACAAGGAATTCGCCTACAGCTATACTTCCCTGCTCTAAAGCCCAGTAATTTCCGGAATGCTTGTGCGGCAGAAGCTGGCTTTTGATGAGGACAAGCTCTGATGTGAATAGCGGACAGTATTGGATGTGATAATGGGCTTGTTGCCATTGAGACGGCATTGGGAGGGATATCTAAGAACCAAATTTTATTTACACAACAGGATGGTTCAGATCGAATGGAAGGTATAGGAGCATGGCGCTTTGTCATTTGTACAGCCTTCAGCCTTGAGCAGTATCGCATTACAAGAGCCGCAGGAGAACGATCCAATGTCTCCTTTAACGTAATGACGTGCTCCTCCTGAATCATGTCGTACCAAGGACGATCCCATTTTGTCCAGCCAGTAAACGTAGGACCGGATAAGCGAAGGTTACGACTGCGTGATTGATGATATTTATCAATGGTCAAGCAATAGCCCATTGTTTCGCAGCAGCAACGACATAAAAGACCGCGAGAGATGGACTGATCGGCATAGTCGATTACATCATACTACGCTTACTCCAACATCCGATCCCTCGGTTCTCTGCGATACTATATCACCCACGTGGGCTCACCGGTGAGCACTACTCCCTTCCATAACCAATCCCACCTTCTCATCAATACATGTGATGAGTGTTCCCGTTCTTCGGTCGAAACTAAGTGCTACCTACATGATTATCTCGCGCCCTAGACATCCTGCCAACAACTGCCAACAACTGCGAGCAGAATCGCATAAATACTTGCCATGTACCAAGAATTAAACTCCCAACATCTAAGTGTTGAAAGAGCAGGCAGGAACCAACCGAAAGCAGTTGACTTATTCATTCAGTCAAGATGAAGACTCACTCAAGACAGTTGGCGGGCAGTTTGATGTCAGCATGCATCCTACTAGCTTCTCCACTGCTGGCAACCAACATCACGGTGTACCAGTCTGGTGTGGCATTGATACCAAGTCCCCTTCCCGCGCCAGGTCCAGCGGCCAACTTCGAAGAGATTATCACTCAATTCAACCGCCTAGGAAGAACGACAGTGTGGAACTCGATCAAGAACATCACGTTCGAAGGCGACACGGGTGAGCCCGAAGGAATGGTCAACATCGGCGAGGACAGATACATCCTGGGCCGGGGCGACTGGACCGAGAAGACGGTCTCGTACGGCAAGAACGTCATCATCAACGGCACCGACCGGTCCCCTGGCGCTGGATACGCGCACATTCTTGTCTACGACGGCACGGGCAAACGTATCGCCGATGCGACACTCACAGCTCCAGGCGACATCGAGTACCACATCGGCGGGATCGACTACGACGGCGAGGTCCTCTGGGCCACGCTCGCGCAGTACCGGCCCAACACGACCGCGACCATAGTGTCCATCGACCCCGTCACCCTGCAACACACCGCCCTCATCCACTACGCGGACCACCTCGGCGGCATCGTCCACGACAAGAAAGCCCGGCGACTGATGACCCTAAACTGGGGCGCGCGCAACGCCTCGATCTGGAACCTCAACAACACATCCACATCCACATCGGCCATCGCCCCATTCCCGCAATTCTCCATCCCCGAAAAAGTCGTCCGCAACCCGAGCTTCTACGTCGACTACCAGGACTGCAAGTTCCTCGGCCGCTCGAAGATCTACGCCTATCGCGCCGTGGCCATGTGTTCGGGTGTCGCGACGCTGGCGGTCAATGTAACGATCGGGGGCCTGGCGCTCGTCGATGTCGAGACTCTCGTCCCGCTGTCCGAGGTGCCCCTCATGCTGAAGAGTGCGTTGGGCACGCCCATCACGCAGAATCCGTTTGATGTTGCGCTGGTGGATGGCTCGATCCGGTTTTATTTTCTGCCCGATCAGCATAATTCGACACTGTATGTCTATGAGCCAGAGGTTAATAGCCCGTATCAGTATTAATGCTGCGTGGTTGAGGCGGAATAAGGAGAGCTGCAGGGATCGGATTTGGATCCCGAGGCAGAGTATACGGGTGACGTTTTATATGTCTCTTTCTTCATATGATGCTAAATTAACGTTTTATGATAAAGAGGAAATGGTCGACGTAATAGCCAGAATGATCGACAGCAGCAACACCAGGGTCAGACTGATTTATATATGTGGTGGTCAGATATGCTCATATGGAACGCAATCTCACAAAGGGTAGATAGACTTATGACAGGAATGCTTCTTGGACTTTTCCAAGATCATCGTAGCCTCGTGAAACTCTTACAGTGTCACAGCCCACAGCTGACTTGAATAATCAGTAGTATTCCTTGTGACCTGTCCACACTGCTAGGCACGCAGCTTGGACGGCGATATTTCAGCCTCGATTTTCAGGTCCTCTCACGGGCAGGGCATCTGATTAGCAAGGCTGAAAGCTCGGGGCCAATCTCATTATCCCCCACTCATCCAGTGCCCGGTTCTAGGGGTTTCTGTGCATATACTACATGACTGGATGAGAGCATCCCGTTAGTTATATCACAGGTCTGCTTCGACGAAAGAGAAAGAAGACTCACAAATTATGCTGAACCTGCAGCCTCGGATTTCGCAGGTCATTCTTCAACTTGGCGAGCAGCACCATGACTTCTTCCTGAGTATAACCCCTCAACGACGTTAAGACACGCATGGAGATATTCTCCATGCCATCGAGGAACTGGACGAGGTCGAAGGCACCAATCTCCTTGAGTTTTTTGTACTTCGGCCACGTCCCTGTCGGGATCGCGAAGAGTTGGTGTTTGATCTTGGTGAATCCTGCATCACGGACCCAGCCTTCGAGCTTCGGTCCCGGCTCAGGCTCCATTCCGATGCTTTTCACGCCTTCGATTATCTCCGTGCACCATTGATCGAGAGGTGAGCCCGGTTTGAAGACCCCACTGTTCGTGTACCATCGCATTTCGAAATCTTGGAATTCGACCCAGCCGCCGGGCTTGGTGTGCCTGTGATGTAGCTTGTCAGGTTACGAGTGTGGGATGAGAAGAACAAGAGAGTCTTCAATATCCTGGGTTCAGAGACTTACTGAAATGCTTGCTCCACGAGGCGTGGCCAATTTTTGACTGAGCCTGCCATATATCGACAATGGATATAGTCGAAGGGGTGACTGTACGCCCAATCCTGCTCAATGTCGTCGACTTCGAATGAAACGTTCGGTGGGACACTTCAAGTTTAGTATGCTGTCCATGTAACTTCGGAAATCTTCCTCGACACTCACAATTTTGGCTGGACTGGACTCAGATCATTTCCAATAATCTACACCTTGAGTGATTAGTGTAGACCTCTCTGTCTATTCGTCGGGGTCCATCGACGAGGCTTAGAATGCACAAACCTCAGCTGAAGGGAAAATATCTCCCATTTCGATCGGCCAGATACCAGTGCCCGTTCCTATGTCTAGAATCCGTTGAGGCGCCTTACCAATCGGTGCCAGGTACAATTCTCCGTCGATGACTAGTGTACAGATGTGATGGTAGAGGTCTAGACGATCGAGTTCGGACTTGATATCGTGTCAGCAAGAAGTCAGTCATATTGAAAAATCTGCGGTACTAACCTCATCATTGGGGAGAAAATATGCTTCGGACCATCCGAGGTCAGCTTGTGCGTTGGCTCATGAGCGACAAACTCACATTCTCCATGTGCATGGTACCGACGTCCATTCTCATACTTGTAATTAAGTACGCTAGATTTTAAGGAAGTTGTATAACTTGCACTGTCAATTCACAATAAGCAAAGCTCCGACTTAGGAGGATTTGCCATTTGCATACGCGTCGCTGCCCAATGCCGAGTCCGCATCAGAAGAGTCGTGTGCCTATCTCATGATCAGTAAACTCGTCTTCGCACCACTTGAGATCTCGAATAATCGGAAGTCGCTCATACTGTATCGGCCTCAATATGCCCAATTCCATGCTGCGTGGCTGGTGTTTCATCAACAGGGGCTGACATTTCGAAGAAGTAGCGAAGGCGAAAGGTGCGCAACAAACGTCGAGAATGACAGCGGTTAGTACAAAGAAATCCAATATGCTGTCAGGTAGTATGTATATGTATCACGGAGGTCGTTCTTCCCACCGGTAATTGCCAGTGCCAGTGCCAGCTTCAAGCCATCGCCATTGCATGCAGGCGAGGGCAAGCAAGTTTCTCCAACATCATCCGATGCCAACGAACACGCGCGCGCAGAGGGTGCATATTGCGAGAATTCGAAAGACATATTTTCCGAGTCTCCAATAACGTTTGATAGGCTGGCCGTGGACTTCCCAGCCCAACATCCCATACCACAGGCGCGCTTAACACAATCCTTTGACAAGGTTGTGGTCGAAAGTAAGGACGACCAACGAATCCTTCGCCAACATGACAATGCAGGTCACCTAGCTGCAGGGTGCCTGAGTCAAGGCCGAAGGGAGTGGAAACCCTACTCCATCAGCGTGCGTGAGCTCGACCAGGGGAGGAGCCAATGTCGTTGGAGTGATGGAGAAGAGGAAGAAAGAAATCCACGATTCTTCGAATGCTCATTCGTGACGTGGTCAGAGACTTCAAAGGTCTTTTGCAGCCAAGGCTTCGGCAAACAGATACGGAAGCGTCGCCCCGTTCCCGCGAAAGCATGCCACCCTCCTCAACTGTGACATCTGGAGCAAATCATCAGTAGGCTATCATGGACATGTGCCTGTATCTGTACAAGTGAGCGGAGTGCGGAAATGCATGTCTGTGGAAAGTTGCAGTGAGTATGATGGCTGGCCCAGTTGGCGTTCCTTGCGCGCAATTCCCTTAAATGTTACCTGCTAGCATGTTCTCCGACCTCGTCTCGATCTCATGATGCCGGGTACATTTCTGCACACAGCAGCGGATTTTTTTCCAGCTAGGATGGATATCAGTCTGCATGCGACTTCTCTGGGGTTGTTGCTTTCGGTGGCTGTCGCGGTGATTCTTGTTGGTGTCATTCACAGACTTTTCTTCCACCCCCTTGCACGGTTCCCTGGGCCTAGGCTGGGGGCCGTGACTACTTGGTATGAGGGCTATTATGATGTCGTTCATCAAGGCAGGTATATATGGCAGGTCGAGAAGATGCACGAGAAATACGGTAAGATCTAGACTCTTTCATTTTCGTCGAAATTATTGCCTCAGGTGTCGGACAAGCGAAGTCCAGGCATGAACATCCTGACTCCAAATGGATCATCTGGAAGCCAGATTACTGATGGGAGGATCGAAACATCCTAGGCCCTGTCGTCCGCATCGGTCCAAATGAACTTCATATCCTAGATTCATCATTCTACAACACCTTGTACAACATGTCAAATCGATTCGATAAATACGACTACTTTTACTCCATGCTAGGGAACCCCGAAGCAACGTTTCCCACTATTTCAGCCAATTTGCACAGAATCAGACGACACTCCTTAGCACCATTCTTCAGCGTCAAAGCTGTACAGAATTTCCACAACAAACTCCAAGGTCTGTCCGAACGATTAGCAGAACGCATGATTGAATGTAAAGCAACCGGAAAGCCTGTACCGCTCTTCTTGGCATATCGATGCCTGACCGCTGATGTTATCAGTGAATTCATTTTTGGGCGTCAGTTAGGAATCATCAATCGCGAGGACTTTGGAAGAGCGTTTTACGAATCTTGGAGAAGTCTCTGGGACTTGAGCCCTGTGATCCGACAATTTCCCTGGATGATGAAGGTGCTGCTCGGTTTGCCCAGGTGGGTCACAGCCGCACTGAGTCCGAAGGCTCTTGAAGTCATTGATATGCAAGCCCAGATTGACCAGTGGACTCGGGAGGCAATCAATGATAGCTCGGAGGGGAAAGATGCCGGCAAAAGTGGTAGCATATTGGCTGCGTTAGTGACAACTGATGATCTTCCTTCAGATGAGAAGACATTTAAGCGTCTCAGTATCGAAGCCAATAGTCTTCTGGCCGCCGGATTTGAGACCACCGGTGCAGTGCTGACACACATGACATATTGCGTTCTAACAGATCCTCCACGGCGTGCAAAGCTCGTCAAAGAACTGCGCCAGGCCATACCTGACCCGACCGCGATCCCAACTTGGCAGGCATTGGAGAAGTTGCCCTATCTTACAGCCGTGATCAAGGAAACCTTAAGGTAAGCGAAAGCGATCATTTTCTTGCGTGTTGTTGACCTCGGCCTTTGCTTACATTGCCGCAACAACAGGCATTCTGTAGGCGCATACTCACGCCTCCCACGAGTCATTCCTAAACCAATGATCTACGCCAACCATCTCATTCCAGCAGGAACAGCAGTTGGCATGTCGGCATTATTCATCGAGCGTAGGGAAGGGATCTTCTCCGACGCAGATGACTTCATCCCTGAACGGTGGCTGGATCCGGCGGAAGCCATGAGGCTTGAACCCTACATCTTGACCTTCGGGAAAGGGAGTCGGGACTGCATAGGTCGACAGCTTGCCTTCGCAGAGCTGTACAGCGTAACAGCAACGATCTTCCGGCGGTTTGGAGAGGAGATAGAATTGTTCGAAACCACTCAGGATGATATCGAAGCGTATCATGACTATTTCGGTGGAATGGTGAAATGGGGTAATGGCAGGAAGGGGCTGCAAGTGGCCTTTAGCAAGAAGAGCTAAGCCGAATCGCCTTCCTTCTTGGCTTGCCCCTGAGGAGTGTGAAAATAACAATGCTTGATACAGAACGCTTGAAAGGCCTTCAGGCTGCGCGCGTATCAAGCACGAGTGTTTTGAGCCATTACCCAACCGGATCTCAGCTCTCGCCTACCACTTCAGGTCGCTGATGCTGCTACTATGCCGGTACTGGTGGCGATAGCGACTTCTTTATCTCTCTTAGCCTTGGTCCGCTGCAGAAGCTCTATAATAGGACGCATGTCCAATGCCGGAGGGCGATGAGCCATCATCGCCAGATGGAGAGCATCATTGCCATCCATATCCAAAATACCGATTCTAGCATTTCCTTCAAGCAGTGTTTGAACAACGTTCTGCTGTCCGCAGCGGATAGCTTCGTGTAAAGGCGTGTGACCTTCTTCGTCAATTGCATTGACATTTGCCTAATGGTCGAGGAGTACTTGTAGTGCTGGCACACTGTCTGAGTTTATTTGAAACAATGGTGTGCAACCCCTGTTATCAGATGCCTCAATGTCTGCCTTCCGATCAAGGAGCAGCCGGATGATGGCAACTTCACTGAAAAGTGCTGCTATGTGCAAGGCTGTTCTCCCATCGAAAGTCCTTGCGTCAACGTCCGCTTTAGAGTCAAGTAGCATGTTGACAATGTCATCGTGTCCACTTTTACCGCAATCTGTAGGGTTGCTTCGCGGTATTTGTTGCTGCGGTTAACATCGGCGCCTTTCTCGAGCAAAAAGTGTACTACATCATGGTGTTCCTGAGACGCACATATGAGCGCTGTAAAGCCGTCTTCATCCTCGAAGTCGACCGGCACTCTAAATCCGTATAGGTTGCTGATGAGACACATGAGCCTTGCTTTCGCAGCAGCCATGAAAACTCGAATCCCAAGTTCAGTGCTCGCTAGTATAGCCATATCTATACCCTGCTCCAGTGTCTGTTCGATCATACTCAAGTTCCGTAATTTCAAAGCAGATATCAGGATTTGCTCCTTAGTGGGCATCTTCGCGCCACGACTCCTGAGGATTGAGGCAATATTATGCATTCCGAGTCCGAGAGCCCTTCCCAGAGGGGTAAAGCCTTCTATGTCTTCCAGGTTTGGATCCGCACCAGCACACAAGGACTTTCAGGATCTGACCACTCAAGGCAACCAGCTCCGAAACGCTAGAAGCGGCGCTCACTCCATCCATGCTGAAGGGTCAAAAGTTTCGGTTGTTTAAGAAGAAATAAGAGCAAAGGCGATCGCAGATAATCAACTCATATCAGCTATTCATGATGACCTTCCACGTCGATGTAAGAGCTTGACCATGAGTTCAAAAGGTTGAGATGTGAGGCTGAGCAAGGACTTGCACCTGCGGCAAAGCCCCTCAGGCTAAACAGGAGTCTAACGCGTCAAGAATGGTTCGTTGGTAAGCGCATCGCTGCTTCCAACCATGCCATCTTTAGGTTTCAACACCTCCTCGTGGGATTTAATAAATATATTGATAAGAATAGTGGGATAAAACAAGCTCGAGCTTCAAGTTGAGAAGGCTATCTGCCTTGAGTTCAATTACGGTGGGGCATGTGCGCACAATGCGATAGTTCGCTTCAGCCTCGTGAGTGCTTCTTCACTACAAGGCAGACAGATTTCATGGAGGGAGGCATGGAAAGATGACTCACACTGGCCACTCAGCCCCTTCTTGATCATATAATATAATTTATACTTGTAGAGAACACCCACAGCAACAAAGTCTACCAACCTTGATCTCAACCACCCGACCTAGCATCAATCCATCAACATGACTGAGCCAACACCAACACCCCCCTGCCCACCATTCAACTACACAAAATATGAAGTCGACGACTACGACATCCCCTACGAAACACATCTCACAAGCCAACCCCCTGGCAGCGTGCAATATAAGCACGTCGCAAATGGATCCTACGTCATCCAACCGACCTCAGCCCTCCCACCACCATACGGACCATCACCATCACCACCACTGGTAACAACAACAACCTCAACCACAGATCCCACCACGCCCAAAATCCTACTAATCCAGCGCGCCGCACACGACTCATGGCCGAATCGGTGGGAAATCCCCGGCGGGGCATGTGACCCGGGCGAGGCGAGCATGCTGGACAGCGTGGCGCGCGAACTCTGGGAGGAAGCGGGACTGACGGCGACGCGTGTCGGGCCGCTCGTGGGCGGGACGAAGCATTTATTCACGACGCGCACGGGGAACTTGGTCTGCCGCTTTAGTTTTTTGGTTGATGTGCTGAAGAAGACGCCAGAGGCTGCGTTGGAGGTCACGCTTGATCCAAATGAGCATCAGGCTTTCGTGTGGGCGACGGAGGAGGAGGTCAGAGTCGGGAGGGTTGGGGATGTGGAGTTGGTGTTTACGAATCAGGCGACGAGGGAAGGTGTGATGGAGGCTTTCCGGGTGTGGAACGAGTTGCGTCAAGGAACCCCCACGGTTTGATCTGCCGGGGATTCGATTCATTGAATGGTTCTCAATCCCAAGGCTGTGGTAGACCGTCAGTAACACGTGAACAGGCTAGGGTACAACTCAAAGAAGAGTTAGACCATACGAAAAGATCGTTCTTTGAATTATTATGGTAATTTCATTTTGGGTATCTCGTGCTTGATATCAAGCCATTTATTTGTACGCGTCACGTCCAGGACGATTCTATCCGTTGCCATTTGTACAAGCCATTCGCGGATCCCTATGCCATAAATCATGTCCCATTGGGCATGTAACTCCATATCTCATCCAATTTCGCTGCGTAGCGTTGCGTTTACCATGTACCCATGTCCATACCCGTGGTGTTCGGGTCCGTAAATTGTTGTATCATCTCCATATAAGGAGGTCCGAAATGAGTAATAAACCCAACCCCGGTTTGTGATTAAAAATCGTAATTAAGAAAGTATATCGTAAGAATTGAAATTTTGTGGAATCATCTGCTGCCACCCGAGTGTCGAGCGACGGTCGAATAGTCGTACCGATCACTGGCGTGGTGAACAAGCATTTCTCGGCTTCCCGGTCGTTGGAGTCTATCAATGCCGAGATGCTCCTTACCATCACGACCGATGTAGACACCGAAGGCATATTTGGTGCCTCGGGTTCGGCCCTGAGCTCGACTACGACGCCCAAATCTTGACTTCTCATTCGCTGGGCTGTCGCCTGTGAGACCATCGGAGACCGATGACCCAGCAAGTCTAAGAACCAGATCAGACCTAGTCCGAACATTCTGCACCATACCGTCGTCAAGAAGTGGGCTTGCATAAAGCCAACTCATGAGACCAGCAATAGTGTTGACATTATGTGGCAGATATCGCTTTCTCGTTGGCCAGACCACCAGGAAAGACAGTGCATATATTGTCACAAAGACACATAGAGCAATGTAACCAGGCATACTCGCAACCATTCTGACTCTGTCCTCAGACTCAAAGAATCGTGCAGTGAAGACTCCGCCTGCAAGGGCGGGAATAAACATCGAGAGCAGACCGATGAATGTGATGTATGCGAGTTTGTAATCGCCGTTGACCACGGCACGTACCACAACACCCACAGACGTCTGTGCAGTGTATGACAGCAGGAGCGAATATCGTGCCTCGGCACCAGTTGGCCGCGATAGGTTGGAGAATGGTTGTACTGATCGATAGTAGAAGTCGATAGGCTGCCATGCCAGGAAAAGTATCATCCCAAGAAGTGATGGGATAAAACTGTACAGAAAGTTTGCAGGGGAAAAGCCCGCATTATTGGTCAACGATTGCAATTGAGGATTGAAGCCATCCTCAACAGCACGATTGACGAAACTCACAGTGAGGAAAGCTATTGTGAGGAGGATGGCCGCAATGATCCATGCAAGAACAGCGGAGTCGCGGAGAAACCAAGGAACCCATCTGTATCGAACAAATGGTGAGTGGACATTTCGAGCGAAGGCGGACCCATACGACAATCGTTGTGCTTCGATGTCTGTAGTGTCCTCTGGATGGGGAAGTCCGTCTGTTGGTTTTTCCTTCTTCTGGGACGGAGGAAACGATAGTCTTTTAATGGGGGCATATTCTTCACCCACACCATGGAAGACATCAGATCTCTCAGAAGTGGTCCAAAACCCAAGACGCAATACTTTGGGTGGCATTGATGCGTCTGGTTGTGGAGAAACCTCGGCTTGCTCAAAATCTGATACGACATTTGAGCGTCGAAAGAGGCACAACAAATCAGCTATGGAACAAGGATCCCACAACAGCGAGGAATTGCTGCTTCGGAATCGAATGACACAGTACGATACACCTGCACCGAGCAGGATGTACAACGCAACCAGGGTCCAGCCGACACCTCGAACAACTGTCCATCGAAATCGACTCGGGCCATCATTGGTGATCCATTGTGTCTGGAATAGACAGCTCAACAGTGGGACGGTGGAGCCCATTAGCCAGAACACAACAAACACGATCCCAAGTAATCTCTCGCCAACTCGAAAGAAGGTCAAGTCGGGAAGCACAAAGTTTGAGGGTAGGATTCGCATTCCGTGCAGTACAGCATTGTTGCGATGACCAGGGGCCATGCAAAAATAAGGTAGAGCTCGGTAGACAGCGGCCTCAATGACGAACAGCCACATGACGAGGAGAAGACCGAGAATCTGGGGCAGGTATTTGAAAATAAAGTATCGTGGGGAGGCATTTCCATCATAGTCGTACAGTCCATGGTTTCCATGAACAAAGATGAGGTTGAATATCAATGCGGCAATCATTAATAGGCATAGGAACAAGTAGAGGGCGAGGAATGGAAGGCGGAGGGGTAATGGTATAAAACCAAGTTGTGATCGCAAGTCTTTTGAGAGATCCACAGGTATCATGACTTCCTGCGCCACTGGTTTTCTCTGGATTGGTGTTTGGGTGGAAGGTTTTGGAGCTGGTTGTTGTGGCGGTGGTGTTGGTGGTGGAGGCGATGGTGAAGGGCCCAACGTCTCTGCAGAGTCTTGATGTCTTTCCGGCGGAGATGGAATGGCCGAATAGTTGAGGGGAGTAGCAGTACTGTGCCTGCCATGACCTGTAACATCCTCGTCTCTTGTCAATTGCTCAATGGCAAATCTGATGTAAGGTGTGTCGTCAACACCGGGGGTCGGAGGGCTCAGCTCATCGAAATTGGTGAGCATTCGAACTGTTTTTCCTCCGGTATTGCTCTGTCTGATCTGCAGAGGGGCCGGGTGGGTTGCGCCCGGTCTCGTAGGTAAAGTCATCTCTGATTCAAGGGCAGTCTGTTGTACAACGGGAGTTGAGATTCGGGAAGGAGGGGTTTCATAGCTTGCTTTGCTATCGTCGGAGACTTGACTGACAGCGTCGGAAGCATAGTCAGAGAAGTATTCGTTGGAGGCAGAGTCGGACTTGAATGATTCTGAACGAAGGTATTGAGGAGTTTCCCGCTTGACAGATTGAATCTGAGCATCTGCTACCACGTTCATTACTCTTGAAAGTACAACGACCAAACAAAGGCAAAGGCTAAAAGATGCACGTTGACGAAAGTGGGAAGAGACATGGAGGGATGGCCAAAGCAGAGTTCGGAGAATAGTATAGTAGATATGGAAAAGGTGGTGTGGGTGGTGAGGCTGGGATGAGGTGGTGGTTGGGAATTCAAAAGAGCCAATGATGGTTCCCAGCCACTCGCTTACAGCTAGGATCAACCAGAGTGAAACACATCATGAGAGCATGGGTTGAAATGGAGGCTTTTGGTGAGTTGTACAAGTTGATCTTGCATGGCCATATGGTCAGCACAACTTACCTGTGATGTTTTTAAGTGAGGCCGTGCGTGAAGGGTCAATGTGTTTACGGGGAAGAAAGTTGGTGCTTTGGCCGGGGGCTGGTCCCTGCAATGCCAAGCCGGCTGAAGACTCAGCCTTGTCATACAAACCAGTACTAGCTCAGCCTTGTCATTATCATTGCTTGGCGGGTTTTAGGATCGAGATAGAAGCCAGCGATGTCTCATGAGCTGAGGTATTAGATGTGCAGTATGCGTTCTCTGACGACCCATGCGATACAAATGGAGGCCTCTTAGGTGAAAGAACTTCATCTTTTGTCTCAACAGCCACATGATATTAGACATCCGACCTTCACTGCAACATGCAGGTCCTGTCGTCACTGCCAACCCAAGATGCAAGCAATGGAAGTTGAGATGCACTTGCAACTTCACTGAATCACCGATCATGCAGTCACCATAAAATAGCTTCCGAATATCAGCATCTTCACTCCTCTCTCCGTTGACTCATTCGCGTCACCTTCTCCTTTCACACCACATCCCTATGGACTCTATCTTCCGTCATCCCACTTCCAGCAATTCTTTTTCGTTATTCTTTCTTTCTTTATTACCTTTCCTTGAAGCCTCTTCAATCCTCTCTTCTATCAAATTTAGTCTCTTGCAAAGAAATCATGATCTTTCCAGGCCCTTTTCTGGTGTTCTTGGGACTATCCACTGTCGTCTTTTCCGCGCCAACTGAGATCGGTTCACAAATCAAGAGTGGACTCAGCCAGCCATGCACCAATGACATCTGTCGCGACAAAAATTGCCCAGTTGGTGATGCTTGGTTCTCACAAAGCGCACTTGCCTGCATCTGTCCCTCTATGGCAGAGAAAGCGGTACGCGTAAATGAGACTAGTAACACACTTGGAAGACGACTAACGCGATGTCAATCAGATCGAGATAGATCATCCTTGTACATCTAACAGCACGAACATCTGCTCCCAGAAAGCATGTCCCTACCGACCATCATACTTCAATCATACCACATTCTCGTGTGCCTGCAAGGAGTCTCCCGATGTTCTGGTACGTGGAATAAATTAATTTCCTGACTTGCGCATCACTGACACATAGCCTGTGATAGATCACCCATCCCTGCATCAATACAGTCTGTGGCGAGAACCAGGAAGTCATCTTTTCGATTCTCGACGATGCATGCCTTTGCAGTACGGTGGGCGACTGGCTGGACAACCTGTCACCAGTTGATTCGGAAGCCACCAAGCAGGATCATCAGCCATGGTTGCCACAACACCATCGACGGGATCAAGCTCTAGAGTCATCTCAAGTCAACCTGGACGAACCTGATCCACCCTACCTCCCTCCACCCAAACCAGATATCACCCCAGATTTGATCGAAGAATCTTTGAGATTGCAACCACAAAACACCGCAACCGTCAGCTCGGTCATCCCTTATTTCAAGGACGGTATCATCAAGGTGTTCATTGGACTCAACGGACCAGTTCCGCAGACAATCGTGGTCAATGCGAGTGTCAACTTAGTCTGTGGTACAATTGGCCTCATTGATCCACAACCAAACGTCGCTTTGGTCCCTCTGGTCGTCTACGAAGGGCAAGGTGCGAATGAAACGGTGGTTGCGGACTGTCAGATCATTGCGGTCAATCTCTACAGCCCTGAAGTCATCACATTTTGGGTACAAAAAAACGCAGATGGTACCCTGTACTCCGTTGTGAGCAGCAACAAAGTCCTCGACATTGACAAGATGAACCCCAGTTTGAGTACTTCTTTGGTACTCGTGACCTTGCCTCATGTTCAAAAGCGCAGTGTGTCTGTCATGACCAATCTAGTGGCACCTGAGAAGCGCCAGATATTCGCTACAGACTGTGGCCTGGCATGTCCTTTCTACCACATGCATATGATTCAAGGCAACGACGGATATTGCGGTTGCATGTTCAATAGTGCTGATGAAGAAGTTGAGCTCTATGCCCGAGAGTTGATTGAGCCCAATGTCCACACTGCTGTTATGTCTGCCGAGGCTTGTGCAGCCATGAAGTGCTTTACTGCGGGAAACAAACCGGCAGCTTACAATCAATTCACGGGAAAATGTTGGTGTTATACTCAACCATTGATTGAGACCAACCCAAGTGCTTGGAGTGGATGAACTATTGTGACAAATAGTTGAGTGAAAATGGACCAACGCCGAAGGCCGAAGACATGGTGTATGATTGATGAAGCACGAAATTGATGGACCACAGAACAACCAAGAAGAAATCGACCAGAGGAGGACTGGTTGGATTACAGGTCTTCAACATAATCGCCATTGTGAATGAGTTTCGCTACTCCCGGTTTGTGAGTCGATGAATACTGGTATTGTTGGTTATCATGGAGATCGAGTTTACCGACTCTCCCTCTCTTCACAATGCCTACATAATGTCCAGAATTGACGAGTCCTTTCAAGGGGACCGATGAACCGCGATAGGCGGTATGTTCGTTGCCTACACATGGGAAGATACCATCAAGTATGAAAACTGAGAAAATGAAAGATGATGACGAAGAAATGTGACAGATAATGACCCAACCACATCGGAGTAGGTATCTTAGGTGCATCACCAACACTAATCGCGATTTAAATGTCCCTTCCCGACCCCAACTGCGACTACACATACTCCTATGTACGCCATCGCTTTGCCGACGAAATGACCACTCACTCCCAACCAAGCACATGCCATGCCACGCCACGCCACGCCGACTTATCCAATTACCAATTCGCCACAAATCCCGCCATTAAAATAAGTAGGTACTGATACTTTTTTCTCCTCCTTCGGTCCTCAATCTTCAACTTGTTGCAGTGGTAACTTTACAGTACAGGGGTGAATGAAGGGTAGGTGAGGTACTGGGTAACGTAAGGGCAAGTTTGAGTTTGGCGACCGCGACAGTGACCGCCCATTATTTGTACATTCTGCGTGATCGTCGTCCTCCTCCCCTTTCATCCAGCATCCATCATCTTATCCCCGTGTCTCTTCTTTTCTTTCCTTTTTGTTCCATATCATTTCCTTGGTTCTTCCGAACCGGCGTGCTGCTCTCACTACCGCCGACCAGTCCCAGTGCCCGCAACGGTCGACGGCGGCATGCCATCACCGGGTAGGCCGCCCCCACTGATATAGCTGGTGCGGCTGGGCGAGGTGCGGGCCGTCTGCTCCTCGATGATATCGCTCAGGCGCGTCGGGTGCCGGTGCGACGTCTGCATCTGGATGTTCTCCCAGCCTGGCGGGGCGTTGTATGCGTCGCTCCCGCTTTGCTGCGACGGCGAGCTGTACTCGTCTGACGATGTGTTGACCGGGCGGCCCTGTGGGATGGAGGGGAGGCCGCCGCTTCCTGTGGCGGGGGGAAGGCGGGAGGAGGATTGGGTTTGCGACATTGAGGTCGCGGGGAGAGTGATGGGTGGTTGTTGGGGTTGTCGGTATTGGGCGGCGTACATCCTTTCGCGCTCGATGTCGGCGGCGTGGTCGTCGTCGTCATCCTCTTCCTCTTCCTCTTCGGTCATTTCGCCTTCTTCGCCGGAGAGGGCTGAGGATCCCGGTGGGCCACGGATGGGTTGGTGATATGGGATGCGTCGGCCTTGGTCGTCTCGCGTGTAGGATCCATCTGGGTTGATGTGGTATTCTTCCTCGGAAAAGGCAGATGCCGTTGATGGGATGTACGAGCGGTCAGTGCCTCCTGTGCCTGAGCGGATTGGGGCGGGAAGCGGTGGGTGAGATGTTGCTGCGACGGCGCGGGCGGCGGCAATGGCGGCTGCTGAGGTGGGCGGTTGTAAGGGGGATTCTTGGTGTCTCGATGGGCTCGAGTAGAATTGGGTGTCTGGTTCGTGACGGAGTTGTTGGGGGTTCTGGGGTTCTCGACGCCGCGAACCCTCGGTGTAGGGATCTGTCACGGTGGGAGAAGTGCCGGTCTCGCCCTGGTAGGTGAATTGGCGGCTTTCTTCACCCGGAGAATCAAGGGATGTGGTGGTCGTTTGGCTGCGAGACGGAGGTCGGTGAGGCAGCGGCAGCTGTTGCGGGTAACCTGCACCGGAACCAGAGAGCGTTCCGGGTCCAGCACCAGCGGTGGGGCCATCTCGAGTTTGCGGTCGTTTGGCGGTGCTGACCTGTCGACTGGGCAGACCTTGCATTGGGACGACTTGGACTCCACCAATCAAGGTGGGCTCACCACTTCGCAGAGCAATGGTTCGTTCGCGTTCTTCTTGTTCTCGTCGGCCCAGTTCTTCCCATGCTCGACGTGCCTCTTCTTTGCTAATTTGTAGCTCTCGGCGCATCTCCTTGACGAGTTCTTCCGCACGGGTCCTATCAGCACGGGCCGCCTCGATGGATGTGGAACTGTGAGTCCGTGCTTCGCGCTCGGCAGTGAGTTGACGTTCTAGTTCCTCCTGTCGGAGTTGCGCTTGTTCTTGCTCGTGCCGCGTCTCGAAGAACCACCGTTGGAACTTACGCTCAGACGACGCTCGAAGACGCTGCAATTCAACCACGGCATGGAACAGATTTGCGCCCGCGGCAGATAGATCGTCAATTTGTCGGGCCATCTGGCGATCGATGGGCTTCGAAGCCAGTTCGTCCTCATTGTTCTCCAATTTACGAAGGAAAGAAGAAACAATCCCTTCCCAGTGCGAGGAAAGGTCTTCCCACCGGTCAAAAGCATTGGGAAATCGATTTCGACTTTGCCCCGCTGATGCTTGTGGAGCCGAAGGCGCAGGTTGACTCGTCGCCTGAGTGGGTAGTGCTGTTGCTGCTGGGGGGGCTCTCATCTGGGGTGGATTTTGAGTTTGGCTAGGTTGGTCTGGCCTTCCAACGGAGGGTTGCCCGGTGGTAGGTGCAGGTACGTTGAGTTGCTCATAGGCTTCGGTGCGGTTTCGCTGGGTGTTTGCAGAGATGACACGAGTAGGGCCGGTTGATTCTCTGGGTCTGGTAGGAGGATTAGTTGAATCTGGAGGCTGATTTTCTGGCCTCCTGGATGAAGATCCCGGTGGTACTGAAGGCCCAGCTATGTTGTAGGATTGGGTAGAAGGATTTGGGGGGTTTCGAGGTGGTCTTCTTGTGGAATCATCCCCAACGCCAACAACTCTTTCCTGCAGTCTCCTTCTTTCGTCCTCCTCTTGTGTTTGTCGTTGTCTAGCAGCCTCTTCTGCGCGGCGTGCTTCCCTCGCCCTCCGGTCTCGCATGACATCTGTAGGGGTCCGGTAGCGAGGTGGTCCGGTTGGGATAGGACCGGATTCACCCGCCGCTGTAGTTCGAACAGCACCTCCATTCTGTGGACGAGCAGATCTAGCAGCAGGGCCGGGCGGATTGCCCCTCAGCAAATCTGACATCCGAGCCTGTTCTTCGAGCAGATCGGCGGTCAGTGGCTTGGGGGTGGTACCACCACCTGCACGGATAGCTTCCAAGGCAAAGACGATGGCGTCGTGGGTATTCCTGGTAATACGAGTAGTTCTCTTTGGCCAGAAGGTTTGGGAACGGACAAGTCGTTGGAAGTCTTGTGGAGTAGTAGAGCCCGACTCATCAAAGCGAAGGGGAGGAGTGTCAGACTGGGCACGAGGGCTCTTTCGGCGAAAGGAAGCCCTGAGCGCAGGCGTGGAAGTCCGACTTCTTACAGTGACCACGGGCCTAGTGTCTCTCTCTTGTAACCGGGGGGTTCGTCGTAGGGATCGAACACCACTGGAAAGGGAGGATTGTGGCCGTGTCTGTGAGGTGGGAGTGAGGGTCTGTTGTTGGCGTTGTGGTAATGGCTCGTCGTCGGGATCGTAATACTCGTAAAGGTCGTCAAAACGAGGATGTGGCTTGGAAGACACTTCGTCTGCAGGAGGCGATGGTCTGGGAGGCAGATGGGACAATTTGCAAGGAGCGCTCGAGGCGCCAGAGTAGTGTGTAGTAGTTGTGAGGTATTGGTGTGTAGGCCAACAAGTTCAAGATGGGTGAAAGAGCAAGGCAGGTAACAAGCTCTGGAAAGCAGTGGTCAACAGGCTAAGCAGGATCGCAGCAGGGAGAAGAATGAGCAGGCATGGAAGAGCGACATTGACAGTAGGGTGAGTGTGTGTGAGTGAGTCTGGGAGAGTTTGTCGTAGTTGGTAGTGTTGGTTGCTCGTGGGAGGCTGGTCGTGAGGCTAACTTGAACTTGAGATAAAATCGAAGAGGCTGGGCCTTTTTTCGCTTGAGGAGATGGACACACGTTTCTTCGCGTCCACCCGGACTGGCGCGTGTTCCGCTTTTGAGATTAGAAGATGAAGATGGTAATTGTTTGTTTGGCTTTTCTGTTTGGGAAATTCTGATTAAGATGTATTGTATATAGTGAATATGCGTAGACTGGTGGTGCCGATGTTGAGCGAGGTGCAGAAAAAGGTCGGTGCCGTCGCATGGAGGAACATCCGAGCTTTTTGTTCCTTTTTCTTTTCTTCCTCTGACAGGACCCGTTGGTCAGTGTGTAGTACGGGTATTTAGTATATGTTCGTATAATTAAAAGCTCCTCATTTGATGAAAAATGGCCGTTAATTAGTGATGGTGAGGGCTCAACACATCTAGTGCCTGTGGCCTTGTACAGCCAGAGCGCGGATAGAGACGGGGCTCCCTTCCCTACGGAACACGGAAATGATGGCCAAAGCAGTCTTTAGACCATGTGCCATGATCTGTGATATTCCGACTCAATCCATCGTCTGGAAACTGGAAGATGTTGAGGAGGCTGGGAACATCGCACATTCGATGACTTGAAATGAAAGTGGAGGAGAACTCGGGCTGGTGAGTTGGCACACTCAACGCCTCCTCCTTGGAAAATGGCCAGAACTAAGCAAAGACCCCTGCATTCTCGCTATCGATACCCGTCGATCGTTTTAGACTCTTCTCTTCAAACCCCAAGCGAAAGCAACATCAATTCAGAGCAGAGTAGAATGGAAATCAGGTAAAGAGACTCGGTCCTTCAACTCTGAGGTCTTTTTTTCCACCATCTCTCCCCACCATCCATCACCATCTAGGAATGGTCTCAGGAACATGCAAGCAACATGTTCTGCTTGTCTGGGAATCATCATCTTGGTGAGCAGATTGGCTAAAGGGCACCCATGACTCCACGAATTACGTCTCATGCCTCATGCCGAGGAAGATGGTCCATGATGGTGCTTGATGATCCTGGTTGATCCTGGTCCTCGGCCCTGGCCCGCCCTCCCGTCAAAACGGGCTTCCCGCTCAGCCCAAACGCGTCGTCACGACTCTCTCTAACACTTGGTCCTTACGAGATCCTCTGGAAACGAAGCCTGCTTCTCGTCTTGCCACTGAGGCTGAGTGCTCAATCGCCCATCAAACTGACCTCGTTTGTCTCGATCCCAGCCTGGCAGGGGTTTCTTTCCCCTGACTCCCTGAAGGAGATCGCTTGCTCTGCCACTAGCTGCTCCCGGGGAGCGCCGAACCCACTACCGACGACGGAGTACGGGAGGCTGTCATCTCGGATTGACCACCATCACCAGATATGTCGCTCTCATCAACTAACTAGATCTATCAGCTCCGAGCCCAGAGGTACGGAACCACTCCCCATCGCTCACTTAGGGACTAGCTGCTTCGTTTGGACTGCGCCGACGAGTGTCCCTATGTGGGACTCACTCACCAGTCACCCACTTCAACTGGCTTACCTATTGACTTTCGGGTTCCCCTGTCTGCCAGCTGTCAACTTGCCATCTTCCACCTTCATCTTTATTTTCTTAACGAACTCCTGCAACCATGTGCAGGCCTCAATGGCCATTGTCTCGGGAAGAGAGACGCGTGACATGATTGCGCTATCAAACCATCTTTTCAGCCTTGGTACCGAGTATTGAAGCCCTAGAGTGATTGCTATTTCGATTGCGACTGCTCAACGACAACAAGAACTCGAAGCATTACATTTCCCGCCAGTCAGCAACTCAAGTCGAGGCACCTCTATTTGTTTGTCCTTCGCATTGACTTTGCACACCCTCCTTTTTGTGTTGCTGTGCACTTCATTGGAATTCACTCGTATAATCATCATTTCTCGGATCCAACAACTTGGGTCGGTATGCAAGCCTGGGCCATCCATCCTAGACCTCCGCGGTAAGTTGAACTTGCGTCCCCGTCCGCCAAACCTCCCATCCCGAGTCTGCAGACAAGTCCCCTCCATATCATTCTCGATATGACGGCGGCGAAGTAAGGGATTGACTGTGTTTGCCCCTTTCAGGTTTCGGGTCGGACTTCCCATCCTTTCAATGCTGTGCCTCAGAATGCTTGCTGTGTGTTTGGCATCGTGTTTGAGAGGTCGGCCCAGTTGGCAGTCATCACCTCTATGACTACGTGAAAAAAAGTCTCGTCCTCAACCCCGTATCGTGAACACCGAAACTCATGAATATTCAACCAATTACGTTTACGCCATCTGCGCCGTCAGTGCAGGTCCTGTGTACTCCCCACCACCATCATCTTGATCGCCTCTTGTCCCCCGTCTTTCTGCCTGCAGTCTGTCACCAGATACCCACCATATCCTGGCCCTCAGCTAATCTTCCCCGTGGCATCATGTTTGCTGATTCGACCAGCGAAAAGCCGCATCGAATATATTGCTGCAACTCCATCTATGGATCTCGGCTTTGATGGGCACATATATGAGATATCCATCGCCTGGCCGATACAAGGCAGATTCAATTTCCACATCTTCCTTCTCTGAGCAATCGACCATAATAAATTCACCTGATTTTCCCCTATCGAAGATGTTTGCGAGGCGTTGATAACCTCAGAAAGGGTATCCCATATTCGATTCGCGTTCATTGTTATTGTCTTGTTTACCTTTTCATCCCTATGGTCGTCTAGATTCAGAGCACATACCCACCCCAAACCCAACCAAATATTCCAGAAACATGTCGCCTACATCAGCAGTACTAGACTTTGAACGGGTTCAAGTTCCAGACTACTTCTCCTTCGCTAAACCAAACTTAGCCCAGAATCGTTGCTCCAAGGATTATTATACCTTGACCAACTCGGCTTCTTTCGAATCCCTTCTTTTCCACCCAGTACCTTCTCCTTCTTTGTGCCTGGAAGAAATGTTAGAGCTGTGGCCCAGCAGTCCTCAGCCTCTTAGTTCGACTCAACAGCGGCAAAGCGGCAAACGTGTCTATTCTCGTCATACAAAAGAACAAGACTCGATTTCTACGTTGGTCGACTTCGGCAATTGGATCTCTCAACACCCTCACAGCCGTGTGCCCAGTCTACTTCCACCCACCCCTGCGGCACTCCGTCAAGATCTCTCCAATCTCAAGTCTGACAGTGTGGAATGTTCCTTATCATCAGCCGCACAGGGCTTGTCCCATCACGTCAATCAGCAAGAGAATACTATAGTCCATCCGACCACGTACGGCGATTCGCTAGTAGGACTCTGTACTGACTTGCAACATTCATCAATTACCTCTGACACAACTCGCCGACAAACTGCGAGAACTATTACACCTGTTCCATCATTAACATATTCCCAATATTCAACGACATCCTCCCTAGCTGTCGAAGGGCCTTTCCCAGAAGCCCGTAGCAGTACCTATTCCAACTTCCCGGAGATCTCTCCAGCAACCCGTGACGCAAACATGAATCACCCGGCCCCCGACCACTTCCAGCATGAAACCAAACACATTCGTCCCGACCAGAGGTTGTCTTTCTATCAGAACGAGAGCAGTATGCAGCGACCCGACAATGCCAAGCGAAGCACCACCCAGGCGCCAGCGACTGTTCCACTAAACCATACGGTGCCGGTCCCCAACTTCGACGTAACTCGACTACAACCAAAAGTCCCCCAACTACATATCCCCAGTGGGAAGAACGAAGTGTCCTACATCGACTGGGACGACGACGATGAAGAGTGCGGACAGCGCAGTGAATCACGACTAGCACGCATGAAGAAAAGCCTCACAGATCTCCGTGCTGCCGAACGGTTCATCGCCGATGCCGCGAGCCGAAGGAATACGAGCCACAAACCCGTCAAATCAAGCAACCCTGAGGAGAGTACAGCAGTGATATCAGCCCAAATTCCTCGGCCAGTCTACTCGAGAGTCCAGACCGACAACTCACTGCTCTCTCTATACCACAGACAGAAGCAGCAGCGAGACCGCCAGAGATACAGTCGCTCCGTCTCTGCCACAGACAACATCGCCCCCAGGTCAAGCAACAAACCTGAGCAGCAGAAGCCCGCAGCAAGTCATTCCATCAGCCTGAGTCTCCCGTCCAAGCTCGGCAGCATCCGCGCTCTGCAACCGACGAGACCACGAAAGCCATTCAATCCCAAATCCAAATCCATCTCTGCCGCCCACACGGAACAACAGCTGCGACAAGAACAACTCACGCACGCCGTCTCCGCGCCCGCGTCGTCTCAACACCACACTCCAACAGCACCACTCCCACCCCCACCCCTTTCCTCCTCAACACCCGACACCCAGCCCGACACCACACGCCATAAACGCCACCAACGAAGCCGCACCATAAGCTCCGGACTCGAAGGCTTCCCACAACTGCCAACCACGACGATAAGCGGCTCCGCCGACGAGTCATGCGAGGGTCCCCATTGTCCAGCTGCACCGATCATGTCGACCTCAACAACAACACTCGCAAACACCTCCGCCCTGCCGACCAAGAGAAAGCGGTTCAGCACGTTCACGTCGCTCTCGACGCCGCGGGTCAACGAGATGGTTGTCCCGACCGAGAACGGGAAGGACAAGGACAAGGAGAAGCCCATAGCTCACAAGCGCCCGAGACTCGGGAATGGCGTCGTCACGAAATGGGTCAGGCGCGTCTTCGGTGGCAGGAATGGAAAGGGGAAGGGCAAGGGGAAGTTATCCGGGACGGTGAGCCATCGTACTTGAGACTGACCTTCGCTTTCGCTTTCGGAATCTGGTTCTGCTTCGGCGGGCCAAGGAGCCCTCGGCCTCGATCGGTGGATTATTGAATGATTGAATTTGCGACAATACTTTTCGGTGGGGTTTTTCGACGCCCTTGGAATGAATGAAAACGGTTTAATGGACGTGGCATTGATTTGATTGTACGTTTGCTATGCATGGCATGTGATACGATGATGCGGTGGGGCTGAGCTGTGAAATGTATGGAACGAACGACATGTACGAACCTCTTACTGAGATATTTTATTTTTTCGGAAAACTGTGTGCGATGAAACCGCGCCTGAATGATGTATGTGGATGGATTGATGGATGTATGGATGTTTACGACTTGACACCGATGACCTACGGAAACACGACAGATGGCAGTCAGAGCGAGCGAGGGTATGTGTAGTACTTTAGGTATTTCTAGAGATAAAATGGTGTATGTTTGCTAGTCTACATACTTAGCTTCCATATGAGAGGCTCCATAATCCATGTTGAACTGAGATTCTATATGATTATGGGAATTCTTCATGGGCAAGGAGGCTGTTGAGATTTGACGGTGATCTTGGATGAAAGAACCAGCTTGGAATTCGTATGGACTTTATCATATGAACATCCTCTCATCAACTGAATATGCCATTCTTTTTAGTTTTCGTTTCTGGTTTGTTGGTTCCCAGGTTCTTGCGCGTCGGCCGCCGTACAAGAGCTTGTTTAGGGTGATAAAACAACGACACTATACACATCTCTATTCCGGACTACTGTTCGCGTCTCGTTTGACATATCAAGTTCTCTCCAGTCGAGATGAGAGCATGAGGGTGTCTCATATTCAAAAAATTTCAACTCCCGGTCAGAGTATTTGTACTGTCCCGGCCGGCATGTCATGGAATATCGGTCAAGTACTGTGGTCGCACTAATGTTGAATGTGGTCTCGATCACATGCTGATGAATGGGTCGCAAGGAGTGGGTATGTATGCAATGCTCGGCTTTGTATGATGTTGCTTTGCACATAAACACAAAGGATTTCACATCGGAACTACAGCTTGAGAAACTCGTTCCAAGCATAGTACCTGTCACCAATCAAAGTATTTGCATGTTTTCGACTGTGTGTAATAGGTCACAACAATAGCCGAAATCGAGCCCTCGCAATTGTAGACGTAGGCAGGAATGCTGCTCACCAAATAGTGTGACTAAAGGCTCCATCTTTAATAGAATGAGAAACCTAGAGGGATGTCCAACGCAAATGAAGCATAGTGATGGATTGCAGACAGTGATGGGCTGCGGAGATGTATCCTTTGTCACGGCATCCGTGGCCATGAGATATCAATCGAAATTGTCAGGGGTCCTCTGGCGGGAGCGGTAGTACTCTCCCGTTAACAACGTGGTAACGATCAGCTTGCCTTGATTTCTCAGAACAACGGACGTATGTACGAGCCAGTTATTCCATACTGCACCAAGAAACGGTCATACCATCCAGCATCATCTTCCAAGGCTCTGGGCGTTTGAAGTAGTCGCGAACAGTTTGGTGGAAGAACAGCGCGTTAAACTTTGTCCAGTCGGCTGTCGTAGACTTTGACCAGTCGGCTATCGACGTTGTCTGCCGGGAAATCTCAATAAGTCCCCAAAAGCGACTCCTTAATCGCTGCTCCATATGTTTCCCACGAGCATTCAAGGCTTTGTATGAAAATGCTTCTCGCGGATGCCGGTCTATATCATCGTTGTTGTTCTCCAGGAAAGATAGAATCAAAGGATGAGGGGGATCGGGAGAATCAAGCATGATTCGAAATATTCGAGCGGCTTGGTAACGATAACCAGGATCGATCAAGTTGACCATTCTGTCATAGAATGTATCGAGCTCCGGTGGTAGACCTCTGACTCGGGCTTCTAGCTCATGCATCCAGTCAGATTGGTCTAATCCATGTAGAAGAGACATGACGGCAAGGTGGACCCAGAGAAAAACCCCTCGTGCTTTCTCGACAATATCATCAACAAGTGTCTCGAAACGGACGAGATCTTCTGGAGCCAGATGGTCTATGGGTAGATCCTGTGATCTTAGGCGGCTATTGACGTAATGGTAGATATCATTTTTTGTCAAATCCTGCATCCTAAGGCTGGGTCGTTTTCTGAATGCCGCTTCAAAGGCTATATGAGGCCTGCTTGAGACGCAAATCTTGTGCCATGTGGCAGATTTAGCATACATACTTTCTAATTGCGCCATTAGCTCGAGGACTTCTCTATCAGTGCCATTGAACTCATCCAGTCCATCGATAAGGAAGCAGATTCTCACTTTTCCAATGGTGCTGAAAAGAACCGCTTGGAGAGCTGCAACTAATTCCGACCTCGTTAGAATAGCCTCATAGAGATACTTCGCTGTGGGATCCGTTCTCAAATAGGCGCGGCCGGCGCCTCGAAGTCTGTCCCAGTGTGACTTATAGACTTCGTTCATTAGATGAGGGTATCGTTCAAATATTTGATAGAGGAGATGTCGAATGAGTCCTTCCTGGCTCTTCTCGAGTGAACTTCCACGATCGAAGAAGTGAAAGTGTCCAACGAACAGATCACAACTGCCTGACCAATGACGAAGATGCACACGCGTCTCTGGACTGTGGAAAATCAGCTTCATAAGAGTACTTTTGCCTGATCCCGCCTTTCCATCGATCCAAAAGATACCACTACCACTGCGGAGCCATGAGATAAAATTAGTTCTAGTTGCTCGTTGTAGTGATACCAGATCGTTGACTTGAGCTCCCTCCGTTGTGTTGACATCGTCTTGATCGCCCTGAAGGATCCACTGAAATGTGTGATCAAATGCCTCAGCAATCTGCTCGTGGCGGCGTGACATAGCGTCAAATGCGAGCGTGGTACGGATGACTGAAGGCTAGTTCAACATGGAGGATCCAATTGTGTAACACATGATGATTGACTTACCACAGTGGATAACCGGAATGACTCTCTCTTCTAAGGGGAATATTAGTCTGTGAGTGTTATAAGAGTTGTAAAGAGCAACACGAAGAAGTGACAAGGGGCACATAATGATTGCGGTCAATTATGGCTCCATGTCGTGCTTCGCATTTTGCTTGCCTTCCCGCTTCACGAGGATTTCATGCGGAACAATTAGTAAAAGTTCCTTCATATAGGCGGCGGCTACAGCGGCGGCGTAGGCTTGCCAATTTTTGTTCTTGTGTGAATCTGCATAATCGCAGATTCCTCGAACGACAAGACTAGGAAAGGCATCCACTAGGCCGGATGCTTCCATGTCAACGCAGATGATATTCAGATCCTGCTTCAGGCAGTCTCGGGTATAGCTATCCTTAACGACTGTATTCCCGGAACCAATAATTCCATAATGAATTCGGGGGTCTGAAGAGGTGCGCTGTCTTCGCACGATGAGCTGTGAAGTGGGGCAACCTTGACAGGTTGGGCCACCTTGATGAAGACAATTAGATTTGAATAATCGATCATCACCGATGTTCGGACGAAGATAGCCCTCATTCATCTTGGGGAATCTCTCAAACATCTGCTCGAGGAACTGTGGGATCCGACTCCTTTCTCGATGGTGGAGGGATTTTAATCGCTCGACATTCGCGCTCAGGATCGCGGGTGGTCGAGCAGACATACCCGTGCGCTCAAAGCCACCATGGCTTGTGCGTTTTCCGAAATCATATTGTATGACACCTCAAGATGTCCCCGAAGGTTGACTTACAACAACATCACCCAAGCGAATATCTTCGTCCTCCGCGCCGCCGGGGATGCCTCCACCAATACCGACCAGGAAGCGTAATTCGACGAAGGGGAAATCTTGCCACAACTGATTCGCCACAATTGCAGCAGCATTGTTTCCAATCTGTGGCATGGCTGCGACAACAATATTGTGGCCTCCAATGCGACCCAATGTGTATGCTCCGCGTCCATATTGTTTTACATCACTGTATAGGTTGCGTGAGATAGGCGGATGGATCTCATCAAGCATAGCTTCGACAGGGCATAGCTCAACACCCATGGGACATATGACAGCGACAGTGTAGTCATGGTAAGTGAGCGCAGGCTTGTGGGAGGCTTGAGGCAACGAATGGCCATTCATAATTCTGCTAGGTCATCGAATCGAAAGTGCAAAACCAGGCGGAGCGACTGGAGGCGGCAGGAACAATGCAGGGAAGACATGCATCGCTAGTATGGGCCGGCTGTGTAGAGCACTGGGAAGGAAGACAGAAGGAAAGAAGGCGCTACTTGTGGGCGACAATAAGGCTGACGACCACGTTTAAGCTGAGGCTGCAATTCACATGCGGGTGTCATCCAGATGTGGTCAAATACTCAGAAGGATAGAGAGTACGGCGGAACATTGATCAAATTTTGAGAATTTGCCATTATCACATGACCGATATTGTCCTGCGATTGTAGTATTCGTCCTCCCCATTAGGTGATGCGTAAGAGAGGCAAATAGTATCGCAACCAAAGTACTTTGGGCTAGCAGCTACCAAAAGCACTCGTACTGTACGGCAATATGCTCAATGAGTGGCCCCGCGTTGAGCTCAGACATTCTATTGAGGAGTTTCCCCTCCTCAATCATGGGATGGTCAGAGATCCGAGGCGGCCGACAGGCTCGTAAATGAATATGTCGAGCTCTTGATGCTATGAGGTAGACAATATCTGTGTTATCGATGTCATTGCATGGCCTAAACTTCGCTCAAGCATTGTCAGAACTCTACCAATGTTGAAAATTGTCCCATTCTCGTGGCACTTGCGCTTGAAGAGTCGTCTTCGTGAGGCCTCAACCGACTAGCCATCCAAATTTTGGGGCTGTGATTGAGAATTGCTGTATAGCGAGTAGAAAGCGCTATTTGCTGCATGATCATTCGGTCACTTCTTGCTCTGGCTGGGAATTCGCAGTACCATTCGCATCCTGCTCTGAAGCTGGACTCATTTCGTATAGCTTCATGATGACATCTGGGCGAATGACATCTTTGCGGAACTGCTCTTGTTGGAGAAGTTCGAGGTTCCTCAAGGTGGCACCAGGATGAGTGAGATATTGGACATACTCCGGAGTGCGCCAGTAGCTGTAAAGGTACTTGAGATAACGAGCGAAGCAAGCGGCGTCTGAATTTTCGGGATCGGCTGAATGTTGCGGTTGATTGAGAAGATGTGGATAAGTGACGGCGAGATACTGCAGATATTGAGGATTTGCTAAGCAGAGGACAAATTCCAGCTCCAATGTGAATCGATGTGATAATGGCGCTGGACGCGAAGTTGAATCCATGATTCGGAGTGGCGGATTAAGCAAGTGAACAGGTTCGATTGCTGCCTCTTGTCCGCTGTTCGCTTCATCAGTTGGCGTTGGGGATTGAAGCCGAGGTGTTTTGGATGGATGTAGTAACGTAGTGGCCTCTGACGATGGTGAGCTCCAGCCTCCAGTATCCGAACCCCCCTTAGCGGAAATTTACTGCGGGGAGAGCCACCGGCACGACGGCCACCAATGCAGGTCAAGGCCAGAAAAACCCGAACTACTCGGATGGGAAGATATGACAAGGTAAATAAAGTCAATTTGGACGCAGTCAATGCAGCACTGAAGACGATTGCATCAAGGTCCGACTACGGAGTGCGTGAGGGTGAAAGGATAACCCTGTCGGAAGATTCTAATAAAAACAGCAACCATGTTATCAAGCAAAGATTAAACTATGGAGCCGTGACCAGCGCCGCGTCTCAAAGTCCCAAGGAAGGGTGTGGGTGCCAGTGGTTGAACGCGTTCAAATTAAGTTCACAACATGACGATGGTGTTGTTGATCTGATGATCGTATTGATTGGTATGGATCACTGCAAATTAAAAGACAGTCCAAGCACGAACTCTGGCTGAGCTTGGAGTATGACAGAGCACGGTCGGGTCCAGTGAGAGATTGTCTTTCAAGTTGGCAGAGAGGCTATGCTTCACGAGCTATACAAGATTTGGATCAAGTAACCATTAATTCTCGGAGGTTAAAGGGTCCTTAGGCACGAATTTCGGTATGTTTACAAGGTACTCCGTACTACGAGTAGGTAATCGAGCACCTGATGTGTCCACTGAGGGCCCTGAGGCTGTGCTAGGGAAACCAACAGAGAGACCCTGGCTTGTTAGTAAAGAAAAAAGAGGGGAAGAAAAGCGGTACTCCGTTTGGGCATGGCTAGGCATGGCCCTAGGTGGTGGATGGGTGTTTAGGCGTTGCAACCGGCAGGGTCACTTGTTGATCTGGTTAAAGAACCGGGGGCGATGGGTGGCAGAAGGGGCATTTCTAGGCACTTTTAAGCCACTAACATCACACAGAATGCTTGGTTTGGCACCCGACATGGGATGGACACCCACCGCCACACCCACACCCACACCCGAATCACCGTCACCTGCGTTCCACTCTCCAACATTCCACCCCTTCAAAGTCCCTATTCTTCCTTCGATTCAGTTCCGTACTCGTACCTCTTGTTTCTCATTCTCAACCTTCAACCCACTCCCTTTGTCCATCACTTTCTCCTCTTCATTCATTGTTGTCTCAACAGTCGTCTATCCTGCATACTCTACACCTGTATTCTCTCCACCCTCTTCCCTTACTCTCTGACCATCGTCATTTGGATAATCTAGCTGGTCTGCACCTCTCCTGCTCGCGAGGGCCCCCTCCATCTCTTTTCAATTCCTCCGAAAAAGGGGCCCCGTACTAAACAAAGCCACTTCCACCTGCGACCCACCTCCACTTCCACTCTCTTGATCTTGATCGTTGGACGCAGAACTTGACTTGCTCCTCTTCATCCAACATTGCCTTGACTCACTCAAGCCCATCTGGACGGCCTCTTCCATTTTTTGGCTGCGGCGCGCCTGTCACCATATTGGTTTCTCGTTCTGACCGCCGCCCAACTGCGTCATCATGGCACAGTTGTCGCCCGCCATCGGTAAGTCACCCTGTACTGTTTGTCCTTGTTTCTTTGATGTGTGACCATGTCCGAGTCACATTAGTCATGATCATTGTGGACTGACTTGTTGTCATAGAGCATGGCCCATCAACTCTTGCCTCGAATAACCCTTTTCGAAACCGCGTCTCTCCGACTGCGACGAGCCCATCTTTAAGCTCAATCGGTCTTGCTACGACAACAAATCCTTTCCTCGATGCCAGTGAGGTCCCCTCGGCGATTCCAACAGGCAAGAAATCGCCAATCGCCACAGGGGGGCAGCTCCCACCACGGACCACTGACGCAACGTCGGACCTCTTCGTAAGTCTGAGCCTATTCATCACTTCAAAATCTCGTTCTAACATCAAACAGGCTGGTCTAGATATCAGCGAAAATGCACAATCCCGCCCGCGGGATCAACCACCTATGAAAGGTCCCCCAAGACGAGAGAACGGTGCACCACCTCACGGCAGACCACCTCCTCGACATAAACCAAGTGCCTCAGACGAAGAACGAAGACGCCAGCGAAGCAAAACACGTGGCCTACCGAAAGAGTTAGACATCTTTGCAGACCCACCAAGTTCGAGTCGACCTCGTGAAAGGCGACCACAACGTAGAAATTCGGAATCTTCCATCCGCGAAAAGCCCAAAGAGATGGATCCAGAAGCCGAGAAAAGGCGGCGTGAAAGAAAGCTCCGAGAGGGCAAAAGCTCGAGTCGGTCCAAGCAACCTTCTCGCAAGTTGGACATAATCGACAAATTGGATGTCACTAGTATCTATGGAACTGGATGTAAGTTTGCAATGGCTCCGATTTGCATCCATATACTAATGTCGACAAGTGTTCCATCATGATGGCCCATTTGATGCTTGTAACCCACATCGCAACCGCAAGGGATCTAGACAAGCCCCCATGCAGGCATTTCCCAAAAACTCCACAAGTATGCAACTGGGTGGTTCTGGTCCAGTGAACAAAACAATCAACTTGGACCGATTCCATGGCACCGAGAGTGAAGCTCACAACGACTACAATGAAGCCGCTATTGTTGAGGGTGAAGACGACTATTACCGCCGACCCCAACCAGAGCGAAGTGCTAGTTTTAACCCCACCGCACGGATTGAGCCTGTTCATGGCAATTTGACAGCAGGTCTAGGTACCAGTACTTTCCTGGAGGGTGCACCAGCTAGTCAGGCTGCCATTCAGCGACGTGAAAGCGAATACGAAGCTGCTCAAAGAGAAGCCAACGCTAATGGATTGTCTCGAACCAAGAGTTTGGCTCAGAGAATCAAATCCGTTCGGCCCAAAATCTCAGATGGACCCCGAGTCAATTCTCCAGAGCCTGCGATGACACCAACAAGCCCTCTTGGTTCCGGTCGCCCCGAACAAAATGCTACCAATCCATTTTTCAAAGACTACGATAAGGACTATGAGAAGAAAGGGGCACAAATCGCATTTGCTGAGGAACAACAAAAGACTGGCCGTGCCCGAGCACCTAGCAGCCCAAGGCGTGGGCTGGGATTGGAGCGAAAATTGACCGCAGATAGCGCCAATGGTGAAGAAAGCAAACCCAGCACTGGCGGTGGCCTTTTGACTCGCATCAAGAGTATGAAGGCTTCGCGTCGACCTCGTGAGAGAAGAAACACTGAAACTTCCTGAGCAAGATCACTGTCCCGGGTCAGGCTTGAAGCGACCTTTTCAAAGTCTCATTGTCTTCTTTTTGGGATTGACTCAGGATGACCAAAAATTTGGAAGGCCATTGCATTGCATTTCCCAAACGGCGTTTTCTTCGAATCATAGGCATGGAGGGAATTGCTCTTTTTCTATTTTGCGACAGTCGACCATGACGATGCATGAAATGACCTAATGATGGAAGCAGAGATTCCCTACAATCATAGGCGGAAGAGCACTGCAAGAACCTAGGATGTCAGATGCTGAGTCTTAGGGTTATTCGCGGAATGATCACTCGCGAGCCACTTGAAATTCAGCTTAAGGCCGGACCAGGTTCTCACTTCGTTGCCAATAGGCCCGCTCGTGAAGCCAGCATAGCAGACACCACCAGGGATCGAGAACTGGTTTGGAGACTAGTTAGTTAACTACACAGCCGGCTTAGGCGCGCAGATGGCCCACAACCAACCACTTCTCGAGAAAATGAAAAACAGTGAATGAATGCCATGAATCCATCCATCCACAACCAACACTACACTGAACACTGAATCCTTGCGTCATGCCATTAATCCATCCGTGAGAACAGTGCATACTCCCTCGTAGGTTCACGTGCATCTCCATGCTCTAATCCCCAACACGGTATCGATCAAGAGCGACATGCCCTGAAACTCTCTCTCATTCGTACTATACCGTACCTGTCCTGACCGAACTGATTGCATAACCCGAAGAATTGGAAACAAAATAATGTGAACAGTGTATTTATTTTGTGGTGTAGAAAAAAGACTCGATCGAATGTGAGCGAGCGCCCGATCCAATACCGGTACGAGGTACAATCCTGTCCAATCCAATCCAGTCCGGTCTAGCTCGGACCCTGTAGAAACACGGCGATGGGCGATGCGATGCCACAGCGGGCAGACAGACACAGAGAGGGTGCAAGCTTGAAGCAACAATAGAAGACAACGTCCACACTCAGGGCCGCGAAATCCCCAAGTCCTAGATTCCGAGGCTCCATCCATATACAATCATTGCCCAAAAGCCATCCATCCATCCATCCAACCATAAATTGCGATCTAGTAGTCAATTTAATCGCTCGGTCCACCAACCCAATCCAACACGGCACCGACGACGACCGCACCGCCGCCCCAGATACTCGCATAGCCCAGCGCACCCTCAAAGTCGACGCCGTTGAGCGTGCCACCGACATGCAGCAGCGTCTGCGCGACGATCAGAGCCGTGAGGACAGCGGTGCGGGAGATCAACTCCTTCTGGCGCACCGAGTACCAGCCCCAGGCGTTGTGGTAGACATGGGCGGAGAAGGAGGCGGTGACGGCGTCGAAGGCGTCGACGGGCCCGCTCGGCAGCGACTTGGCCGTGCTCGGCGCGAAGATGTATTCCTGCGTGGCGAAGCCGGCGGGGAGGAGCGCGAGGAGCAGCGTTGGGAGACCTGAGGGGCCGAGATGCGCTGCTTCGATGCTGCGCAGACCCGTGAAATGCACGACGAGGTATTCCGGGAGGAACGTTGCGAACGAGGCTTCGAGGAGGACGGCGAAGATGGCCGACGCGAGGAGCGAGGTTGCGATGGTCGTGTACGGGTCGGTGAGGATCGAGCGGTTGCGCAAGCTGCTGCGTGGCGCGGCGCTGGGGTTGTGGCTTGGTGAGAGTGGCCGGAGGAAGTAGTATGGTGCTGAGGTAGAGAGGATCGAGGAGAGGGTGGTGCTGATCAGGGTGACGGGTGAGATGCTGTAGAACAGGCCCAGGAGGAGTGTGGTCGGTGTGCTCAGGAGAAGCGTGAGGGATGCCACGTCGTAGGCTGTAGGTTCGTAGTTTATGTCAGTCAACTTCTGATATCTTCTTCTTGGTCATGTAAGGGGGAAAGGGTGATTCGTGCACGGGGCAGGCTCAGAGGTCGCGATTGTCACTCACCATCAAATTCAAATACCCAGTAAACACCCAGCAACACGACCTTCCAGCCCAAGAGAGAACCAATCTCCAGCCATGACTCGGGTCTCTTGGATACCGCCGCCAGGTCGCCAACGCCGATTGTGCCTGCTACAGTCTGTAATGCAGCTTCGAGGATTGTGCTCAACACCACTGTGACAGCGAACTTGGCTGCCTCTTCGGTGAGGTCGTATGTGGGCGCGGAAACCACTGCGGGTTCAGCTCGGTGCTGCTTGGAGGGGATGAGCACGACAGGCGTGCTACCCGCAACAGCAGGGGAGACGGCGTTGGCAACTGGATAGCTTGATCGCGAACCCGTCCTCGGTTTGCGCGCGACTGGCGAGCCGGCCTTGGAGGAGCTGGGAGTGCCGGTGGCAGGTGGCAGCATCTCTCCATTGCTCGCGACCGCGGTGCTGCCGCCAGTGCTGGACGCGACACTGGCGGATTTGGAGTGCCTGCTTCTTGGTGGCATGTCGTCGTCGAAGGGACTGTTGTTTTTGTTGGGGTCAGACGCGGTCGCGCTGCGAGGTGGGGGCGTGTGTTCTGAATGTGGGTGGACAAGGCTCCCAGTCAGTTCGAGTAGGTCGTCGAGCATCAAGAGAATCGAGTGGGTGATCGGTGTCAGTTGAGTACGAGATGCGTTTGAATTGTGCAAATGTGGAGGATGAGTTCCAGCAGTGGTGAAAAGGGAAAAAGTAGATGGCTGGAAGAAGAGCCTGATGTGTGCGTGTGAGAGAGAATGACGATGGTCGCGATCGTGAAGTGATTGGCGGGAATTGGCATGGTTCAGGTTCAGACAAGCACGACGTCACAGGCACCAACCATCAAACAAACGCCACATCCTGATATCACCATGACATTACCTGGGTTGTCGAGCTATTGGATTTCATTATTGAAGGCTTGAGTCCTGATGGGAGTAAACATAGCCCTTAGCTGGTATCATCAGGCCCTGGAAGAATGAAATAGATAGTGACGAGCTACTGCCATGATATATTGCATGATATGCTGTGAGGTGCTGCGCCATCTTCAGGAGGATCGCTCTCAAAATGATGAATATACTAATACATTCAAGTGAAGCGTCTTATTCAGAATACCTCCCTAGCCTGTCCAAAAACACCACCCTATTCAGTCCTACCAAATGCGACAGAATCTATCTTACAATCACTTGGAGCTTGGCTGTATCCAAAGGTCTCATCTTGGAGCCACTGCATAGCCATTGCGCGTTTCACAGTGTATTCGAGTACAAGAAAAAAAGATTTTGCTGTGGTCATTCATGTTGGTATGCTTAGTCTTGGAAAGTATTGTGAACTTCAATGACAGACCAATCTTGCTTGTCGAGGTGTAGGTACCACGTGAGCTCTTCTCTTCGAAAGTGCATAGCTTCCCAACGTGACATGTGTTACGTAGAAGTTGTGAGTACCTAGGCTGGAGCTGGTTTTGGAATCTGGGTGGCCTTGGCAGAATCGAGTGCAGCTAGACACATGGTTCGAGTGCAGCTAGACACATGGTTCGAGAGGAGCATGTCACACGTAGACGCGTCGTTGTGGTCTTCGGAATGCCTCTAGTTTCCGCTGGCGCTCTGTGACCTGTTGTATATCAACCCATCGATTATGTCGTCAAGTTGCACCGAGAAATCATCAGAATGGAGTTGTCCAACAATCCATTCCTCAATCCTCGTCGTCATCATCATCGTCCGGCTTCTCGTCTGGCACAACTCTCATCTCGATTGATCCTGTTTCACGCCCTTTGTGATCTTTGGTAGTGAACGCGTACTTCCCTTGCTGCTCCCCACTCTGAATCGTCCACAGGTCTTTGAACGTAAGTTCCTTTGTCCTATTGATACTCTCGATCGCAGAGATGCGGTCTAGGGTGTCATTGAGGAATTTGTCAAAGCGCTCTTCAGCACAGATTGCCTTGAATGCATTCATCATGGGTACCGAGTCAGCCCGGACCATGGCACGACTATCAATAGTGAAGATGTTGTCGTGATCGTAAGTTTGAATGAAATCTGCCCGGGTCATGATCTCGCGGGCGATATACAGAGGGATTTGTGGTAGGATGTGTCCTCTTTCTTCGTCATAGTCGGACTCCATCTCTTTGCTGCGGTCTACCAGCGCTTTGGCCAACACCATGGCTGCACTGGCATATTTCTGCTGGTCCATAACATCATCGTCCATGCTTTCTCCAAGGATACCACATTTGTTGAGAAACCATGTCTTTTCCAGTTCATTGATTTGGTGACACATCTTGATCATGTCGGTACTTTTGGCCACCCTATTGAGGAAATTCAGTCGACCACCGACCAAATCGTACACCTCCTTGAAAATGCCAGAATCCCGCTCCTGGCCCGGAAAGTATTTGGCGCGATATCGTGCAAGAGCCTGAATGGCTCTATCCTTGGGCAGATCGAGAATAGGGATGACTTCCATCCTCGTAGCATATCGCTTCAATCTCTCGTAGACCCAGTAGTCGTCGGAATTGAAGATCATGGTGACCAAATTTGCAGCGGCCCACTGTTCAGCACGTTGTTGCATCAGCTCAATCAGGTCATTTCCATCCTCATCATCGCGGATCAAGTGGGCACAATTCACAATCACCACAAGAGGACCTTTTCGACCTGTCTTAAGCTTGTGAGATTTATTGCGGTGTGTCATGGCGATTTTCTCGAGTTTGTTGAAGGCGCGTTCGATATCGAGCAAGGCGGTGGTGTCTCTTGGGCCTCGGATTGAGAACAAAGACCCAATGTAATCTTCGTGAAATTCGTAATTCAAGGCTTTTCCAAGTCGAATGCGAAAAATCTCCAGATCAGCATGGGCCTCAAACATGGATACCCCTTCGCCATCAATCTTGCGCATTGCTTCTAGGATCATGGACGATTTGCCAGTACCCTTTTCGCCGACAATCAAATAGTAGCGGCCTTTAGACTCGCCGTTGATGATAGCATCGATCTTGGCCTGTTCTGGTCGTGCCACCCAATTGTCATCGTCCTCAGTTGATTCAGATGTATCTCCAGGTGGAAGATGAGGTCCGGGAGGGGCCGCAAGATCCAACATAGGATCGCCAGGAGCAAAAGCCTTGTCAATCTTGCGAAGGACTAGTGTTTTGTAGTAAAGATGGTACGAGTAGCCCGCCAAGCCAAGAACTGCAATGGAGGCAAAAGTGGTGGCGGCAGTTTCGAAGACTTTGAACAGGGTTGGTCCCATACGAGAAGTCTTGGAGTCTTTGTCCGACTTTGGATCGTTGGATGGCTCTTCTTCATCTTGATCCTGACCAGGAATCGTGCTTGTTGGGCCAAACTGAGATGATGCGTGTCGACTGGGTCTGCCAACCGGGGCGCGTATTCGACCTCGGAGCATGGCTGGGCCAGCTCGCGCTCTGGCCATCATCCATCCTGAAACAGCTTTCATGATCATTCGCATGCGCATGCTTTGACAGCGACGCGACTGAGCTTCCAGGAAGGATATTTCGGTGGTGGGGGCAGATTCTCAACTGACCCACTAAGTAGAATTGCTGCCGAACAAGGTATGCGCGCACGACATTGAAAATAAGTATACAAAAGAATAATAGTGTTTAAGGATTGATTGAAGCAGCAGATAGAGAGCGAAGAGGCAGAAGCGCCTTTATTGGAGTGATATGTGAAGGTGTTGCCAATTGGCAAGAGCTTACTGATGTTGTAGGAGTCCAGGGGACCTCAGGAAAAAGGGATGAGTAGGAGCGCCCACGTGCCCAGCAGTCAGTCCAATTTACGTGGTGGGATCCAAGTCCAACTTGCACCAATTAATGGTGATTTGGCCATTGGCATATTAAGCGAAGATTGGATTTAGTTCCACGACTTGAAATGGAACATGGAGACTACCTAGGTAGTTGGTACATAAATTCTTCCTATAGCGATCATGGTTTCAATAATATCAGACGTTGGCTACTACGTGCAGTGAGCTGGCCACGCTGGTACATATTGAGGCGTATATTGAGTTCTCAAAAGGAAGCCGGGGAAGTGCTCGCCATTCCTTTCTATCCCTAAGTAAACGTTGGATGTTTATTCTAACTGTAATCTCCACGATCCGCAGGTTGGATAAGAGTAAACAACATCAATGGTGACGACCGACATGAATGATCAACACAATGATGGAAGAGTATGCCAGTGTCTTGATCAATTCCCGTGATCTGGATGTCCCCTAACAGCCTCAGTAACGAATAGAGTACTAGTTAGTGGTCCCCTTGAGTGCGGCTATTCCGGGCAGCGTCATATCCCCCCGAACTTCCCTCGGCAACTGCGGCTTTTTTTCGCAGGGCTCAGGGCTCAGGGCTTGTTAGTCGTAGGGAGGACGCCCAGGAGCCCTGGTTCGAGTCCCCTGTGAGCTTTAACCAAACCCTCATCCCAAGGGCACCTGGTGACCTGGCAAGGACTCGCGGTTTCTTCTCGTGTCGGGTCCCCTCCCTTTCCAAGTTCCTTCCCTCCAGCAGCTCCGCCTTCCAATCACCATCGTTCTTCTGTCGGCGCGGAAACTTCCTTGCAGAATGAACCATTCCCAATTCGATCTTTATGCTCCAGAAAATTAATCCTCAGAAAAGTGATTGACTCGGAGTTTCAGTCTCTCATTTCTGCTCCATCTTCATGTTGTAATCTCTATTTACCACCATTGTTAACATAACCCTCATTCCCTTCTGTCCTTTGCTGTACATTATTCTAGGCTTGAGCCTCTCCTTGTACACTACCCTATCCTCCTGGTCACTCTTTATTCCCACCTTTCACTCTCCACTTTCATTGTACACTATTGCATTTCTCCAACAATTCCATATTTAATTATGGCCGAATCCAATGGTGACGTGAAGACTAGTAAAGGTCAGCAACTCTCTTTTCCACCCCCAGGAAGCTGCCTCTGACACATCTACAGATGCCCCAAACACTAAAAGCAACAATGATAATGCTTCGCCCTTGACCAACGGCACAAACGGTCACTCACACGACCATGAGCACGAGCACGAGCACGATCACCAGCATGATGAGAATACTGCTGCCCTCTTCCAGGTCTCTGTCAAGCTGCCTCACCAGCCATATACCATGCAAATCACTGTCACAAGTCAAGAGCAGGTTCAAGACGTCCGACAGTCCATTGTCGAAACCCCTGATACCTTCCAGTACACTTGCTTCCACCTAGAGCACAATGGCCAGCGCATCAACGACTTTGTCGAGCTATCCGAGGTCAAAGACCTCAAGCCTGATGACGAATTAACCTTGGTTGAGGATCCCTACACCGAGAAGGAAGCAAGATTACATGTTGTGCGCATTCGAGAATTGATTGGTGCCACAGGCGATCGCTCCGATAATTTGCACGGAATCTCCGCAGGTCTGTCTCTGCACGATGAAAAGTTTGGTTCCGCTCTAGCACCAGCGCCAAAGTCGGAAGATAATCCTTTACTGGGCTACGAGACCGACGGGCGTCCGTCGCTGAATGCCATTCTCCCCGCCCATCTAGACAATCTGCCCAAGACCATCAAAAGCCTGTCCGTCTCACAATGGAACCCCCCTCCATACCACTTGCGACAACGTGGTCATCTGCTATATCTGCAACTGACTACCAATGAGGGCGAGCAGTTCCACCTGACCTCTACTCTTGCCGGTTTCTATGTCAATAAATCTTCTAGTAACAAATTTGATCCCACTCCTCGCCTGGCACCCAAGAACCACAGCGCACATTCGCTCTTGTCCTTGATCTCCACTCTATCTCCTTCCTTCAACGACGCTTTCCTCGAGCTGCAGAAACTAAATGGTCAGAAAGATCTCCTCACCACCTTTCCCTTCCAGAATGCCATCCCTGCCAATCCCTGGCTGGTCTCCCTTGCAGCCATTCAAGGGTCTCAACATCAAGCAGACCCCACAAGAGCGCAGGAAGCATATCTAATTGGCGGAGCTGATGGTGCAGAGAACCTTCGCGACTGGAACGAAGAGTTTCAGACAACTCGGGAATTGCCCCGGGAGACATTGCAAGATCGTGTCTTCCGCGAACGCCTGACCTCAAAATTGTTCGCTGACTACAACGATGCTGCCGCTCGAGGTGCAGTCCTCGTCGCTCGTGGAGAAGTTGCTCCCCTAAACCCAACAGAGGGGAGGGATGCACAGATCTTCATCTACAACAACATCTTCTACTCATTTGGCGCAGATGGCGTCCAAACGTTTGCCAGCGAAGGTGGAGATGAAGCTGCCAGAGTGGCTGTTGGCAAAGATGTTGCTGGTGTCAAAGCTGTCAACCAGCTTGATATCAATGGTCTATTCACCCCCGGTACTGTGGTAGTGGACTATCTTGGCAAGCGTATCGTGGGCCAAAGCATAGTTCCGGGCATCTTCAAACAACGCGAGCCAGGGGAGCACCAGATTGATTATGGTGGTGTTGAAGGACGGGACATTGTGACCGAAAATGAAGCATTTGTTCCTGTCTTTGAGAAGTTGTCCAAATCTCTCCACGTCAAAAAACATGCTGTATGGGACAAGGAAGGCAAGCGCCACGATCTGGAAGGTAGCGTTGAGACCAAGGGCTTGTTGGGCACTGATGGCCGCAAGTATGTCTTGGATCTCTACCGCATTACTCCCCTTGATGCTGCCTGGTCGGAAGAGGTTGAGGCAGAAACAGACGATGAGAAATACCCACATCGCATGTCTGTGCTGAGACTAGAATTGGTGGAGGCGTATTGGCGTACCAAAATGCAAGAATACGTCCGCACGGAGGTGGAGAAACGCCGTGCGAACAAGACCAATGGTGACGCAGAGAAATCTGCATCGACCGACGAGACGAAAACCAATGGCCATAGCGAGGAGACAAAAGACGCCGACAAGGATGAGGGCGAGGATAAATCTACATCCAAACCGGCCCCGGCACTCGACCAGGAGCGCGTGGATATTTCAAACTTCAACCTGGCTCTTAATCCTGATGTGTGCAGCGGTCAAGTGCCACAGACGGACGAAGAGAAGGAGATCTATGCAGGCGATGAGAAGGAAGTCCGAGCTGTTTCCGAATTCCTCCGAAATAAGGTCATTCCTGATTTGATCACGGATCTACACGACGGTGATGTAGGCTATCCCATGGATGGACAATCTCTCTGCCAATTGATCCACAAGCGTGGTATCAATATCAGATACCTCGGACGCCTCGCAAAGGCTGCCGCCGAAAAGGGAAGCCGCCTGCAGGCATTCTCAGTGGTCCTTCTTCAAGAAATGGTTGCCCGGTCGATTAAGCACATTCTCAATGGCTACTTGCGTCATCTCCCTGCCGTTTTTGCGGGCTCGGCAATCGCCCATCTTCTGAATGCTATCCTGGGTGCGGGTCTGAACTCCAATCCCCGTCCTGATATTGATGAGGATTTGAGGGCCTTTTACCCTGAAGGTGACTTTTCTTTTGAGAAGGTCAATCCCACGAGTGTCAAAGCGGCAATCGAGAAGCAAGTCAAGTTGAGATACCGATATACTCTTCCCAGTGACTGGCAATCACTACTTCAACCTCTTCCTCTACTTCGTGAGATTTGCCTTAAGCTGGGTCTGCAGCTTGCAGCCCGGGATTACTCTTTTAGCAAAGGAGTCGAGTTCGCCCTTGATGTTTCTCCCGCAAGGAGTGCCCATTCCAGTAATGGCACTCAGTCGGACGAAGGCAACAAGAAAAAGAAGAAGAAGGGCGGTGAACAAGTTCAGGCACCTGTTGCCACCAAACCAAGCACCACGTTTACGGCAGAGGATATACTGAACATTGCACCAATTGTCAAGGACGCAGCACCAAGAAGTGCTTTGGCGGAAGAGGCATTGGAGGCCGGCAAGATTTCCTTGGCTCAAGGTCAAAAGCAACTTGGCCAAGAATTGGTGTTGGAATCTCTGTCTCTTCACGAGCAGATATATGGCATCTTACATCCGGAGGTTGCAAAGATGTATCAATCTCTGTCAACCATCTACTACCAGACGGACGAAAAGGAGGCCGCGGTAGAACTTGCTCGCAAGGCTGTCATTGTCACAGAGCGGACACTGGGGGTTGATTCACACGACGCGATTCTAGCGTACCTCAACCTATCACTCTTTGAACATCACGTCGGGAATACTCGACAGGCTTTGAAATATGTCAGACACGCACTCGATGTGTGGAAGGTCATTTTTGGACCCAATCATCCCGATTCCATCACCACCATGAACAATGCCGCAGTGATGCTTCAGTCGTTGAAGGAGTACTCTGAGTCTCGCAAATGGTTTGAGGCTTGCTACACGATCTGCGGAGGATTGTTTGGCCCACAATCCATCAATGCGGCAACGATTTTGTTCCAGTTGGCGCAGGCGCTAGCTCTGGATGGTGATGCCAAGGCTGCAGTGATCAAAATGCGTGATGCTTACAACATCTTTTTGACCGAGTTGGGACCGACTGACAGGAACACCAAGGAGGCAGAAAGTTGGTTGGAACAATTGACACAAAACGCTGTGTCGATCGCCAAACAAGCCAAGCTACTGCAAGGTCGTCGAATCGGTGGGATTCGTCAACTTCCCCGTATGGGTCTAGGAACGAGACTGCAACCACAGAGTGCCAACGCTGTGGCACCAGATGCATCTGCCAGGACGGCAGCAATAGAGCCCAACTTGAGGACTGGTACTGGAAACGCTGCCTTGGATCACAGGAGTATTGATGAGCTGTTGAAGTTTATCGAAGGTGCAGAAACGGGCAACAGCCCACGAACGAAGAAGAAGAAGTCACTCAACCCCAAGGCTAGAGGATCCAGGAAGGCGGCGGTTGCGTGAGACAGGCAATTGTGAAATTTGGTCTCAAGTCAATCCCAATCAAGGCATAAACATCCTGCTGGATCGTTTCTTCCACGCTTCCTATGTGGAATAACTCGCGAGGATGTTGGGGTCTACACTTTTCGATATAAGCATATCACGGACATGCTGTGAAAACACCGAACCTACTGCCATTTTGTACCATATAAAAAAGGAGGATGAAGGGAAAGGGGGAGTGGAAGCATTTGCATTGCGTGGCGTGGTCTCATTAATGAGCATTGGGTAAGGGATTCCTAATGACAGTGGCAGAACCTAGTATGTGGTGACCTGTATGTGGCGATGATGGGAGACAAGAACCAACCATGGGCAGGTAGTTGTTGGTGACACCAAAATATGTAATATTCTCAACTCCACACATCAAACATGCTCTCTCTTTCAGACTCCTCTGTCAGATACTCGTAAACATGTAAGGCACGTGCTTATCGTGGAGATTCCTCGGACTCGGAGAGCAAGCAGGTTGCCATTTCTGGACAACAGTCGTATGCCAGATTCAATTAATAACCCGAGGCCACTGACATTGGTCTGCCATGTACCATTTGTCAGCGCCACTCCTCCGAGAATCACCACCAAACACAAATCGTTGATTATTGAAAAATCGGTGAGCCTGACAATCCCACTTACAATTCAGAGCATCATTACCTTCACACACGCGCAAGTGACGTCCTTTGTTCTGTGACCTCACTCACCCCTGATATACGCCCGTTGCGGGCCTTATCAGAGCCGCGGGATTACTTATCAAACTCGACTCCGCTTCTCCTTGAACTCCATCCTGGTCCTTCCACCAAACTACCTATCCTATCTGGTAAACATCCAAACGTCCCAAACCTCACACCAAATCATCACTTCAAATAAGCCAGAAGCTCAGTACCACACTCGAGCACAACTCTATCCAGCTGCGGGACCAGATCGTCCACCCCACCCCAACCCCCACCATCATTACCATCACCATGTCCAAAATCCGAAATCTCACCACCGTGTCAACCTACAGTCTCGCGCACACGGCGCAATGCAAATTGAAACTCTCAGCCAAGCGCGGCGACCGCGATCTGCGCTTCATTCTCGGGCACGCATTCACGCTGGACAACGTGATGCTGCGGATCATGGAGATTGAGAACCAGAGCGCCAAGTCGTCATTCTTAGAGGGCCGACCCCCGAGCGAGGACGGAGACGTGCACTACGACTGCTCGGCCGCGAAGCCCGTCGAGCCAGAGGAGCACTACGACTGTTCGAAAGCAGCACCGGCCCCGGAACCAGAGCCTGAAGAGCACTACGACTGTTCCAAGCCAGCGCCGCCAGTCCCAGCAGAGCCCGACGCCAGAGGCCGCAGAATCAGCTTCCAAGACAACAATGCCCGCCCCTCGAATACGTTCAGTGGAAACGGATCGAACAATGGCGGCAACTCCCCCGCTCGAAAACGTTCCCCTCCACCCGTGGCCCTCCCGTCCAAACCGGACTACTACCTCGACGACTCCGACTCGGACGGCACCTCGTCCGACGACTACGACGAACCGACCTCATACGGACCTGGTGCTGGAGCAGCTCACGACCCCGCAATATCCCCCAACGCAAAACACCAATCCACGCACGACGCATACTCGGACTCAGAGGACGCGGCGCTCGAACTGGCCGACGACGAGCTAGACGACGACATGAACGGCCTGTCACTGACACGGTTCGCATCAGCATCGGCGCAACCGCCACGCATGATTCGGTCGACCTCGTCGTCGTCTTCGGAGGACGACGACGACACCGGCCCCGTCTCGCCGCCGCAGTTGCCCGCCGACGTCGACGTGCGCGAGATCATCGACGGCGACAAGGACGAGGTCCTCGAGCGCCTCTACGATGATGTCCGCCGCTGCGCTTGTCATGGCCTCGCGACCGATCACGAGGTCGGGGCGAAACCGGTGGGAATCTGGGATGTCCCTGCTGAGAAATCGGGGGGCAAGAGGTTGGCTGTTGTGGCTATCGCTGCTTGAGGCTGCAGGGATGGGGTAGCGGGAAAGGATCTTTGATCGAATTCGAGGGAGCTGCTGGTGAGTGGTTGTGGTGGTGTGGTTGGTCAGTCGATTGCCAGGCTGGCTCGCGGGCGTTGTTGGTCTTTTCAACACGTCGATGACAACGCGTTAATCTGGGGGAGGATTTAATTGGGCCTGCATTGAAGGCCAGAACCTGGGTTTCTGTGAAAACGCAGCACGCACCAAAAAATAAGCACCAATTTTACGTGTAGCTACGGCGAACAGCGTTGCGGCTATAATTAGCTGGACTGTTTTCTGCTATAGGAATACATCCGAATATTTTCGGCCTACTCGCGGAACCTATTCCAGATATATGCTGGAGCGTCCTCCTGCCGGTACCGAGCATGTTTTACATCATCCTGCCGATTTCTCCCCAGGAAGTTGCTGGCTTGATCAAGACGTGGGCTGAATGTATCGAGCTGCTTGCTGAGCTCGGACAAGGTAATACGCAGCCTAAGACCTTTATCCACGTCGAACGGTGCTCCTGCTGCTGCCTTCGGGTGGCTCATCTTGTCTTCCAACGTCGCTACCTTGTCGTCCAGGATCTTCATTGCGTCTTCAGCGGTCATTTCTTTCTCTTGGATTTCACTCGCGACCAGGCGTTCGCCTTGACACAGGTCGATCTTGACCTGAAAGCATTTTTGTTAACTTGGCTGAAATAGGGTACCTGCTGTTCACTTCGCAATCGCGGGAAAGACATGTTCGTAAGAGAATCAGTGGGTAGAGCTTACCTTTGCTCCTCGCTCGTACAATACTCTCTCAACCCTCGGCATCTGTTTGACATAAAACTGCCGCATTTCTCCCAATTGGTCGCGCAAGCACAACTCCTGTTCCATGGTCTCCCCATTTCTGTCGTCCACGAAGTCGGTCAGAAACCGTTGTGCATACTGTAGCTCGCGCTGACATTCTCGCATCTTGTCCTTCATGACATTGTAGTCATCTTCGGTGTGGCTGGGGTTGGCATAGTCCTTCGTATCTTTGAGAAACACTTTCACTTCATCTATCAATTTTTGAGAATCGTCGAAAGTCCGCTTGTCCCGTTCAGCCGGTGAGAGCTTTGACCATCCATCTAGAGAGTAATATATTGCTTTGTCCGACATCTCCTTTCTCTAACTTGACGGGGCCGCGGATACCTGCTCGGTCTTGTGCCTCACGAATCTGTTTGTCAACCTCTTACCAGGCAATATAACTTGCCTTTGGTAGCTCGATGATGATGTGGCCTATGTGTGTATTTCTGGAACAAGTCCTCACCAACGAGAGAGCCAAATATAAGACCAGGTCAATGTCAAGTCCAGAAGTCCAGCTCAAAGATAGCTTTACTGCAGATGATGATCTGTAGGCAGCAAAATAGAGCTCACTCTCAAATGAAAGGGAAAGGCCCTCGAAATCCTCTCTCAAATGGCTGCACAGGTCGCCAAGGGTACATAATCAAATGATTTCATCTGCAGAGTGTCGGTGACATTTGAGTCGATGGGCGATATGTCCGGAAAGTTCATGTCGCGATACTTCAAGCTGACAAGCACCTAGCGTGGAGGAATAGTATATGTTCAACACAAACACTCATGGCGCATCGATGATATTCTGACGGAGGAAGAAGTCATGACTGAAGGGATGAGGTAACGAGGTAATTCGTATGTGATATTAAGTAGTATTGAGAAACATGCATGAACATTATCGCGTGGTAGGTAAATCGCTAAAGAGCAGACAGAAATGAACCCAAATCCCCCCTCTCTCATCGTGCTTCATCATGTGCTAGTTATACTCAATGAGTTTAGTCCCACCTCAGCGACGGATAAAAATACCGTCCTCCGACGTCCGGGGTTTATTCTGCCTCAGAAGACTAGGTAGGATCTCGAGCGCCGTGCTGCCACTGGCACCGCCACCTACCGCGACAGGAGCTTCACTCACCGCGGTGCTGACGGCCGGGCCATTCTTGGGATACATTCGCTTCGCATCCTTGTTTTCGTCGAAGACGGCCTTCGCGGCCTTAGACTCCTCGTCCGAGATGGTGACGCTGTAGGTGGGTGACTCCTTGCTTCCGGCACCGGGCCCGCTGCCACCGGGCGGCGTGATGGGGACTCGTCGCATCGCGGATAACAGCCCGCACATGAATTTGCTGCGACGCTGGGCGCGAGTCTGCTCGGATGCGGAGTTGCCTTTGTGTTCGTACTCGATGCGGAGTTCGATTTGCTTGAGGTCTGACACCGAGAGGAGTTGGAGGTCGACTTCGGGGAGAAAGTCGCGTTTATGCTCGTTCACGAAGCCGGCGAGCTGACCTCGGAGGGTTTCGAGGTCTTCGAATGATGTGTCGGCGCAGACGCTGATTTTAATCTGTTCTTTGAGTTCCTTGGATCGGGTCACATTTCGGATCCACAGGCCGTTGATACTCGAGTTGGGGATTTGTACTAATTGGCGAGATGATACTTCTTTGAACACGCTGTACAGGAGAGAGATCTTGACAACGTCCATGTCGGTGTCGTTGATGGAAATCCGGTCGCCGACGTCGTACGGGTGTTTGATGAAGACGGTGATGCATGCGGCGAAGAGTTCACCCGCAGTGCTGGCGAAGAGGAACGAACAACCGGTGAAGGTGGACCATACCTGGGTGTAGTGGTTGGCCAGGTAATCGGAGAAGAATGCGGCGTAGATCAAGAAGATGAAGATGAGGACAAACACGCTGAGGACTCGGTCCAGGACTTTGATTGCATCCTTTACATTGTGTGCGCCTTCCCAGATAGTCTTTCGGTCTGATGCCACTTTCTTGACGAGGTCAACCATTTCGACGAGAGTTATGTCGCCGTTGCCGTCGGTGTCGACTTTGCGGTGGATATACATTGCCTGAGCTTCACATCCGGGTCCGAACATGATTTTGATTGCTTCCTCGTCAAGCTTGTTGGCACCAAAGTTGGTGAACGAGTTCCAAATGCGACGTGCGAGGGCTTCTGCCGCAACAGGTCTCTCAAGTGCGGCTTCCACGATTGCTCCTGAAGCTGTTGGTGTTAGGACTTGTTGACCTGCAATATCACTTGCCATGTACCCTAGGATGGATGTGATCTTGTCACCAGTTGTTCCAAGACTTGTCATGAAGATTGCAGCGGAATCCGAAGTCGCTGTTCGACGACCGTGCTTATCCTTGCGATAGCCTCGAACATCATGAATATCAAGGTCGTCCTCTCTGAAAGCGGGGTGGCTGTCGTGATACTGTCTTCGAGAGACATCGTACATGGTCTCAATAGAGCGACTGAGTGTCTCCAGCTCCTTGATAGTATCGTATTGCTTCTTCCCGTGATAGTTGACACTGACCATTTGAATCAATAGTTTTTGAACAAGGTAAAGTGCGGTAACACCGATGGTGGCTTTGTTGACACTGTGGAGGACGCTAAGCCAATGAATCTGTCCGGCGTATTTCTTGTGAAAGTCCTGGTCAAATGTCCAAATGATGGAACGGGATGCGATGGACAGGATGGCCCAGAAGAATAGAGATAGTGGGATTTCAACCGCCTTGAGTACTAGTGCATACTTTCTGATGCCGGTCCGTACAGCTCCGGCCATGGATTGGTAAAGTATTGGCACAAACTGAGCCAGGAGTTTGGCCACCCACAGAAGAACCCAAACAACTTCAATCCAGATGAAAAGACCGAGGAGTCGAATACCTCCATCCTCGTTTGTGGTCACCTGCTCATATATTTCGGCAGAAGTGATGTTGTAAATGTTTGTAATGTTACTGGTGGGTGAATCATCTATGGACGTGATGTTGGAGGTATAGACTGGCTGGAGTTTGGTTTCCTTGAAATGTGACCATATCCTCGCATTTGCGTGTGTGGTTGCAAAGATGATAATCGGGATCGCCAATAAGATGGCAACAGGAACGATATAGAATGTGTAACGGATCAAGACGTTCTGTCGCAATCTTTGCCATGTCATTCCAAGCTCTGACAACTCCTCATCTTCGTCGATCTTCTCATCGTTCCACCTATCTGAAGCTTGCGGGATCGAGATCCTTGATTGTGCCATGCTGGGTCTCGAATTAAGCGGATAGGACATGGGAATAGGAAAGGCCTTCTCGCCCATCTCGTATGAGTTGCTTGAACCAGGTGTTTCCCGTACACTGATGAAGGTATCATTGGGAGCCATCTTGTCGAGTTCACGAATTGGCAAGACGAAGGCCTTTGACAGTTGGTAAAGGCCAGGAATTAATACGGCCTACAGTTGTCAAAAGCAGAACACTTGATATTTCAGTATGCGGTGCAAGCTCTTCAGGTAGCCGTGGGCAGAAGTACAGGATATGAACTTAGTTATCAATGAGAACTACCGTCTGATCCATGGTCGAGCATTTCTTGCATGTACAATTCCCACCTGAGAAAGCGACATCTGTCGCGGATATGCCACCTCATACCGGATAGACGAGCTATTTGCTCTTAGCGAGGTTCTTCCACGGTCTAGAGAACAAAGGTGGATTCGAACAAGAAGCCACGTGGATTTGAATGAGCAAAGAATACCAATATGGCGACCCTGAAAGGCAGGAGCTTCTCGGGACTGGCGAGAAAAACCACAGTTGAAATGAGAAGTGGATGCAAAAGTGTCCCAAAATGATCAACTCAATTACTGGTCGTCTTTCCAGGCATGATATTCAAGCCCGGTGGATTCTTTTTATGACAGGAGGCTTGGACAAAACGGCATTATCGCTTGGTTCACAGCTCATTTTCAGGACTTGTGGCGTCGCAGTGTTGTTGTGGCGTTGACTGAAGCTCGGAGTGCCCTTCTCATCAGCCAGCCTAGAACGCGAAAAGGGGAAAATATCTGTGGACTTTTTCAGCTTGGACTGCGAACAAGGTTTGGCTAGTCCGGTACGAACCGCGAACTAGACTATTTTTGTTCTGGTCCACAGTATCACAATAACAATCACCAGCCAGGGATTCGAGTTATCTCGTAACATTGTGCGTGTTCCAACTGGAATGAATAACTCAAATGGCGACCACTTGACGTCTGCTAACTCACAGTATATATCGATGCACTAATTGTATATGATTCATTATGTCTGCCTTCAACGATCTCACTTGGCTTCAGTGACACAGTGACACGCGAGCGATAGCCGAAAACCACCATGACTAAAATTCGGCTAACATACGGATAGTGCTAGGCAATGTCCCGACTCTCCAATTTTACCCAACAAGCGAGACCCGCACAAGGTCCAGACCTTTGGGAACTTCGAATTTTAGTTCGAATAGTGCCAAGTATGTCTCATTACTCTTGACTTTAGGATCTCTGCTGCTCATCGAAGTTGTACGAGTAGGTAAGATATGTGGGTGTGGCGCCCATATCGATACTCTCGTACACACCAAGTACCTACGTAGGTACTGAGTACGGAATGTGCGGAGTTAATCCCCCCTTTATCGATTCTGCTTGCCACATCAAAGCTCTGCCTTCTTTCGGTGCCGACGCTAATGTAACGGTTCAATGGGAAGACTTGAAGTCTCTCAATCCTTTGGCTGTCACGATTTCGGGATTTTATTCCAATGGCATGGCCTATCTCGCTGTTGCGCATAAAGAAGGAACCTTGTCAACGACTATCGCTCTCTCCAACCACTCAACTCAATCTGCTCGAACACCAATGTTAAATAGCTGAAGTTCGGTAACTATGTTATTCTTTGTCGTTCCGGCACCTATGCTAAGTACGACTGCGCGAAGCTGATGATCCACGACCGTCTACCCCGGTAAGCTTTATATTTCAGAACGTATAAGATGTCTCGACATGTTCGCGATGGACAGGTCAACTACCACTAAATCAGATATACAATGTTATAAGATGGGAAGTGCTTCACCCATCGACATAAGTAAGTCTCCGGTACTGGCGCTCTCAACTCGATTCAAGGATACCACGTCAATCAGGAGGCCTCCCTAGCACCTATCTTTGATTTGCTGGAAGTACACGTCCACTACACGCTCCAGATCCCACTGGACCAAGCCCATCACTATTGTCTGCTCGAGCCGCATATGTGAGGACATCTCCAGTTTCCAGAAATGTTCTTGTGATATTCTTCTGAGACGATGGGACCGGTCTCATCTCATACGGAAATGTTCCATTCCGGGTCATTTCGAAGCAGCAGCATTTTCCCTCTCTGATCGATCCCGAGAGCGTCTCAGTTGCAAGAAGATCTCCGGCACGTAAAGGACAGCCACCTCGAGTATGATGAGCAAGCATCTGAGAAAGTGAAAATACTACATTATTGGTATTGGTCTCCGCCACATGATACGTCTCCAAATCAGCTGCGATTATTAGCAGGGGCCAGGAGACGAATGGGTATTGTTTGCTTACACTCCAGTGTCACTGTTATGGGGATGGTATACGCCGAGTTTCTCTTCGTTTCTGTCAAGGAGGGCAAGAATTCACGATCCTAGATATCAGTCAACCGCAGGACATTTAGTATGGTGGTCTACTGGCTTACTCCTCTTTGTGGCGCGACACGGAATGGCTCTCATGCTTCTAGCGGTACTGCCCATGGCGATACAGTTGTACAGAAATTCTTCCCGCTCAGGGGTCCTATCATTTTCGCTTCCCAAAACTGGATGTCCCGTGTCGACCAATCGTTCATTAAACCCACGCCAAAAATATGGTCTTCCGCTTGATTGACATCAATGGACTCTCCCATTTCTTTGCCTTGGCCAATGAAGCAAGCAATTTCAGACTCAAAGACAAGCCTTTTGCATTTTTCTTGAGAAGGCTTCCCGTCGACGTGAAATTGACTTTTATCACTATGGCGGTGAGCTAAGTAGAGGACCTCGGTTTGAATCCCTGGTCCAAAGTCTGGAGGACTGCCCCACAGGAATGGATCGAACTCTTTGTACTAGCATTACTGTGGCCCTGCAATGATTACGATTGCTTGGAGGCATTTTATTCACTATGTTCAAGCTCGAGCAGCAACGAAAAGTCGCGCGAAATATAGGTCTGATGTTTCAGAGTAGGATCTATGGTATCATATCAAAGAAGTGTGAACGTGAATGGACTTGGGTCCCGCTCTAAGGAGTATCATAAGCCACATCCAGTACCCTGATTACGAAACCTTGTCTCCGATTTAGGCTACTGATGTGGTACTCGTAACTGATCACTGGTCGATCGCTTGAAGACTAGCCATGCTTTCCTGTGGTACGTGAGGACCCAGCACTTCAAGTACGTCCCTCCAGAACCTAAGTTGTAGCTTTTGGCCTTCGGCACCTGTGACAAGTTCTCCTTTACTGTCAAAAGTATCAGCTTTCTTGTTAGGTGCCTTGCGAAATTTCGCGCTTACCGGAAAAAAACATCATGAACCCAGAATTGCCCATGAGCGTCATGTCCAAGGGCCGCCCCACTGACAATTGACCTGCTTCCCTCCTCTGCAGTCCTGGCGAATATGGACTGGAATATCCCGTTGGCAACTTTCGCCGAGGCTGAGAAACCCCGACCGAGGTTGGTGCGACACAGTCCTGGACATACAGTCGTGATAATCACGTCTGAAGAGGGAGCTTGAGTAATTGGAGATCTCGACTTCACAAGACCATCAACGACATACATGAGAAGCAATTTCGAGACCTGGTAGTGTGTCATGTAATTGAAGAACTCTTGGGAGTTGACCTTGTCAAGTATCCTCGAGTCGCTGTCAAAGTTGAACGTGCCGGGCTTGACCATACGATGGCCATCGCTCCCAACAAATTCGAGGCAGGAAGGTTCGCCAGACGAATTCGAACTTCTTCGTAGCAACGGAAGAAGTAGGATTGCTAAAAGTGCAGTCGAAAGAACATTGACTTGCAAAGTCATCTCGTAACCCTCTGGGCTCAAGACATATGATGGTGCTGTAACGCCGGCATTTAGGACGGCGACATCGATTCGCGGCTCCTTTGCAGAGAGCATCTTTGCCAACCCTGCCACTGACCCGAAGGTGTCCATATTGACCTCATATAGTTGAACATTCTTGCTGTCGTAATTTGTACGGCGGCAAATCTCTGCCCTGGCTTCTTCTCCACGTTGTAAGGAGCGAATACATAATATGAGTCGAGCCGCACCAAGGGCCGCAAACTTGACTGCTGCTTCGAGACCAAGGCCGGAATTTGCTCCAGTAATGAGGACAGTCTTGCCCGAGAATGAAGTTGATGGATCCTGTGGCAGATGATGAGCTGCCCACCAAAACAATCGAATGCCATCTGTGTCTGGAGGCTTCACAGCCATGATCGGAGAGAATATTTCAAATGCGCGACGTTCCCTAGCCTAGAATCGAATCATGAGGAGTGACAGCAAGAGGTGCATCGAGATAGTTCTTAAATGGAAAACTGATAGGGTTTGGAGGCTGAGACCGTTCTTGAAAGGCTCCGATGTTCGGTATCCATTCCGAATTCGCCACTAACTGAAACAGGAGGATCTCGGCCGAGCAAATCCTCCCTATTCTCTGACTGCTTTGCTGTGTACTGTGAGTGCTTGCTTCATCTCAGCTAAGAGTTGCCTGAGTGGTGGACAAGCCCCTCTCTGATTTTGCAAGGGTGGCTGTTCATTGGCTTCTTCCTGTAACATTGGTACTAAAAACTTTGAGCCTTTTGCTGGATCGAGGATGACACTCGCACTACTTGGTATTTCATTCGAGATGCCCAACTTCACTTCAATCCGGTCCAACATGTCTTCGCTGACCTGTAGCAGAATTTGGATTTGAAGATCAATGCGCGTCGCGAGCCTGAAACCTCCGAGATCAAGTCCTGGAAATAGGTCGCATTTTGGTCCAGAGGGGCCTAGAAAGAACGGTAGCGAATCATAAATGCATGATAGTATCGTCCGATATATGCGAACCAGGGAGACATAGGAAGAACTCAACAACAGCATCAATGGGGTATTACAATATGGTCGATCATCCGATTGGCCGGCAACAATTTCATTTTCGTCGGAGATTGGCGTATTGCCTTGTGAGAATGGTTGAAAACAATCGAGTATCTCGATTAAATTTGTCGAATTGTCCAACATATTTCCAATAAGATAGTTACTGTTTTGCCCAGTCTCCATGACACTTGGTGTATCGGAACAATTGCCCGCAGTTCCGCAGGATTTGACGGTCTCCAGATCAGCCAGAATCTTTATCTGTAGCTCGCCTAGTCTCTTCATCAGATCTAAATTCTTGTCCGATGGGAGATTATGAGCTTTGCCCTTCTCAGGTCTGATAGTTTGAATTGGCTGGACTTGATAATCAGGCACTGAGGACGACCTTTGTTCGAATGCATCTGTCCACGTAGCATCGAAATTATGCAGAGCAATTGGCGAGCCAAACATGTTCATGTCAGCCATATCAGCCTGAATGGCCCCATCGCTCTCTAGCATTCTGTCCAGGTTTGAGGATGGTGGAGTCGGGAATGCCAATGGCGTTTGTTGGTCACCGAATCGCAAATCAATGGGGATGGCGTCATATTCAAGCGGATCAGCCATATTCTCCTGATGCTCCATATAGAGATGGACCGGGCGCCCAGACTTCAGTGCGGCGCTGGTCACGCACTGGGTGTGAGCCTTTGCGCAGCGGCGACACTGTAGGGAGCCCACGGAGCGTTCGCATCGTAGCTTATGGCCACGGCATCGGTCACATGCCGACCGGCGATTACCTGTGTCGTCAAAGGGTCGAAAGGCATGCATAGTGGTGAAAAGGATATTGGTTTACTTGATGAGCTGGGAGTTGAGATCGGATCCGAACCAGGGCGAATGTAAGTTGACTACCTTGAATCACGTGCAGCATGATCGCACTGTCGCATCTCTTCCCAAAGTACCAGAAACAAATTTAGTTCGGAGAACCACTGAGACGATGAAAAGTGTAGAGTTGGACTTGGACGTTCGATGAATTGATGGCATTCGGAACATTGATTTTGGCCCCCCGAATCCGAGCACCCGAATGGGTCACCCATGGGTATTTCTTGGGTGTGCTGACAAATAACCATCCGAATGTCTCTGCCATTTGGAATATGACAGTGCCGATTGCTAAATGAGAGGCTGGCTTTCCACAATATCAGTAGTATGGTACGCGCATCAAAAGATGACTTCCGAGTGCAGCAATCATCATGCGATTTGACAGCCATTGGTTGGCTGAAGATTGGACTTGAGGTCTTTTACACCCCTATTGCCATCGGCGTCGTAGTATGGCTTTTCTCGTTTGAGTGGTGCACTCCGCTTCCAGCTGGGATGAAGCCGTAGGTTCAAACTCGCAAGAAGCTGCTTGCAGGAGTCTTCAATTCCATTGTCGAGTTGTTGTGTGAAGATGAAAGCGGTTCAAGCAGATCTCTGGAAACAATTGCGGGATTGGAGGTTTCTTCATCTTCACGGAACCCCATATATACACGCTCTCTTTTGAACTTGAGGTCCCACTGATCGGTGACAGGGACTTGCCCACTACTGGTCTTCCAAGGTCCGATACCACGACCTTCTAGAGCTTGACGTTGAAGCTGAAGAATATCGTCTTCATCCCAGGCTTGGGCTGCGACATTGCCACGCAGAGAAGCCGGACTCATTCGTGAGAAAACAAGAGGTAAGAAATAGTCGACTAGAATGATTAGGAGACTGCAGACAAGAATAATGATGATCCCCAGCATGCTGAAAGAACTGTATGCATTGTTGCGTGCACGCTGGTTGCGGCACAGTGCTTGCGCGTCCGGGTCAGTTTCAGCAACCATATGATCATGAAGATTCAGGCCCGGACGAATCTGGATATTCGGAGTTGCTGCGTGGCCAAGCGCAGTCAGCTGAAGACCAGCCAGTGTCAGGTTATGAATATTCGCAACTTCAGTTTGCCACTGATCATCCGGCAGGGGTGTTGATATCCCGAACGAACCATAAACCAAGCGTGTTGCAACAAGGATCTCATTCTTCAAGAACATCAGAAAACTGTTGAATCGTAACGCGTAGATCATTTTGCTCATCAAGACGTAGGTAGCAGTCTGGCGCGGGTTTAAATCGAGACTCGCCGGGGGTATAACCTGATCAAAGTCATAGAGAGAGCCCAACGCTGTGCATTTGTCTTCCTGCTTGTCACTTTTCTGCGCAGGGTTGCAAAATTGGTACTGTTCGGTACAAGCGATTCCGGTTATTGTGGTGTTTGAGATCCACGAGTTTGCTAGCCGATTGAATTCCTCTTGACGCGTAGCGCTGAAAAACGGGTCGTTGACACGACCTGTGTACGCTACACGGTTGTTGAGAACCAACAACGATATGTCGGCATCAGTACGGTTCAATTCGGGTATGGGGTAGAAGCCACTCTCAGTCAAGTTCTTTGGGTAGTAAGTCCGAACACTAAAGACATCAGCGTGCGATCTGAGAGACTCGCAGTAGTACTTACTTGAAGTTGTATGGAAGATTTGATGTGCTGACGGAGAAGTTACTGTAAACGAAGGTAAAGTTGCTGACTGGCACACCGAAAAGCCAACTTGATCCTACCGAATAGTAGTTGTATGTATCGTTTGGAATCATCATTGGCATGAACATTTCGGTGCCAGGTACAATCTCATCCGTCCAGCCTGTGGAATATGATTCGATTGGAATTGGTACACAGGATGTCACCTTTCGGAGCTGAAGGCGATCTTGTTCAGGGCCATTGATGCCAAGTTTCATGTCCGAGTCGATCAGACCAGTGTCCATTGCGATTGTCGGTCCTGCACACATACTCGATGTAAACGGGCATGGTGCATCGTAGTTGAAGGTGGATCCAATATACGGAACTGTTGGGACAGTACATCTGGCATCAGTGTTATTGCGACTGGTGTCATAGCAGGTAGTTGTGTAAGTCATGTCGTCTCGATACCCATTATAGGCTGCCACGAACAAAGCGTCACCATCCTCCCAATCGGCTGTGGTCCACTCAGGGAAGTCCTTGTTTGCGGTCAAGCTCATCCAACCACACTTGCCAACAAGAAGCCCCTCGCCACCAGTAGCTGTGACACTGGCTGAGAAGATACCGGCAACGAGCCAGACAATTAGGTTGACGAGTGCGAGTATAGCCAGTACGAGACTCCTTCGGAATGAAGCCGGTACACTCGATCTCCAAGCCCAGGCGATCTCATACATACGCCACAGCAAATCTGCCTCTGACGTTCTCGCTCGCAATAAGGCTTGATGTTGGTAATGGAGACCGTCTTGAGAGCTCTGTGATGATCTCCATTTATGAGCAGAAAAACAAATTATGCCCCAAAAGTGGCCACCCGCCCACTTTACAATAAGTGCAAGTCCTGCAATGAGAATAATACCGTAAATGTTCTCAACAGTCAGTGTGAGCCCGAGCACCGCGCCTTTGCCTTTAGCGAGGATTAGCAGGACACCTCACTTTTTGGCGCGATCTCTTACCCCAATTTGTCCAAACGCCAGTATAAATCTCACTCACAGGCATCTTTGCGCCAGATCAACGTCCAGAATCAATACGAGGAAGAAAAGCATGAAAAAGAGCGGCAAGGCAGATTCCGTCTGAAGAAGGAATGGCTAGCTCGAAGGTCTGAGATAGACAGATGGCACATTCTCCTCTCGAAAAAATCAATCTTCCCGAACTTTCCCCTGATGAAGCAGCTTCATTAAGAATCATGGCCGTTATTGGGTAAGATTGGTGCAATTCGTCTAGATGGCTGAGAATACGAGGAACAAGACTTCAAAGCCTTGGCGGGCTGAAAATAAGGGGCGGTGCATATGGCAATCAGCAAAAGAACGGATAAGATTCGAGACACAAGAAATGCTTATCAGGCTTGGTACCTCTCAACAGCAATCGGTAAGGGCCTGAGTTTGCAACCGATGATGACTCCGAATTAGTATCACTTACGAAGTAGTGAGTGAGTTCATTTTCCGCTGTGATTCGAGGATTGAAATAAACGATGCTATAACACGTGATAATTATGGCCTGGAAAAAGTGCCGAGTCTCGTTGAAACACACCAGCATATCACAGTGTTTGATTGGATCTGAAATTCGCAGGTCCGGTCGCAGGTCCGTACTTCTTTTTGAGTAGTTGATTGGTGCTGACATAGAAAGTCTTCTTATGGCCTTGCGTAATGGACTGAGAACTCAGTGAGCCTGTCCATACGCAAACCAACTTGAGCCTAGGATCCGCTTGGATTTAAGCATGAGTGGCGGGCAGTACAAAAGTAGCAGTTTTGGGAATTGCGAATACTTTGATTGCTTCCTTGGATACCAAGTGCCGAGTAGCAAGCCACCTTCATATATTCTAGGCCGTCGTGTCAGGCACATCTCTTAGGAACCCAGATAGGCAGAAACCTCTATCTCGACACGCATATTTTCGAAGGCTAGTTTTTCCACGCCAACAGCGGTCATGGTTGGCTGATGATTGGGACAATACTTGCGGAGAAGGTCAATAAGAATGCCACTTTCTGTCATGTCCAATGGCGCAAAATAAGCACGAATTTTGTAGACCTGTTCCCAGCCTGTGCCGCCAGCTTCCTTCAATGTATGCTCAACATTGTCAAATGCCTGAGCAAGTTGCTTGTCCATTTCCTTAGGGATCTCATCAGTGACACGATCCCAACCACCTTGCATGAATGTGTGAGTGTTTGTGGACAGACATTATCACTGGTAGTGAGAATTACCTTGCCCTGAAATTTCAATGAAGTCCCCTATTCTGACCGCCTGGCTGTAATGTATGTCTTTTTTCGCTCTTTCGCCAAACCCTGCATAACTTGTGTAAGTCAGGTGGGACATTGTGAGTTGAGATTTTCAATGTGTCTAGAGAAGGTGATCGTATATTTGATATACTTGTTGAGAGATTGTGGAAATGCTTCTCGGTTTGCAATAAATACCCCTTCATTGACTTTCTGGATAAGGGCTATTATGCCGAACCATTAACATCAGATTGGTAATCAGTATCCCTGAAGGTTCGTGTTGCGATAGCTGAAGACTCTGAGTTCGATGAGCGCCTGGAATATGCAAATAAACTCCGGAAAACAATAGGACTAAGTCTACAGCCAAGGACGGAGTGGAGAGGGATATCATGATTCTTATGCCTGCAACCTGAATACTGACTCCATATTGTTGCGAGAGACCACGGAGATCCGGCTCAAGTCCGAGACACATGAAGACCTGTTGCGGACATGAGAGATCGCTCTGGTGGTGAATAAGTCGATGGCTGAGAAGGATATTGAGGTCGGATGAATTATTGTCACGCCGGCATAATCAAAAGTTCACAGACGGGATGCCAAGGTATGGCTTACGGTGGAGTACCCCATAAGCCCACCTCGGCCTACGAGCGTTGGCATTACGGACGAGGTTGAACCATCAGGTGTGCACAGCGACATGATGTACTTAGGTAGCCTTGTTCGGTCAAATAGAGATGCGCTGAGCATGACGTCCGCATAGTCTTAAGACCTTGGAGACTGCAGCATTTCCGATTTTCTAGACAGCCACTTCAGATTTTCTGCCAATCTATGGCCTTGAGGACAATCCCTGTTACGCGTCCGGAGTTAACCTGTTGGTGTTTGGCAAAAGCGCGAATACCGACGCGATTCTCAAACAGTTCATCGAACTCCTCCAAAGAGCGGTCTTCCATTTCTGGCAGGAGAAAGACAGGGAACAGGAACACAATGTGTGGTTTTTAGCAGCAACCTGACACAGGATCCCAAGGCTGAAATTACAGCACCATTCCACTCATCGAGCACTCAAGCCTTCGGTTCAGCCGAGATATAAGCCGAATCGGCCATGGGGTTTTCAGGTATCTGGTGTTAGCCGTCAACTATGGTGGCAATCGGAATTGAAGAAATAGTTGATGCCAGTCCCCACGTCAACAGTGGTGGCGCAAAGTGGTGAGCTGATTACCTCTTGCGCAACATGCCAACTTAGGCCACCATAGAACTCGTTGTTGAAAATGCCATTAGAGAACCATGAATGCCACAATTGTCCTGCCTCCGTGCGGTGAAATCCTAGCAATGGTCTCTGTGATTGCGATTGCCAGCATGCAGAAGGAAGCCCTGGTGGATCCGAACAACATTGAAGTCCTTCTCCTAATCACATTGGTGGTGAAGTGAATTCAGATCAAAGCGTCAGCAAAGATGTCACAAGCCGATGTTTATGGATGCTTGGAAAGGCTTTTGAATCCCAGCCATTTCGAAAAAGAATGTCTTGGACAATGTTAGCTGGCAACAACCATATTCTCAAGAAAGCCTCCCATGACTTGGAATTCACCAACTGATGACGTATCGTATTCGCACTGACAATTCACAGTCGATGATCGCAGATATCGATAATGTGCATGTCCATCGCATGCAAACATAACTTACTCCCACCGATCCAAGCGAGGGGCCATTGCTGTCATTGTCGCCAGATAGTGAAACCATTGTTCGGTTTTGGCCTACAGCTAGAATCGTAATTATGGGAGAACTCAAAATTTTTCTGGGCGAGAAGGAAGGTCTTCAGATGATGGGCAAATTCGAGTATACCAACTGGAATAAGGCAGACAGAGATAAGGTAGACAGAGATAAGGTAGACAGAGATAAGGTAGACAGAGATAAGGTAGACAGAGATAAGATAGACAGAGCGACGTCCTTCCATTTCTCGCAAGGAGCAAAGAGAATGGGGTAGACAGTGCTGCTGCTATTCCTTGGTCTCGGTGGCAGGCAGCAGAATCACTCTCATGCCAGTACCACCAGGTAAAAATGACTCTGATTGGGGAGATTCTTTTACAGCTCAGCAGCATCTTCTAGCGTTCTTACTTGACCAGAACCACTTTACGCTGCACACTCACAATCTCACAAGCGATCCTTCAATTTGAAATGATTCAAATAGATCAGGGAGACTCGCAAAGAACGATGATAGGTATTTGCATGCGAATCAACAGTCACGCATCAAGCGTACTGGTAGTATAATCAAGAAAGCTGAAGGAGAACAGCTACTTACACATAGATCATCCTTCCCTTTCCCAACAGTCGACTCCAAAATCACTCTGTATCTTGAGAAGCGTTAGTCTCGCCATCGAAGACAACAAAGAACACCACACCTCGAACATGAAAATTTGCCTTTTCGACCTCTGAGAATGCTAAGGCACAAAGCCAATTGGAACTACAAAGCCAATTCAAAGGCCGACCGTATGAAAATGTCCCTCGCTTATATGCCTTTGTCTCACAACCATAGGAACTTGAAGGGAAGTCAAGGGGGCAGATATCAAGAGAGCACAGCCGTAGGGCCATATAAGCCTGTGATCGCGCGGTTGAACACGCCTTGCACCAAGAACCTCATAGGTCCAAGCTTTGCAACATTGACTCGAACGAAGACGAAGTCATGCATTCAAACTTCTCTTTCTTGCGAATGTTGTGGAGAATTATCCTGATCTTGGTGGCCATCGTGGCCCACACTTGCGTCATACCTCTATTTACAGCCATTATCTTCCCCTTCACAGTAGTGAGTTTTCTGATCAACCCATTTTCGGTTTTCATTTGGCTCCTCCTGTTTACCATTCCGTACATTTCGGGCTGGATGGTTTTGTTGTGGCTCTGGTGAGTCGCACAACCTACAATATGTCATCAAGTGAGCTGCCGCTATCGGTACTCCAAAACCTAGCTCGACTGCGATGCTGAATCGACTAACAAATGCGATATGATTTCCCTTCAACTAAAAATATTTTCCCTGCTTTCTCCGTTCAATCTTGCATAGTCCGCAGTATTCGCAGTACCTCGCATGAAGCAGCGTAATGCAGGAATCTCGCGCCATGCTTACTGTTTGGGGAAATTCGCTTACGCGGTTCGCTGACACAGCGGTCCTCACGTTCCGGCACTATTCCACGAAGGGTTACATTCACCGGCATGCAAATAACTTGCACACAAGCGGCCAAGCGGCGATGATGCTACGACCAGTGCGGATGCATAAGGCGAGGCTACGGCTGCGGCCCTATATCTGGAAGATTGCAGATCTTTAGCTGTGACCTTTCTCGACAATCTCGCGGCATACTTCTACACAGTCGATCATTTCACGAGCAGTTGGGGTGCTCCTCAGAGGGCCCCCTAGCCCAGGCCTGGATGGTGTACGCTTCATGATGCCTTTTACAGCTACGATGACGGAGGCAGTCCAATCTCGTTTGCGCTGCCACTGAGAAGCTGCCGCAAAGCTGCGGTTGCTGTGTCACTGCATGCTCAGTCATGTATACTGGGGCAAGCTACAGAGTACAGTAAAGCAGATAGGGGAGTGTGACATATATAACAGGCAGAGTAGGTCTCCATCCTTAATCCCTTCATCAGGACTTCCGACATTCATTCATCACATCAAACAAAACTATCAACTTCCAGGAAAGATGATTTACTCTGCCATTGCGGGGCTTTTGCTCACACTCACATCGGTCGCCACCGCATCAGCATTGCCTGAAGTCAACAGTTTGGAGTCCAGACAAGCCCCTTCTGTCTCGACGATTAGCTTCTCAGAGCCGATCCTAAGCCCGAATGTTATATTAACCTTCCCCAACGGCACTTGGGTGGAGAACCTCGTTCCCCGTTCCGAAGACGGCAACTTTGTGGCTACTCTTCTTTCAGCGCCAGAAGTGTACCTCCTATCATCTACAAATGCCTTCCCACCACTCCTCCTTGCCCAGTTCCCCGCAAAGACCAGTGTTCTAGGTGTTGTGGAGCTCGGCCATGACGTTTTCTACGCTGTTGTCGGCAACTTTTCTGTGAAAACGTTCGCGTCCACGCCCGGCAGCTATGGCATCTTTAAAATCGACCTGAATGGTCACGCCGTCGGTGCCAACAAACCTGGTCACGGAAAACTCTCAAAGTTAACCGCCAAGGGTGTCGTTGTCACGAAGGTCGCAGATCTCCCTGATGCAGGTCTCCCGAATGGGCTGACCGTTCTGAATCCCAATACCGGCATCCTCCTGGTCGCTGACTCCGCCAAAGGCCTCGTCTGGTCCGTCAACGTCTTCACTGGAAAAACTGCCATAGCCATCAATGACCCGTCCATGGCACCAAATGCAACGCTCTCAGGTGGACTTGGCCTGGGTATCAACGGGCTTAGCTTCGACAGCGGCTATCTCTACTACGACAACTCTAACACCGTCACCTTCTACCGTATCGCTGTCAACTCCACCACCGGTCGTGCCACCGGCCCTGCACAAGCGCTCGCTGACCAAGAATTTGCCAACATCTTCCCTGATGACTTCACGCTCGATTTCGCCGGCGGTATTTGGTTCGCGTGTGAGTACGGACACATTGCTTATCTCGCGGGCGTGAGCACAGGCAAGTTTCAACCTGGAATCGTGGCCGTGGCTGGAAATACGACAGGTCCTGTTGGCCTGACATCTGCAAAATTCGGCACAACCGCTGAGGACCTCAAGAGGGGATCTTTGTATGTCTCCACGAACGGCGGTCCTTTCACATATGGCGGTGCGCATCCGGCACAGGGTCAGCTCGTCAGGTATGACACAGCCCTGCTAGGCTTCTACTGAGTGAGAACGCTGTGGCAGAAGAGGCACAAGACTCATTCTGCGCGAGGTGACTGGAATTGCATGCAACATACTCGGTGGTAATAGGACAGACTTCAGAAGACTGATGTATTTAAGCTTGCACAGGAATTCGGAAACTAATTTAGGCAGACGCTGATGCTTTTCTTTTAACTAATAAGCTGAATTTTTGGGGAACAAAGGGCGAACCATCTCCAACACTCTTAGGACACTTTCAAGATCATACTCCATTCATGCCCTCCTCGTCCCTCCTCTTTCGAATCTTCATTCCTTTCCCCAGTAGACTAATAGTCAATCATCAGCCTCATGTTCCACAGCTCCTCCACAGCGCACCATGGAACCCGGCCAGGGGTCGAGCCTGGCGGAGAAACATCAGAAGCTCTCAGCCCAACTGCTACAATCAGGAGGGAAAGACCAAAAAGTACAACAAGCAGAGGAAGCAGAGAAACTTAAAACACTACTTCCATTGCGTATCTGATACTCGTTCTGGATAGAAACTCTCTATTTACGCCCACGTTCCTGGGCCTCGGTAGAACGTACTCTGCGGCCTTGCTCACTTTCAAAGTAGGAAGTCCTAGGCCTGTATCATGCCTCAATTGCCTGTGCCTCCGCCGCAATCTTCTCGCTGGCTTCCTGCTTCATCTTCTTCTTCGAATAAACGAAGACGAATACACTGAAGGCAAAGTACACGGGTTGCAGCACCGTCGTAAATGTGTAGCCCTTGAAGAGCCGTGGTGCTTCGACTGTAGGCCAAACGAACAGAGGAACCCAAGCGTTGAAAGCTGTACCTGTTGCAAGCATCGAGCTGATGACAAATGCTCGTTCTTCGGCATCACCAGCACAGACTAGATTGGCGTGAGAGTAAATGACAGGTGAGAGGGAAACCAGCATGTAGCCGATAGACACAGAAAACCTGTATTGTATGAGCGATACATATCTTGCTATTGAAGGGGATTGTAGACTTACCACTTCCATTGAATTGAGGATTTGTCATAGAGGACGAAGCCGAGAGATGCGATGAAAGTCATCGTAGTCACAAAGCCAAAAAGGGGTATCTTAGCTTTATCTCCCCACTTGTCGACCACCCAAGAAAAGGCAAAAATGAATACCACCCCAAGACTTGGGCTAACAGCCTGTTTGCAAGTTAGTACTTTGCTGATGTCAGACATTTTATGCACTTACTGTGTAGTTGTTAACCTGCACAATGCTGTACTGAGGTTGAGCTCGTAGCCATAGAATATGCTGGCCCCACCAGCCCATACCCAGAATCCAAATGATATTCCACGGCACCAGGACCCACCAATGCCAGCGACCAAAGAATCGCTTGACAGAAGACCAGGCAAATGGCAGTCCTTTAGGGCTTGAACGACCAACGAGCCGCATACGTTCCAACGCAATCGTGTGTTCCGCGGGAGTCATAAACCATCTCTTCTCTTCTCTCAAAGCGCCAGGGAACAATACAGCACCCCAAATCGCGATAGGAAAGGTGCATAAAGCGCCGATGAGAAACATCCACCTCCATCCAGCATGGCCAAGGGCTCCGTCCAGGTCAGAATAGATACGTGCGGCGAGTACACCGGTCGAGATGGTGCCGGCTCCAGAAGACATGTAAAAGATGCCTGCCCTGCGGACCAGCTCATCGGGTCTATACCAGCTGCCAAGAACATAATGGATGCTGCAGAAAAAAGGACCTTCGCAGAAGCCGATAATGAATCGGTAGGCTGCTAGTTGGCTGAAGTTTTTGGCCCAAAATGCAAGCATGGTGAACAGCCCCCAGGAGAAGGTACTCAGCGGAAGGACAATATGCGCTGGAACTTTGGTGACTAGTAGTGTCGCAGGAATCATAGATCTAGAAAACATTAGCAATAGTATAGTGAACGTGACATGGTTGACGGACGTGGCATAGCCGACTGTGAATACCGAGCCGAGTTGAACGAATTCATTCCCAAACAACTTGAGGTCTAAACATAAATCGTGAGTCGTAAGGCAAGAATAATGGGTTGCCCGACTTACCACTTCTCATTCCACTGACATATGCGTTGGCAAGAATGCCTCGATCTATGTACATAACCTAGAGTATGTGTTAGCACACGATTGAAGACGGACATAATCAGGTTCAGAAGGCATACCCAGAAGCCCAGGCAGGCAAAGCTGAGCGTCAGGAAGTCTAATTTCAAGATGAGACGTCGCTCGATTGGGCCATCATTCTTGTCAAACCAGGCGAAAAAGCTGCGCTCTTTTGACGGATTGGGATTGGCTCTCTCAACTGCTTCATTTGTGCTAGAATTCTCGCTAGTACCCTCCGTAGAGGTGGTCGTGGAAAAGATTTCCTCGGCTTTTGCCATGGTTGTGTTATCTTCCTGTGTTTGGATGTGCGACAGATACTATCAGCATGGTAGCTTCCACAGCGTCTTTATACCATCCATGACTAGCGGCATCAAATTCCAATGAGATTCGAAACTTCACTGTACCATGGATCTGGGTCGAGCACGACATTCTCGCTCTGGATGCGCAATCTGCAAAGTTGTCTATCACACGGGCTGATGAAGAGCGAGATACTTGGCATGTCATACTTGGTCGTGATTTCAGGCATGAAAAGCGCTTTAGCGACAGAGTCCCACAATTATGATAAAGAATTGATAGCATTAAAAGCCCCACGTGTTCCAAAAGCAGGGTGCCTGCAGTGGGTATCCCGTGAAAGACAATGGTGGAGTTAGCGGTACGACCATGTAATGTATACGAGCACGCCATTCTTAGTATACCTCTTGATACAAAATAATTCATAGGGGTTAGAAAGGTTAATGGTGGTATGATGCCAAAAGCATAGACCTGCGAAAATTAAGATTGGCGGCCATAATGTTTTAAAAAGGCCCAGAGTCCAGGTGTACATCATAGTAACCTACAATGGCATCAATCAACGGTTCAACGACGCCTTCATCAACAGCCTCATCAGGCTCGGTGCCAGATTCAGCGGCTTCAGATGTTGGAAGCAGCCAGAGCGACATCACGAATGTGACGGTCGAAGATGGTAATGGTCCAACTGCTACATTCTCGGAGCGCCCAGTCAAGGCTATTATCCTGGGTGCGGGTATTGGAGGCCTGGCAGCAGCGGTCCTGCTCTCCCAAAAAGTCAACAACCTCTCATACGTTGTGTACGATAGAAATGACCGTGTTGGTGGAACTTGGGCCGAAAATACTTATCCGGGAGTCCGATGTGATGTCCCTTCGCATGTCTATCAACTTACCTTTGCCCCAAACACTGATTGGAGTGAATATTACGCCAAAGGGGAGGAAATTCAACGATACTATGCCCGAGTCACCGAAGAATACGGTGTAAGACCGAATCTCAGACTTTTACACGAAGTTTTGTCTGCAACATGGAGTTCGGAGACTCATCAGTGGAAATTTCAAATTCGAGATCTTGTGACAGACACTGTTTTCCAAGATACTGCCGACTTCTTCATTTCCGTGCCAGGAAGGGTCAATCAAAAAGCCTTGCCTGACATTGAAGGTCTTGGAACTTTTAAGGGACAGGTCATACACACTGCCAAGTGGGATCATCGTATCAGCTTGGAAGGTAAACGCGTGGCTGTGATAGGTAATGGGGCATCTGGCCAACAAATACTGCCAAATATTTTACCTCAGGTGGCGCATATTGACCATTACGTCCGATCAAAGACGTATGTCAGTCCCGCCTTCCGCCACGGTCTCAAGGAGGCAGCTGCGGATCATCCAGGGGCCCATACATACACCGACGAGGAAAAGAGACTTTTCCGAGAGAATCCCTCGGAATATCTCAAATATCGCAAAGAGCTCGATAAGAAGCATTATGGGTCTGTCAACAATCAGTTTGCCTTACTAGGGAGTGATGATAACCATAAGCTCCGAGAATCTCTGTTGAAGACAATGCTGGACCGCATCCACGGTGACAAGGCATGGCTAGAACGTCTGACTCCGGACTACAGCCCTGGGTGCAAAAGGCTGACACCTGCACCGGGATACCTCGAAGGGATCACAGGGCCTAAAGTCGAGTTTATTGACGTACCGATCGTACGGGTCACTGAGAATGGAATAGTGACAGCGGACGGCAACACCAGGAATGTTGAGATAATCGTCGCAGCGACCGGCTTCAAAGACGGATTCTACCCACGATTTCCCACTTACGACGGTAATGGTACCGACCTATCGAAGGCCTGGAGACCAGGTGGAGTGATTGGATTCCCGGAAACATATCTCGGTATCATGGCACCGGATGCCCCGAACTACTTTTTCATTTTGCAAGCGCAAGGAAATGCATTTGGTGGGTCCGTGCCACACCAAGCTGAGGTCTCGGCAGCATATATCGCAAGAGTCATCCGGAAGGCTCAGCGACATGGTTATCGTGCCGTTTATCCGAGCCAGAGCGCTGCGCGCGAGTTTAGTGAAATTGTGGATGAGTATTTCGACAAGTCGGTAACAAATGATGGCTGCAGGACGTATTTCAAGCTATTGGATCAGCCTGGCAAGTCAAGAAATGTCATTGGTTTCCCTGGCACGACTCGCCAACGCCTGGAAGTCTTATCGGAGCCAAGATGGGAAGACTTCCATTTCGATGGAGCGGGATTTGGCAAAGAGACTGGCGAGCACGAAACCGGAACAAACTCGAAACCCAATCGCTTCCGGAGGTTTTGGGGGAGTGGAAGGAGCAAGCTCGACGAGGCTAACGACCTCGATCAAATCACATCCTATCTCCAAGAAGTTGGACAGGTGGATCTCCGTCGTCTGTATGAGAGCCCCTAGCACTAATGCGTAGTTAGTTCATATAAAAAGGCATTCTTCTGTAGAAGAAGATAATGTCCGAGAAACTTGAAGTTGAAATTAGCTATTGCCTATCGCATGGTCTTGGCGCTAGAGAAACTCTGTCCTCCAAATTCCGATGCACTCGTCAACCTCCTCGTTCATTCCACGCCATCCGTGTCGCCAGAAACCCTTTAAAATTCTTCCGCGGAACTTTCGATTCCACATGCATAACTTTCTCACGGAATCAATAATTGTCGTTAGCGGATAGTAGCATGGGTGGGAGAAATCCATATGCGAACAAAAGCCCACAATGGCGTCAATGTCAGTCATATTGCGTGCTTGCCATGCGACCAAAACGTCCGCCCATAGACGGCACACCATCCGCTCATCAGTTCATAGTGGCTTCTGAGCTATTCCCACGCAGTCTAGGGTTTGGCACTTCTATGGACCGGTACCCATATTGGGCTAGGAGACTGGGTTTGCCGTCGTATGCTATCGACTTATCACAAAAACGTAAACCCCGTCCTTGCTAACGATATACTACGATAATCGCTCAGATCCTGTGGCACACAAGGCTCTCAGGTGGGGCCAGTCTTCAAGGTGCTGGGAAACAATTAGCTTGTCTCCACAGGGCACAGAAACTTCACTCTCACGAATACTGATTGCCAGCGTGCCGGGTCCGTTATCAGCCAAGAAGCGGTTTGTACGAGATTGTAAGTGTGTATTGCCCAGCCGAAGTGGGATTCTTGTTTTTATTTTCTTGGGATGAGTTTGTGGGTGCGCTTACGAGAATGTTGTCTCGGAGGATCCACGACCACTAAGCGATCTCGCTCACAGATAGACAAGAATCAGATCAATCACCGAAGTCCAGGCTGACAACTTCTAACAAGTTTCGATCGTAGCGGCTTACCACAGCTTGGATAGCGACGAGGACCGGGTATCTCCAGTGTGCCTTAAAGGTGAACAGATTTGAGTGCTCTACAGAGAACTGTAATTCCTCAGAAGATACTGCGTCCATTCTCGTGCTCCTTAGATACAAGAATGGGAGAGAATAGTGAGGCAGCTCTTGAGGGGACGAAGCCTAAGAAAAGATTACTCCTCAATGCATTCGACATGAACGGCATTGGACATATCAGGTAAGCAAGCTTCAATGACGGTACTAGTGGACATCTCTGAGTCTCTCACCAAGCCCTGGTCAGTGGCGGAATCCCATAGACCAGTCTAAGAACAAGAATCGTCTTGACTATTGGATCAACCTTGCGAAGCTTCTCGATCGCGGCAAGTTCAACGCCCTCTTCCTCGCAGACAACTTCGGTTCTCACGACACATACACGGGAAGTCACGCCCCAGCCATCAGAGCCGGCACTCAATGGCCAATGTATGATCCCTTTGTGGTAAGTCGTCCCAGAGCGAGGAATAGTACTTGTGACTGAATCGATGTAAAGATCATATCTGCCATGGCCGCTGTTACGAAGAGTGTTGCCTTTGGTGTCACTTCGTGTACTACGTTTGAACCACCCTTTTTGCTGGCCAAACGATTTTCAACTTTGGATCATGTCACGAATGGAAGAATTGCATGGGTAAGACATTATGATTGGAGTCTGAGAACCTGAGATGGCAATGACTGATACTGCATAGAACATTGTCACGTCCTGGTCGGACAATGCTGCACGGGCAGTTGGACTGGAGCGCCTCCCCGAACACGACAAGCGGTATGACATGGCAGATGAGTATCTCAATCTGATGTACAAGTATGTTTTCCGAGAAAGTTTCTTGCAATTCCCCAGTCCGCAGATTTAGAATTAACAAAATATTGTTCTCAGACTCTGGGAAGGATCATGGGCCGATGACGCAGTGGTGCAAGACGTAGCGAACGCAACTTACACGATACCCGAAAAGGTCCGCAAGATTGAGCACAAAGGCGAGTTTTTCAAATGTGTCAGCGCCCACCTGGTTGACCCGTCACCTCAACGCACACCAGTCCTCTTCCAAGCCGGCATGTCTCCAGCAGGTGCGTCCTTTGGCGCCAAACATGCCGAATGCATTTTCATTGGTGGCCGCTCTCCCGAGTTCGTGGGCAAGAAGATTGCCGAGACACGCAAGTTGATTGCCTCCCATGGCTGGGACCTGAGCGAGGTCAAGTTCTTCGTTCAATTCACACCCATTATCGGGCGCACGGACGAAGAGGCACAAACCAAACTCGCAGATTTCTACAAATACGCCATCCCGGAAGGCGGCCTTGCCCTGTTCTGCGGCATCTCTGGCATTGACGTGAGTCGATTCCCATTCGATGAAGAGTTTCCCCTGGATGTGAAACACCCTCTGTACGAAGGCTTAAGTCCCCGACACGTTGAAGCACTGATCACCAAACCGCAAGGCTACGAGCGCTGGACGCCACGAGATCTGGGAAATTTCCAAGCCATTGGTGGCAGTGGCCCGTATGTGGCGGGCAGTCCACAAACGATAGCTGATGAGATTGAGCGATGGATCCATGGTGCAGACATTGACGGGCTGAACATTGGCCATGTTGTTGTACCCGGTGCGTGGGAGGACGTCGTGGATTTACTAGTGCCGGAACTCGACAGGCGCGGGTGGTTGAAAGATTATCCCGCGCCCGGGGGCACAGCGAGAGAGAATTTGTACGATACTCCAGGCTCTGCGAAGCTTCGGCCAACACATCCCGGAGCGAAGTTCAAGTTCGAGCGGTATGGTGAGACGTGGGAATAGCAAGTGTGAGTGGGATGTCACAGGCAGTTTCTACAAACCCAGATGGCAAGGAGCGTTATTGTCATGTGTAGGTTAGGATGATTGCGCATGATCTCATTGTTGCCATGGTCAGGTCTTCATTCTTGGTATAGAAAAGGGGTATCATATTGACGGTCATGTGACCATGACTTTAAGGGGCCAAGCCTTCCCACTTGTCTCCATCACTGGAAAGGCACACGAGATTACATCCTGGAATTTCGTCCGGTTCTCAATGTGGAATATGGTAAAACCCGACTGTAGCACATAAAAGTAACCTAATAGCTCTCAAAATTTCCTCAATCAGGTTTCGATGAATGAGAGGTGGTCAAAGTGGATCATTGCTGATGTCGATCAGTCTCACACATCAAGTCGGCAGCGATTAAGAATGTGCAATTTTTTCGGATTTCTTGTTGTCCACAGGCTCTAAGATTGTCGGTATTATCGAATTCGCGTGTGTATCTGGGCTTGTTGCTGGATTTTCGATTGCCGGTGGCACAGGAGTCAGTGCCGTTTCGGACCTGGGTGATGATGGGCCAAGCTCGTACACTGGTACTTCAGCGCGGTTAGGGACTGGCACTCTCTTCAATTTGCGTATTGAACTCTTTCTCTGGATACTAGACTCGCGTGTCACAGCGAGCATCGAAGAACTCTGAGAGTGCTCGGAATTTGCACTCGGTGATTCAAGCTCATAGACTGGTGTCCTGTCAGGCTCGGAGTTCGAAACAGGGGAGTATAGTTCATGAATCATCGCTCTCTCAGAGTCAGCATTTGAGATCGATCGCGCTATCGAAGGCCTCCTCGGATTTGACGATTGTGCATTATCGAACGAGGGTGCCGAGTATGAGGGGCTTGCCAAATTCGAATAAGGTAGAGTGACAGCGGAGTCTGGATTTTCGGCCACATCGTTTGTTGACCTTGATCTCGATGTAGACGGTCTCGTCTCAGACGCAGTCGTGTTTGGTGTTACAGTTCCACTCTCATCACCAGGATCCGACCGTGGAGATTTTTTGGCCAGCCTTGCGAACTCACTCATCACCTTCTTCGCGTCGATATATTCTTTGTGTGCATGGTAGTGATATTTGTCACGAACCCGAGCTGCGGATGCAACTGATTTCTTTGTCTTTGAATGTACGGCAGATCGAATAGACTTGTAGATTCCCTGGCTGGTGTAGCCGACCAATCCGAGCGCGGCTACAGCCACGATACCGTTAGCGAATGCTGTTGTAGATGACGTGGATACTCAAAGCTTCATCACTTACCTCCCGTGGGCTTCGTCAGCGTCTGAACAACACCTTTTGCTAAGCCTTTTCCAAATCCAAGCGCACCATCCTTTGCTACCCCCTTTGCAGGCTGCACAATGAGGTCAGATAGACCTTCAGACATTTGTTGAGCAAAATTCGTGCCGGCAACTGTAATTCCACTCTTCCAGTCGGTCACCGGAGCATGGTCGGGAACTTTCTGGCCGTATAATTTCGGCGTGTTTCTTAGGCCTTCAGACACTGCCACTGGGACATCTGCTAGAAGACCTCGTACTGCAACTGCTGTAAACTGGGACAGCCCCCTGGCAGAAGCTCCGACCATCTTAGCCACTTCAAGCGTGGTCAGGTCTGATGATTCATCTTCAGCGCCCACATTTGAGCCTGAAGCACCGGAGGTCGACACAGCTCGCGAGCGCTGTTTTTCTTTGTTCTTGTACATCTCACGGGGATTCCTGTACACTCCGCTCAAAGCATTTAGGAGATCATAATTGAGTCCTATACCCGATGAAACCGTGCCGCTGACCACGTCCCATCGACGATTCTCGATGTGTATTGGCTTTGATTTGTACCAGGACAATTCATTGGATTTGATTGTGTGTGATTGGAGAAGAATTTCGGCGGCTGCACCTGATAACTTGATAGGATTCTTGGACTTAGTGTAGATCCAGGTTGCAGGTAGGGAGGGAATTAGATCACAACCCATCTTTTCCATTGGAAGGTTGCGATGGAACGATTCGATGGCCGTTTTCACTCCGGACTCAGTCTTCATCTTCTCTGCCACTCCTGCCGCTGCTTCTTGAGCCTCTGTGGTAAGGCAGTACCGGATTGCCTGACTAAGATTTTCACTATTTAGTGATTTATAGGGGATTGGATCTGCGCCGGCCTTTGCTGTTGCGACCATCTTGCCCCAGAAAGGTTGACTAGGAGAAATTAGTCAGGCGAGAGTACCGTTTGAAATGATCATGACTCACTCTCCAAAGAATGGCACGATGGTTGTCGGGCGGCCATTCAACAAGCCACAAGCAGTAGTTCCTGCACCTCCATGATGCACGACGGCTGCTACCTGTTGAAAAAGCCATTCTTCATAGTGAAGTTAGTATCACATATTTGTTGTTGCTAACAGTCCACTTACCGTGGGGACAGTCGCCAATAAAATAGATTTTGTCATTATCTCCAGAGCTTGCCAGATTACTCCACCCTTTGGATACGATCGCGCGTACACCAGCTCTGTCCACAGCTTCAAGCACGGTCTTGATGAGGGATTCTGGATCATCGACGACAATACTACCGAAACCAATGTAAACAGGTGGTGGGCCGGCATTCAAGAATGTCTCGAGCTCGGAAGGAGGGCTATAAGATGGCATGTCTCGGAAGAGGAAGCCACACACGTCTTCGAGGGTGCAATGTCAGTTGCCGTTCAAGTTAATGATTTTCGTACAGAGCTCACCAATATGCTTGCCCCAATCTCGTGGTTTGGGGACAAGGGCTGGAGACCAACAATATGTGTGAGGTATTTCCAATGATTCCATGATGAAGGGTGCTTCCGATGCTGGCAAAGGCTCGAGATCGATGGAGCGTCTCCATCTCTGTACAACGTCACCGATACTGTCACACTGGATCAAAACATAATTCATTGACGTGGGTTTGGTAGGGTGTGGTCTTACCCATTCCAAGTCAAGAGTTGCACCATTCCATAAGACACATAGTTTCCCATCCTGGGGTCAGTGTTGTTGTTGCGGACATTTGCCAGGGGATGTGAGTAGGCTCGAGTTGGGGTCCAAGGCATGGTAAAAATGATGTGCAGCGGGATACCGAGGGCTTCCGCACAATGGACGTGCGCAAAGCTCGGAGGGTTCGCAATTATCGCGTTCGCGACGAACGGTTCCTCAGTGTCAGGGTCTGGCATGATGCATGATTCCCAGCAGCCCTCTAATATCTCCCTGATCATCTCACGCTTTCGTCCGATGTCCCCTTCGCGAAGGGTTTTCATGCTGGGTATAAGACCTGGGTTCTTAACCATGTACTGCATAAATTGCTTAGTCGTAAATGCATTTGGACTTGGAGCGCGCATATCTTACGGCCATCAATTCGGCAGGGTCTCCCCCAATCGGGTAGAATTCCAATCCTGCGCTTTGAACGAAGTCTTTGAATACGTTGTGAGTAGCTATTCGAACCCGATGGCCATGAGTCTGAAGCTCTTGGCCAAGTGCAACGAAAGGTTGAACATCGCCACGGCTGCCGACAACATGAACTGCTATGCTCAATGGCAACTGCCATTTCTCGAAGGATGAATTATCCTCCTCCTGGTATGCTGGCGGTGGCTCGATCGTCTGTTCAACGTCGTCTGATGCCTCAATGAGCTTCGCGAAAACACGTGCTAACTTGGTATCCAAATTAACCGAGACACGGCCATCGTCCAGAACTGTTGTTGTGTCCTGGAATAAGGATTCAGCAATTGGTGAAGATTCCTCGTCAGGAGGAGGCTGAGAGTAATTCAGATCATGTGAATCAATATGTGGATATTGAGGTGGTGGTGGTGGTGGTGGCGGTGGTGATTGCGCTCGGGCGCTTGCTTTGTCCTTGCCCATCGCAGTTAACGAACGACTATGTTGGGAAGAGTGAAATTGTGTCGCATCACGGCGCACTCCTGCTTATAAGGTCTATCTTTGCAGGGTTCCATGATGGCGGTACATTCAAATCGAAGAGGTTTCAGCTTCGTGTAGCCTTTTCCAGAATCTCCCTGCAGGGCCAAGCGAGAGTGAGGTGGCTTTCGGTTCCGGGCAGTTACCCAGGGCCGAGGGGCGTTAGTTAGCCATAGTGAGAGTGAGCATCAACATCGTATGGCTACTTGGCACAGTCCAGCACGCCGAATGAACATTGCTCCAGCGGCCCTCGGGCTCAAACTTCACGCCGTAGCTGGCTAGCTCCACTGTCATTGAATACGCGTGTTTCTGGATCATTACCACCAGGCGCAGTGACAACCCTCGAAAACCTAAACGTTCAAGATCGTGTTCTGTTCAACTTGACGTAGGTGGAAAAGTTTAATTCACGAGACCAAGGAAAATCTTTGTAGTAGCCTCTAGTCAGTGCTTGCAGGCAGAACAATTGTTGAGACAATGCTTAGGCAACAACATTATGGTGCTGGTAGCAACCTACAATCCCTTGTCGATTGGAGACTACTTAGTACTTTGAGCGGGATGGTTCTTCCACTCGACCAGGTAACTGATAGGTATATGTTCCTTGTACGTCGCACGAATACGCTGTATAGCAGAATAGGACTGATCTCTGTTGATACATCAGACAGGCGTGGGGAGGGCTGAAGAGGACATTCGCAAGCAATACCAAGTATGCCTCCCTTCGCTCCCAGCAGGAGACCCACTAAGGCTAGCCATCTAGGGGGATGGCTAACCCTTAAATTCCGCAAGCTTGGGCCCCTTTCGGAGAGGAGAATTGGCCCCTATCAATCCAGCTGCTCACTAAATCTCCTTAAAGCTTCAGCAGCTTCTTCCCATTGCATGTCGTTCTGTGTATGATGGCCAGCGCCCTTCACTTCAACTAGCCGTACTCCGGGATAATCTGATTCGTTGACATACTTATCTCTGACAATCTTGATGGATGGCTTTGTCGAGTCGTAGTCGGCGTCGATCCGTTTCTCGACTTGCATCTGTTGGATGCCTGAACAATATTCGCGCACCATCCTCGTTTCAGTTCCACCCATCATTTTATCATCGGTGCCGATCATGACAAGAATCTTTTGAGACCCATTCCACTGAACAATATTGCTCAATATGTCGGTGGTCGCCAGCCAAGAACGATTCTCAATACCCCAACCTCGACCTGCCATTCCAAACGGCCAAAACATGGCCTCGTAGTTGCTCATCCACCTCATGAATTCAGGGACACGACTGCGTGGATATTGTGGTCCGAAGAAAGCGTTGTGAACCAAGCGTGGTGTGTTGAGTGGACTATTGGGATGAAACAGATGGCAAAGACTTCGGAGACTGAACCAGGGGTCGATTCTCCGGAACCAGCTGAAGTAAACACTCATGTTTCCCCAGTGAGGAACGGCACCGACAAGCACAAGACCTCGAGCTTTTACGAGACTTTTCGACAGAACGTATTGTGACAGACCACCACCCGAAGAATGTGCGACGATAATCGGGTCCTGTCCCTCCCTTTCTCTCACATCTTGGATACAGGCTACAAGATCTGAGGCTAGGTCATCCAGGGATGTTCCCCATACCATTTTCCAGTAGGGCACTGAATAACTTGCGCCGTGGCATCTCAATGAATATGCGTAAGTTGTGGCGTTGTAGGAGGTTGAAAGATGTTCCATCCATTCGAACCATACAGAGCCAGAGCCCTCGCCACCATGAACGAAAAAGATCGGCTGTTTTCTGGACGAGAGGCCTGCACTCTTGACGTCTGGTTTTGATGATAGAAGCTCGAGGTTTCCATTGGGAGTCTGGACATAATTTCGGACGATATGAGGAGGTAAGGGACGCAACAAGGGCTCTTGAGTCCACTTGAGAGCGAAAAACGACTGGATTGCTTCGATCATTGTTCAAGATAATTGGCTAATATAATTACTGGATTGTCGTGCTGGATTCGAGGTAAGTGAGGGTAGGGTGCTGACCATACGGGATTGTTATATATACTTTCTCGTTGGATCATCGGTTGCGATAGGATCGCGACAAGGCTTTGAGCGACAATGCCCGATCCGAAATATGTCCTCTTCGATACAGGCATTTTCGTACTCGCAGAGTGCATGCGGCAACGTGAATACGAACGAGGCTTGCCAAGGGGTGGTATTTGGGCATCCCTTTGTTGACCGTGGGAACTGCCACATGGTGACCTTGTGGCTTGGAAAGCTACCTTGGCAATGCTGGAGGTTTAGGCAGTGCTAATTTTGGGAATTTTGGCATTCTTCTGCCGTCCTTTTGGGCTGAGGTAAACTTCCCGTGTACTAGAATCATGTGAACATCAAAGTCTCCATCGTGAGAAATCGGGTTGGTCTCTACGCTGTCATTACAGCACATTCTCAGGTACTATGGATAATTAACTACCATCTAGCTGTCTCCATATCACCGACTTGTCGTAGCGCGCAATATTGTACATGCCAGCTGGCATATGGCACTGAGGCAATACTTTACACCTCAAGGCATGAAGATAGTATAATATTCATCGTCATCATGCAGCTCATTGAATGTTTACCTGTACGAGGCGGTCTTCTCTCATTCGAACTCTGCCAGCCGAGACCTTGATGATGGATGAGACTGGCGCTTAGCCTTTGGCTGCATCGGCCTGAGCTTCATGGATCAGATTCAAATCTGGCTGGAGGCCACGCGCGGCAGCTTCTGGGTCCTGCAAGGCTGTGGCGTCTTTGATACTCTGATACGCGTCTATGACAGGCTGCTGCTCAGCCATGAACTCCAACCACTTTTCAAGTTGTGGATAGTTCTCGCCCGTCAATCCTGCGTACTTGGCCGGTCTGATCCACGGCTCATAATGGCAGTCAACAGAGGTAATGCCACCAGGTAAGATGCTGAGTCCACCGCTCCTCTTGAGTTGAGCTTCCAAAACATCATAACATCGGTACACTTGTTTTGTGTAGCGTTTGATGGCATCTTCATTCTTTTCGGTGTTGTAATATCTGAACCATACGTTTTGACCTGTCATGGGTGCCAGAGTCGTCAGCAACAGATACTCCCACTGATCCAGATCTGCTTGATCTTGTGGAGTGGGGCCATTGGGTCCCAATATGTTATCTTTGTCATATTGGCGCTTCAGATAGTTCATGATAGCACCGCTCTCCCACACAACCACACCAGTATTAGGATCGTCCAGGGCGGGCACCCGACCATTAGGGCTGATCTTCGCGAATTCTTCTCCTTTGACTCCACGAAGTGGATCTGGCCCAAAGTCCCATATCTTGATTTCGTATAAAAGTTGAAGATATTGACATGCAATAGCGATTTTCAATGGATTTGGTGATGTTGCATGTCCATGTAGGAGCAAAGGCTTCATCTTTGTCAAGACCCCAGAAGGTAGAAGTGCCGAATGTCGACGACAATTCAATTACAGACGAGTGGGAGTGAAACTCAGCGTATGGTCAAGGAAGAAAGCTGGTATGAACAGCGCTGCCATTATCCCTCAACATCGTGTCCAGTCAGAGAAAAGCGCAAAATACATATGCCTCCAGCATCGCTTACTACGTATGCTTTAGTCTATGTTGGAGTCGCCGTTCAGGCATGCAAGTTCTAGCATGGTCTTAGTTGGTAATTCCTCTGAAGCGAGGCAATTACTGAAAACAGTAGCTAATGAGGACATTCCAGAAGAGGGGCAGCATTCTCGCAAAGGATCATCACCCCCACTCGATCTTGTATTTTTCGGTCCCGCCTCACCGCCCTCGGGATATTGGTTTGATCCGTGATGGCGACTTTTTCTGCCACATTTCTCGATCGGAAAAAAAGTTGTTCGATATTGACAACGTCGTCTTTGAGAGAAAACAATATAGACAACAACATGGCTCCGTCTAGAGCTCGCGCAGAAGAACCCTCCGACCAAGACTCAGGAAACGAAGACTTTCCGTCACCTGCACCTAAGCGTCGACGTGTCTCACCGCCTCGTGAAGATGAAGCCAACATTTCGGAGGAGAATCAACTGCCTGCATTCCCTCAGTCCGCAACTACTCTATCTCGAGTCAGACGCACAGTTGACGATGCCCGAAGACCTTCCAATTCGACAGCGGGACCCACTGAATCTATTCCGGCAGCCTCTACGAGTACTTTCGCCTCATTGAGCGTCTCACCATGGCTGGTACACTCTCTAGCCGCGATGGCAATCAAGAACCCAACAGACATTCAACGGGCATGCATACCACAAATATTGGCAGGAAGAGACTGCATCGGTGGCTCACGGACGGGTACGGGGAAAACGGTGGCATTTGCGGTGCCCATTCTCCAGAAATGGGCTGAAGACCCCTTTGGAACCTACGCCGTCGTGCTCACCCCGACACGCGAGTTGGCACTGCAGATATTTGAGCAGTTCCAAGCGCTGGGAACACCGCAGAACCTCAAGACCGTGCTGATCACAGGGGGGGTGGACATGCGCCCTCAGGCGTTAGCGCTGGCGGCCCGTCCACATATCGTGGTTGCGACGCCTGGACGACTCGCAGACCACATCCTGACTTCGGGGAAGGAGACGACAGTCGGTTTGTCGCGTGCCAAAGTCGTTGTCTTCGACGAGGCAGATCGATTACTTGCCCCAGGCTCCGGGTCAATGCTTCCCGACATCAACACCTGCTTGTCCGCCGTTCCACCATCACCGTCGAGACTCACCCTTCTATTCACCGCAACCGTGACGCCGGAAGTGCGCGCTCTCAAGGACGCTCCCCGGCCGAAAGATCGCCTCCCCATTTTCGTATCAGAAATCGCCGACCCCGATGATCCTTCCTCCTTCTCACCATCCACATCCACATCCCTCACCACAAACACCACCAAAAGCCTTCTTCCCCCAACTCTCTCCCAAACTTACCTCCAAGTCCCGATGACACACAAAGACGCCTTCCTGCACGTCCTCCTCTCGGTTCCATCATTCACACAACCACCAGCGGGCTCCTCCTCCCCCGCGCCACCAAGCATCATAATCTTCACGAACCGCACCAGCACAGCAGACCTGCTACACCGCACACTCCTCCTGCTCTCCCACCCCGTGACATCTCTCCACTCAGCCCTCCCCCAGACGCAACGGGCACGGAACCTGTCGGACTTCCGCTCCCAGAAATCCCGCATCCTGATCGCGACAGACGTGGCGTCGCGCGGCCTGGACATTCCAGATGTGCGCGTCGTCGTCAACTACGACGTTCCGCGTAACCCGACGGACTATGTGCACCGGGTGGGGCGAACGGCGCGAGCGGGGCGGGAGGGCACGAGTGTGACGTTTGTGGGCCAGCGGGATGTCAGTCTCGTGCTGGCGATCGAGGAGTATGTTGGTGGTGGGGGGATGGTGGAGTGGGGTGAGGAGGGCGTGAATGTTGAGACGCGCGTGGTGAGGGGGAGGACATTGAAGGACGTCGCTGAGGCGAGGATGGAAGCGTTGAGGGATGTCGAGGGCGGGAAGGACGTTACTGGTTGGAGGCGGAGGATTAAGAAGGATACGTCGAGGGGTGGGAGTAAGTGATGACAGCATTGACGTTTGTTCTACACACAGTGTTATTTCAGGTATGATGAATGCAATGAGACTGTTCAGGTACATAGTTATATACACGTCGTTCTCGGTCTATGTGCATTTGCCACCACAGTGCAGACGGTTATTGTCACACCATCAGTCCATCCTTTCTTCGTAATAGTTTTCCGTGATTGTACACATATTTTCACAGGTTTAACAACCCATGTCGTCTCTCATCTCATCCAATCAATATCCAGTTCGGCAGTATACTCACCCTCATCGTCAATACTGCTGAGCACACTGCTCTCTCCAGTCCAAGTGGTCGGTGTGCCTTGACGCAGACTGACACTAGACAGGCTCCCTGTCTTGGTACTTCCGTTCACACTTCCTTCCCTCTGGCGTTCAGAATCAAGTGATTGATGTTCCTTCCACCATTTCCCGCTCTCCTGCACGACCCGCTCTTCCCATCCAGGTACGGGTCCGATCACTTCGATGTCCTTCTGTCCTGCTTTTATCACATCGCGGCATGGTAGAGATAATGTCATGTTCTCATCGTTGTCTGCACCGGTCAGGTCTTTCAATTTCTCTTCACTGGCTGCGTACAGGATTCGACCGATGTTGCTCCAGTAAGTGGTCCCCGTACACATGGCACAAGGCTCCCATGTTGAGACGAGAGTACAGCCTGCCAGGTATTTCTGGGAGAAATGGATGGTGGCTAGTCGGGCGAGCTCGGTCTCTGCGTGTTGGACATGCGAAATGGAGAAGTGTGTCAGGAGGACAGTTGTGTTGTCTGGCCCAAGAAGAAGTGCTGCAAACGGCCGTTTCTCGTGCAGAGTTGTGGCTGTGTTCTGTAGTGCCAGGCAGGTGTTTAATGCAGCATTGATCTGCTCTTGAGTCAAGGGTGTTGATGCCTGCGGCGTAGGAGAGGGAGTTGTGAGAGGTGGGGCCGGGGGCGCTGTTGTGGGCGCTTCGGCATAGCCTGAAGCAGTATTTTTGATCGAAGATGTGGGTGTCAAAGGAGTGTTGGTGGAATTGGATGTAGGCTTCGAGGGTTGATTTCGAAGGGCAACATTCTGAGCAGGTGAGTTAGATGCCAGTGGTTGAGGAGCAGAGATGGTTGGAGGGGCCGCTGGTTTGCGGGAGATGGAGCTGGGAGAGGGAAACTTGTTGCCAGACCCTGAGGTCGACCTCAAGAAGGATTGATAGCTCATTGTGATTTCGTCAAGACAGTAAAGGTGGAGGCCTAAGCGTTTGTAAAATCTGGAGCACAGCCCGAGAGGGTGGTAAAAATGGAAGCACAGTGAAACGAGTGAGATCAAGACAGTGAGTGAAGAGAATGAAATCACACAAGATGATTATCACACAAGTGAAGAGATCAGCAGATATAAAGGGAAGTTGGCCTGCAACAGTGAATTCGTTTGAAGATTGAATTCGGTATCCATATTTTAACCAAGGAAGTGGAAGTGGTTGCAGCTGGGAGAAGCACTAACACGTTATTGCCAGTGGATCGGCGGGGTGTTCGTTCGGTGGCAGCGGAGAAAAGCTCTTGTCGACCGCCTGGAATTGCCCGTTTACTGGTTGTGTTGGTGGGCGCCGGAAAGCGTGCCGAGGGGGGCTTCGGGTACCTGCACATGCCGTGGTCTGCCTATCCTCGTCTATCAGCCACCCATCGGCCACCTCCACGTTTTAGCCATCTTGCCAGATGTCGCTCGCACTGGGCAGGCCAACAACGGGCGACTGGTTTTTCCATTCCATCATCGGACGGATTAACTCCCTCACCGATGTCGACCTTTCAGATGGGTACTGGCAGCAGTACAGCTTCGACCACACTTTGTTGATGACACTCTACCGAGAATAAAGGGTCACCAGAACTTGCCCTTGCCATGCTGGTGTCCTCAGATTCAGCAGGTCAGCCCAGTTTGTCCATCCTCGATGACTACCAGCCACTCCTCGAACATTCTTTCGTCTCCTCCCGTAAAGTCATAGCATCGTCAGTCATGACACCCCAGACCCTCCTTCAGAAAACCATAATTTGAATCCCATTTCCATACCTCGAATGAAGTCCAGGCCTATTCAGGAACTCGATGAGAGGGCCAACCAGCTCTTTAAGCTCGAAAATGGTACGATTCTTCTCATCTTTGTAGCTTGCATCAATCACAATAAGCTTGACGGCGTTGAGATTCAGAGCATCATCTGTATCTACCAAGTCACCCAATCTCATCGGGGTACTGATTGCAATGTCGACATTGTGTTTTTTCATGTACTCGACGTTAGCCTTCAACTTCATGTGCTTAGCAATCAGTTTCGCCACATGACAGTCGGTCTTATCCCTAAGTTCTCGAGCCACGTCTGCAGTGCGGATACCAGAAGATGTTATGACGAGGGTATGAGGTCCACGTCCTTTACTTTGTATCAGTGAATCCTTCACATTCTCTGAGGACTTTTCTAAGAACTCAGGCATATTACTGGCCACACGCGCTTTGCTGAACTTCGTGGTGTCGCAGAATGCCTTTGTAGGTAGATACTGTTCTTCGAGTTCAATTGAACTACTCTCGGAAAAGTGCTTGCGGACTGCGTTTGCAAACTGGTCTGCTAGGAGTGAGGGATCTGGTGAGGCAATGGTTTCAGGTGAGGCACCGACTTCTGGGGACGCCGTGGGCTCAAATGATTGGGTCGACTTCGATCTTTGCGGCAACTCGATAGCCTTCGATTTGGACAAATTTGGTTTCTTGGTAGGACGTTGTTTGATATTCTCATTGTCTTTGTCTTTGTCGTTGTCCTGATCATCTCTTTTCCGCTTCTTCGAACCCAGCTTTCGTGCTTTGAGCTTGGTGCGTGACATACTGTAGATCCGCTTGATTGAGGAAGTTCAGATCGCCGAAGAGCTTCGACTAAGTAGATCGATATTGAGAGGTGAAGGGAGAGTGAGACTGGGCTCGATAACCTCAGCTTCAAGTGAAATAAAAACCAAAAAATGTTCTCCGCATCGTGCGGGGTAAGTTCTGGGACCGCTTATCTAAGCACTCACAAGTCTTGGCATACATGGCTGATTTCAAGCTGCCGCCGCAACCATCCAGACGATACCTCTATCTACACTGTACCGGCAGAGACTTTATCACGCCCGTCGACTGAGAGCGTGGAGGAGATGGAACCAACAATCTTCTGTCGTTACCTACTACCCTCCTCTGCCAAGTCCAAGTGATTTCCGCCACTATGGGATGCATCCTTCCCACACGATTCTTGGAACTGAGTAATCATGTTCTAGATCCATTTGCAGTGAGATCGATGTTGAAGGACTAGCGAGAGTAGTACGCCTTACGGAATTTTGAGGCAAGACAACTATCAAGTCTCCGATGATGCCCCGTTCATCAAGGCAAGCAGGAGACTTGCCTACGAGCCTTGTATCTGTCAACGACCCAGTCGAGCCCAATTTGAAGGAGGTGTTAGTTGAACGGCAAAAAGTTCTCCTGATAATGTTCTTTATCCGGGAACAACCTCTACCAAAACCGATCTTGAAAAGAACGTGCCTTCAATTGACGGTAAGTGGTTGTCAGCCTTTGTCTCAACTCCAAGATGGAAAAGGCCGAAAACGGCATGATCGTTCAACAAAGTAAGTCAGGGACAAGGCATTGGATCTTCCACTTCTTTTCGCTACGCAAGGCTTCATATTGTTCTTCCCATCCTTCGTATTATTCTTTCTCTTACTGCACTTCCTGAGGCATCGCACACTACACGGTAGCTATTGAAAATATACAACCCCGTTTCCCTTCCTTCTCCTACACAACTACAAGTCCAACAACGCATCGTCTATCCAACCCCATTCTCACTCACGACTAGAACCATGAAACCCCTCCTAGCACTCACTCTGATCTTCACGACTACCCTCCTCCAGCAAGTCCAAGCTGTGCACCTCAAGAACACCGGTTCTGTAATGGCGCTGGCAGCCCGTGGCGATACCGACGAAACCCAGTATCGCTGCCCCGACAACGCGATGTTGTGTTCATGGCCGAACGGACGAGCCTGTGTCGCCTGGCTCGATGGCGGACACTGTTGCGATGACGGCTCCGGTGAGTTTTCTTGCAACCCCCTTGTCACCTTGTATATTGTTCGAGGGCCTTTCAATTCCGAGAGAGAGCCTGAAGATATCCACGAGCTCCATCATTTACATGCTAACGTGCTACAATGCTAGGCTTCTGCTCAGGCGGTTTCACGTGCGGGCAGGGCCCTTCGGCAAACTATTGTTGCGAACCGGTAAGCATTTGATCTTGCACTTGTCCTATAGTATCCTTGGGGACTCTGCCACCCTTTTCCTCTTCGAGGGCTGTTCGCGATCTAGTTCATTCTGACTGACGATGTGTAAAGGGTCTCACACCAGAGCAATGCGCCTCCGCCACGAGCGCCGGAACTGAGACTGCAACCTATGTACAGCCAACGCCCGTCTGAGCCGTGGCTCTTGTGTCACTTCCGTTTGGGTCTTCGAGGATTGCGGCTGGGAAAACACCCTCAAATCCGATTAATTCGCAGAGCACGAGTGTAGCAGGCACTGCTGGATCAGAACTTTCTCTGCTGCCGTTCGGGCCTTAGCTTGTTTTTCAATATGGGATTTTGGTTGTGAGTTGTTAAGACCAGTTCCGGTGGGCCACGATACGACGACGTCGTGTTATTCTTCCCTCATTTCTGGTGTAGGACTGTCGAGAACAGAACAAGGAGGGAAGGTGATGGTCTGCTAGAGTGATATTCGACCGACCGAATCACACGCAAGGCAGAAGGAATAGATTGAGTTGGCAGGAGATCTTTTAAGAAACCAGTTGGAAAGGAATTGACATCCACCCCGCCATATCCATAGCTCCCATTGCTCATCAGCTTTCCGTGTCCCCGATCTTAGATTCTAGAATCTATCTAGTCAGGTAGTGTCTGTATAGATGGTCTACATCTAAAGCACATGTCTTGTATGGCCACAATGAAACTTCGAAGTCCTTAGGCCTAAAACACCTAAACCCCGTTCTTTCACAAGCCATCGTGCAGAAGTCGTCGTACACGCCTCGAGAAGACTCTCTTGCTTCAACCATGTTATCGTGTCCGTCCAGGTTCGTGAATAGAAAGTCTATTTCTAGGTAGTTGAACTGGTCTATGCAGTAGCGTACTTCCAGCCTTGCAGGTCATTCTCCAAACTACGATGGAGAGTGGCGACATATTCAACCATTCCTCCGGACCTATAAAATTGTTAGCCACTTCATCTAGATATTTCGGAGGTTTTCAGGAATACTTACCAATTCAATGGTTCAACCTTTCGTCCTGGAATATTTGCACCCTGGTACCAACTCTTCGCCATGGGGAAGAGAGACTCATTCCATTTCTCATTCATGCGCTTGCACCAGTCGTCTTCACTCTCTTGAGTCGATTCAAGCCTGGTGATGCCCTTCTCCTTGATAATCTTGAATGTCTCTTCGACCCACTCGGCCTGGAACTGTGTGCAGCTGGGGCCTGAGCTGAATGCCGTGGGTGCCTGAGGTCCGTACAAGAAGAACATGTTCGGGAAGTTGGGCATAGCAATACCCATGGCCGTCTTTGTGCCATCCTTCCAGTGGTCTGCGATAGTACCGCCATCGGTGCCTTGGATATTCAATTGTGCTAGAGATCCTGTCACGCTGTCGAAGCCTGTGGCCAGAATTATAACATCTACCTCTGTGTGACCTTGGTTGGTCCTTAGGCCAGTAGCCGTCACTTCTTCAATGGGTGATTTGTTGATGTCGATGATGTTGACATGTGGTTGATCGACGACTTCGTAGAATCGTTGTTCCAAGGATGGGCGCTTAGTTCCCCATGGATGAGGGGGTACCTCGGGGGCAAGAAGAGCTTGCTTCTTTGGGTCCGTGAGACGCTTGAGCACTTGCTTGCGCCAGAAGTTATATGCTTGCTCATTGGCCTTGAGATCGAACAGCATATCCTTGTACGTTGCAAGCCAAAATTTGAAGCCACCATCTTCGACCATTAGTTTGTGATAAACCTTTTCGCGCTCTTCATCGGTATCATCGAACGTGTTCCTTTGAATGAAATCATATGTGAAGCCAGCAAATGTGTGGCGAGTCTTTTCGATCTCTGATTCATATGTGCCATCCTTCTTTTTCTGCTCTTCCTCTGTGGGATCAAGCTTGCGTTGATTCATGGGGAGGCACATGTTGGGTGTACGTAGGAAAACGGTCAATTCCTTAGCCTGGTCACCAATTTCTTGGATGACCTGAATGCCAGAAGCACCAGTTCCGACCTCGGCTATCCGCTTGCTCTTGAGATTGACGCCATGCTGAGGCCAGACAGCGGTGTGGTAAATGTCTCCCTTGAAGTTGCCGAGCCCTGGGAATGGAGGGGTATATCTCTTGCTGGCAAAACCTATACATGGTAGGAACCACCGAGCATAGTATTCTGAGCCATCAGCACACTCAACTAGCCACTGCTGGCGTTTCTCGTCAAAAGAGGCACCATCAACATGCTTGTTGAAAGAAGTGTACTCTCTGATATTCCATTTCTTCTCGACATATTCAAAATACGTGCGCAGTTCTTGCCATCCAGGATATCGATCCTTGAATGTGAAATCCTGCCATAATTCCTTGTCAAAGAGTTGATAGATTGGTGTATCCGTATCGACTCGAGCTCCAGGATAACAATTCCAATACCAGATACCTCCTGATGCTCCTCCCTTTTCGAGGATACGTACGTTATAGCCAAGTTTTCGCAATCTAGAAGGCACATTAGTATAGAATACCTCGAACAAAGAGATCCATAGTCCATACCGGTTTAGCAGTGTGAAGGAAGCGAAACCAGCTCCTACAAGAAGCACATCGACTTCCTCAGGTTGAGTAGAGCCCATATTGAATTAAATCGATGAGAATAGATACAAATAACGTTGTTGTTCGAGGTTAAGGGCGATAGACAACCCGCCCATATGCGAAGAATTTCCACGAAATATGTAGAAATTAGAATCTTCAGACAACCCCGCGACTTCTCCGGGGCCCCGGACAGTGGCGTACCCAGCAGATTGATGGAACGGACCCATAATGAGGGGTTGATGTACGGGCAAAAGGAGTGGAATATCAAGAGCCACCTACCTGAACCAACAGGATCTCACAATGACATATCGGGCCCATGGCGGATGAAAGCAACAAGGAGGGTAATTCGCTCGACAGCTGCATATCAACATACGCCATGGTTGCAAAACGGCGAGAGCTCGGGGGGTCCACAGTGTTCGGTAGCGAGGTTAAGGGAGTAGTGACCGAGTTGACTGTTCTTTGAAAGCCAAAACCAAGTCGATGATGACGATTGAGCTTAAAACAGATAGCCAAAAGAATGAGGGTGTGGGGATAGAGATCAATTATTAGATCCTACTTCAGCATGGGGTCGTGGCCGAGAGGAGATATTCCTCATGTCGATCGGGTTTCCAAACCGAGGAGGTGGATTCGCGTCACGTTTAACCAGAACAAGTAATCCGGAGCGCCTGATATCATCGATATGGCATGGAACGTGTCTAACATTGAGACAACCCGTTGGTACAGTGCAGCCGCCCCAAGAGAACACTCTGGGTGACATCTAAAGGAGGTAATTCGCACCGAATTTGCGCCTCATCCCGATACCCAGATGGACGGAACGTATTGTGCATCTGACGCTCCCGGATAAGGTGGTATGGTCAAGATTGAGTTCAAGTTCTGCCATAATTACATCAATACCAAAGTTTCGAGAATGTCGCAATGGGTGGCTGATGCGGGGTTTCACGGTCTCGAACGCGATCTGCTGCGGTTGATTGCCTTCGAGAATTTGTGATAGGGTTTGCGGCTTTCGATACATATCGGCTTTCTATCCTTCGCTCAGCATGGTCATCCTTTCTTCATAAGCGATCTGGCAGACCGTAGAAAGTTCAGATCGCACACTCGCATCTTCCAGCAATACCGGTACTTTCGAGATTCACAAGCCACCCCCCTTGCTCTCCTCGAAACACTTTTCTGCATTGATAAGAATAAATGCTCGGAGAAATTGAGCCTCTGTGCGGGGAAGCTACTGGCAGCAGTATTTGAGTTTATGTCTTCCCTGCCATGGAGCCACTCGCTATTGCCATTCGGCCGAACATATACTCGTATACTGTTCCTCTTTGACAAACTATATTTCAATGGAAGCAGCAGCTGTCTTTGTACCTAGGGAAGAAGACAGCCAAGGTCAGCATCTGACGGTATCCTCAGTACCATCATCATTCCAAGCTATCACAGTTGCTTTGAACCATTCATCTCCCTCGTCGCTCATGAGGAACCTCTCAGGCGATATACGGTTTTTGGACATCTAGGACACGTTCATCAAAACGCGCGATCCCCAAAGTCTGCACATAGGCAATTGAGGCGACACTTACAAGATCTTAAGTGTTTGTCTGTGTCTGCAGTGTAGGTCGCCTTGCAAAGTGTTGAATCCGCCCCAGCTTCTCGGGAGTTATGTGTTCAGGTACTGTCAAACCAATCCCTCAGGTGGGTTAAACATTCTTACTTTCACTTCGTATAAGATACTCAGATTAGCTTCCATGGCCGTATATCCATCGTGGATCGAGTGTGGATGGGTGATAATTGTTAACATCGAGCAGGCGTATACACCGTCTGGAGGTCCTTTATGGTAGATATCCCCACAAAGTGCACCTGCTGACAAAGTCTAAGCCAGCTCAGGTCGAAATTTGATCTTTTCCTGCCGTGAACGCTTTGCCACGGTCATGTCTTGGGGTTTCTTGATCCTTGGAACCTGATTTCCCTTTCTTCAGATCATGCAAACTCTCTTCGAGTCGTTCAAAGAGTTTCTCTAACAACCACTCAGCCTCAGCCTTGTTGCCCATTAACGGACTTCCACTTCCGATCCAACTCCAGCTCGAGATGTTTCCAGTTTCCTCCTCCTCGCCAGTGGATATTTGTACATTACGCTGATTTCGTGGATGACGAGGCTCGACCTCATTTTGCTCCGGTGAGTCAGGATCCCCATGTTCTTCTCCGTCATGCGACATATTTTCGACTTCATCTCTGGCGGGTGATGGGGATGCTTCATGGAGTGAACTATCACTTTCATCCTCACCGAGTAATTTCAAGAAATACGCCCATTCAGCATAGCTATATTTCTTGGGAGTGGCCGCTGTGCTATCAACCCACAACTTACGGATCTGGGAAATTAAAACATGACGGTAGTGGTGCTCCTCTGCGCACGATTAGCTGACAAGACTACTGACCGTGGAGTGTAAGGATTTACCTTCTTCCGATCGATTTCCACGCCCTCGAGCAATGGACTCATCAATCTTCTCCGACTCTTCGAACTCCGCGGCCAATCTGTCCTTGGCTGCAATCTGCTCCTGGTTTTGCCCCTTCTTCTGGCGAACTCGGAATATGCGAGCCAAGCCAGGATGTAATTCTTGGAAGTCGGTCCCACCGTTAGATGGGGGTTTCCCCTTTTCAACATCACTTGGTTTTGTTGACTTGCTCTCGACTTTCCCAAGTGTCACCTTGTAAACGCCATGTCTGAGCCTGTCTTTCATGCCTTCTTGTTCATTGGGAAGCACAGTAATCTCGCCAAGCCATATGGTGACCTCTTTGATGGCCTTTACAACTGTTTCACCCATGTCGGAGATGAGTATGGTCAGGGTTGGAACGGCCAGCAAGGACCAGAACACAAAGAATGGTTTGCCACTGTTGCTGATTGGCTGGAGATCGCCGTAGCCGATGGTCAAAAGACTCGTATAGGCGAAGTAGAGGGATTGAAAATACGACCACTGCTGGTTCTTTTCCGCCTTGTAGAAAACCAAAGCACCAATTGTCCACTGGATTCGTATTAGTATGACTGTTGCCACGCTCGACGGACAGTGAAATCCATGACTTACCAAAAACGCAAAAGCAAAGGTTGAGACCAGGAGACTATAGTATTTGCGAGTCGTATCGGCTCTTGCTTGTACTCTTCTCATTGCGAGAAATTCTGCCTCTCTTCTCTCAATCTCTGAAATATCGCCTTCTCCAGGCTGAGCCACTAAAGCGTCCACGTGCTCCTTGTCCAACCCCATGACACCGTGAGGTTTCGAATGATGGTTCTTCTTGATGGCACTTTGAACATCTCGGACCAATTTAGCACGGGTTTTCTCTGTCAACCTCGCAGCCATTTTCTTTTTACCACGTTCAAGCACCAAAGAACGTATGGAACCGACCACCAAACCAAGGATCGTGATACCGCCTATCGCGAACGGAAAGAGAAGTCCTCGTCCAAGGTGAGTCTTCGGTACGTAGTCACTGCCTATGCCGATCGTGAGCGAGGTGAAATCTGCCCAGTATACGGCATCGAGGAACTTCCAGCCCTCGATATGCGAAAATACTAAGGCTCCGAGTAGTTGGTAAACCAAGAATGCAATGGTTTGGAGCATTAGCGTTCGTTGGGCCATAGTCAGTTTGAATTCCTTGCTGTAGTGCCCTCTGAACGCGCCATAGACGGTCACGCACATTAGATAGGAGATGATCTGGTAGAGTCCGGCGGCAAATATTGCATAGTAATAGGCCTGTGTGAGTGCTTGGTCCTGCACGCCAGGAGCGTGAAACGCATGCGCTGCGACTGCGATAAGAGCGATGAGGAGGATCGACGCAAGCCAAAATCCAATAATTGTGATGGGTTGCGCTATACTGAAAGATACTCTACCCGCCATGTTCAACAAAAGTGAAAGGTTGGCCGTCAGGGCACAGACAAGCGAGATGGCGTTCACAGCGATGAGCCTATGCGACAAGTCTCGATTAGACGCGCTCGAACATAGTGCACAAAGCAGATGTCGGGAGATCATACCATCGAGGATCCTTGATATCAATCCCATGTTCTTCAGTGCCTCCTGGAGGGATTTCGACCCTCCAGTTCTCGACAAGTGCGCATATACTGAATGCGTTCGCCATGGGGCCAAATGTGCCTGCAATCAAAGGAAATCCTGTGGATGCATACCACCACCGCGCCGGTAAGAGGAAACTCCGTTCCTCTTCTTCCTCGTCCAAGCCATCGTCAGGCTTTTCGTCGACGTTCTCCTTGACTTGATCCGACGCGTCTGCGATAGGCCCGTCGAGGCCTGGGTCATTCATCTTGAATCGATATGCTTCTTGAGAAACAGAGCCGCATTACGAGTGTACCTTCCTACGGAGCATTAAAGCAATTCGTGTTATCGAAGCGTTCGACACAGGTAAATTACTGGCCAAGTATCGAGTTTCGATTATGGATCGGTGGAGTTTGGGTTGACGTGCCATTGAGGAGGAAGATGACGTCGGTCAGCAGCCACAAACCTAGATTACCAGATCCATTTCCAAGGCTAATCAAAAGCTTGGGCAACTTTTATGCACTCCAGAAGTAACCGGAGCAAAGCTTGCCAACTCTTTCCACTGAGTGGGTGTCAAAATCCGTTGTGGGTGCTTGGGATGTGAGTAACTGCCAAGCAGCACCCTGCCTCAAACTACACCGAGCTCAGCAGTACATACAAGTACCAAAAACGGTCTTGTCTAAGCATTCCACAAAGTGAAAGCGTATTCGACACTTAGACTCAACGCTGTGCCTGGTTCCACATGCAGCAGTAGGCGCTCAAGGCTGCTCCTGTAGGGATCCTCACCTGCCCAATCGATATGGAGCAGCACATACCTGTTTCACAGCGGGAGGTGATGCGGTCGTCATACTGTATGTGTACGTTAGCACTTAGGGCAAGGATTCTTCATTTTACAATCCTCAAGTGATTGATTTTGTCGATACTTGCTCGTGGATCGGGATGCTGAAACACGAGAAAATATCTTTCATTTTCAAGCAAAGCTCACCAGCTTTCTTGGGAGAAAGACATCCTGAACAAAATGGCTCCCTGCCAGAGGTGAGAGTTTACATTAAGATATCATCGTCTCATAATCCTCGAGGTTGAATCTGATGCTGGCGGACAAAGTTACCTTCAAGCCCCGTCTAGCATAATTCCCTTGGGATGCTTTCTTTGTGGACGACGAAGCAATGGTGCATAAAGTGAGTCCTACGACTCTCGCCGTTGTCAAGGGCAGGACGATAATCGGTAAGGGCCAAGTAGGGGGCCCCAGATGCGGTGCCATCCCTCGTTTGTGAGGCAAAGTACAATAGCAGCACAATTTCTGCATTTTTGATTACACTCATCTACCGTGTCTGTCCAATGTAAACCACAGAGTTCTGTATCTCTCGAAACATGACCTTGCACTCATCGCGCCAAATTTATATGCGGCTATCCTGACCGCCTTTCGGAACAGGGCGTGCGTGAGATAATCTCAAGTTCCACGAGACACAAAACTTGATGAAATTTTAGACATGGCTGTTAGATCAAAAACTTGAATTGGCGGATCGACAGCTTTGAGTGATTTGCCATGCAAGCAAGACCTGCGTCGGCAATACTGAGCTTCGACGTACGGTCATCGACTTAAAGCCTGCTGATACATTGTCGAGGCTGGTGCTCAGCCCGGCTAACATCGATTGTGAGAATTTGCACTCTATCCACAAAACTCATTTATGCTTATGGGTCACCTGTCGGTCAGTTTCAACCACGAGAACTCTTCAAGGTCTCTGATAAAAGGGAAGTTGGAGCTTGAGAGAACCCAAGACTTTTTCATACTGAACCTGACCACTAGTTTCTATTAATAAACGATTTATAGTATTTTAAGTTTGGTCGGCAGATACGCGGATGTCGTAAAGTGGATAGAGGTGATGCACGGATAGGGTTAAACGTTGCCTAGGAAGTACTTGGGTGACACCGACGTTATCTCGTGTTTAGGTTTGCGGGACGTTGGAGAACTGAAATTGCTCCTTTTTCTCAAGCTTTCTACAGAAACCTCAGAGTGTTCAGGGTTATGTTCAGAAGAGCGCACATTTGGTGTTCTTAGTCCTCTCATAAATGCTGCGGGTGGTCTGGATTGCTCGAGGCTATTGAGCCTTCTTGGTGGTGGCTACTCCACACGTGTTGCACCGCGTTCTCCATGATGCGATTCAAGATTGGAGGCTACTCTCGCCTCAACCCCAGCAATAGGGATGCATCTCCTCAACACAGTCAAATCGAACTTCTACAGCCTCGACATTCGCCCAGGCCAGCAGACTCTTCGTTGTCTGGGCATAAATCTCACGCGAAACCGACATCGAATCGACTTGACACGAATTGGGATCCCGTCTTTTTGAGGCGGTGGGTTCTCGTTGCTTTTGCTTTGTTCTTCGCAGCAGTAATCGCCGCTTTGCAGGTCGTGTACAGCATCTCTGCGGCGAATCGGGGAATCGTGACCAGCGATGACGAGAAGCACTATTTGTGGACCTATGGACCTACCGCCATTTTTGTGATAGTAACTGTCCTTTGGAGACAGGTCGACTATGCTGCCAAGTCAATCCAACCATGGGCAGAGATGGCGAAAGGTCCTCAAACGGCCAAAAACAGCCTTTTGCTAGACTACGTCACCCCATTTCAGCTCGTCTCTTTATGGAGGTCGATACGCAAGTCCCACTTCAATGTGGCCGCGACCGTTATTGTATTCTTCTTGATCAAGGTCATCACCATCCTGTCAACTGGTATCTTCAGTTTGCGAGCTGTTCAGCAAGATGGAGTGGCTACTACGATGGCTTTGAACAACACATTCGATGGCTCAAATTTCCAGCAAGCTGCTTCCGTGGACTCCAGAGCAGCTTATGTCGTTTATGGCCAGCAGGCATACAATGTGACACCTCCATCTGGGACGAGTGATCAGTATACTGTTCAGAGTTTTAGCCCCGCCGAAAACTTCGTCAATGGCACCTTGACCTTTTCGGCCGAGGTAGATGTCTTCAGCGTCGGCCTCGAGTGCGAATCTGGTGCAATCACCTACAACATTTCCTATTCGAGGTCCTCGAACGCGCCAACAGCTTCTTACTTCAACACGACAGTCACTTTACCTGACTGTCAGATCTACAACGCCTATTTGGACTCACCTGACTGGTACTATACCCAAAACGATACTACCCACAGATTTGGCTATCAAGGATCCTTCCAAAATGTCACCTGTTCAAACCTCCCCGACAACGATCCTACGAGGGAACGATATATGGTCGCGGTAGCATATTCTGAAGGTATCGGACAGAACGAAAATAAACTTCTCAACTCGTCAAATCTTGTCTGCATTCCCTCGTATGCGATCCACTCAGGTATGGTCACTCTCGACACTGCCGGAAATGTACAATCAGTGAATTTGACTGGACCACCGAGGAAGCTTGAAGGAGTTACAGGGCTCGATATTGCCAAAGGTGTGGCGGCAACATCTCAACAATCATATGCCTTTGGGGGTTCGAGCGGTGACGACCTCTCCTTGGATTCATTCTTGACTTTAATGCAACTAGACACTCCTAATTTTTCCGAGACGCAATTTCTAGACACCAACTATCTGAATACTACCGCGAATAGGATCTATGGAAAGGTTGCTGCGCAGCTGGCCAACTTTTATCTGCTTTCGGAAAAGAAACCTAGCTCTGGATCGTCTCTGAATGGAACCCTTTCGAGGGAGGAAAACCGACTCGTTGCACGTGAAGCACCTGTCAGAGGCATGCAAGGTATAGCGGGCGTCATGTTGGTGTTGACTCTTGCTATTATCTTCATCACGCCTCGTGGAGTTGTTCCAAGATCAATCGACTCGATCGCTGCGGTTGCTGCCATCTTAGCACGAAGCCCTCGTCTAGGAAACCAACTGGACGGGACCGGCCACCTGAGCCTTGACGAACTCGCAATGGCACTTGAACCTGACCGATATATGACACGTATGGGCTATGAAGATGGGTCCAAACATTTTGCCATTGAGGTAATATCAGGGTCAGAGTCTGAGGTTCAAACCATTTCTGAAGCCAATTCAATCTACAAGAATGTACGGTGGATGCAGCCGTTGGTACTACATAGGATCGCCATCTCCTTCACGATCCTTGCATCAATAGCGGCCATTATAACTCTGGAGGCTTTGCTCTCGCAATCCCAGAAGCACAATGGTCTTGCTAGCGTCAGTGACAATGCTGCAACAAGATATAGTTGGCTCTATGTCCCTGTCTTTGTGTTCCTCCTCCTAGGGACTCTTTTCAACCTCATGGACTTCGAGATCGAATTCATCGAGTCTTATCACGCTCTTTCTAGGGGCTTTTGCGATGCAACGTCGAGTATGCTTTGGTATCCACTGCGCCATGTCTCTGTGCATGCCAGCTGGGACGGGCTGCGACATGGCAGGTTCGCTCTGACGGCAGCATCAGCCTCGGCTGTGCTTGCACCTTTACTGACAATTGTTGTCGCGGGTCTTTTCTTCGCCAAAGCGACCGTCCAGGGTATTCCCATTGGTATCACGGCTTTGAATTGGTTCAACACGACAACGCTCGAGACCCCCTCTACCAACATCCCTTTGTTGATCATCGAAGGCAATATGTCCTACCCTGCATGGACATATGATGAACTCTCGTTCCCTCAACTCGAGATTGCGTCCAATTCGGCCCTACAAATATCAACCGACTCCGGCTCTGTGTCTGTTAGCACACCAGCACTGCGCGCCGCCGTCTCCTGTGATGTCGTCCCGAAATCTCGCATCCTCAATCTAACCATGGAATCCGGCTCCTTGAGTTCCAACATCTCCACACCTGATGGTTGTGGGAACTCTGGTTTGATTGATCAACCCTATACGTGGCTCACGAACAATATTAAAGTGCCTGTCAACTCGAGTGGGTATTTTGGCAGTACTCTGACACTGGGGTTTGGTTCAGACTCGTGTCCGACTCTGGCCATCTATTACGGACATGCCTCGAACAATGAAATTGACGACTTCTCCGCTATTACATGCACCCAAAGTCTCCAAAGAGTACAATCAAATCTGACTCTTAATCTGCCGGATTTTTCTGTGGTGACCGATACTCCACCTATCGTTCAGCCAGATTCTGTGGTTCACTTTTCAGACTTCTATACCACATTCCCGTCTTACCAAGCAATCAATATCACAAACACCAATGATGAATTAGACGACATTTTCAATGCCCTTGTCTATGGGCGGGACGGTGTTCCAACATCAGAACTTCTCAACGACACCACTCTGATTAGCTCGTACCAGCATCTGTACAGGCAATATATGGCCCAGGTTATCAGCATCTACCTTCGCGCCGACTTCAACACATTGTCTGACAACGCCACCGAGACAGTGACGAACCCACTGGAGGCGACCTACATCAATCCACGCCACTTCCGTTTGATTCAGTCATCTCTCTCAACTCACCTGCTCGTTGGTGTGCTAGGCGCACTGTTGATATGCGCACTTACAATCTTCGTTACGATCGACATGCGGCAGGTTCTTCCCAAACCGATGGGGAGCATTGCGTCGGTGGCGAGCTTGTTAGCCGGGAGCAGAATCGTGGACAAACGGTCGGGTTTGATTCCGAAGGGAGCAGAATATTGGAGTGATGAAGAATGGGAAAAGAGCGGAGTGTGGCAAGGCGAAATGTTCCGTATGGGATGGTGGGACAAGTTTGAAGAACCCATCGAATCTTATGGCAGCCGTCGAGTTGAAGAACCAGCTGAATCAATACGCAGTGGACGAGGGACTGGTCAGGATGTCTCGAATCCGCGTGACGGAGTGAATGCTAGCGATACTGCGAGATTCAGGATTGATGCTCGGCCGAAGATCGTGTCATGAATTTGGTGATACATAATTCAGTATTTAAAACGAAGAGTCACAGGATTCATGAGATGGTCAAGGGAATGAAATCATCTAGAAGGAAGGGTTTGAAACAGAGACCTGTAAGACAACGACTAAAGAAGATATCCAGGGAGAAGGCTTGCATAATAATATAGACTCGACCCAGGGGATGAATAAGACTTGAAGCTTAGAACTGGCATTCCTTGGGAGGTACCTTGTGGTATCAGGCTTTTGCGTAGAACCTGGTGGTTCAAGCGGCCTAAACGCGTCCCCCATGCTCCGTACATGTTGAAACTCAACACCTAATAAAGGTCAAAGGCACCAGTGGGTAAATCTATCGGATAAATAATCTCTAATGAACCGGACACAAACATGGAAACATGGGCTTGTTGAAAGGCTGAGATGGGCAATTTGAAACAGCGAGATTTGGTGGAGAGGAAAACCTGGAAGTGGGGAGTTGGTGAGCGAGTGAGAGATTACACGAGAGATTGTTTGATGGCGAATGGCGACTCTTCAGCCGTTGTGGCGTTGACAACCCTCAATCCTTGGAAAAGTAATGCTACTCGTTAAAAGTACTATTGAAAGTTAATGGATATGTCCTACAAATCCCGAGGACTTCGTATGTCAATAGATAACCAACCCAAGGCTACAGTACTGGTAACTGAACGTAGGCAGCGTCTGAAAAGTTCTCGGTAGGAGATTTCCTGAAACATTGACGGATGCGTTGATTTGAAGTTGGCCGAGACCTAACCAGACGAAAACAATAACAAGCGCCTACGAAAAGTTGGATTTAGGCTTGAGTGGGCCTGGAACGAGTGCTTTTGATGCTGCCTCTAGCCTAGTATGACGCCTATGGTCCTAGGTCGGGTCCTAGGTCGGCCTGCGATTGTCACTATCCGTACGGTGACCTGTGCTTCACTAATCGTTTGACCCACGAAACTCGATCAATTCTGGTATCATGACATGGTTGTGTTTAGACAGATGTAGTTGTAAGATAATTCTTATCTTCTTTTAGACGTAATTCACAGGTATACTCGTGGGTGATGCCAGTGCACCTATCTCCAAACACTGACCACGACATCATCACCTGGGCATTGGCAGTTGGTTTGACAACAGTCTCCATTAGTTAAAGATAGTTGGTGTCTCGTCCGGGTAACTCAACCTTATTGTGTTTGGAACATTCTCTAACTGGCCCTCAAACCCCCGAAGCCACGGACTTGACTTCCAGAACATGTCTTTCAAAGATGAGGAGAACATGCCCATCCCAGCCCCAAGTTTCAACAGTCCAATCTCCATCGAGCGGATGAGTTCCAAGTCCGCACCAGATGCAGATCCACATCCACTCCCCACCATGAGGAACACAGTTGCCAGGTTTCAAGCCTGAAAGCCTGATCCTGCACCCGCACCTGCCTGCACGGCACCTGCACCTCCACCTGCACCTCCAGTCCACTTGCCCACCTCAAGTCGCCTGTACAGACCCTAAACTCTCTTGGGTTAGCCTCGACTTGCACTCCGTCCTGCAGCTGCCGTGGTTGAACCTCACGATTGCGACTGCGACCACGACCACGACTGCGCCTCAACCTTGAATCTACACCTGACCTCGACTCGTACACTCTTTCTCCCATTTCGCCTATCAACATCGCCCTCTCCGTACCACAATTCCATCCTCGTCGTCGCTTCTCACCTCCATCTACCCACACAAATACAATCACTCGTTACCTCGTACCTACCGCCATATTATTCCACATGCGAGTCCTTCGCTCATCCATCCTCTGCGCACTGGCGCCCTCGACTTAATCCCACTTGACATCATCCGGTTCCTCGTCATCTATCATGCTTCGACCTGCCACCCCTCTGACCATTTTGTTGTTCATATCCTTCGTCTTTCTGCTACTTTCCGTCATATCTACGCCTATCGTCAAAGCCATCCCTATCGCCTCTTACAAGGGTGTCAATTTTGGTGTCTTGGGATATTGTACCCCGACGGAATGTAGTGGTATCAGAGTCGGTTATACCACCAGTCAGTGACAAATGTCCTACCAAACCCATAGACCCTCCCGTTTTGTTGACACTTGACAGATGGCCTATTTGGCTCCTCCGGAGATGGAGATTTCAACCTTCCCTCGAGTGCGAGACAATCACTGTCCTCTTTGCTCATTGTACACCCCGTTGCCGCCTTTTTCAACCTAGTATGCCTTGCTCTCGCAGCCGCTGCTCATTTACATTCACCATCTCATTCCGCTCGTTATCTTCTCGGACTTTTAATACTACTCTTACCAACACTGCTGGTCACTCTGTTGGCTTTCTTGGTGGACATATTGCTGTTTGTTCCGCATCTACAATGGGGTGGCTGGATCGTCCTCGCTTCCACAATCCTAATCACTGCTTCGGGCGTGGTCACATGTGCCATGAGAAGGACTTTGGTTTCCCGCAAGGCTCGGAAGAAGAGGATTGCTGAAAATGCCGAAATGAGTGGTGAGAACTTTTACAACCGTCAGGCACAAGAAACAAAAAACCCCGGTCAGGCCTTTGCTATGGAACCAACCGTCCCCATGGTCAATGGTGCTCCCGGTGCCGATAGACTACCCAACTTTGCCACCTTTGACCCGTCAAAGAAGCTCGATGAAGATCGCCAGCCACTCCGCTCCCAAGCTTTATCCAATGACCCTACTCTAGTTCCTTCACGCGATGGTGCTTCGGATAGATTCTATGGTCCTCCCTCTAGGTCCGGAAGTCGTCCTGGAAGTCGACCACCTTATGACGGTCAAAGAGATCAATATGGTAATCCTACTCCTCCTCCAATACCAGTTGGTGGCGCTCCCATTCAAGGACGAAGGTCTGGTGATGAACGGACTCCTCCAAGTCCCTATCGCGATAATAGTGTCCCACCTCCTGGAGGTCGTGGCTATGGTCCACGCGGAAGAGGCAATTACCCGTCTCGCGGGGGTTATGCCCCTCGAGGCGGTTACGGATCTCGTGGGCCACCTCCACCCCAAGCTTATCCTGGCCGCGGTGGATTTTCCACAGACATGAGGGGCGGTTATGGAAACCGTGGTCGAGGTGGCTATGCTACAGGTGCTGCTGTTGCTGGTGGGCTGGCCGCTGGCGCGATAATGGCAAATGGACAACAGCGACCACCGCCTGGTTATCCTCCTCCAGATGGATACTCAGAGAGAATGGGTGGCCCCGAAATTGCCCAATCCCAACCCTACATTGAAGGTGACACCCGAGAATTTGCTCCGATGAGCCCGTCAGTGTATACTACTGGACCTGAGGATACACAAGGTGTCTATGGCGCTCGAGCTCAATCCCCTGGACGGGAAAGGATGTCACCCTATGGTAGTCGAGTTCAGTCTCCTGCTGGAACAGGCCATCGTATGTCGCCTCCTCCGGCCATGCCTCCTATGCCTCAGCCGCAAGTGGCAGAGCTTGGAGGCGCAGTTGCCCAACATGACTTTGCACCACGCAGATCGCAAAGTCAAGATCCGTAAGTTTATAATATCTCATTCAATACTTAGGCTAATTAATCAGGTACGTCCCGGTTCGATCCAATTGGAATAATGCGTCCAATGAAAATTTCAGCGGACCTAGATCGCCAGGGAGATACGCGCCACCACCTGCGGAGCTGCCTTCAGGCGCCGGCTATGGTGGAGGCTCAACAAGACGACCCCGGGTCAATTCTGGTGGAAGTGATTTGTATTATGAAGATGTGGATCCGAAATTCGCCGCGGATCAAGTCCCACCACTACCCCAAAATTTCCAGGATCAAGGACCACGCATACCCTCTCTTCTGACACCAGGTCAGCATCGACCTGATTCACTCCATCTACCCCCGTCACATTCCTATGAAGATCTACCAGGTGCCCGATCTCCAGCTGAAAGTGAAGCGAGCCACTTCACATCCGTAAGTCAGCGAGGGGTGAACCCCAACTGGCGACCAGGTAATGGTGGAGAGTTCAATTCATTCGGTCCGCGACGACCGCCTGGAGGTCGGGAACAACAGATGAGGAGAGACGTCATTCTAAACAACAATCCAGATTTCGAGATACCGGGCATGGGCCCACAAACAAGAATGGGACCTCGAGGTGGCGGCCGAGGCATGATGATGCGAGGTGGTATGAACGGGGGACCTGGCCGAATGCCAGCCCCACCCAGTGCATTTGATGGTGCAGGTGATGGAAGATATCCAGCTCCGGTCCTGCCGCCTGTTGGTTCTCCTCAAGTCAACATGTCGGCAGGCGGAGTGCGGGACATTTGAGTGGCTAACCTTCGGTTGGAGCTGCAGTGATAAGGTACATTCCGTTGATTCGGAATGCGTACAGTCAAGATGGGAGGTAAAAAGAGAATAGGCAAGTCCTAGCCTACCCAAAGAAACGAACAACCCAGGGACTACATAATGAACACGAAATGCTATGTTATGATCTGAGTGATTCGTTTTGCGGTCGCTTATTGTCTTGGTTTATTTGCCTTCTCCGTTGGCGTTGGCGGCGAGATCCGGAAACGCACCCACTCATCACGAGGAGCGACGACAAATTGACAGTAACCACCCGAGAATCTCTCGTGACGGAAAGTCGACGTTAGACATGCATGGGCTTACCTACCTAGGGAACCAACTAGCTAGTATCGACCTACCTAAACTGGCAGTAGATTGTCGGCGTAGAATTCTATTGTATTGTTTGCCCTAGGTAGGCATTTATTGTGACACAGGCATAATTAACTTCGAGAGGGAGCTTGTAGGTTAACCCCCCCCCTCTAATCAGCTACCCAGGCAGGTAGGCAAGTAGGTAGGCAGGCATTGATATTGATCTCGTTTATTGATATCGATCGATGGCATAGTATATACACAGCCGAGATGTTTTTGACCAAGGGCCTGTGGATAAAGTCGAACAATGATGTTTGTTCTAAAGGGAGGGGGGCGGGGGACCAAGAATGGATACCTCCCTAAGGTACTAACAGAGTATTGTGGTATTCTTGTTACGGGGAGAAGTTCGATCGAATAGGTCAGGTTACAAGATGAAAATGGAAAATATACGTCTGTCTGTAAGACAACATGAAATCAATTCACCACAACGCGAGTCTAGTACTTTCTAAATATGCTATTTAAACAGGGCGTCCTCAGTCAGAGCACACACGGGACAATCAAGGTGCATATTAACAGCTATATCATATAACGATCCGGCCTCCTCCGCCGCCACTATTACTGTTGCTGCCACCGCCACCGCCGCCGAAGAAGCCGAGGAAGTTACTTGCCGCACCGTTATTGGTGCTGGAGTCGTCGCCATCGCCGTCACCGGCGGTGAACCATTTCGGCCGCTTGAAGCCGCCGGACGAGGGTTGATTGGGGCTGGTGGGACTCGGCTGCATCCATTTTGGCGTGTCGATAGAAACGGTGTCCAGGGTATTCTTGACGCGGCGGCCGAAGAGAGTGAAGAAGTTCTCTTCTTCGGGTTCGGGCTCTAAGTCGGGACGGCTTCGAGGCGTGGAGCCGGCTATTCGGGTCGATGATACCGCCCCTGATCCTCCGTCATTGCGAGCTGATGCGGTGGTTCTTTCTGAGGGAGGAACCCAGCGTGTAGGTGCTGCGCGAGATGGACGGCTGGTGTCCAGAGACACTCGTGGAGACTCCCGTAAGCCCAATGTAGTTGACCGGTTGCCTTGGAGGTCTTGGTTGATGAGATTTCTACCCTCTCTCCATCCTCCGGTGCCAAAACCGGAAGGGTTCTCTTCTTCACCTTCGTCATCTTCGAGAATGCCAAAGCCGAGGATGTTTTTAATCTTGCTGTATAGATTGAATAGTGTGGCGCAAACAGGGAGGAGGATGAATATTGGAAAGAGGTAATCAAACCAGGTTCCCAGGGGAGTGAGGTTGATCAATCGTCCAAGGAAGTTGTAAAATGTCGAATTCTGGTGGATGTTACGGGGAAGGAAAGTTAGGAAATTGTAAGCCAAGGGGACCGTCAATTTCGCAATTTGTCCCGCGTACCAACAAGCTGACTCTGCGTAAGTATTGCGTTTCACCAGAGCGCGTTGATTCCAGGTTGGGACGTCATTGACACTGCTGAGAGCGCAGACGCACATGTAGGTGATCCAGAGGGAGGCAAGAAGTTGTCCCCCGAAACCAATCTGATAGTTATCATCGCTCGGATGATGAATGACGGTAAGACTGACGGCAGATAAGTGGGGAGCGGGAAATTTGATGATCTCGGACCAAATGATGGCGACGGATGCGAGGGAGGAGATGGCTCCGAGAGCGATTCGAAAAGCAGGAATGACATGGACATATAAGTGGTAGCGCATGTAGGGAGTGATGAAGGAGGTAGATCGGCCAAAATTGAGTTTCTTGGAGGCTTTGGAGTCAAGAATGGTCTGGAGATCCGAGGCCGATCGGACGATATTGTCCCACTCATGAATATATCTCGCCCTTCGAGATTTGGCCCTGATTAATCGTCTGGTCAGATCAGCCAAGTACCTCTCGGTGATCACGGCAGGAACCGATGTGATCGATTCGGTGGGAGTAGGAGGAATAAAAAGGCGTGAATCAGGAGGCCCTGCCAAATCGGCTAGTTCATCAATCCATTCGGCAAAATCACGAGCAGTGCCCGTCTTTCTCTGTTTGAGTTGGGTGACTTGCGCATCCAGTTCGTCGAGAGCGGAAATTGCATCTTGGAGTTTCTCGTGGACACGAGGGGCATGGCCTTGGACTCGGCGCAGGCTACCACTTGTATCGGCCTTCCGGAACATCTTTCTTGGAAGAGCGACAAGACCATGACCCATCAAATATATAGCGAGGATCAAACCCCAGACATAAGCCAGGGCCATGACCAGGGCCTTGATGGCCGTAAAATCGAAGCCATAGGAAAAGATCATGTATATCAGACCCACCACGGCGCATGAGAGCACGATCAATTGGTATCTAGCGTTGGAGCGCAAGGAGTATATCAGGCGGGATTTCGGATCTCGGTAACCAGCGTCCATGTATTCGGCCAGTAGGGGCAACACCAGCCATGTTAGGACAAAGGTCAACCAGTAAACAATCCTCCAGGAGACCAGAACTGCTCTTTGAGGCAGCCAAACACCTTTTCCACCATGGTTGGATACTCTGGCGCTGGAAGCAAGGTCGATGGGGACAAGAAGTAATGCGCTAGTAGGTAGGACCAGTGCAAAGAAGATGGGGACGAGTAGGAAGGCGGGAGTTGATCGGAGAGGGAGATAATGTCGCAGGAGAAGGAGGACGGCGGACGAGATGGTCAGGAGGGCGAGAATGGCGAAGACATCGGAGCCAACGGAAGAAGCCATTGGAGAGGGATGGTGATCATATCGAGAGGGTTGGAAGGGAGGTTGAACAGGACATGTCTCTGCGAGCGAACAAAGTGTCTTGCCAGGTAACAGCGATTGAATTGAAGTACGGATCGATGAATGGGAAGCAGGTGACGTTGGCGAAGGCAGCTAGTGAGATGGATTTAGTTTCTTCCGGCGCGAGCCTAGTGACCAATGGGAGCAATGAATGATAGGCTAGTGGTGCGGATGGTGCTAGGGAAGCGATGCGGACTCGACAAGAGGACGTGCATGTTTCCGCCTCAAGGATTAGGCACGGGCAGTCCGGGGAAGCCTGAGATCAGCCCCCGGACGCTGGTGTTAGGTAAGGCTGCTTGAAGCTTGAAGGAGAGCCACTCTAGCATGTTAGGGCTTAGGGTTTAGGGATGGCATATCCGTTTGATCATCATCCAAATGATTCAACCTCCTCCCTCATTCTTTCTTTTGCTGCTGCAAGAGTTGGCTGGCCGCTTGGTGGCTGAGCTAAGTCGCAAGTTTTGCACCTGCATCAAACGCCTAGACCTGTGTCATTACGACAGTCCGTCTTGGATCAGTTTGGACGGTTGATCCGTAGTTGACTAGAGGTGCGCAGGTGTCAAAAATAGGTTGTAGTTGGGGAGATCCTGCGCGTGAAGTCTTCATGCTCACAGATTATGGAGCATCGTTTGTCATTCCAGTAGTGAACCTTGTTTGGTGAGGTGAGCCTGAGCCTGAGAGTCAGAGTTAGAGTCATCAGCTTGAACAACTCATTCTCTTATCCCCCTCCAACTACTCGTACGGATCCCACTTAGACTGTTAGCTGGGCCTGATCAGTATAGTCAGAAGCCATTCCAGTCTGACTTTTCCCATTCTTTGCAAGAGACTTCCACTTCAGCCCAAACCAGGCAGACCAGGCACTCCGAAACCTGATTCCCCCTAGTGGCCTATCCCAAGGGTCTCATCCAAGGAACAAGCCTCCTCTTTTTGACTCCTCCCACCAATATTGTTACCTGCACCTCCACCTCCACCAACTACCCGCTACTTTCGCCTCAGGCTCGCAGGGCTCGCAGGCTCTCACCACTCACTCATCAGATTCCTCATCTTCCACACAACACACTGCACGCTGAACACGCGCCCATCTCTGCAGGCACTCATCCAACCAACCAACTTGTCTTCCTCCCTCTACTCTTCCCTCTTTCGCCTTGCAACCTCCCGTATTGCATTCAATCTCTTTGACGCTCATTCTCACGCCTTGCCTGTTTTCCTCGACTCCCTTGATACTCTTCTGTTCTACCCCGTCCATGGCCTTCCGCGCTGGCCCTCGCAATCCAACGCCCAGTCTCACTCCCCACTACCTCTGCTGAACCACTCAATCCTCAGTCTGTACGACACACCACCAACCGCATCCATCCACCTGTCCTACACTGCCTCCTGCTGTTCTTTCCCTTTCCAGGGCACCCAAGCCCGCCCTGTCGCTGCCACAATTGCCTTGACCCTTCCAACTGCATTGGCAATTCACGACCTCGAGCCTTTCTCAGTCTCTTCTTCTTACAATCTCGATGCGAATGGTCTGATCTCGTCTCTCTTCACTCCCGGGCTTCCCTTCCCAGCTACCACCATGAATCCCCAGCAGTTCCAAAACATGGCCGGCATGGGGCGCGGCATGCCCAACAACATGCAACAGATGACCATGAATCCACAAATGGGAGGTGTCATGGGAGGTCAGATGGGTGCTCAGATGGGCGCTCAAATGGGGAACCAGATGGGAAATCAGATATCCAACATGGCCGCTCAAATCCCCGGCATGCCCAGTCAGATGAATCCTCAGATGGCAGGCCAAATGAGAGGCATGCCGCAACAGGTGGCCGGGCAGATGAGTTTGAGCCACCCTTCGGTTCAACAACACATCTTCGATCAACTCAACTCACAGGGTCCTTGGGCTGGCTGGCAGGCCAATGTCCACATAAGAGAAAGGGCAGGTCAGATCAAGTTACTGGTCGATTCTCTACGCCTCGTCAGACCTCCTGTCGACCTTCCCCGCGCAATCGAGGTCGCCCTTCAGTTCGAACGCAAATGTTTCAGTCAAAGCGCCAGTAGAGATGATTATGTGAGAGAGTGCAGCGAGAAGCTGGGTCGTATTCGTGATCAAAGAGCTCAGCAGATGAACCAGGGCAACGCCGGCCTCATGCAGACCATGGGAATGCAAGGTAACATGCAAATGCCCAATCAGACTTTTCAGCAGATGCAACAACAGATGGGCCAGACTATGAACCCTAACTTGGCTCTACCGGCTCATCTTCAACAGCAGATGCAAGGCTCCCCTTTTCTGAATCAACAGCAGCAGCAGCAGCGGCAGCAGCAGCCGCCGCAGCCGCAGCCTCAGCCTCAACAACCTCAACAACAGCGTACTCCTCAGCCCATGATGACCCAACCTCAAAACGTCGCGGGTCAGGCTGCAATGATGCAAGGAAATAACAATCAACAAAAGGGAAATGCAGTGTCCGAACTCACTCCGGAAGACAACAAAGCCATCAACCTCAGAGCCGCCGAGTTGGCCAAAAACACCCCAAAGGAAGAGATGCGCAGTATTGTCGAGAAGATGAACCCCCAATTGCGACAAAACCTTGCCCAAAAGGCCGTCGACCCCATCATCTATTATTTCCGCATGTTGGCCACCAAGGAATTCCGTCGACGAAAACAGATGGAAGGTGGCATTGGAGGCGCCGGACAACAACCCACTGGTACAAATGCTATGAATCAGCAAGCCATGGGTGCGACAGGCAACGCTATGGGCGACATGGGTCGTTTCCAAGGTCTTCAAGCCGAAGGGTTGCGATCCCAAGAGGTCGGCGAGCTGGTTGTTCCTGCAAGCACTACCCAGGGCATGATGCCTGATCAGATGCGCCTTCAACAACAGATGCTCGCCAATCAACGCATGAATCAGCAAAATTCCAACACCCTAAATCCAGCCTTTATTGCTCAACAGCAACGTTTACAACAGGCCCAGGCCGCCAAGATGCAACAGGCTCAATTGGCGGCTCAAAATCAACAAGCTGCTCAAGCCCAGGCTAGAGCTCAGTCACAGGCTGCTATGGCTACACAGCGTGCTCAGTTGCAAGGTGTTTCTGGCAACAACACCCCCCTTGCGTCCATCAATCGTCCTGTGGGACCCAATGTTTCTGGTACGAGTCCTCAGCCAGGAACGCAAGCTGGGCAAAGGCCTCCATCCGGCACTCCAATGATGAATCAACAACAAATGAATATGCCTGGCAACATGCAGCAAGCACAACAGCAACAGATGAATATGCAAGATGTTCAGAAACGCGAAGCAGCTCTGGCAAATTTCCCTGCCCCATTACAGCAGTTGCTAAGACAGAAGCCACAATCTGAATGGCGGAATATTCTTCAACAATTCCAGAGGGACAATAACGGGGCACAGATGAGACGAAGCGTGTCGCAACAGCCACAAGGTTTACAGCAACAGCAACCACAACAGCAACCGCAACCTCTGGCTCAAATGCAAAATGGTGCTTTCATGGGTGGCGCCAATATAAGTGCCGTCAACATGCAGCAATCTCTATCTGCCGGAGCGTCTTCTGTGCCTCCGGGACAGGATATAAATAATATGACAGGTAACCAAAATCAAATGCAGCAAAACCAAGAAATGATGCGCCAAAGACAAATGCAGCTACACTTGCACCAGCAGCAACAGCAACAGCAACAGCAACAACAGCAACAGGGCGGTCAAAACGTTCCTGGTCAGGCTCCTACTCCTCGGCCTCAGCTCACCCCTCAACAAATGAAGATCATGGACCAGCAGGCAGTGCCGCAGACCGTTCTGAATAGTGTTCGTCAACATACCAGACTACCGGATGTTAGGAACTGGTTTATGCTCAAACAGTGGCTCTTGCAAAACCCAGTCCCGAGTCTTCCTGTACCTCAATTACTCAATGTCCAAGCCAATCATTTTGCTCATCTTATGAAGACTAGAGGTCAAAATATGCTTCAGCAGAACAATGCTATCCAGGGGCAAGTTCCAGGACCGCAAGCGCAACCCCAACAGCCTCAGCAGGTCCCGCAGATTCCTCAAGTTCCACAGGTTCCGACACCAGGAATTTCCCAACAGCAAGCACCAGTGATGCCCCCTGCGCCTGCCCAGTTTCGTCCTCCAACGCAGCAAGACATTCAGAAAGTTCGAGCTGCAAACCCGAAACTTGCAAACGTGCCTGACGAACAAATCAGACTCTTGCTGATAACTCGACAGCGACACCTGCAGCAGCAGCAACAACAACAACAAATGCAGCAGGCAAATGGAGTTCAAGCCATGGGTCAGCAAATGCCTGGAATGCAGCCACAAGCTGTTCCACAAGTTCCTCAACAGCAACCTCAAATGCAACCGGGACAACAAGTAGGGGCCCCATCTGCACAAGTTGCTCGTCCGAATCAAACCCCAACGCAGCCTGATAACAAGGTTAAACGACCGAATGAAGATGACATTGTTGAAGTTCCAGCCCCTATGGCAAACAAGACACTCTCCCAGACAGACGCGAACAAAGGTCCACCCTCATTGACTAAGGAACAATTTGCGGCTTTGGACCCCCAGAAAAAACAGCAGTACATGCAGTGGCAGCGTCAGCAGCAGCTTATGAAGAAAATTTTCGAACTCACTCGTGATGTTCAATCTACAATGCCAAAGGCAAAACCATTCACGAATATGGATGCCTCAAATAGACAACGAATTAGGACGCTTCTGACCTCAGACAATGTTAAGAACATGCTTGGTCGATATGAGTCTTTCTTGGCTGCTTTTTACCGGATGGAGCAGAACGAGGCGACTATTAAACAACTTATACTACAAAAGCTACAGTTGTTCGCACAGTTCAAGCCCCAAGCTCTTCAAAATAAGACATTTGATTTGGTCGATCACTTCAGTTTGACTGCTGAAAGCGTCGAGGCAATTATCAACAACATTACTGCAAAGTTTCAACAGACCGCAGCTCAATTCCCACCGCAGAACAAACCGAGGATGCCCACAGCGAGTCAGTTGACTCCCGAAAATCTTAGTTTGTTGGAAGCTCAGGAGCAAGAACGTAAAAAGTCTTTGAAAAACAATCAAGGGCCTCCTCCTGCGCCGACTTCGAGTCAGCCTCCGTTCCAGATTGGAGATAAAGGGCGTGGCACACCCACATATGCGACTCCTGGACTTAGACAAGAAGATCTCAAGTTGGATCCGAAACGCCGCAAGAAGAACAATCAAAACACTCCTGCGACTCCTGTTGGTCAGTCTGCACCAAGTACTACTGCGACGTCACCTGTGGTTACCAAGGCGCCCAAGCCGGTTGAAATGTTCAAATGTCCTGTTCTTGGATGTGAACACCAACTCAAGGGCTTTTCCTCTCAAGCCGAACTTGATCAACACCATAATGTTGCCCACAAGCTCGATCTGGAGCCAGTCACAGATCCTCTTGCTTTCCTTGATGAATCTTTGCGCTTTGCTTTCAATCTGGATGAAAACATGAAGCAACAGAAGAAGCCCAACACGGAGGTGAAGACGGCGGCAGGCACAAACATTAAGGGTGAAACTGCTGCCACGCCTGTTCCCATGTCTAAGATTCCGAGTCAAGGAGCGGCGGGTTCAAAATCTGGCGAGGTTAAAACAGATGATATGGATGATCCGTGGAGCCACACCAACACTACTCTCGATCAACTTCGCGTTGCTTTTGGAGGGAACGACTGGGACGATTTGTTTCCCTCAAAACAGAAGCAAGAAGAAATGCACAACAAAATGTTGTCTTCCTATCGTAAGACCAGTCCAAGGTGGCGAAAAATTATGGAAGGTCCTGATGGTGCCTTGACTGATACATCTACCGAAAAGTCCAAAAGCCCAACAGATCTCAGCGACAAAGACTTGCCTGTGGACAAAACTACCGCACCCAAAAAGACAGAATATGATTCCTGGCAGGTCAATCTCGAGGAGATTGGAGGTCTTGACCTGGGAGAACTCGATATGTCACCATTCGAGAACATCACTGGTGTTCCTGATAATGATATCACCATGGGCGACGATGGATCGCCATTCGAGACGATTGAGAAACCACAGTACACTGCTCTCGAGTATAGCGCTCAAGCAATGGGCCTCGATCTAGATCATCCAGAGGACTGGACTGAGGATCAGCAGGAGTATGGAGATTTCCTGTTCAACAACAATTGATCATAGGCGGTTTGAGAATTGATATTGGGTCAGGGGGCCGGACAGTGTTGATGGAACGAAAGTTGTGGCAAAGGAGGCTGTGCACTGATTGGAGAGGAAGGACTCTGTCGGAAAGATGACGATTTGACGACACAGCTGTTGAGCGAAAATGGGGTGATGAGGGTAGGGACGGGATCCAGGACAACGGGGTTAGGTCGGTTTGGTTCAGTTATTCAGCGATTCAGTCGTTCGGTCGGTTTACTGGTTGTTTTCGTGATTCCCCTCCACGCATGCATGGTGTTATACTGGATGGAAATGATGTCGAGGGACAGAACGATATGGAATATCGAGCGTGTTCGATTCTCCCACGGTTGGGTCAGATTCAGGTTCAAGATCAGGATCAAACGTTCGGGAAAATGGCGCCACTGGAAATTGAGACTCGGAAATGAAAATGTCGATTGCGAATTGCAACGCAATGCCAAATGCAACGTGCAATTTTAGTACTTATTTACATTACTTACTTAGTTGGACTTACCACGCTTGTGTACTACTGAATTGTCGAAACCTCGTTTATTTCTAGTTGCCCGCTCCTGCCTCTTGAGTGACGTATGCATAGTGTGATCCCGTGGAGAACAACACCACAGAGTCTCGTCTCGAGTTCGATTCGGGAGTGAGGAGAGGAGATTCACTGTTCGCGAATATATCTTTCGATATATCAGTACACATCAAATTGGTAGGTAGCCAAGGGGGCCAAGTATAAGGGGGCCAAGTAAGTATTCGATATAGGACACTTGATTTGGACCCTCATAAACTGTGGTTTTGAACAATCAGCCCAGCCTACGAACTCGTAACGAGATGTGAAGATTGGAATAATTTATACTGCTTAAAAAAGCGATATTCCGCAAGACGCGCCCGAGCTACCAGTGGACCGGATTGTATTGAAGTTAAGAGTTCCCGGAAAACATGACTGCGTTCACTTGGAATGGACACAAGAGTTGTGGCCGTCCCATTTCATCCTGACCAGACCATTGTGATCCTGTAAAATACGCGCCAGGCCAACTTCCACTAACATTCGGCGCCCCCGTCAGTGATAACAAGCCAGTTTCTGTCCCTATACGTTGCATTACAAATGAAGAAGTAGGAAAAAATGTGAAAATGGCCTGAAATTGACCCCCAACCGAAAGAAAAGGTGGACCCGGGTGGTGTTCTCTCCGTGCAGAGGATTGCCCTTCACAAGTGCAATGAGCAGACGATATGAGGGTAGTGAACGGGAGTGATACCTATTTTTGTGAGACTCGGTTCTTCGGGATTCGAGACGATTAGGAAGTAGTGAAAGATTAATATGGACGTCGCACTTCCGCCTCATTCCTCACCGTCATCGGAGACCGCTCCAGTGAATCTAGAGCCTTCGGCAGATACGATTCCCAGATCCACCAACGGCTTCAACTGCGCTGGTCCAACGCTGACGCACTCAAACCCAATGGGCAAAGGCTCACAGTTTTTAAGGTAGGTGATCTTCATGTTGCGTGCTTTGTCTTTCAAAGCCACTTGATCTCGCCGATGAAGCTTCGACCCTTCTTCGTGTACTGCGTCCATCTCTTTGATGAGTGCATACTGGGTTTGGTATTCTGCTACCATCTCTCTCAATCTGTCCTCCTCAGCGGCCGTCCATGGTCTGCGTATTTGAGGCTTGCGTTTTTGAAGAACTTCCTTGCGCTCTTGCATGTTTCTTCGGGCCCTTTGTCGATCATCTTGATATTGTGATCGGGGCGGAGATCTGCGAGTGATGACTGGCGCGGTCGATTGTGGTGGGAATTGGCGCGAGGTTGTTGTCCGTGGTGGTTGATATGATCGAGGTACTGGTTGGGATGAGGAGGTTGCACCCGGACGCGAATACGAGGATCGACTTTCCATAGAAGTCAATACTGACCGGTTGTTCCACGCACGATCCATAGCGTGGTTTCGGGTATGATCATCTTCCTCCTCCTCCTCAATATGGTCTACAAGATCATAATCATTATGGATTCCAGTTGTAGGGGCAAAGTCTGCATTACTTCGGGCCTCTTGAGCATTCTGTCGAATTGGTTGTTTGCCTTTTTCAATACGAGGTCTCTTTGCGAGCCGATGGTCTTCTTCGAAATCATCCTCGTCGTCGCTGGTCTCCTCTGGTGCGTCTACGAGACGCCCTAAAGGCTGTCTTTTGGGTATGTCGTTTGCTCCTTGGCTTTGCCACTGCATCCTTTCCGCACCTGGTTGTCGGTCAAGGAGCGTTCGTTTCCTCGGTAATGGCGCATTTTCCGTCCAGTTTTCTTTTTCGCGCTCAATTGCTTGTCTTTTGAGAGTCTCCATGACAAAATTGGTGCTCTGAGTTGGTTCAGGGATGTCTTCATTGTTATTGACTTCAGGATCGGAATCTACCACGTTGTTGCTCGATGGTTCGACTGGGTCATCATCATCACCCTGCAAGGGACGGTAATCGTCTTCCCCATCACCTTCTAAAGGACGATATTCCTCTTCTTCGTCCGGTGCCAGGGGGGATTCCTGGATTTCTAGTCGCGCTTGCCCTGAGGGCGAACCATAGTGTTGTGACTCCAGCCTAGATATCTCAAGGTCATGTTTGGCTTGCTCCTCTCTATATTGTCTGATTTCAGCTGCGAAGAAGCTCGGACTTAAAGCAGCGGATGGTCGCTCGTCCTGAATAGGAACAGGAGAGTCATTGGGTGGTAGGCCGGGTTCGCCAGTCGAGCTCGGTTCATCTGCGTCATCGATCTCGGGGTCTTCGTCAAGATCAATCGCTGGCGCCCCCGTCACATCAACCTCATAGTCACCAGAGGTGAGAAGGTCGACGATATTTTCAACACCACCTTGTCTTCTGATCGTTTCCTTCAACTCTTCCCTCCGAGCAATTGCCCACTTTGCAGTTTGAAGAACAAAAGACGTCCAAGAATAATCCTCTTTCAACTGGTCAAGTGGCAGGAGAGCATCATCCTGAGTTGAACAAGCATCCTTAAGTTCATTTGAACGTTTTAGGAGCTGCGCTTGTGACTCTTCATCTTGAAACTGACGGTATATTGTGGGACCGTCCTGAAATATGTGCTGTGCCAAATCTTGAGGACTTGAAAAATCGTTCAGCCCATCCGACTCAAGTCTCTGAATGAAAAACTGGGTCATTATGCCCAACGCCAGGTCACGTGGCTCATCGATCAGCTGAGTACCGAAGGAGAAGTCCTGTTGGCCAACAAAAGTGCTCGGGAAATTATTGTACATGTAACTCAAGAAGTTTTCTCGGTCATCTGAATAGTTGGTGATGGCGGCGACCATTTGTTGAGCAAGATTTGCCAGATAAAGGATCGCATCAGGACGCCATCTCCCATAATTGATCCGATGTAAGTCAATAGTGCCTGCCAGTTTCCTTACGATCAACGGTGGACTGATGAATTCGGTCTCCCCAAAAGGTTCCCGGCTAGTAGAAAGCTTCTTGGCCCTCATGGAAAGTGTTTTCTGTGGCCGGGATCCGTTTTGTGAGATTTCGTCGATAAAGTTTTCCAAGTCGTCTTCCCTGGGACGGTCGAAGAGAGAAAGTAGGGCCAACGACTCGGCGTGCAGATCAGCGAGATTAAGTATGATTTCATCGTGATCAAGGTTATCAAGATCACTCTGAAGGCTTGAATCCGACTCAGAACGGGCAGACGCTGAGGGCACAAGATCAAGGGAATCGGACTGTTGAAGATCTGCTTCTTCATCCACAGCCTCAAGTAGCACGTGTTCAGTTTGAAGCTCATTGTGAGTGTTTGTTGTCAACTCACGACTGGTGGATCGATGGTTGGCTTTGTTCTGAGCGCGTGTGTCCCGAGTCGTTGGAATTTGCGAAGGTTTTGGAGGCGACAACGGAGTGCTCCGCCTGCTCACAGAGCGACCTTGTCGTCGTGGAGGCATCGTGGAAGACGAGTTTGCTTGATGGATTTATGATCGATCTGTCAGTGATCTTGGAATGACAAGAAGGGTTAGGGTTATTTAACCCTGATGATGTCGTTGCATTGTTGATGAGTGGAGAGGCCAAAGGTGGAGGTCGAATCCAAACATTCAAGCTCAGGCAGTCGCGTCACAAGGAATCTTGGCAAGACGCGTGCCAGTCAATATCACGTGATAACGATGCTTGGCATGAAACAGAGGTACCCCGTATCGCACGTCGTTCCACAAGCCGTTCTAACAAGGTGCTAAACCTACCGACTCGCTTGAGTTCCTGCTGACCAGTAGGGACCTACGAGCCCATACATTTTCAACAAAATGTAGGCAGTTCAACCCTCGATCATTCATTTAGTCCGTCAAGAAGAGTCATGTAACTTTCCAAGTCGAAGCACATATCGAGTCATTGCTAATGTCTCGGAAACATTGGTCAGTGCTTTTCCCAGTTCAAGATCCGAAACAACAAAGTGGAATTCGAACCAGGTGTCAAATGATAGTTAGGTACGAATACGAATTTTGCTTGGAGAAAAAGAAGCATGATTTGAGTTGTCCAAGCTTTGCAACACTGGCTCTTCCTGAGTCCCGAGCAGGTCTAAGCCTTCTAGTAGCGGACGATTTGCCGCCTAAGCAGTGGCCCGAGGGGCCTCACTATCTTAACCTAGTTGGTCGGATATCGCCTCTTCTAGTTTTGATTACACCGGTGAGTGGTATTTATAGGCTTCTGGAACGTCGAGGTTCCAGCGAACGGCCCGCCCCCCATGGGGATGCCTTGCTCCGCCACCCTCGGCTATCTCATCCCTCATTGATCTGTCCCTCGAATCCACCACATCATCGATGAATTTCTCCCCTCCCGTCAAAAACGCTCTCGTGACTCCGTCGATCCGTCTAAGCCTGTCTCCCTTGTCGTCTGCCAGGCTTTGACATGCTGTCATATATCGTTTCCGTTCTGAACCGCACCAGTTTGAGCTAACATTTGATCCTATATATCAAATAGTCTAGGTGTTCCCACCTGGACTGCTATTTCTTACTCACTCCACAGATCACCATCATTTTCTTGCGGTTCTCTTCAGCCCTTAACGTTTCCACAAATTCACCATGTCTCGCCGCGAGTCTGTCGGTCGGACTAGGACAGCCTCACAATCCGACTCATCGGAGCCAACAATGAAAATGGTGAGTGTGGCGGTTCTGCCACCTCGACTACCACCAGGGATGGCCCCTCCTACAGGCATTGGCGCTGCCGACGCTTTCTCTTGGGATGAATCGGTCAACTGGCAGCATAATAGCTCTATACAGCAAGAGGAGCCAACTCGCAGAAAGAGTTTCATGCGCAAAATTGGACTCACCACTCAAAGGAAACGAGCCGGAGAGGAAGATGACCTTCCACCATTTGTTTTCCGTCAGGTCCCGTACGACACTTGGAGAAAGCATTATGCCAAAGACAAGGATGGAAATTATAGGGGTCTTCTTGCGTATAGGCCCTCTTACCACTGTTTTCATGTTGCACAAATGCACCAGTATCACTCACAACTAACCTGAGATATAGGCCTGCCCAGGATTGCCTCTTAAAGCCAGAGGACGTTCAAAAATGGCGTGCTGATGAACCTGTGACGCTCGGAGACAAGTGGACGAGAGGACAACACGCCCTGCCCGTATATGCCGAAGCCGGTGCCGAGCAACCTGTACCGGAGTATCACGATGCAACAAATCATGATCAGCCTATCAGCTACGAGGCAGCTACCGCCAGTCCTTCGGAAGCACCAGATGGCGGTAGTACCTTTCACAACACTCTCACATCGCAGACATCGAACAGCATCCCGCAGCCCACGAAAAGGACAGGCTCCAGTGGTCAAAGACTGATCGACGACAAGACTGCCGACGAGATAATTGCAGAGGCACAGGCCAAGCCGAAAACGAAGATGACTATGAAGCAATACCTCTCCAAGGGTGCCACTATGGCAATGATGGGCAATTGACAATCTGAGGTTTTGGCTTTGCGTGGACTACGGAACGCGAGTGTTTGAAATATTGAGAATTGGCTTTTCCGCTCTGCTCAACGTTTGTCTCTATCAATGGATAGGCCTGCCAGATGAAAAGTCCTCAGATGATTCTTTTTTTGGATGATGTCTTCTTTGAACACACGTTCAAGATTTCAGAGATTGATTTTCAGCTTTTACGACATATTATGATATTTTATATTGGATTTTCCTTCTCAATCAGATGGTGTCTCTGACATGTCCCTCTTCCTTGCACGTCCTCATTAATCTCGCCCCATCATACCCAACACCCTCTCCCTCCCACCACCAACCATCCAATCATCCCAACAAATCGCCAACATAGCACTATGCCTCCCGTTTCCCAGTCTCTGCCCATTCGCATCCACCATCGGCATACTCTTCCCTTCCCCCGCTTCCCCCTCGGCCCTCACGCCGGCCTTCCCCTCCGGAACAACCCTCTCAAAACGCATGATACCCTCAAGCTGATATCCCATCCTTTGCGCAGCCCGGATACTCGTCTTGTTCAACGAGTTGGCCTGCCACTGGACGCGACGCAATGCCAAACCGCCTGAGGACAACGGGTTCAGGCAGTGTTGCAGCAGAAGGCCATGGGCGTGTGTGCCGACGAACGTTCGTTGGAATCGAGGGAGGATGACGATCTGTTTTGATGAGATGAGCAGGGACGTTCAAACCACGGTCTTCTCAATAGCGGTTGATTGCCGGCTAAAACCTCGCTTGAACGGGGGACTTACATGGCCCATCTCAGTCCTAGACCGGCCCAAATCCGTGTTCAATAGTCCAATCGTGCCCGCAAATGTGCCGTCTTCAACCTCGAAAACTTCAACCCCACCATCTTCATTTTCATCTCCAGCTTCTCGTCCACCGTTAGCGCGTCTCTCCCTGCGCACAGTCCACCGCTTCAGCAAGATCGCGAAAATGATGGCTCCTGGGTTGTTGCGGGCTACGGTGTTGAAAGTTTGAGTGTATGACTCCTGGTCGTACGGACCCGTGGGTAGCCAGTCGAAGAGTTCAGGGTGCTTGGATGTCTCCGTCACGAAAATATTCGAGAGACGCGACCAGTCGGCCTGTGAATCACACAGTGGTGCTGCAATTAGCCTTTGATCTCTCGCGAGGTATTGAAAGTGTGAAGTTGACCGGGCTGGCTTGGGCTATTATTGTGTGAGGACTGCAAAAGCTCTTGTTCATAAGGCATATTTTGCTCCTGCAACATCCTCTTTACCTGTCACTTCTCAACAATAGCCTCGGCGTCAGCCCAACTGTAGTGCATTCACCCAAAATATCGATTCTCGTCACGATAGCAAGGTCAGAAAAAACACCAATTTTTCCCAGCAACAAAACCATTCAACATTATTCCCGGACGATGCTATTGTAACGAGATGGCACTTACCTCCATCGGCACCAATTTCATCCTGTCATTCTCCAACCGTGAGAGATCAACTGGCAGACAAAACTCATAGGGTAGAGATGTGGCTGTCATATTCACGAAAGAAAGATAAACTCGGATTGGTTTTCAATTCTTTGTTTCTTGTTGATCTCGACAGTTTTGCAGATGTTGTTTAATTGGATCTAAATGCCATTGATATTGTATTTATGTGCCCTTCTTCTGATGAGGGTTAGCGATATCGGGCCGGCAAGGCCACGCGTGAGTGATTTTTGCGTCGTAGTTGTTGCTTATTGTAGGTTTAGTATAAACCATTTTCAAGTTACATCTCGAAGATCACTTCCCATTCTGGTTGGAGTAATTTTGAGAGCGAATATATATCCCATGAAACGTTATTAGTTGCATTCTCAATTGAAGAATATCTATTCTAGTATTAGCAAGAATATACCGACTTCGCAAATCGGCTAGTAATTTTATACTACATTGTTAGGTAGTACTAGTTACTAAAGATGTGGATAATTATCTTCGAAGCAAAAGAAAGGTAAATTTCGAGGATTTATATAAGAACTTCCGCTGTTCGATATTTAGCCTATCTTTATATATATTGTGGTTTTCGCATGTCGCCTTAGCCATTTCGTGAATCGATGGCCGCCATTAATACTTGATGATATCCGTGCTTCGACACTACTCGTACAAGTCGCCGAGTACGAACACGAGTTCTCCAAGATCCGCCCTTCGACATCGCATTTGCGATGAAACTCGTCACCATCCACTAGAAGAAAGCCCTCATCGCCTTCTTCCAACCTGGTTGTTTGTTCTGAACAGCCATGTCAATACTACCTCGGCGGATTCCGGTGGTCACGTCCATTTCAGTTGCACGAACAAACAATTTCCAATCTCTGGAGTAAAGTTTCCAGCCCAAATAGAGCGCCAGAACAATCGGTGCAGCAAGGTAGTTTTCGAAGAAGGTCCCAGGGTCTGGTTCGCCGTGGAGTGGGAAGAGTGACGTGTAGAAAGTTGCGATCATTGCCAGGGCATTGAGAGCTACTCCGACGTAGGAGCCATATATACCGAATGCTGCCTGATAAGGGAGCTGTTCTTTGGTGAAACCATGGGCATACCTGTAGAAGTGTTAGTGGATTGTTCACAAGTGGCAGCCTAAAAGTTTACCATCCATGGCGGAATCCTGTGCATTCGTCAGTCAATGTGTATCAAAGGACGACCGCTGGAACTCCACTTACGGACGTGTGCAAGATTGATGCTAAACCACAAGAAGAAAAAACTGAGGCCGGACAAAGCCAAAAGCCAGGTGAAAATGGTTCCCGACGCGTTTGCCTCTCCAATATAGGCCAAACATCCAAAGAGTAATTGGATGACTATGCACCACGTTGGCCTGCCCTTCTTGTCAACGTACATCAGGAATCTCGGAGCCATTCCCCTGGTTGCAAGTGCTTGCATTGTTCTCGAAGATCCATACGTGCAACTATTGGCCACGCTGATCACAGAAATAGTAACAACCGCATTCATCACCGAAGGCAGCCCTTTGACACCCGCATACTTGATAGCGAGCACAAACGGGGAGGCTTTGGTGTTGGCACCACTTGCGCCTAGGAGATCAGGACTGTCCGAGGGCACAATAAGGCCGACAATGAACAGTGATACAATATAGAAAAAGGCGATTCGCCAGAATACTTGTCGAGTGGCTTTTGGAAGTGATTTCGCAGGATTTTCAGCCTCGGCAGCTGCAAGACCAACCAGTTCAGTGCCGCCAAAGGCAAAAGCAGCAGTAACAAACACCCTGTGGCAGGTCAGTATGAATGATAAAGTGTTTGTACCTTCACTTACGTGCAAAATCCATGAAAGCCGTTCTGGAACGCTCCTGGATTGTGCCAGTATCGTGCTCCAATATACCCTCGGTCGTCACTTGGGACACCTCCGCAGTTCACGACAATTCCGAAGATGATGAATCCCAGTACGGCAATGATCTTGATCACAGACAAGACAAATTCAACTTCACCATATCCTCGGACGCCGAAGATTTGTACGCCAATGAGGAACACTAGAAAGATGGTAATCCAAACACTGACATGAATATCGGTGCGCCAATATTTGATGGTGATGGAGGCCGCCGTAAGTTCAAAGGGTAGAACTGTAAGCCATCCGATTGCATAATCCCAACCAACAGCAAAACCCCAGGAGGGGTCGACAAACCGACAGATATAGGTATAGAATGCACCATTGACAGGGTATAAGACGGTTAGCTGTTGAAATGTCAGACAACAAATCCCACAAGGAAGATTCCGCGGTAGATGTGCATGGTCAAGTTGGATTATCGTTTGGGATTGGATCTTACCTCTCCCAAGGCCTGCATTGTACAGAGTAACATGCCACCGACAATCATAAAACCTAAGAGCACACTAGCAGGGCCACCACTGCGTAGAGCACCACCAGAGCCGACGAAAAGACCAGCGCCGATAGAGCCACCTGTCAAATAGTCAGAGGTATTCATTACCATGCTTCAAATTGTATTCAAGTGTGCATTTCAGCCGCAGGTTATCAACGTTCGTTGTAAAATTCTTATCGTACCTATAGCAATCATTTGCATGTGTCGCGACTTGAGCTTCTGAGCAAGAGGATTGTGCTGTCTATTGACGGGATCGATCTCATCTTCGTAGGTGATCTCAGCCGCCAACTTCTGCATCTTTGGATCATTTCGCGCCTCTGGAGGAATATCCTTGTCTTCATAGTGCTGAGCTTCTTCGTCTTTGGCGACGAAGTCTTGCTGGTGGGATTCCCCACTGGGATGATTATGTGTCCCGGACATGTTGAGTACCAAAAAGCCTGGACGTGGAAAGAGAGAGAGAAGGGCAAGAAAAAAATGAAGACGAGGTATTGAGGGGTGACACAGATTCAAAGCACAGTATTTACCTTCCAATCGAACTTCTTCATAAAGTAACGGGCACTGAGGAGGTCGTGTGCGCCTGACCAGGATCAGACTTGAACCAAGACGAGCAACTCTCCTCATGGCGTCGATCAATGTTGGGATGCGACGTGGTAGGGTCAAGAATTGGTTTGGATCTTGATTCATTCGTTCTGCTACAAGCTGTGACGACAGCGAGACGTGGTGCACCCGCCTCACGTTGTGTGTTCTATTGCGGGGGAGGCGTGGAAGTGGCTGCTCTAGGTAACATGTGTGCCAATCACGCACAAGTTACATGGGTTGTTACCTTTGGGAGCTTCCGTGAGGATAACTGTCGAGGCCGTGTTGCATCGAAGAACTGGGATGAGCAACCATCCCGTCTATACCCCTGATAGAGATTTCGTTTTGACACGGGCTACGTGATTTCTTGCTGGATCGCAGAAGTAAAAGTTGCTCAGAGTGTGGAACGATGTACAACGTGGCAACTGCATTGTGAGTTACCTTGGAAGTCGCAATCTTTTACCACCTCTGCTATAATGGTTGGACCTCAGCGTGTGCCACTTTGCAGTGACCTTGGTTTGATTTGATGCAGTCCTGACCGTTAGTTTTGAAGGTGGCATGTGGTCACAAGATGCACCGCTGATCTAGGTTTGGTCAAGCAAGGTGAAGCAATTGGAGTCTGCAATCTGAAGTGCTTCTCAAGCTCAAGCTTCCGCTCAGAGACATTGCCCAGATTTCTCCCCACACATTATCTTGGCGTTGAGGTAATGAGAATCCAGATTTGTCAAATGAGCTGATGCGGTAGGCCATGGTGGCCATGCAATGTCACCGAATGGAATTTGAAGGACTCGAATGCACGATCCGATTGCTGATAGAGAGTGATAGGCCACCCCTGGACAAATGGCTACGTAGCCACATTGCTAGAGCCATTTGTTAAGTAATTACCTATTTGTGGCAGCATCCCAAAGACTTTGCAATCCTGGGTATCGTTGCTCATGCAGGAGAGCGAGTTGGTTTCCCTTCTTATCCTTTGTTCCTAGGGCCTGAGTTGTCAAGGCGTTTTGATAACACAGGACACAATGTATCCACGCTTGCTCGGGACGCCCTGAAACCTATCAGTGTTCCCGAATCCTCAGCCTCGCCATCCACTCCTCCGCATACCAGCCCCAGTTCTCGATGGACATCAAAGACCTTTCTCAGTTATCCTGCTGAAAATCTCGGTGGGATTGAGGTAAGTTTCTGCGCGATATAGCTTTGGTCTCTCTTCATGCCTTTCCCGGAGGAAGAAGACGGCAAACCCTGGGATTTCGATCACATCGCGCTCGGGATCATCGCCCTTGACAACATAGCGAATCTTGGCCGCCTGATATATCTTCGATCCGACGACGTCTAGCATACCACGGTAAGTCAATTGCGTTGTCACAAAAAGCGCCTTGGGAATAATAAGACCCTCATACCAAAGTAAAGGACTTCATGGGTCATGACATCGAGTTTTGCAAATACCGTCTTGAACATGGCTCTCACGGAGGGACCCTGAATGACTGGATTGTTCGAGTACTGGAGACTGACATCCTCGGTAAAGAATTCGTCGAGCCAGCGGTCTGCGTCTAGGGTGGCACTTGATGCATGAAGCTATTGTCGAGGACATTTATATCAGTATAGGTCGAGGTACGATGGCGCTGGCAATGCTCACATCCTCGAGCCACTTCGAAGCCTCTTGTCTGTCAAGCACCATGATGAAGATTAACGTTAAGTTTCAAGTAAATGATGGTCCCCTTTTGTCTCGAATTCAAATGTAAGATCATTCTTGACCAGCACTCACGTCTTCTGTTCGAATATATAAAGTATCTCGTCGATTTGTAAGCCTGCTACTCTGCAATGTTAGGCCATCTTCGAATAGCCATTCCCACGACACATCGTGGCGGGTTATGATCTTGGATCTCGGGACAGACGATTTCCATTGGCTGAGAGTCCGGGATTGTTCAACGCGATTTGTTGTCTGCTCCGGAAGGCCTCAGTTCGCTGTACCCCCTAGAGAACTCCACAGACCTGTCATTGCACGAGAATTGCTCGCGAACCTACCACCACTTTAGTCACGGCGGTCAAGGTAAGAATGTCATACAGATTCTTGTATCACAGGTACCCCTCATGTTGTCAACGATGGCCGATGAAAATCACAGGCACTCTGAGAACAGGTAGGGGAAGATTGATAGCCCGGAAGGACGTCGCTTTAGGCGGGAGTGCCACTAATAAAAGCAGCCGGAGGTCGTCTTGGCATCCAGTGACGACTTTACGAGATGCGGAGGCCTAACCAAATCCTCGACTGCACATCTCCAACTCGACTTCACTCTCTTATGCATCTGTCCTACACTTGCAACCTGTTCATCTCGACCAACTTTCTGGCTCGTCGACGCCAAAAAGACTCCCAGCCTCGAGACTTCCAATCCTATCAACCACCAAAACATCAATCCCCAACCAGCCGACACTTCAACACCTCAACATGTCATCGCCCGACCCCCCTCGTGGGCCACCACCACCCACCAACAACAAACCCACCGCTTCCTCTTCATCCTCATCCCACCCCAGCGGCCCAGCCAAATACATATCCTCATCAGGGCACGTCCTGCAATCGTGAGTTTTGGATTTCCCCCATATCCTTCTTCCCTTTCTCAACGGGAACCCCCGCTCTCGTTTCTACACTCCATTCTAACTTAACGCAGACCTCCCCTCACGGCCCGTATTACACGCAGCATCGACTCCCTGTACAACTTCCTCGGCCTGTATATTGTGTCGCTGTTCAGTTTGGATCCCTACACCGCTGCCCAGAACAGCCAGTTCAACACCCGCGGTCGTCCCAATGCGTATCAGGATCGTGCGCGCTGGGGTGGTGTGAATCGCACTGCTGGTGGTGCTGCGGGTGGTACTGCACCAAGGGGTGGAGGAGGTGGAGGAGGTGGTGGTAGTAGTGGTGGTGGCTCGAACGGCTTTGGGGGCGGTGGACCCGGCAGACGGATTGGAACTGTTGAGGACGTTCGGGGCCCGGAGTGTGGGAGTTGTGGCTGAGGGGGTGGTTCCTTTGCGGTTTTTGATCTGGTCTGGATGCGCCACGCTACAAGCGAACGAACGAGTGGAAATAATGGATGGAAGCAACTCATCGGCTGGTGCTGCAGGGCATTTGCCTGCCGCGTTTGGATGTTTTGGGTCATCGCCAATCAGACGGTCGAGCATGGTCGTTCACACTCGGTCGTAAGCTGGGTCCAGGCTATCCAGGAGGTTTCGGCGAACATCAGAATCAGCGCCGCTGTTCTGATGGGCCATTCATCGAGTGATCTGGAACACAACGAGGGGATGATGGAGATTGACATTCCACCAACTTATAGAGCGTTAGATTAATGAGCTGTGCATCATTGCGCAAGGTTTTATGACGGATGAAATGGTATGCAGTGTCTCTATACACATGAGCCAACGCTTTTCAGTTCACTCCCATGTACCCACTCCACATCTCTGCGGTGTTCAATAAGGGATTGGATGGGAGCTATTGACACGGATCTTACGATTGCGGATACTTCAGGAATAGACTGTCGTGCTGGAGCCATGCTGATTACGCAGTATAATATGTTTCATTGGTTGACAATGAAGTAATGTACCACAGGAGGATATCCTAGCGATGAGCCTCAGTAATCATCGCCTGGAAAGTAACCCTATATCTGTCGAGTAATACATCATGATGTGCCGCAACTCCAAACTAAACCCAGTAACCTCAACAGGCATATTTATATCGTCGACGCATCGACCTTGATGTCGCCAGCAATCTCCGCATTGACCGTCTCTGCTCTCCCAGCACTCCTCTTCTTCAGCACATTCTCAATGAATGCTTCGCCCGCTTTATAACTGCTTCGCACGAGCGGTCCGCTGGCGACGTACAAGAATCCCAAGTCTAGAGCACGCACTCTCCATGTTTCAAAGACGTCGGGAGTGACATACTCATGGACAGGCATGTGTCGCTTCGTGGGCCGCATGTATTGGCCGAAAGTGACGACGTCGACATCGTTCTTCCGTAATTCTCGGAGTGCATGCCAGAGCTGTTCTTCCGTCTCGCCCAATCCGAGCATGATTGATGTTTTGGTGATGAGGTCTGGCTTGGCCTCTTTCGCTGCCTTCAGAACGGATAGAGATTGGCGGAAGGTGGCGCGGCGGTCGCGAACTTGCGGCGTCAAGGCCTCGACCGTCTCGATGTTGTGGGCGTATACATCCAAACCGGAGGTTGCCACCACCTTGACCATCGCGAGATCTCCAGCATAGTCGCTGGTCAAACACTCGACCAGGATTGAGGGTGCCTTGGACTTGATCTTACGGACGGTCTCGGCGAAATGGTGTGCACCACCGTCTGCAAGATCGTCCCTGTCTACACTGGTGAGCACGACATACCCTAGACCCCAGCGCGACAGGGCTTCGGCTGTGTGCTCTGGCTCATGCGGATCTAGGGGTTGCGGTGCCTTGGACGTCTTGACGCTGCAGAATCGACATCCTCTGGTACAGGTATCTCCCATCAACATGATGGTAGCCGTTGCTGCGGCTTTATTACCGCCGCCCCAACAGTCGGAGATGTTTGGACATCGTGCCTCCTCACAGACAGTGTGCAGATTCAGACCTCGTAGATCATTTTTAATCTTCTTGTAAGATGACCCATCAGGAATTGGTGTCTTGAGCCAAGAAGGTAGTCGGGTGATCTCCTTCTTCTTTCCCTTGGGTCCCACGAGAGCGGTCTTCAATTCGTAAGCTTCGGAAGGCTTCAAAGGCGCATCATCACCCCAAACGAAGTCTGAAAACGCTGGACCGGCATTGAGCTTGTCAGCAAAAGATGTTGGTCGAGTCCGTGGCTTTGGAGGAGTCAGATCGTCGGTAGTGGTGGCAAATGATCTCGAAGATCTCGGAGGAGTGTATGAAGGGAGAAAGACTTTGAAGGGTGATTGCCAGATCTGGCCGTTGATGCATACCCGTCGTGGAGCTATTGTCGACATTGTGAAGTGCTGATGCTGGAATGAATGGCGAGGCGTTGACAGAGAATGGAACTTGAGGTGGGATGCACTTGAACCGCGAAAGGCGAATTGGATTGCCAGGAAATAAATGTAGGGAACATGAATCGATCACTTGCCCGATCGCTCAACAAGCCGAAACCAATCGGCTAACTGCGGTTAGAATATTTAGCATGCCGCTATTAACGTCTTGGCAACATTCGAAGCAAACACGAGGGACTCGAAACTTGAACTCATTCTCCTATTTGACACTGTTCATGTGTACAAAAGTATTTGTATCTTCGGTACTCCAGACACCTGTCGCGACAAACTCCAACTGCGTAATAATAACCAACTCCTAGCCTGCTGAACAACGATACCATTTTCAAGAGCTCAATGATAGCTCGAATCCACCAAAAACGAATCAATCATCTTGACCTAATCCACAGAGCAAGAGCAATTGGTTCCTGTTTGAGATCCGATGAGCAAGTCTCATCTGGCAAAGACCAAAGCACTCATCTCCAAAGGACTTGCAACTCCATCATGGCAGTACAATATCATTTGATCCTGTCATAAATCTCGCACTCGCTCCAATCAGTGTACTCAAAACCTTGAGCTCGCTCTCATCCCGTGGAGCATAAATAAGAAGAAAGGTATCGCCAATGCCGCAGATGAATTTCTTGTGACCAAGCCACCATGGCTGAGTTCTTGCCAAGCGGTGTCGCTGAGCCCATCCCTTTTCAATCACCACTTTGGCATCCTGTGGAGAAAGATACAAGTGAAGTGAAGTATCCCCGTGAATGTGACCCAATTCTCCTTTGGAGGCAATCACCACATCCGAGACTTTGCTAGAGTTGGCAAGAACAGATGGATGGACAAATAAAGCAAGGTGATGTTTCTCAAAACTAGACAAGTTTTGCTGAAGTATGTTGGGATTGTTGTGTACAACTGAAGTGAACAAAGAGAGAACTTGCTGAGCCGAGTTAGCAGGTGATGGGGAGTCAATGAGGTTGGACATACCTTGTTCATCTCTCGAGTAGGACATTGGCTGAACTGTCTTTGTGGCGCGATGCCCCGGATATCAGGTCTCTGTCCTCTCCGAACAGGCAAGGCTTGTACTTCCTTGTGAGCCCCGTCTGGATAATCCCCTGTCCACAGAGTATCACGCTCGGCAAGAGTGAAGGGCTTGAGGAAGAAGGTCACAGATAACCAACCATAGACATTGTAAGGGGTACCACCAGGGCCCAGATCTTTGAAGGCCTGGTAATCTCGGAGACACCAGTTGAAGCAACGCCAAAGGAAAGTGATGAGACCGATAACAAGGAGGTAGGTAGGAAAATAATGGAAGAGGGATAGGGAAGGTGGAGAAAATGGGGTAAAACGAAGGTCGCTGACGTCGTCAGGTGTATAGATGTCCATGATGAAGGTAAAGAGAGCAGCAAAGACGCAGAGCACCAGGCACAAAAATACAGTGTTTGGAATTGACGAGGTTGAAAAGTGAATGAAAAGTGGAAAAAGAAACGAGCTCAAGTACTTCTCTGCCAGGCTTGAGACGGTGAAGCTAGTTGTACCGGGTGAGACGGATTTGAGGAAAGAGCAGCTTGAGAGGGAGACGCTGAAGGGAGGATATTTCCACGATGGGATGAAGTTGCAGCATGTGGCCTTGAGGGCAAGAGTCAATCATACGGAGGATGAAGAAGCAGCCACGTATCGGATGAGTTACCGCTTGTTGTCCACCAAGATATCTGGCGGAGAAGAGCTGGCAACTGTGAAGAAAGCTGCATTGCATGGCGACGGACAGTAGAATGGGTCACATTATCATGATTCAAAGGGCTCAATAGGGCTCTCTCATTTGTGCAGTAGCAGAGTGAAGCTGAATGACGCAGGGCACGGAGCGGTTTCAAGCCCCAGGCATGCGTGAGGTCATTTGGACACTTCTACTTTTCCCTCGTACTGCTTAGAGGGGTGCATCATCTCTCGCTTGGCGTGAGGAATGTTTTGAAGATAGCAACTCTCCGCCAGCCCTGCATAGGCTATGAGAACGTGGTGTAGGCGACCTGGATGGATTGTTTTGGGACACCGGGTGAGCGTTCTATACCTCCCAAGGTACATATATACTTGAGTGATGGCCAAAAAGTTCAGGGGGGCACAATCTTTGGGTTTTTCAATCACCGTTCGAGGCGAGTAAATAAGTTGAGGGAACCCACACCAGGACGCATCCATCCCACGAGCATCCTGGTCCAGAATCAGGTACCCGGACCCTGGGATTAAATCCCTCGTAACTGGACGTGGGGAGAATGTGGGATGACACTCTCCAAAGTACCAAGTACAGAGCCGTCGTCCTTCACCAACTCGTTATCCGTACCCCAAATTGTCTAGATTTCGGATCACTCCAAGGATCGTGTTTCCTACTCAAGAGCCGGGGTTGCTTGGACGTCGTGGGGTTTGCTTACCATCGTAGCCCACACGGATACGAATGTTTCTGAGGCTCAGCTATTGTTTGACCAAGGTTTATGGATTAAAAGTCAAAATTGGGAACACCAGCTGACCTGAGCTGATGCAGTCACAAGCAGGGAGTATTCAAGAACAAGTTTAGTGTCAAAGTCCCATTCCAAACAAGGACATGATGAAAGAGGGGAATGGACATGTCCTTCAGAAGCGCACGAGGTAGGCATGCACTTGACGGAAATACAGTTTGGAGAGATGAGGTGTTAGTGGCTGTGATCGAGCCACATGTTCAGTCAAGAGAGGGCCGAGAGAATGAGGGAGGGGCTGCAGCGTGAATCCGGGGAACTAACCTGTGTAGGGAAGCTGAGTAGAAGACTGTGTTTTGGGATGGTAAGAGGAGTGGCATGATGATCGATAAATTGTGAGGGATTTGCTTTGTCGATCCGATCAAGTATTTCGAACTCTGTGTGAACAAGATAAAAGCAATGAGCGACCTGGTCTTTCAGCAAGAGCAAGACCAGGCTGTGGAGAAGAAGCGCGGCATTTTCCAGTCATACGAGGCATATTACTATTAATTGTACTCAAACATGCCAGTAATAGAGAGCCACATGCTTAAAAGGTTCGTGCTCTGGCACCCATCTGGGTAGATGAGCAGTGGCTGACTCCAACGTGTACTTTCCTGTCCACGCTTAGTCAAGTCGAAGCCAAGAATGATCGGATCGGCGAAAGTATCTTCCTCCCTCCGCTGGAAAAATAATATTCCAGGCGAGTCTAAAGTGCATTGAGCCTTGGGTGGCAGTTGCCTGAAACACCACTTGCAGAGGCCACTGATGCCTGCGCATGCCCGTACCCTTATGTGATAGAGAGACCTTTGTCAATATTCACTCTTCGACGCCTGTATCTCAGTTCAATCAAAATATTTATCCAACTGACCGAGATACTCTCTTCAACGGGTCTTGAGAATTGAGTGTTGATCTTCATCTCTTGTCCTTGTTATTCTCTCATTCCATATTTGCCTCATCCAAGGTCGAGATCGAGTCGAAGGTGCCCCAGGCTGAACCTTGGACGCCCGATTTTGGCCTCTTCCCAGCGACTAACCAAAAGTCTCCTGTCTGGAATCAAATCAAGCATCACGCCGCATCACCATCCCTTAGTTCCCACTGTTCGGTCCAGTCAGCCTCCTCTCTCCTAGACAACTGTTGGAGATTGTCTTCTGTGTCATTCCGCCCTCCTCTACCGATCATCATTCATCCACTCTTCTTCACTCCACCACTGGCTTCCAACTGTAACCAAGCCCAGCCTTGAAGTCCATCTCTGCGATTCGGGTCTAAGTCACTGGCTGTCAATCCACTCCTCCGTGCGCATACTCCACCAACTACGTCGACAGGACCCCTTCATTTTCGACCAGCTTTTTTTCTCTCTACCTTTCCGGTTTCTCTTTCAACGGCCTTCACATCCACATCACGTTCGTAGCGCATCATCAATTCGACAAAGCTATTCTCTCAGCTCATCGCCTACCCTCTCCTGCTGGGTTTCTTTCACCGTGGCTTCCTCAAGTGTGCAGGCTTGGACGTCCTCCTTTCAACACCATTTTCACAGCCTGGTCGAAGACATCCTTCCATTCGTCCCAGTTGAGTTCCACGGCATCATCCATTCCACATTAGCCAATTATTCGACCGCCTCCTACACGACTGTCGCCGCTCTTCTCCTCTCCCTCCTCTTTCTACTCTATCGCTCTCTCATGAGTGCCTACGGCTATGTCGCCCATGGCGGCAGAGGTGGGGGATCACCCTACACCAGCAATATAGTTGACAATTACCACCCGCGCAACTTGTCTGGTCACTTCGAGTACATTGATGCGGACCAAGGTATCTTGCAAGACTCACACCGCCCCTCAGCTGCCAGGATTCATACCAATATGGAGGACCCTGATGCCCCGGATGTTATTCTGGTTCGATATATGGCCTCGATTATTCCGGTCGAATTCCCTCCCTACTCCGTCAGTGAAGAAACTGCCTATGTTGGTCAGCTGCGTCAATCGGTGGCAAATTATCTACAAACAGATCCCAGAAGAGTGAGACTGGTTTACAAAAAGCGTGATCTGAAACACGACAAATGGCCCTTGAGAAAATATAATATGAAGCAGAACAGTGAGGTCGCAGCTATCAAAACGGAGGGCATTCTGGACTACAGCGACAGAGACAGCCATTCGTCAAGCGGAGAAGAGACAGAATCGTCTGTCAGTAACGTCCGCCGAAGACCTCGCGCGCTTTCTTCTGTGCGACACCGTAGTGATGAGCAGATCCCACGACAAACCGATCACAGATCCACAGGTACCTCATCGTTTCTTCACCCAAATGGCCATATACCCTCAGCCACCTCAGAGCGACAATCTCGCCCAAGTTTGCAACCTGATCTTGATGAGCGGTATTATCGACGAGAGCCTTCACGGACAAGAGGCACATCTCCTCGCCCCACCCCCACTTCAACACCGACAGCGCCTTCCATACCAGCCTTCCCTCCCGCTGATCCCAACAGCCCACTAGGCAAACTCCAGGCCTTGTCCAACACGTTCCATACCCAATGGCTTCCACCTAGCGAGAAATTCATTAACGACCCTCCCACCAATTCTCAAGCCCGGGACAAAACACATCGCAGTCTCAGCGAGAGTATCATGACCCATATTCTACTCAAGGCGGATGCGATTGAATTAGAAGGAAACGGTGACGCACGAACTTTCAGAAAGAACTTGATCAACGAAGTCAACGATACCATGAAGAAACTAGACGCGGCAGCACACTGAATGACCCAATCTCTTCGGGAGTCTTATGAGGAAAGAATTGCATGGTTGTGGTGTTTACTGGCGCAATGAAGTTGATGAAAATGAGGAATGATTGTGATTGATTGATAGGCAGCTCGGATGTTGTTTGCATGGGGTGGTTTGACGGGATGGTATTTTCATGTGAAACTTGGATACTATGTCACTACATTGCATTGCATATTGCTCTTTCCCTTCCATATCGGTAGCGAGGCCGGAGGTCACGGCCAGCAGGCACATGTCAACAGGTGGGTCAAGGAGCTGGCATTAAATACCTTTTTAGAGTGTTTTGATCAATCTTCATGGTGCTAATGGACATGAAGGCGGTAATCCTATCCCTTCTTTTTCTTTTGTCTACGGCTAGCTAGCGACTAAGGCGAACGTAGATCCATGTCGATATATCCTTTGTGTGATGATAATGAAGTTCTGATTCTAGACGATCTCAATCTGCGTAGATGTAGTAAACCATGACGCTGATGGACGACGACGACGACGACGATCACCACGTTTATCAGACAAGTTTCGTAGCACTTGGCACCTTCTTCTCCTCCGAGTGTCGAAGTGTCCACTCCAGCCCGCACTCCCTTGGTAGGCCTCTCAACGTCTATCATTATGATTTCGTATATTCCAGACTGTAGGTGGGTGATGGGAAGTTGGTGATGACCATGACCATGGCCATGATGACCGGTGGATGACTGCGCTGACACTACAGGTTCGTAGGTCATCCATCCACCGTGGCTTCCTATGTTTGGCATTCAGTGGACAGAATTTGATCTGCTGATGTCAGTACCACGTATGCTAGGAGGGGCTACAACTTCAATACTGCCATACTGCCATACTGCCATACCAGTACCCGCTTGCCATTGAGCACTGCTTCCAATGGCGCAGACTTCTATATGTCCCGGGAATTCGTGTGTGTCGCTGAAAAGAACTGAGATATGACCATGCTCTACTGGCCAGTCAATTAAGTATTCTGATCAAGTGCCTCTGTGGAGGTTTGAGCCTGGTGAACACAGCTGGCGTCGATCTTGCGCTCGAAATCGGCCCGTCTCGACATAGTCAGCTGCCCTTCTCCTGCACTTTGTCCCTTGGCACGGGCTAGTCTTCTTGACGAAGCTGGCGAAGATTAAAACTCGTACAGATATTATACCTGTCTGGGTGCCTGTAGAGATGAGCGGGTTTGAATATGTCTTCGCATGATTTCGCTGTGTCTTTTAGCTGATGGTATCAATATTATACATGCTGGATTTGGTCCCCAGAGTCTATGCGCTCGCCTTGATGGTATATCAATAACATGTGTGTTTCTGAGAATTAGGATCTCCTTATCCTTTCTAGCCAGGTATCTGCTCTGATCGCAGTGCTAGATGCTTCCTTGCCATGTTATTATATCTCTTTTTGAACCAACAAAAGAAACCCATTTTGAAACAATTTCACCGTCCCAATATTGAACATTAAAACATGGTCCTGGATGCGTGATCGACATGTCGTCACAAAAGCCTCAGTGTTATCTGGAAGGCTTCAACTCGTTCGTCGATCCGGTCTCACTCGTACCTCGACTGGGTCCCACGATGACAGTGTTGGTTGTTGAGGGCGTGACACTCCCACTTTCATCAATATCTTTAGTTGAAACGATGGTCTCCATGGTTTTGACAATAACGTTCTCTTCCGTTCTCGAACGATTTCCATTTTTGACGAAGTCGAGGAATCCCATCTCATGCGTCTCGTGCGGTGCATCGCCAATGTCATCCTCATCTTCTTCGAAGTGCGTTCCATGAGGGTACCGACGTCCCGACTCGACATCCCGATGGTGTGTTCGACTCCCTCCGGAGACCCAGGCCGAGTAATTCTTGTTCGGGTCTGGACTCGTCACACCATCTCCGCGACTGCTGTCCAACTTGCCAGGACCCACTTGTCCAGCAAGATTGTTGCGCCCTTGGCTGGACAGTCGCTTATGGTCCTTCCCTCCTTTGTTATACCAGGACCTACTTACTCCGGTAGACCCAGGGTCCCCACTGGATGTATGAGGGCCGCTGCTTCCCGGTCCAACAACATGTTGATTCGGAGCTTGGGCAACTTTCGTGATAAGTTCGGCCATGCTCATTTCAATGTTGAGTTTCACAATCTGATGGCAAAAGAGTCAGCATTCCCATAGTTCCAAAGTGGAATGACGGGGATGGGACATCAGTTTGAAAGACTTTGGTATTGACAATGGCTGACTTGTGGAACAGGCTCAGGGCACGGCAGGCTGTAGAATGTGAACAGAAAACCCGAGGCCTTCCACCCCACCCAAGGATTATCAAGCACATGATCGGGAACACAAGCCGTGGATGTCAACACCAAATTTTAAAGTGCTACTTACATAGGCGACTGGATGAAATTGCATATAGCTGTATGGGTTGTTAGTCAATGAACATATGGTAACAGGATATCATCTAGCCTGGGCAACACAAGTAACTTACACAAAAGTATTCTTCATACTCATCATGGCGATAATCAGAACCTGAACTGTGTTAGCAATGCTGAGTCCGATGGCTGCATGGTGATCAACAGCAACTTACATCCATACTCAATGAAACCAAGACGATGAATGCGTTGAACCTAAATAGAGGCCTGTACTTGGCCATACCACGAGCCATCAACTTGTTCTTCACGAGATACAAGAAGTACGCATTGAGAAGGCCATCGACCAGCAAGTAGATTGCTTTCTCACAGCGATCCCAAACCTTGTTGATCTCGATGTATTCCTTACTCGTCTGCAAACGAGCAGGAATCCAGATACAGTAGACCGAAATGTTTATTGCTGTGATCAAGGCTGCAGTCCCCCATTTCATGTATAAGACTTTCTTTTTGTTCGTGATAAGAAGGGCAATCCGATTGATGATAATCTGAAGAAGAAACTGGACCTATCATTGTGAATTAGTCAACATCAATCCCAGTCTCTAAGATTACTGGCGAATGCTAGATCCTTACCTGAAGCGCCCATAAAGTTACTGCAATGTACCACCATCGTTAGTCTGGCATATTATGATTTGAATTCATGGAAGCAAGCTGTGACTCACAAATTGAGAAAAAGAAAGCAAAGCTGTTTTGATATTAACAGTGACATTATCCAAGTTGACGGGTGTGGCATACCTTGGTTGGAAGAAGTGGTCAATGAAAAACCAGCAAATAAATCCAAAGATTGTCGAGACCAACATCTCGCCCCAAATGAGGATGACATAGGTTGTGACTCTATGAGCTCTTTTCCATATGGTAGCCGTCTGTCGCCCAGCTTTCACTGCTGTGAGAAAACTGAAACCCAACGTGAAGCCCCATGCTAAACTTGCAATGCGCAAATCCAATCCGGAAACCGGTTCCTCTTCATAGTTTGGTGAGATCCAAAGAGAACCCATGATATGTGGATTGTGCTGAGCGAAGAGCCGCAGCGTTGAATAGGAAAACAAACTGATATACAAGGCTTGATATCAATGAAGAGAAACACAGCAATCTGACAGAGGATGGAGAATTTGAGATGGTGCATTGGAATATGTAACATGGAGTAAAGGCGAGGGATACTCCCTGCAGCATTCTGCCTCACCAAGGCTGAAAACCCTGCTGCGACCCAACATAGTATGGATCGAGGTGAACGGGACTCGGTCCAATCCTCCCGCGCGAGGCCACGCTTGCTAGCATGTTCGAATGCTTTGTTGCCATTCGTACATAGCGGTGAATATTGTGCATTGTCTTCAGAATCAGGAACAGCTTGCAGATACGCTCAGGGGCCGCCCACTTTCTTCACCCGGGGAAGACGACCTGCTCAAAATCCGGAAAGCTAAAAAAACCCAAACAGGATGTAGTGGTTAATCATGAATCAGGGAAAGCGTTGTCAAGTTGCTCAATGAGTGGCCAGATGGAGGACAAACATTGCTCACCTCTCTTCGAGTGGACACAAGGAAGACTCCGAATTAGGACGGAGATCCTTTTGTCCACTGTGGCGATCATATTATGAGGTCTAGTTTGTTAGGCTAGCATCGCATCGAATCCGCTGGTCTGATGCGATAGTAGTCGAGGTTAGTGGCGTGCCCTAAGGAGATAGTTCGATAATGATTCATTTGCGTTGGCGACCCTTGGACGAGACAATTAAAATGGTCTAGAACTATTACCATTCACACACATCGTATTCAACATGCGTTCCTGCATATTGTAGCACGCGTGTGGCGCACCATGTAGAGCGTGGCATCCAGTACCATGGATCAGCCAAACGGTGGGAAGCCTCGTGGCGTGACGGACGTGATAGATGCATGTGAGTGTGCTTGAATGACGAGGGTACCATGCCATTAACCTATGATGATGGCGCGACAACAGTATGGAGGACACAGTTTGGGCTGCAATGGCAAGGAAATTGGGCTCTCCTCGAGACGTGGTGCGTGTTCCATCTGAGGCTTTGTTCTTTGAAATGATCTACAATGCAGAGGTGGGCTCTCGGTGAACTGGTAAGCTCCAAGCAGTCGCACGCAGAATGATCCACAGAGGAACAATCGATGATTATTCTCCGATGTGATGTGGAATGAAGAATGAATGGGTTTCTGGTTTTCCTCATGTCGTGTGGATTTGCTTTCGAGTGAAGATTTGGATTGCGCCAAGCGAGCTGAATAACGTTCAGGCTTCCCGCCCGCCGTCGGCGATCTACGTAGGCCCCCTTTGGGCGGGACGATGCATGCGCTTACTAGTATGTCTTGTCAAATCCACTTCCGTACCGAAACGTGTTGTAGAAATACCAAATAAGAAGTCGGAATCTGCCAGAGAAGATTAAGAAATTGGCTCGGTTTCCGAGTAACACGGTTGCCATTGTGCCACCAAACAAATGCTCGTTTTCAAAAGCATCTGGACTGTTCGACGACTACCCTTACTGCCTGATGTTGGCCACTGCATGTACCCCGGAGCAAAGGGGTTCGCTTAATCTCACTGTGTGAGGAGTTAGTGCAGCTAGTGAAGCTGCAGACTTGCAGTATTTTAGAACGCTTCAACGTTGGCCTTGGTACGGGGTGATTTCTTTAGTTTGTGGTTATCGTCCACCTAATGCAAATCCTCATCAACTACAGCATGCAAGATGTGAGATAGCTGCGCGCTTTGCATTCCACTAAAACTTAGATCTTGTTGAAGATAGGGGACATTTCTGCAAGTACTCCATGGTGGGCTCGAGACGAGTAGGGAGTATTGCGGGCAAGCGAAAGCTGGAGTCTGGACAATAAGCGAGAGCATCCACTTCGGAAGACCGGGAGGTCTCCATCGTCTCCATTCAACCAGGTGTTGGCTGATGCCCAAGCAGACTTGTTGATTTCCAAATTCCAATACACGGGGTCACTATTGCATATCCCTCGTCTGAGGGGCGATTGCTATCGAGTCTCAACTGAATTACACCTCGGGAATCCCCAATGTCTGAGTTCATTAGCGTACATAGCCATCGCGGCCGAGTGGAGAGTGGAGTTTCCAACGACCGCGAATATTTTACAGCTTAAATGGTTGGCCAATGCACCGAATTGTGGGCTAGGACATTGCTACAGCGGGCCATCCCCATCGACCAGCAATTTTCATACCTTTCCTTGTTCGACTTTTCACCTTTGACTCTATCTTTCGACTCTTACTGTAACGAGCAGTGAGTCGATCCAGCGGAAAGCCGGAGGATGTGTCTTTGCTCCAGTTGAGTTGGGTACTGTGAATCTCTGCCCACCGGTTGGCATTGTAATTCGGAGACAACCTCCTGGTGACGCCTTTGCATCGACGGAGTATGGTTTGGTATCGATGAAGCAGGCTCACTTTACTCGTAAGACCTGGCTAATATCCAAGTGCGTCTGTATCTCCCAATTCTTGGTAGAGTGAAGTCATGAGCATGGAACTTCTCTCTCGAGAATTCTGCTGTGCATGAACTTCAAAGAATGGTCGTCGTGTGTTCCATAACATGAAACACACCTATACCTTCAAAGTTTCAAGTCCTCAACTGAGTTTACACTGCTGCAAACTGTGCAGCAACCGCTCAGTCCTACTACAGTCTTGCCACCCGCACGTGGCAATGCGATTATTAGAGTGAGAACTTGGAAAGGGATACCAAGGGTCGGATGCCTTCTAGAAATTTAGCTTCGCCAATGTCAAATAAACTTCTTCGCAATCGAACCAAGAATCACCTATTCTCGCAAAGGCACTCTCCGTGATTAAGCAGGTCTGCGTCAGGTTTGATCCCTGGTTACTGCGCTGCTCACACGGAGAACACCCGTAGTTGCCTCGTCTTATGAATTCTAATACCAGTATACATTTGTCTCATGGAATGATCAGTGTTGGCCTATTCTCCATCTCGTAAGCATATTTCATGTTGCAGAATTTTCGGACTTAGTGTGCAGATGAATTCGAATATGTAGCTACAGTTTTAGCATGACTTCCACTGCGGCAGGCAGCATCGATTCTTCTGACTTTGTTGGCAAGTCTTGGTATTGTGTTCCGAATGCGCATAGAACGCAGTCAGGTTTGTCTCGCTCCTTGGCCTGCAAGGCATTGATAGTCTTCATAGCTCGATGACAATCATATGGTCAGCCTGTTGGTTCGGTCTACCTTCTCAGACCGAGTTATGGCCGCGCGCTTTTGGTTCCGTCAACAAGATACACGGCCCAGAAGCAGACAGACCAATGATGCCAATGATGGGTCCGCTCCAATTTTGTGTTTGAAAGCCTTTCAGATCCTAGTACCCTGTGTGAGAACTAGGGTTTCCATGGCATTTTTCACCTGACTCATGCGAATTCATTAAAGTTCGAGGCTCAATCTGCAGGCGTGGAACCTAGTGGAGCCAATGGACCTGCCAGTTACCGTAATTTGTGAAGGCCCTGACTGCTCGTCAGCATGTTCACAACCTTGCAGGCCCTCAAGAAAGGAAGAGCCATTAACGGCTGTGCCTAATCGGTCATCATCTTGTACTATCTGCGCAGATGTCGTGCGGAGGGATTACTAGCATCGGCGGTACTGACATTCGATGCCGTATTTCTTCAGCTCAGTACCGAGCAGATCACTGTAAGTGAAGAAGAGTAAGCTCCCCTGGAGGAACAGAGCTTCAGAAGAGAGATGATGCATGCGTTAGAAAAGGCAGGTAATCCGATGAGACCGAGGTGGGGTCCGAAACCGTTGCGAGGCAGCTGTTTTCAGAACTCAAACTCTTGAGTGAAAGACAAATAGCTCCCTCAGCATTGGGTCATTGAACTTCACCCTGGCGCATAATTTCGTCAACCATATCTGCGACCGTGATCAAGACGATATGTGTTGCCACACATGAGGAGTGTCAAATATAATTAAACCATTCCTAACTCTCGATTGAAACGGAAGTGACTACGGTCATGGGCAAAGCTTCCCGGATGCGAGCAATGGCTTTCTCGCCGAAGCTCACAAAGATATCATGTAGCTGCGAGTTTCAAAGATCTTGTCGACAGCTCGAAAGCTAACCGTGCTGAGGATTTTGAAGCACATCTCGATCAACGAGCGTCACAAATCTGAGCTGAACAACTCAACTTCATTTGACAAGACGAAGGTCTGATGTTCCAATATTTATCCTTTTCATGATAGGAGGATGCATCCGTTGATCACTCTTGCGTGGTACCAATGCATTAAACAGACATGGGGTGAGATTATGAAGTCATCATGCGTCATAAAGTGGGCATTTCGAACACAATCTCATGAGCATCACAAGAATACGTGGCCTTGACTTGCTGGTTATTTTACCACAGCACAACAGAAGGTCCCAAAGCATCCCCTAGATATACAGTTACTATCGAGGTATCTGAGATAACCAACATGGCAAATGTACGGTAGGTTAAGAAAGCAGAGCATCCCTTCCCCGAAATCGAACTCGTTAACCGCGGCCTCACGCAACCGTGCTGCTCTTCCCCGGCTGACGAGTCTTTGCTCAGGAACACCATTGAGGAGCAAAAGTCAAACTATGGAGCAAACACGTCCGTTGGCCGCGATCTTGGGCAGCACCATCCGTCTGCACAATCAAAGGGCGCTCCAGCCTTGCCTCAGGTCAACGCTGGACGTGGTCTGGTCGAGAGCATAGATGATGCATTGAAAGGTATTGACGGTCAAGCAAGAGACAAAGCTCAAATGGTGGATCACAGTGTAAAAGTTGGCCAGGAGGATGATTTCCATGCAAAAGCGGCCGCCAAACAACCATAGGCCATAATATCGAGCGCACAGTGTCTAGCCAATGCACGGAGAACCTTTTTCTTTCAAGTCTTCAACAGAGGATTCGAAGAGCTCACTAATGTATGAAACGTGATCTGGCAAAGTTATTCATGAGCACAGGGCGAAGCTTGATTCCTCAGTAGCCTGACTCTGAAATACGATGACTGTCCTTTCATACTTGTGAGATGGACCTTACCTATTTGGAACAGTCTGGCAAATATCATTCCGTTTTGATTGCTACCGCGTACCATCTCACGATGGTGGTGCTTGGAGGGTGGACGAGGAATAACCAAGATACTCGGCCGGGGCAACGGATCAAGGTACGCATAATATGATTGACGATGATGTGAAATGTGCAAGAGTATGCGCTTCGAGGCACGTATACTCGAATCGTTGCCTCTGTCAAATTTCTGTTGTCATGAGCATCCTCAAAAAGCTCGAAAAAAAGACAACATCAGCAGGATGCGTCGAGCAAGAGCCACAATCGTATCATGCTAACTCGCACAGGGGTGAGATGAAACAGTTGCCTACTGAGCACAAATTGTAGGAACCCAAGGAGGAAATGTTCAATCTTCGCCTCCTTATTCCTTACCACTTCATGACGAGGAAAGTCCACGGTGCTCACCCAGCAAAGGGAGGCGTTCAACGCGGAAGCGGAGAAGAACTTGGTATTCTGAAACCCCAACACCAAACCTCAGCTACTCCTTCTTCCCACTTGGTCTGATGACGATATCCGAAGGATCTAATAGAATTTTCGGAGCATTTATGCAAGGGGCCGCAACGCCTGATCGTGTAGGCCTTCTCAGAAGTGCGCTCTGGAACTGAGTTATTATAATGCAAACCTGATGAGAAGATTGGAACTCGTCACATTTCAGCCCGATTCGGAAGACTCACCTCGACGGTCAATTGCCAAGGACTGTGCCTCCCTGTCACTTGTGGCAGGCAACCGCCCAGGCATGGTGACCTCTACCCCGTACTTCAATCAGGCTGTGAAAAGGAGTTCTGTGATTGGAGAGGCCAGCGGGCCAAAAAAAAAAAGGACCACTATCCAGCAAGCTAATTGGCGCCCCGTTTGCAGCCTTCAGTGCTGCTGATACATGTCCATCCTGATTTCCAACATTTTTTATACTCCAAATACGAACAGGCAAAAGGCGACCATACTGAACCGTAGGCTACGGGTGTGACAGTGAACTTGCTGTTGGCATAACAGGCGGGCTCCGAGACGAATTTGCTGACCGCAACCATTTAGGTTATAAATATGAGCCATTGGAAACGCAGTCAAGGCGAATATTCGCTATCAATGCTTGTGAGTTTCATACAGAAACTTCCTCTCGTTTCCCTTCTCCGCTTTGTCTTCTGTCTTCTTCCGAAAATTTCTGATCTACACAGACGACAATCTACCCCATCATGGCGTGTTCATTTCTCCCTAACACGACCATCACCAGCGGCATCAAGTGGTGGCAAGTAGCAGATACTTTAATCAATATCGAAAGTTGTGGAGAATCGTATCTGCGCCCTTCAGTTGGGGGTGCCCTCCAGCCCTGGGTATTCTCAGCACTATTCGTTGCACTCCACATACCGATCATGGCACTGAGAGTGGCGAGGTGGGAGGATGTTCAAACACTGTCAATTATTCTTGCAGGCTTCAATGTGGCTCTTGCATTCCAAGCCTGTCTATCCACCCGACTTGCTCCCGAGGATGTTCTGGTTTGGGGTCCGAGTCTGATGACATTGGTCATCGATGCAGGAGCGATGGAGCAATTTCTTACTCTAGGGCGAAAGAACTTCAAAATCTGGTTGGCTGGCTTCTGGAAGGGAGCCAAGCCAGTGGAAGAAGATGGTAGGTTTTCTCCAAATATCCTTTACTTCATATCCCTGAGACTTGCTACAGTTGAATTAGAGCCAGTTAGGCCGGTGGAGCAGGATCCAGCCTTGCCAGTGGAAGAGCGACCCGCTCGTGGCGCTAAACAACCAACCTCGACGTTTGTTGCTTTTGTGACAATCACATCATCTCTCCTGCTTTTGATGATATTTGGACTGCAGATTGCAGGGCTAGTGGCAGCTTTCCAAGGACGGAAGAAAAAGGACGTTAGGGCATCCTGGTGCTCACCAATGTTCAGCCTCTTTGGAGTGGCTGAGTTCGACTCCAATTGCGTCTTCCGAGAAATAAGTGGAAGTCCCAACAAAGGGCTTGGATGTATCGAGCTGGACGGCAAACGACAACGATTGTGGTTAATGGTGACTTTGATCTGCCTCTTGCTATCAGTGGTTGTGCAGATGGTGGATCTCATCCTCCTGTGCTCACGCTTTCGTCGGTGGGCTCCTTTTTCATTTCTGGCCGTGAATTTGCAGAGGCCATGGGCCACAATCACACTTGGTTTCGGCACGCTAGTTCTTATTCTAGCATTTGGGGCGAACGATGCATATACGTTACCGTATGGAATCAGTGAAAACATATGGCTTGTTGTGGATAGTGGAGAGCCGTTTGTATGCACTGGGACACTCACTCCAGCTGGAGAGAGGGGCCAGTTTCTGGGTTGGCTGGATGGTATATTCCAGTCATGGGGCTCTGTATATTTTGGTCCTGAGACGTAAGTCCGACCATGGATTAGTCACTACACTTCGATTAAATATTTTGGTGGTTTCCAAGAGCCACAGATAAGATAACCTATATAACTTAACGAGGCTCAACATAGTTCTTCTGGCTTACGAGGCTCCGAGGTCAAGACCCAAGCACATCAGTTGTACAAGCATCGCTCATCTTATGCCAGCCAGGAGGCATGTATTTTTGCGCCGATGATGAGCATAGCGTGGTGGAGACTAGTCCAAGTCATAGACTCTCCCTAGGTGAGGAGTAGAGCAGGCGAATAGCACAAGCTCAGGCCACTTCGAGCTGCAACATAGGATTTTACAAATTCCACACAGACCGCCATTTAGAACTCAAGGCCAGATTGCGTGAGACAGGGCTTCGGTCTGCTCCGGCAAGCTCTTGATCCGCCGGTCCATTGCTCCGTACGTACTGGAGGTCGGCAGATAGTGGTTCCTGGGGCACTGTGGGCATCCCAGGGCCAATGTTTAAGCTTAGATTAGAAGCTAGGGGTGTCCGGGGGATTGTCATTCGCAAGGACGAGCTCCACGTTTCAGTCGCATCTATTCTGGATCGAGTCCCTTTTTCCGTCGAAAAACTTCTTTTTGCCTGCAACTGCGTGATTTCCATCCTCCTTTTATCCGCCCGCTGACTTATATTCGCGTCTGCTCACCGCAAACTCCTTATCACTCTTTACACTCGTTTCACCATAATAGACTCATAGATTTTCGATTTTTGTCCAGCGTTTGCGACCATAGACAACCCATCTGCATTGCATCTTTGCAAACTCCCGAAAGTCTCGACAGACACCGCGTTCTTGAAATCTTCCCAAGAAACACAATCAACCACCTCCTACATCCATCCACAATGGCCCATTTCACTCTCACCACCCTCGTCGCCACTACGGCCACTGCTCTTGCGCCATTCCTCATCGTCTACAACATGCCTCAACAGAAGACACAGTTGTCCACCCTCTCATCTCTCCCTAAGCCGCGCCCTTTCGCCACTCTTCGTGACGCGCGAGAGAAGGCCAAAGTCGGCTCTGAGTTCAGCCTCATCTAAATCAAATACCTGAATGTCTGCTAAACGGAATTCAACACAATCATTCATTTCAGCCTCGCAACTCATCAGGAGTTGACTATTTTCAACTTGTAATATCATACCACTTTTCATACCCCTAAACACGTGGGGATTTCACTTGAACGACACATCATGAAGCTGGAGGTCAACGGAGACACGAGACAGGAGATCACTGATGACCATGGAGGGGCAGGAACGGCGTTGATTGGGTTTTCTCGGGTGCCGTGCTTTAAGCACTCGCAATGATGGTCACTTTATAAGGATAGATAGATCAAGTGTTTCTACAACCATAGAGAGCACGCCTCGGAACCTGAATACGAACACTTCTTTTTCCAAGTCTGCTATTAGGTGCTCTGCATAATCATAATGTCAATCTACCTCGTAGACCAGAGCAATGATACCAACATACTCGAATCACAAGGAGTGGCGCAACTGAGCCTCGCGATGCAGGAACGCGTTCTCTGTCCAGTGAGAGTGACAGTGACAGCACCCCTGCAATGTTTCAGGGTCCAGACGGATTGAGTGAGCCGAGAATGGATCTGAGAAGAATAATTTGTCCGACAAAGTTTTTCCGAGGTGGGTCTTGGCATCCACGATGGGGAGGGAGAATGACTCAACAAGCGAACACCATTGAACGGGTCACAGAGGGTAACAAATTGCAACACTCGTGATAGGGCTATCTAGTTCTAGGATATCATCAATCCAGCACCTAAAAAGTTGTTGGAGCCACATTGAGGGAAGTGGACGGTGATCTTCGATCGGGTTCAATCTAAGAAATCTCGAGAAATTCGAAATACTTGACAAGATGGTAGCTACATCTTCAGAGGGGAAGAAGAAGGTTGCAGTGCTCGGAGCAACAGGTGTGATTGCTGGCTATGATCAACGAGGCATTGCTAACCATTGAATCAGGATCTGTTGGTCAGCGATTCATTCTTCTTCTTGCTGACCATCCATTGCTGTATCTTCAAGCAGTCGGGGCTTCATCCCGATCTGCTGGCAAGTTATACAAGGATGCTGTTCGATGGAAGCAAGCCAGGCCAATGTCAGAGGAATTGGCGAATCTGGAAGTCAGGGAGTGCAAGGCGAGCAACTTCCAGGATGTGGATCTGGTATTCTCGGGTCTTGACAGTGATGTCGCCGGGGAAGTTGGTATGTTTATCTTTCAGATGGGATGTCTTCATTCCAGCTAACAAGGTTATAGAGATGGAGTTCCTGAAAGCTGAGATCCCAGTTTTCTCAAACGCAAAAAACTACAGAAGGGATCCTATTGTTCCTTTGGTGGTTCCAACCGTCAACATATCACACTTGGCTCTTATCCCACACCAAAGGAAACACTTTGGTCTCAAGAAGGGGTTTTTGGTTTGTAATTCCAATTGCGCTGTTATTGGAATTGTCATCCCATTCGCCGCATTGCAAGCAAAGTTTGGACCAGTCGAAGATGTCGAGGTCTTCACAGAACAAGCAGTTTCTGGTGCTGGATATCCTGGCGTATCAAGTATGGACATCATGGACAACGTGATACCCTACATCGCTGGTGAAGAGGATAAACTCGAGACCGAAGCTCAAAAAATTCTAGGTGCTATCAACTCAGAGGCCACAGCATTCGAGGAACAATCTGGTCTCACAGTTGGCGCCACTTGCACGAGAGTGGGAGTTACAGATGGGCATATGGCTTTCGTCTCCCTCAGGTTCAAGCAAAGACCACCACCCAGTGCAGAGCAAGTCAAACAAGCGATGCGAGAATACGTCGCGGAGGCACAGAAATTGGGATGTCCATCAGCTCCAGAAAAGGCAATTGTTGTCTTTGACGAGCCGGACAGGCCACAGCCTCGACTGGACCGAGATATTTCGGGAGGTTATGCCGTCAGCGTTGGTCGTGTCAGGGAGGCCGCAAAGGGATCACATTTCGATATCAGATTCGCTGCATTGAGCCACAACACAGTCATCGGAGCTGCAGGGTCATCAATACTGAATGCTGAAGCCGCTATCATTCAAGGTCTCATATGAAGCTCTGAATCGAGGGGTTGTGGAGTAAAGAGATAGTATTACATGATATCAGCTAGAATTCAGCTTTGAATAGTCACCGCAACATTATAAACAGCACCTATTTCTGAGATCTCCTGTCAGTTTCAATCTTGCTTGAGTCGACCCTGCTGGCAGAGGGTACGAGAACATGGAAATTATAGTAGAGTTGTGAAGTGGAGTACGCCAGAAACTCGAACAGTCAAGAATCGACAACGGTAGAGCACTGCTACTCAAAGAGCAGCGCTAGCCTAAAATTGGACTGCCCAGTTTCGGTCGAAGTCTTGGCACGACCGCACCTTTGCATTTTTCAAAATTATCACCTCCAACCTCGAATTCCGTCTATCAGATCATCCCTCTACAAACAACAATTCAAGATGGGTCGCGGTCCGAAGAAACATCAGAAGCGTCTCAGTGCGCCTTCGCACTGGCTTTTGGACAAACTCTCGGGTGCCTATGCCCCCAAGGCATCCCCAGGTCCTCATGTTCGTCTCAACCCCGACGGTACAAACGATTCAATGATGAACTAACGTCCCTACAGAAAGCCCGTGACAGCTTGCCTCTGATTGTCTTCATCCGCAACCGCCTGAAGTATGCCCTCAATGGCCGCGAGACCACTGCCATCCTCATGCAGCGCCTGATCAAGGTCGACGGCAAAGTTCGCACTGATTCCACCTACCCTGCTGGCTTCATGGATGTCATCACTATTGACAAGACTGGCGAGCACTTCCGCCTGATCTACGATACCAAGGGCCGCTTCGCCGTGCACCGTATCGAACAAGCCGAGGCAGAGTACAAACTCGGCAAGGTCAAGAGAGTGCAAGTTGGCAAGGGTGGAATCCCATACTTGGTTACGCATGATGCTCGCACGTAAGTGACCTGCACCTATCAGCCGTTGGACCAAGATTTGGTTGGAAACATCCGTGAGAAAATGCTGATAAAATTTGTGTGTGATTCTAGTATCCGATATCCCGATCCTTTGATCAAGGTCAACGACACCGTCAAGATCGATCTTGCCACTGGAAAAATCACCGAATTCATCAAGTTCGACACTGGTGTGATTGCCATGGTCATTGGTGGTCGCAACATGGGTCGTGTTGGTGTCGTCACCCACCGTGAACGTCACGATGGTGGCTTCAACATTGTCCACATCAAGGACGCAATCGACAACTCGTTCGCTACCCGAGAATCCAATGTTTTCGTCATCGGAAAGGAAAAGCCATGGATCAGTCTGCCAAAGGGCAAGGGTGTCAAGGTATGCTCCATCGGTCTCTCTACATCTAGCCACATTTTACTAACCGATCCTTCTTAGTTGTCCATTGCTGAGGAGAGAGATCGCCGTCGTGCTGTCGCTCTTGCCGCCCACTAGAGAACGATATGAGCCCGGTGGAGTATGGCGCAATCGCTTCTGGGGATGGCATGGTTGAGCAGGCCTCTAGCTGATACTAAAGACCTCGTACCTGAGTAGTATGGTCATTCAGATCTGGAGTGCTCTCAATTGCAGAGAATTGAAGACCTCAAAACAAAGATTTCACGACAAGAATCAGTGAATTCAATGAGATACCAAAAATTTTCAATTGTTGCTTCTCTTCCTTTGTGTCCCTAACTTGTTGCTCGGTGTCTCGGTGTGCCTCACTGCATCCCGAGGACAGAATTTTGATGACCCTATTGCAATGCCTACCTCTCCCCGGCCAGACAAACTTAACACAACTAGTATCCTCAACAGCACCGATGGCAAGTTTCTCCTTAACGCAGCCGTAGACAAGCCCCTTTCGTGAATACGCAGTAATTGACTGTGCAAAGCATGACTATTTGATCACAATCTCTTCTAAATGAGTAGTTGAGTAGATCTCAACTTTGTGGAGTATTCCACCGTCCAAACGACCTAGCGTGGTGAAATTGAGAGCCAGCAACACCTCCACGCACATCAAAATGCAGGTTCTCCTGATTTTATTGTCATAGCTGTGCAGAGGATTGCATGCACTCTATCAAAGATGTATCCAGGTCTGGTCGATGTACCGGATAAACCTCGGGCTCTTATTTTTCCGAACCACCGATGCCAAGGCGATTGTTTGTTGACAGGCCGTCTCTTTCGGGCAACGCCCAATAATGCCATGTGCACTGGCAGATTCCATCCCATCCCCATCTCAAACCACAAAGCAGTATCACACCCGCAACTAATCCCACAGCAAGGTTTTCTTTTCCAGCATATTATTGACGACGACTAGGGAATACAGACAGTGGATAGAGTGAATACTTCTGTAAAACACACGACCATACCACAACATAGTACAATAGAGACACAGCAAGAAAGCAGGCAAGCATGGCGGGCCCTGCCACCGCCCGCGATGGTAACAACAACAACAAGGACAACGACCTCATAAACTTCGACGTGATAGAACTGCACAAGGAGAACATCCAATCCCTGCCCGGCGGGCGCTCAGCGCGACAGCTCGCATCGATCCTCTCACCCCTCCCGTCATCCACAGGAAAATCCATGTCGAGCACCAAAGCCAAGACTGCTGCGGACACGCCCTTGACGCTCGACGAAACAAAGACCATGAACGACACCTACCGACAGGGCTATGAGGACGAGCTGCAGGCGATCGCGGACGCAGATGATCCGCTGGACGTTTACGTGCGCTATGTCAACTGGACACTGAATACCTATCCATCGGCGCAGGCCACGCCGCAGTCACAATTGCTGCCGCTGCTGGAACGAGCGACTAAGGCCTTCCAATCGTCTTCGCAGTACAAGAATGATTCGAGATATCTGAGGCTGTGGCTGCATTATATTCGGCTATTTGACACAACGCCACGAGAGACTTTCGCGTATCTGGCAAGGCATGGGATTGGAGAGAAGCTGGGGCTGTTTTATGAAGAGTTTGCTTCATGGTTGGAGGGCGCAGACAGATGGCTACAAGCGGATGAGGTTTATCAGTTGGGAATTCAACGGGAAGCCACACCTGCGGAGCGCTTGTTGCGGAAGTACAACCAGTTCCAACAGAGATACAACGCCCGTCCTCAATCGGCAGATGGACCAACTTCTCCAGCGCTACCGACAGTGCGTCCGGCTCTGGCAGCCAAGACGGATCCATTTGCATCCGCACGTGGTGAAGAGCCTCCAACAACACAAAGACAGAGTGGTGGAAGTACAACAGCCCCGACATCACGATCAGGGAAACCCAAAATGGCCATCTTCTCGGATGCTGATAGTGCTGCGCCAGCTCCTGCACCCACAGGCTCTGCAACCACAAATGGCTGGGACACCATCGGCTCCATGAAAGAGCGGAAGAAAGAGAATACTCATGAGGCTCGACCGTGGGCTGGAGAGACATTGAAGGCCGGAAAGAAAGTGGGCACAGCAGGCAAGATGGAGATTTTCAAGGATCCGGTATGATTTTCTTCTTCCACCATTATCTGCGACGCGTCCTTTTATGGCGAACTTCTGGAGTGTATTCGACTAATGTTGCTGGATATTTCCTGTATTTAGTCATCCCGAGACAAGAATGAATCGCGTTCAACCAAAAGTCCCTCCTCAAATGCTACATCGAAAGATTCTAGGCAGACTAGCACAACAGTCAACCCTCGTACTGGTCGCTCTGAAAAGGTATTTGTGGACATCGATGCTGTCTATCCAGCCAATAGCAACACTGAATATAGTTTCGAAGAACTGCGAGCCATCTCAAGAGGTTGGTTCAAGAGAGACTGGAAGGCTCGACCGCAATCCTCACCAAAGCGTGTCGAGCCACTGGGAGAATCGATGGGGAATCTGACCATTGTAGAGTCACCAGCTGCAAAGTTTGCAGACCTGGATGATGTTGAGAATCAGAGCCAATCTCCTCAACAAGAAGAATTGTCCATTCAGGAAGCTGTAGCCAATATCAGTATTCACGATGTGTCAACCCAGTCCATGGTTGGAATGCCTGAACCAGAGCGACATTCTCAATCAAACTCACAGGCGTCGAGACCGAAGGAAAAGAAATTCAAGACCAGGGAAGTCAAGCAGGAGACGCAAACAGTCAAGACCCGTCTCGAATCTCCGACCGGCAGAAAACTCAAGAGAAAGAACTCAGCTGTGGCGGAGCCGACCATGACTTTCCACTCCAAGGCAGCAACGAACGACATATACGACATGTTCAATCAACCTCTTCGTAGACCGGAGTTGGCTAGGGATGATACACAGAGTGGCGACGACGGTGATTTCACGGAGGGCGACTTGGAAGACGGCTATAGCACCGCGGGGGATGGAGAAAGCACCGGAACTGGTCGGGCGTCGCTGCATGGAAGTGAATATGGGGAGGACACCCTCAGTCAACCAAACACTCAACCTGACAGTGTTTCACCTTGGTCTGACTTCACTGCCAGCAAGCACGTGCCTTCAGTTTCTGTGGATGCTTCCCTCAAAAAGCCGTCTAGGAAGATTGCCAAAAGTAAGACATCGAGCAAATCCAGGCGCGCTATGAGCGAAGACATGACTGAGAACATGGATTCTTCCAGTCAAAATGCCACACAGACATCAGGGCTAGGTGGGTTTGACACTCAGGCCATTGCTGCTATCGCCAATGCAGACTTTGATGACATGGATACAAAGGCCATTGCTATGCTTGCAGGAGATCTTGGTGAAGAGCTTGATGCTGATCATGTGAATGATGTCGAGGAGGTCATCACTTGCGACAAGATTACGACCAGCCTCTCGCCGCTCACCGATCTCCAGACCGATCTAGAGGAACCGCAACAAGACAGTCCAGCAGAAAGCAACAACAACCGATCTCCCAGCAAAGACGTTGTGCTCACTCCTGTCGATGAAGGATTTGATGAGCGGTATGAAGTTTCGAATCCAACACGGTTCGTTCCTATTGCACCCGTCGATTACGAACCAACGCCATTTCGCTCATACAGGGATCCAAACATGATGGCACAGAACAAGCTCCCATTCATGACCCCAATAGTGGAGAGGACTGAGAGCTCCTTTGCACCATCGACTGTTTTCAATGACCCAGACTACTTCAATTCAAAGACACCCAGCCGCCCGGGCCGAGATGCCTTTGAGAGCCCTTCAAAGCTCATGGTTGACAACTTGTTGCTGAGCAGTCCCCAAGAACCACATGAAAGCCCTGTTACTCCTGGTAAGAGGAAGATTAGCCATGACAGTGATAGAGAAGAAGCAGACCGTGATGGTTCGCCCAACAAGAGAGGTCCTGGATTGAGGCTTGAAACAGACATTGGCTCTGATTGTCCTCCAACCCCCAATCTCAGTCCGTTGATACTGAAGCAGGAACTGAAAAAGCCAGAGCTTCCGACAGAAACTAAGGCCCGGCCTGTTCTTCAACAAACAAAAATCCACAAAGGTCCCGTCGTTCTCGACCTGCAATGCAACCCTTGTGATGACGCCGTTCGTCAGCAGATTCTCACAACTATACACCCACCACCGTCGTCGTATGGTGGTTATTATGACCACTCAGAACAAGTCAGCAGACAATATCAGACTCTCAAGGCATATGCGGAGAAGTTGGCGAAGACCAAGGTCAAAGCAAGTCCAAGAAAAGGCCAGAGTGAGAAGACACCCAACAAGGCTTCTCCACCGATTCTTCGTTTTCAGGGCACCACTCAAGTGTATGCAGCCAGACGACAATTAGGAGAGGGTGCATTTGCTCCAGTATACCTTGTTGAAAGCTACAATCCGAAGGAGATACAAGATATTGATGCGGATGCCGACAAGGAAAATTCGGTCCCTGGTCTTCCCCAGGCCTCTGATCGTGGAGATTTGGAGGCACTCAAGACTGAGGCACCTCCCGGAACACTTGCGTGGGAATTTCATGTGTTGCGTCTTGTGCGACAACGCCTCGGTCCAGCTTCACGAACCATGGAGTCCATCATTTTGGCGCATGAATGTCACCTGTATCGTGATGAGGCTTACCTTGTTCTATCGTACAGCCCGCAGGGCACTCTACTTGACTTGGTCAACCTAGCCAGAAATGAAAGTGTCAAGGCGGGAAAAATTGCCGAAGGCCTAGATGAGAGTCTTGCTATGTTCTTCAGCATTGAGCTTCTAAGAACGTTGGAGGACCTTCACCGAGTTGGAATTCTGCATGGTGACCTGAAAGGTGACAATTGCCTGGTCAGACTCGACCCCGATGTTGAGATTGAGGACATGTTCAACGCGGATGGCAAAGATGGATGGAGGTCCAAAGGACTGAAGCTGATTGACTTCGGCCGCGGCATTGATGTACGAATGTTCCAGCCACAAGCACAATTTATTGCGGACTGGCCATCGACTCCACAAGATTGTGCTGAAATTCGAGAGTGTCGCCCTTGGAAGTACCAGATCGACTACCATGGTGCCGCAGGTGTAATTCACAGCTTGTTGTTCGGAAAGTACATTGAAACTATACCCGTAACTGGCGGTGGTCTGGGACAGAAGAAGGAATGGAAGCTCAAGGACAACCTCAAACGCTACTGGGAAAAGGAACTGTGGAGCGAAGTGTTTACCTTGTTACTGAACCCGGGCATTGTGGCGGACGGCGAAGAGATGCCAGTCCTGAACAACCTCAAAAACGTTCGGGTCAAGATGGAGACATGGCTGGTTGAAGAAGGTGAGCGTGGTGGAAGAGACCTGAGAGGAAATCTCAGGAAGATGGAGCGGTTGATTGCTCTGAAATGAGGCACTTAAGGTTGGATGATTGTGATTGTGTTGTTTTCAAGCATGGCGTTGGTGGAGTTGGAGTTGGACTACGTTAATCGCCAAGTTCTCTCTGCGGTCTTGAGATCCTCCTGCAGATTAGAAACAGCATTCAGTGTGATGTTGGGCATAACAGTGAGATTGATATCAGGATCTTGGGTAGTAGTACGGAGGCCAGGTCAGGAAAGCTAGTTGATGCTGCTGCTGAACAAATTAACTTGTCATCGGCAATATCCATTTCTGGTGGTGCTTTGATTCAGCGGGCAAGTGCGCGTTGTGGTGCAGTTCCTTCCCCGAGGACGGTTACTCAACACAATAGGGTAATCGTACCTGCCACAAACTTGAAGGAAGGTGTAGATTCGTACCTTCCCATTTGATCGCGTGTGGATCTCACCGATTGCATCAAACGGCCACCACGGCCATGTCTTCCGCCACATTCGACCTCCATGTCAATATCTTCTCCAAACTTTACCATCACATCATTATTATCAACCGTTATCAATACCTTTTCTTCTCCTCCACCCTCCCCCCCCCAATTTCGCCATTTTAATTTCCTCCTCCTCCTCCTTCTCATCACTCTCACATTAACGATGCGTGGTGTGATAGTCCTCGAATATCGCAGCCACAGCTGACATAGGCGACTTGACTTTTGTCTTTATTCCCTCGATCCTGATCAGTCAAACCTCGTCAGCCCGCATCTTTGCCCAACTGTGGGTACCTTGTGTGTCATTCTACCGACCAACGACCGAGGAACTTCACCTGAGGTGGCGGCGGATGTGGAGTCGAGGTCCGATTTCCCTCCCCAGATCATTACTACCATTATCCCTACCACTCCGACTTCTTCTTGTCACACCCCTACACATTCTACACTCTTCTCATCAACCTGAGCGCAGCCGAAGTCCGGTTTGTTTTGACGTGATCTGCGGCAAGTACGCCTTGCGCACCATCTCACTTCGACACTCCACTCTTTGGGAAGCTGAAAAGCACGCCTTTTAAATTCTGGGGCTCCGCACCTCCATTTCCTAAGATCAAACAATCATACCCACTTTCCTTATCGACAACGCCTTCGATCGGCAACCCTAAGTCTCCTCCTTAGTCGCGCCATAAGTTCCAAAGCTACCTATAATTCAACTTCATCCGCGCCAACCCCTCCCAACCCAAAGTTCGGACTCCTCGGACCCATACCATAGAAACCGGCGACACGAGATCCACGCATATACGTAATTAATCATACGGCTTGTACATACCCATATAATAACACTACCCTGAGACTTGGGGATCATGGGTGACGCTGGGCCGCCAACCCCTCCGCCTTCATTGGCGCAAGACGTCGAGTCGATAAGCGGGATCGAAGCAGATCATAGTGCCCCGTTGAGAGAAATCAAGGTGCTTGTTACTGGCTTTGGGGTAGGTACTTTTCTTTTTTCTTTTTCCGTTGGGCAGGCTTCGCTTTCCCGATGCTGCGCATCTTTATCTGGAGCATTCCGATGTGATACGAGGGCGCTGGTTGGTTGATGCTGTGTTCCTATCACCTGCAGCGAAATTAGGAATCGGGCAACGGCACGTGGTGTTGAGATGCTTGTGTTTCCTAATATATGCAGGGGGTTTGTGCTTGTGTATGCGCGTGGGAGAGACAGCTACGTGCGACGCTTCACTTGAATCTGACTTTCTGACATTGAAATCTAGCCGTTCAAATCATTCCTGATAAATCCATCATGGCTCATAACCTCCGCATTACCCGAAGAAATTCTTCCACACAGCTCCTACCCATCCGATGAATCGTCTGCAATCAAGCCTTACAGGATCCGTATAACCATCAATCCATCTCCCGTGCGAGTAGCATATAACACCGTCAGCACCGCATTCCCGGACCTACTTGCACAACACAATCCTGATTTTGTGTTACACATCGGTATGGCAGGCGGGCGCGACTGCTATTCCCTAGAGACGCGAGGGCATCGCGACGGATACCGGATCAAGGATGTTGACGATAACGATGGATTCTCTTGTGGCGAGCTTGTTTGGAAGCGAGAGGGTGTGCCAGACTGTTTACTCGTGCATTGGGATGAAGATGATGTATTGCGAAGATGGGAACAGGGTGTCGAGAAAGGTTTGTCAGAGCGTGGTTTCTTGGCTGGCGGTAGTACTCCGGCCCCCGCGGCGAACACCACCATTCCACTACCAAAGGGTTTTACAGGCCCAATAAGAACCGTCTGGGGCACAGTAGCCGGATCAGTGTCTCGTGCTGAAGAGAACCGGAAGAAGGGCGTTGTCAAGCTTTCCCGGGACGCTGGAAGGTTTCTTTGTGAATATGCATTTTTTGAGAGTCTGAGTCGCCGATGGATCGATGCCATGCGCTACAATACTCCTGACGATGGTAAAGCATCTCCGACATCGAGTGCTGCTGAAACTGTCATACCAGACTCGGCAAACAGCGCGGGTGACTCTAGCAACCACAAACGAGCTCTCGCACTTGAGCGCCTGGGCAAAGTTGCTTTCCTTCACGTCCCCGGCCGGACGGGGGTCGACGACATCAACCTAGGAGTCATGATCGCCGAAGAAGCGATCCGCGCTCTCGTGGGCAGCTGGGAAGACGGCTATCGGCGGGATCGGAAGGCGAAGATCACGCAAACGGCATCCTCGGGCTTGAAGGATGGAGAGGTAGCGAAGAAATTCACAGACCAGAATTCCGAGATCGACACCGGCGTTGCCAGTGTGGGTGGCAGTGGAAATGGGAATGGAAGCACTCCGACAGTGGCCGTCATTCAAGGGGAGGTCACGTTGATGCCGGGTGTTGGTGTGGGTATTGAGGATCTGGGGAGGGTTAAGTGGAAGAGCTGATTGATGAAAGGTAGTGGCTGGTGGTGGACATGGACTGCACCGGAATTTCCTCAATGACTTAACGCATATATACGGACATGATTGCATGCAGAGCGCATGGGCGAGCTAGCTGAGATGGAGAGCAACTACAGCAATTCGAGCATGCCTACCGCTGTAGGGGGAGCAGCATCTGCACCATGATTTATTTACTCATCTTCAAGTCTAACATATATCTATCACACAGGTACCTCAGTCCAATATAGAAATACACCCACAGCAGGCTCTACTCGTGGTGATGGGCATTCACTTAGTCAAATGGGTTTTCTTTATTAGTCGACTCTGGAATGAGACGAGGTACTGTAAGATGGCTCCTGGTTAGCAGCAGAGTGCCCGTACCTGTGTTACTATTGGTTTGAAGATATCGTTCGTGTCCAAAGTATCGCAACGGGACAATGCCTTGACTAGATTATAAGAGGCATCATTGCTGTGGTTTCGACACGGACAATCAATTTGAAGTCGTCACTCGTGCCAAAGATCAGGATATCCGTGAACCCTTTGTGGGAAAGTAGATCCGGATTTATGACAACCACATGTTTGTGGTTTTGCATGTGAACTCATGACTCGACATTCCAGGGCACGGGGATCTAATAGGGCAGACAGTGAGACTACCTGTGCACAGCGGGTATTCGTGCGCATGCAGATGTAGCCCACATTGCCAGAAAGTTGAGATGTCACGAGCAAACTTTCCCTAAAGGATGGAATTCCCAGGGTTGCAGTGGAACTAACGCTGTGGTCATCGGAGGGCACATGCCTGTGGAGAGCCAGTCTCCAAACTTCGATGGAGCTTCTTGCGTATATCGAGCATTGGCAGAGATTATCTCCACCTGGAAGGTGGATGTATTCGAATCTTGCAAAGACTCGAGTACTGTCTCAGATGTTTTCCCGTGGCATTCGATTTTGTGCATGATGGAATTTCTCTTGATCTGATGTCGAGGTTATTATTGAGTTGTCAACTGGACGTTCGTTCCGAAGTTCGCGCCCTCGTAATCGATAAGTGCCCGGATATGAAAACGGGCTGGCTGGTCCAGATAAGCGATCTGAGATCGCATTGACCCTCTTCCCGAGAGCAGTGCCAGGATCATGCTTGTGAGCACAGGACAGTGCCATCAAGAGCCGGAAAAGTCGCGATGATGTAAGGAAAACTGAGACACGGGCACAATTGAATTGTCGACTTGACTTGGAGGCAAGGAGGAGGACGTATGGAAAAGTAGGGCGATATCTCCACTTACATATTGTTTGTTATTCAGGATGAGTTGTTTGTTGTTGTCCTTCCGCGACGACAGCCGAGATGGAGTGTTTCATACATGACGATTTTATCGGTTTGTGTGGGGGATGTGGACGGTAGATGGGGAAGGGTGATCTCTTGATATCAAAGTGATTCGTACATGAGCGACTAATGAGGGGAATTGAGGATGGATGTTGGCGAGGTTGAAACAATGATCCTAGCTGGGCTGTCAGTTGAAGGTGGCTTCCGCGTGTGGCTTTTGTGGAGGAGCGATGGGAGCTTTGACTGGCAGGAGCGAACGCGGTCAATGCAAGACGCTAAAGATTGTGTCCAATCGGAGATGCAGATGTGGGCGTAGCGTGTTTTTCGCGTTTCCGAGCTTGACGCGTCAACGCTCTTTCAGAAGTGACGAACTTGAACCTGAATGCAAAATGTGAGGACCATCAGAGAAGGAAAGGTTCAGCTCAAAGGTCTGGAGGTGGATCATGATGCTGGAACATGTGCCCTCCTGACAGCTGCAGCACAAAGAACGCGCCAGTCTGTGCTTGCCTCATTATGTACTCGTCAGTCGTAGCTTGCGTCTACAAATGCATCTGCAAAGTGATAATACTCCGACTCCTCCATTCCAAGCAGAGACTAGAAATAACCGAGAGTGACAAAAGAGAGCATTGGTTACGGAGCTACCTGCACGGGGGAGAAACAGACTTGTCGTGCTGGAGGTTTGAATGCAGGAGTACTCCGTACTCGTAGTAAATACCTTGGTAGTGCGCGATGATGGGCGATGTGGGATGGGCAGCTTTCTCCTCCAGAACCCACTTGATTGCAGTATCCGTATGCACTGCAGGTGAGACAAGAACACTGAGTATGTTTTGTATGGTACGGGTCTGAGTGCCAGGCATCATTACCCGTTAAGTGGATTCATCGTGTGATGGTGTGCTTTTGGATCGCCGAAACCAAGGTCAACGTGCATGAATCTCGACCGTGATGAGCAAAGGCATACTGATAACATGGAACATTGCTGGTAATGTGCATGTTACTTAAAGGGCAGTGATATTCATTCATGCGCTCACGATGGCCTTAGCCAATCTTTTGATTCTTCTAAAAATTACGAGCCGTCTACTCGATCAATACCTTTGGTACTCCAGTACGAGGTACTCGTCTTCACCACGCGCTCTGTCACTGTTTGTTGTGACTCCGCTTGTCACTCAAGCCGAGCGGATCATCAGACACACCGCTGCATCTTAGGCGCCTCGGGAGGAGCACGTCACCCCTAACCTGGACCCCACCGGCAAGCATTATTCGGGGGCGAGGGGTGTCTGCAAAGCCCAGATCCCTTCTACGAGTGTGCGAGGTCCAGGGCTTGTGCACTCCGGAACCCCAGGGCGCCAGTTCCCAAATGCCCATCCACGGACGCCGGTGTTGACTTTGACTGTCTTGGGCGCGCTCGAACCATCAGCAGACTCGGCACCGGGCAGTCCTCGTCAAGAAAGAACTTGACTAGAGAGTGTTTAATTGGTGAGAGGGATAAGCCCTGGACCCTGGACCACTGCACGCGAGAACAAGACTCCGGCGTCTCTCAGACTTCAGTCACAGCAGTCTTGCTTGACCCTTCCAGTTCAACTTGAACATCACTACGAGTATTTGCCTCTCCCGTCTTGCCCACTTTTCACCACCACCACCAACACCAACACCAACATTCCAACCCATTCTTCTTCTCTCATTTCTTCGCTTCACATCTACTTTGATTCTGTAAACAATCAACATTTCCTCATCACCACTCTCTTCACTTCTTCTCAACCACTTCACTACTCGACGCTTATCCGGTTGATCCCCACCACTATCTCGCTAAATTATCCACCCTGGTCCCCCAATTTATCCCCCCTGCAGTCGCTTCTTTATCCTCCCAGCCACCAGCTTTTTCCCCGACAAACTCTCAACTTCCTCACTGCGACTTCCCGCGGTCAATTCTTCGCGCACCGAACACGTCTATCGTTGTCGCATCCTACGACTTCACCGTGCTCGACTTTCCCGTCATCTGAGCCGCGTACTATCCGACCCTCTGTTTGCTCTCTTACAGGTCTGCTACAACCATTCGTTCCGGCCTCACGGTCTTGCAGTGGGCAACCAAGTCACCTCCTTCTCGCCCGGTCGACCGCATAACCGAGTCCACACGCGTACACAGCATGAACCCTTGAAGCGCTTCCATCTTCAACTGGCCTGCATCTTTTGGGCCTCTGCGCCTAAACCGATCTTCGCGTTGTCATCTCGAGTATACCTCACCTCTGCGCATTGCGCCTCCACCACGGTCATGGCAGACCACGAACTATCTCCAACCCTCCTCGCATCTTCTGCCCAGCGAAAACCTCAAATGTCGATAACTCTACCTCGGAACTTTGCTCCCTTCAGACTTGATGGCAGTGATACTCCCAAGACACCCGATCAAACCTTTGCAGAGCTCAAACTGCCTCCTCCACCTCACCACTCTACATGTCGCGTCCGCCGCTCGCGAATAAACATGGACAACTTTCAATCGCGTAACAATGCCCTTCCTTCGACGCTGTTTGCATCAGAAATCCCAATGCCTTCCAGTGCAGACTCAGTTCGAACTGATTTCGGCCTGGGCGCTGACATTGCTCTGCCTTCAGTAGAGGTCTCACTCGATTCGACTCGTCCAGCTTTTGTGCATGCACTCACAGATCCCTCACCAAGTGAGAGGTTGAAGCTTTCATCGATTAGAGACCAACAACTTCCACGGACCCCTTTGGCTCAGACGAAAAATGCACCCATTGAATACAAAAGCAATGCCTGGGGCATGCATCGCTCCTCTTCCGAATGCTCGTTTCGTTCCGAGTCGTCCTGTTCGTCTGCTGACGCCTTTGAGACTCGACCTACCTCCTTCGATGGCAGTGTAACCAGTCCTGATCTAGACCTGCAAGATCCTTTCTCACCAGGCAAGGTCAATATCATCCCAGACACTCCTTCAAGGAAGAACAAGAAGCTGCGAGTCCACGCATTTATCTCCAAGGCGAATGTTCAGTGGAGCATTGAAATGGATAACCACCTCTTCAATGTCTACCAGATGTATCTAGCTGACCCGACGGTCACGCCCTTCAAGACGGTTCCTGGTAGCATCCCACCTACGGGAGTCTGTCATCGGGTTGCCCGACGAGCCAAAGAAACCTGGCCCCGAGCAAGCCGAGTTTCCAAGCCAATTGTCAAGCGGTACAAGATGCGAAATGTCATCGAATCTCGCAACTGGGCCAGAGACAAGACACCTGAACCCAACGACTTTCTGAAGACCGACAGTCCAGATGTCAGAGCATCTTGGCCATCTGAATCGGCTACCAGAAAACGATTGAAGCAATTATGCAAGGAAAAGTTCACAATTTCAGCCCATTATCAACGACTACGTGAATCTCGGAGTCCTTCTCCATTCCATGACCAGTTCCTAAAAAGACCATCGTCTCGCCTGGCTCGCTCAATGTCCCGGCAAGCCGATCCTGAAGCATCCACTGCGTACACCACGAGAGAACTTGGCATCTCACTGGTTGCTAGCGGTGCCACTGCCCCACTTGCACAATTGGTCACTGGTGATTCTCCACCAATCCAGCAGATGTCTGATGACTGGTTTAACACCCCAGTCACCAAGGACGTTGATGCCATGTCGATTTCGACACCCGCGGGACTGGGTATTGCTACGGACACCAATAAACTTCATGTTGCCAGCAGCATACCACGCCTGGCTTCACCGTTCGCCTACAGTACCTGGAATGGCTCAAGCTCATCAGGTCACAATGATAACAGACACAGTAGCCACAACCAGTTCGATACTGTGCATGCCATTGGAACAAGATTGCTATCTCCATTTAAACCGGAGCCGGATGTCTCACTCAACGTCAACAAACGACGTGCTCTGCATAATCTGGAGGACGAATTGAGTCCAAATGGTAGCAATATCAACAAGCCAGCCTCAGGTTTGATCTTGGACATTCCTACTCCCACCACTTTTGAGCCGGTTCCCGAGATTCGGCCAGAGTTGGTCTTTACTGGCATTGGTGATGTGAATCAACGTCGAATTCGTATGAGGAATCGCGGTGCAACCATGGGTGCTGTCAACAATCGAGAACACATTGAGAAATTCTTCACTCCACCTACTCTTCATACACCTACCATGGATAGTATACCTCCGGTTCCTGCTTTACCGCCTTCCCTCACCTCCTTGGCGACTGTCACCTCCGCCTCAGCAACCTCAAGCCTCGCTCCGCCAGAAGTTGACCCCAATCAGAAACGCCTCGGCAGTCCTTTTGAGCTTGATCTGAGCAAGCGAAGCTACCGAGTCAAGAATCCTCGACATGTGCCAAGCTTGAGTGATCCTTTCATCAATACCAGTGCCTTTGCCACCACACCCAGTCATGGTCATGGCCACAACAGCAGCATAAGTATTGGAGAGAGACTTGCCATGTTCAATACTTTCCATCCTCACCAGCAACGCTACAATCCGGGCAGCTTTCCTAGACCGCCACTGCCGGAGCAGCAGATGAGAGATGACCCCTTCACATAGACATCTATGATTGTCTATATATGTGTGATCAATCGGACTCGAGGAGGCTGAGTACGTATTTGCGTCCACATTTTCTAAATTAGTGTGTTATAATTCAACGATTGTTTTTGATTGAACGACGCCTTGGGAGACTAGGTACTGTTTCCAATCTATTATCAAGTCATGACATGGAAGGCGTTGAAGAAGGTTGATTTCTTGGGACGAATGGATTATTGGCCCTCAGGCGGCACAATCACTATTTTTGCATAGCTATGCGGCAAATGATGAGCATTATTTCCAAGGAGAGACAAAATTGGATACTCAAAAACAAGATGCACAGACTTGGATAAGAATAAAAACAGCAGATGGAGGTTGCCCAGAGAGTTTGCATCGAAGACGCTACCGAGCAGGATAATGGGGAGTTCGGTAGGATCCCAATGCTTGGCGGACATGGGACCTGCTATCAAGTCGCCGAGCAATATGATGTACGATGTCAAACGCGTGTCTTATCCCGACTGCGAACACTAGGTTGCTTCTTGGTTCACAGGTACATGAACGAGATCAAACTCGATCAACTGTGGAGAGCTCGTCGATCTATGTTGGGTGAAAGACACGGTTTGGTTTCACATTTCTTCTAGGTGAAATTTCTGGGCTGGCAATATGTTATTTGCGATCCTCACGATTACGAGACGACGAACCTTGACATATGGATTGAGAATGATTAAAATGAGCATTCAAATTTTCTGTTTTCCAAAAGAGAGTCGTTCCTAGTGTTTCGCTTTCCTTGTCCTCCTTATCTGTTCACTCTGTTGACTTCATCTTCGGTCAGGATCGAGTCCTCAAGTTGGCATTGAGGCTCATGCAGTAGGTCGAAGTCTGGAGCATGCGCTTGGATGTCAACTGTGAGGTCGGTCCTCTGTCCTTGATGTGCTGATCTCGTGTCCTCCAGGTATCCCTCAAGGTACCCAAGCTGTCGAACACCGAGGTGGACGACGTCACCGACTCACACAGGCACGGCGGCAACCCCGGCTGCTTTCCCCGGCACGGCTCTTTGATGGGATGGCCGCTTGGCCTTCAAATCCACAGCAGACAATGCGCCTGCATAGTGCAACGTTTCGCGCGGTCGTGCTGCTACCCCGAGTGGTCAGTTGGGATCAGCATACAGGAAGTGGACGTTATCATTGCGAAACATACCCACACACTTGTGGTAGATCCAGTACAAGAGGCCGGTGAACGGTGGCAGGATGAGCATTGTGAGGAGTTGAAGCAGCGATAGTATATCGCCTCGAGTCCACTTGTTCTCCATGGCTGGATAGTGTTTTAATATATGATATCTGGGATAATCTCGTTATGTTGTACTGCACGATGAATGAGTAATGCTCGGTGTGACTCAGAGCAGTTGGTCAAGGATAGGTACGAAATTTAAAAGTGGAAGAGTAAAGATCGCGCATACTCGTGGGTCTGAGATGTGAATAATGGCTTGCTACAACTTGAATCCATTTACGGATATGCGATTTAGTGTGATTGGCCGCCAAACTTTGCGGGCATCGAAAGTCTGGCGCTCGCCGTTAGCTCCCCTTGGACGGACCGCTAGAATCCAGTGATGCGGACGATCCCTGAGCGACCATGTTCATTCGATGGAAAACGCGACTGTATCTGTGTGGTGCAGGGCCGGCTGAGATCCCGTTTAGGGTTTAGCCCAGCTGTTAAGTGGTGACTAAACCACAACGGGCAATCCGGCCAACTGCTGTGTGTGATGCGTGTCTCTCAGCCTTGTTGCTCTACCACCTAAAACTGGTAATTCGGCCAGGTACACCTTCCTTGAGCTCTGTTGTTCACCGACTATAAACATCACCCTTCCCGCCCTCTATCTTTTTACGATCCAAACCTCAAGAATTATCATCTCATAAGAACTTCTTCACTGGTTATCTAGCATTCATGGACGGCGCAATGGACTGGCAGCCTGATGTGGATTGGAATGAATTTCTCAATTTCCCTCAGACACCTGACCTTTCAGCACGGTCTCCGTTCGACTTCGAGTTTGAATCAGACCCATGCTTAAATCAACATATACCGCCTAATGAAACCAGCCACTCCGAATCGTACCTCGCTGTTGTAAGCCAGCACCAAGATCAATTAATGCTACCGATCATCACTCAGCCTTGTCACGTTGTTGGAGAGTTGATAGAGCTATCAAGTCCTGGAGGCACCAAGATTGTCAGCAGCGATATGCCATCACCGCCTCTCAAAGAAATTAGACTGAAAAGGAAAACATTCTCAGAGGGCAGGCGGTCTCACCAGAGCTTGCAGCAAGTTTTCAAAGGTCCGAACTTCAAACCACCAGCCAAGCGAGCCCGGTTCCAACGGGACCTTACGAAGATGATCTGCGTTCAGTGCAAGATTAAGAAAGTCAAGGTGAGTTGATGGAGCATCAATTTGCCAAATACTGAGCTGTCGTCAGTGCCCTGGCTACCCAGAGTGTAGCAATTGTCAATCACCCAATACCCCAGACCGGACCTTTGCTCATGTGATTTGCACCCCGTGTGACTTCGGGAGGTTCAATGCATTCATACCACGTAAGGGGCCGACTTTCGAGGTGATGGGTACAGACATTGACATGGACAGGTGACACCGACTACTCAGAAATCTTCACGCCATCTCAAACAGCTGGAGCGCGGAAGCCGAGAAGTGAAGCCGCCACTATGTTCTATCGTGTATGCAAGGATATCTTTCATGGTTACGATCTACCAGAAGATGTTCCGAGTCGATTCGAAGTGATCTACAACGCTTCCGAATTACTTACCTCGATTAGCAGATTGAGTCAACTTCACGAAGATTCAGCCAGTCCTTTAGTCAGAGTGCAGACGGCAGGAACAAGCACCCTAGATTTGTTTATTGAATTATTCCACTTGCTGTATGCACCTTATCGTGTGGTGCTTTCGCGAAGTCAGGATCTGAGATTCGCCAAAGCTTGTTATAGTCTTGCGAGCCACACCATATTCGCCCTGTTGGACATGTCTCTTAACGTACGACAATTTCAATTCCAAGTGACACCAGATATAGCGGAAGAAATCGCAGTTCACATCCTGTTCCTCATGTGGTGCCTGGATCTGGGCATAAAGGATCCGATTTCGGAAGCTATAAACGACGACCCAGTACGTATCAGCGAGACGCGGCGATATCTCACATGCTTGTTCCAAGTCTGGGTTCGATGGACCTCTGCTGAGAACCATGAACGTCCAACGAACTCGCACCAAGAGCTCTTGGACGAAATAATTCAACTCAAATCCGGGAATGGTCCAACTAGGGTACGCAAGAAAGAGATCGATATAACAGAGTCGAATCCGCGTTTTGGCCCGTCCGACGATATCAGATACCATGGCTCAATTCAAGCTTCCAAGTCTATGGCTGCCCAAATGTTGTATAGTCTTTTAGACTATGTGGTACCTCCAGCTATTCGCAAATTTTCGGAGCCGTCCTCTCTCCATTTTGGTTCTTTGAGCTCATCGATAATCCATGTCATGCATATAAGAAACGGACTATGCCAACGTGAAATTCTCAGTGACATCTACAGACAAGCATTTGGCGACCAGTTGACGCATTTTGTCCTTGCCGGCTGTTGCGTAAGGGACTCCCTACCGACCCTTTACACAGGGGACGATTTAATCCCCATATGGTGGTTTCCTATTTTCAGTGCTCTGGCTAGGGGGTCTGTTGACGGTTGACGGTGTTTTAGAAACTCTGATCGTGCTGGTGAATACAACGAGATTGGGAAGAGACGGGGCTTTATGTCTCGCGTCTTCAAAAGGCTCAATCTTTATCGCGTCAATGAGGCTTTTGCTGTGGAAGTCAAATTCTAGCCTGATTGGTCGCATGCCCCTCGAGAGTATACTCAAGTTCTCTGGCTACGCAGCTCAGTGGTTGTCGCCTGATAAGGAACTTCTAGTCCTCAGCTGCGTCACTAGCAAGCGGTTATCTCAGCAGCTGACGCTCGTCAAAGATCAGCCACCCCCCTTTTCTCAGCATGGCTTTGCACGTAAGTATGCACATGAGAGGCTGGAGCGTCTGAAAGGGGTCAGGAATTCTGAAATACAAATTACTCGACTGAACCACAATCTCCAGAGAGAGGACGAAGACTTGCTCTGATATTATCTTCATTTCAACCCTTGGCGCAGATTTTTGAGCAAGAAGTCATCCCTTAGACTGAGAAAACCAGGATCTGTTATATAGGTATTGATCTTACAGTACTTTCATACACAAAGCACGAAGACTCTCAAATCTGTGGTGCACCGCCCCTTCCCAGAACTTCGTTGGGCATTCACTTCAGAATACCCCGACAACTGCAAAAAGCGCTCCAATACCGGCAACGGCCAACTTATCAACCGCAGCTGTAGGAGCAGCCAGCCCAGAGAAACTAGACACCAGTCCACTTCCAGAAGCAGCATTAGCGGTAGCAGACTGAATAGAGGCCAACGGAGTCGAAGGCACAGTCGCCGTTGCCAAGGTCGGCAAGACATAAGTCATGGTCACAAGATCCGAAGGACAACCGGGCAATATCGTAGTCATGCCTGCTGAAGTCGCCTCTGGCGTGATAGCGGGAAGGCTCGAGTAGAACTGACACAAAGTATACGAAGTGGAGGTTGGCTGCCCGAGTGTGCTGCTGAGCAAGGTGGTTGTCGGAACAGAGATGGTCGTGTAGGAGTAGGTGATGATGGACGATGGGCATGGAGGTAAGAGCGACGATGTGCCTGATGCACCGCCGGTCGCGCCGGGAACGCTGGAGTAGAATTGGCAGAGTGTGTATGAGCCTGTGGTGATGGATGAAGCTGGGGAGGCAGCGGTGATGGTAACAACAGTGGCCGTGGTGGATTCGGCTGCTGCGATTGTGTGGAACAGCATGGCTGTCGTCGCTAGCAAGGCTGTGTAACTGCGTGAGAACATCATGTTGTGTCGTATGTTAGGCTTCGTTGATCGCGTAAAGAGGTGTGTTGTTTTGTTCTTAGGCGGCTTGAGGAGTGCTATATGAAGCTTCCACGAGATACGTACTTAAATATGCGTACTCAGAGTGCATTCGAAGGAGACGGAGGATTGGAAAAGAGAACAGGCAACTTCATTTTCAAGGCATCATATAGTGAAGAGTAGTTGCTAAGCCAACGTTTAGCTATCTGAGACATACTTATAGATTCCGGGGTCTCGCCGTGGGCTAACTAACTGAAGTTCGTGTCTTGGTGGTTAAGCTTTTAACCAGCATACTGATTAAGAAGGCACAAAATCCTTCCACTCCTCCAAGATTAATTCTTCTTCCCCAAGGAAGCACCCTGAGACGAAGGACCTCCAAGTGACTTCGAAAAAAATGATACTTCGAAAATAATGATGAGCTTTGGTCCGCGCAAAGGCTGAGAATATCTGAACAATGCTCTCTATGATCACGGCGTCGACCTCAGTCATGACCATGGGTCGCGTGGGGTTCGAACAGTTGTGTCTACAAGTGTACGATGTACCAATTCCCCCTGATAGGGACATCAGCAGTGGTTACATTAGATCTCCAAGATCACGAAGATGGAAACTAGCCGCTTTGTTGCGAGCTGTCTCAGATCAAGTGTCTAAGTTAATTCAACGGGAGATTCATAACGCTCAAAATAGATTCGGAGAATTTCTTTAGCGTGGTCAACGTCACGCTATCCCATCAATTTGCTGCCATAGCTTCACGTGGGTGCAGGGGTCGGTAGAAAGTCCATTATACCCTCTGCACGTTCCGTAAGGCTCCTGAAAATAGGAGTCACCCAACTGCTTTGCCGTTAGGCGTTGAGAGAGCGAGACTGCCCCTTTCATAGATTTGTCTGGACATCTGACGGTGTCCCTGGGCACAGCCTTGCTATCAATCTCGCAACCTATTACGAAATCCATCACTGGCTGGACGGGCTCTGAGTCAGGCGAATTTGAAGAGAGTTTTTGACCAACTTAGAACAGCGCAAACCTTGACATATGTATGCCTGTCCTTGCACAATCAAGAATAGAAAGCATAGTGGCCGGAGAGTATATGCAGCGATGTGTAGTGTTCTGAGGAAAGTTTTCCAAGATATCTAGCTGTATACAAAAGTCCCATCCTGAATTGAACTACCAAGCCAATTTCTTCTTCCAACTATGCTATGCCCCAGTTTTGGCTCTCAACATACCCCCGACAACGTTTTCTCGACCCAATAGTGAGCCAGGATCAAGCTCAAGCCCCAAACTATGAACCTGCCATGCAACCCTTCCTACCCAGTGAAGATAACCCAAGTGTTTTAGAAGTTATCTGCAGCCTCCTACATCTTGAGCACAGCAGACTGCTGAGGAGGAGTGGTGGTACCGCCGAAGCCGATGTTCCACGTAGCCGAGTTGAACTCGCTGAAGATGGTCTGGATCTGGTAACCCTTTGGCCCAACCACATTGGGGTCGGTGCCGACGAGTTTGGTATAGAGGATATTGATACCCTTGGCAATTGTCTTGTCGAAGTTGGCCACCCATCTGAAGGCGATGATACCATCACATGTGACTGAATCCATCTTGATGAGCTTAACATCCACCGGGGGCTGTGCACCTTGACCACCAATGAACGCAGTCTTGTTGGGGAAGGTGTAGCCGTCGAGCGGTGCTCCGGTGAAGAAATTGATTGAAGAGGAGGTGTCGCTGAAGTGAGCGTCGGCCAGAAGGTTCTGTGCGTTCTTCTCGTCAAATTCCGTCAAGGTCTTGATAAAGTCATCAACGATCTGGTGGGCAGTAACTGCGGGAATGCAGTTATCTCTTTGCGTGAGAGGAAGAACAGATGCGGAGGCGAGGGCAAGGAGCGCTGCCGAGCTGAAAAGGCTGGAGAAATGCATGTTGGTCGTTTGAAGAATCGAAAGTTGTCTTTGAAAGCGAATGAATATAGCGAGTGTGTTATGTAGTGAAAGTCGAAAGCTTGCTGAAGTGAGACAATTAAGTGTTTAATGAACAACACATTCACAGTCCAAAAGACGTGGGCGGGAAGATGACTTTATACAAAGTTTGGATTACGCTTTTGCTGTGCTTACTTGCCCCTGCCACTATAGCGATTGGGTTACCTGTGCAGTAATCAGTTGCTGCTTGTACCTGACTTCAGGAGTAGTCGCCCACGGGGCGGAGTACTGTCCTCAGCTTCGAAATCAAGCACTAGCCTGGGAAGAGTAACAGTTTTGATGTTCATGGCGGGAACTCGTGAGATATCAGGTTTGAAGTTTGAAATCATTTACGTGAGAAATATGACACAGTCCCCGGTCTCAGTACAATACTTTCAGGCCAAGCGGCGATATAGAGGGGATTGCAACAACGGCACCGCAGAAGAGAACAGTAGTCCCTGCACGCAGAAATACAGCTAGCATATCAGTGCTTACTCAAAATCTGAATCTGTTCCCTTGGACCATTTAATTCATATTGAGGAAATATTTCAATCCTGCAACGGCAGCCGGCGTGCTACACGCCGAACTTGAGTCTGGCTGCTTTATCAAACCAAACAAATTGCTCCCAATGAATAATCTAGCTAGCAGCTTGAAGTAGTGTACCTGTTGTTATGAGTGTAATCATTAACAGCCAGTAGTTAAATGCTGACAGCAATCGGTAGCCCTCAGCCTTATTGATTACAGTCTATTCTTGTTATCCTAGAGTTGACGCCCACAACTCATCCAAGTATCCGAATTCTTGCAAAAGGTCCTCAATTGAGTGCCTAACAGACCCTTTGATTTCTATAATACGTTCTTTTGTCTCATGTTGCAATATTGTGGTTTGTGGTTGGTGATTTTGTCATGGTTGGTCGCTAGTTCAATCTCGTATATCAATACAAGCTGCGTGAGGCGATTACACTCGCCTCTTGATGAAGGTGCAGTACCTGGAGATCGCCAGTTGGATTATTCCGGACCATCTGTTGAATCCTCAATGCCACTGAATAGCCGGCTTCTTTTGAAAATCACGAATATGAGAGGGGCAAGAAGCAGCGTATTCAGGTATCTCGAGAATGCCATCCTATTAGGAGGCGGAGGGGGACTAAGTGCTTAGGATGCCACGATGACACCCGAACCCTGTTCATCGAAAAGCGTAGCTGGGGGCCTTTTTTTGTTCTCGTGTGAAAGAATGAGGGCACTTGGTGAGGGAGCTTCTTCAAAGACTTGTAAACTACTGGGTGGTGTTACAAAATTACAGAACGCTAAATAGTCAGGAAAGACGAGCATCAAAACTGGGCCTCGTATTTGCATGGCTGGTACAACTATTCTTCCGATGTCTTTTGACCGGGTTCATGTTTTAAGCCGATATGTGGTTCTCTGTAACAGACCAATTTTGCTTGATATGAATGGCCTTGTCATCATCCACCTCTGTACTAGTGTTGTCCAGCTGTGACCTGACAGCGGTCGTTTCATATTGCGTTTTGGCAACCCGAGATAGTTCCACTGTGCTATCATTTCGCTGATACGAGGCGCCAGGAGGATATGGGTTGGACAGGTATTCTGGTCTGCTGGTGGAGAAGAATCTTGGGAAAGCAAGGCTGAAAAGTGGGCGGAGACTAGGCACACAGGCACAGATGATACCAATGTTGAGTTCGGCGCTCGACCATGCGTGGGCTGGTGGTCCATCATACATGATGTCTGTCGACACACTGGATGCGTGCAGAGACTGTAGCCTGAGTATGGCAGTAATGCAGCCGCTGTTGATGTCAGCCATGGTGTTGTGAGCAAAGGGAAAGATGTGCTATAGATGGGAATGGATGAAACTTACAATCCAGCCAGTCCGAACGTAGCCATCAAGGTGTATTTTTGTCTCCTTGGCAGGTGCAAGCTTCGGAGAACTGGCATAGGCAAGATCAACACCGCGATGTCGGTAACTATGGTGAAGCCGGCCATGAAGTACCACAGCGGAGGCTGATTGAGACAATGACCTCCCACGATCGTCTTGTCCCAATTGAAGGCGACAGGAAGACACGAAAGGGAAGATGTGAGCACCAAGACTGAGCCACCGATCACGACAAGGGCCATGAGCGCCCAAGCGAGTCGTCGGAAGGTTCTGTGCACAAAAAAACGCAGGTATTGGAACAGAATCGATGTCTTGAGGGTTAACAGTCCAAGGCTGTACATGATGATGCTGACATATAGTAGCTGAACTATTCTGTTAGCACATAGGCTGCAGGGACGCAGTGAGCACTGGAAAGGCTGACCTTGAATATCGTAACGAAAGCCTCGGGAGCCAGATCAGCCGTATGCTCGCCAAAGCCATTTTTCACTTCTACCAGGCTCCGTGTCAGAAGCGACGATGAGAATTCATGGGCCCAGTGTTGTTCAACTCACCAAGGCCGATCACAGCCGTGAGTCCAACAGAGAAGATGAAGGCCAGCACAATCAAGTAGTCTTCAACTCCAGCATGTTTAACCAAAATGAACCGAGAATACATGCGCGAGAACACAAGAACAGCAGCCAAGCCTGTAACCACAGCTGCAGTCACGAACGTTCGAGTACCTGGATGCATGGTTACAGTGGATCACCTAACTACCGCTCTTGAGGACGATGATATCGAACCAAGAGTCAAGCGAGGAACCTGGGAATCCATTCGCTATTTACACACCTCCGAGTAGGAGTACTATATGGTGCATAATTGTACGTAATGTCCGCTCCTCGCCCAGGTTGAGGAGCAAAAGAATTAGAGGGCAAGTGTTCCCGTGTTCTGTCTTGCTTCCAGGGGATTGTCAACTTTCCCGGAATAGCTTTGAAATGCATTTGCAGCTCCAGCCTCCATTAGTACCATGCTGAAACCCACAGCAACACGAGAATGGCGCACATTGCCATGCTCAACATAGATCCCAAGCCGCTGTCGTCCGAGGTGAGTTGCATGCCCTTCTGATAGCCTGAATCAAGTAGCTTGTCCCAAACAATTGCAGATTGATATGTGGAAGAGGGGCAAATCAAGCCGTAAATAGGAGTCTTGTCAATGATATTCCGAATCACTGATCGTGTGACTATCCAACCCCGGATGCGAGAGAGAAACCTGGGGATTGTGGTTTCTCAGACCAAACCGTCCAGTCGTCAAGAGAAATTTTTGTGATTGAGTTTTGATACCTGAAAAGCTAAAAGGGAGTTCGCTGTGCTGGTACACCGCACCTGGTAATTGACCTCGGGAGACTTTGATTGTGGCTTGGGGGTTCGTTGCAACAAAACCTGGCACAAGCATGAAGTGCAGTACCTGCAGATCGTGTCACTCAGAGAAGGCTAGATGCCCTTAGTCAATGTCGGAAAGGGGCATCCGTGCTATCTAAGGCACAAGGTGATCCGCCCTGGACCGTAGCGAGAACTCTCGTTCGCTGAGTTAAGTTTGGTACCTAAACGGCCCGCCGGCTTTTCACACCGCAGGTGCCCAACCTTGGGTGGTTCAGGACATCACATTCACTAACAAATGTCAACACGAGCTGGGCCGCATGAATGAGACAGGTGATTGCAGGTCGCCTTCCCCGCCTCTGAGATGATTAATATGCACAAACTCGGTGCAGATCAACAGGTCGAATGCAGGTTTAGGGCCTGGCTGGGTGTCATTTTCGCACGTTCTGCGAAAGAGGTAAGTCACGGCACCAGAGACTAACTAGCATGGTGAAAGGAAGCTGAACGTGGTTCTTCCGACCATCTGGGCCTTGATTTGTTGCGCCTATTTGATATGCATATGTTGTGAAGAATTGTCGTGACCGTTGCTTCAAGAAGCGAAAATAAGCGAATTCTTGGAAAGTGTCAGTTCACGAACTTAACTAAACATCGACTTTGTGCAAACCTCGGGAACCGGGTGTGTGCTCGTCCCACATGGTATCCCACCTGACTGGGCTGTCGATCACAAGCTGCGATTTTCTCCGCATGTACCTGTACTTGCACCGAACGCAGCTGTTCTTTGGTCCGTCTATGCTTGAAGAAAACGGAGATGTGTTGATGTGCCCTGAAAATAACGAATTGGTGGGAGATCCTGAGGAATTTCAGGGGCGCAGCACATTACTTACTCTTCATGGCCGCACAGCCTCGGAACTCGACAAGATGAAGAGCCCACATGATGACTTTCCAGCAGGTAATTAAGTGTGCGTCTTTTGATGCCTGGCCAGACAGGAGATTGATTTGTGAATCTAGTGCAGAATCTGGGCATCTGCTACCTGTCCTTGTCCCTGCAAGCTACATCTGGAGGCAATGCTGGAACACCTGCCTCTGGGCATTGTTGCCCCACAACTTGTGCTTGTGCTAGTAAGGATCGTACGATCTAACGGCTTCAGAGGAAATCTTTCCCCCAACTAAAGACAGTGGATCTCCTTAAGATACGAAGCCGCAGGCATGTTTTCCTAGTCTTCCGACATGTAGATTCACAGAATCATGTACCTCGTATCCCTCGCGCTAGTGGCCCCTAGGGTGGCCTCTGGAGTGCCGAGTATACCCGGAGTAAAATATTTGAATAGTTATTTCATGGACCTGACCCCTGAAACCCATAGGAGCACAGGCCCGTTTGGTGCTAGAATGTTGTTGTTGGAGAATTTATTGCAATTATCTAGACTCTAGAGGCTTATTACAGATACAAAAAAAGAACTACCATTACCAGATCAATGTACTCGTCCCCGGGTCCTTGAGAGTGACACTCAAAATTTGAAGCAGTTTCTTGTCGCAGAGAAATATTTAGAACACGCCACATTTTCGTTTAGTCAGCCAATACGAGCTGTCCAGGAGGTGTCGCCAACATCGACCATCCCCGAGAATGATCCCTCCGTGGGACTAGGTCCCGTGCTCGGGCACGGCTCAAGATCACTCCTCCTTTTTCGAAGCAAATATAGTAGACGGTACAAAATTAGTCCCAACGCTCTTCTCGTAGTCGTCCTGCACAATATCAAGATTGAACTCGGCTTCTCCAACGAGTAGCTTCGTGTCCTCCAAGAGCCCTGCAAGATCCTCAGCCAGCATCGTTGTGCTCAGCTGCATGACTGCAAAGGCTGAATAGCCAGGCTCGCAGACGTGCTTGGTGTTCAGAATATCAGTCTCGACTCCATCCAAGGCTTCGCCTAGGTGGTAGGGCTCCGGCGTTCGAAGATATGGGGGAAGTGGGCGTCCTGAAGTTATTGCTCCGGAGAGGATGGCAAGCAGAGAGGTCACTCCATGAGATGTGATTTCAATTGTGGACATCACTTCCTTGAAGTCCTTCGCCCAGGTACTATCAGTGGACAGAGTAGTTGCGGCTATACTGTTCGTATGTGTGTCCTCTGGCAGCTCTTTGAAGGTTTTGGTGACGAAGGCTATCATTGCGGTAAAGCGCAGAATACTAGAAACATTGGTCAGGTCATCGTAAGAAAGGACTGTTACAGCCAAAAAAGGGACGACTTACTTTCGAGTGCGGTCTAGCAATCGTTCATATGTGTCTCTCGGGAACTTACCCCCAAAAGTCGGTTCCCATCTCATGAAATGTAAATGATTCTTCATGCCTTGAATGAGGATGAGCTGTTTCGCAAACAGCTTGTTTCGGGCCTTCTCAACCCTTCTGATCGGACTGGATTTATCTGCCGGATCTCCGCCGAGGTCTCTCAATCGGAGTACCACTGCCTTGTGCGTGGAGCTATAATATTGGCCAAGTAGGTATTCAGTCTTTCCGAGATCTTTTCTCATCTCAGCTCTTGCAGTGTTCACTGTCGGAAAATAACTCAAGAATGAGGCGACACCAACACCTCCGAGAACGGCGGCCAACCTGTAAGGGGCCAGCTCATATACCGGGTGAAACACTTGCCCATTGGAGATGGAAATAGCTTCTCCGACTTGTTTTACCTGAAGTTCGTACCCGACGATCAGTATAACTGTGATCATTCCGATCATAGGTATGACAGGGTCATCGGGCTTCGTCACTAATAGATAGTGGTAGAGAAACATAGTAATGCCAAGAAAGACAATTACCCCAGCGGTATGCCCGTCGACAATATACCAATCAATATAAGAGAAGACCATGGCCAGGAAGGTGCCGAATATGCGGACGAACTGCCCATATAAGCCAGACCCTGCTGTTTGTGACATACTGATGGAGACCATGATTGAACCCCATATGATACGTTGTTTGATGTAGAATTCTTGCGAGTTCCTTAAAAAGCAAGTGATGGCAATGAACATGGTTCCCGAAGCCACCTTGAACCCGAACCAGGACTCGCCGGAACCAAGAACCTTAGGTATAACGCGAAACTGGTCCGTTACGCGTTCGTAAAGATTGGTTGGAGGGAGATGTTCCGGGTCTCTAGTCACACCCAGCGCATCGCCTAGGTGCACGGTCGGAGTTCCACTGCGATAACTGTAAGTCTGATAATCCAGATTGCTGTCCTCGCGGGTGAATAATGATTTCCCCCATTTCTTCATTTGCTTCAGAGTCGGCACGATCAACCGTTTCTTCGCCATCGTGCCATCAGTGACCTTCAAATCAGCAAAGCGTACGAGGTCGAGGATTGCTTTCGCGGTAGTAACGATGCAGTATTCAATCTAGGTTTGTTTTAGCACAGCGTAACCACTAAAGGCTCTCGTTCAACTCACATTCAAAATGAGATACAATTGAGATTGATGTCGTTGACTAAGTGGGTTTTTGGATGTTGCACCGGGAACACCATCCTGACCAGTCAGGCGACACCACTCTTTCAACGGCTCTTCCCTCGCGGTTAGGAAGTCTTGGATGGTTTGTTCTAGAAATGTCGCAAATCCTCCGCCTTCCGCTGTGGCGCCTCTTGCAAGAAAGTCCTCTTTGGTTGAAAATGCAGGTTTTCGAGTAATCTGAAGAGTAAAGAATGCGTAGTCAAGTCCTTGGAGCATGGCTTCCCATATGTCGTGCGTCGATGCAGATAAGTTCACGAAAAATCTCTTCCAGAGCTCCTTTTCGCTTTCGATAGGTATGTCGCCGGGTGTTGTAGATCCGAAGTCTGGCGTCGCTCTATTTGCCTCAATGGAGTTCCATCCACCAAGCCTTTCCACTCGATGTACTAGCTGCACGACTGTCTCCATCCCAGTGATGGGCACGAGGATATTTTTCATGAGCTTCATGATGGAGACGAAATCACCTGCTCTCAGTTTCGACCAGGTAAACTCCCGCTTGACATAGCGGATCTGGGAGTGTACCTTGACCTGGTCTTCCGTAGCCTCAGCAGTGGCAGACCTCCATGCTTCTGCTTCAGGCCATGGTGATTTGCTGCCAGCGTTACTCTCATAATCTGTCTCGCTACCACTAGATGCATCACGAGTGTTCCAGTCTCTGGCACTCAATGATGCAATGAAGTCTCGTTGTGCATCTAGAACAGATTTAAGATGATGCAGGTATTCATTTAAAACCATCGTCACCAGGTCCCTGGTGGTGACCGGTAGTACAAGAAAATGAACGGCAAAGGCAATGCCAAAGCCCACGAAAAACGTATCGAGTAGTCGTTTGACTATGCCATCTGGTGAGTTTCAATTCATGTATTGCGCAGTGGGCTTACTGAGTGAGTAGACATGTGGCATTGTTGGCAAGATGCAGCCATAGGTCGCCGTTATGTTCAAGAAGATGCCGAACACTATCAGGGGCAGGAAGTACTGCGGTCGAAATGCGCGAAAGCTATTCAAGATATCAGCGCAGAAACACCTCTCCATGATGAAATCTCTTGCTCACGTGTTATATGCCCACAATAGGAAGAAAAACCAGACAGCTTGATTTGCACTTGCAGCTGCATTGAAGGGTACCACCATTGTATGAGGAACCGGCCCATGACTCATTGCCTCTTTATCGATATGCGTGGTGTTCTTCCTAGCTTTTGTTGATATCCACATGAAAAACAGTGATAGTGCCGCCGCAAGGCAGGTCAAGAACTATTCAAGGTTAGGCATTTCAAAGCTTATAAGTTAGAGACACTTCCGGTCATTCTTACGCATGTGATAAACAACCCTGATATAAATCGGGCCCGTGGAAGAATAGGGACGACAAACAAAGACATGATTGGGATAAGATAACCGATGGTCGAATAGTGTTCTGCAACACGTGCATCTTGGTATCTGCTGATTGTGAGTGATAATCGTCATGGTCGGGCTCTAAAGGGATTCCAACATTGCTAGACCGATTGTCGGAGCCACGGCTCCCCTATAATCGGCAAAAGTCAGCCTCGAAACTTCACAGAACACCAAGTAACCATGGAAAGGCCCATCTTGGCTCAGCAGCATGGACCAAGGAACTATGAGACGTACTTGAACATCAACAATATGACAGGAAGGTTGAGCTTCAGTCCCATAGCATCGAGCAATTTCTTCATCCTTGAAGGCGGCAATTGTTTGGACATGGTGCAAGCGTGCGTTCTGCAAACCTCCCACAAGGCTTCCCTAAGAGTATAAACGACCTCGTGGCACTTTATGGCTTGGTATCACACAAGCTGCGGCACTGGTTCCAAATGCTAGCATAAATCATATGATGGTAAGAGCACCAGACGAACAACAAAGAAATGCGATTGTAGTGAATGAATTGAAGAGAGAATAAAACGGAACATCATTTCGATGCAGGCCATAATCCGCGGTACCATGCAAGTCTGTGACACAATTCAGCCATTGAGGTCTCAGATGCTCATGTAAGCCATGAAGTCAGCGATCATGATACCGCATTGGGCAGGACTTTATGTCAGACCACTATCACCTAGATTTTTATGCCTCTGGAAGCGTGGACTATTTCGATTCCTTAAGCATTCACAGCGTCGAGCAGCTTTAGATTTATGCTGGCTCATCCCAGAGAAATGATAAGTTCACTGATATTGTCGTTGAAACCTGTGCGTCCTATCTTCAGAGGCAGAAGCTTTCTGGTGGTGGCAAGGATCACAAAGATTGCAAAAGATCAACAGGGTCTAGCGCGGCCTTACTCACGAAGGAGTACTTCGTATCAGCCTCGCGCCTTCCATCCTTTTCCGGTGGCGGGATTTGAGCTCGGGTATAGATCCAGGCAATAGTGTCAAGAGGGCAGTACTATATTTGTAAAGCCACATGACTAGCTTGGCAATTGATTCGTGTCGGCTGCTTGAACGACGATGTCTGATTCCATGATTTCTCGCTAGGAGGTGCGATATTCCTCATCATGATGACAAAGGCATGTAGCTCCTGAATTGGAATAGTGGGAGGTGCTGCATGATAAGCAGTAGTCCGTCACCGTAACGTCATTTCGGTGGAGTTTAGAGTCCAGACCTTGAGGTTTTCGTAATTGTTTCGCTCGAACTTAAGGAACTCAACTCCAAACTAGTAGAAGAAACACTTGCGTCATCAAAATGGCTATTCTGCTTACCGAATACACTGAGAAAGTCTAGTTCTTCTTGCCCACCTAGGTGGCCATCTGAGGTGAGTAGACCTCGTGCCTGAGCTATCATGACGTTGCTAGAAAGTAAGCAATCGAACGCTGGTGACATGTGAGCGGAGACGAAACGCCACGATTGACGTCCATTACAGAACAAATCTGTGGCTGCACGATGATGTGAGCTGAGAAACTTGAGAACAGAGTAAGGAGTTCAGTTGTACGGGGATGAAACTCGAAGCAATTTGGGTCTGAGGCTTTGACACGTCGCGGTTGACACAGGACGGCAGAGGGTTTCAAGCCATGTACACCCTCGCTTTTAATCATTCACGACGGCAATCACCTGCATTGCCAGCCACAGGAACAACCGAAACCTAAAGGAGACGCAAGGAAAGAAGAAATCTGAATGAGCCTGTCTTGACGATCATGCAATGTGACTCGTCTCTGTGTCTGCCCAATGCAATAATAACGGGGAATCTACCTCGTGCCTCCTCTACTTATTCCAGAAGGGAGTAATGCACTTTGAGAGTTCAGCCATGAGGATGATCGACAATCTCCCGCTTCCAGAATGCCCGACATTGAAGGTCTGAGTTTCGTCGCAGATGCCATCTGGAGGGAGATTTACTAAACTTTGGGATTTAACGTCCTCCCTTCCTTCCTTGACACCTAGATGTCAAACAACTCTCGATCGTGTCACAGTCCGGGATTCATATGGGAAACTCTTTAACTTCAATTTCGCTCTGTCTTCCTTTCAGTGGCCCCTTTGGTAGAGTGGCTGGCCAAAGACTTACGCTGCTATTATTGCATAGACTTAGCTGGTACATCCCCAGCCAGGCCTCTTGGGGTTTCGTTGGTGTTGATCTCAGCTTTCACGAGCAGTTAGGTACCAATAATTAGGGGTAAGGGCAATAAATTCGCTTGTTCCTTCTTTACTCTGGACACTACCCAATTACTAGCGTATTTACGGAGACCAACTGCAGAACAGTCGCTAGCAACCACATCCAAATGTATCGCCAGGGCAGACGCTGGATTGGAAGTACTACATAGTGCGTCCACTTTCCCCGCGAGGCGCTGAAGAATTTGTCTGGGCTGCAGAAACCAACACTACGGGGGCCAGGGGCCAGGTCCCCGAGGCCCAAACGCATCCTCGTCCCCACATTGGCTGCCTCTTTGTCTGACTCGGAGACCATGAGAGTGTAGAAATCTATGTGGACCTTTTCCTGTACCCTTTCCCGTATGCCGAGGTCTCCACCTCGCTTCCAACCCCAGGATTTGCTGTGAGTGTGACGATCTTGCAATGACACTCTCTTGTAGCCACAACCCCTGTTTCTGATCGAGCGTGGAGAAGATTCGACAATGTGAAAAGTCTGTAAATCGTAGTCTTCGATGTAGCTACAGTATGCGACCGTTTATCAAAGCCTATGAACGAGGCTACGGTATTAATATTCTCGAGGGGGCGCAGGATCAATATCTACGAGGTACCCCAATTCCTTCATTTTCATAGCCAAATTTCAGCTTCCAATGGCGCACAATTTCCCTCAGGGTCGCTGAACTCTCGCCAATGCAAGGTGCGCTAGCCTGCGCCGCCCAATCGCGGATGCTACCAGCGGGTGGAGTCGGAGCTGTTGGGGAGGATTGCAACGCGCAAGGCCCAAGCAGAGCCAGGTACCAGGTCAGCAAAATCTGGAGTAGTATCCACTAGACATCGTGATCGCCTGGTCGTAGATGTCCCCTTCTGCTGGGCCATCTTTGGGTCTTGGGCCGATGCAAGCAAACTTGGCAGGTAGTAACAAGAATGGCCCTAATTGCATGCCACATGGTTGGGGCTAGGAGGACTCTGCTTGGTACCAAGGATCGAATTTGACATTCGTCGCCCTGATTCCTGTTTACAGCAGTGCCTCAAACTGTTTTAGCAACGATGCCACTTAGCGTTCGACTAGTCTAGCGAAGTGATCATCATCATCTGTCGCTCAATGCAGAAGACACGGCTCGCGGAAGACTATTGCACGTATCACCCTTGCGGGCTAACTATGTGTACCAAGCGGCCATCCCTTTTCGATTTTTCGCATATACGAACGTCTTGGATTATGTGAAAGCAAAGGAGCATACTTTTAAAGGTAAGTTTCCTCGCAACGACATCGATAGCAGGTCCTAAGTCTAATCCTTTCAAGATAGTGTTATTGTTTTCGCATCTGTCTTAATTATGGCTATCTCGCTGGGTTTATTGTGTCTTTTCATATTCATACTCGCAGTCCAAGCGCAAAATTTGCTGGATCAAATACCCTCTTGTGCCGTAAGTCAATGTCTCAAGACCACCAAGTTTGCACTGGGTTAACCAACCACTGTAGCAAAATTGCTCACTTCGAGTTCTCGAGCAACTAGCATGCGCCTCAACAGACAAAGCCTGCCTCTGTACAAATCCAGAAGTGCTTATGCAAAGCGTGGTCGGATGCTCCGCTACAGTATGCTCAGTGAGAAACGTTCTGAGTGAGTTTGATCTACCACCTGTGATTTGTCGAGGGATAGTGTGCTGACGGTCAACTCCTAGCCACGACGAACTCCACCCTAGGCTATTGCGATGTTCCAGTAAGAGATAATTCGCTGGTAATCGAGGTCATCAGTGGTGTCTTCGGAGGCCTCGCCTTCTTATTTGTCGTTCTGAGAATGTGCACGCGGATACCACCATTCAAGGCTGGGTTCGGCTTGGATGATGTCTTGATCCTTGCCGTGACTGTAAGTCCTGCCACGATCCCGTAACCTGACGCAGCTCATTCTCGACAGGTCGTGATGATGTTCACGACAGCAGCTCAATTTGCAGGTAAGTTCTCAGAGACCCGCGTGGCTGCCCTGATGGACTTGTCGTTGACATGGCTCTAGGTACCCGCAAGGGGTATGGCAGAGATCTTTACACAGTCCCGCCCGACAACATAACCCCAATACTGAAGGTGGGCATTGCGACATCTGGAGCCAGTATTTCCTTGCTCTAACCTCTACCAGTGGTTCTATGCCGGTGAATCCATGTACGATTTCTGTATCTCGGTCACCAAGTTATCGATCCTTGCATTCTATCTGCGGATCTTCACCGACCGCACCTTCAAGAGACTTACATATGGCATGATGGCAATCTGCACAGCTTATGCTGTTGCGACAATAATAGCAACCATTTGGCAATGCACACCTGTGTCATATGTTTGGACCAGCTGGAGTGGTGAGACGGAAGGGCATTGTATCGATGTCTTTCTCTTGACCTGGATCGCGACTTCGCTCAACATTCTCTTCGACATCCTCATCATCTTGTTGCCGATCCCGCATATTCTGAAATTGACTTTGACACGGAAGAAGAAGATGCAAATCATCTCCATGTTCTGTGTTGGCCTCTTGTAAGTGTCGTTAATCCTCGGGTTTGTTGTTGACTAACACCAGAGATATAGTATTACACTTACCAGTGTGGTACGTCTTCAGGCACTTATCAGCTTCCGCGCAACAACCAATTTTACATGTAAGCACAACTCTCATTCCAAATACGTCTCAAGTCACAAGCTGACCACAGTCTCAGGGGACTATGTCGGCGTCAGCTACATGTCGATGCTTGAAATTGATGTGGGGATCATGTGCGCGTGCATGCCAGCATTGCAGCTCCTCCTTCGACGTGTAGCACCCAAAATTTTCGGGAGCACTGCGGACCAGAGCTCTTATTTACACCCACACACTGGATCGCGGAGCCGAACTCGAACATTCCGCCACACTGGCAGCCATGCTCCACAGCCCAAGAGCATCACCAAAACCATTACTACCACCGTTACCGACATGCCGAAAGACAGCGACTCGGTCATGGAATTGGTAGACAATGATCGACACGATGGCCATGCAGCAAACATGGATGGTAGCTCCTTTGCCACTGTGTCGTCCGAACATCCCCAGAAACCAAATTGGTAAGACCCTGAGAATGGCTCCTTGAGACGGGTGCAGACGAATTTCCCTCTCTTTGAACGAGCACAAGAGCGGTCAATTTAGATGACTGGTGTTCTTGCACACCTCATCTTGTCGAAACGTCGCACCTGAGGCTATAGATCGAGCCCAATGTACAGAATACTCAACGACAAATTTACATACCCCAGGGGAGGCTTTGTGAGCGATTTCATGGAGGAAAAAGGCGGAAAAGTAGAGACAGGTTTAGACACAGTTATTTCGTTGATAGAAGACACCTAATTGCAACAGATAGGCATTGGTGTTGGTGTCCGTTCCATGAGTCATTCAGGCCCTCGAACAGGCGTTTCTCGAGATCTTGATTTGATTTGATTTGATTTGATCGTATCACTCTTATGCAGTGCATGCTTCAGCTTCTGCAATGTTGAGTAGCTACAACATCTGTGCCTTTGCTCACGTGCTGTGCTGTATCGTGTTGTGTAGCGTTTCCAGCCTCTTGGAGAGAACATAGATGGTTGCTGAGTTTGAGGAGATGATTCTCTCTTGTTCCGCCAATCGACCTTCACCGTTCAAAATGACCACCTTCAAAATTGCGCCATCAGGGGAGAGCACAAGTCTGCCAACCCTGTCATCAGTCCACAAAATCCGTACTTGGCTCGCATCTTTGTTGCCGCTTTCAAGTTGACGGACGCCAAATTTGCCAGACGATTCGAAATCTTCATCGGAAATTTGGTCGTCTTCCGTGGTCTCGGTCTCAGCTTCACCTCCGTCTCCGGTGCTTTTACCATTTCCAGTATGGGACTTAGGATGCGGAAGGCCCAAATGGTCTCGCACTAGTTCGATGGCATCGACCCTCAATTTCCACGCGACCAAGTCCCGACGCACGCATTTGACCAGAGCGTGGAGATCTTGAGTTCGAGATGCGGAATTGTCGCCATGCGAGAATGAGTCCTCTGAACCACCGTAGCCTTCATCAACGAGTGGAAGATACTTCTTTTCGTAATCCTGGAGTGGAACAAGCGGTGGGATAGTGTGCCGATGAATCCGCAGTTCTTGACTCGAAGCAGAGATGCGTCGACAAAATAGGTAGAACGGTTTAGTGTAGCGTCCATCCTGTTGACATATGTCGAAGCGAACTCCTAGAAGCGGATTCAGAGCCTGGCACTCTGGACTGGGATCTGTGAAGGGAAAAGAAGTTACACCTAGGGCGAGTCGGTGGACATTGGTCTTCGATGTCTGTCTCGAAGATGCTAGCAGGAGCGGCAGATCATCCTGAGTAGCCTCATCGCTCGATTCAGCCTCTTGTCGCTCCTTAAGCCATGCTTGAGCCCTGGTTGAGGATAAGATTGAACTCCTGAGTAGACTATGTCGTTGAGAGAGAGCTTGAACTATAGAAGAGTAACTGTCAATTTGAGCAGATGACTCGGATAGCGGGGGTCTTGCGTACTTTCAGCTCGGACTCGGGCTATTTCTTCATCATCGGCTTCATTCAAGGCATTGATTTGGTCGACTTCTAGAGCCGGTGAAGATGCTGCGAGAGCCATTGTGATTGAAGCTGAGCGAGGCGAAGTCGGTGTCTGTGTCTAATTGCTAGCCATACAGCTACTTGTTGACTTGATATCGATTGATCTCTCAGACTCAGTGATCTGGTTTGGCCATTGACACGCCAAGCCCACGACGCGTCAAATCGACAAGAAACGCGTTCGGCGCTTATCTAAGCTCACGTGGAACAAAATTTCTCCAAAGTCTAATTGGCCAATTCCCTCAGAAGGCCAGATTTTGGGAATTGAACAGCGCAAGGATTCGGCCGCCTCTCTCCCACTATGCTTGGTGACGGTCATTAAATCGTCTCTGTCTCTTGATATGAGTACGAAGATCCACTGATAGAAGAAGGAGGGGTGTTTTGCAGATTCATTGTCTAATCGAAATCCTATCCTCTCATCCCCCTTTCTCCATCATTCGCTGGTCGATCGATGACTGCACTGAGGCCAATCCGAGACCTTCCCTGTTCCTGTTGCTGATCCACCAGCAGAGGACACAGAGTCCTTTTCGCCTTGCCCTCCACTCGCCTCCCTCTACATGGATTTTTGTCGCGTGGATGCCTGACTCCATCTCGGAGCCTTTCACAATCCCTCTCTACCACACACGCTCCCTTTCGAACAATCAACACATCCCTACCCACAACCAAACGCAGCGCAGGACAGACACTCCTATTGAACTGAGTAGTTTCACATCACAACCTAATCAGACGGACGGGTCTCCAAGCACTACAAGCATCAGCGAGGAAGTCGAAGACTCAGATACGGACGAGTCGGAACAGGACCATTTGGTTGTCGGAAATCCAGAATCCCAGATGAGGCGTGCAAGGTCTAAAAAGAACAAGTCAAAACGATCACCGTCTCGTGGAGAATTGCGCATCGAGACTTCTCCAAACGGGCAAACGAATGGGCACGCCAACGGCAGCATGACTTCCCATATCGAGCTCCGACGCAAGCATGTGTCGAGCAATGACACTGCATCTACCGTCACCCGTGCTATAAGCCGGGATGACTTCTCTTTGGACAACGAACCTCCTCCGCCCACCCCTCAAACACCCGGAATGGTTAACACCAGCTTCAGTGATCTCCCACCCACCGACAAACGCAATTTCTTGCTACTGGTCCTTCTCTATTTCCTCCAGGGAATACCAATGGGCCTCGCAGGAGGTTCAGTGCCCTTTCTTCTCAAAAGCTATTTGTCATATGGACAAATTGGTATATTCTCCCTGGCAGCATACCCATATTCGCTCAAGCTGTTATGGAGCCCAATTGTTGATGCAGTCTGGAGTCGCCGCTTCGGTAGGAGGAAAAGTTGGATCACCCCAATTCAAACCATATCTGGGTTTTCCATGATTTATTTGGGGGGTGGAATCGATGAGATGATGAAGAAGGCTGGCGAGGATAATGGTTCTGGAGTATGGAATTTCACTGGGTGGTGGTTCCTTCTGGTTTTTCTCTGTGCCACTCAGGACATTGCAGTTGACGGGTGGGCCATATCGCTGCTCTCAATGCAGAATATGTCTTATGCCTCTACTGCCCAGACGGTTGGACTTACAGCTGGGTCGTTCTTGTCCCATACAGTATTCCTGGCATTGCAAGCCCCTGACTTTGCCAATGCCTGGTTTAGGGCCGTTCCCAAGGACTTTGGCCTTCTGACACTTGGTGGTTACATGAAATTTTGGGGTTGGGCATACCTCCTCGTGACTCTGGGGCTTGCGTTTCTGAAAAAGGAGGAAAAGACCAATGAGCGTGATGGAATCATGGAAGTCTACCGCAGTATGTGGGCTGTCCTGAAGCTTCCCAATATCCTCATAATCATTGCCATCCACCTCGTGTCAAAGCTGGGTTTCGTAACGAATGAGGCAGTTACAAATTTGAAGCTACTTGACAAGGGCTTCGGCCAGGCAAACCTAGCCCTCGTTGTCCTCATCGACTTCCCCTTCGAGCTCAGTTTGGGCTATTACGCGGGCAAGTGGTCTACTGAATACACCCCACTGAAATTGTGGTGTTGGGCTTTCGTGGCAAGACTGTTTGCAGCGATCTTTGCGCAATTTACTATCATGATATATCCCACTGCGGTCGGCGAAGCAGTCCCTTTTTGGTATCTCCTGGTGGTTATTGTGTCGCATATATACTCGACATTTATGAGTACGATCATGTTTGTCGCCTCAGCAGCTTTTCATGCAAGAATTGCTGATCCAGCAATCGGAGGCACCTATATGACGCTGCTTGCAACGTGAGTATATCCCTCATGAGAATTTACCGGTTAACATTACTGACTGCGTCTCTCCAGCGTGTCTAATTTGGGAGGAACATTTCCCAAGTTCTTCATTCTCAAATTCGTCGATATCTTCACCAAAGCAACTTGCCTACCACCGACCGATCTGCCCGGGTTTCAGAAGGCTCATCCAGATCTTACACCAATCACATCATCCTTTAGCTGCGCTCTCGAGAGCGACAAGAGCCACTGTCTCAAAGGTGGCGGCACCTGCCTCATGCAACGTGATGGTTATTATCTTACCAACGTCATGTTTGTTATTATCGGAGCGGTCCTGTTTTGGACATTCATAGAGAGAAAGGCTCTTGCGTTGCAAGCACTACCGCTGAGGGCATGGCGAGTACAAGGAGAGCATTCTTACCACCGGGTATCGACCGGCTGACGTGAAAGTTTTCTTAAATGGGAAGACAATGTTAGATTTAGAAATGTTCAAGATTAGTGTATAACAAGCTTCAACCACCCAAGAAATTGTCGACCCGTTGCAACTTCATGTCTGCATCTCAAACACATTCCCAGTAACTCAGTAAAGTACCAAATATTATCATGGATTACTACAGCTAGTACCACTGAAACAACTAGAATCGGGGGCATTAGTCCCAATGAACACAACTTGGACAGCCGCGAACCTTTGATATGCCCGTTTCGTCAGCAGAAGCGGAGTCGGCCAAGGGTGGACACTTACGCGGCTGTAGCCGTAAAGACGTCAACTCTCCTTGCCTTTGTTAGGACGGCGACACTCAGTGAGAATGCAGCCGTGAACAATGCAACCAGACCTAGCCTCGTGGGCATATTGCGGACGATGTACAAGACAACGATCGACAGCACTGGCAGCACCGACGACAGGACGATACTGATGATGTTGGCCGGGATTTCCAGGTGAGCGTTATCATAATGATACAGCTCTGCGTCGGCGTTGTTTGCTTCCTTCCGTCGATGGCCGAAGAAGCGATGGTACGGCTCAAGGAACAATCGGATCAGCCACTTTGATGCGGTGTCGAAGTCGTGCACTCCATTGACGGAGATCAGATCGCCTCGGAAATTCTCATCTTTCCATACGTTGCTGTCCAGACCCAGGAGGTAATCGGGCAGCTGGGGGTTGTCGAGGTTGCCAACGATTATGTCCAAGTCACGCTTCTGTGGTTTTTGAAATATGTTCGACAACTGACGATGCCGTAGAAGTGTGGTTTCTATGTGACGTCAGTTTCATGCACAGGCCATGGCTTTAGACGTTGCTTCTATCGACTGACCATATTTCTCGAGTTTGTCTCGGATCTCCAAAGCCAACGTCCACTGCTCGCTCAACTGTTGCGCACCAGCAGGTGAGCTCAGGGTGTACCAGTCCCTGGAGAAGAGCTTTATAGTCTCATCCTCACTTTGAGAGTCTTTCGCTGCCTGCTCTCGAAACCTTGCCTCGAGTTCCATCAGCTCGGCTTGCATATATAGCAATGTTTGGAGCCGGAGTGATGAGAAACTACGGTATATTGCAATACTCGGCAGCGTTGCCATACGTTCAGCGACCTTTGCGTACCCTTCCATCTCCAAGCCTCGTCCATAACATTTTACAATACGGCTTGACAAGATACAAGGTCGAAGAGATTATAAGGCTGAGAAGCCTCTCATGCCGAATACACAGCGCCAATCATAGATCCCATCTCGCAGGCGCTAATCAGCGATCCAGGTGGGCTGTGAATCTGGACCATGTGCCCCTCTTGCCAAGTCCAGGTTGCAGACAGCATCGGGCCGTGCGGGCAGGAAACAACAAGTTCCTCCATCGAATCTCAGCCTCATTCTACATTTTTTGTTCTACCCACCCATCTTAGACTTTGCGATAGCATCCGTTGCCTCAGGAGTCAAAGTGTTCTTTCATCATCTAGTGCTACCTGCTGCTAACTTGTATTGTCCTTTAATCCCAGCAACTGGACAATCCCAGTCTCTCACATGTATCGCGCCTCAGCACGAAGTCAACACGTTCGACCAGATGATCCTTCTGACAGCTCGTCGAATGAGTTTGACAGTTTTAATGATAGGAAAACTCACTCCTTTGTGGCCGGCGAGAACGTCGGTATACAACCGTTGCTATTCTTTGTGACCAAGTTTATCGATAGAACCGCCAAAGTAAAACGTAGTAATCATCCAAAGGCAAGTCTCCCACGTTTCTGCTTCCAAACTGCTCAGCCATTGACTGTCTCAGGAGCCGAACAGGAAGGGCTATATTGTGTCTGCTAAACGCGGATTGAGTATGGTAAGAACATCCAATGCAGAGTCTTTTGGTAGCTGACTCTTCCACTTCAGACCAATGTTAGAGACATCATGAATGACACAAAAAGATGGAAAGCGGAAATGAATGCTCCTAGTTTTAAATGCATGGCTAATGTTCCTCTGGATATTTTTTGATACTAAACTCTTACAGCGCATTCCTATGAATATGGAGCCTCTCAGACGGTAACGAGCCGACTTCGTCAAGGGCCCACTCCGGAACCCACAAATCAATCATCGCCTGAAGAACCCTTTAAGCCCGGGGCGGACGTCCAACTCTATAGCCCGTCAACCCTCCAACTCCATAGCCCACCAACCCTCCAAGTCTATAGCCCGCCGACTCTCCAATACCCTAGGCCGCAAAATCCACCCTCAGAACCCACAAATCAATCATCGCCTGAAGAACCCTTTAAGCCTGGGGCGGACGTCCAACTCTATAGCCCGCCAACCCTCCAAGTCTATAGCCCGCCGACTCTCCAATACCCTAGGCCGCAAAACTCACCTTCAGAACCCAGTGTGCGTCCGTATTCGGTGAATGATGGTGGTGTGAACTCAAAGGCCAAGGGATTTGCTGCCACTCACAACCGACCTGGTCAGTATTGCAGGTCTCCAAGCGACCCACATCCTTCTTCAGGTTCAGGTGCATCAGTGCTACCTACTCGGCCTACCATGAGTTCGGGTGATTCATACAACTTTCCCAATTCATACCTGACTGATACAGACCAAAACCAACCCGACAAAGCCTCAGTGCGGCCTAAATATCCAGGTGCTCAGCCATTATCACGAGGCCAGTACCCCAAAGTTGAGTGGAAGGACCCTGAACCGCATTTCCTCGCATTTGACCGACATCAAAGCACGAATGCTCCAGCCAACACAGGCTCTTCTGAAGCCACATACGCATTGGCCTCGGACCCAGGAGGCTACATTCTAGGATCGCCAGCCCTTACTCGAGAAATCAAATCACAACCTCCGTCTTCGAGAGATAAGTTCCGAGACATCAGTGGGTTGACAGGGCATCCTGCGCCCAAGGTTGACTCTTCTACTCCGCGATCCAGCTCCGCGCCCACTCTGGACACTTTTCAGTCTTTTCGCGTGTACAAGCCCCCACATGCCAGCAACGTGGCCAATGACTCAGCAATATGCACAGCACTACTCGACTCTTGTTCCTTTGGTCCAGACGGTAACACTGTAGCAACATATTTTCTCCGCGATGAGTTCGGTCTTGAGATGCAGGAAGGGGAGGAGATAACGCTTCGCATAGTTGCATCGGAAGAAGGGCCCGTTCAGAAAGGTTTCGAGTACAGCGAAAGATTCACAGTCAAATCTCGCCGCCACATCCCGTTACTGCTTGGCCGGGCTTGGATCAAAGGACGATGGGATGATGGTACTTTCTTCACGCTCAAAACAGACTCAAAGAAGAAGTGTAAGTGAATGCTGAGCGACGACAACGATAAAAGCCCCCCCTATGTTGCCTCAAGTTTCCATTGGCTAATTCCTCTGCATAGCTGGACCAAGTCCTGAAGAACTTGCAGAGCTCCGAAGACGAAACGATGCAAGGCAAGGTCTCGCTTCTCGGCGAATAAATTCTTATACTTCAGGACAGTCAGGATCCGCAAACCAGCCTCCGAATCATCAACAACAGCATCAATCAAGCCGTGGCAGTCCAGCAGCACAGCAGCCCGGGTCTAGAACACGGTGACAGGGATCTTAAGATCGATGGATAGATTGTCCTCTGTAAGCGATCACCAATGCTAGACCGGTAGATGCATAGTCATACAGTGGTTCAAAGGAATGGAATAGCGAATGAATTTCAAATGGCAGTTTTTGATTGTGAGAGATAGTATGACAGTCGGAAGGTGCTCCACACCCAATTGTACCACTTGTTGTGATGCCACACGATTTCGACCTAGCTTCCATGCCACTCATTTGCAAGTTTTACAATGGAGTTATATTGTGCCGGTATGCTGAACATCGGCTCAGATCATAGGGGAAACAAGGCCACCAGATGATATACAGGACTCGGAAGCTTGATTCCCAAGCACTAGGTTGATTCATCACTCACCACCAGGATCTCAAGATTGTGTAAGAGCCACATGTCCTGGAGCAAGCCTCGGAAAGCCAGTTTCGTTCTTGCCTGAAACAATCAGAACATAAGGTTTTGAGTATCATGAAGAGACAAAGGATCGTTGATGTCTTCGATAGATGGCGACCATCTTTGTCCAGCCTTTTTCATATGGGACACGTGGAATTCAAGTTCTCATAGTCAGGCTACCGGGCTTCAACTGTGAAACTTAATCTAGCTTGATATAGAGAGCCTGGCGTGCCTCATTCTCCGCCTCTCGTAGTCACGACGAAGCCGCTCTCCAAACATATACATGGAGATCGTAGTAGCAAAGACCATGCCTTTGATAAGCGGCTCAAGCGTGGGGAGATTCTACCTTGACGAAGCCATCCCGGGTGGTCCATGGAATATGGAGAAGCATATGCCAAAAGCAATTGCATTTTTCACGCTGATAAAGGCGGTCATGGTCTCACTTGCAATCGGTGTGTAGTTATCCACAACATACGTCAAACCCATGGCTGACACAGCGCATAGAACGGCGTAAGTGACTGCTGTGCCAACAATGGAACCAATAGGTTGAATAGATGTTTCAAACCCACAGCCATACAGAAGCAGTCCGACAGCAGCCATAACAGCTTAGGGCAGCATACTCAAGAGGCAGAATTCGGTCACAAAATAGCCCGCGCGTCTCCTCGTGATGACATTCACTACCCAATCACTGAGGGGACACCTGCGACTGCTGATCCAGCGAAGGATGGATCAAGATAATGCTCACACGATCAGAAGAACTGCGGTATCTTGGGCCAGGCAAAGTGGGAGTGCTCACTGCACTGTAGATGGTTCCAATGGCGAGGGGAGAAAAGCCATAATTTACCGGAGACGCACCTCCGTTGGCAGTCACTTGGAGACTCAGTAGCACAAATTAAACTCTGTAGGTTGGATGGTACCAAACAGCAGCGAGATATCGCAGCGTCAGTATTGGTCTTAGGAAAAGCCATCAGATTGATACGTCTTGCTTTAAATAAAATTTCGCCATGACTCTGGCCAGATCATGCTTACATTCGAAAGCATTCGGCGGTTACGGCTGAGATGCACTTTGTCGCCTTGGCTTTGTGATCACGTCGTGCAGTAGTCAAATTTCATTATCTTCACGCAACTCCAACCCAAGCCATACACCCTGGGCTGTTCCTCAAAGGTGTTTGAATTTGAGGCACCGACATTCCAAATCTGCACTGGAGCGAAACCAGAACCAATGCTCACCCTCACAGCTGACCGGGATGAGAAAACCCAAAGCAAACGCGTCGAATGGTCTCGTATTCGAATTCCCTTCGTGGCGACCATAAAGCCCGAAAACCCAAGAGCACGCCGAAGTGCGACTCGAACACTCAAAATGATCCCTCCATTAACATCCTAAGGGAGTGCAATGATGGGACGCATTCACCACGTTGGACTACTTAATCCAATAGATGGGCCGAGTGGGCCCTTTCCTGCTCGGACATGAAGACCTCACTAGACGCTAGGGCGTGGGCTATGAGTTGCTCCATAGCTTGGGCATAAATTCTGTTGGCTTCACTATATAAATTCACTCTCAAAGGTAATATAGGGAAACAAGTCAATGGGCCTCGCTGATCGTCGAGCGAGTCATTCGAGTAGTGATATCTGAGTTTCTCGAGTCAGCCACGATCTGGCTGAGCTTGGCACAGCCTTGCATGTGTGACGAGGACTGGGCGAATCCCCCCCCTCGGTCATTTGAAAGCCACTACCAAAAGTCCTCTTCGATGTGCGCAAAATAATTATTCGCCAGAGTTCAACAGTCCATTCAGTAAATGCGATCATCAAAATTATTTGCAAAGCGAGGACAATATTCTGACTAAAATTGCAACACAGTATTCTTGAGGCAACTTGGTTGTCAAAAGTCAAGAAATTGCGTTTATCAATTCAGAATTCTTCGAGAGAAGGAGTAGTGGCAGATAGTGAGCAAAAGTACTAGGGCAGACACGGCCGTTAGCTGCTGCTTGGCCTGTCTACTTTGTGATTCCACCTTCCGGGAAAGCGATCCACTCCTCGGATCCAGACAAGGGTTTACTTTCAGGGGACAAACTGAAATCACAATCGGATATGGCATCACTCGAACACTCACACTCGCATTCACCGAGTAGGTCATCAGAAAACATCATAGCATCATCACCGTCCACGAATGTAACGACTCCAGAACAATCCCCTGGCGTCGACGATGATATCTGGGACACATCATCTGACCATGGCTATCAGCACAACGACTTGACCACCACCCAGGAGCATAATCTTAACGAGGCTGGATTTTCTGAAAGGCGCTCGAACCAGATTCTATCAGATCTGCCCACGCTGCGGCGTCAGCATGTGACATCTGGGTATCGGGAAGGCCTCGCCATAGGCAAGGCGCAAGTGATGCAGCGCGGATTCGATGAGGGCTATCCGTTCGGTGTGGAGCTGGGATTTCGCATTGGAGCTGTACTCGGCGTGCTTGAAGGGATGCTCGCAGCATTCAAGAAAGCCGGGACAGCGTCAAATGCACACGAGACAGCTCTCCTGGCGGCTAGAAGAGGTCGCCAGGGGTCTTCGTCATCAGGTACAGTATCCGGATCAGCATCGCCAGATACCTCGGCCACTGGAGCACCACAGAGCTCATCTGCCGGAACACTTACATTCCTGAAATCGCTGTACACTCGAGCGACAGCAGAACTCAAGATATCGGAGTTGATGAAGGTCATGGACGACGAAAAGGTGGCGAAGCTTGAGGCTGGAGACGCCCTACCTGCCGAAATTGAACTTGTGGTCAAGCGGTGGGAAGACCTAGTGCTGGGCACTACTTTTCGTGAAGCACAGCCGTCGGTTATTGTGGCGGGCGATGCTGTAGGAGGCAGCAACGTAGAGGCAAAAAATTGATCAGTGTGAAGCATGCAGGACACCAGATCGTTGCTGGGACTTGATGAAGTTATGACATGATAGATTTCAAATGCAATGAGGCGTCACAGTTATTCTTCTTGGTCGAAAGGAAAACTAGGCAATCCCCCATATCTATTGCATCTACGAGTACAGATATTTAAAGATACAAAAAAGCCATGGTATTCAACGCAGAAGAAGGTAAGGCGTGTCGAAGGAAGGTATTGATCCGAGTTAAACACCGCCCGAATCTGCCGACCGCAGTCTCTTGAGCTATGGACTTGATACACAGTTGCAAGGACGGGCGAGAGCAGGAAGGTACACATGTCAGACGCAAACTTGGAACTAATAGGTCAAACATCACCCAAGCCTTGAGTAACGCTCTCTTGCACCCTCTTTCGTCCGATCGAGGAATGCTGAATACTCGCCTTTGGTGTTTCTCTCCGCTTCGCTCACCGCATCACCCAACTTTCCACCTTCCGCGCCAAGGCCCACACCGGCTGCATACACGTTCTGGCTGATAGGGGCTGTCATACCTTCCCCTGAAGCACCCAACCCTTGTCCGGCCGTGTAGCCCATTTTGCTGAGTAGAGATGCACCCTTCGACTGAACTGGTGGGGTAGACTCGTCCTCTGAAGATATTTCAGATGCTTTGGCTGCATTGTTTCGACCGACTTGTTCACCCTTTTTGTTGACAACGCCATATATCTTGCGTCTTTCTTTGGCACGATCACGGTATTGTGGACCGGTGGGAACATCTTGCTGTTTGAGGTTGTGTTTGGCTAGTTTGTAATTTCCCTTCGCAACTTTTGCTTCATCCTGAAGATTTTGCCGGTGTAGGTCGCTCAAGCGCTCATGTCTATTGACCTCAGCAGCAGTTGAAAATTGTCGCATGCATAGATAGCAGCAGAATTTCTCAGGGTCGGCGAAAGACTGGGATGGTGGAGCAGAACTTGTTTCCGAATTGGAATCGGGGTCTTTTGCGGATTTGTTTCCGATTCCATGAAGTTCGGCATGACGATTGCTCCAGAATTGAAGGTGGGATGGGGCAGGCTTCTTTGTTCCAGAAGCATCGGGTTCGACCTGAGCTTTTCGTTTCTTGCTCTTGTCCATGTCTTTCCCAGGTTTTGTATTGCTTCCCTCAGCGGCAGTAGTGGCGGAAGATTTGGGTTCTCGGCCCTTGGACCTGGACATATTGATAGCCAATTCGGAGACATATGCATCCTCATCCCAGTAGGCGAGCTTCATTGCCGAATTTCCAGCTGGACTGAAGCTGAAGCGTTCATTGCTTGGTGTGGGATTGAGAACTGGCACAAAGACGCCTGCATGAATATAGCTGACCAGGACCTGTTTCGAGGCAATAGTAAAGCGATCAAAAGAATTAAATCTGACCAAGGCGGCTTGCGCATCTTCAATGGAAGCATACTCCGCAAAACCATATCTCCAACTGTCATTGCTCCGTCGATCTCGAACCAGTAGCACCCTTCTTAATGTGCCTTCTTTCGCTCCAAGATTTGCATCTCCAGTAGTGGAAGCAACTTTTGCGCCTTTCTTGGCCGGTGTCTGGTCCGTTTGGGCAGAAGATGATGTCGGTTTGTTCAACTTGGCCACGCCCTTAGCTAATAATTCTTCACTGACAGAACCTTCAAGTCCTCGCAGAAGCAAGAACTGGGATGGTGCATTATCTAGAGAGGCATCATTGTCCCCAACATTGACTGCTTTTTCTACCACTTCCAAGTCGAATTCTAAGAACATTAGTACCATAGATTGTTATTCAGCGATAGTCTGGACATACCAGGCTTAGGAATTTGACATCTGAAACAACGATTTCGGGTGGCATAATTATTGATTCGACACTACACGGTTAGTATTGAGTATCTGATAATCAGGCTTATGCTTACACCAGGACAGATCCAGTCTGCGTCATCATTCCGACCAGCATCTTTCCGCTCACGGCCGAATGCTATACGAACTCTAGATGCATCTCCGTTAGACTTGTTGCTGTGCCCATAGAGATAGATCATGGGATGGTTCTTGTCCATAAATTTCTCGGCGGCGTGCAAGGTTGGAAAGCGCAGAAAGCCGAAGCCTCTGGATTGTTCTGCGTTCATTGTTAGGTACCATACGACGTCTTCGAATGTCTTGTACACACTTGTTTGGCGGTCACGAATGATGCGGACATCATCCATTTCTTCGATATGATAGTGTTGCTTCAATTCGGAGGCGATCTGTGCGACAAGCCCAAACTTTTAGCCGTTTGCCACGAAATCAACAAGCACTGAACAAAACCATCAAAAGTGCTTGTCAAGAGAGTTCAGACAGGATTGATCGAACATCGTTCTCAGTCAGATGTGCTGCCAGGCCTTCCATTATGACTTCCTTGCTTGGCATGCCTCGACTTGGAGGCCGTTCCTCTGAAGGCGAACGGCTCCTGTCACGGCTCCAGCTCCGGCTGCGACTCCTGCCACGATTGTCTCTTCTGGCCCGAGGATCGTCTCGATCATGGTAATGTCGATCCCGCCGAGGAGAAGGGGTATTTCGGCGAGCTCGGTCATCGTATTCATATCGTTCATGGCCGTACTGGTGATGCCGATCAGGACTCGATGCGTGTCCACGGATGTGAAATTCTCTTTGTGAAGGACCATCTCGAGGTGCGGAAATATCTTTGCAAAGGGCATCAGTAAAGGCTCACGCGCATGGCACTTCGTTCTGAACTATGGATTACCATGGGGAGGACTTCGTCTGGAATGAGGGGAGCTGTGTCTGTGGTCCGGAGATTGAGACCTAGATCGATCGTCGTAGAAATTGTCACGTTGGTGAGAATGGGAATGCTGTTGGCGGTAAGTTTGTTGGTGAAAGCCACCCCGCGACCTATAAGGCGACATTGTGAAATTCTGGCAGGGAGCAGAATGTCTTGTCCGTATGAGTATCGGGAGTAGAGCAGATGTTGGTGCGACGAGGTTCCACAACGGCAGGCGAAATAAAGGCGTGAAGTGGTTGCGCGGGGAAATATCCTAAAACAGTTGCCATCCCAAAACAGTATCTGATCCGCCTCCGGACAAATCCGTCCTCTGTGCTTACTCGGTACTCCTATTCCACAGCCAACCAACGAATCCACACTATTCGTTCCACTCTCTGCCTTCAAATTGTATTCCGATCCACCTGTTAATGACTTCAAGTTATCCACTACTCGATGAGTTCCCGCACATCACCTCCTCAGTCTCCGTCACGCGCGGCCACTGGTGCTGCCCACTTGTCCAGCCTCCCGAGCCCATAGCCTGAAGTTACGCCAGACACACGCCCGGGTTCTTATTCTTCCCGACTTCGCTATCTCCTGCTTCCAAAACCTGGGACGCCCGTTACCAAGTTCACCATACCCGCAAGCCAGACCGAGGATGAGTGGCCTGTTCATGCAATCATCGGCCACAAGCTCGAGGGTGACAAGTACTTCTACCGTGTTCAATGGGCGAATACCCAGGACCAGGAAATTAATTGGGAGCCTCCTTCCAACGTCGTCCCCAACTCGCTTGACCTCGTTAACGCCTGTCACGCCAAGATCGACCTCTGGATTGGAAATACGACGAGATCCAGGCCCGAGAACTCCTCGGAACCAGAGGATTCGATGTTCGGCGGAATAAGCCAAAAGGCGCCAAGTACTTGGTCAAGTGGGATGGCTGGGAGGATCCGACCTGGCAGACATTAAAATATAGCGATTATCGAACCCTGATCGAAGAATTGTTGTCGACTGATCCTCGATCTCCGCTGCGTGACGGAAAGACTGAAAACAACGACAGGCCGATCATAGTGGGTCGTGTCATTCTCAATGATGATCCACTTGGGACATGTCTTTACTTTTCATCATTTGCTTGGATACAGCGATTGACCCAATTGCCGAGCTCGTCCCACGAATTCCTGTCTCCGTCCTCTAAGTCTACGATAATGGCGCTCTCAATATAAGGTGAGAGCATATTCCACCCACCTTCCCCTCTTCAAAGGCCGATTTGTGTGGTAATGCGAATTTGGCCAAGCTGAGCCATGTCGAACGTGCCTCTATCTAGTCAGATGAGCGATGTCTGTGCTTTTGGTTCTACCCGCCGCTTTGCGTGTCTGGCTCTCTTAGTTGCAAGATTATTGCACTGCGCAGCCAGGGATACAAGGCTTCAGGGTAAGGCTGCGCACTTCACTCTCGAACTCCAACCAATGCACATAGTCTGGAGAGTCTAAGCCTTGCCTTTGGGTCGAAACAATGCCCAATGTACATTATTTGGCTTCATTTGTTCTTGGGGTAATTTTTGTCTTGAGGATTATCAATAAGACCCAGACATCGTGCTCAAAGGGGCAGGCTAGCTTAATATACACGAGACCTCTTCTATGTACCATTCACTGGTTCGGGCTGCATTTCTGGGGTCACTCGATTCCTTGTGCAAGAGTCTAGGTTCAAGACTGGGCACTACACCGCTTGGCAGCCCTAATGACCAGAGCCAGCTATGTCTAGCGTTGGCGTGTGGCCAGCGTCATTTATGAGTATCTATATCACAACGTGAGATATCTGGAAGAAATATATTGCTAGCTATGTTATTCCGTTGATGAAGGGCAACTTGTTGGTATTGCCTATATATGAAAATGAGAAGCCGACCACAGTATTACAATTACAAGCATCGCGATACTCGTCATATGGTCCTTGGACATCCGCAAAATGAGATGGAGTTCTGTGAACATCGGATAAGCAACTGAGTAATTCAATGAACATTACATCATATTTGTTATTTTAGTCATTTATATGCTCCCTCGGGCAGAGCGCGACATATCAAAGCCCGCACACAGCAGTCAGAACCAGGTATCAATCCAGTCCAGCCATTCAGAAACCATCGACGCTTTCTTCGATGCTATAGACAGTAACTTCAGCAATATATGTCCTGGCTGGGATTGTTACTCGGATTGGGAATCCACCATAATCAGGGCTCTCAGTTGGCATGTTCATAAAAGCGCCACTCCTTGTTTCATCACCATTCAAGACTCTCAATGTGGACAACGCTCCTTCTTCGTTCACTGTTTTCTCCTGGGCAGAGAGGATGCCAGTAAATGTGGATGCTGCGTTTGTGCTCTCGAACGTCACTCTAAAGCCAGCTCCGATCAACAGAAACTTCTTCTCGCCCGTGTGAATCACAATTCCGTACCCTGGTTCTGGTTTGCCAAACACGAAGGATCTCTCGACTGTTACCTCAATATCAATATCCTTGAATTTTTTGTGCCATTCGTCCACATGAGGCTTGTCGCCATTGTAGTCGTCGAAGAAAAAACCGAACATGGAGTCTGGCCGTTCAGCTTGAGTGTGAAGAATATGTCCACTCATGCTCTTTAACAAGCCATTACTTCTCGTCCAGGCTTCTTGTTCCTTTGCATTCATGAACACAGTGTCAATGCCAAACAGACTGCATCCCAGCGCTTGATGTGAGCCATAAGCCAGCCATATACGCCTCACTCCTGCAAGATCAGCCTTCTGCTCGGGGATGAAGAGTGGATTGCTTTGATGTCGATACTGATGGCATATCCAGCTATAATCTTGTAGATAGATGTCTGGACTAATGAAGTCAAGATTTCCCTTGCCTACAGTGTGGAAATTCCAAATGTCAAGTAGGTGTGGTACTGGGCCACCAGATGGATACGCTCCAGGCCGGGTGCCTCCACCAGCGACAGTCGGCTTGCCGTCTCCTGCCGGGACACCAGAGATGTCAAGGATCGACACATCCTCAGTATTGAGCCAGGTGTTCGTGTACAATGGAAGTTCATACTCGGCCCTGCCTGCAGCAGCAACTTGGCTAACATATCTAGCGAATGTATCGGCCATAAATAGCTCCTCGGTCGCTACTCCTATGCCGAATACTGACTCCCAATCCTTGTTCTCCTGCTGCTTCGAAGAAGTCTGGAAGTCTGGCCAACGCTTCAAAAATAGTGGGTGCAGCTCTTCGTGATTTTGGAGGTGCACAAGGAGATCATTAGGGACAGGCGATTTGAAAGCCTCAGTTGCGCCACGAGAGCGATCCCGACTGTCACCAAGCAAACCCGTCTCATTTTCCACCTGTACCATCAGCACTGTCGACTGACCTGAATCAATCTCTCTTAGATGCCGCATGAGTGCAGCAAAAGCTTTGGCGTCAGCTTCCCAAGCTTGTTTATTGAACGGTGATATCAGATCTGTTGTTTTTAGTCGACCGGTGTCATCTCGAACATGCACACGTGGAAAGCGCTTAAAGTCTCTTTTGACCCAGCTTGGCACATATGTAGAGAGTGCATTCTTGAAGCTGCCGAACCATAGTAGAACGAGATGCAGTCCCGCCGTGCGTGCGTCAACAATAATCTTGTCTAGTTCGTTGAAATCGAAAGTGCCTTCGATGGGTTCGATGACTTCCCATGTTATTGCACCAAGAAGTGTGTTGATGTTCATCGCCTTCATCACCGGCCAGACTGTAGACATATACGCGGCCGACGAGAGCGATGAGTTGTGCAGTTCACCTGCAAGCATGAGGAAGGGTTTCCCGTTGACAATAAGTTGAGCAGATGTCCCTGTACGGCGCAGATGAGGGATTTCATTCTTTGACAAATGTGAAGCCGACATCACAGTTTCGATTCTGATATTTTCTAGATTTTAACTCAGGTACCAACATGAATCGACCGGCTAAATTACTTTCGTGTTGTGCGCACGCTGGCTTCATCGAGGATTATGAAATTCGTAGAACGCGTCAGGAAGCTTCGGTGTTGAAATTTGTGAAAGGAGACTTTGTTCTCTCAGCTGTTTTTGCACTCCCAGGAGTGTCAGAGAAAATCGCATTTCTGACGTCGTACACCAACGCATTCGACAACGAATATCTGCAACTTTGAAATTAGCCGAGTTTCTCATCCACGAATTATCTCAAGCATCCATGAGGCCACCAACTCCGCAGTTCGGTCACGCCAACAACGACACTGCGGACACCGGCTAAAACACCGATAGAATTGTGTACAACTCCATAATGAGCCACTCAACTTTCAGTATCCGATTACCCGAGAGAATATTAGAGACTGGTTTTTCGGATTTTCTCTTTGGTGTTCTCTTTGGAGCTTCTCTGTTCATCGAGGTGCTCGTCAGCTCTACTGGTAGCCTAGCTTCGGCATTGTATAATGGACTGTTTACTTTCCATGGATCGACCTTAGAGCAACTAACTTGTGACCACGAACGGTGCTAAGAATTGCCTCAGAATCTCAACAATAAACTCGTCGCTAACAGAATTGTTGGTTCTACCCGTTGGACCAAAGTCGAGGCGTCAATATGTCGTGGAAAATGAGAGTGGCAGTGGATGATTCACTAAGTGAGGTTGATACTGTAGCTACTATGCTCCAAGATACGTACGACTTTGCCAGACAGGTCGATTGCCCTCGGCATAAATGACCAAATTGCGGTCGTCCTGAAGAATTAGGACCTGACCTCCAAGGCCGCGGGTGCCAGTTCGCCAGATGGCACGCTCTGAAGTGTTATGTCCATCGTACTGCAAAAGAGGCGAGTAGAGTCCGTTCCATTGTCTAAGCGTCTCTGTTGGCCTCCTATCGATCGCGGATACAACCGATAATCCTATACCATGTCCTATACCATAATGTTTTACTGCTTTGATCGACTCTGGTTAGCCACTCCTGTAATCATACAGTATGACCTGCCCCTGGCAGGAGAATCGTCTGTAAAGCTAAGGAGGCTAACGTGGCGCTGTCAAGAAGCGTAGCCACGATTCGCCGAATCGACATCTATCACTGTAAAGGATGTGTCCTTTTCCCTACCGACTTTTGCTCACGAGATCTACAATTCCTGGCCAATCAGATATATGCGATGACTGAATCGATGTGTCTTACCACATATATCTTATGCTACGCTACTGGTGAGCACGGGTAGCTAATAACTAACATTTCAAGCATATTAGTGCAATTTCCTTGACTCGGCACATTGGTTGAACGATCCCATCATTTTACAGCCCCGGATCATGTTTGATTTCGAAATGAACAATTCCATTTTATCACTTTAAACAGAAAGAGGGTGAACCCTACACTCGATGTTCTACCAGCCCCGAAGATGCCGCCACCTTCACTTCTCCCCCTTTCTTACACACCCAGCATCAACGAAGCTAGGGATCAAGATGTAGAGTTACTCTAGCTTTTGAGAATGAACCATGCTCACCTCACTCGTATAATGCGGTGCTTAAACATGATATAATTCCTCCTTTGATAGTGACCTTTCAATAATGATGCTCAAAAGAGCTGAGTTTCATTTTTTTGTCTAGCTACCGTAGATTATCTCGCCCTTTGGTGTAGTCCACCATCATCAATCACCTTGAACCGTGTAGGTTTTGATGGACTTCCACTCGTCACTACTCCTCTTAATGCTCTCTCTTATTAGATTCGACTGGTAGACTCCCTTACTACTCAGGCTATGTCTCGCCCCTGCTGTTTCCACTCACCGATCCCTTCTTAATCTTCCTTCGTGCGGATCTCTTCTGTGCCTTCTACCAAACAGGAACGTGCCCGTATGACTACTCGACTCTCCCAGCGATTGGATCTTCGTTACTTGAACGATTTGCAGTTTCACGCTGCTTGATCCCTGTGTTGTCCTATCTTACGACGGCTGTCTGACTCTAGGGCATACCGATTCTCACTCGTTCTTATTGCAATGCTTTACAACATAATCACCAACATTAATATACTCGTGTTTCTTCGTTCTATCCGCCACAGAATGCTTCTCTCGAAGGTGGCATGAATTGTTCCCACTAAAAATCATACGAGTACCTCTGCAGTTTAGATCACTTGTCCGATGTCATACATGATTATATCCTGACTAGATATTTGAGATCTGTTAATCATTTTGGATTGAAGCACTCCCGTTATCTGCTATACTTTTTACCATTTCTATCCTGCCTTACCGAGAACATACTAACACTATTGAGCAGATTGCTGCTCCATGTCTTTATTTAACAGAATTGTACCTTTCAATTTCCTGATAATTACTGAGGCTGAGCTTCCAACGATCAGATCTCGAGGCAATACATTGCAACTCTTCGAATCTCTGCAAGAAAAGAAGACAAGGTCCGAGTGAATGCAATCGTTCGGGGCTCCCCTAGACCTCAGGGGTCGAGAGCCCACTACATACACCTAGCTATAGGTGATGGGTTGTTCTAGAAAGAGTTGGTCAGGCACCCTGGGGTGGCGTTGCGCCTTCATACGCTGACAAAGCGGGCTAGGATGCTTTGAGCTCTTTTCCAGTCAATGCGTTTGCTTTACCTATCTTGTTAGTAGGCTATATAAATCAGGTGTACTAGAATCTTCAGGGTTTACAAGTAAATTTTCATCACGCCTGAAACACTTTTGATCTGGAAGAACATCAGAATCGCATAATTCAAGATTATTTCCTCTGATCCCAACCTCCTATAGCCATTGGACCATTTTTACATCATACTAGAATCATTCCTGCAAGAGATGGCGAGAACAGTTGCTAGCGTGTTACTCTACTCAGAAGCAGTAGAAATACGACTACAAAGTGTCTTAGATGTACTTATATATTTGTTAGTAGTTGAACTGGAGAAAATAGTAGATACTCATACTATCTAATGGTGTACTTTGTCAAAGCGTGGGCAGTCTACCTACGGTGGCACCAGAACTAAGCAGTTCACACCTTCGTGATAGATCTACAGACTCTCGTATCCATGTCCATATCATGTAGAGCTTGAGCAATGCTTTGAGGGCACGTCGTGTGTCTATCTTTTCTGATTTTGGTATGAATCAACCGTTTACTGTTCATTTGAGAGAGCTCCACTTTAACTGTAGCCTTGCCAAGACATATTTCTGCTATCCAGGGAGAAACAAGGCTGCCGACTTTCTTACTTTTGGTGGTGCAACCCCTTTAGCTGCGTGATTGACCTTCCCCATCGGTCTGTCCTGGGAAACGAGATTCATGAGAACTTTTCCAGTTGAGTTTGAATAAGAACAATCATGTTTGTCTAGCAGGACAATTTTCAATCATGGGCAGAGTCCCTTGATGAACGTTATCCAGCACACTGGTACACGGTAGTTTTATATCCCCGATATATTCCATCGTTCCTAAGGGAGATTTGGTTCCTTTCTAAGCTTGGAGACTGGGAAAATCCCCCTTCATCCCCGGGTGACGAAGACCAAGGTAAGTTCGCTGTTGAAAGAGAATTCTAAGAAGAGCGAGAACCTTTGTCATGGTATGGTCAGTATTACTATCCGATAGGAACGTGCCTAGGGTGGACTGTCAGATATGTGATGCGTCGCAAGATACAAAATCAGAGACTTAAACCACTCGCGGAAGGTGGAAGGAAAGTTGTGAGAGAAATAGATGGACGGGGTTTAGCCTGGAGATTCCTAGCCTAGCCTGAGCGGGGATATCCTATCAAGTTCGACCTCTGTCGGAACTACCAGTTACTCCAACACACCTATGACCAATGTTGATAGCAAGATGAGATAGATAAGCGGGATGCAGGCTTGGGTCTCGTCTCATTGGGAAGCAGTAGTTGAGCTGTATTGCAACCCGCGTACAAATGCTAGCCGAGCTGAAGCAGAATGATGTAGAACTTTCATATTTGAACAGCCCAACTCACCTCGCCTCCGAGCACAGAACATAATCAACCTTCAGTAATATAACAGCACTTCAAACAACCTCTCAAGTATTTTGAGAACCTTGACCTAAGTCTGTCATTATGAGACTACATTTAGGATCGCCACAAGCCGCAGCTTTGAGTATCCTAGCTTTACTACCGATGATATTGGCAGAACAAGCTACAATCAGCGAATCCACACTGTCGATCAACAATATACGTTTCAGTACACGTGCTCATTGGATGCGACAGGCTAACACTGCTCTCTCACAACTGCTATCACCATGTCCATTCGGCGCTTTTGGCACTGTGATCGTCAACCATACAGCTCCGGGTGAGGATGGCTTGGGGACATTAGTCTGCATGGGAGCAAATAATATTTCTCTCACGGGTAATCCGACCTTACATGGTAAGCACCAGATAAAAATATGAGCACCTGAAATCGTACCTGATATGGCGGTGCATGGCGGGCACTGTTCACCTTTCCGCCATCTTCTAGTACTCTACGGGACATCAAGCTGATACTACGAACCAAAAGGCGAAATCGCAGCAATCAACAACTGCTCCGCGATCCTCACCGACCCCAACGGACCGTACAATCTAACAACATCGCAAGCGCAAAGGGCATTCTCCTCTCTCTCGCTGTATACCAACGCCGAAAGTTGTCCAATGGTAAGTCCTCAACCTACACTCCATCCCCTATTGCACCCCACTGTACCAGTCCATCACTCACCAATGCCAACCAACATAGTGCGCCTCCGCCATCCGCTGGGCCGGGTTCAAAGAATACATCTACGGGACGAGCATCGACACGCTGATCGCACAGGGATGGGGCCAGATCCGGATCCCGAGTATCGAGGTCTTCGCGCAGAGCTTCGACCTCAGCTACCCGTCGCGGCTGATGGGCGAGGTGTTGGTGAATGAGACAGACCCGTTCTTCAGTTGGCAATTCAACCCGGAGTATCCGTGTCCTAGCGGTTGTTCGAGAGCGAGTGGTGGGTCGGGGTCTTGTGCGCCACTTTGATTTACTTTGATGATGCGACTGGTGGAGAGTGTATCTAGGGGAGGAAACAGTCGATGTTGTGGGGATCTTTAATGTGGTGTCCTCGTGCTTTGATTGTGGATGGCAACAAATAGTGAACGTCAAGTTGTTGGGTATGTCTATAAGAAGGCAGTAAATAACGCACGGAATGATGATGAACTCGAGATAAGCATGGGTGGTAGCAATTTCTAAGAGGAGAAGTTATGTTGATGCCATAGAGATACTCGCCTGAGTAAACTATGTAATTTAAATCAGCTATTCAGGCTCCACCAACTGCATGAAAATGTGGGTATTGAATATCATATGTGAGATGCAGTCACCGTCGATCTCGGCACGGGACGCTGGCCGGGAAACGAGTGTGAAGGGGTATATATGCTTCCGCAGGGCACCAAAAGGCCTTCCAAAAATTGATAATACATGATCTGCTCAAATGGCTCAAAATTTGATTTGGTTATGGATGACTGGTTTCAGTTGAGGTTCTGTTGTTCTCCTGGTGATCGCTCTTCCATCATGGCCGGGGCACACAAGATTCTTGGGATCATACCAATTGTAATTGTATGACAACGATCGAGGACTTGTGTGGACGGGAAGCTGTTGAGTGTTTCCAATTCAAGGCTCCAGTTCACAGAGCGGCGATGCTCACATGGAAAGGGTAGCCTCTCAGTCACATAGCAACCAAAGGTCTTCATACCAAGACATAGAGACTACACATGGCACTCAAGCCCAATATCATGCTGCTCCAAAATGCAGCGTTGTTAAAGACCCAGCGACCACGGATGAGTGGACTCCTCTGCAAAGCAACGATAGGCAGTTGCAGCATCATGGCGACAAAACCATAACCCCTGAGTTTTTTCGTGATGCAACCCATGATCAATTCGTGACCAAGCGCGCTAATCAGAAAGGTAATAGTCATGGCGATAGAGCTGGAGAAATACGTCCTGGACGAGAAGAACACATGTCGTCGTAGGAAATGATACACAGGGATGTTCCACTCTCTGGAAAATTCCAGCCAGTCACTGCTGTTCCACCAGTCGGAGTAAAAGTGGCGGTCGGCGAAACAAGTGATTTCCGCGAACGCGCCCAGGATGTACTCCCATATAACGAGGAAGACTAGTAAAAAGGTTATCATGAATGGGAACAAGAGAAGGCTGATAGTCTCGGCCAAGATGAGAGATTTGTCGGAGAATGTATAGACATGTTTTAGGCGTATGGCAGATTCGGCCAAGACGGGGGTGATGAATTCTTCACTGATTGTGATCATTAGGAATATGCAGCCAAAAACAGCCAAGGTCTTGTAGAACAATTCCAGCCAGCGGATATTGGCAGTCCTGGGATATTCAAGTTCGTAACACAGTGTGGGACAAAGAATATAATCGACGTAATTGTACAGGGTCAAGTTTTGAGGATAAGTGACTTGGCCAAGAGGAGAAGTGAGCTCAGTTGCGAGGTCTTGCCGTAATTGTGTGAGCTGTTCGAGAGATTCCTTCTCTTCGGGAGAAGCATCTGAATCGAGTTCTCGGAGCCTCGATGGTGAGCTCGGATACTTGATGGCCTCGGCCAAATCGGCTGTTTCGGGTCGATCCAATTCGTGCAGTCGTTTCTCCGTCTCACTCAAGTGGCCATTATAGAAGGCATACGAATGCATTTTCATGAGAAAAGTCAAGGTGTGGAGGGCGAAGTACACCTGTGCGGTCCATGTCCAACCGAGCAAAAATGGCAGTTGAACCCAGAAGAACAGCCAACCGACCTGGAAGATGCTCTGGATCCAGATCCCTGCATTTCGCCAACGAAAAATGCCAGAGCTCTTCCGAGTGAGCTTTTGCAGTGGGAGGCTCAAGGCCGTGCTCACAACCATGGCAGCGTCGCTTAAACCCAGCGACAGTACATTCCTGGAGAGGATCTTGTATACGTTGACTCTCAAAGGCAGCCCAGTCTCTTTAATATTCCGTAAACCGGTGGTAAGACACATTATGGACAAGCTGATCCAAAAAAGAACGAAAAACCCGCGGAAGTCGCGGTACTCGCTCCTGGGGTCGAAATGGGAGACTCGGGGCACGTAATTGATGGTGTGGAATAGGCGATGTTTGGCCTGGGCACGAGCCTGCTTTCGAGCAGTGGAGATGGATTGGACTGAAGGAGGCGCATCATGAGGGATAGGAGTTGAGCGTCCACTGTCAACAACAATGAGTACCAAGCATGAAAACGAGAGATGTGTAGGCATTGAGAGGCATACCTAGACACTCCCGATGGAACTTCTGCAAAGCCGTTCAGACCATGACCAGCAGAGCGTAGTGCCTCAGGCAGAGCTCTGAGAGGTCGTGGGCGCAGGAGATTCCCATCTGGACTGGGACGGCGGGCAGTGGCAGCCATGGTATTTATGCGAGTAACCATCAAAACCCAGAAAAATATCAAGACACGACTGAAACAATAGAAAGCATGGCTGGAAACAAGAAAATGCTCATTTCAAGTTCTCCAGCAACTTATACGGGTAGACGCCAACCTGGACAGATGAACTTGGACTGGATTAAGGTTGGTGGTGGAGGGGGTGGGAGAGACCGGCTTTGATGTATCCGAATTCTCTCCTTCACGACCTTGGCTTTGGAGGCCGAAATAGGTTGGACCTGCGATGCAACTTTGCGATTCATGGGCTTGGAGCGACGTCAGCTCTGGAGATCAGCCCTACTCGGGCCTTTGATTGCAAGGATTGATACGAGATACGTAGAAAACGGAGCGCGAAAAGGTGGATCACGTGCTCGCACGTGATCTGACTAGTACTAATTCGACCAGACATCAAGCCAGCCGGGCCGGAGAATTATGTCAGCCGCATTGTGGCTTCTTTTCCTCGAAAACTTGCCAAACCCTGGACTTGGTGTTCCGTACTTTTCTCAAAGTCTGGAAATGGAAATGACAGACACCAAGCGACCATCAATTCCAGGCTGACTTATATGTTCCAGGACACCGAGCCGAGAGCCCCGAAAAGTCAGTCTCGATGCTACATAAGTTGGATCTATGTACAAAAGCAGTCGTGGCCATGGAGATTCCTCCTAGCTTCGGGTTCCGAAGATATTCAATATCAGGCCGTCTGACTTATAGTGAAACGCGATGGAGATTGAGTCATTTTGTCAAAGCATCTTCCCCCTGGTGTTTCTCACCACGTATGTTGAGCCCTTCATCAAGATATCGTTGAATTCCCGCCGAGGCTTCGGGATCATTCCCAATCAGTTGCCCTGCCTTGAAAGCTGTTTCCAAATGTGTGGCCACCTTTCCTCTCTCTGCCCATTCTGCATCCTCCAGAATGGTGATCCGGAGAGGTTCAAATCCACAGTAACCAAAAACTCCATATCTCCATAGGTGTTGGATGTGTTTGTCATAGCCCCATCGGTTCAACTGGTTTGCTGAAGCCCCCGCTGGCGCCAGAATTGTGCACGGTCGACTGGCAAGTAGAGTACCCTCTGGGTCAACCTGAACTTTATATGCCCATCCCGCCGAGAAGACTCGGTCAAGCCATCCCTTCATCATCGCGGGTAAACCATACCACCACACAGGAAAGATGAGGAAGATAGCATCTGCCTCCTCAATCAATTTCTGGTGTCGTAGCACGTCTTCCGTCATGGGAACACCTTCAAATTGTTCAAAGTCACGTTGTGAGAATATAGGATCAAACCCATCCTTATAGAGATCAAGTAGCTTGACACTGTGACCTTTGCTTTCGGCTCCTTCGGTCACTCTCTGGGCAAGGGAGTGGGTGAGAGATTTCTGATTGGGATGCGAGATTACAATAAGGACATGCATATTTTGACTGGTGATTGATCTAGTGCTTCTCTCAATTCATAGCCTACCAAGATCGCACGGCTCTATATAGCATTCGGCAAGATAGATGTGACAATCTTATCATCGGTCTTTGTAGACTAACTCAGATTGTAACGCTGCGTGTTCCTGCAGGATGGATGGCCAGCTCAGAAATTTTAAGGCGGCATTGGATATCTACCAGGTAAGTGATAAAGCCATAAGGGCGGCATGGAGGAATATCCTCACCAAGCGCTATCACTCTTGGCAGGAACTACACTCCCATTGGACAACTCAATCATAGGACACTTTCGCAGTCACTCCCACTGCAGTTCAGGTTGACTGACATTTGATGTTCGTGCATTGAATCCCACCATCTCCGTCCCCTTCTATCGATTGAGCCACCACATTCTCACCTATCTGGCAAGATGACCATACTATAATGGCAATAAAAGATACCCTTCATAATACAGATCGATCACCCCCCTTCATGACATCCTAACCCAAAAATTCCAGGACCCCGCTAAGGGTCATCTTTGTCAACATGACTTCCTGTAAAGCCGCCTATCTCCTCCGCATGCCTCCCTAGACGCTGACAAGTTCGAAGTAAAACAATTCATTCGCAATGTTCGGGCCTCAAAGACCATCGCCGACGAGCGCGCCGTCGTACAGAAGGAGAGTGCCGCGATCCGGGCTAGTTTCCGTGAAGAGAGCGGAGACTCGAACGTTAGGTAAAACTTGAATGACCATACGCCCTCACAGAGCCCAGTATCTAAACAAGTGCAGGCGTAATAATGTTGCCAAACTACTCTACCTTTTCACTCTGGGGGAAAGAACGCACTTCGGTCAGATAGAATGCCTCAAACTCCTGGCTTCACCGCGATTCGCAGACAAGAGACTGGGATATTTGGGTACCATGCTCCTGCTGGATGAGAATCAAGAAGTCCTCACCCTGGTCACGAATTCACTAAAGAAGTATGTTCGCTCTGAATTCCTCCAACATCTACAGCGCTGATCACAGCAGTGACCTGGGCCATTCCAACCAGTATGTGGTTGGCCTGGCTCTTTGTACACTAGGCAACATTGCCTCGATAGAGATGTCCCGAGATCTCTTCCCTGAAGTCGAAAACCTCATCTCTACCGCCAATCCATATATCCGTCGAAAGGCTGCCCTGTGTGCCATGCGCATCTGCCGGAAAGTCCCAGACCTGCAAGAGCATTTCATGGAGAAAGCCAAGTTGTTACTACAGGACAGAAATCACGGAGTACTCCTATGTGGATTGACCTTCATTACCAGCATGTGTGAAGCAGACGAAGCGGAAGACAATGAGGAAGGTATTGTTGACATGTTTCGACCAGTGGTTCCTCATCTGGTCCGCACCTTGAAGAGTCTCACCAGCTCAGGATATACTCCCGAGCATGACGTGTCCGGCATTACAGATCCTTTCCTCCAGGTCAAGATCCTTAGGCTATTCAGAGTCCTCGGCAGGGGAGATTCTGCAGTCAGTGAACAAATCAACGACATATTAGCACAGGTGGCCACCAATACAGAATCTACCAAGAATGTGGGCAACTCGATCTTGTATGAGGCAGTCCTCACCATTCTCGATATCGAGGCGGATTCTGGGCTACGCGTACTGGGTGTGAACATTCTTGGTAAATTCTTGGCCAACAAGGATAACAACATTCGATATGTGGCATTGAACACACTCGTCAAAGTCGTTGCCATCGAACCAAATGCTGTACAAAGACATCGAAACACGATTCTCGAATGTTTGCGAGATCCCGATATTTCAATCCGTCGACGAGCGCTCGACCTGAGTTTTACGCTTATCCGAGAAGACAACGTCCGGGTCCTCATCCGAGAATTGCTAGCTTTCTTGGAAGTTGCAGATAACGAATTCAAATCGGTCATGACAACACAAATCGGAATTGCGGCAGATAGATATGCACCCAACAAGAGGTGGCATATTGATACCATGTTGAGAGTCATCAAACTGGCTGGCAACTACGTCAAAGAGCAAATTCTGTCATCCTTTGTGCGTCTTATTGCAACATCTCCCGACCAACAAACCTACTCGGTCCAAAAGCTGTACGCAGCTCTAAAAGCCGACATCACCCAAGAAGCCCTCACATTAGCCGGGGTTTGGGTGATTGGAGAGTATGGCGACGCCCTAATTCGTGGCGGTTCTTACGAGGAGGAAGAACTCGTCAAAGAAGTCAAAGAAAGCGACATCGTTGATTTGTACACCACAATACTGAACTCAACTTATGCGAATCAAATTGTCACAGAGTTCATCATTACTTCTGCTATGAAACTGTCTACACGGCTGTCCGATCAATCCCAAGTGGAGAGGATTAGACGGCTGATGCAGTCCAGAGCCTCAGACTTGAGTGTTGAAATTCAACAACGAGCTGTAGAATATGGGAACCTTTTCACCTACGACTCGATACGGCGAGGCGTCCTGGAAAGAATGCCACCACCAGAGATCAAAGAGGAGCAACGAGTCTTGGGTCAAGCAACCACGCCAGCCAAGGATAAGAAGAAGGCACTAAAAGCCAAGTCGAGAGCATCGGTCGCCAAGAATACAGAATCGGACATGCTTCTTGACCTCATGGGCGGTTCCGATGTTCCAGCTATCGATGCCAGTGCAACATTAAATGGCCGGCAGCAAACAGCAGACCTTCTGGCAGATATTCTTGGGGGTGGAAGCTCAGTTTCAAGTCCTCCACCCCAAGCCAAGAGTCCCGCGCCCACGTCAAACACAGATTCTATCATGGATCTCTTTGGTAATGGCGGTGCCAAGTCGAGTAGTCCAGCCCCTGCTTCTGGTCCTCAAGCTCATGGTGCGTATAATAAGAATGGTCTAGCTGTGACAATCCAGGTTTCGAGAAGTACTGCGGGTGCTCAAGTGTTGTCTCGATTCAAGAACACAACTGCCTTTGAGCAATTTAGTGGTGTTGGTTTACAGGCAGCTGTTCCGAAAAGTCAAAAATTGACCTTACAGGCCATCAATAAAAGTACCCTGGAGGGTGGTGAGGAAGCAACTCAGGGTATGCGCATTGTCGCAGCAACAGGGGTAAGTCATTTTTCCTCGATGTCCACTCTTGTTCTGAACACGGCTGACACACATACTAAACAGGCACTTCCCGCCAAACTCCGATTGAGACTCAAGATCTCATATTCAAAAGCTGGTGGAGCGATGGTGACAGATCAAGTCGATTGGACTGAACCTTGATGGTTCAACCCGAGAGAATTTATACACTTCATGAGTTCCAGAGCGAAATCATAGCGAAACAATCCTGAAAGCGTTCCTCAGCACTTCGAAAGCTCCGTTGTTCACACATGCATGAAAAATGATCAATAGTACTTCAGATATACCACTCCGGATTTCACGCGAGCTGCTCACTTTGGGGCCCTGCCTTCATAAAATCATACTACCCACCTCTCTTTCTATCAATGCCGCCCACGACCGTCATCTTCGGCAAACACTCGGCTGTAGTTCAGCATTATTCTTCACTGCCAATCTTGTACATTGCCATCCTTTCCCGACGCCAGCCGCAGTCTCGGCTGTAGAATCAGCGGAAACTCTTCCGCCCCCAGACTTTACCTTACCTTCACTATCCTGCTCCTTTCTCCCACAATCACTCGTGCACGGCATGATTTTCCCGAGCTGAGCCGCCAACTCCATTAATTAAATGTCTTTCTTTTGGAGACATAATGGTGTGCGGAAGACCACCGGTTGTGGTTATTTTCCAAGGTCTGAGAATACCAACCATTTGCATGCCACAACATCTTTTATCTCGGTCATTCTGTTTCATGAACCAAATACTCCTTAGCTCGAGTCGTCTGTTGAGCATAAATGTCGCATATCATTAGCTCATGGTGATGTATACCTAGAGCTCAATTTCTCAAAGCAGCCCTGTTTGCTCGGTTCATTCTCTTCTTCCTCTGAAACTTCTATCATATCTTTCATCTATGTTCATCACTCTTACTCTGAATCTTTCCTTCTGAACTTCTTCTTTCCCTTTCCATTCGACCAGCTAGCTAGGTGGACCGCATAGAGGGCAACACGAAGCAAAATGCTTCTCCCAATACTCATCTATTCTCTCCCCCTCACAATACTCTTCATCCTCTTCAAAAACCAATCCTTACTTCCATCCAGCATACCAGGCCCCATAACCGCCCGTTTCACGAACCTGTATCGAGCTTACCTCGTATACCGCCGCTCACCACACGAAGTTCACCTGGCCTTGCACAAAAAACATGGCCCACTTGTCCGCATCGGACCAAACGTGGTATCGGTATCTGGATCGGCTCGCTACATCCCACAGATCTATGGCATCGGAAAAGGGCTGATCAAGTCCGACTTCTACAGTTGTTTCCAGAACATCGTCAACGGTCGGCGAGCGGCGAGTCTTGTGGCTTTAACAGATGAATCGGAGCATGCGAAGTCGAAACGACTGATCGCTCACGCTTACAGTCTGAGTACTCTTGTTGAATACGAGGGCCTGGTCGATAGTACGGTCGACGTGTTCTTGGCGACGCTTGAAGCGAGATTTATTGCCGGGAAAGGCACCGATAAAGCTCCAATCCTCGACCTCGGCCGCTGGCTCCAGTACTTCGCCTTCGACGTGATCGGCGAACTGACGTTTTCTCGACGCCTGGGTTTCATCGAGTCCGGAGAAGACGTGAACAGCATCATCTCCGCAATCGGTGCCAACTTCGAGTATTTCAGCGTGCTGGGCCAGATCCCGTGGATGGACGAGGCCATCTTAGGCAAGAACCCCATCTATATCAAGTACTTCCGCAAGGGCATCAGCTCGCCCATTCTGCAGTTCGCACAATCTCTCCTCAAGGAGCGGTTGCAGCAAATGGACGAAGGCGGAAAGGATGAAATTTCTTCCTCGTTGGAGAAACCGGATTTTCTCAGCCGATTCTTGAAGATACGGCAGGAGCAGGCGGATGGCGAGACACCCATGACTGATGGACATTTGATGTCCAACCTGTTTCTGAACATCAACGCGGGCAGCGATACAGTGGCCTCGACTCTACGAGCGATCATCTACCACACTTTGCGAACCCCCGGGTCGCTGGAGAAGCTCATCTCAGAGCTCACCACGGCCGCCGACGAAGGGACAATCTCAACTCCCTCGCCAACATGGCATGAAACACAGCATCACCTCCCATATCTCTGCGCTGTGGTCAAGGAAGGTCTACGCATGAACCCGGCTCTCTCCTTACCACTCGAGCGCGTCGTCCCACCAGAAGGTCTCAATCTCAGCCACGACGACGGAACCTCCACATTCCTTCCGCCGGGCACCATCGTCGGCATCAACCCGTGGGTCTTGCATCGTTCACCTGGCGTGTTTGGCTTCGAGGACGATGTCGAGCAGTGGAATCCCGATCGCTGGCTTACGGAGCACGAGCAGCAGACGAAATCTATGGAACATGCGCTGCTCGCGTTCGGAGCGGGTAAGAGAAGCTGTCTGGGGAAGAATATCGCCATGTTGGAATTGCATAAGATTGTTGCAGCGCTGTTCCTAAAGTTTGAGGTTGAGCTTGATGATCCCCAGAGGGAGTGGGTCGTGAGTAATGCGTGGGCATTGAATCAGACAGGACTACTGGTGAAGCTTAAATCGAGGTGATGCAAGAGTTTCTGATGAAACGAGTTGAGATTCAGTGACTCTAATTCTACCCAACCACCAAACAGCTTCACAATCTTCGCAGGGGATGGAGAACTCGACCGTGGAGACCCCTGAGATACTCACGTTCGACACCTGTCTCAGGGCAATTCCATATCAATCCATTCTCCAGGACAGCGAGGAGAATAACTGACAACGCTCGTCTTGCACTCTTCATCAAGACCTAGCAACGCACGCGAATATCAACGTGGGTCTTCCCAAAAAGGCGCCTTGAAGGTCCATCATCGGTACCGAAGAGAGCCGTCGAATGGCCCTGATCGCTTTCTCGCCGAGCTCCTTCTTAGCTTCGATCCCTGCGTCAGTCAGATTCGCCTCGTCCCATGTAGCGAGCTGCTGTTGTACACAGAGCCAGCATCTGATGCACTTGTTCGAAATTGTAAGGACAAGCAAACCACACCCACGAAGGAGAACCGTCCGAATACTTGGGAATTACACGTACCACATCATTGTTCCAACGTGCCAAAGTCGAGCTGAGGCTGTGTTGCTCATGGAGCTGATCTTCATCTTCATCTCCAGGCAGATACTCAGTGAAGAGATTCCACTCATCCGTGTCCTGCGGGCCATCACTCTCGAAGGGAGCAAGCATCGTGGTCAACAGCATGTATTCGTGCATTCCAAGGCCTTCGACCTTCTCATATGTGAAAGACGAAGATCCCGAATTTCTCAACAGATTACTGAATGCCGTAGATATATCGGGTTCTGGCTGTTCGCCGGCATTTTTATCGATCCATCTCCCTCGTTGCGCTTTCCAATTCAGCAGCAGCCGTTCCGCGCCTCCGTCCAGGAGGTAGTTTCCACTGATGACATTTTTGGCGCTGAGGCCGCGAAACCGGTAGTTCGATCGAGTCAGGATCTGGAGGCGGTCGAGAAACTCCACGCGGGATAGATCGGCAATCTTTTCAAAGCACTTGACGTGGTACAGGTCTGCAAACGAACGAACACCGGCCAGCATGTTAGCTCAGTCTCGCACCAGCCTGTAATACCAGACAAAGGAGGAAATAGGATGCGAAGAGAACAGAACGATACCTGAGGTTTTATTGGAACCACGCAGCCAGGACGGACCATTCGTCCCCGGATTGACAGCGACACGGTAAATTCCAGGTCGAATGATCTTCGTGCAGCACGGAAGCCTGCACTTTGCACCGCCGCTCGTCGAGTTGGGCGCGAGTTCAACGAAGAACAGAACAACGTGGTCGGGACTTCGGTCCCTTGAAGTGACCTCATCCTCATCCGACTCACCTTCCAGGCCTACGTGGCGAAGCATTCGACGAGTCTCTCGCTCGGTAATTGCCTGCCGTCCTTGCTGTTCCATTGTATTTGCAGAGGAAGCCTGGCCGGTTTCCTGCTGTACTTCACGGACAGTGGCGTCCATTGTCATGTCAGGGAGAAGGAAGGGGCGATCACCAAGCTAAATGGCCGGAAAGGAATATTGTCGTTTCTGCTGACTCGCGACTTGATGGATCATATGTGTGTATATATATACATCCTACACGGAGAATCCAACCGCTAGTAAAGCGTCTCAATATCGAGGCAAGACTAATGCCTGCTGAATGCGCAGAAACTGACAATCTCCCAAAAATGCACCATCCCGGATTGATCCGTTACATGACAGCCCACTCACTGCCCAGGCTAGATAGGGGTCAGCGGCACGCGCGGCGGGATCATTGGACGAGTCACGCAGGCGACAGACCGGTGGCCACGTGAACGACCCCGTTGACCTTGATCTTGCGGACTTCCGGCTAGACTGGCCTGGAGGGAGGCCCGGGGAGCAGAGGAGGAGGTGGAGGAGGAGGAGGGCCAGCCATGTCCGCACGTATTCATATACCCCCATGTCCATGTCCATGTCTATATTCAGATCTATATTAGTTACATGCCCAGGGCCACGTCTGCAGGTATATCCTAACACTCCCAATGCACACATGCTGAGGTCTGAAGATGACGGAAGAATCAATTTTCTGTGATATACTAGTAGATTACTGGGTATGTGAGCGAATGCTGATTATTACCTACCGCCCCCAGGCTAACGTAACTCTTGGACCCGTGTCTTGTTGGATCATAACCAATTGAGCCCACCCACACAAAGGTCGCTGTCCCTTTGACCATGACCTTGACCATTTGCAGGACTAAGCCTCTGTTCACGTGCTAATATGCCCCCGGCCTCAACCCTCTGCGTACCGACTTCCATGTCGATCTTCTCAATAGCAGTGGAAGAGGTGCGAGTACCACCTTCACCAGTGTATTCTGTATCCAAAGCCACTTCATGATACATCACCTCGGCATGCTCATGCTCCTCCATGTTCGCACTCATCCGTCGCACCCGCGTCTCCCGGCCTGAATAAGCATCATGGTCGTGACCATCGGCACCCAACTCATCCAGACATGGAGCACCAAGACCCCTTCTAGTCCGGCTCCCACGCAACATCTCACTCCCACAACCAGCCACAGCACCGCCCGCACCAATCACACCAACCAAGACCCTCAGCGCGCGCCAAACATCCTCATCCCAGCCCGCGGAGCCACGCACGGCCTCGACAAGGCGCTGGCCCACGACAGCGACGCTGACGGAGACGGATTCGGCGCGTTTCTGTAGCGCGTGTTCCGAAAGACGCAGCGAGGTCACGTCCGGCGTGTTTATGCCAAGCATTCGCTGTGCTTTGTTGGGGATTGATGTGTTGTTGTTGCTTCTCACAGTGCCAGATGGATTGCTTTCGCGGCGGCAGTGATAGTGGTTTATCGGCATGTTGGAGTGCGGGTGCAATTCACACCCACTGAAGAATGATCTTGAGCTGGAGAGGGTCGTAGAACGGAAGCTCAAGCCAGAATTCAGCCTCGATCTTATGTTGGGTGCCTCGGAGCTTGGTGATCCTCCTCGCACACCTTCAAAGAACAGATCGATGAGTATCCATGCAGCCAGGCTCTCAAGCAGAGTAGTCGACGTACTTGGAAATATCCTCTTCAGGGCGTCCACATACTTCTGGGCTGGTACATTCGAGGGTCGAAGTTCCAAGACCGTCGGTGAAGAGAGATTGAGGGGAGTCGATGGGAAGTGATCAATAGCTTGGGTGACGGCGGTGAGCACGCGATTGAGGCGATGGAGTTTGCGAAGGCGTGTGAGTGTTGCGGGACGGTGAGTTGGTGAGATATCTAATGACGAATTCAGGAGGCGATGGGAGTGTAAGTCTTGCTGGTTTTGACGGTGGAGATGAGACTGTTTGTTTGGGCGGGGGAAATCATCAATCGGCCATGATTGTGAGTCGCGGTGATGATTCTGAATCTGGTGCTTCTGAACCTGGCTGTGGCCTCTACTACTATTCGACCTTTTCAATCTCCTTCTGCTGCGCGTCGAATCTTCTGATGTAGATATTGATGCCGAGGAAGCACCGAACGGGTCTACAAGCTCTTGTAAGCGTTGCAGAGTACTGCTGAAGATACTGCTATCTGAACGACTGGTCCGTGTTCGTGAAGGAAAACTTAAGGGTGCAGGCACAAGATTCTCCGAAGATGGAGAGATTTTACCGCAATTATCTTCGACATGAGATCCAGCATACGCCGCCGTGGATATACAGGAGTCAATACTGATATGCTGGTTCGATGTGTCCTCTTGTCCCGGAGTGTCGTAGGGACTGAATGCTGAGATCTCCAATGGTCTTTGGATGGGTGTACTTGGACGAATGTCGCTCGGCATGGTCTGTTCAAGTACAAGCTCTCCATTGTTCATATCCTCGTAGACCACTTGGGAAATCTCTGCTTCTTGAGATGCTTGACTTGAAGGAGGTCTTTGGATTTGGACAAGTTTGGGCTTCCCCGGGCCGACGAGAACGGTTGCTATCATCTGTGGGGGAAAGTGTCAGTGCCGAATTCACAAGTTCATTACGTTTTTTGATTTCATATCTTACCACTTCGTCTTCTCCCGCACCCTTGAAAGTGCTCGTCCAAGGTTGTTGAACTACCTGGTACAATCTAGTCTTGAACCTTCGCATCCTCTCCTGGTGAGAAGTGGTATTGGCCAACCAGCCGGACTCATCAGAGCAGATTGTTTCGCAGTATTCCTGCCCAGATGGTGTGACAGGTATCGATTCAGACGCGGTGCTCTGCTCTTCATCATCAATCTGAGTGTCATCTGAAGCCCATGAGTCTCTTCGATACCCGCTGGTTGGTTGCTTGTGAGTTGGAATGTCGTCACAATAGTATGTCAGTATTTCTTCACTGTTGATGGAGTCTGTGTCTGCCAACGAATCACGCCATTTGCAATGGTTGTGGAGGTTGAAATATCTTCGACTTGGTTCGTCGGGTCCACGTGAGATCGGGCTCGGAAGAAGGGGTGTCCCAGGACGGGAATTCGCTTGTCGTTGAGCAAACGCCCGTAGGTCGTAGTAACTCGTCGAAGTTCTTCGTAATCCAGGAGATGCGTTCGGGATGGAAGGGCTAGTTTCCGTGACGGAAGGACAATCGGGAAGAAGAAGTGGGAAAGGAGCCTTCATCTCCACCACAGATGGACGGATTGTCGTGGTTCGTGGTCGGTCATGATATCCCACAGGTTTTGATATGATAGATTTGGACCGTCGGAAGAGATTGGATAGTTGCAATTTCGGCCCATGACGGGCTTGAGGCAGAGACGGAGAAGCTGGTGGTGTCATCTGGCCTTCGTTCATGCAGTGAGTCAGGCGAAATGGCGAGAGGCCTTGTAAAGGTGCCATCTCGGTATCAAGTTTGGCCAGAGAAGCTCTTGGTCGGGGTTCCATCGTGACTATGTAGCGTGCCTACCCAGGGATATTTACGAAGGTAGATTTTCAAGTCCAAAGATCCTCGATGTGGACTGGATGAGACATATATCCATAGGGGGAAAGATCAATTTGTTCATATTTGAGAGCGCGTATCCGCGTGTTGCAAATCCAACCATAGTGGCGTTGACGAACCCGAGTTCGTGGACAGCCGCGTTTCGATGTTGTAAAGATGGACACTTCCCTTGCATGAGATGTCGTGAGGGTTACCCGCCACGGGTAGAAAGGTTGGACCAGCCACCACGAGGGTTGCGAAGGAAAAGGAAATTCATCCCTTACATCGGGCGGGGTCCGCGGTGAACAAGATCTATGAAACAACTTCAAGACATGCAAGTTTCCGTCCAGGCCGAGATTTGAAAGGAGACATGCTTCCTTCTAATTGTCATGTCCTTGCAGTAATGAACAAAGTGATTCAAAGATGGTGATACACAGTTACACCAAGCTGGTGCCAAGGCTTGTCATATTGAAATTGCCATCGTGAGGAGGAAATTTCCAGCAAGGTGAATATTTATTTATTTCATGTAGTTGCACACTTCTAAGAAGGTCGCATGGTATCAAGTTGCTGATGATTGAAAGCGGTACCTTTCTGAAAGTAAGGGGTGCGCCATGATGTGATGCCATATGTCAGATGCTATAAGATAGGAAAACTCACTGCTACTGGTGCAGACTGTATGAATTAGTATTGATCATCCGTCGCTGGCCGTAAGATTGTCGAACACTGACCAAGAGACAAGAGTCGGGAGGGTTCACATCTTGATAATTGATGTTGTCTAAAGCGCTCAAAGGTCTATTGATAGATAGCGGTCCTGATATGCTGAACAGCCAAACAAACAAGTCTACATATGTTCAATGGGGTCTTCAGGTAGAAGATTCTGGCGCTCTTCCAGATTTTCTCCTCTGGGTAGAAGAGCTTTGATGGGTGGTCTGACCAGGTCATTGAACATAAAAGTTCCGTAGACCAACTATCGCTATGATTAGTACAAATTCTCGGGAGTTGAACCAGTTGAAACTTACCAATGCGAATCCAGCGACTTGTAACCACTTGAAGGTTTCCCAACCAAGACCGAGCGAGACTATCCAAATGAACAGAGTTCGACAAGTATCGATAATGGATCTCGAAGTTGCTGAAATACTTCTTGTGACGGACAAGCCGAAGAAGTTGAAGCCTCCAATGGAAAACATGATGGCTATGCTTGTGGTGGCAATGGTTCGATTTGTCAACATCTGGCGGTAACCTTCCTCGGCGTCGAAATAGCCATATTTACCCTTTGCTGAAACGCCAACCGTGAAATGTAGGATGATTTGCAGTAGAACCGTGACGACGAAACCAAAAAGACCTTCCCAAGCAACCACTCGCAGGGGTTCCAGAGCATAGTTTTCCAGGATCCATTCCTCAACACAGAACTGAGTAGCGGTAAATACCTGGGCAAAAGCTATAAGAAAGATCCCCAAGACGGTCCTCAAGACAGCGGGTTCAGAGGCTTGCCCGATAGTATCTCGGATGGCATGTAGGGCGGTATGCAGAAGCTCGTGTTGATCGACCTTGGAAGGAGAGTTCTTGTCACCCGAGTAGATGGCACCAGCCAGACCGACCAGGGCGACGCCCAAGACTACAATAAAGAGTGAGACCCAATGGTATAGGAAGAGCTTTCTCTTGAGGAAAATGACACTGAATAGTCCCACAAAAAGGACAAGAGCGCCTCTTGTCATCTGGTATATCGAAGCAGCCACGAACAAGAGACCGACATTCATGAGGGTGGTGCCGGTGATATCGCAGCAGGCGGGGATTGCTAGTAAGGTGATCTTGTAACCAGCCAAGGGAGCTCGATCATCGGCATTGGGTACGAGAGGCTTCAACGCGGGACTAGCGGCGTCTCTAGATCTGGTGGGTGACAAGGGTTCACGCTCATCTTCGTCATGATCGTCGGTATTTACAGGCTGATATAGAAGAGGAGCGTCTGAGGAGCGGAGGACAAAGTATCGATAGAGGAAGGCACCTCCGAGGACAAGCCAACTACCCATTTCACCAATGAACATTTGAACTCTGCAGGATGAAATGTTAGCAGAGGCCGGGCGGCAAGGAGCCAGGGTAGCCAGCTCACGTTTGAATGACAGGCTGCTCGAAGTTGTGACGTCTCGAAGGGTCAAGGTCATGACAATTCCGGACACACTGCTGATCTTGATATTTGGTGAGGATGGTATTAGCACATCCTGTCAGTAGCATCATTCCCACCAGGAATGGAATAATTGCTGGGACCGCCATGGTGAAGTGAGATGGGCAGGTTGGAGGAGGACTAGGATGAGTGTGCCTGGTCGGTGTGGAGGGTCAAATGACAGGATGGATAGCAAGCAGCAAAAGAGAGGACGGGATTCAAACAGAGAGAAGAATAGCTGAGATGTTCATGAGAGGTGCATGGTATTGATGCAATGCAGTGGATGTTGGAGATGGGGGTGTAGGTGAAGCAGAGGTGCAGGCGCCGGTGAGGTAAGGGTGACCATGAGCGTGACTGCTTATCGGATCGGAGAAAAGCGAGGGGCCGAGGGACGAGGGACGAGGGCCGATAGGGAAGGAACCAAGCTGAGGTGCCCAGGTGGCAGGTGCAGCTCGAACCCCGTGGGCCTTGCAGTTGCCTGACAACGCATGTGGAGCTGCCTGCCCCCATACCCACATAAACAATGGAGTGCCGTGCAGCGCTTCTTGCGAAGAGTCCAGGCGGGTTGATGAGATCAATCACATTTAGAAAGAGGCAGAGTGAGTCAACGGGTTAATGATATATATGCACACCATCTCATCCATGCGTAACAGCTAGATAGAAACATTCGTCCTATAGGTACAGCGAGAAGGCAGCCAACAATGCACATGCAACTAACTCTCCTTCCAGTCCTTGCAATATACAGACCAGATTCTTCCCAACCGTAGCTCTTCCTCCGGACAATCTGCATCCTGACTGTCGCCGATAACATCGTATGACCCTGCTGTTCAAAAACCAAATCAACGCTCTCGTAGACTTCATCGCTAGATAGTCAAAAAAAGCATTGCGATTCCAATCCCAATAACCGAGTCCTAGTTCCCTCCGTGGCATCCATCATTCAGAGCCTCGTGGCATCCATCATTCAGAGCCTCGTGACATCGCCCTGCCAACCCGTCTCTTTCTCAGCCCCCTCCGCCTAGCAGTCATCAATCATGCACCGAATAAACACGACTCGGCCGCCGAACACTCGACACACTGCCACCACTGCGACTCCTCCTCCGCCGTCGACTGCCATTACTCCGGACCTTGCGCTCGACCACGACCTCCTGCGAGCCGACGCGATTGTTCTGAAGTATCGAATTAAACAGGTAAATGATGAGGAGCGTGCCGAAGAATGTTCCGAGAATCGCGCCCGCCAGCGTGCCGCCCGAATACTGCCCTGAACATGACGGTGCGTTCGGCGCTTGCACGACCGTCGTCGTCGCTTGCCGTGGTGTGAGCAGCGCGTGCGTCCCGGGGAGGAGAACCGTGGGATTAGGTGCCTGAAGGTGAAGAAGCGAGTGTCAGCAAATACTGCGATGCGATGCGATCGAGTGCGGGGGTAGGAGCGTGTCTTGAAGGGGCCGTGCAGCTGGATGGCGTATCGCTTACCATTGTTTTCTCGTCAGCTCATGTAGATTGTATATAATGTATTTGTATATGAATGCGACAGAAAAGTGAGAATGGTCGCAATATGTGTGTCCTTGTTAAGGGAGAAAATGTGCGCGGCGCAGAAAGGCAGTTAGCTTGCCATGCGAGGGCCTTGGTTAGCGAGCGACTAGGTGTTTCACGGAAGATGACCGTTTTGGGAGATGGACTGCGAGGTTCGCTTGATGACAGTGACAGTGCAACTCTGGAGTTGGAGGTTCGGAGTTTGGAGAAAGCTGAGTAGAAGAACTGTTCTTCGGATGAACTAGGAGTAGGAGAATCAAGTAATACCCGTGGTTGACAGGTGAGACATTCAAGTTCCCTGAAACCGAGACTCGAGAAGCTGCAAAAGACGAATGAATGACTGCTTGGGGCTGGGGCAGAAAAGCAATTAAAACAGCCAACTTATTTACAGATTCTAAATTGAGATTCAAGACTCGGGAAATACGAATGCTACGAATTCAATTTGACGTCAGAGAGTGACCTCGGCCTCTTCCACAAGATCATAATAACCTGCTAAATACTTGTAGCTGACCTCGTCGATCAATCGCATTCAATTGTTACAAATCCTCCGGATCATTCATCCTGTCTCTCCGGTCAATCGTGGCTGGGTAACCATAGGATATCCATTCCGGGCCTTTGTACATAGACAGACGTCAGTCTTTTGGGCCACTTCCTCAGAAACAACAGAATGGCGGAGTTCTTCTCCGTTGGTTACAGTTATAGAACCCGCCGGGACTAATTCCTCGGTGACTACGGAGTACCTAGGTACTTAGCTAAACCATCAATAGCTTGGTATGATATGATAGCCCTGGCATGAGTGACCCATTTAGACGGAGCTCCCTCTCCGTCGAATTAATGCTCATGACCCGCGGAGCATCTTTCCGAGGTGGCATGGCCAGTGATGTTCGTTCACATGTTCGCCATCTGCCATCCACACGAATCCGCCGGGCCAAAGGTGTCCATTCCACCCCAGTAACATAAATGTCCAACCGTGTCCAAAAGATCGTGCAGTTGAAGGCCTGACCAGCCTCCTGAACCGCTTCCGCCTGAGTCTGTGCGGTACCGTTTGCCCGCTCGAATAGGGCCATTTCAGCAGTGATCCAATTCCTCCATTTCTTTCACCGGCCATAAGCCCCAATCGTCTCGATTTAATCTCGGGTCAAGACTTTTCCCAGTCGCGAACTCGTATCTTCAAAGCTGTTCCGCCGACCCCAGTTCTTCGGCTGCCGCTTCAGAAACGCTCCCACCGAACCCAAATAGCCCTCATGCCTGAGGAAATACGCCTGTTTCTGGCCCTTGGACCAGAACTTGATGGCATACGACAATGTATTCATCGTCTGCGTGTGTCCCCGAATAAATGAGCCTCCGAAATATATGTGTTGCAGATCATGTTTTTCCGACTGCAGGTAAGCAATCTGTCCGATGTTGTTGGAAATCGCGAAGAGCAAACTCCGCGCCATGTCCTGGATCTTGAATCCTTCTTCCGTTTGTTCTTCCTCGCCGTCGCCGCGCGGATCTCGATTGAAGAGTCCTTCGCCGTCTTCCGCATTTCTCTCCGCCATGCGTTTCATCCGAAACACCTTCCCAAATGTGCTGGCAATGGTGGTGCTCTTGAGGCCGATCTTGCTGTAACCCGTGCCGTAGATGTCTCCCACAAGCATGTCCACGCCACTGTTGTCTCCTCTTTCGGCCAATGCCAGCATTTCGTCGAATGTTCTTGCTCCGGTGAGCAGAGATAGAATACCCCAGAATGTGCCACCTCCCAGCGACGTACCACCCACTCGCTCGAATTCTCGGGGTCCGGACACTTTGACCATAGACACACCTGAGCCTATATTGACCAGTAAGTAGGGATAGATGTCGGCGCGTGCTTCTGCGAATTGCATGGGCTCCTCTTCGCTGTAGGTGAAGACTTCTTGTGGTATTTCCGTGATGAAGAAATCGAGGCCTGTATCAATCTGCGGTCAGATCACAACACACCATGCGATGGTTTTATCGGAGCGCATCTTCTTACCGATGATGAGACACTCCATCTCGTCCTCCTGCACCACATCGACGTGTAGGACCTCCTTCATGCGGTTGTAGAATTTGAATGCACCTCCTCCCGTGGCCATCACACATAATTGCTGGGGCGTCGACCCATTAAGTTTGGACTGCTTGATCTTCAGCTCGTGAATGAAATCTATGCACAGATCGATCCGGTCGGTCTCGAAGTTGAGGAAGTTCAGGCGGCCACCGCCATCTCTGGACCCGGGCTCGCGGGAGAAGTAAACGAGTTTGGCGAGGGAGCCACCGATCTGTGCATTCCGTCTTATCAGCGTTGAGTTCATGGAACAGGGATAACTGGGGCAGGGAAGGGAAAACACACATCTACCGCAACATGGCTCACTACATCGGTGTGATGGGGCAGGCGAATGTCTTTATGTTCCCAATGCACATGCTCGCTCCCCACGCCATTCCGGTCGCCGATCTCGTCATCATCGACGATGAACGCACCCTCCACATTTATTTTGACCGCGGCTGCGCTCGGAGGTTGGCGCACCGGTCGGTCGAGAGCATCTCCGTCTGCGATGGCAGAGAGGTCTTGATTTGGATCTAGGTCTGTTTCCTCAACATCGATTGCAATCTCCTCCAGGGTTGTCATGGTGGGAGGGCGACGGTAGAAGGACGTGATCACCGGGGTAGGCCATGCGATGACTCGGAGTCAAGGGTGCAGGGCACTTCACAGTTTCGTCGTGTGACACGCGGGGCCGTGAATTTTGGATGCAAACGCGGGGGAATTGTTTTATTTTAGTTGGAAATTATATTGTTGAACGAGGGCGGCTTAGTCATTGTTCGATCCGGCTGGCCGATCAGAGTGGGAGGAGTCAGTAGATGTTTTTGTTATGTGGGAGTCGTGTTTAATGATCTAGGACCAGTGCAACTGCAACCTGACAAACAAGCTACCGTAGTAGATCAATGTTGTATTTGAAAATCAATTTTTTTAAGCTGGCCGAGGACTCACCTCGGTCATATGCAGTACGGCACCTAGGCCACAGGCTTTTGGTGATTAATATTGTTATCTTCGGAGATGACGCGGGTATGCCGTTCATTCTAGTTAAGCCAGCCGTTTTCAACCCCGCGCTAGCGAGCTTTCCAGTTAAAGGACTTGAGCGAGCCGCGGTTAAAGTGAATACCCCGAGGGTCCCTACCCAGGTAAGCTTTCCGGGCCGATAACGACGATTGCTACTCCAAGCCCCTCTACTCCGCCGTGCTCCATTTAGTTCACTACTAGAATCAGACGACAATTTCGTGTACATGTCTGGCAACCTTAGTGTGCTAATCCATCATACTACCTAGTAGACCGTGCAGGCACAATATTGTTGTAAGTGTGAAATTGGTGTTGCATTCTCTTTTAAGGTGTCATCTGTTGTGTGTGAGTATAAAAGCACAACACAACGGATGGCCTCGAGCTTCCTGTTTGACGATCTGGGCAAGATCGCGTGGAGAGGAATCTTGGTTCTCTACTCCAGCTCACAAGTAAGTAGCAACAGCCTCCCCCAACACCTCCCGCCTCACGGTGATGCCCAAACCCGGCTCCCTCGGCGCCGTCACGTACCCATCAGTGACCGCAAAATCCCCATCCGCCGTCTTCACCGTCACCATTTCCCTACTTTCAAGCACGCACCTCAATAATCGCTCCGGCACCGTTTGCGCGAAGTGGACAATCGCCGCAAACGCGACATCTGAGCCCGCCGTCTCCTGCACACAAAAAGTATATCCGGCCGCCACGCAGATATCCCTCTGCCTCCGGGACTTTGTAAGCCCACCACTTTTCGCAATCTTAAATCCGATCCCATCCACGGCATCGTCGGCGATCATCTGCGCCAGCGACACGTCCGTGGTAGCTAGCTCGTCTAAGTGTATGGGCACATCGGTACGGCGACGGAGTGAGAGGCATTCGCGGTAGCTGGCGCAAGGGGCTTCGAGCACGAAGTCCAGTCCTGGCGGAAGGAGACGCAGAGTTCGTAGCGCGGACTCGACGGTCAGGCCACCGTTGGCGTCGACGAGGAAGAACTCCTCGGGTTGAGCTTCTGCGAGGCAGGCGGTGATGCGAGCGGCGTCCGCGGCGGGGCTGTCGGCTGCAAGTTTGATGCCATATCTCTTGTAGCCACGCTTGCGGTAGTCGGCAATACGGGCACACATGTCGGAGGGAGTGCCGGCGTGTATAGAGGAGATAACAGGTAAAGCAGCACTGGTGCGGCCTCCCAGAAGGTCGCAGACGGGCATGTTGACGGATTTGCCGAAGATGTCCCAGCAAGCGACATCGAGTGCGGTTTTGGCGTGCTCGTGGCCGGTAAGGGCAGCGTCCATGGCGTCGTTGATGCGATCGACATGACGGGGGTCAAGGCCGATGAGGTGAGGGGCGATCTCAGCTATGCCGGCGCGGACGCCGAGAGCATGTGCAGCAATGAAATTGGAGCCGAATGGGGTGCTCTCGCCCCATCCTTCAATGCCGGTGTCGGTCGTGATACATACCAGGGTCGCATCGAAGCTGGTATAGGTGCGCCCACCGGAGAGGTGATAAGTGCCGCCGGAGTAGGGTAGGTCGACCTGGTATACATCAATGCGAGCAATCTTGAGGTCTTGCATGATCATTTAAGCTGTGCTGGTCTGTTCCGTTGACCTAATATCTTTTGAAGAACTTTCATATCCGGCCAAGTTTCATGCTTGGTGGTGCCGAAGCGTTTTCAGCCGCCGTGGAAGAATACAGAGACATTTTCTCATCCATATGAGAGAAGTCCATGGCTGACAATTATGTAGAACGACAACGGGGACATTTCCCCTTTTTCGGCAAGGGAATGGAGAGCCTCGTCGGATAGCAAGAGTCGGTTCCTGATTGGCTGTTCCTGCTCATCTTCGCCCAAAGAGGAAACCTTGGATCCTGAAAATGGGGAAGAGATGGCATCATAGTCTCGCTCAGGGTCTGTAATTTATCAGCAACGCGTATGTATGTCACCCATATGTCCATCTGGGTGCCACCCCACGTGCAAATAAACCAACAATCATACTGGGAAATGACGTTTGATCAGCTTGGCACTCTGTGGCAGGCCCGACTCCTAACTGAGCTTCAGATATAAGCTTATCATGTAAACTTCTCTGGGTTGACACCTCGTGCCTCAGCCGTGACCAGATGACAAAATGACCAATTTATTACCCACGGAGCGACAAGCCTGGCGCCGGACAGATGACCACTCACCTGGCGCGGCTCGTCTGAAGCTGGTGACAGAGCCCTTGCCCAGAGAGTTGGCACCGACGGCCGTTCTGATTCAAGTCCACGCCGTATCGCTCAACTGGCGTGATGCCAACATAACCAACGGAGGAAACCCTTGGCCGGTTATCCCCAATGGGATAATCTGTAACGATGCCGCCGGAGAAGTTCTCGCCATCGGTCAGAACGTCCGGCGCGTTCGAGTCGGCGATCGCGTCGCACCTACCAATGACACCGAATACTTGACGCATCGCTCCACCGGTCGGTCTTGGGTGGCGGCGAACGAGGACGGCGTGCTTGCCACTTACATCGTGTACGACGAGGCAGTACTCGGTCATTTACCAACGTACCTATCATGGGAGAGCGCCGCGCTGATTCCCTGTGCTGGTGTTACAGCGTGGGCTGCTTTGAAAGATGTGGGGATTGGGAAGATTGTATTAATACAAGGTATGTCTTCCTTGTACTCTGTAGTTGTCGGAGAGCGTGGTCTAATGAACGCTTGACAGGCACTGGGGGCGTGAGCAGCTGGGCACTGAAGCTCGCGCGTGCATCGGGCCTGAAGGTGATTCTCACCTCCTCGAGTGATGAGAAGCTGGAGCACATGAAGAAGATCTTCGGTGCGCCAGAGATACAAACAATCAATTACAAGACGACGCCAGATTGGCATGAGAAGGTGCTGAAGTTGACGGATGGCATTGGTGTGGATCTTGTCATAGAGAATGGCGGCGCGTCATCTCTGGTCAAGAGCCTCAAGTGCACAAGGCGGGGTGGCATTGTTAGTCAAGTTGGATATTTGGGCAAGCAGCAGCCGGATAATTTGCAGGAGCTTGTGCCGACGATAATTGACCGAAGAGTGATCCTGAGGCAAGTCACATCTGAAAATGATTCCGCGGATGTAGTTACTGATATCAGTTTTCCAGGGGCATTAACTGCGGCCCGCCTGAATACATGGATGACATCTCCGCCGCTTTAGAAGCGACCCGGATGCAGCTCGACGATATCATTGACAAGGTATATCCGTTTTCGGAAGCTGAGGAGGCGGTGCAGTCGTTATGGGAAGGCAAGGTCGTAGGAAAGATCGTGCTGCGTCTCTGAGGTGGATCCCAAATCGCCCCTTTCACGTTTTTATTCCAATTACATTACATAGACCGGCAGAGGGTGATATGGTAAATAACCGTGGACTTCTAAGTCGTAAGCTAAGATGTAGCTTAAAAGCTCATAAGCTGACTGGAAATGTGTAGCAAACGTTTGTGAAGTGTGAGCAACTTCTCTCTAAGTATAGATTATATGTTTGTATATACGTATGTTGGTATAATCAGTTCTCGGCTCCGGACTCCAGACTCCCGAGGTATTTATCGTGCCGCACCTGCTCAAAAGTCTATGCTTCCCGGAACGTACATCATCGGAATAACTGGACAAGCGCAGCAGCCCCTCTAACCGAATTTAGCACACAGCAACTGGAAGAACCACTTGTCACCGGTATAGCCATTACAGATGTCCTTCAGATCACTGAGACCCCTTTGGACATCTGCCTCGGACAATATCTCGCTGCCGCTATGGCTCCCACTGCCTGAACTGGTACTGCCGGTGCCTGGTTCAGCCGTACACGTGGCTGGAATGAGTATAAGTTCGCTTTCGGTGCTTGTCCGTTTAGTCAGAACCCGGGAAGGCGCCTGTGGTTGGGTACTGCTGGCCACAGGAGAGTAGAATGCGACTGGGTAATCGAAGTTTGTACCGCGCTTGAGCCGCGAACTGGCGGCAGGGAGTATGAATGCATCTTCAGCCACGGAATGGTCTGGATGGCAGATTTCATCCGCATCTGGCAGTGTCCCGCTGATCCAGTATGCCGAGACTTTCTCGTCCAGGCACTTGGAAAGCTGCCTGTCGGAACAGTGGCCTGTACTGGTGTGTTGAAGGACTCGGCTGTTGACGAACCCGGAGCTGGCATTCTGCGCCGATATCAACGGAGTGACAGGGTCGAAGTGCCCATTGACATAGAGGATCGGTGATCGAGTTTTGATGTTGGTAAATGGACCATCATACTGCTCCTTCGCATTGACCTCCCACTTAGAGCAGCGAAAGAGGTACTCGATCATACGATCGCCACCAAACCTGCTTAGGCTTTCGTACATCTCAAGCCATCGCTGATAGTCCTGAAGTGTTCCGGGGATGTCGTCCCAATCCCCGCAAGTAACCCCCCACAGTAAATTTGGCGTCAAATTCTCTATCCCGAGTTCCACGGCGACCATAGGGTCGAAGTCCCTTTTCTCATGGTCAAGAGACATCGAAAAAGTCTTGTTTTCTACGTACGAAGCAAAATCGTTGGCTGTGGATATCCACTTGCTCGGGTCATAGAGTGCATTCAGCATTTGGTTCAGAAGTTGAGGGTAGCTGATGGCCGAACCATCTGGACCTTCCACGGTGTAGGTACTGTTCTTCACATTGTCAAACCAGTTGTAGAACATTTCTTGCAACTCCTGGCCAGAATATCCTTTTTTTGCCAACGCACAGAACGGCTGGCCAGCTTCTGCGCAAGCCTCAAAAAAGTTGAGCAGACAGGCATCGGTATCGTGAACAGTCTCTTCGTATGTACCATGATAATAGTCTGCAGGGTTGATATTGCCATCAAGAACCATACGGTCGATCTTCTCTGGGAACATTGCTGCTAGGGTATCGCCGAGTAAGGTACCATACGAGCTTCCCCAATATCTTATGAGGCCATCTTCGTTCAATGCCTCGAAAATAGCATTGATATCACGGGCCACAAACGCTGTACCGATAAGCTGGCCGTCCACTTTATAGTCTGATTCTCCACATCTCAAGCCCTGTTTTGTGAGATATGTATAGGCGTCTTGCAATCCCTTGGCATTGTTGTACGTGAGACTGAGCTCGAAATTCAGACCCGAATCCGACTCAGTGTTGGGACACCCATAGGGTATCGTAAGTCCCACACCACGAGGGTCGAAGGAGATAATATTATACAAGCCACCACTTCGTCTGCAAACTTGTCAGCATACGGCTAGGGCTCCACAATTTTTTTTTTGGCAACTGACTCTTGGTACCAGGTCGCTCCGTTGATTGTGTCGTTCACTCCACTTCCCCCTGGACCGCCAGGATTGGTCACAATTGACTTTGCATTAGCAACAGTGCTGTTCGCCGGCACCCGAACGAGAGACGGAGTGTAAGGATACCTGCAGTATCATCGGTATAGTCGAGAGGTACGTACAGTTCTCCACACTCAAGGGCTGGTTCCTCTTTGACGGGACATTTTTTCCACTGGATGCTCTTGTTTTTCTCAATGGTCCCGGTGTGGCGAGCATAGCCTGGAGGACAGTCCTCTCCGGTAACATACCCGACCACACAGAGAGTCAATGCTAATAAAATCCAGACCATAATGCTCCACGGTGGGTAGTTGAAAATTGAAATGCAGTAAATCAAACCGCGAGGACGGGAGAAACTGACATAGGCGCGCAACGGCATCCAAAGCTATTTACCTTCCTGGCCCAAAGTGCTTTGGGCAGATAAAGTATCCGCTTCGAGAAGAGGCCTTTGACAGCCCACTGGTGCACTGTGGATCTCCATACATACACAGGCGGATAGCAATGCGGCTGATGCAGCTCAAAAGGACAGTGCCTGCCTGCCACATCTGGTATGGAGAAGTCTTGTCTACCATTTTTGTTTCAGCTGCCAAGCATCTGAGCTCGTGGAGTTAAAAAGGAACAGGCAGCCTTGTGCTTTCTGAGGGCCCTCGATTGCCCCCGCTCGCCGAACGCAGTGAATACAGAGATGCCATTGTGCAAGAGAGTCCGAAATGGCTTGTCGGATGATCCAGAGCTCACCCGCTGGGTTTAACGAGGTGTAGAATACCAATTCCCAGGTCGGTTGTGGAAAACACTCTGCCAAGAAAAGTGGAAGCGGCGTGGGGCACCTGAGATACGAAGCTGTACTTGTTGTGAGTCTAAAGGCTGAGCCAGCTCGGTCTAGGCTCTGCAACTTTCTGTTTCTTCCGGCATTTTGCAACTCGTATTCGTTGTCAACTATTGTTACCACGTGAGTTCTTCATGCCCTGCACTTGCTTTTGCATTGGATACAAGTTTGCTCGCCGAGACTCGGACGAGAAGTAGTGTTAGGATAACTGCAGCTTCGTCGATATAACTGGGAGGGACTGCCTTATCTTTGTTAGAGTTGTTTCTACCATTGTCTCCTAGTATCGTCGGAACTCCTTAAGAATGGGTGATAAAGGACCGCTCATAGGCGACTATTACGATCAAAAGTCCTTCTACATGTCAAGTTCTAAGTAAAGTGAAGTGAAGTGAATTAGCTACCTAACCTATATAAGCGGTCAAGACGACTTAAGCGACTCTGCGAGGTTGATGAGTTGGAGGAGTTTGAATTGGATTGATCGTCGAGTGCGTCATCTTGGCATGATCTGATCCTGGCACTACTGTGCGTTGTGGAATGCTGATATCTAGAGCCTTTTTCTTGCCCTCACCCTATATAAAGGTAACCATTCAAGCCCGCTGTACCTCAGCTTCATCGCATCTACAATCACAACTGGAACGTGGTGAGTTATATTGCTGAGAGATCAGAGCACACATAATGGAGTTTGACCCAATCTATTCTGATGCTACGGAGCTTGCCCAGTTAATCCGGACACGCAAGATATCGCCCGTTACCGTCATACAGGCCCACCTTGATCGCATCGCAACCACGAACCCCAAACTCAACGCAATAGTCACAATCAACGAGACAGCGCTTGAAGAGGCTAGAGCTGCTGAAGCTGCTCTCGAGTCTGGCTCCCAAAAAGTTGGCCCGCTTCACGGCGTGCCTTTTACGGTCAAAGACTCCATCGACACGGCGAACATACTCACACAGCGTGGCTCACCCATCTTTCGCGGCCGGACGCCTGTGGAGGATGCTGTGAGTGTTGCGCGCATGAAGGCCGCTGGAGCGATCATACTTGCTAAGACGAACCTCCCTGAGTTTTCGTACTCGACTGAGAGCGACAATCTTCTCACAGGCCGAACGAACAACCCTTGGAACTTGGACCGGACCCCAGGAGGCTCCAGCGGAGGTGAGTCTGCAGCAATCGCAGCCGGCTTTTCTCCCATAGGCCTCGGTACAGACCTCGCAATCTCAGTGCGTGGTCCTGCAGCGCAGACTGGCATAGTGTCACTCAAGCCAACACACGGCCGTGTGCCAATGACCGGCGTGTGGCCACGTGAACCCCGACGCTTCTGGCATGTTGGGCCTATGGCACGTAGCGTCCGCGATCTGAAGCTTGCGTTTTCGATTCTTGCGGGTCCCGATGGCCAGGACGCCTTTTCTACGATTGGAGCCCGGCCTGACGCAGGTATAGGCTCATCTCCAGACCGACAACTTAGAGTCGGATGGCTGACAGGACCTGGATTCGGCCCTATAGATGGCGAAGTTCGGGCCACGGTTCAAGAAGCCGCAAAAGCACTCGAGTCTGCCGGTTGCGCCGTAGAGCCAGTCACAATTGCGGCTCTTGAACGTGACTTTGCGCTTGACGTATTTCTCCGTCTCCACGTCAATGAGATGAAGCCCGCGTTCGCAAAAGCTACAGCTGCGCAGCCAGAGGAGAGAATTTTCAAAATATCTCGCAATATGCTCAGCACTCCCGAGACATCAATGGCTGATTTCATTGATGCCGAACAGGCCGCAGACCGACTCAGGGATGGCTTCGCACAGTACTTCGAGCGCTACGATGCACTACTTTGTCCCGTTCTACCCATTCCTGCTCACGAGCATGGAGCGGATAAGCTGACTATCGATGGGCAGACCGTGGACCCAACGTATGTCATGGCAGCGACCGTTCCGTTCAATGTAACCGGCCTTCCAGCGTTGTCAATACGGTTCGGCACAAGTCAGGAAGGTCTACCAATCAATGTGCAGCTTGTTAGTAGTTGGTATGCTGAGTCAACGATCCTGCATCTTGCATCGATAATGGAGAATTTGAGCCCTGTGAAGGGCTTGCGTCCAGATATCTAGCAGGCTCAAACAAGAAGACCCGGATATGCCTGATAAGCCTGCAAGTGGTCTGTAGTAGAGTCATAGATTGTGCCTGTCGCCAACTGGTCTGGTTTTTAAGTGAACTGACTGTTGTTCATGTCGACTGGCTAGGTTGCGAAGATTACTGGCTCGAGCGCTACCATATTACATGTAGGCAAAATTCGATATCCAGTCTCTGGCAAAGAGTGGTTGCGAGCTCGTGGAGATCTCCTCAAGTGAATCCAAAAGAAAAGAAGTAATGGCTTATGGTACTGGCGAGTACAGCACAATTGCAGAGAGCCAAAAGGTTCTAGAGGAAAGGAGCTTTGGGCTGCTGGACCACTTGCTTATATGACAGGAGCACGGCCCGATTAAGGAACGTTAGTCCAGCTTCCCCTCTGAGCAAATCCAGCGAACAGGAACCAGGTACATGGCCCTGATTGCGATGGGCGGTGATATATGTCCACTGACCGCGGATTTTGAATCCGTACCGATGACTTAGGCTCCGACAACATTTCAGGGCATCGATATTGTTGGCGCTAGGATTGCGACTTGTTCTGTATGACGACATATTTCGATTTGCTGTTCGCTATAAGATCCAACCAACTGATACCGAGCTTGCAACGACTGTATCGGCATCGCAAGAGGGCGAGGCTCGTTACCGAGCTGCTGATTTTGTGTATGATTGAATAATTGAATGATAGGCACCGGGCTTGGTGTAGACTTTGGCCCTTCTATTTCTTCCGTGTTTTCGAACTCGTCTCCACTATCACGTATTGCTACCAGCTGGTTGACTAGCCAGGTAATGACGCTTGGTAGTTAACACTTTTAGTAAACGCAGGCTTCGTAGGAAATGCTTCCGATAGTGGCGTATTGGTGGCCAATTTAGCCAATGCCGAATACACTGTGACATGTCAAGGCAATCAAGCACTGCAGCAGTATTCAGTTCACACTCGCTACTCTAGCGTAGGCGTCTTGAACCTGGCGCCGAAGAAGGTCGAGAATAGTGTAGTGGTACTGCAACCCCTCTTTCGTCAACAGGTTCTGTTCAGGTGTGTCCACCTCTAATGTACTCTCTGGTTTACCGGCCAATTTGTTCCACAAAGCCCCGTAGTCCCATGAGCCCCAGCCAGATGGCTTCTTCAGTTCTGATGGTTCGACTACCCTGATTGGGGAGCACGTTTACCCAGTGATCGAACAATTCCTGAACGTTGGCTCCAGATATGCCCATCAGGCCCAAGTCGAGATCATTCTTGCCAGCTGTCTCGAGACCTGCAACACCTCCGAATGCGACAAGGACGTGCCTGTACTTCTGAACTTCGGGCTGGGCAAGAGCTGGTTGGGTGAGAACAGTTGGCAGAGCCTCACCTCTTTCTGAGGTACCAAATGATACATTGTACCCACCATCGAATGGACACTCTGTGAACACCGTGGACAGGCTTTTGCATGAGCGTACGTTAAACCCCCAATAATATCCCGTTTCCTCTCGTGGTGTGCTCGGCGCAACAGCCTCTGCTGTGGTCGAGGAAGGCTCACCGAGGCGGAGTGTAACACGAGTGCCTTGTGGAATCTCTGCTCCTTCCACAACTCGGGGCTCAGCGAGCCCAACATCGATCGATGAACCACTGGCGTCGGATTTCAAGACCACCCCTTCCCTATATTCGCACCACTCGTTTGCGCGCAAGTGGTGGGGCATATCAAGACTGGGTAAAGTGCCAGCAGTACGAAGATTTGGATGCATGGGAAACAAAGTTTTGCGGAGGTGAGGAGGAGTCTCAAGGTAAGAGAGTAGATGGGCCAGAAAGTGGCAAGGGTGAGAAAAGGCAGTGTAATCATTCTCACCTATAGCGTGACGTGTATGCTGGGTTTGCTTGTCTTCATCATCGAAGACGACAACTTCATCGACACAGAATACTGCCAGTGCTCTTGCGATCTGGCCGGCAAGATAGGTTTTCTGATCGTGAGACTTTGCATTGGCAATGATGCTTCCTGGGAGAGCGACACTGAGGGTGTGAGCACGTCCCCCAGAAGGCTGGAAGACAGCTGTAGGTTTTGACGTGTCGACTTGTTGGGACTGACCTCCAGGCTTTACATCACCAGCATCTCGTTTACGTTTCTTGTCTTTTGCCATGGTGAAATTTGACAGGTGAGGAGTGGTGAATAGTCGTCCCCTTTGAGACACAGAAAAAGAATGATCCGTGATTAAATTGGCATGATTTGGGACCCGCGTGGCCTCCTCAAACTCGGACTCGGAGCTGAAGAAAGAAAAAAAGGAGTGCCAAGCCATGTTAGATAGGCCGATTGCCGGAAATATAATTGGCCGAAGCGCAACCACTCAAGGAAGTCTAAAATGGGCGGGAAGATGAGCCTCTCCCCCAACTGGAAAGGTGGATGGTTTTCTGCAAGGGTGCCATTCCTGTTCTCCATACTCTTCTCAAGGACCCCGTTCCAGATCTCACTTTCTCACACCCTACGAGTAGCATGCCAGATACCAGAACTCCCTTCCCTGTACCAACAACTTCTCCTTCCTATTGCACTTCTTTTTGACCACTTCAACACGATTCCTTCACTCTTTACAGCGTCACTCACCATACATCCTCCCTGCCACCACCCTCACCTCACATCTCCTCCGCTCACTTTCTGCCCCCTTGTGGGCCCTCACGCGACTATGAGGATCGCCCCCAGGCACGCGCCAATCGTGGCCATTGTACTCACCTCTCTGCTCGCGTGCAATGCCTCAGACAGCCCGCTTCCCAAGGGTATGGGTGCCTCCAGGGGCATTCAAGAGGTCAGATCGATAAGTGAGGTGGTCGCTGGCTCTGGTTCCGGAGCAAATTCAAAATCAGCGCCTGTTGGTACTGAACACGCTCCCGTTGATGGTAGAGATGGGATGCCTCACGAAGGCCCATTCGTTGAAACCGGCGCGGAGAGAACGCGAAAGAAACAGATGTCCTACGACAACGAAGTTCCCCTTGATACCGACACCAAGAAGCAATATTCTGATGCCGAGATTCCCAAGTCGAACGATGCAGTCATGGATGATCGAATTAGATCCAATCCTGCTGAAGGTACCCGAGGAACAGAAGGTGGCATATCTGACAAGGGCAAAGAAGGAAAGCCCCTGGATAAAAAGCCCGACTCACCCAAAGATGCCAGACCGATCCCACACAGTGAAATGGAGAAGCTCCCTGTTAGGGAGAAGAAAGAACCTGAGCCTGTAGTGGAAGAGGACCCTAAGAAGGTACTAAAGGTGAGCAGCAACTAGCGAATATCCTGCGGATCCGGCTCGTTGAATCTAACACTCATGCAGACGCCAACAGACCTTCCAGAAAAACCGCATGACATTCCTCACCCGGAGAACCCGTCCTCGCCCAAGGACAATACAATTTTCAAAGACGTTCCCAGCAAGGGTGCTAAGTTAGACGACCACGAACCAGCTGTCATTCAACCTCTCCACTCCCTCCTTCTATCCTTCACTATGATCCTCTTTTCCGAAATTGGCGACAAGACTTTCCTAGTTGCGGCCTTGATGGCCATGCGCCATCCCCGAGTTGTTGTCTTCACTTCTGCATACTCTGCCCTAATCACCATGACAGTTCTCTCTGCTGTTCTAGGCCATGCAGTGCCCACTCTGATTTCTAAGCAACTCACAAACTTCGCAGCGGCTGGCTTATTCCTGGTCTTCGGAGTCAAGATGCTGATTGAAGCCCGTGGAATCAGCCCTGATGAGGGTGTTAGTGAGGAGATGAAAGAGGTGGAAATGGAGCTCGAAGAAAAAGAACACCAGCAGAGGCGTCAGACTAGACGCCATTCTTCCATCTCCCCGTACGCCCTCGAATCCGGCCGAGGAGGCATCGGCAGGAAGCATACCAACAGCCGTCTCCCGTCGCCACCAGATAGCCCTGGAAGCTCTCGAGAATCGTCTCCGACGCGACAATCTGCCGTCAAGAATGCCATGAACGGCATCAACAACTTGTGCTCATTACTTTTAAGCCCCGCGTGGGTGCAAACCTTCGTCATGACGTTCCTTGGTGAATGGGGTGACCGATCTCAGATTGCCACTATTGCCATGGCTGCTGGTCAGGACTACTGGTGGGTGACAGCTGGTGCTCTAGGCGGGCACGCAATATGTACCGCCGCAGCAGTGCTTGGTGGTAAAGCAATTGCTGGCAAAGTCAGTCTAAGAACAGGTATGCCATCCCACACCTCCCAATCCATCCATGCAGTTGAACATCCCACTAACATACTTGTTAAATTAGTCACAATGGGAGGCGCAATTGCTTTCCTGGTCTTTGGCGTCATTTACCTCCTTGAGGCTGTCTATTAATCTGTCTAATTCTTGTGCCTGTCTAACTACGACTATCAACATCTACAATAAATCAATCGATTAATGCAATCAGCGATCGAAGATCCCAGTTCCAGTCTTGTGTGTACCAATGTATCCAATATTCTACATTTAGGGAACACCGAGTCCATTTCTTACACACCATCTCAAATTTCCCGCATCCGTCGGAGCCCATTCATTATGCCAGCGATCAGATTCAGACGTTGGTGTCGCACATGACAGAACCAGTGCCAAACCTCTTCTTGACTCTTTGTTTACTCTACCAACCTCTGGGTGTGCAAGCAGCAGCTCCAAACACTCGAGAGGTTGGCGATGTTGGCGAGGGTTATCGGCCTTCGCCACAAAGAATTATCATCACATGCACTATCATGAGTCTAGATTGAGAGATACCCCTTTGGTGTTTGTTATCTGCTGTTTGCTGGGTTGGGTAGAGCTTGCTCGTGGATTCGAATATTGCCATTGTTGAGAAATCCGCATGTTTCACTTGCGACGTTGAACAGATAAAAACCTAGCATGGAGATATCACACATCGGATCGTGAAGGAAAAGGAGGGAGCTGATGGAGTATCAGAAGAAAGACTTCGTGTGGAACTCACCAGGTCATTTAGGCAAGGGCAATGGTCCAGGTGTACGACTATGTAATATAACGGAAATGGAAAGGAAGGGAAGGGAAAGCCCAGCAGGGAGGGCTTGTACAGCCAGCAACAGAAATACAACGAGTTCTAAACCCCCCATACTTTCCAGTGATATAGTAAGTGCTTTCTAGTCTAAAACAATGCATTCCTCTGTCAAGTCACCTCTCTATCTCCCAGTCAGTCGTCCAGACAAGCAGCACTTGGTCGGCATTTGACGTGGATCTGCGAGGCGTGTTTCTGCACCACACCATTTTTTTCGAGCTTGACGCTACGCTTCCACTGTCCCGCATTCGTCGATATTCGCTCAGTCGTTTAGGAACGAGAGATCTTGCTTATTGCGATTTGCCTGGAGGAGCAGCCATTGACAGGCGTTACGCACTGAGGCCGTCGCGGCTGTACAGAAAGCGCCCAAAGTACGAATGCTCTAGGGACGAAAGAGGTTCAAGGTGTCAAAGGCTAATTCGAGTGGTTTTTGCGCGAGACAACTCTAGACAAGGCAACAGAAGTGAAGGAACTATTTTGAAATAATGCAGTGTACTGCTTGGACTACACTCGCTCACACTAATTCCACTGCGGAATGGAGGAAGTACGTTCCCACATGCGGCTGGCATGAACCCGAGGATCAAGAAGTTGATGATAACTGCCAGCAGGCATTGTAAACCGTGACCCAATCAACCGCCAACACCGACTTTGTGAGAAAACTTTTTGGAGATCCAGAACACTAAACCGAAGACCATCTGGCCAATCTTTGACGACCGATGATCGCTCAAATCAAGGTCACAACCCGTGCCTGTTGAACCGGTAGACCCTTCGCCAGTCCTAAATCCATGCGCTGGAAGACAGCAACCCGTAAAACGTAAGTCTTACCGCCCCCAAAATCATAATCCAAATGCGACTCCAAAGTCCGTGGCGGCTATGTCCAACTCCAAATTGGTAAACATTTTCCCTGGTGGAGAGCGTTGTGAACACGGTGTATGACTCAAAACAGCGTTACCGATCTGTAGCCAAAGAAAACAAGAATGTTGAGATCCGGCAGTGAGATGAGCATAGCATGCCCAATGCCCTCCAAATACCATACTTTCACCACAACCTCGTTGACACTCCAAGCTGTTGGGTGATCAACCTCTTTGCTTCGGTCTACTGAGCATATTCAATCGACTCAGACTCAAAATACCCTTGCGTTCCTTTGCATTGCTCTTCGCCATCTCTCGAGCGGAACTGGGCTTGGCCTTCTTCGTAATTGGTGATGCCTTGCCACTGGCTGGTTGATCAGTGCTGAGGTCCTTGACAAGCGCAACTCGAAGACGCTTTCCACCTCTCTTGCTTCCTTCATCCTCTTCTTCGCCAGTCCGAAGGCTGTCCCGCCATCCACCAGGAACAGGAGGCATAACAGAACCTCGACGATTTTCTTTCCCCATGTCCGCATGGACCTCCTGCTCATCTGATTTAGCCGACTCACGACGCCGCTTCTTGCCGGGTAAACCATGCGGAACTGTCTTGACTTCAGCATCCTCAAAAGGCTGGACAAGCTCCGATACACCAGAGGTACGGACTTGACGAATCGTATTCGGAGATGGCTTCGAGAAGTTCGCATTGCCGGGAGATCGCATAACCTTGTTGGCATGTTTGGTTGGATCAGTTTGATTGACGGCAGTGTTGACTGAAGTCAATGTAGAAGGCACGTTAGAACGTGATGGATGATGCAGCGTGGTGAAGATGGATTTGAATTCCTTTGACTCGCGACGGCTGAGGGTTTTCGCTTTCTCTTTGAACGTGGTAGCCGCGTTGGTCGTCATTGGGCTCGAAGATGCTTCCGGGAGCACAGGATATTCGATTTCGCTTTCAGCATCCTCCCATTCGTCTTCCACCTCCTCATTATGCAAAACATAAGCAGCGGGATCAAACAGCACAGGAGGCCCTTGGGGTCTTCCCGGAGTCACATGCGGCAGCTTTGCTGGACTAGGACTGCCAGCTGCCAGCTTTACCGCGTACCTTGACTTGACGCTAGGAGTGAAGTCCACCTTCTTAGCAGAGCCCGGAATGGGTATTGCTGTGTTGGGTCGCTTAGGGGTTCCTGGTCTCTCCTCAATAGGTGTGGTGGCGGTAGACTTTCGGCCTGAGCGCAGGATCGACTTCAGTCCAGCAAACATTGGGAGTCGCGAGGCATGGTCAGTCCCTTCCGTGGCGGTACCAAGATCCGCTGTTGATTTGGCACGCTGCAATATCCCTGATTGAGAAGCCATAGCGATTTTACTCAACTCTGACTGCGGTATGGAAAGCGGCTTGACTGTTTGCGGATGTGACGCCGCAGCAGCAATTTTTGATCCTTCTGTGCCACTTGACGTCGCAGGTCTGGCAGTTGACAAAGCTGAGGTAGGTCTGAGTGATCGCATGCTTGTTGTACGCGAAAGAGTAGAAGGTTTACCAGGAGAGAACACCGGGATTTGACTTGAAGAATTCTTCGCTAACGAGGACTTGGTAGGTGAGAATAGACTGCTTGAAGATAGCTTAGGGACCAATGTCGCTCTTGGTTGGTGTTCAGATTGTCTGGCGGCGGACACATCTGGCATTTCTGACTGTCTTGAACGCTTGGCTGAGGTTGATTGTGTGGGGATGGACTTGAAGGGACTGACGGAAGTAGGGCGACCAAGAAATGGAGGCGGTTGTCGACCCGGGGTGCCTTTCCCGGCAGTTCGCGGTCGTTCCACATCATCTAGACCGGCTTTGGAAGGACTTCTCTTCAGTGACTGGGCAGTAGGCTGAGCAAAACCAGGGCGAGATCTATATGCAGATGGGTGGTTGGCTATCGAGTCCATCTTCTTGAACTGAGCCATGTGAACATCACTGAACCGGCCGGCCTTTCCCTTGGGTTTGGCGAATTTTCTTCCTGCGGCGCTTATGCCGTCGAAAGCAGCCTCGGCTTCAGCATCTTTCTGAAGTTGAATCTTCTTCTCTGCCACCATTTGCGCTTTGATTCGAGCAGCTTCCTCCCGCACATTGTCCATCAATTTCTGTGCTTCCGAACTCAGCTGTGACTCTGAAGCAAATTTGAAGTCGAAAGACGTCGATGTCATTTTGGCCGGCGTACTAGTGCGTGCCTTGGAAGGGGTATTTTGGGCACTTGCAAGGGAGTGGGGCGGTTGAGCTGGAATATCGACAAACCCTAGTTTTAGACCAGAGTCCGGAGCTTTCGCAGTGGATTGGTGTACCAGCCCCGGATGCATCTCAGCGCGATCAACCTTCGGCTCAGTCCGTGGTGTTTTGAGGCCCGAAAGTCTTGACAGTTGGGATTTCATGGTCGCTGCGGAGGCCGGAGTTGCCAGTACATCATCGATGGACTGTGGTTCCGCATGATCTGGAGTTTCGTCTCGTTCCACCAGGGATTCGAGTTGAAAAGTGGAAGTAAGTCGACGAGAAGAGGCAGGCTATATCAAAAAGACTCATTAGCCCCGCAGGATGAGCGAAGGCAGCTTGATGAAGATCGCAATGACCTCGAAGCTCTCTGGAGGAAAAACCTACCTGCTGCTGAGCAGTCTTGCTCAATCGAGCAGAACGCCGAGCCATTATAGACAGACGTGATGACTACCTGTAGATATGGAGGAGGATAAGCAAGATGTCGTTTCAAGACAGTGGCCCGTGGAAGATTGTGTGGGAGGGGATTGGCTCACACAGTGAGATTTGGTGTGATGATTGTTGATTGCAGGCGGTATGAATTGGGCCTCTCGAGCTACGTCAGGCCATAAACAGTGCTAAGCCCAACATGCTCTAGTCGCCTTGGCAACATACACGGTATCACATGACTTCAAAATTGTTTGACGCGTCTCTGGATCAACTTCCTCTTCGGTGCAAGTCGCGCTTACCTGAAACGCCCGATCATCCTAGGAAATATCAACGTTCCTTTAAAACCTTCTTCTCATTCTTCCTCGTATTCTCTCTTCACACGAGGGGCATGATAACTTTCTGTTCCAAACGACCTATCCGGACTCCTCCTGCAGCAACTCGTAGATGAAACACGAAATCTGCAAGATTATTTAGCCCGTCAGGTCAGGCTTCACATCCTTTCCTTCAGTGGCCGTGGTGGACAGGTCTGCACATGCGCCTTCGAAAAGTCACCATTGCTGTCATTGTAATGGTCGTACCCTTGGTTGACGGATCATGCATTCTATGCCTCCCAATGACACACGTTAGAGACATCTGAGGATCACCTCATTCTCACCCGTTGCTGTTGCCTGCACCCAAATCCTCAGTCTTCGCTTCTCAGATTAATAGCGTTTAGCCCCATGGCCCCTCAATGGAGCCTCATCATCTCCTTTGCTGACCGTTAGCCGAAAGGGGAGATGACTAACCGTCCTGGGCATTGGAATATGTGGCTTGGATTGGTTCCTCTGACTCGGTGCCCACTTCACCGACGGTATACTGTTAACATGACCCTCCCATAGGGCACAATCCTTCGTCTGGTCTCTGGGTCTAGCTTCACGGATCCAGGGCCCAGAGGCCGTGGGAAATGGAAGGATTCTCTGCATTCTCAGCCACACGAACATAGCCAAACTTGAGACAGCGCACTACACTCGCAGTGCCTGGCCATCAACCTGTTATCCCTCAAAATTTACATGCTATTGCCATTGGGTCCCAGGATTTAGACCGTCATCCAATTCGACAAGGGTGCTGTACAAACTAATCGGAGCTCGAGAGATCATGTCACTATCACCCTCTTCCTCGATCTGTCTGTTCTATTCCTTTTTTCCATTGCACCAGTCGCTCGTTTTGTTGCACCTCTCACTGTTACCTACCTTCGTCGATCTTCGCTCGTTTTGTTCTTTCGTAATCTTCTTTGCCACTTTTGAATGGTATTGTATATTGCATGATTCCGAAGACAGCGGGCTGTCATGATGTCTCTTTCTACTCTTGACAGCCACCATTGGCTTTGCTTCGCATATTTATTGATTTTAAGCAATATCATTCTCGTCCATGCCGGCGAATCAATCGACCCGGTGGTAAACTTCTGTCGAAGAGTCGGCCACAGCTGTCAGTACTGCCCTATATCTGCGGAATGAACCCCTCTGATTAGAACTCAGCTGTTTACAAGAATAATACGCTGTACATCAACGGTGGTATTGAAACCTTCGTTGATTTTGGCACCAATGGCCAGCAAGATTTCAACACCATCACATCAGGTATCAGTAAGCTTGCGCCCTCCATTGATTGAAGTTGGAAACTGAGTAGATGTTTCTCAGATTTAAATCTCATTACAGTCGATATGGACAGTTCATGGAATTGGAAGACCAATGTGTCTATATCGCAGAGGGCTCGGCGCGTTAGTGGCGCCGTCGAAGGCATGGGCTGGCCTGTGAACGTTCACGATGGTGCCTTGTTTGGGGGACCTGACTCAAGCGACACCTTATACATGTTTGGCGGATCGACACTAAACTTCAACCAGTCCTTCCCATATTATCTTATCCCTCCAACCGAACAGTATGCTATGTGGCAGTACGATATGAGCAACGATCTATGGGCAGCTTTTGATACCTCGAGTTCCGGCATATCAATTCCTTCCTGGGGAGCCAACGCAGAAGCCACTGACCATGGCCTCGCTTTCTACGTTGGGGGTCAACTCGATGCCGGGACTGCAAATACCACTCAGGATTTGGGGGAAGACACCGTGGGCGTCGGTGGCATGGTTGTGCTCGACACAACGTCAACCAGAATCAAGAACGTGACCGTGGAAGATTCTATCAAAAGCAATAGACAGGGCGCCGGTATGGTTTATGTGGACAACTTTGGGGATGCGGGAGTTCTTGTTTTGGTGGGAGGACGTACCGACACGGATGGATTTCTGCCAATGGACGAGGTCTCAATCTTCGATGTGGGGTCAACTGATCTCGGCGACAACGCCTCTGCCGACAAGAACAAGTGGTATCGACAAAAGACAAGTGGTCCGGTCCCCAATTCTCGCACCGATTTCTGCTTGGTTGCAGCGCCATCGCAAGACAACAGCAGTACCAATATATACATGTATGGTGGCCGGAGTAATGGCGCCATCTTTGACGACATCTATGTACTGAGCATCCCATCATTTACATGGATTAAGGTGTTCGTTGGCGAGTCCGCACGGTGGTCAGTCACATGCCACTTTATCCCTCCTCGACAAATGATCACTATTGGTGGCGGTGGTGACTCAACAACCGACATAGCAGCCGACTGCGACTGGGAATATAAGAGTTTGGCGGTACTCGATATGAGCACGATAGGATGGTCAAGCACTTATGATGCTAATGCCGGACCTTATAAAATCCCAGATAGTGTGGTCAAGATTATCGGTGGAAGGTGAGTTCGCTGTTACTCTGGTGATGTCAGCTTGTGTGCTAATCTGTGATACAGTCCACAGGGCAATGCCACCAAGATCCAACCTACAGATGGGTGGAGTGACGATGCGCTTGCTACTCTATTCACAATAAAGACAGTTACGTCCGACACAAGCGATCCACCAAGTGTAACAACTTCTTCAACCTCAGCCTCAACCCCAACCACTTCTACAGCTTCAAGCGGCACTCCCGAGCCGGCCAAGAAACTATCAGTCGGTGCAATTGCAGGTATCGCCGTCGGCGGTGTAGCCTTGATAGCATTAATTGCTGGTGGTATTTTCTTCTTCCTCAGATCGCGCCGTACCCGCAGATTAAGCCAGCATGATATCGCGCTCATCGAGAAAGATGGCTTGCCGTCCTATAGTATCGCGGCATCCCTATCCAGGGCGGAACTGGTCGGTACACCTCAAGCTGCTGAGCTCTCTGCTAAGCAGAACGGGCATGACCACGATGGCAAACCGCTGCCCGTGGAGAAGGACGGTGGTATACTCCGGGTTGCGCCCGTTGAAATGGATGCACGCGCACGCGCACGCGCAAATACACCTATTGAAATGGAGTGATGTGATGAAGTCTATACCATTTTGTTTGACATCGATATTTGAGGAACCACAGACTTGCCTACCTAGCGTGGCGTTGGTAATATTGGGGTGGTGCACTTTCATATTTGCTAATGAATGGCTTCTCTGATGGGAATTTAGAGTTTGCGGTAAAAAGGGGCACGTCTGCAAACACCCTGTTTTTGATTACAATCTTCTCTCTTGATGATCGACACTATCGCGTTCCAGAACGACGCTTACGTTTCACGTTCACGAGCTCTCTTCGTCAATCATGTTTATTGCAAAGTCACTTGACATGGCTCCAACTTACAGGATGTGATCTCCAGCACCGAAGACACCGCATGATTCACGGTCTCTTTTCCTACGAAGCTCCTGTGCTGCTTCGTTGCACTCGACATCATATCTTACTTCAATTGAACGTCGATTGTGCTCTCCAATTTTTTTGTTCTGCTCATTTGATCTCCTGGCGCTAGTAAGTTTTGTGTTATGGTGAACACTACGTGAGATGTTTGGACAAGCATCATTAGTGATGATCTTTTCGGTGTATAATATTCGTTATTGACATAATCGGGAAAACTTTTGTCCTCGGTTTTCGGCTTTACTATCGCCGGCTAACAGTCTATCAGTACTAACATGAAAACAGAAAGTGTCCAACACTCGGTCGTCAATTGGAGGCGCTATTCAGAAGCCTACACTGCACTCCACATTCGGGATTGGGACTATTCCCTAGCACCCGTGGAGCGAGTACCAGAACACTATACACACTTCTTCTCAACTTCACGTACAGTAGCCGGAATAGCGCCTTTTCCAAGACTTGATGCTCGCCAAATGCTTGTCCCAACATTGACTGGCGGCCTTATGCCATTAACGACACTTGATTATAAAGTTAAAGCTTGTCGCGGGCCCACACAGAACTACATACGCGTTGCTTGCATCGACACCATTGTCACGTTGCTCCCCAAGCTGTAAGCACATTGGAAATGATTGATAACAAAATGGAAAAGACTTCACCAGCAGGCAAAGATCATGTAGAGTTTTGCACAACGGCAAATAAAGCATTCAATGAAATGGGCACTATTGAACCAAAGGGCGACTACTCGGGGGCTTCGCAAAAGACCGATCCTGTCGAGATCAGGTTGGTTCGAAAGCTCGATATGCGCATCATGGTGAGTAAAGCCCATCTGATGTACTATTACAGCTGCTGAACGAGACACAGCCGATTCTATGGGCGATGTACTCTCTTAACTACCTCGATCGAAATGCTCTACCGCAAGCTCGACTCAATAATCTAGAAGACGACCTCAATTTGAAGGGGGTGGAGTACAATACCGCGATTTCTATTCTCTTCGTGGGATATATCCTCATGCAGGGTGGGTTAAGTGCCACCCAGTCTGATATCTAGCAATCTGACATTCGTAAATAAGTCCCGAGCAACATGTTCCTCACCAGGACGAAGCCACGTATCTACCTTCCTGTAGTGATGATGGCTTGGGCCACGGTATCGGCATGTACAGCACTGGTACAGAATTATCCCGGACGGGTTGCATGCCGCTTTCTACTTGGTAAGCGTTTCTCGAGCCTCAATTCATCTCCAGATGCTGACAAGTCATTCAGGATTTGTGGAGGCGCCTTTCTATCCTGGAGCTCTCTACTTGCTTTCAATCTTTTACACTCGCAAAGAGTTGGCGTCACGCATAGCCATCATGTACACCGGCCAGGTATTATCAACAGGATGCTCTGGATTGATCGCGGCTGCGTGTTTTGCTACTCTAGACGGTGCCCACGGTATTGCTGGATGGCGTTGGCTGTGGGTCCTCACCCCTTCTCTATCGCTTCGACCGTGCTTGCTGATGTCTTCTCCAGCTTCATCATAGAAGGTGTAACAACCTTTGGAGTTGCACTCATCGGCATATTTTTACTGTGCGACGATCCTGCAGATACAAGGTGGCTCACTGAAGAAGAAAGAGCTCTAGCAGTCAGTCGCATCAAAAGGGACACCGTCGGCGACGAAGGGCGGGCCTCGGTCTGGTCTGGATTGCGTCAGGCTGCCACAGATCCTAAGCTGTGGGTTTTCGTGCTCATGCAGAACCTCCATCTCTCGGCGTGCTCCTTCAACAACTTCTTCCCAACTATCGTGGCATCTTTGGGCTTCAAGAGCAAAATCACAGCTCTACTCCTAACCGCACCTCCGTACTTTGTGTCGGGCTTGCTAGGGGTACCATTCGCTTGGTCATCCGGCAGATTCAACGAGCGAACCTGGCATATTACGGGCGGGTTTGGACTTGCCGTAATAGGCTTCGCGATGTCCTGCGCAAGTATGAACAACGCAGTACGTTACACCTCAACCTTTCTTTACGCCACAGGAGCATACTCAGTCGGCTCGGTCATCCTTGGATGGGTGTCGGCCACATTGTCGCAGACACCAGAGAAGAAGTCCGTTAGCTATGCTATTGTCAACTCCTTTGCAAATCTCTCATATGTGTATATGGCATATCTGTGGCCCACGTCCGATTCTCCCAGATATATCACGGGCTTCTCTGCGATGCTGGCTTTCTCAGTGGGAAGTATTCTGTGCGCTTGGGTCATGAGATTCTGGCTTGTAAGCATGAACAAGACCATCAAAAGGAATGAGAACGAGCATCGGGTCTTGTACGCTTTTTGAGTTTGTGGCATGGCGCGATCCGTAGTTACTGGCACTATCTGAGGATAAACTCCACCATTCATCATTCAGGCTTCAATTCCCTTAGACGCATTACGCATGTGTTTGACGTTGCATATCTCTTCTCATAAGAATAAAGATTAAGATATTTTGTCGTTTAATCTTAAATTATCTTGCATTTCACCTAGCCATCTGCTATGATAAGTTTGATCATACATAAAAGGTTCGAGTATTAACCCAGAGCGCTAGTCACAGCCAACTTTCATACATACGGATCACTGACACAGCTATCGAATTGCAAATTGTTGCTCAATTCACTCAGCGTATCTAAATAGCAATCTACGTGTCCCCGCGTGTTTGTCTGTTTCTCCTGGATACCTAAGTTTCTGCATTGTCTCCTTGGCTTGGTCAACTATCAGCCGTGCGTGCGTGGTGAGTTATCAGCCATTGCATAACATTTGAACATTGGATCCTTCCTTCGGTGTATAGTGAAAACAAAAATCTCCCTGTCCGATGCCGTCACTTCTGCCAAGTCATTCCGTTCCCATGGTTAAGATAATCTACTTGTTTCTCACTTACCACTATGCTCTTCGCCACCTGCGCCTCGAGCTTAGCCAAGATGCGGTTGCCTTGAATGCTACCAAGTATCCACCTCCCACAGGGCGTGCAATTACATTTGTTCCGACGTGCACAATGATAGTGCGTATTGTTCACATCTGTGGTCGGTGGGCATCTGCATAGATCGACGACGCTCAGAGGTGCAGTAGAGGGTAGCGACGTCGGTATTGTGGAACTATCAAATGAAATTTCCTGAGACTGCCTGGAACGCATCATGGAAAATTCGCTGCCTGCCTCCAGAGGCGAGTTCTGAGCACCCGAAAGCTGCTCCACGGGGCCAATGGTGTCCATGAAATCGAGGCAATATGATCCAAATGATATCTGCGACTGCGGGTCCTGGGCCAATCGGTCGTGATCGATTTCATACTCTGGTCTTCCACTGCGTGTAACATCTGCGACTGTCACTGAATGTGGTGAAAAATGTGTATTTGGAAGCGTACTTGGGCTTAGCAACGAAAGGGCTTCGTCAAAGTCCTCGTCCATAAGGCCAACTTTCCGCTCAGAATTCTGCATCAAGAAAGTGGGATCAATCGTCTCGTCAGTTAAGGATTGACAATCTCCCGAAGATATGAGATAGAGCGCCTCCGCAAACGCTGGCTGCGCGACAGGTGTCTCTGCCTGACGTATCTGCTCCAAAAGTGGTTTCAATATGCCCTCTTCGAGGCCCAGGCGCTCGGGATCATATCGCGAAACATGTGGGCTTTCAAAGTCTAGATAAAATTTCGTGTACGGGCTTGGGAGAGATAGACCGTTATAAAAATAGCATGGAAACGCCTTTAGCAGCAAACGAAACCAGGTGTCCTCCTCTGTGTAATCCCAGATAAGGCGATCTTTGGGAAGCTTCCGACGGGTGGAACTCCAATTGTGGCAGTTTCTGTGCGCGAGTTCATAGTCTTTGAACTTTTGCACCGTCGGTACGTCGGTCTTGTCGCAATCCACGCGGTCTCGTGTGTCTTTCTCATCAACAAGTCCCTGCTCTCGTGCAGCGCTATATATACAACGAAAGCGTCGTCCATCATCTTCTACCTGCGGGCATACACTTGCTGTCTGAGGGGTGCTTTCAGATCCCTCTCGTTCCGCACGGTAAGCTTGTTTGCGGTCTCTGCGAGTACCGAAAGGCTTGCCCCTCCAAGCGCTCGGAGGCGTTACTCGTTGGTTTGCAGGCTGCTCAGTGGTAGTCTGAGTCTGCTGCGACGATGAAGACCCGTAGAAACATAGCTGTAGAAATCGAAGCTGTGTGCAGAATTCAAAGCTCTTACTATGATCGTATAGCCTCAGGAACGGTACCATAGGCCTGGTCTCGATGTAGAATGAAGAAGTAGCTTGGTACACAAGCCGGGTAGGTTTGCAGATTGTGCCACCTTTTTGACGCACAGCACTGATTCGCAGAGATTTGAGCAGTTGCATGATGCGTCGAGAGTCAAGAGATGACCGAAGCGACATAGAATCTACCATAACCCACAGCTGTGCACGACGCAAGTCTCTTGCCGCAACAGCACTCAGGAGACCTTCACAGCGTCGTGTAGTGTAAGACGGCGAATAATAGAACAAAGGAAGGGCCGCCTCGGCACGTTCATGGGACGAAGCGCCCAAGAAATGCCCGATCCAATGGTCATCTCGAGCAGAAGTTGATAGCCAACGAGTGATGGAGTATGGCTCTAACCCAATCGACCCGAGGATACGGTCGCGCTCCAGTGAGAATACCCTCGGTGGCTGGCACCCGGATTGCTCTGAGTCATTGTGGGATTTGAACGATGGATTTGCTTTAATAATTGCAGTTGCGCACTGATGAAGAGGATGAGCATGCCCAATCTGAGTCGAATGATGACCGGGATCGCCCTGACGACTGCACAGCTCATTATTCCAAAGATATCGGCAACCAAGGTTGCGAGTCATTGTAACGACATCCCGAAAAGCAGAAGGAAGAAGTTCAGAAGGAACCACGGTGTGGCCCTGAGGGCCAGTGTTCGATATTTTCATTTCACAAAAGTCATCAAGCTGATGTGATTCTGCTGTCCAGATGAAGAATTCTGCTCCATCTAAATGCTCAAACTGCTTGAAACGGAGTTCGATCGGTTCTCCATGGGATCCAATGTCAAGTAAGCGACAGGTGAAGGCGCCAAAACTTGGACGACTTTGCATAACCAGGTGCAGATGGGAATCTTCTTTGTCAGCTAAGTCTTCTGACGTAAGGTAATCCACTGCTCTTGATTTGCTATGGAATTCCGGAATAAACCCCGTCAGATGGTCTTCAAAAAGCTCTGGAATACTATCGACGGTGGGCAAAGAAGGTGGGATTGAGTGCAGAGATCTCATGGTTGGTGGATCTGACGAGGTCCTGCTGGTCGGTCTCTTTGATGCAGAAGATTGCATGGTGCTGGGGAGAATCGACGGTAGACTCAGACTACCATAACCAGAGTCTACTAAACTCTTTGTTCGCACGCCAGCTACTTCAATCTGCTCGATGTGCCCAGAGACTGAGGATATAGGAGGCAGAGTGGCCGAATTGCTGCGCTTATCTTGGGTGTATTCGGAAGAGAGGATTCCAGCAAGGACTGATTCCTGTTGCACCAGCTGCTGCAACTCTGGTGATATTCGGGGTGCTGTTTCTTCAGCTTCAGTTGGTTCCCTATCCGCAACGACAGACGCTTGGCTAATAACAGCCAAGTTCGGTCCCGACAGGTTTTCGAACGCTGTGATACCAACCTCAACCGACACCTCTGCGGCAACCCTTTGGCCCACATCAACCAAATTAATCGATCCTCCGGCGTATCTAGTTGATTCAGACACTGGAGCAAGGAAGGACTCTTTAGGCCGGCTGGAATCCCAATATGGTGAAATTGGTAATGGAGTGTTTGGAAATAAGCCACGAAAGATTGCATCCCAATATGCAGCATCATCGAGACCATAGCGATCTTTCTCGACTTCCTGTACTTGGTTTACCGTTAATATTCCGCCAAGCCTTGATGATCGCTGTATACAATCCTTGTTTCGTTGCATATGGTCCTGTAAAGATTCCTCAGAGGAGAATAGTTCCATGCATCGGTGGCAATGATAACGACAAGAGTTGTGGTCATGAGACTCAAGGATATGTTTCTTTAGTCTCTTTATCGATGTGAGCGGAGATATTGAACAATTGATAGCCCCATCCAAAGGGACGCCCTGATACCTCGACTGAGTGTGAAACTGCGGCTCAAACGGGCAATGGAAAAAATGTGTGTCTGACTCTTGTGTGGATATAGGGTCAAGTGGTTTGATAGGGTCACGACTCGATGATTCACCGGGAAGAGACATTGTGGAGTGCGGCAAGCTTTGGCGATGAAGCAGTCTAGCGGAACTGGCGAAATAGGCCTAGGTGGGCGAATACAATAACGATAGTAGAAGGGGGTAGGGAGGCCGAACAGATTGTAGCGAGGCTGACGAATACCTTAGAACCTCAGCAAATGTTGCCACTCGTGAAAGATATCATAACTCACACCAACACTCTCATAAAAGCAGCCACCGCGCTGCATGTCTAACTTAGAAGCATGGGATGTTGTGTGTTTTCAGTGTCGTGCAGGGAAGCTGATGAGGTGTGAGATTTTTTGTTGGAGACGAAGCTAGTGAGCATAACAACCTCCGGATCAGTTCAGGAGACGCTGGAATGGAAGAGTTCCAGGTGCTGGCACAAGGTCGAGGGCTGCGTTTATAGCCGTTGGCGCAATTTTCGATTCCAAAATTTTTGGAATCGGACGCGTCGGGCGTAATGCGACCTGTAGGTCATTTTTCCATCTTTGGTTGTTCATTGGGCATCTAGCCCGGGCGTCATGCTGCCAAGCCAACCTTCCTGACCAGACATCTAAAGTTGCGGTGTGGACCTCTTTGCTGCCTTCCAAGTTCATGAGTTCACGCCTCGATTTGTGCTGGAAGTATGGTCGGTAAGTTGTGGGCAGAAACCTCCGAAAACTCGTGGGATAGGTCTCGACGCGGTCCGGATACACCTGTTTAGTGCAACTGGTAACTGAGAAAACCCTGAGTCTCAAGAGTCTTCTCCGCAATTTTGTTGTTTTCCTTGGGGCCAAAAAGTCAGCCTAAAAAAACGCCTTGTTTTGAAAGATTCCAAAAATTTTGGAATGGCGGAGCAGATTTTCCCAAAATTTTGGAGTCTGGTTTCGCCGTCACCGTCTGGCGTCCAGAATCCTTGGGTATGAAAGGATACAACTCTAAGGAGGATGGCGGTCATCTCAGCTTCTCGTTTGCCACAGTGACGGTTATATTGAGTTGAATTATCAGAGCATGAACTCGATTTCTGAGAACAGCCAATGGAAAACAGACAAATGAGCAGGTTTCCTTCCGCATTCCATTATCGCATGCAGGGAAAGGTCGTCCCTCAGGAATTGGGCGACATTTTGGTGATGAAGAGACTTGTAGTCACAGATGGACAACCCGCATGCTTCAAGATCTAAGTCTTTCGCGCCATTGAAGCTACGCAGTACAAGAAAACACTGAGAAGCTTCCACGACGACGGCTTGCCGTTTTGGAAGCGGGCAAGAGTGTTATTGCTGGGCGGATTGAAGTATGACAGATGTCTCCAGGTGGAAATAACGGTAGTTCGCCTGGTAAATCTCCTATTTCGAGAATTCACAGGATACCAACACCCGTTTTCTGTCAGATTGCTTCGGGAAGCCCCTCAGGGCTGATGGAAATTGTGGAAAATGTCAACAATTTCTCGAGTTTGGCCAATCTCCCAGGTGTCACAAATATGATCACCCGCGTCATCACATTCGAGAACAATGCACGGCTTGAACAGCACGCAGCAAACCTTTCAAGGACCAGAATGGTCTTGATCATTGGAAACAAATCAAAGTCAGTGCGTAAAGCGCACTCCGGCTAAAACCGATTAAGAACGCGAAAAGGAGCCGAGAGCTGAAGCACACAAGGATACCTCAGCCATTTTCGATAGTCGTGGTTTGATAGAAACAAGACTCAAGTGAACTTGCACTTACGCTCTCCATGCTTACCCAGTGGCACTCAATGTCCTTTTCATAAGATATTTCGGTGGATGAGAAGGAGAAATATTTAATGCAATCGAACGTGAGATTTGGCTTCGCCGAATGTCGTCAGATCCGCCCTTAGCAGTGGATATGACACTTGGTTCAACATCCGCCAATGACAAATTTTGAGCCCCTAGTCAGAGTTACCCAAGAGTGTTCATTCGCTCAAAACTAACTGATAGCAGTGCTTCTTTGGACGGCAATGAAATAGTCTGTGTATCTCTCTACTCTTATCATGGTTGCTTTTGACCTCGGCGATGAGGTGAAATGGCAAGAACCGCTATCGGATGAAGTCTAGACTACTTTCTTCGATTTGTGATCTTGAAGCGCACACCTTTCGATTTCGGACTAGCAAGGCCAACAAAACAATCGCGGACCACTTCTACATCTCGTTCATAGATCACATCATGCAATGCAAACTCAAATCTCCGCAAGACAGTTGCAGCTGCAAGGTAGATCTCAGCGTAAGCTAAGCTATTTCAGACTGGTCAGTGAAAGGCCTTCAGCAAAGGGTGGGGCATGTTGATTGCGATACTTACTTCATGCCAAGGCAACTTCGGCTTCCTTTCGAGAACGGCACGAAATACTTGTCAAGTGGTCTCATGGCTCCCTCAGATGAGATCCATCGACTCGGGTCGAAATAGCTTGGATTTGGGAAAATGTCCCTATCACTGTGGATAGCACTGAGGCTCATCGTGATAGGGGTACCTGGAGGAATGACCCACTCCTTGAAAATCAGAACTTCATCTGGCTCTAGCATTGCGAGGCGACCAGATATCAAGCTGCTTATCCTCAAGGTCTCTTTGACAACGGCGGTGAAGGCTGTGAGGTTTTCGAGATCCGATAATTTTGGCGATGCTGCTGCTGAAATCATCACGCAGTCAATTTCTTGCCGAAGTTTTGCAAGCCAATCTGGATTGGCGTGAAGATAGTAAAAGAGATTTGCGAGCACTCGTCCTACGGTATCTCCACCAGCAATCACTACGCCAAAGGCCTCATCAGCAAGCCTTTCTACCGTCTTCTCTTCAGGTGGTAGCACTTGGCTGTTCAGGATGTCATAGAATATAGTCCTGTGTTGCTTGTTGAGAGCGACTGGTTTGTCGAGGCTGTCCCGGTTGGATGAGTTATAGTCATCCACAATATGCGTGATCTTTTCTTGGTTTGCCTTTTGCATTTGTGAAAATTTGTCAACATTGGGGCTGATTCTTTTCAATATCCAGTGTGGTAAAGCCGGGAGCTTCCCAGCTATGGAGCCAAAGTTTCGTAGAAGGGGTACGGCTTCGAAAAGGGAAGTCATTGTCTGCTTCCACTCCGGAGCGAAGTTCGGATCTAAGAGGCAGTTGAAGCATTGATCAAAGCAGTATTCTGTGATAACATCGAGACTTAAGGCACCAAATGCTGTGTCAGCTTGCAAAATCCGACCGTTTTCAAAATGAGTGTTGATGCCTGATGACAATTGTTCCACCTTTTCGATCAGAAGTGGTTCGAGAGCTAAAACCGATCGCTTCGAAAAGAATCTCGTAAGTGCTCCACGACGATTCTTGTGCAAATCTCGATCCAGAGTAGACTGCGTCCCACCTGGAGACTTTCCACCCCTGTTCCATTTATCACGTCGCCCACCAGCGAAAAGGAGTTCAAAGAAATCCAGGTCCACAATGTCGAGCTCGTCTGGGCTTCGCCGAATGATCGGTCCATACTTGTGATGCAATGACTCAAGTTTCCACACGTAGCGTCCCGTGTAGGGACCGGAGAACATATCAAAGTAACTTTCGTACCAATATGTAGCAGCAGCCCATTTCGGGCCTGGAAAGTGACGAAGAGGATGGAAATAGAGGCGGTAGATGACGATGTAAAGTCCATACGAGCCGAATAACGCGAGGAATGCAAGCGCAAGTAGTGGGACAGTCATCTTGCTAGAGGTTAGTTGAGTGTCAGGGATGTTAGAATTTGAGATTTCAGCGGTAGGAAGCAGAACATATATGACGAATCTTGACCGTAGTCGAAATTCGTGTCGCCCAGTCGCATTTTTCTTCCTGCGAGATCAAGAAGTCAAGGTAGATTGGAATGAACGATTCCGACCGATAGTACAGAAGCGAAAGAACAGGAGATCGTATGTGGCATGGCATGATTACTGTAGAGCTGCCATGCATTGGCGGGGCCGTAGATGCACCGAACTGTGGAGTAGTATGCTCGCGGTGTGCGCTACATGCACTAGTATCGAGCCCCAATCGCCAGATCAGTATCGATGTCCAGCTTGAGCGCGGACACAGATGTCCAATCAGTCGCAACATCGCCTATCGTGAATGCTAGCCATTGTTAGTAGCATACCCAAACAACCACTCATCAGCCTTCGTCATCGTAAAGTAGCTCATGGTCCGCAAAGTGTGGATTATCACTGAGATAGCAGGACGTGAAAGTGTGATCACAAATCATTCAGGGAAAACTTCGGAACTGTTGAATTGAGGCCTTCTCTCCATGAGCATAATGATCCTGTCCTACATATCCGAGTCATTCGAATCAAACGTAGTGGCTCCTGACTTGTGCCAACCGTGGTAGCGAGTATGCCAGACATCCAAATATCCCTTTTTCGATCGTGGAGGGATCACTGTCTGTACTATCATGTATGTTAGTCGGCATCCTTCAATAACATACAATTCGGGTGTCACATGCGTCTGATAGACTAGTCAGATGAAGTACTAAATGGCTTTCTTTATTGCATACTATCACCAGTCCGGGGCAGCTGAAGCGTAAGCATCATCTAGCGGTTTGATGACTTTCTTCCAAGCATCTCGCCCACTGACACTGTTCCACCACTTCGACAGGTTTGATCTTCCTTCAAAGAGGTTCATGCACTTGGTAAGGACGTACATAGTTGGCATATAGTTGATGTCGATCAGGCTATATTCATCACCACCGAGGTAGTCCATCTTCAGCAGAGCCTTATCCAACGCCTCCAGACAGTTCGTCAGTCGTGGCCTATGTCTGTCCAAAACAGCCTGGTCCACTGATCGACCAACCGCCCTAGGAAGACGTTAATGATCGGAACCCCACAAATTTTTACGATGACTTACGGAGCGACAATGGTCTCAGCAATGATAGGCACCGCATGAACATTGAACTCCTCAATCTCCAGGATCATCCACATCCAAAATGTCCCGTTCGTCTTGGCATCATTCGCGGCAGGAAGTAAGCGAGGGCCCGTGTTGAGGTATTTCTGAGCAAGGTATCGCGCAATGGCTCGAGACTCAAAGAGTACAACGTCTCCATCCTCGATCAGCGGAACCCGGCCAAAGATGGACTTCTCCCAGAATTCAGGGGTCTGAATAAGGAAATCAACTTTGGCATTTCTTTGGGAGTTGGGTACTAAAGTGCTCACCTTATGTTCGCCTGTCATGATATTTGTGGGGACTATCTCGAAGTCGTCGATACCTTTCTCTGCCAGGACAAGCTCTGGTCGCAAGCTGTTGTACGACAATGGTGATGTCCACAGTTTGATAGTCATGTTGAGTACTTGACTATTACACTTTGAGGAGAACTTCTTGATTCCGAGAGATCCTTCGGTAAGGCTCGAAAGAAGGGAAGAGTCGGTCTCGTGAAAAAGCTTCATTTGGACCTTTTCATATGTTCATCCTGGTCGCACAGACGCCTCGTATCCCTGGAAGAGATACGTGGTCGGAGAGCTTAACGTTATCCACTTAGTGAGACATTCCCTGGTGATTTGACGCATGCCTGCAGTGCCGAGCTCTTGATGTTGCCATTTCCTCGAGCTGAAGCAAAGCCTCTCTCGTGCAGCCATCTGACTGGCACATTGTTGGCCGAACACGAACTTCTCCGTTCGTATCGAAGACCTGCCAAGGCCGTCATGGGCAGGAAACCTCACCCCGCACAAACCGTACTGGTAGGCATAATGAGCAGCCTGTTGATCCCTGTTTATTCTTCTCTGGGAGTCATACAACACCACCTGCTGACTTCTGGCTGGCTTCAACGTTGTTGTTACCGCCCAAGTTCAACTCATCTAACACAATTGTGGTCGAGTAGATGTTGACCCCCGAGGTTGCCAGTTGACAATCTAGGTCGGTACCGACGCTTTTCAGAGCTACTGATCAGTGCAAACGCCTGAAGATTCACGCATCTGAAATATGGCCGATCTCTTCTGCTGGCAGATCACACATCCTAGCTTGACAACGCATCATACTTATCTTTTAATAACACCGGATACGATAACATACCACCCTGACATTCTGATGCAGCCGAGAGAAACAAGAACGGACCTCTCAAGTATATTTCGAAAGATATCCGTGGCAAGGGAAACTTATTGCCATCTTGCAAGAAGCCTTTCGGTTATGAAGAGGTTGAATCCGCTAAAGCCCTGATTTTTGATATTGTTGCTAACGAAAGGCTCGGCGAGTATCACGCAACAAGTGCTCACCTAAGTCGTGTCGTATTCACGAGCCAATTCGGCTAGTATTACCAAAGGGGGCATTTAACCACTTCCAGAACGGCGACTTGGGCCGCTGGGGCTGTAAGTTTTAAACACGACGACCGCCAAATCTTTTATAATAATAATGGCCCGAGTCTCGAATATACGACAATGACGAGTTCAAGTTGGTTAGCATGTGGCAGGAGTTGCACCAAGTGTTCCATTCCACTTCTGGTCGTCATAGTTCGGCTTCAAACCATGGATTTCTCAAATCATTCATGTTCCAGCCAGGAAGCGTAATCCCCAATTGCTCGGCGAATTTCCGCAGAGACATTTCGGCAATCCAGCTGACATCTCACCTGATGTAAGCAGAACCAAAACCTATATGTTGACGAGGTAAGAAGTATCACTGCAGTACATGTTTTCCGTCATCGAGGCTCGTCTTCTTAAAAGACTGCGCTTCTCTTTAACAATCTTCTCATCTTCCGGGGAATGATCTGGTAATCAAGCTGCAACAATGAAGAGTGGTGCCTACTGGGAGTTAGAATCGATAGCACTGCTGGAAGGCGTGGGCAGCAGTGAGCTGAAGTCTGAAAAGCATGCTCGCAACAATATCTCCTCCTCACAGTCGTCACAACGTTCTCGCAAATCGAGCGGGCCACCACTCAGTCTGAGGCAGCTTTCTCGACGATGTTTTTCATGGCTAAAAATGCCCCCGGAGATCGCTACCCTGAACCAGCTTCCGTTCCTCTGAGAAAAGTCCCTCGAAAAGACGTCAACCTATCCGGTACTTTTCGGACATGAGAGCAAGAGATTTTGCAAAGGAGGAATTGCTGTGAGGATCCAGACTCGTTGTCCACGACAAATCAGATCACGGTGCATTGATCTTGCCTAGTCGCCACAGTGACCAATCGCCTTGTGGTTGGGATGGCCTAATCTTTCACCACCTTTCAGCACGATGGTATCTTTTCGGGACAGACCCTGAAATTTGACCCTTAAGAGAGTTGACGCATGGGCATGGTTAATCAGCGTCAGTGAAAGATGCAATAGGACGGCCGTAGGTCCGCCTTGACATCTCTATGGTGATGATGCTTTCATTGGGTCGGCATTTCTTGTGATTGATGTTGGCATACATGGAGATCTGCATCCGAGTCCCAGTCCAGGAAGTGTCAATGTTCACGGCTAGTCATATCGCTCAATCCAAAGACCTCACAGCCCAATTGAGATGACTCATATTAGGGACTACCTTTGGGTGTATAGCTTTTGATCGAGAGGAAACGTGAAAAACAGGATCCTCAAAACAATCCTGAGGTCTACCTTCGATCATAATTGGTAATCCGTAAAAGGATGAGGCTAAGGCAGCATCCGCGCTCGGAGCCGGAGGGTCGGAGATGAAGTGGTGTTCCGTAACTTCGTATTGACCCATTGGGCGCCAAGCAAGAAAACGCAAAAGATAGAATTGCGGACACCCGTCGAAATGGGTTTTGTTGCTACCAGATGACATTGTGTCGAAGATGGAGAGTGGACAGTCTTGCGCATAAGGCCTCCATACTACATACCAAGCTCAAAAGAGCCCGTATCGAGATGAAATAGTGCCGATGAGATTGAGAACAGCGTAGGGATGTAATCCGCGGAGTTGTCCTCAGCTTCACAGCCCGTTTGCGCAGGCTCGTGGCCGAACTATCGACCAACCTGGTACTGCTGACTGTAGATTGCACTGGAGTCTCGACATCATCTTTGTTGGCAGGTAGAAATTAGCACATACACAGTGAAAAGGTGGACTTAGTGATTCGTGACGATCAGGAGCCAATACCTCAAGACAGCGGTCAGTGTGCTGTGTTCAATGCGAAGTACTCAAGAACTGATTGTGGATACCCTAGAGTGGTTGATTGGTTATGTTGATCGCATCTCCGGGCTTCACCTAAACGAAAAGGCTAGAGAAGCTAGGTATCTATTCGAACAATTATATTCCCAACCAAGCAAGAGGCACGGAAAAGGATGTACTGTCTATTTTAAGCAGGTGGAGAGCGGAGCAATATATACACCGTAATACCTCTCAGGCTCGTTCTTTAGGTTGGAATAGGCCGTGGAATCAGAAATTAGTCATGGGCCATGTACGAACTAGTTCTCTTGACCATCGCTCTCAGTGTATGAAATACGAGGTACAATGTGCCTGAGGATCGATAGGCGGAAGCGACTAGTTGGTTAGATGCGCCGTTTCCTAGGATGTTCGGTACCACGGGCACGGACGGGACATCCTCCTTCCTCCCTCGGACGAGATGATGAGATGTGCGCCCCAAATTTGGGGTCAAGGAATCGAGACCATTTCCCGAAGTTAGCCTAATATGCTGGAGCCAAGTCGGCGACCTCGCTTAAACTTGAAACCCTACCGTGATATCGGACAGGATTTCGCTCAGTCATTCCTCCACAGCCAGTTTTCAGCCTTGGGATCGCCTTTGGCTTCGATGAATAATGGGCAATCTGGGGCCGTCTTGAATACCATCAGAGCGTGAGAAACCGGATGTACCTAAACAGGAGTACGCGAAACCATCGACGCCGTCTTGATCGCAGCGGAGAAAGAGAAACTTTCAATCCAAACCAGCTGCTGATATCTCTCGAAGCAAAGGCCTATTTCACTGGCAAGTTGCCCACCTTGCCCTTTCATTGTCGTGATTAATTCCAAGGTATCCGACAAAGTCCGCCGAGTTTATTCGCACTGCGTATCGACAAGTACCAAGAAGGTACTTGCCTCTACTATGGCAGTAACACCCGAAGTTCCTGCTCAGTCACCAAGCACGACACCGCCCAAGGGTCGCTCGAAGCCGCCAAGTCTACTCGCTTGTATCCCCTGCAGAAAAAGCCATCTTAAATGTGATGGTAAAAAGCCGCTGTGCAGCAGATGCGTAGACCGCGGCGGATCATGCTTCTGGGTGGATTCAAAGAGAGGATATCGAGAATTTCGTAAAGGACACCAATCAGTGAATGATGCCAAATCCGGGGACGATGCAAAAGTAAACCGCTCAAAGTCGGGGACTTCAATGCATGAGCACCCTTTGGACTTAGACCCTACTCAAATTCGCCAAATGACTTACGAAGAAATATTTCAGGCCAATGACCCGGCATTCACGGGCCTCCCCTTGGAATTTCAGTCGGTGCAGACGATGGCCAAGCTGGCAGGCGGTAGTCCAAGCAGCCGCAGTGATTCAACCCTCTCCATCACACGCGAGATCAACCCGACCGTGCAAAGTCACAATAATGGGTCTGCTGACCTAATCGAACTCTTCTACAAGCACCTATACCCGCCCCACCCATTTATCGTCCCATGGAAGTTATACCTCCAGAACTCATCCCTTATACCATTTCCTCTACGAGCGGTGCTGAGATTCGCCGCTTGTCATTACGTCCCTCATGGCAATCCCTCCGAGCTCGAAGCAGCTGCCAAGAATATATTGTCTGATGATATCCCAGACGATGGGTTCAAAGTTCAGGGCTTAATCCTGTTTGCTTTCGTGTCGCATGCTCGAATGGACCGAGACTCAGGGGAGTCCGCATTGATGAGAGCAGTTGAGATCGCTCTTCGAATAGGGATGAACCGTGAGACTTTCGCGATTCAGAATGGTCAAAATAACCCCATTCTCGAGGAATGCTGGCGACGAACATGGTGGATGCTTATGCTTCTCGAAGGCCTGGTCACAGTGATTGGAGGCCAAAGCTCACCATACATAACATATTCAACCTTCACAGACGTGTCTTTGCCCGGTCACGATGAAGACTACAACGAACTCCGTGTTTGCTCAGAGTTACGCACTCTCACTGATCTCCACAACCGCGTTATTTCTGAAGATACCTTTTCGTACTCGTCACTTGCCTATGGCATCGAGGCTGCCTACATCCTAGGCGCAGTCTTGAGCTTGGGACCGGACACTTTTGCAGTCACAGACCCTCAAGTTGAAGCTCTAGATGCCAGCATTTCCAACTATTTCCTGTCACTACCACTGGACAAACGAGATCCAACCCACCCTGATGGATCAGTGGATGAGCCCCTTCTCATTGCACACCTTGCTATCAACTGGGCGTCGATTGTGCTTCATCGGCCCCGATCCACCTTGACATTCATACGAAATCACTACCGAACAACTTGCACAAGGGCAGAATCCGCAGGTCTCCCAGCTTTGGCATATTCCTGCCACACTGCCAAGGCGTTACGCGGAGCAAATGCAATCATCAATCTGGCTTCCATTCCGAGACCGCTTACCTATTGTACCCCAGCCCTGATGTGTGGAATCACGACTGCTGCCACTGTTCATTTACCAGCATATGCAATAGTTGATACTCCAGACCAAACAATTGCCATCAAGGAGAGATTACAGTTGGGGATTTCGGCGTTGGCATCCTTTGGGGAGATATGGCCTCGTGCAAGTATCGCCAAAGGACAAGTGGCCCGGTTTGCACGAGAGATACTCCTGAAGCCCAATGTCTGTGTGGATAGTACCGGACCAGAGCAGATTCCTCGTATCACGACAGAGACGAATTTTGCGCAGATTGAATACGATGCACCTTTCAACAATGACATCTGGATGGATAATCTCATACAGGCAGAAGAAGAGAATGATCCCGCTCTGTGTCCCGTTTTCGATGCAGTCTACTCTCTGCCCAATGCCCAAGGGGTATGAATTGATTTGAATTGATAAAGAGGCCGAAGCCGGCGGTTGAGCCTTCGCCATTAGGAGGGGTGGCTATCATTTCCTCCCGTCTCGATGCGTTATCGGCTACAACTTGAGGTGCTTGTACGCATCAATCTGCTTACGGAGATGTACTTATGAGGTTCTGAGTCACGACTAAATTTCTTACTTGGGATACCCTCTCAGCGTCTTGTGCACAAATTTCGACCTAGATTCGTCAATAGCTCATGTGGATATATCGAGACCCGCTGCGGGTGAAAACAAGTCTTTTTCAGGGTTCTTTTATGACACAGAATTGCAGTGTAATAACCTCTACCCATCACACTTTTATGACTCTTGTATTACCAAACATACATACCCAAACCTATGGACACTCGCGTTCGCAATCCGGATTTGTTGATCGGCTCAAGAACTCTCAACCTAATTCGCATCCGCCAGCACAATCTTCAAGGCCGCATCCAGGGATTCTTTCGGTAGACCCAGGCGATCATTCCAAGTCTCTCTGTACGTCGCAAAGTTTCCACCATGGCCCTCGACGCAATTGATGTAGCTCACAATCAACGGTGCACCACCAAAGTCACCCTTCGCGAACTTTTGCTTACCTAAATCCTTCTGTCGCTCACCGTCGATCCTGGTCACGGCCCAGGTGGAATTCGTCACCCTCTCGAGCGCTGCCAGCATGTCATTCTGTGAGACTGTGAAGGGCGCAACATAGACGATATGGTTCGTGGTGCCGTCGATATCGAGGATGGCATTCTTCAGTGCCAGTTCGATGGTGGGAAGTGTCGTCGTTGACCATCTACCTTCGCCTTCATCGATCAGCATTGCTTTATCGGTCTTCAAGTCGAAGCCCATGTAGCCGATTTTGATCGCACTGCATCAGAAGGTCAGCAGATGCCGGGAAACTTTAGTCTAGAGTGGAGCGAAGCTCTCTTACTTACAGCTCGAAAAAAGACCCTGTGACAAACGCGTGCACGACAGTCCTTCCGACTCCTTACCCTTAAGATACTCCGCCGTGTCAACCTTGCCCTGGAAAAACTGCCGAATCAGCTCCAACGCCTTCTCGCTCTGCAGATCCGAGCCAAACTCGGACGGAAGAAAACGCTTAACCCCGGCAATGATGGCCGCATCGATCATCTTCTTCTGCCGCACCGCAGCGGCGGTCGCAAGCGTCGAGACGACAACATCTTGTCCCTCGAATGCCTTTTATGACGTCCTCTTGACCCGTAGTCGTCGTCGACCCGAAGGACTTTGATGTGGGATGGGAAGGTGGCCAGCGAGCTTGCGCGGCTGAGGACCGAGACGTGGGAGGGAGGGTCTGCATCAATTGCTCCCAGGATGGTAGGGCCGAGTCTGCCGCTGGCGCCGACGATGATGACTTTGATGCAGGCATTCTGTGACTGTATCGTTGTACATAGATCTCAACTCAAATGGAGTTATGTTGTTGCTTCCTTCGTCCCTACGGACCTTTAATACCGTGTCGTCCTGCCGGCGTGTGCTTGTTTCCCGCATTCACTGATGCCTAAGTGATGGAAGTTGGTAAGCATTACAGGATATACTTAATGATTCGACAAGCCTTCGGACTGAGTAGAAGTCCGATGTCATCGTCCATTGCGCAACCTTCGGCAGCCGCAACTTCAAGGCCAGTATCTCGAGCCTCGTCGACTTCGGACAGCATCGCACTCAGCCTTCTAGTGGTTTGGTAAAACCAAAGTCTTCTCGAGTGCAATATGGTCAACATTAAATGGACTTGCTCTCTAGCCGTTTTTCGTCACTCATCGCTATATAGACGTTCATAACGCAAACCTTTATGTCTTCACAATTTGTAGGTTGAGAATGAGTTTACTCGGCCCCGAACTAGTCTGTCGTACCTTCAATGGGCTGAAGCACTGGTCAGGCTGAGATATGCAGTTCTGAGATTCAAGGCAAACAACGCGGAGAATCAATAAGACAATTGTGACATGCTTGGTCTTAGCATTGTTGATCATCATCTGATGGCTATCAGGAGCCAGGTGGGTCACTCCTAAGGCATGAAGGACCAAGCTATCTCTCCTCAAACTGAAGGGATCGAGATTTCATCTTCTCTCATTGTATTTCATCGAATGTAAGCTCATTGCATGATCAGCACCAACGTGTTCAGTGAAAGGACTCTCCATCTCCGCACATCATGTGTTCCATCTTCGGGCAAGTGAGTGACTTGTGATAGCACCATATTTGACCTCTTGCCGTCTACCCACCTGAAGTGAGAATAGAATGATTCATCCAACTCTGTGGAGATTTCCAGCTACAGCTCCAACTAACCCCTGAACACCACGCTCCGAATGACAATGTGAAGGAAATGATCTTGTCTGAGAGCAAAGTCCAACATCAAGGACGATAATTACTCATCATAAATCACATGTTTTAGACCTCCACTTTGTAATTGCGTTTCCATTGTCTCTTGTGCGCATCTCGGCATAGTCCGCAAACGATGATCATGCACATCTGACACCAGAAAGCATGATCGTCTGTAGAGTTCTTCTTCGCCAGCAGAATTTCTTTGGAAGGTGTTCGCTTCTGACAGTCGTCACTCTTCTCCGGCTGTTGAGCTGTCCCGGATGGTGGCTCAAGCTCCTCATGGTCTTCCCACACTGTTGTTCTCTGGAAGCATGAGAGGCATCCCACTTTGAAGTCGCCTGGGACTGTGGGATCGGAACCAACCTTCCAGAACTTAGGAATATTGCGCTTCTTCAGAAGCTCAAACCGATGCGCGCATCCCCAAGTATCAGTATACTCGTCCTCAGGCTCTGGGCCGAAAAAGAGATCCGCATCTTCCCAATTCTCGCGATCGGGGTCGTCCAAGTTTTCAATCTCTGTCGGAGTTTCATCACTGGTCGCTACAACCTGTACTTGAGAAGTATCTTCTCCTTCTACTTGCTGGATTTGTTCCTCAGTTGCTTGTTGAGTGGGTTCCTCGATTGACTCCTGTTGCCGAACCACCTCTTGGGTGGCTGAAGTGACTGCGTCCCTGGCCTCCTCCACACTTGTCAATACCTCAATTTCTGGTTCGGTGACACCCATGTCAGCGTCCGAGTCCGAGTCCAAGTCCAAGACCAACTCATCGTCAGGATTTTCTGGTCTTGCTCCATCCTCTCTTGCTGTGCGACACGGGTTTGAGTTGCATGCCATTATGGGTCTCCTGCAGTCCCAGCACCAATGAGCACCACAATTACATCTGACGTGTGCACAGCCAAACATCTTCATGACCCCGGTATTACATTTGGGGCAGACTTTGTACTTGAATTTCTTGATGATGGAATTATACTCCTCATTCTTTCCGCAAACGTGGGTGTCGTTCGCTAGGTTTTTGCATTTCGTGCACACTGCAGCAAGACAAGTGAAGCAGGCTACACGAGTCGCACCTTCAGGGATGAGACGTGAAGGGATGTAAGTGGAACATCTCGGCATAGGGCAGTAGAGCGGGTTGGGAGTGCCGTTTTCGATAAATCGCGTCTTGTACGCCTCAAGTTCAACAGCCGGAAGGATATCCTGAGCAACCTCATAGTGCATGACTCTACCACAGCACTGAACAGGCATTCGCTCCATATCCGACATTGCAACCTGGAATTCTCTCTTAAGACAATCATAGCAACGGGATTTGGTACAATTCCCAAGACACGGAACAGCATAGGGCCCCTCAAGGTCGGTGAAACAAACCGCGCATTGAGGCACTTTTGGCTTCGGGGGCTCCTTCTTAAGGCGTTTACGAGGGCGATCTCCAGTGGGTGGCGGCGAGATTATTGGCAGTGTCTGCACTGGTGCTGCTTGCTCCTGGTTGTTTCGTTGGACATTCTCTGTTCGCAGCTCATTTGACAAATTTCCTAAGTTGTCTGGAAGGATGGGATTGACCGCATAGATTTGCCCTGAGATGAAAATTTGAGGATGTAGATAGAATGCCTTTGCGGCGGCAGGCCAGGTTCGGAAGTCAACAATGCATATTCTGCGATCTGCAAAGGTGCCGGCCTCAATTCGTGTGCCTAGGTAACCCTCTAGGATCCGGAAGGTGCGATCAATGTCGGCAGAGACTTGTTGTGCGACTTCGGCACTGTGATGAATTGCGATGCACGTAAAGCTTGGTCCAGTGAGCTCCCCTGGCATTTCAACATCCATGATCTGATCGTTCACAGGATCTTTTGAGGAAGGAACAGTGTGAGAAGTGATGTCAATTGGTAATGACAGTGGACTGAGCGGTTCGTTTTGAAAAGTGAGAGGGCCAAGATCCGTGTGAAGAGAAGGAGTCGCGGCTGAGGCGCCGAGACGATTCGCACTTGAGGGAGATACGCTCCGCCTGTGGAAGCGGCGGGTTAAGAAAGAGCAAGCCATCGTGCGTGCAATGAACGACGACGATGTCGCGCTTTTAGGACCGTTTTGATAGCAATCGCGACAATGTCCAGCACATGTAGCAGGAAAGCACGATGAATAGATTGAGCAGGTAGCAAGCGCCAACAAGAAGGACAAACAGAGCAATATGCTAGTGAGTAAGACGACGTCAAACACAAGCCAGCTGAGATCAAGCAGCTCGTAGTATACCAAACAATTGCGAAAAGGATGACAAGGAGCAGGACTCAATGAATACCTTATACTTTGTTCACGATGCGAAAAGGATTATCAGATGGACACCCGTAGGCCACAAGGCTATGTTTTGACTCACAGACTTGGATTAGCAGAAGATTGATACAGAAAGCCAGGCAGAGGGAGGACTTCTGCCTGCAATTGCAATTGGCGGACCTTATCCAGGCTGTACATGATGGCTGTACCACCGGAACTGGAGCCTAGCTAAAGTCGAGCCTGGCTCCGGAGAATCCTTCGGGCCATAGCTAATGGTTATATTTATGACAGATTATGACTCCAGCAGTATCAAGTATTCGCATCGTGGAATCTCAAGATGGAAAGTCAAATGGGTAGAGGTCATATCGAGGCGAACTCGAAGATGAAAGTTACCTCAATTGATGTGAAATTGACATTTGCCATCATGGTCGTTGAAACGAAGCCGGCAATTGCAAGGCGATGTCCGGAGAAACAATTTTGCCGGACTATTGCCAAGATTTCAATTAAACCCCGACGCGTCTCTAAGAACGCGGACCTGGCTTGCTCCAGACTGCGGTGCACTGCCACTTCTACCTTGACTCATTACCACGACCCTTCTAAGATCGGTGCTAATGGCGAGACTCAAGAGACGATCGGAGGCCATCTCTCGAGATCCTTCTGAACCAGAATCTGAGTCAGATCGACCACAGACCCTAGCACGTCGTCGTCAACGCTCCAGTTCCGCGTCGTCAAATCAATCCAATGCCTCATCAGCGGGCTCGCAACGAAACGAGCCAACAGGGCAGAACCAACAAGAAATACTCATCAAAAGACTAGTTCGTCTCGCATTGGCGACAGAGTTCTCTCGTACTCCTCTCCGAAGAAGCGACATATCCACCAAGATCTTCAAAGACAGTTATCTCTCTGGACGGAGTTTCCGCTCCATCTTCGAGGGCGCGCAAACGGTTTTGAGGGAGACATTCGGCATGGAGCTATTTGAGCTTCCCTCGAAGGAAAAGACCAACCTCAAGGACCGACGGCTACAAGCCACCCAAACCAAGACATCCACTTCGACCACAAAAAGCTGGATTCTCATCTCAGTACTACCACCTTCATACAAGACCAATCCAGTTATAATACAGCCAGCAAAGGCACCAGACATCGGGACTGAATCAAGCTGGACTGCATTCTACACCCTGGTCATCTCTCTGATATACCTGAACAATAACTCACTCCCGGACCAAAAACTCTCTCGCTACCTCCGCCGCCTAAACGCAGACACCAACACACCATTCGGCATGCTGGACAAAGTCCTCCAAAGAATGCAAAAAGAAGGCTACATCGAAAAGCGGCGCGACACCGTCATGGGCGAAGAAGTCACGGAATGGTTCGTGGGCCCCAGAGGCAAAGTCGAAGTCGGCATCCGTGGAGTCACGGGGCTGGTGAAGAGCGTCTACGGCCACGGCGCGGTCCCCCTGTTTAAGCGACAGGACGAGGAGACCGAAGAGGCCACCGCGGTCGTCAAGGTCGAACTCGACGAACTCAACGGCAAGCTGTCACGGAGCCTGGGCGTCAAGATCGGCGGCGATGCACGAGCAGCAGCACAGCAGGGCGGCGAGGGTGACGAGGACGAGCAGGCAGAGGACTCGGGGAACAACAATGATTCTGGGGAAGCGGGTCCTTCGAGGACGAGACGTCAGCAGAAACAACCTGCTCGTGGTGGGCGCAGGAGGCAGACAGCACGGAATGATGATGACGACGACGATGATGACTGAATAGATACCTTGTATAGAATCGATTTGCGCGAACGTGTACGAATATATGAGTTTCACGAGTCTATCCACACTCTTTCCCAAGTATCGTGCCTCGAAAACCCACGTCAATGAGTGACTCTTGCCAAACATGACATCATCTAGTGCCCGTCCATGATCTCGACACGCCGACTCAAATTCGATATACTGTGGGATTCTGGATCCGACGATTTTTAATAGACGATAGTTCTCATTCCCCAAAAAGTCTATGTGTCTCTCGATACGAGGAGATGCTGAAGGTGCTTCGGTAGGTATGTATGTAGGTACATAAAATGTCCCGATCGTTGGAAGGTTGGACCGGTACCCAGAAAAGATTGGACGCCCACGCCATGCAGCATACGGAGGATTCTCTCGACTTGCCCTCACCACCACATCTGCTGTTTCCTGGGGTTGAACTCGCCTCAGCCGACCGCTTACTTCTAATCGCAGTCCTGACTTACCCAACAAATCACAGGCTTTGTCCAAGGAGCGTGATGATGGGAGTCGAATCAGCCAAAAGGTGAGAAGCCGCCTCGACCACCACCACCTCCACCGCCAGCGCCAGCGAATCTGAATCCACCGCCTCCTCCACCGCCGCCGCCACCCATACCATTCATCATGTTGAAAAGCATCTCGGGGTCGATCTGGACACCACCTCCACCACCAAATCCGTGCATACCTCCCATACCACCAGGGAAACCGCCACCCATACCTCCCATACCAGGTTCCATCAGATCGGCACCAGAATCATACATGTGCCGTTTTTGAGGGTCAAGCAGCGTTTCTTTGGCCTCGAGACAGTCCTTGAATTCTTCCTCCTTTTTCTTGTCTCCCATCGTCTTATCTGGATGCAGCACGGCAGCTTTTCGCTTGTATGCCCGCTCAATATCCTTGTCACCAGCGTCCTTGTCAACACCCAGAATCTTGTAGTAATCCTTGCGTTTGGACTTCTTAAGCTCCAGTTCCGCATTGCGTAATTCCTTGTTGAGTTCTCCGTCACCTGGATTCTCCTCAGCCATGGATTTGAGATCCTTCACAGCCTGCTCCCAATCACCAGACTCCCCAGTGGCTTTTGCGCGAGTGCGTTTCGCTTTGGAGTAGGTTGGATCCAGTTTGAGTGCTAAATCACAATCAGATCGTGCCTCCTCGTACTCCTTGATCTTTATTCTTGCCAGTGCTCGATTTCCCAATAATTTGGCATTGGTGACTTTGTTTGCTGAATCAATTGTCAAGGCATCGGTATATCCAACCACGGCATCAGAATATTTCCCCCGTTTAAACATATCGTTAGCGGATGTTCTGGCCCGATCCAGTTTCTTCATGGTCCGCAAAGAATTTCGTGCATCTGCATTGTCGGGGTCCAAACTCAGTGCCTGTCGGAAGTAGTCCTCGGCACGCTCATAGTCGCTCTTGCCCTGTCGAGGCTTGTCGTCTTTGAGATAAAATGCGCGGCCTGCAAGTACTATCGCTTCGGCATCCATAGGATTCTCCCGCATCAAAGCCTGGGAAATTGCTTGCACCTCGCCGAGTGCATTGGCTGAGCCAATTTTCAAATTTGCTTTGGCTCTCAAAATCTGCCATCGTCTTGGAGTGGGAGTGCCTGCACCTAGTGTTTGCTTGGCCTGGTCGATACTCCACAAAGCCATATTTCCATTGCCTTCCTCAGCATTGATTTGATCCTCAGCAACTCTTATCGAAGTCAGTGCTTTGGTTGCGGCGGAAGTATCTGTGGCAGAGGCATGGGGGATTTTGGCGTATGTATCCAGTGCATCTTGTGGCCGACCTAGTGAAGTATAGATGCGTGCGAGTCGATGTAGAATTTTGTCATTCTTGGGATCTAATCTGCTCGCTTGTAATGAATCGCCTAAAGCTTGACTGTATTTGTTTGCGGAAATGTAGGCTGCGGCTCTGTTGGAAAGATATGTAGGGTTGGAGGGTTCTGCATCAACGGCTATACATATTTGTCAGCGAAATGGAAGAGGAATGGTTTTATTAGCTACCAGTCGGACAGAGTTGAGACTTACCCTTGGTATATTCGACTATCGCCCGCTCATAGTCCTTGGCCTTGAAGAATTTGTTGCCAGCGGCTTTGGACGCTTCCGGGTCGACCTTCACCGGAGTGACTTTATGTGGTGGAGGAGTCGGACTTCGCTCATCTGAAGCATTGGTTCCATCTGTGCTGTGATCGCTGGCATGGTCAGGGAATGCGCCTGGAGCCTCTTTGGATGGAGTGGCAGGCGGCGAAGCGCCATTGACAAAAGTTTGTTCTGAGGCTTCGGAAAGATCTCTGTCCATCGACATTGAAGAACGACCGGCCTCGGCCTCTTGACGTGCCATCTGAGCCGTGACAAATTGACGCCGCTGATCAGGAGGAAGATTTAGAGGGTGGGTGTTTGGATCGTGTTTGGATTTCTTCTTGTCCTTTTCTCTGTCCTTGTCGTGTTTTTTCGGAGACCTGGACTTCCGCATGCCAGAAGTGACGGTAGATGTCTGAGTGTGACTAGTGGTCGGGAAAGCCGCAGCCTGGGGCGCAGGTGCAGAAAATGACACAGGCACAGGCCTTGGAAAAGATGGTGGGGGCGCGGCAGGAGCCTCACCAAAATTCGGACGATGACTTATTGAAGGTGAGGAATTCAACGAGCGTAGATGGGACCGAAGATTTTGTTCAGTCAAAGGAGCCGCTTTTCCCGACTTAAGCTTTGACTCGTCGGCTTGAAAAAGCGGGAGGGGAGTGGTGTAAGATGTGGAACGGGCTTTGGAGGTCAGTTTGCCGGTTGATGGTGATGGAGATGGAGATGGAATTCTGTGGGCGGGAGTGGCAGCGGCCGTGGTGGGAGTGAAGGGAGGCTGCTGCTGGGATGTGGTACTGGCACTGGCAGCATGCGAGGGCTGCCGTGGGTTCCTGAAGTCTTCTCTCGATCTCTGAATCTGTCCTTGAGGCTGACTCCGAGGCTTTCTGTTGTGTGTCTGGATTTGACCCTGATTTGGCTGTGGTGAAAATTTGGGTTGATTACTTTCTGGTGCAGGCAAAGGCGGGCTCCGAGTCAGGCTGCGGTCATGTTCAAGTTCTTGATCGAAATGTCTAGAAGTTCGGGGATTTTTGGCGCCGGGGTGGGCTTGTTTGGCGTAGCGACTGTTGCTGGGATCTGCCATCCGGACGTCAGAATAGGTGCTCTCGAGGCCCCCGCCGCCCAACGATAGGCGCTTTAGGCGGTCTAGGGGCTTTAGCTTGGGTGCTGGCCTCGGCAGGCGCCCATCAGCATCCTTGACTGGCTTCCGGTTGCCAGCAGGCATCCTGCTAACCCGTCTAACGGTCGCTTGTTCTCTCACTTCTGCACCTGTTGGCTCCCTTTGGATCTTTCAGTGCGAATGATCAGAGAAGGGGTTTGATCTTCTGCGTCTGTTACGTAGGTTCAGACCGCCATGGACCTATTAACCCACTGACTGGCACCTGTGATCCGGCCAATGAGTGTAGTAGTAAGTGACAATGATATGAAGCCGACATGGGCACGTGAAGAAACATTGGAAACCACAGGCCAATTTAAGAAACCACGGTAGATGTTAATATTCTTGAAGGTTTGTGTGTGAGGAACCGCTGCCTATCTTTGCAAGGACTGCCTTACTCCCAGACTAGATCGCGGACAAAATCGATTACACTGGGCCTAAAGTGCCACTAATCACTAATGGTGATCATGCCTCTGTCGCGAAGGCTCGCCTGGCTGGCAATCGTAAAGACAAAGAGAAATTGTGACAACCATGATCCAGTGCTCCAGCCCCTTGCCCCTTTAACAACATAGCTTGGTATCAGAAACAACTTAAATCAGTAACAATCATTCAGCATTGCTCTGGCACGACCAGCTGCTTCCACTTGCTTGGTTGTGAATCGAATACCCTGAGGCATACAGCCCCATGCCACAGATACCCAGTCCCATTCCTACCAGTCCCACGTTCACCACAGTCAAACACATCTTCTTCCAATTTTTGGAATACTGGCCTCGGTTCAAAAAGATCCAGAAAATCCCAGAGATTCCATAGGTGAACCATGAAGCAAACAAGCTTGATATCAAGGACAGCAAATCGTTGAAGTTGGGAATCGATTCGGCGATGATCCATGCAATCACCCATAGTGTCAGTGTAATTACAAGCCAGCTACCCACTGCGAGCGGCGTCCTCTTCGACATATGTTTGGTCCCTCGAAAAAGCCGAACATAGATATACTTTGACGCGACGTGGCCATAGATGACACCCGCAATGATAATGGTCGGTATGGCCAGGCCCCAGGCGACTTTGCCCAAGGTCTTGCCCGCAGCACCGAGGGCAGGAGATGGCACATCATCTCCGCCATAGGCGTAAACCACCATTGCAACAAGGAAGTACATTCCAGTATCCGTAACTTGTAGCAATACCAATGCCTTCGGGAAGTCCTTTGGGTTCCTCATTTCCGAGATGAAACTAAAGAACGCAACGTGACCAGCGTAGGCAAATACGATGTTTGTCACGCTGAGGAATGCTGTAGCGAAAGACGCAGTCTGCGTCGCATGGTAATGGCCCTGGGACGGATTGCGAGCTCCAACTCCTGCCATAGTGATCAACACGGCGGTGACAATGCTGACGAAGCTTACACAGGATAGCCATGACACCTTCAACAAAGTTCTTGGTACGTCGAACAACCAAAAGAGTACCAAGCCAACCACGCCCCAAGCGATTGTGCAGGTGGCCCCATTGGTCAAGGTGCTTAAACAAATCGTCCAGGTCAATATATGACTGGCCATGCTGAAGACCAAGAATATCGTTTGAGCAGCACCGAGAAATTCTCTACCAAACCTTGCCCAGCGAGGCCCTAATGGTTCAAAGAGAACATGTCCTGCGTCCGCCATATTGTGAACCTGAATAGACACTACAATTAATATAACAGAACGGGGTGGTTTCTCGGCTCAAGTGTAACATACCCATGGATAAGCACTCTTGAATTGGCCGATGACATAGCCAGAATACGTGGCCACCGTCCCCAAGCTCAATATCAAAATTGCGCCCGGGACCATGCCGATTGTCGCGAGAACGGAAGGTAATGACAGAATTCCCAAGGAAATGGTCTCGGCTATCATGACTTTTTCGCAGATCCAGTTAGCGCAAGAAAGCATGCCATCAATAGATCTTGTCACCTACTCATGCTACATTGCCTGTCGTAGATCATCAGCACAAATTCGTGTTAAATTGAGCTGGGATCGACTTACCACCACTTCAGAGTACGATACTTGACACCATCCTCGTCGCCTTCTTCACCGAAAGGATCTGCATTTTGGTGTTCGCTGCGCCGTCGAAACGTCTCTTTGAATGACGACCGTCTCGTCGCTTGTTGCCCGTTATTGAGTGCGCCTTCTTTCTCTGCATCGGCACCAAAAGGATCTGACGACGCTCGTAAGGTAGGGGATCTGGAAGTCATACTAGACTTGGGGGCGGGAGTGTGCCTTTTTCAAACCTCTGAAGGAAGCTCAAACGAACTCACAGAAAGTGCTCCCAATTGAGTCTTCAATCACAGAGTAGCACGAGAGAAAAACCAAGTTGGCGTCACAGGTTTATTCATAATATCCGACAAGGCGTACCATTCCCACGAAACCTCGCAGGATATGATGCCATGACGACCGTTTCGAGTCGTTCGAACGTCATTGCTCTTCTCCCCTCCGAAAGTCCCTACTTAGAACGGGAGTGCAACTCCGTAAGTGGAGTCAACTTCCAGCCTTACCTGGATATTGAAGAATTGTGTTTTGTCAGGGTTTGGGTTGTTTTCAAGACGTCAAAGGTCGATCAGCCCGATCTCTTGGCCGACTTATCCGGACCGAAGTGGTACCTAGATGGGTTAGACTGAAGAGCTTGGGCTTGCTTGTTAGCAGGCTATTGTCAATTATCGGGACCTTTGTACCAACCAACATAGTACCATACCTCGTCTTCAGTTCTTCTTCAAAAAAGAGAAGAGCCATCACAAGCGGAGCATCGCGCGAGTTTCAATATATTCAGCCACCGTTCCAAAGATTGCCCTCTCATTGGCACGTACTGATCTGGCATGGGAGTTGGTCATAATTGCCTAGGTGGTGATCTGGGCACTCGGCGCTCGTGGTGCTACTCCAGAGCTCCTAGTCATCCTCACAAAATTGAGTGAGAAGCATGTATCAACCTGTACGGTAGCAAAAGAGTACTTGTCTACTATTCTACCAAAGAACACCTCTTGCTCAGAGTTTTGAATGCACTGACAGAAATGGAAGACCTCTATCCGAAAGCAGTAATTTAGTATTCTGCGCGATTACCTTGCGACTCCGCCTTTCGGAACTGGGTACCCATATCCGACGTTATTAATATGGCAAGCGTTTCGACTGGATTAGCAGTCAAGGAATATTCAGGTTCAGATGCCTTCCAGATATTCATAGGATAAATGCGCTGGCCTCTTCCATGACTGGTCGATTACTCCCCACGAGTTACTCAGCAAGGTTTATTAATCCCATCAGCGTGGCTCTGGGCAATATACAAGCATGTATGACTTCGGCAGCCCATAAATCAGATCGTTCGTTTTGGTATCTTATCCGCTGCTCCAATAACCGAGAGAAGGAATATGTTGTGATGACGCATATTGATCTCGAGACGTGGGCGCTGAGCTGATTACCAATTCGTGGCCAGCTTCTGATCCGGGCTTGTGATGGTACGATGAGAGACTCCTGAATGGAGCAGGAGACGAAGTATAAGATGTTGGTGATTCTGCGAGGAAATGGATCTTCTGTTTCAAACAGCTTGTATTTCGATCCCTCGATCACTAGCAGCAGATACTCGGGCACGGCCACGAGCACCACCGATACCCAATTTGATAGTATAGCAAGACTATCTCGATCAACATGTCAACAACTGGCGGAGGATATAGGAGGGTGGCAGTGTTTGGCGTAAGTGAAAATTGAGCTCAAGAGACCGAGGACGATGAGAGACTGACATTGCCAGGCCGGTGGTACAAACATCGGACACCATGTCGTCAAAGCGCTCGCATCTAAACCCGACCTCTTTACCGTTGAAATCATTGCCAGAAAGTCGTCCAAGTCGACATTCCCAACAGGCGTCACAGTGCGCTACGTCGACGATGATTTACCCCATCAGCAATTGGTAGAAGCATTGACTGGGCAAGATGCACTCGTCTCAGCAATTGGATATGGCGCGATCGAACTCGAGAAACCTCTAATCGAGGCCGCCATCGAAGCAAAAGTCAAACGCTTCCTCCCTTCAGAGTACGGACTGAACAACACGAATCCCATCGCCAGAAAACTCTGCCCTGTCTTCAACGCCAAGGGTGAGATCATCGAGTACTTGAAGACGAAAGAGTCGACCGGCCTATCGTGGACGGCCGTACCTAATGGCATGTGGCTTGACTGGTAAAAAGGCAAGGTCCTCTTGGAGCCGAACCGAAGCTAATACGTGATTGCAAAGGACGCTCGATCCAGCGATAGCATTTGCGGACATCAATGTACAAACACACACCGCCAAGCTCTGGGAGAACGGAAATCACAAGCTTTCTTTCTCCACACTCCCCTGGGCAGCCGAAGGGATCGCTCAGATTCTTCTCACACCAGAAGAGACCGCGAACAAGGTCGTGCCAATCCACGGCTTTGAGGCAAGCCAGAACGACCTCCTCAGTGCGTTGCAAAGGCTGCAGAACGTCACTTACCAGATAAGTCACTTTGATCTCAAGACAGGGGTTGAGCAAGCGCAAACTTCGTGGGTTCAGAATAAAGATATTCAGTCCGCGCTGTGGTTGGTCAAAGCTGGGTTCTTCACCGCTGGTAATGGTAGCAATTTCGTCAGGGAAGGCACTGTGCAGGTTGGCAATGAGTTCTTGAACCTGCCACCATTGGATTTCAATGAGATCGTGGAGAAGGCTGTGAAACAATGGGCAGAAAGGCTGTAATGTATGATAGGCAGTTGATTGGTATGATTATAATGCTCTGTGGCCACAACGCAAGCCATGAGTCTAATTTTGCCATCTCAACAGGGTCATAGACAGTTTAGGGAAAACAAACTTCCCATTCTTGCCGTCCCAGTCTGACTCTTCGATCTTAACCTCTTCCTTACCTCCCATATTGCTAACTTTCGCGTTTGATCCAGTCACCGTGTACACTTTGACGGTAGATCCTTCTTTGACGCCGCCGATTGAAGTTTCCATATCCGACTCGAGATGTAGATTGACTACGACCACATTTACCCATCCCTCATCATCCAACGTGGCACTCACATCTAAGAATGGAGTCTCTTTCACCGCCCTAACCCAGGCAGGCTTGGTAGGACCCTCATAAGCAGCACTGGCGACATGTACTGCAATAGTGTGTCCCTTCATGTACTTGCAGAATAGTTCGTAAGGCCACCATGTTGTTTGCTTGGTGATACCTTTCTGATTCGTCATGAGGGGACTCAGGACGTTGACGCTCTGAGCGATACACGCCATCTCGACATCCTTGGACTTTCGGACGAAAACGTTCAACCACACCGCAACACCGAGAGCATCCGACAGAGTATAATTCTCTTCTCCACCTTTACTGCCTGGCGCTCGCTTCGGGTCCCAGACGTTCCACTCGTCAAATGCGATTCCGGGTCTCTTCTGCTCTGGGGGTATCTTGTTCTCGATAAATGCCAAGTCGATCAGGCTGGAGCACACTTCGATGTGTCGCTCAGCCGCCAATGGTGCCGTCACGTTCTCATAATGATCCTCACTAGCCGTGTAAAGATGAATGCTGTGCAAATCGACGAGAGGGAGCCGTTCTTCTCCCAGATCGCTCAACCCAGCAGGCTGTAGATTATGCTTCAAAGTATGGTAATCCCAAGTCGATGCCCCTTCCTTACCGCACAGAATGAGCTGTATACTGGGATCCAGTAGCTTCAGAGCCTTGGACCACTGAAGGGCACGCTCGGCATATGCTTCCTGAGTCATCTGTTCGATCTGCCAGGGTCCCCACATCTCATTTCCAAGAGCCCAGTATTTCACCTTGTAAGGCTCCTCGTGGCCGTTCTTACGTCGGAGATTGGCGTAATACGTGTCTCTGGTGCCATTGCAGTAATCAACCCACGCCATGGCTTCGTCGAGCGTCCCAGTTCCAAAGTTAAGACATAGGAATGGCTCGGCATTGACAGCCTTGCACCATTTCATGAACTCATCCGTGCCGAAATGGTTGGTCTCGACCGTCTCCCACGCCAGCTCGGGTCGTGTTGGTCTTGACTCCAATGGTCCGATACCGTCCTGCCAATGGTAGGTCGCGCAGAAGTTTCCTCCAGGATACCTAAAGATGGGTATCTCGAGGGGTTTTAATGCCTCGAGGACATCTGTGCGGAATCCATTTGAGTCTATGAGGTCTTTGTTGGGGTTGGTCGGATCGAACAGCCCTGTGTAGATGCATCTTCCCATATGCTCGACGAATCCAGAATAGATATTCCTATTGATCTTCGAGACTTTCTGAGAAGGAAACACTGTGATTGAGGGAGATGAGGAGGTTGGGGTGTAGCTGGTCATGATGACTAGAGACAGCTACGACGGCTGCTTCTCCTGCTCGGTGTGCAAGGCTGTCAACTACAATGGACTTGGTGATCATTCACCACGTGATACTCGTTTACGCGAAATCCTGGAAGTATCTTTGACGATAAATTTGGACAGCTGGAGGGTCTAAAATAGGCAGTAAGAATATACAAACCTGAGTTATCTTGGACTCACCGAAGGTGGTGATCGTGGCTAATTTGCCTAAATTGACTTATCCTCGGTGGAGTTCTGGCCGAATAAATAGTCCACAGGCTGCCCCAAGCATCCTCTCACAGAGAACAATGGAGATCCTCCGCAGGGGATACCACTGTGTAACTTGGCAACTCCGCATCTTCGAAGAGTTTCCAGTTGGGTAACATGAACACTGGGCAACCCACGTGTCAAGAAATGACAGTGTGCTTGCTGTCCTTTGTTACCACTACCACTCCGAAGTCCTCAGAACTATAGCGGAGGTTCGCAGGATTGTTCAACGGACACTATTGGCTGTTTGAGTACAGATTGCACCTCTGGTAAAGAGAGTTGAGTGGTTCTTGAACCGAATGACCTCCATATGCCTCCCCACCGGAGAACTTCAGAATTTGGATACCGCCCACATCGCTCACACCGGAGTTTTCGGTCTCCATCATGATTCATGCTCCGCTAAACTTCCCTCCTCATCCTCCGGCGTGTCCTCCGCAATAATGCTTGCTGACTTCTCAATTCTCATTAAGCAACAAGGCAAATCGTCTTTACCATCGCGTGACACCGACATCAACCATTGGCCAATGGCCATCTCACGCTAGCATGGTCACATTCTGCGGGGATTTGTCTTTTGTGGGAAAATTCTACGGGATGAATGTGCCGCTAACGGGGATGCTGGTATCAACTCATATCCACCGGTCATAACACTTCTTGGGGCGGCCTTGTTTTTTACTTATTAAGTCGTTGGTGCCGCGAAGATATCTTCAACTTTGCATCCTTCCACCACTCACTTCTGTACGAAGCGGCGACGCATTCCGCAGAAGTATCTCTGGGTCGACATTGCAATCTACTAGTACTGCTGGGTCACCATTCTAGTCTCTCATAATAGCACGACATACGACTTCTGTCAAGATGGCACTTCCCCCGAAGTGGTATCAGTTCCTGGTCGGAGTGTTTGCCTCGCTCGGTTCTTACCTCTTTGGTTATGACCTGGGTGTCATTGCCGAAGTGATCGCTAGCAACACCTTCAAGGACAAATTCGCCGCCAATGACACGCAATCTGGACTCGTGGTTTCCATGTTCACGACTGGTGCCTTCTTTGGAGCCATGTTCGCAGGTCCCAGTGGTGATTATCTTGGCCGCCGATGGACTATCGCAATAGGCGCCACCATCTTTGTCCTTGGCGGAGGACTCCAAACAGGCGCGATGAATCTGGCGTACCTCTACTCAGGCCGCTTTCTCGCTGGACTCGGAGTGGGATTCCTCGTTATGATCATCCCGCTATATCAAGCTGAATTGGCGCACCCGAGCATCAGAGGACGTATTACAGCCCTACAGCAGTTTATGCTCGGGGTGGGTGCTCTCGTTGCCTCGTGGATATCATGGGGAACGTACGTCAACATCAAGGGCAACAGCGCACAATGGAGAATTCCACTTGGATTGCAGATTGTGCCCGCTGTATTTCTAGGGGCCCTGATTTTCCTCTTCCCGGAGTCCCCAAGGTTCGTATTTCCCACTTAACCCATCGATGTCTCCTGACTCACACGCTATCTACAGATGGCTCATGGACCACGACCAATCCGACAAGGCGTTAGCAACTCTTGGAAAGCTCCACGCACACGGAAACACAAATGATCCATGGGTTATTGCCGAGTATGAGCAGATCCAAGCCTCGATCGCCCATGAACACCAGCACGAAGCGAAATCCTACGTCGAGCTCTTCAAATCACGATCTGCCTTCCGCAGACTATTCATATGCTGCGCTCTGCAGGCCTCGATCCAAATGACTGGAGTTTCTGCAATCCAGTACTACTCTGTGACTATCTACGGCCAAATTGGCATTTCCGGAGACGACACCCTCAAATACCAGGGTATCAATAGCATCATCGCATTGATTGCACAGTTCTGCACAATCCTATTCATCGACCGAACTGGCAGAAGGTGGCCTTTGATTCTTGGAAATCTCGCAAACATGGTGACATTCATTATTGCGACCATTCTGCTCGCCAAATTCCCGCCTGGCACTTCGGATAACCGCAGTGCTCAATGGGGATTCATCATCATGACGTGGCTTTACAATTTCTCCTTCTCCTGTACTTGCGGTCCGCTGAGTTGGATTATCCCGGCCGAGGTCTTTGATACCCGAACTCGAAGCAAGGGTGTCTCCATCGCGACAATGACAAGTTTCGCATTTAATACCTTGATTGTAAGTTCAATGTCTCTAAAAGTTAAATGTTACAAACACTGACTCAATCAAACAGGGCCAAGTCACACCCATTGCAATGACCAACATCGGTTACAAGTACTACTACCTCTTCATCATCTGCAATCTGACCAACGCTCTATTCTTCTGGCTTACCCTTCCCGAAACCGCTCGCCGACCACTAGAAGAGATGAACTACCTGTTCAACAATGCACCCTGGATCGTTGTTGGTACCAGTAAGGATAGCTATGCGAGCCATGATCTCGAGAACAGGTTGAATGTGATCACAGCTGAGGCACAGGTCAAGCACCGTGGAAGTGTCAAGCATGAGGAGAAGGTGGCTCATGAGTCTTGATCGCTAGGTCCTCTTGGCCTTGCCCGTAACTGGAATGCTTTTGGAGATAATGGGTCGACCTCGTTGTGCAATGTTCTCGCGAAGGCTTCAGCAAGCGAATGATTTCTGATGGCTTGTATCCTCATGTATCACTTTCTAATACTACCCTTTCCCACAGGATTGCTCTCATGCTGCTCGAATGAGATAGGCTACATTACCACTCAACAGCGTTGATTTGTGTAGAAGTTGATACTTCCGAGTTCAAATCTAAATTCGAGAACGCGCATGTATCAACTGACCATTGAACGCAATAGCTTCTCCCGAATGCTGATCTTCAAGAGTTAGTGTATATACAGGCTCCCGTGTGAAAATATCCGACGACTAAATTATTGGAGTATTTCTCACCCCTGGAGCCAATGAAATCTTAAGATTATCCAAATATTTACATGCCTCCCCGAGCCAAGCCGCAAATATAGCCGAATTCCAGCTGAACTAGTTAGTGCCTACCAAGACAAGTCATTCAGCCGGCTTTCCTCAACTCAGCCAGTTTCGTCAAGATATCGTGATGCTCTCTACTGACACCCCAACACGGCAGGCGCGTCCTCAGCAACTTGGCACCCTCGAGTAGCACCTTTTGCGGCGCCTTGCAGATATCTCCAACGTTGCTCATGTGCCCGGACATGTTATGTCCATTTCGCACGTAATGATGCACGATCTCATCGTCGCACGGCCGGTCCAGATGAATGAACTCGGGTTGCTCGTCGGAAGACGAGAAGTTGCCGTCGTCACTGTCGGAGTCGTTTGCCTGTGGCGCGGGTGGTTGGGAGGGAGCAGCAGAGCCCTTGTCTGTGGCCACTGGGGACTTGACACTGTCTCTGCCGCCGTGTGAGTCTGAGGGCGTCGTGTCGTCGGTGACTGCTGGGGCAGGCGGGTTCTCCAGATTCGCGGCTGCTTTGCTCATGAATTTTACGGGATGCTCTTTCCTCTCCATTCGTGAGGGTTGTACCACTGCCTCGGCGTCGGGGCCGCTAGGCCCCCCCTCTGGCCGTTGCAAGGCCATAGCCGCATCGCGCTCCAGAGCGGCGCTCTGATATGTTCCGTATGTCCAGAGGACCAATGAGGCCAGGTATACTGCAATGGGCTCGTAGAAACTAGCTGAAGAATAGCGCCGGACGTACCAGAACACGGAGCCTGCGTGGACCATGGCGAGCCGTGCTTTGTGCTGATCTTCACGCAACCATCGCCATATGATCTTTCGGATCTGAGGCAGCTTGGTGCTGTTGCGCGGCTGGTAGCTACCATCGTGGACGTAGAAGGATGCTTTCGGAGAGTTGTCGACTTTGCCAATCAGGCAGAACAGTAGATCTTGAATCTCTTGAAACGGAGTGAGAAGCACAATCCGTGCCAGGTGGAGATGAAGTATCACTCCATGTTCAATCCCGGACGCCTTGGCGACTGCACTGGAAGCTTGCCAATGTATGACATCAAGACAATCACAAGCGCTGTTTCTCCAGTTCGCATATAACGGATACAAGGGGAGCCAGAAATTGTCTTTCGTAGGGGTGTTGAGGAACCCTCTCGCTTTGCCTGTGGGTACCCATTCAGATAGAGGCTGCTTGATGTGCGTCCCGACTTCCCAGGTCCGTTGATAGAGGGTATGAATCAACAAGGCTTGTGAAAGCTCACTGTAAGCAGGGTCTACTTTCTTCTTGCTGTACAGAGTCTCCACACTCACACAGAGACTCGGTGTCTGAGAGGCCTTTTGGAACGCTTCAAACCAGGTATCTGCGGTAGAGGCGTTCCATAACATTTCGGAACAAGGTAGAGGCGTTCTTGCGTCGTCCATGTTGCATAAAGGTCTCGCATTGGCCATGAAGCCAAGTGAACAATCAAGCATCCACGTCATGTAACCAATCCGACGGAGTGACTCGACCTTGACCCAGGCATCCCATGATCGTGCGAGGGTTGTTTGGTTATTTCGAACTTCAGTGGTATTGAGTAGTTCAAATGGTTCCGTTATTTGCAAGACCCCCGACTCAAGACACCAGCGCGAAAGATCTGCATGGTACCGAGGCGCCAAGGCCCTGAGTTGTTCTCGATCAGCCTGCGTCAGACTGATGAGGTTCAGTATTCGAGCTTGAGCGAAGGCAACATCCAGAGAGCTGTCTAGCGAACCGTTGGCGTAATGATAGACTGCCCGTCGCAAGAATTCCTGGAAGGAATCTCTGATCTCTACGGTGTGCTGTACTTTGAGAAAGTTGCTCCCGATTGCTGCTACAGCAAGCACCAGAAGCCAATCTGTTTGCGGCCCGAATGTCGAATGGTGAACCAAGGGGTAATTGTGATGGAAATGCTCAAAGTAGAGTGCAACACAACTGTTGACATTGGCAAGACTTGGAAACGTCGAAGTCTCGAAAGAGTTTCTGATGAGGGTCTCCTGTCGGCATAGAATTTGGAAATAGTCTTCCAGAAGTTTGTACACGTCGTGTGTGCAGTACTCGCGGGTGGCTGAATTGAACGTGGTGACTGTGTACTCCGACACGCCAGGAAACGCATAAGTCGTCCGCCTTTCACGGGGTTTGGAGAAGAGGTCTGGCACAAACGAAGATTTGCGCCTCTTCCGCTTCGAATCGGAATGGTTGGAGGCGCTGTTTGTGGACTTGTTCATAAACAATGCACCATCACTCGTAGACGATGCTGGACTCTGCTCCAGGCCGAGCGCCGGAGGAGCTAGGTCATGATTATGGGATAACTCGAGTGACGCATTGTGAGGAAGTTGATAGAATTGAGAGGATCCGTCCATAGGTAGAGCCATCGCAAAGTCTTGCCCCATGTCAGTAGCCTCAGTTAGACTGGGAAGAATGAATGAAAAGTCTTGCTCAAGTTCAGCATCATATGGGGATGGATAGATGCTTGGTGGTATCCAATTTAGTGGTTCATCAAAGGATCCATAATCAAACTGTGCAACATGTTCTGAAAAATCGCCGGGATACTGATTCGAAGTCTGCGATCCAGGGAAATCTCCATGGCCCATCAAGTGATTTCCATCCGCGTCCAAAGAACTTAAGTTGGCCCCCGCGGGAGGAACATTGAGCCCGATTACTTGACTTGAGGAATATCCGACCGAAGGGCCTGTCTGCTCATACTGACTCGTGCTACTGAATTGAGCATTACCATGAGTATGAGATGATCCGGCGATTGAAGTGGTTGCAGTGACATTCTTGTCATGGGACAAGAAGTCACCATTTCCAGAGTTGCTGAATACCAGTTGACTGAACTGACCAGTCAGAGGTAGATTCTGGGACTCTCCTCCATATTTGATAGGTTCATCATTCAGAGCTGCTTTACGGCGTTTATTTGGGTAGATACATTCTAACTTTCGAACGCTGCATCGACCGCATGGAGTACCGCCAGAGCATCTCGATCTCGCTGAAGCACATCCATGACATGCTCTGAAGGTACCATGGGTGACCCGGTGGATGGGACCCCGATCTTCCGTGGTATGATGGCTTTTCTCATGGCGAAGAAGGGTGTCAGATCGTGCGAAAGTCTTGCCACACTGCAAGCACGCTGCTGATCGCTCGCTCGTTTTGTCGCCAGATTTGTCCTTCATTTGAGACAGAACTTGGATGGACGTCAAATAGAGCAGGTTTTAGTCTCATCGATTCTAAAGCTTCAACAGATTCGACACAATCGACATGGCTTTTTGTTAGTGTTATGGTGGACACAGTGAAATGTCGTCTTGAACAAGATCGTGAGACCTGATATTCCGCCAAGGTTCTGGAACTTTGCGGGGTTGTCGAGCTTAATTGTCATGTGAGGATGGCGCGGGGGTCGCCCAAGACGCCGAGGTCGGCCCCTGATTGCCCCTATGGCACTCATTCAGTCACGAAATCAACATGAACCTCTTGCAACTTGATAATTGTCTCGTTTTCTGAAACTACGACGACTTAGGAATGCCTAGTGGTAGTGCTGTTGGCTCCTTTGCTTAGTCAAGTATACATAGTTATATAGGTATCTTCGCCCAGAGGCCTTTCATGCACTAACAACACCATACCAAGCTATTCCCAGAATCCCGCCAAAGGCGATCGCTAGCGGTGCAGGGACATTAAACCAGGCGCATTCGCAGTAGGTGATAACCGCAACAACAACCCACCATGGCTCATTGCCCAAGCTCTGTCCCTGATTCTCCTCAGGCGTCAGATATCCAATTTGCCAAAGTCGATATACTGCTGTGAAAACTAGTCCCACTGCGGTAGCATTGATACCCCGAAGTAGACTGAGGAAAAGAGGTCGGGTTCGAAGAACTCTCCAGATTCCCTGAGCACCTACGGCGAGTGTCAATCCTGGCAGGAAAATGCCAATATAGCTTATAAAGGCACCGAGGATAGTAGGATCGCTTGTCTTCAGCATGGCAAGAGCGCCAAGGTAAACACTGAAGTTGAAGTTAGGCCCTGGAAACGACTGGATTATGGCGAGCCCGATCAAAAAATCCCTAGACGACACCCATCCTGGCTGAACCACATACTCACGGAGCAATGGAATAACCACTGGTCCACCACCGAAAATAATTGTCCCGGCAAGGTACATATTCGCGAACAAGTCGAATTGCAGAGGAGGCGAGTTTAAGACGGCTCGAGTCACGATGACAATGAGGAAAGACGCTGTAGCATTAGCCAAATGCTTTGGGGGAAAAAAGCAAGTTAAGAGTTGACCTACCAAAAAATGCTGCAATAATCACCAATCCAGCCCATACCGGTATTCCATGTGAGCGCATGTCCGTTGAGGTAGATTGAGCCTCGTCAACACGAAGAAGACCGTTGCTGGCTGCGACCTCGGAGCGCGTAGGTGACTCTGACCGCCTATCTGCTGTCAACGGCGCAACCGCACTACCAGTTCGGCGCTGCAGATTCACAAATGCGGCTTGAGGTGGTAATGAGAGGTGGTCTGATCCCACATGTACCTCGTTGCTATCAGAAGCTTCAGCGATTCGTTCAGTCGGTCTTTTTCGCTGCTGAATCCGTTTTCTCAGACGGACGACTCGCTGTCGAAGTTGAACATCCCACAGTGCCGTGACAACGCCACCAATGACGATGAGAACGGGAAAATACCACAGCGCGTTGTAACACATCCCAGCGCAGGCCCCGAGCATTACAAGAATTCTTGAAAGCCGATCTTTGATGGCCTTTTCTGCGAGCTTGACAGATTTAGTGGGGCGAGGCAGGTGAAATGGGCAAACTGGGCACTTACTTGCACCGCTGCGAGTGCAACAAGTCCGACCGTAGCAGAATTAAGGCCAGACAAAAGGGCGTATACCATGCCTGGGAGAATGCTAGAAATCTTCTGCACACCCAATGAAAGACCAAACATTCCGATAGCCCCGGGAAGACTATAACTCCGCCGTCAAATTGATTTCCCCGGTTTGATATTTGAACCTCTCACCTCCAGAGCAGAAATACCATAACAGCGGGCAGCAACCCAGCATGGATCATGGTCATACAAAACAGCATTTTCGTACTTGCTGGGCCAGGTAGACTCTGACAAAGTGCAAATAGTTCCTGATACTGTAGTGGCCCGGTCGTTAGCCGTTGCCGGTCGTAGAAACGTCCTATTTGACTCAAATCTCAGATGGATGAGGACCAACCGTCTGCTCATCGATCCAAGGTGCTTTACCTCCATGCCCGTCTACAAATCGTCGATGGAGAATTCCAAAATGCACTGGAGGACCCCCAAAGGCGGTAAAGCCGAGGTCCCAAGTGCGTGAGAAAACATCCGCAAGGCGTAGTATCAGCTTCGAGTTGTTAGCATGGTAGTCGTTCTGTCGATCTCTCGTGTACTCGTGGATCGTCCTGAGAGTATCGAATAGAGGCATTTTCTAACGGTGATAGGTTAGGTAGTTCCTTCGACGTAGACGTAGGAGTCAGGAAGTAAGAGATAAACGAAAAGTTGTGTTCTCTGAGGCTGGCCAATCACGGCCATTTTCAGCAATGACGCAACCTCGGCGAAATGAAGTGTCACCGAGCTCTTTGAAACGTCAAGAATGATGCCCGCCGAGCCGCAGCTTTGGAAATTGGCACACTGTTGTGGAAGAAGTACCCTCGATGACGTGACTCGCTTCCGATAGATTGTACACTATCCAGACTACATGGTACTTGTAGTTTTACTTTTCAAAAGATGGATGCCTTCGCGTCGAGGATCACCATTGGTTATGGTTAGCTGATCTCTACTACACTGAGCAGCTTACTTTTGGCTCCTCTACTTAAATGTCCAACTCAGGATATCATGCTACCCAGAGTGTAACCTTGCCTGTTGCTCTTCTGGGGTCAGGCAACCACCATTCACAAGCTCCATAAATCTACAAATTGCAGACAATGGCAAACATTGTGCCAGAAAATCCCTGGACGTGACCAATCTCTAGACTACGCTTTTTCATATCGCTAATACTCGAGCCACACCAGGATGAGTTTTGTGAATAGTTCTGATTTGCTCTTTGGGCCTGTATCTCAGGCACGGTCCTTTGATTTCACACTTTTCTTCGAAGATACCATACTTACTATCGCTCCTGCGACACTATTCTTAATTGTTGCAACAACCAGAATATTATGGCTTTCGGGTAAGCCGACCAAGGTTGCTACTTCTGTTAGCCGTTTGACAAAAATTGTGAGTTGTCGACCCTAGTTTCACAAAACGTGGTGTAGCTGACGGTGGCCAAGGTGCTGCTTACTGCATTTGCGACAGTGCAGTCAACGATTGTTATTATCAGAGCCCTCAATTTTCAGGGAGCCACCACCGCTTCAGTGGCAGCTTCTACGCTTGACTTTGTTGCTGCTTGCATCTTATTTGTCCTTTCGAGCTTCGAGCACTTACGATCAGTTGCTCCTTCCACAATAATCGGGCTATACCTGGTTGTATCGGTACCATTTGACGCCGTTAGATTGCGAACCCACTTCCTGCTTCATTCTCATGCTACCACGAATCTTGCTGCATTACTTTCGTTATCTCTTGCCTTGAAATGCATCGTTTTAGTGACTGAGGCGATCGAGAAGCGAAGTCTCTTACTGTGGCCCTACCAGGACTATCCACCTGAAACCACTGGCAGTCTTTACAACAAGTCAGTCTTCTGGTGGATCAACCCACTATTGAAAGCTGGATTTGGGAAAACTTTGGACGTGGAAGATCTTTTCAATCTGGATAAAGACCTTGCCTCTATCAATATCTCAACCAAATTCAGTCAAAAATGGGCCCGAGCGAAATTCCGTGGTCGAAACACCTTGCTGTTGACAACTGGCCATATCCTCTTTTGGCAGGCTGTTATGGCTACCTTGCCTCGAATGATAGAGTCCGCAGCTAGGTTCTCCCAACCGTTCCTGAACCGAACGACAATCAACTACATTGGGGACCGTGACAATCAGCAAAGTTCTACCGCATGGGGAATAGTTGGCGCTTACTTTCTCGTGTTTCTTGTTCAAGGCCTTGCTTCAGCGACGTATCGGCATCTGCTCAATCGCTGTGCGACTCAAGTTCGTGGTGGACTCGTCGCACTTATCTATCAGAAAACTCTTGACCTTCGCATAGGAGCGACTGACCCGACCGCCTCGCTGACATTGATGTCATCGGATATTCAGAGACTGGTCGAGACGATTCCTCTGATCCACGATGTTTGGCTAGGTTTCATCGATGTCTGTATAGGCATGTTCTTACTATATCTGGAACTCGGCTCCGCATGTTATGCTCCGGCTATCGTGTGTGTTTTGCAAGTCATAGGCACGGGCTGGGTCACCAGAGTCATTTCACAGTATCAGAAACGTTGGCTGGAGGCCATCCAGACTCGTGTTAGTTTTACTTCTGCTTTACTTCACTCGATCAGGAACATCAAACTTTTGGGATTGTCGGCGACCATTAGAGAGCGAACACAAGGCTTGAGAGTTGATGAGATTGAGGCTTGCAAACGCTACCGCGTGATGAACAATTTCATTATTGTCTTCCAGAACTCCACTGGAGTATTCGCACCATTCGCAACATTTCTACTTTACTATCTTCAAGCCAGGGCTTCTGGTCGTCCTCTTGATCTGGCAACATCTTTCAGCATCCTCACAATATTACGTCTTGTCGAAACCCCTCTGAATACATTGTGCTATGCCACTCCGCATATAGCGTCCTCGATAGCATGCTTCCATCGCATTCAGGAATACCTTGTCGCAGAGCAGTGGCACGACTCTCGTCTAACATTGGGCTCTGCCCAGACCACGAATGAAGACCAGGAGAGTGTCATGGCAGGTCAGGAATCTATTGAAATGAGAAGCTTGGGCGGTAGAAGCCTTGCCATCACCCAGGAAGCCGTCGTACTCAAGGATTGTTCCTTTGCATGGAACTATGGCCAAGACATCCTCAAAGATCTCGATTTAACGATATGCCATGGGCAAATCGTCATGGTGATTGGGCCAGTTGGCTCGGGAAAATCGACATTGATCAAGGGTATGCTGAGCGAAACACTTATGACCCAAGGATTCTTGTATCTGCGAACTAAGTATATCTCATTCGCGGATCAAGAAGCCTGGATACAAAATGGAACAATTAGGGATGCAATCCGTGGTCCAAGATCATGGGAAGAGGAGCGTCTTGATGACCAATGGTACCAAGAGATCCTTATGTCATGTGCATTGCTCGAAGACTTGAAAGCTTTTCCCAAGTCCGATATGACCATTCTTGGTTCAAAGGGCATTTCATTGAGTGGTGGACAAAAGCAACGAATCGCCCTGGCAAGAGCACTATATTCGAAGCCAGACATCCTAATGCTTGATGATGTTTTCTCCGGACTGGACAATGAAACAGAAGACCATATCTTTAGGAACGTGTTTAGCCGCTCGGGGCTTGTGCGACGACAAAATATGACTGTCATAATGGTCACTCATGCCGCTCACAAATTACAATACGCCGACCTCATCGTAAGTCTGAGTAGTGATGGTCGAATTGCAGAGCAGGGGAACTACGTTAGCCTCGCCAACAGTGGCGGTTATGTCGAAAGCCTGAACATTGAATTGAAGCAAGAGAGACACAATACTGATCAGACGGACCACATCGAAGATGTCAACCTGATCAAGGCTGATAGAACTGCTGGAATATCAGCTTCACAGGCCAATGAGAACGCCGCAAAACGAGATCTTTTTCGCCGAACAGGTGATTGGACTGCTTATAAGTATTGGTTCAAGTCAGCTGGCTATCTTTCAAGCATATTATCTTTTGTTGAAGCTTCAGTCTGGATGGGGGCGGTCCAGACGCCCGGCGTACTTATCAAGGTATTTTCTGAGGGAACCACTTTGGACACAAGTGCGTCATCTTCACGATCAACTACCTTTATCGTGGTCTTTGGCGTGACAACGGCAGTCGCTGCTTTGTCCCTCGTTCTCATCGCCTGGCAAATCTTCCTTGACATGGTTCCGCGCAGTTCCAGGAACCTGCATCTGAACCTGCTTCGAACAGTTCTGGATGCCCCCTTGTCATTTTTCACACGTACAGATACTGGGGATATCACAAACCGCTTCAGCCAAGATATGGGTTTGATCGATGCTGATTTGCCATTTTCCTATGCGGACTTTGTATTATCTCTTGTTTCCTGCATTGCAGGACTTGGCCTTATGTCGGCGTCTGGTTCCGGCTATTTTGCCGCCATCATTCCAATCCTTCTTTTTGTACTATACTTGGTTCAAAGATATTATCTGCGCACTAGTCGACAAATGAGACTTCTAGACTTGGAACAAAAAGCACCTCTCTATACAATGTTTGCCGAGACGTCGTCCGGAATTTCGACTATCCGGGCATTTGGTTGGACCGAAAAATTTGTCGAGAGAAATTTGGTGTTGCTTGACAGAAGCCAACGCCCATTTTATCTCATGATGTGCATACAGAGGTGGCTGGCCTTGGTGCTTGACATGATAGTTGTGGTACTTGTTACTGTGCTACTAGTTGTTATTATGTCACAGAGGTCCTCGATTCAACCAGGACTTGCTGGTATTGGCTTGCTGAGTACGGTCGGTCTGAGCTCCAGCTTAACCAATCTAGTCAGAATGTGGTCAGCTTTGGAGACAAGTATTGGCGCCATCAGTCGGCTTAGAGAATTCTTGCAGACAACCGAGTCGGAGCATGATGATCAAGAACTTATGGCTGTCCGTCCTGGTTGGCCCGAGAACGGGGAGGTTGTTTTCCACTCATTTGACGCCAGCTATGCGAAGGATTCGGATCTTGTCTTGAAGGATATAAGCCTCAAAATTCGACTAGGGGAGAAAGTCGGCATTTGCGGCAGGTCAGGGAGTGGGAAAAGCTCAATGCTCGCCAGTCTCTTCCACCTCCTGGAATTTCGTAGTGGTCAGGTCAGGATTGATGGCGTGGACCTGGCGACCCTCCCTCGTGAAATACTGCGCTCAAAGCTGAATGTCATTCCACAGGAACCGTGGTGGATCACGACCGAAACCGTCCGCTTCAATATGGATCCTTGGAAAGATCAATCAACCAACGACCTCAGTCACTCCACTGGTCGAGACGAGGCTTTCGTCTCTGCGCTCTCTCAATGTCAAGTATGGCAGGCCATTCAAGCCAAAGGGGGGCTTGATGCAATCATGACATCAGATTTTCTCAGTCATGGTCAACGTCAACTTTTCTGCTTAGCCAGAGCACTATTGCGTCAAAGCAAAGTTGTAATCCTGGATGAAGTGAGCGCTAACGTGGATGTTAAGACAGATGAGTTGATGCAGCAAGTGATCAGAAACCACTTTGAAAATTGTACGATTATTGCAGTTGCCCATCGGCTGAATACGATCGAGGACAGTGATCGAGTCGTGGTACTCAGCCAGGGAAGGATTGTTGAAGTGGACAATCCCACACTCTTGTTGAGAACACCTGGAAGTCGGTTCAAAGAGCTTTATGAGAAATGAGGGACACTGTGTGACACAAGGCCATTATAGTATGATTTGAGTTCGTCAAGTAACCATAGATCAACTTAGAAAGCAAGAATAGAGCTAGCACTATGAACCGCTACTGTCAAACAAGCAAATACCAGTGCGAATCCGCGATGGACTATCCATTACCATGGTGGGATTGGACCCAGAAAAAAATTGTATTGGATATCCTCAGACATCCATTGAAATACCCAGGAAGTTGTCGAAAAATGGGATCAGTGCACAACATATCCCACTTGCGTGCCTGAGAACTAAATTCCGTTCAGTTTTTGTATTCTGCGTGGGCACGCGAGTCAAGTGCATTCACAGCCGATGCGACCACAGACGGGCGTCGAGAACCATGCCCTTCAGCATTATACTTCGCAGCCAATTGGTTGTGATCCTCCTCGTCGAACTCGTCGATATTGGTTGTCGCAAATTTTCTGGCGGGCACTTCCTTCGCGAAGAGAATGTCCAGCTCGTGAAAAGTCCGTCCCTGAAACCAGGACATGATCAGTATGGTCTAAACACATTCGAGGAGGAAAAAGACAGACTATTTACCTTAGTCTCTGGAAGTCGAAAATAGGCCCATATGAAGATAATCCAGGCGCATCCGCCCCAGACGAAGCCGGTATATCCCTGGAGATTCCAGGCGTTGGGATTCATGAAATAGTTCTCGAGCGTCCCGCCAATTACACCGAGTACGTTGGAGGTGTTGCGGGCGAGGCAGACTGTTTTTTGCCTGTCGCCTTCATTGATATCGAGACATATTACATATCATGAAAACTTACCTCAATCGGGTCGAACCAATCTCCGCAGGGAGTGCCCATCCTAGATTGTTAGCCTCCGCGTTAGATGATCCGGTTAGAAGGTAGAGTATACCTAGTTGACCTGCAGAAAGCTGAAAAGTGGCTCTAACGAGCGCGAGGAGAGTTAGTAACTCCACCCTCAATCCCCAATATTTCAAGCTCCGGGGGATTTTAGAGCGTGTGTAAGACTTACGTCCAGACGAGCGTGAGAATAGCTTGAGCCCAGGCAACGGAGGGTCGATGTGTCCAAGGATTAAGAATCCCAATGATGCACAGTTCTGTTGCCATCGCAGCCATTCCCCAAACGTAGACAGTGCGGCGTCCGAAGTATCTGGCGGTTTTTCAGCAGCTGCGCCCTAAGGCACGATAAATCGGCTCACGGCATCAAAAAGAACCAATTACAAAAGCAGGCGAATAGTGCAAGTGCATTACCGCCAAGTCCCATGGAGTAGGTTGCATCTGCATCCAAACCGACTTGTTGGAAGACTGTAAGGAAGTGGTGGTTAGACTGTACGTACAGAGTAGTCAACAAGGTGCGATTGCAGGGAATGACCTACAGTAGGTGCTAGCATAAGCAAAGCAAAGTCCACAGACGAGTTGACCACCAAACACTACGCATGCAATCTCTGTTCGGCGTCTCTCAAACCTCTTGAAGCAATCACGGTATGTGGTACCGACGCTGAGTTCTAAGTAAATCGTCAGTATTGCTATCCAAACGTCAGCCCGCCAGCGGAGATCGATACTCACGCTCCTCCAGATTGTTTGTATAGACGATCTGTGCTAACACCTTCTTCGGATCGATCCCAGACCTTGGATTTCGCAATCTACGAATAGACCTCTCGGCCTCCTCAAGCTGACCGCAGCGAACCAGGTGATAAGGTGATTCTGGCACAAAATAGAGTAGTGGGATAAGGAATACAGGCCACAGCCATTGAAGAGCAAAAGGGATCCTGTAGCCCCATTGATCTTGACGGTGTACGAGACCTCTGAGGACGCCTGCAGAAATGAATTGCCCTGAAAAGTAAATCAGCAACCAGTATACTTCTGTTAATGGACAAGCAACGTTAAGTAGAACCAAAACATACCTATAATGAAACACATATTGGTGTACGAAGTGAAGTACACTCGGAGCTGTAGGGGCAATATCTCTGAAGCGTATGCTGGAGCAGTTGTTGCAAACTAAACCAACTTAGCACCACAAAAAGGTGAGGTAGTCTCTGTCTGCACTCACAATGCCCCATTCAAATCCGCAAAGCAGTTCGCCCACTAGAAGCACAGGCTTACTGGGCGCGAAGAATACAATGAATATGAAACACGTCATAACCACCAGTGTACACAACAACACCTTCCGGGGACCATATGCGGCCACGAGCCATCCATTCAGAATGGTTCCCAAGATGGAGCCGCAACCTGTCATTGAACCGAGGTGAGTTATTAGGGATAGGCCATGGTCGACATTGATTCGAACTCACCGGCTGCTTGTCCCAGACCAGTCATCCAAGCAGCAGTCAGAGAGAAACCCGTTGGGACCTGTCTCGATATACCAACAAACTCGCCGTATTTTCGTTGAAAGGATGCTGGCGGACAGGTTAGTGAGTATTGGTACGGTCGCATGGAGTCGACAGAAACTAGACGTACGGTATGCATAGAAGTTTCCTAGTAGGTTTGTGTCATCTGTCCACCGTAAGTACTTACCCATACGCTGAAACTTGAGGACGGAGTGAGCGACAGATATTGCTTACATCCTTCCATGATCACGCACGTTGACACCGCGAGGCTCCATAGTATCGCTTTTTTATTCGAGGTGATAGCCTTCCAGATAGACATTTCCTTTTCTTCGACTGCCATATCCTGAGCAGTTACAGACAGTTGCTCCTTCCCCCATTTTCCCTCCTTCCAAACATGAGGGCTGCCAGTACTGGTGTCATCAATGTGACGAATGTCCTGGGCCTTTTCCACCATCTTGAAAGGTTGTGAATACCGCCAGATAGTACTGACCAGCTAACTATTTTCTCAAAAATAGTCTAGTTCCACAGGAGATAGATGGAGTTGACAGCATAAGCGAGTGAGACTGTTCGACGCCGCTGAATCGCAGTCTCTTATGAGAACCAGAGGGTGCAACCTTCCGGCGTTGAGGGACACGGTTATTGTCACCCTGTGAGACTGGCAAACAGCTGTTGCCAATTTCATGCATGATCGTCCGGTAATCTGGCAAGTTGTACACAGCCTATTCTGAAATAGTTTCGAGGCGGTGGGGACTGATACATGTTTGGTCATCGGCACGACAATAAGCAGCGATGTAACAATATAGCGGCGGGTTTCAAATATTGTGATTCGTTGCACAGGAAGCGAAAAGCGCAAAGGTATAGGCGGTAGCAGGGAGCTTAACTATCCTTCACTGGTCTGGCCTAACTAGGTAAACTCTAGGTAGATTGTACTTTCGTGGAGGCACACTTTCTTCGTTTCCTTGGGGTTTGACTGCCTGGGGGTTATGCAAAAGCATAACATCTCACGATGCTAGAATCGGCGCCAGCATATATCGCCGAGCTTCATGGCGAATGCCTCCCGAATGCTTGTCGTCAGTCTTATGATGATTACAAGTGACAGTGCAGAAGTGTATGCCCGGATGTGATTCAAATTGGAATGCCAAAAAAACCGCACCGAGATGGATCGATCTTTTCTCGAAAAGTAAGGTAGCACCCGTTCTCTTTAGATCGAATGAAGAGCAGGGACAGGTTTGGTCAACCGAGATGCTCATCAATCGGAAGAAACTTGGTTTTCTCGAGAAAGGACGGGGTAACTCCATGATGTGGAGTTAACTAATTAGTTACTCCGGGAAGCATTGGTAGCACCTGACTCGGCCGCTTCGGCCCATGTTATTCCGTAAATGCAGATGACTGGTGTAACCTAGTGTGTAGCTTGTTACCTGACCTTTTCCAGTTATTGCGGGGGAATGTTGGTTCATAGACCTAACAACTGTAACTAACTTCGACAGACTGATTGTGCCTCGCTCTTCTCCTCAGCCTCGGCTTCGCGGAGGTGGACTGTCCTCAGGCAATGCTTACCCAACTGCTGACTAGTAGCAACGACGCGTCGAAGGAACAATGACAGTTTCTATGCACGCGAACCAGTCATAATAGCTAGGATGATAAACTACAACGAAATCCCTTCTCCGCAGATTCAGAAAGAGGGATACGCGATCTCTCGAATCTAACTTAGATTCGCTCGATCTAAGCAACTGCGACGAAAAAGGTTTTCTCGCCGGCTTTAGGTGCGACTCTGCTCATCTCGAGAATACTGTCACCTGCAGCTAGACGAATTCTTTCCGCAGTTGCAGGGCTGTCAAATGTCAAGTGCTCCTTGACATCGTTGTCCTTTCTCGCGCTCAGCAGAGCATCCCTTAATGCAAAGAGGACTGCTGCACCAAGGAACAAAGGAGGCTCTCCAACTCCCTTGCTACTCTGTATAGAGCGGAGATGACGCCAAGATACTCCTTGCAGGAAGCTGACGTTGAATTCCTGAGGGATGTCGCTGAATCCGGGAATCTTGTATGTCCCTGGCCCTCGCGTAAAAAGCTGGCCGCTTCTCGTCCAAAGTGACTCCTCCATCGTGAACAAGCCCTGGCCTTGCACGAACGCCCCCTCTATCTGTCCATAGTCGATGGCAGGATTGATAGAGCGACCAACATCCATCTTGATGTCAGTTCGGAGAACAGTGTGATCGCCCGTAAGCAGATCAACCTCAACTTCACTGCAGGCCACGCCCTATAAGTTCTGTAAGTATCCCCTGAAACATACAATAGCCTTGGCCGACTCACCTGTGTAAAGTAGTAGTACATTGGGTTTACAGTGTCGAAATCAAAGTTTCCCCACTTGTAGCCGACTTTTGGCATTTTCCAAAATCCGGATGCGGAGAGATTGACACGGTCAAGATACGCTGCATGAGCGATAGTTTTCATGTCAGCATCCGCTCCGAATTTTTCCCAGTAAGGCTTCAGACGCATATTGAGCTGGTCACAAGCGTCCTTGACTGCCATACCATTCAAATCGCTGCCAGAGGATGCAGCGGTTGGGGAAACATTGGCAGTGTAGTATGAAGACGTGTCTGAAGTATAGACCGCGTCAATGGGAACACCCAATTCCTGAGCAGCAACTTGGCACATCTTTGTGTACAGTCCCTGACCCATTTCTACTCCCCCGTGGTGCAAGAGGACGCTTCCATCAGCAAAGATCTTGACAGCAGCACTGGCTTGATTGAGATGAATTGCGGTGGCGAAGCTGATTCCGAATTTCGCAGGGATCATGCTGATGCCCCTCTTCTTCCATCGATTTGCCTGGTTGAACTTCTGAATATCAGACCTTCTCAAGTCGTACTTACATTCATCCCGAAGTTCTGAAAGGAGCTGCGGGATGTGCCAATCCTCGTCAATCTTTTGCAAGAATGGTGTGTGGTCGTTGTTCTTGTACAAGTTGTGGAGTCTAAGGCTATCGATAGGGATATCGAGGCCCTCGGCCACAGCAGACATGATAGTTTCGGTGATGAACATGCCTTGAGGTCCACCGAAACCCCGAAACGCCGTATTACTGTGGGTGTTAGTTTTGCACACATGGCCTCGAATGTGAACGTTTGGAATCTCATAACAATTATCAACATGAGTACAGCAGCGGTCCTATTCGAAGGTCAGAACTGACTTTGCCACAAGTGTAGGGTTAGCAGTGTGTATAAAACCTAGACTTACCATGACTGCAGTACTCATGTCGCATGAAAAGCCGGCGTTGTCATAGATGTCGATATCCAAGGCAACCAAGGTACCATCTTTCATAACGCCCATCTTAAAGCGTGCTTGAAAAGGGTGACGTTGACCACTGGTCATCATGTCTTCGTCGCGATCGAGCATGCAACGCATGGGCCGTTTCTCTTTTTTCGCTGCGAGAGCGACAGCGCAAGCAATGGGCACACTCCTGGATTCCTTACCTCCGAAGCCGCCGCCAAGTCGTTTGACTCTGGCATTGACACGGTTGCTTGGGACACCTAGAACATGACTGACGAACTCTTGGGTCTCCATACTATCTCTGGTTAGCGGAGCTAATATGTGAGGGAAGAACTTACGTGTTTTGTGTCGAAGACCAGATGTCTATCGTTCCGTCCTCTGAATGCGGAACAGCAAGAGCAGCGTTCGTCTCAAGGTAGAAATGCTCTTGGCCACCCATTCTTATAGTACCGCTTAGGATTTTATCACATCGATCGAAGGCCGCTGCCATGTTTGAGTGAAGGGCGGCACCCTTCTTCAGCTCTTTCCCGTAAGGGAAAAAGCTCTTTGCCTCGATTGCTTCATCGATCGTGAGGATTGTTGGAAGATCTGCATAGACAACATTCACCAATCTTGCAGCCTTGCGCGCCTCTAAGGCCGTTTCGGCATATACCATCCCAATAACCTGGCCGTGAGATTCGACAAGGCCATCAGCAAAGATTGGTTCATCTTTCTTGATAGATCCCCATAAGTTCTGCTCCTCAGTAAGGTCGTTCTTGTCCACATAACCCAGTGCAAGGCCCGGGCCAATTGCGGGTGACCAATCTATCTTCACCAGCTTGGCATGCGCTCGCTGGGAGAAAACAAAGGCTGTATGCAGTTCACGATCTTGCCTTGGCATATCATCGACATATTCTGCTTCCCCTGTAGTTTGCTTCACTGAGGACAAATGCGGAATTTGCTTGCCTACCACCCGCTGCTCATGGGGGTTGTAGTTATCTCTGGATCCGGATGAGATGCCTCTATGGATTTCTGCAACGAGGTCGACGTCAACTGCTCCAAGCTTGAGTTCTGCAACAACCTCGTGCCAGAAACGGAAAAAGAACGACAGAGCTAGCGTGACCCTGTAAGTCGCCATGCCGCCCGGAACTCCATAGTCTAGATGGAGCTCTTCACGGAGAGACCGAAGCCCTGTGTCCAAAGTTTGAGCATCATACCAAGGCATGCCGTGCAATTGGGTCTGGGTTTTCCCAGCCAGAATGCTTGTTGGAGCCATTCCGCCATATGCTAGGCTGATCTGCTCAATTTTGCCGTCCACGCTAAGTCGCACTCTGAATGCTGCAGTTACAATCGCGATATCATCATCTTTTCTTTTGGCTTGCTTATAAGCCTTGAAAACTTCCGAAACTCCCGTTGGAGGAATTGGAATCCTTATTCTCCCAATGACGGCTTCGGCAGGGAGACTAGTTTTGCGATATGAGAGGAAGAACTTGTCCATAGGTAGTGTCAGTTCCTGTCGCTGATCGCTATGAGCAATGATAGTAGCCCCGGCGGCCATCAGCACTGGATTCATATCCGAGATAGGAGACGCTGTGGCCAAATTCCCCGCCAGAGAAGCCGCATTCCGAATCTGTCGCCCTGCAAAATACCTCAATTGTTTCCTGCAGGCTTCCAACACCAGCCCTCGTTGACCAAGTTTCTCATAAAGGATCTTGCAGAGATGTTCCAACTGCGTCAATGTCACGTTGGCACCAAACTCCAGCTCTGTCATTGCCGATATTTCGTGTTCGCTTGAAGGAAGACCAACGTGAATCAATTCCGGAATTTCTGCGACATAGACAATAACAGCGAACTGTGAGTTCTTGAAGCGGATCTCAACTTGAACCTCGCTAGAACCTCCCACAAGCTTCGCAGATGGTTCCAAAGACTTCAGTTTGAGAAGTTGTGCTAGTGATGTTGGTCGTAGCCAAATCTTGTCACTGGTCCCGTAGCATATTGGCTCTTCCTTAAATCGTCGCAAGGCTGCCGGAAACAGTAATTCGGATGCCGGAAGATATTTTTTGAAAGGTTTGACCGTCTTATCAGCGTTACCCGAAACTACAGGCTTGGCTTCCACGTCGGTCGCAGATTTAAAACCTTCTCCCTCTTCCCCGGGGGGTGGATCTCGATCTCTTTTCTTCACAGGAGCACCATAGGATGCTTTGGTCGTTTTGTCATCCCTATCTGATTGTGTCAGATCGTCTGAGGATCCGCCCGAATTCTGCGTAGATGTAGCATCACATGAAGAGTCACTGTGACTCGTTTCGGAGGTAGCATCGGATTGCGGCTGAGCAGGAGATGTGCCTTCGACCTTGTCCCTACAACAACCACCAGGTCGACCGCATGAGGCTGGTGCTGTTCCTATGATCTTTGTCAGTTCTCCTCTCGTTGGCGCTTGATCATCATCGCTCAGCTCTGATGATGATTTATTGGTCTCCTCTGATATGATTGTTTGCTTCACATCCTCAAGAATGAAAGATTTCGCAGCTTCCAGGATTGGCTTATATCCTGTACAGCGGCAGAGATTGCCATCGAGATGTCCCTCGAGTTCAATCGTACTTGCTGATAGATGGAAGGCCTTAGACTCCGGGTTCCAGGCATTCCTCATCATAGCGTAGAGAGACATTACTATTCCTGGCGTACAGAATCCACATCTGTCGTCCATTGTAAGTGCCTATCCACGAAGTCTCCTGTGAGTCAGCACTTACTGTGACCCGTGCAGCCTTGCTATCCTCTCTTGCAAAGGATGTGGATATTCACTGTTTCCAAGTCCCTCGATAGTGATGAGATGTTTGCCAACAACTAGTCACAACGTTTAGAAGCTAATGTGGATGCCTCTTCATCCTGAGTTTTCTCACCTCCGATCAAAGGGAACAAGCAAGCATTGACGGCAACATGTTTCAACTTCTTCACGTCGTGGGAATCCACGCTCTGTAACACGACTGTGCAAGCTCCACAACCACCTTCACCACATCCCAGTTTGGTGCCTTTGAATCCATGGCGGGATCTGATGAAGTCCAGAAGTGTCCATTCAGGATTGGGATTGTTCAGCACAATCTCCTCCCCGTTCATGTAGAACTGTAAAGACGAACTACGAAACTCCGACTCAATCAGAGACTGCAGTTTCAAAAACCTGGATGGCACCGGTGGCCGCTGGGTTGTGAATGGAAGAGCCATGATGGCGCTGGGGTGACAACTCGCAGTGTGCTGTCTTCTTAATTTCGTGTCGTGGGTTTGTTTGTGATTCCATGAAAATCGTGCACTACTAGACTAACATAAGACTGGACTGGAAGCGAACGCCCTACCAGTGATCGAGCGTACATGGCTGCTGACTTAATTTGATCCGCGACCATATTGATGACTTTGGCATTGCATGGCATTGGACGCGTGGATTCGGTCCAACCGGATGGAAGGCATGTTAGCGGACATCAGCGATCAAATTGGCAGATGCACGGTCGATCTCGTACACGGCAAGTTTGGGATCCCCCACTCTTGAGGTGGTCTCGAAACGGCACGAAACCCGGGTGACTGATATCGCTTTTCCATCTCAAGACATTCAGTGGTGCTTAACAAGTTGGATCTTCGTTGCATCAACAATCGCCATCATGACCGAGCCATTCCGCTTGCATCATGTACGTGGCTTGCCCACTCCTCTGGCCTCGGGGTGGATCTCGGAGTTTCACTGTGGAAAGTCCAATCTGTCCTGTGGGGACGTGATTGCCTGTTCTTTTCGCTTCTTGTCAACAAAAGCTTTACACAGAACGTTTTCCACAGCTTCTCAACACTATACCACGTCTTTCAATTGCGCAGAGCTCGCTCGAACACCAAGATGCCCTCCAGAATCTCTCCAGATGGTTTCAAACCCCTTGAGAATACCTTACTATTCCAGCCCTTGAAACTCGGTAGCTTGAATCTTGAGCACCGAGTACTGATGGCTCCTTTGACTCGAATGAGAGGGACCAAAGTTGCGGATGGTGTCTATGTGCCAGGAGACCTGAACGTGGAATACTATTCGCAAAGAGCGAGTAAAGGTGGTTTCCTGCTGACGGAAGCATGCCCGATCAGCAGATATGTAAGTGTGATCCGAAATACGACACGGCAAGATGCTCACACTTCAAGGCTGCAGGATATCCTGGTGTACCTGGGATCTTTACTGCAGAGCAAAAGGCTGGCTGGCGGCGAGTGACAGATGCAGTCCATTCAAAAGGAGGGTTCATTTTCTGTCAACTGTGGCATGTCGGCCGAGCCACGGTGCCTTCTTTCCTCGATGGGCGAGACTGCGTCAGCGCCAGCAATATCCCGCTAAAAGGCAAAGCTCTCGACGGGACCGAGTATGCTGCTACGCCTCCCAAGGCGATGACGGTGGAGGAGATAAAGGAGACCGTTTCTGAATATGCTGCAGCTGCAAAGCGCGCCTTGGAAGCTGGGTTTGACGGGGTCGAGATTCACGGGTAACATCTGACGTGTCGATTTCTGTCAACAGAGTTGAAGCTGACAATGCCTAGAGCAAACGGATATCTACTGGATCAATTTTTGCACGACAACGTCAATATCAGAGATGATATATATGGAGGCTCAATCGAGAACAGGTCTCGATTTGTTCTTGAAGTAATCCAGGCTGTCACGGCGGCGGTTGGAGCTGACAGAACCGGTATCCGTCTCAGCCCTTACAACTATTTCCAAGACACCCGCGATTCAAACCCCAATGAACATTGGGCTTATCTCTGTGAAAAGATCGCGCAGCTCCCATCCTCAAGTCGACTGGCATATGTTCACATGGTTGAACCACGATTCGATGAGGTGCTTGATGAAGCGGCGAAACTGTCTTCATTGGGAGACACTACAGTGGCTTCGACAGAAAGCAAGAACAAACCTTCACTTGTACCTTTCAGACAGATATTGCAAAAAGGCGGTATCAAGTTCCTTGCAGCTGGAAGCTTCAACAAGGACAATGCTGTACCTAAACTCGACTCGGATGGGGCTGATGCTATCATATTTGGCAGATGGTTCATCGCAAACCCGGATCTGCCGGTGCGACTCGCTGAAGGCTTGCCTCTGAATCCTTATGATCGTGATAGCTTCTATGGTGCTTCGCCTCCGAGCAAGGGATACGTGGACTATCCATTTTACAAGGCTGCAGCAGCAGCAGCCTAGATATAGTAGATCAGTAAGAGTAGAGGCAATCGTTACATAGATGGTCCTTCATGGATATTGGCATACTTGTATGTAGTTCATCAGTAGGTTGGCAAGCACGGTGTGAGGATGCCTTCAGACCCTGGGCTAGCCCAAGCGATTGGCGTTAGGTAAAAGCACCACTTTTTAGGTTGCGGACGGGGATCCTCTAGCCATTAGCCAACTCGTTGTTTGGTGACATATTCCAGCCGATTTACCTCGGGCGCTTTCTAACTATGGAGCACCAAGACAGATAACAATTTAGCTGTCCTGGCGGGCGACCACAGCGACTGAGCCGGAGATAGGCGGGGGCATTGATAAGAACCCTTTCCCTCCCCACAATCCACCAGGGAGTTCCGAATAGCCAATCTTCCAGTTAAAGCTAGCAGTCCCCTCGCCCTGGTTTCCCCTCCCACTCACCACCCCATCCACCCTGGTGTTATGCGTCTGGACGCCCCAGCACTGTTGTCACGTCGGATTGAACAACCACACTTTGGCATCAATATATAATAGAAACGAGAAGTCGATAAAGCTCAGGTTGTTGCTTCGACAGGCCCCATGTCTGCTTCAACAAAGCCGAAGAAGTATATTTGCACCTGGGCAGGATGTGACAAGTCATTCACACGCTCAGATCATCTTCAAAGGCACGTTCTAAACCATGAGCCTGGTGGGAGTACTTGTCCCAGATGTAGTATGTACTTCAAAAGACCAGATCTTTTAGGTAAGCCTGAACGTTTTCCGCAAGGCTATGTCTTTGATGGATTGACAGTGTGTGGTAACATCTTTCCAGATCGACACATGCTTCGACATCGTCAAAGAGACGAAGAAGCAGGCGGTGACGGCCTGGGTGTGATTGAAAGCCGCAAGAAACTGTGGCGTGACGCGGATGGCAATATTGTCAGCAAGCGACCAGCTGGAGGCGATGATCACCGACCTACTATGAAAAGGAAAGCATTTGACCAACCAAGCCAATCTCAGCGGGATGGGCTTCTGAACAGTTATGATTTTGAAATCCCGCAAACAGAACCTCTTTCGCCCCCAAAGTCGATGTTGGGAGCGGAATCTATGGATGGCCCTTTGCCAATGCCCGAGTTCTACAACGATAATGCATTTGCTGAGTCTGCGAATGGACCAGACACTAGCATGTTCGACTTTCTCGCCAACTCATCATGGGGTAGCAATACCACATCTTCGTCCATGTGTACTGGGGGAGGAATGCCGTCTGAGGACATGTTCAATCCAGACACAGGTGGGTTTCAGAAGCAAATCCATACTGATCTTAGCCACTAATTCAATCTGCAGCAAGCTCTTTTAACATGCCTTTCACTACGATGAATAACTACAACTGGCTTTTTGACCTTGGTGAAATGGGTAAAGTCGCAGGAGATCCGCAGCAGGACTTCAACTATGCGTCAAACATGATGATTATACGCCAGGACCAGATACGACCTCCCACTTACCATCACGCTGAGATGTCGAACGAGTATGGCTACGTTGCTGAGAGCGCTGTTCCACACCCACAACAAATACCAAGCGCTTCGGATGCCCAAAATGAGCAGATTCGGACTGACCAGATCCATGCTTACCTATCAAGTGCGTCACAACTTGATAGACCATCTAACACCAACATTTCACAGACCTTTCCGATCTCGCCATCTTCACTAGCCTCAGGGCCATTACTGACAGCATCAAGAGCTGACTCGCAGCCTGCTTCAACCCCAGAGACATCAGATGATCATTCATCAAACCATTTCCCCAAGAAGCCACGGCAAGCACCAACCATGACGGCAATGCTGGAGGAAAATATTCCTCTGCCACAAGCCCGTATGCCCAAGATCGATCAGGTATCTCGCAATGAGATATTGAAGCTGCTTGCGGTGGCGAGCCCCCGAACACCGGAAGGCACAGAAATCGACTCTGATCATCCTGATTTAACGCTTTCTGCCATGCAGAACTACCTAGATCTGTTCTTTTCTCGATTCAACGTCGCATATCCATTATTACATCAGCCAACTTTTGATCCCTCGGAAACCCACACTCTACTTCTCCTTGCTGTACTGCTATTAGGGGCCACTTACAGCAAGAAGGCTGTCCACCGGTTGGCGGTATGTATTCATGATGTCTTGCGGGGACAAATATTCCAGCACCCATCCTTCTCTGCAGTTCCAGAGTTATGGATGCTGCAGACTATTCTTTTAGTCGAATGTTTCGGGAAATCAAGAGCGGGACAGAAGCAGCATGATATGGCTCATCTATTCCATGGATTATTGATCAAGTCAGACTCCTCACTCCATTCCTCTCCTGTATAAATACTGACTTGGACCTAGTCTCATTCGGAGGAGCGACTGTCAAACTGTCCGCCCGCTAAATATTGGAGAGTCCTCTGGAGACCTCGAAGCGGATTGGAAGAAGGCAATAGATTGTGAACTTCGGAAAAGGTGGGAAAGATTCCCATGAATGACAGGAGAGACCTGCTAACTCAAATGTAGACTTGCCTTCCTTTGCTTCCTTTGGGATACACAACACGCAGTACTGTTCTCTCAATCACTCTGCATGTCTTCATTTGAACTCCGCACCACGTTGCCATGCAACCAAGCAGCATGGGAAGCGAGATCTGCGGAAGAGTGGTGGAAACACGCAAAGAAAGAACCCCAGATTTCCTTCTTAGCAGTATTGAAGTCATACATGAATCCCGACTCTGGGTCGAATATCCCGGAGCTAAATGCTCTGTCCCGGCTCCTCATTCTACATGGACTGATGTCCATTCAGTGGGACATGAAACGCAGAGATCAGACATCTCTTGGTAAGCAGTCTGCCCTTCGTTTTGGGATGTGAAGCAAACTGACGAGCATGCAAGGCATTGAGAGTTCACTTTCGATGAATCAAACCAAATGGCAGGATCGATTAGCTCATTCTTACGATGCATGGAAAGCCGACTTCGACACGTATTGCATGAATATGTCTCTCTCGCTGACGACACCGTCTCGAAAAGCCGAATTTCTTCGGTTCAGCACGGCAACAGTCGCTATCTACCATGCAGCCCATGTAACTCTCAACGTGGAGATTCTGGACCTCCAAATATATGCTGGTGCTCGCCATATTATTGGAAGACCCGTCACCCGAGCAGATTATGATCGATCACGACGTATTGTTAAAGAATGGGCGCGGCCGGGTGGCTCTACCCCTGCAGCAAAGGCCGCATGGCACGCAGCACATCTCCTCCGGGATGGAATCATGAATCTCGATAACTGGGACGTGAACAATGCTTTTCACTATCCCTGGTGTTTATACATTGCCACCCTCACATGCTGGGCGTTCCACTTTGCAAATTCCTCGAATATGACTCAGGACAGGAGCGTGTCGTCCAATCAGCGGCACGCCGGAGCTGGTGATCATGAAAGAGACAATGGTGAGATAGACGACGGCATTGTATGGCACGCGAAGTCGGAGATGAATGCTCTGGTAAGTAGCATGACCAGTGTGACACCCGAGAGTATCTGGAGAGTCCTAGGTAAGTACAGCACTTCAGGACTGACAGCCGTTATGGCCAAGCATTTGAGCAATGTTCGGTGGGCAGTGGTTCACGAAGGCATGAAGGTGCTGAGGGGTCTAGTCCCCGAGCGCTCTATTAATGAGTATGAGGCATTTCTGAGATAGATATACGTGTTCTATGATTTCAAACAATCAACTTACCAATGAGGCCTTTCATTTGGTAGCTTTGCAGAGTTACAGTGAGAATTAGTGTACCATTTAGTCAGCAATCAACTATGTACAGATTTATTACCGAAACGGCACTCTTCAATTAACCCAGGATAGATGAGCCATTATGTTTGTTCGTGTACTCCGTCTTTGAGCAATACATGCTCTACTGTTACCGTAACGAATGCAAACCTTTTGAGAGTATTTAGACGCACCGCCACCCTACTTTTAGGACACCCACCCACCGTAGCTAGGTGGATATAGTGCGCTCCCGACATCTAAGGTTTAGGGAGGCCCCGAACAATCTATTCACCTGTCCATTGTCTTACAACTAAGTGAAATATCTCCAATTGAACGAATCCTGCCCATCTTCGAGCTCACTCGTGTTGACATCTTCAGCTCGTAAAACAACGCCCTGTTCTTTGTTGCGCTTCGCATTTTCTCTCTTCATGTAGAGTCCCATATAAAGTGTGAAGGCAATGCATGTGACATTGCATGCACTTGTGGCAATCAGGGTAGGGACATAACTGCATCTTGATCAGTCTAGTTATTCACGACGACTGTGTTTCAACTTACCCAGGTGCATATTCGACCCTGAAAGTCGATGCCGAAAGTATTCCTCCCAAGTTTCCGAGTCCCACCAACAGACCGGTAGTGGCTGCACGCGAGTTCTCTTCCAGGTTATTGTTGTTGTGCCAGGAGTGTACAAGACAGCTAGGTATATATGCACCTCCCGCCATGAGGAAGCATGCGAAATATGCAACTCCCTTACTGTGTAATGGATCAATTGCGGCAAGAATGATCATACCAGTGAGGGAAACCGTTAATGCGAAGACGATGTGATATGTGCGCTCACGAAAGTAGTCAGAGGATTTGGTGACACATAGTAGTATCACAAAGCCAACACTATTTGGGGCAACTGTCCACAAATTCGTTTTGACAACCGAGTATCCAAGTCTTTGGACAATCTGCATGGAATTTAGAGAAAGTTTTGGAATTAAGATATGTAGAACGAACCTGAGGCAGAAAATTGGATGTTGTGGCAAAGGCAACCGGATAGGTGAAGGAGATGATCACCCATAATCCAAACTTCCAATCTTTCCAGGTAGCAAAGCATGCTTTTAGATCGAACTCGGAGTTGACGCTTTTCGAAGAATCTCTCAGGGAACGAGCTCTTGCTGCGTTTTTCTCGGCCTCGTTGAGGAACCAAGCAGTGTCAGGGCGAGCGGGGAGCCAGAAGTATGCAACGGCCGCCACGATGACGGTAGCAGCTCCCTCAATGATGAATAGCCACATCCACCCCTTCACATTGACATGTTTGATCTGGAACACGGCATAGGAGATCAGGCCACTGAATGCTGCCGCAAGGAGGGCACTGCCAAAGAATAACGCGATTCGGAAGCCTAGTTCACCTCTTGTATAAAACAGAGTCATGTAGAAAACCACTCCAGCAAAGAAGCCTGCCTCAAATGTACCAAGAATCAATCTGATTGCCAACATGCCTCCGAAGTTTTTAGCAGCGCACTGGATCAAGGACATAGCGCCCCAGCCCAACATGACTTTCTTTGGGTATCAGTGATGAATTTGACAAGAAGTGGTGAGGACTTACGTGTTGGCAGCATAACTCTTCCAGAAAATTTCTTTGTAAGCAAATTCAAAGGGAGATCACAGAGTCCGAAAGGGACGTAAAATAACAAGATCAGCAATGAATATTCATTGCCCTTGAATTTCATGTCTTTATCCATGCCATCGGTCTTTGCATTTCCCAGATTACTGCGATCTACACTGTTGAAGAAATACATCAAAGACAAAAAAGGCAATAAAAAGCAATCCATCTTTCGAACTGAACATCCGAATTTGTTAATCGTGGTGCAAGCATCGAGATGTGTAGAATCGACTTACCATATGATCTTTCGGCTTCTTTATCAATGTGTGGTAAGATTTCACCATTCTCAAGGTTATGCTTCGGTTCTGATGTTGCCATCATGTCCTTCTCGAAGGTTGCCATCTTGTAGTCTTGGGTACGTGCTCCTTGTTTGAACTTCAGTCTTGAAGATATTTAGAAGTTTTGTAGGAGGATGAGTGTTTTCTGAAGCAGCAAGACTAAGCTGTGGCACCAAACGCCCTTGTTGAACAGCTAGGCAATGCCGGGCGGCAAGTCGAGTTCATGATAGCTTTGAATAGCTTTCAAACATCGCAAATAATCTCGTGATTGCGCAAGAAGATCCTGCGACTTCAGAGTCTGGATAACGCTATCCTTGCTCACGAGGATAACAAGAGTGGTCGGCCAATCATGGATAGTGCTCCATGACTAGCGATATCGAACAACAGTAGGTATCCACAACATTTGAGGCCATGAACATTGATCGACTCACGTGATGTTGTGTTAGACCAACGCAATTGGTGGCCAGGCTATGGCAGATAACGCCGTTGACAGGCCAAGGGGTGGCCTTCTTTAGAGTTTGATAAGATAGACACCTAGTGCGCATCATGCAGTGCTACGCTGTAGTCGTCCTTTTCACAAGCCTTCCAACAAGCATATCCTCCACTCTTGGGCAATTTACCTTGGTTGTCCCAACAATTGGCCTCTCGAGCTTTCCGACTGGAAGCCCTTGATTACCCCGCAAATCGCAGACTTATCGTCGCCAAGTTTGCACATCGCCATGTTCAGAGTTTGAATGAATCGCCAAATCGATCATCTCCATAAACTTTTTTTGAACACGTGGACGTTGGCTGACGGTCGAAACGCAGCACAATTGTACGATCGTACAATACTTTGCATTGCCTCTCGGCGACATAGATATCAAGTAGTTGCGGTTTACTATTACCCTTTGACCTTCAGCACACCATACTTACCTCACTAGAAACCATAATTTTCACCAAGGGCAAGGGAAGAAGCGCAAGCCAAGATGACCATTGCAAGTGCTCCTCCAATTCTCGATTTCTCCGGTGAGTGGTTCAACCCCTAAGCTAGTCTCATATCAGCACTGACTAAAGATCAGTGTTCTATGGCAACGACCAAGAAGCAAAGTCAAAATTGGTCGATGATGTACGGAACTGTTGTTTGCATAACGGATTTTTCCAAATCACCGGCCATAGAGTACCAGCGGACTTACAAGAAGCCGTCTTAGACTGTCTCAAGGACTTTTTTGCACTTCCACAGGCAGCGAAGGAAAAAGTCCTCAAAGGTAATTGTGGAGAAAATTGTTCCATGCGCTGTCTTCGGAAAACAAGCTGACGTGGTTTAAGACAAAAATACTTGGAATAGAGGGTACGAGAGGATTGGCTCCCAAATTCTGGAAGCTGGAACAAATCCTGACCAGAAGGAAGGCTTCTACATCGGGGAAGAAATCACGAAGGATCATCCTTACTTCATCCAAAAGAAACTTAACAGTGGACCAAACTTGTGGCCTGACAACGTCAAAGATGTTCAAAGATTCAAGTCTGTTTCAATGGAGTACTATAACGCGATGCATGCCTTAGCCAGGGACATTCTTTCCATTATCGCTCAGACATTGGAGCTCGATGCTTCCTATTTCAAAGAATTCACTACGGATGCTGTCGCCACCTTGAGATACCTCCATTATCCCCCGCAAGCACCAGACTCAGACGAGAAACTCTCGAGGGGTATTGGTGCACACACAGATTTCGGTTCAGTGACATTGCTCATGCAGGACGATGTGGACGGGCTACAAGTGTATGAGAAAAGCACAAATGAATGGCTTGACGTACGTGAGCATCCTTGGCGCTGCGTGAACAATCTGACTAACGATCCGACTTAGGTCGTCCCTATTAAAGGAGCATATGTGGTGAACCTTGGAAATATGTTCATGCGATGGTAAGTGCTCGAAATTCAAACCCTGAGATTTTACGACTCCGGCTAAGCCATGCTAAAGGTCTAACGACAAATACATTTCCAATCTTCACAGAGTCATAAATAAATCCGGCAAGGAGCGATACTCTATCCCATTCTTTTTCAGCGGCAACCCAGACTACATGATTGAATGTCTGCCAAACTGCCGTAAAGACGATGAAGAGCCAAAGTATCCTCCTATCACGGTGGAAGGAGCTGTGGGTGGAAGCTACAAGGCAAGCTATGGTGCAGCAGAAGCCTTCAAGATGACGGCCCCTGCGGTCGTTCCAGCTCCACAGGCGATAACCGCATAAGGTTCGCAGCTTCCACTTTTGAAGATGTATTCTGGAAGTGCTGAAATATGGCTGGTTTATTTAGCGGCACGATCACAATGAAGCCTGGGTCACGATGTGGCTAGTATTAGTTGTAGAGGATAAAGTACGAGGAAAAGTTCGCAGCTTGATTTCAATATCATTTGCGTGCCTAAGTCGTTCGCCATCAACCATCTCAAACCTTACCCACTGTTGTTGTTTTGTTAACTTTCAAGTATGCATTCTCCCCCACCCTTAAATAACTCCCATTAGAGTCTCCTTATCTGCCGAGGAATCGTCGTCTTTTTAAAGTTCCCCGGCTTTTGGCATTTGAGACAATCAACTGACTTGGAACAAGCCTGGCCCAGACCATCAGAGACCAGCTCGCCGGACTACAGGCTTTTGTTCCGATAAGGCCCTAAAGTGGCGGAGATTCGTCCTCTAGTCATGAGTGGCCGGTCCCAGGACAGCCTCGTTCCTGTGTTATCAGAGCTCTTCTTTCAGACGTACATATAAAACAGATGAAGAGTTCTGCCATCAATCCTGCGGTCTATCATTACCATTTATTGATCCTGTATCCAATAACTTCCCCAAGATGTCTGTCACTGAAAAGAAGATCGAACCCGAGATAGGTGCTGTGCCTTCAAAGGTCTACTCTGAGACGGTCGGGACGATCGAAAAGCTCCAGGACTCGGACGATGCTGCGAATCAAGAATTCTACGGCAATTCTATCAGCGACTCTTATCGTTTCAAATCAGAGCTTGTCAACAAGTGTATGCAAGAGATTGGTTTCGGACGGTATCAGTATGAGCTGTTCGTTGTCACAGGTTTTGGCTGGATTACAGATAATTTGTATGATCCACACTTGTTGTTCATATGGACTTTACTGACGATGTGCTTAGCTGGTCCCAGGGTATTGGCACCATTCAGCCTGCCGTCAGACTCGAGTTCAACGACGTTACCAGAGTTGCGTTCAGTTCGATAGCATATTATGCCGGATTGATCTGTGGAGCATCTTTCTGGGGTATATCTGCTGATTTTGTAAGTCTAAATTCGAGTCTTGGTCCTACTGCGATCCATGCAAATCCACAGTTTGCACACTACAATCTCAACAATACTAATGGTAATCTAGATTGGCCGCAAGCCAGCATTCAACGTTACTCTTTTGATCGGTGGCATCTTTGGTCTTGCTGTAGGAGGCGTCAACAACTTTATCGGCTTTTGCGTGCTCTGGGCTATCATTGGCACAGCTGCAGGTGGCAATGTCCCTGTAGACTCTATGATATTTCTCGAGTTCGTGCCAGGATCTCACCAGTATCTGCTCACAGCACTTTCCGCATGGTGGAATCTTGGACAAGTCATTGTCTCTCTCATCGGATGGGTTTTCATCGCCAACTTCACTTGTCCTACGGGCTCTACACCTGAGACATGCCGTAGAGAGGATAATATGGGATGGTGAGTTGGTTCCAAGCCAAATCACTCTCCGACATAAGACTGATCGACTCTGCACAGGCGATATGTCATGTTCACCCTAGGCGCTTTGACACTAGCCTTCGCATTCGTTCGAATGTTCGTCTTCAAGATGCCTGAATCACCACGATACTTGCTTTCTAAAAACAGAGATGCGGAAGCAGTCGAAGCAGTTAACTACGTTGCAAGACGTAACGGAAAACCTGAACCTCTTACCTTGGCCATGTTTCGACAGATTGATCTTGATCTTGGCATCATTGTAAACCCTGAAGAGACGGGCAGGCAAGGCCTCACACGGACTCAAATTCTCAAAGAGAATCTAGCGGATTTCAAGTCAACCAACTTTAAGAATCTGTTTGCTACTCGCAAACTGGCCCAGCACACCACAATTATCTGGCTCATTTGGCTTACGATCGGCATTGCGTATCCACTATATTTCAATTTCCTACCTACTTACCTGGCTCAGAAGTTTACCGACAACTCTTCTTTCGACGACACATACAGGAACTATTGCATTGCCTCAACAGTTGGAGTGGTAGGTCCAGTCGCAGCAGCCTTCGCCGTGCGAACTAAACTTGGACGTCGCTACATGATGGGCATTTCTGCTATCATAACTGGAGTCTTCCTGTTCTCTTATACTGCAGCAAGGACACCGGCTGCCAACCTGGCATTCACCTGCATAAGTGGTTTGTGGGGTAACTTCGGTAAGTTCTTTTGCATCGCCAAATCATTCATGCTTCATACTTACCCCTATGTCATATAGAATACGCAATCATGTACGCTTTTACCCCAGAAAGCTACTCGGCTCCTCAGCGTGGACTTGGTACTGGATTCGCTGCGACCTTGTTGAGATTCGGTGGCCTCTGTGCAAGTTTGATCGGCACATATTCCGACTTTACTGTGGTTCCAATTTACGTGTCGGCTGGTATGTGGATGGCAGTGGGATTAATCTCTTTTGGTCTGCCATTTGAGACCCAACAGCACGCCGCTATCTAGATGCTCATAATTGACGAAATGGAAGCCGAAATAGGATATGTGATGTTCAAGCTCGACACTGAGGTAGAGAAGGAGAGGACGTAGCACCCTGGATTACTAAGTACCTCACTAAGTTAGTTTCTCCAGATACGCCTCTTGGAAAGTCTGCAATAGCAGCTGTTTGGCTAGTCTTGTCTTCGTCTGTTCTTTGTTCTTCTAATGTTCCAAACAACATGACCTCGACTTTAGAGAATTTGACTCGTAAATGGGCTGTTTGAAGAGCTTAATCGCTAATGGCCCAAACTAGGACGTTTATTGGTGGACGTGCCATGAACAGTTACTGATGAGACATAGACTTGTTACTACCTGTGGCTCGACATCAACGTGTTGCGCGATTAATATGCTGCGAATAACTCTTGGGTCCACGCGGCAGTCTGAACTCTGGAAACAGATAAAGTCTATGTGGCTGTAGATGTATATATCATGTGTTTATTTTCGTTTGACAAGAGTACACTAATCGCAAGTATCTATGAAGTTAAGAACCCCCCATAGTAAGTATCTAACCACTCACAAGCTGTACGACCTGCGCCTTGTAGGTTGAATCGGCCAACACTACCGACATAGCCATCAGGCCTGACATTTACAATGGCAACCTCTTGATCATTCAGACTTCCAAGCCACTTCTCGGTGCAGCCTACGCCAGATACCCTATCTTTGATATCGTCCAGATAGAAAGTCCATTTGCTCTGTTGTAGTAACTGCGGGAGGTCGGAGATCTCGATTGCAGTTTTCGGCATGGCTGTAACGGTAGCAAAAGTGAAGAGTCGAGATGCGGCAGTGTAACGGCCTGGTTGCAGAAAGTTGTCCGCTTCAACGGGTGGCAAGTTGATTGTGGCATATGATTTGGCGGCTGCAGTAGTAGAACGACCTATCATTGAGTCTGCTGAATTGATATAGCCGCAGACGTTTTGCAGAAATTCGGACGCGACGTGAATATCTGGAACGAAAAAGTAGATCCTGAATTGACCAAGCATTGGGATGTCGAGTTGTATGTCAACTGGGTTAGCATCGATATATCGAGTCACCTTCGCTGGTGCCACCAGCTCTCCCGCCCGAAGGATTCCTCTGGGCGCTTTCTCTGGAACTGTGATGATATTTGGGGTATAATGAACGCCTACACCCGAGATAAAACCAACATTGGTTGCGAAGTTATCTGCGAGTGCCTTGGAATCTCCACCTGTGAATGCAGCAGCGTGTTCAAAATCGAAGTTTATCAGGTCTTGGGCAATTTTGCGGCGTTCCTGTTGGTATGTCGCTAGTAAAGCCGTCCCTGCTAGACCTCTGATGGCCAAGTTGAGCTTCCAGGATAAGTTGAAAGTGTCATGCATCGACGTGTTCATCCCCTGAGCCGCTTTAGGTGAGTGGGTGTGGCCCGCCTGAGGTCTTTAATCAGTCACACTGTCCATCATGTCTCAGGAGACAGATCACTCACATCGCCAGTGATGAACACACGTTCATTGCAGTCAGTGAACGTGCTTGCGACTCTCTGACCAACTTTATAAACGCTGAACCATTCTACCAAAAGTAGTTAATCCCCATCCCTCAGACACTAGATATCCTCGTAAAGAATTTTACTTACCAACATTGGTCCATGTGACCGAGTAGGGAGCCATGATATCCTGTGCCTTCTTCATCACATACTCTTGAGTGGCCTCAGCGGGCACACTGTCTGGCAGGTCACGATCGAGCTCAATGTAAAGCCTGGTCATGTTTCGCTCACGAGGGATGCACAATACCGTTCCCGCCTGTTCTGAATGAATCACCACCTTGCTCCAGAGATCTGGAAAGTCTGTTTCAATGACACCTAGGGATCATCAGTATCGAGATGCCAAATTGGAGTGGGAACTTTACCATCTAGTACTCCCCATTTCGAATTGCTGCTCTCCCCCACCATCTGAGCTCCAGGAATGCTCTTTCGGACATTGGAGTGGGCGCCATCACAACCAACCAAGTACCTCGTCTTGAATGATCTGACCGATCCAGACTTTTTATCTTCAAAGTGGACATCTATCGAAGATTTGAGGCTATCGGCAGTGTACTTGAGTAATGGAGAGCTCCTCGTTACTTCTACCCCGCGTTCTCTCATGTCCTCAATAAAAATATCCTCCACCATTCCCTGGTGGACAAGCAGAATAAATGGGTCTTTCACGTCCAATTGAGCGGGATAGTGAATCTCTCTGCCTGTGCGATGTAGGCTTTTCATGCTGGTAGAGCTCTGAGTCACTGTCAGCACACTGTAATTACATGCATTTTCGGGTTGCCCATTATTCCCAGGGGCAGTACGATGGAACTCCTAACTCAGTGCAACTTACCCAGAAACAGATATCATAGATCTTTACACCTTTCCGAAGCAATGAATCAGCGAGGCGTAGTTGCCTGAATGTCTCGATGGTCTTTGGCTGCAATCCATCGGCACGGCCTGTGCTCGTCTTGTCATCTCTGTCGTCGAGGATCTTTGCCTTAATCCCGTACATGGATAAATTTGAGCTATTCTCATCAGTACCACGTGCTGTTCAAGGAATATTTGGTTTGCCAAAAGATCCATACCCTAACATCAGACCGGCTGGGCCAGCTCCAACGATAGTGATGGCTTCAGTGTCAACACCATTAGTGACCTGGTGGTCACCATTGACCATGAAGCCTTCATTGTTGGCTGCTGGACTCATTTTTGGCGAACTTATTGCTCGAGAACGCTTCATCGACTTTTGCTGTCCTCCATCATAGTCATCTGCGGCGCGTTTAAGGGGCCCTTTGAAGGTCGTGAGGCTTTTCACCCCTGGTAGTGTTGTGGGCAAATCAGGTGATGCTGTTGTGTGACCTTTTGTTGTACCATGGTCCTGAGACATCGTATCATTCGAGCATGACACTTGCCACAGTGTATGAGCGTAACCCCACTCTTGTCTTTTCGCAATGGAAAGTGGATGGACTCAACAATTAGTTTGTCATCTCCAAGACGATAAGGACGGAGTTGAGCTGAATGTTCCGTGCCCACTCAGTCAGGATAATTCGTACAAAGGGTACGAGCGCCAAGATTCAAGTTTCCCCAAGCCGCTCCCAGGTACCTTGCTCTGCCACGCTGCAGGAAAGACACTCTAACAAACCCTAATGAGCAGGTCGAGACTTACGAAGTACCACCTGGTCGAAAGGCATCCAGTCGAACAAAGACGATTGTAGATGTCAAACACCCTCGTCACGTGAAGTAAGTCAAGTGACCGACGACGATGAGAGAACTTGTACATTCAACATGGGAGGATACTATCCAGAAAAAGCGTGACCAGCGTGAGAGCCTTGTAGCGCCGTTCTTAGTCCCTGTTGATGCAAAAAATGCTATCTCTGAGGAAATCTTAGAAAACGGAGACATTAAGTCTTTGATTGATTTGTTTTCATCGGGAAAGCTGAAAGCGAAAGATTTAGTTCTATCTTATGTGGAAAAGTAAGTCAGACATAAATTTTTGAAAGTACATCGGCTGCGACTGATGAGAAGACAGTGCAGCAAAGGCACAGCAGCAGGTAGCTAGACTCTCCCTCGAAATCTGGCTGGACGAAACCTATGCTTATCACTATGCTAGACAAACTGCCTTACAGAAGTCCTCTTCACGAGTGCGATTGAGGAGGCATCGTTACTAGACGAATATTTTGCTTCCACTGGGAGATTAATAGGACCATTGCATGGAGTGCCTATCACATTGAAAGACCAATTCAATGTGAAAGGCGTGGACTCAAGTATCGGCTATGTTTCGAGGGCATTCAAGCCTGCCATAGAAGATGCAGTTTTGGTGGACACGCTCAAAAGTCTGGGGGCGATAATACTGGCCAAGACGAATCTCCCGCAGAGCATAATGGTACATTTGCTTCTTTTGCATATGATTTCTTCTGGCTAATACGTGATAGTGGTGCGAAACCGAGTGTCCTTTATGGGGTTTGACTACAAACCCCAGAAATCCAGAATTCACCCCAGGAGGCTCAACTGGTGGTGAGGCCGTGCTGCTTGCTCTCAAAGGCACAATGTTGGGTTGGGGAACTGATATTGGAGGCTCCATCCGTATTCCGTCTCATATGAATGGCTTATGGGGCTTGAAGCCTACGGTGTGTTAAGTAAGAGCCTGTTAATCCGAATGGGAGGGCTAACCTAAATCTCGGCGAGTAGAGCACCAGATTGCCATATCGAGGGGTTCCTGTGTCAACTGAAGGTCAAGAGCATGTGCCGTCATCGGTAGGACCAATGGCAAGAACTTTGTCGTCCCTCACCCATATAATGCACCTTATGCTTGATGCCCAGACACATTTACGAGATCCCAGGGTTACGCCAATACCGTGGCGAAAAGACATTTTTGAGGAGGTGCAAACTCGACCATTGACTATTGGGGTCTTGATTGACGACGGGGTCGTAAAGGTTCACCCGCCGATTGACAGGGTTCTCAGAGAGCTAGAAGCAAAATTGAAATCTGCAGGTCATGAAATTGTGCAGTGGGATGCTTCCGGACATAAAGAGTGCATCGAGATTATGGTCAGCTACTCGAATCCGTGGTATACTTGTGGCTGACACCATTTAGGATTTGTTTTATACTGCCGATGGAGGGGAAGATATTAGAAGGGATGTGACCGCCAGTGGTGAGCCTTACATCCCGCATGTTGAAGGCTTGATCAATCGCGGACAACCTATATCTGTATTCGCTTATTGGCAACTCAACAAGAGAAAGATTGCAGCTCAGAATGCATACTGGGACAAATGGAACAACAAAAAGAGTCCGATTTCTGGAAAATCGGTTGATATACTGCTCATGCCGACCATGCCACATACTGCGGTGCCTCATCGCACGTGCCGCTGGGTTGGATACACCAAGGTTTGGAATTTTCTCGACTATACTGCACTTTCTTTTCCCGCCGGGCAAGTCAGAGGGGCGACAGATATATTGCCGTCAGAACACTACAGCCCTCGTAACGAGTATGATGAATGGAACTGGAAACTATACGATCCACATACAATGGACGGTCATCCCGTGGGATTACAGCTAGTTGGAAGGCGGTTTGATGAAGAGAAAGTTTTAGGTATCGCGACAGTGATTGAGAAATTGATAAAGGAGTAAGTTGCTGATGAGAAGAGATTGCCATAATCATAGAATAACTCTGAATGCTCAGGCATTCTTCTTAATACTAGAAGCATACGTTTTGAATCCGTAATACCACTGAGCTAATTTCGCTCACCACTTTGTAACTCCTCCATCAACACAAAGATCCTGACCTGTCATATATGAGCTCGCATCACTTGCAAGGAAAACACATGCCCCTCTAATATCCTCTGGCATGGCGACTCTACGATTCATGATTTCGTCCTTCCAACTTTCCAAGAGATGGGGGAACTGATGAATATAAGTTGGACTGTGCACTGGCACGATATTGATATGAACTCACCGGTGCAGTCATCTCCGTTCTCACATAGCCCGGTGAGATTGTATTAACACGAATTCCCTGCTCAGATGTCAGCCAATGTCCCGCCTCCCATAATTTGGCTCAACCCACGTATTGTACCAACTCAGCAGCGATAGCTGGGCACATGGCTCGTACAGCTCCTTTGCTGCCGCAATAAGCACTGCTCATCTGACTTCTTATAGCCATGTAGCTAGCTATACTAGCCACAAGAACAATACTTCCACATTTTGTTCCATTTTCAATCATTTGTTTTGCAGCAAATTGTGCTGTGTGGTATACACCCATGACGTTGACAGATAGTAGTTTCTGATGTTCCTCGAAAGAGGTGTCAAGAAATGCTAAATTCCGATTGATGCCTGCACATGGAACGCAGATGTCTAACTTGCCCTGAAAATCGGATTTGAAGGATTCAAACCCCTTTTGGAGGCTTTCGATAGATCCAACATCAACTCTGGCCAAGAAAGCAGTATCAGCAAGACTACCGAGTGCTCGATCTTGAAACGGTACGAGAACTAATTACTTGTAATATTTCGTCTTCACACCATAGTCTTTCTCAATGTCATAAAAACCTTGCACTGGATCGATGACATCGAAAATTGCTACATCTGCTCCAGCCTCGGCAAGCCCCTGAGCAAATGCAAGCCCACATCCTCGGGCACCACCCGTCACAAGGGCTGTCCGACCCTTGAGTGAGAACTGATGGTGCATTAGCGATCATCGTCGAACTAAAGTCCGCAGAGAAGGCTGGGAAGGACACACCTTGCTCATATTAAGTCACGTGGAAGGCTCGCTGCTGTCAGGGGTTCAGGGGTCAGGGAGGAAGGCTTTTCGGGGCCTGGAACTTGTGACAAAGATGCAAACGAGCTCAGTAGGAACAGAAGAATGAGTGTCAGAGCTCACTACGGGATTCGAATGATGGACAATGAATTCTGTGTAGCAAAAGTTTCCATTACCACCATAGTTGGGAATCTTCCATGCCGCACTTACCCTCCGTCTAGTCCTCGAACGCCCCCATTTTTGTAACCCGAGTACAGCCATAGCTTAGCTAGTAGTGAAAATGTTATGCGGTCCAACTAGAGAATGCTTGAGTGGTTAGTGCGGATTTGATGTGCCTGACAGCCCGAGCCATGCAAGGCACTGTACGTGCCAAGGATCGCACAACCAGCAAGCAACGCTTTACTCTTTTTCGCACACGCAGAACTCCGTTCGTACTTCCTCCTGCTTATCGCTCTGACACACACCAAACCGCAACAATCGAGTATCCGTCATTGACCTCAAGACCGTAAGCTTATCGAGCTGCATTGTTTGTGCTAGCATTGATTTGCGGAGAGTGCAACCGAGACGATAGTCAACTGCCGCCTGTTGTCCATGTGAAGGGAGGGAACACTGGGACACGTGGAGGATGCCATCAGCATGGCCAGCTTCATCCGCCCTCCCAGAACCCCCTAGCTTGTTGTTATTTTTCTGATTCGGGATAATTGTATCCTTACTCCAAAACCCTCATCCACACAACTTCAAGGGAGCGTGTTCCTGAAAGTTTCAAAACAAGTCTTTCGAACTAGCATTCATTTAAATTTGGACACAATCAATATGGGCAAGAAGCGAGTTCTCGTTAGCTATGGAGTTGATATTGACGCCGTCGCCGGCTGGCTGGGCTCTTATGGTGGCGAAGACTCGACGAGTGACATCAGCAGAGGTGAGAAACCAAGCCTCGCTGACTTGTATTACCATCTTTATACACTTGAAGCTCATCAAGACAGGGCTTTTCGCGGGCACGCATGGGACACGTCGTCTCCTAAAACTGTTCGATAAATACAACATCAAAGCAACTTGGTTCATTCCAGGACACTCTCTCGAGACATTTCCTGAAGAGTGTGCTATGGTACGAGACGCAGGCCATGAGATCGGCTTGCACGGATACTCGCACGAGAACCCGTCAGACATGAGTTTTGAACAGCAGAGAGATGTCCTCGACCATACTTTCAAGCTGCTGACTGATTTCTGTGGAAAGCCGCCTCGAGGAAGTGTTGCGCCGTGGTGGGAGGTGAGTGAAGCTGGTACGGAACTTCTCTTGAGCTACGGTATCGAATATGATCATTCCATGGGCCATGAAGACTGTCAAATGTACTGGCTGCGCACTGGGGATACGTGGACCAAGATTGATTACAAGAAAACAGCCGCTGAGTGGATGAAACCTCTGGTCAGGGGAAAAGAGACCGGCTTAGTGGAGATCCCTGGATCTTGGTACATCGACGACTTACCACCTATGATGTTCATGAAAAACTCCGCGAACAGCCACGGGTGGGTCAATCCACGGGACATCGAAGACATCTGGAAGGTAAGCTACAGCCATTGAACCCCTGTTGTGGCAGCCGTGCAGAGCTAAGTTCTCTGCCAGGATCATTTCGACTATTATTACCGCGAGTTTGACGACTTCATTTTCCCCATGACCATTCATCCCGATGTCAGTGGCAGGCCCCACGTCTTGCTCATGCATGAAAGGTAGTACCTAGGCCGATACACATCATTCAATCGCTAACAACAGCAGGATCATTGAGCATATCAATAAACATGAGGGAGTCGAGTGGGTTACTATGGAACAAATGTGCGATGACTTCAAGAGCAAAAATACTCCTCCAGCAGACGGTTTGATGCCGGCGTCAAGAGAAGAAGTCCTCAAGAAGTATTCGCCCAAGTAGCACTCAATCGTGATATGGAGATTGATGACTTTCGGAGTAAAATTCGTCTCGTGCATCATTATTTCGTAGCTCATCCGAGGGGATTTCTAGAGCAAGTCTCGTGTGCAAACACTGTTTTCTTGGTAGCATGGTTGTTTCTATCCCAACATTGCCGACACGTGAGACCAGGGGCATCCGAGGCAACGGCAAAACTGTACCCGGAACCACTTAGAATATGGGGAACCACGTGATGATTTAGCTGTGGACTGGTCCGTGGCCCTCGCCCATTCTTGATCGCACTAGTGACGTGCACCTGCAGACCACTAGGTTCAATCCCCCACTCTTGCATCCGTTTTCCTGCTGAAGTCCAGATTCCACAACGTACCTCATACGGATGTGTGCCTAACACTCGCCCGCAGGCGCCCAGAAGAGGTGGGAGAGTTCTATGCAGCCATCTACCGAGTCGAGAGATAAGCTTCTCGCCCACCAACGGGGCCCACCCTTTTATCTAGAAGCGCTAGGGTGGACTCGAGACGGAGGTCGACATTCTGTAATGACCTCGATGACTTTCAAGGGATGTTACTCACGTGTGACTGACTGCCATGCCGTGTACGCATCGTACAGGTGTGCGTGTCATGAGAGAGCATTGGATCAAAAGGACGAATTTGGCGCGTATCGACTTAATTGATTGCACTCGTGGCTCGGAGTCTGGTTATGCAGATATCCACTCGCATCTTCGACATCGCATGATTGATACCAACGAAAGAGCCATACCAAAGCAGGCACTGTATCTTATAACTGGGCTCGAAATATACACGGCGGCATTCGCTGCAAGTTGATCACTGTCAGTACTTCCGGCTGTTCACAGTGGAGAGCCAAGCGACCACTTTGGTTGATATTCCCATCACCCTCGCCTGACTGCACGATCATCTCATCGAGCAGATCACCCGACGCAGTCATTGTTTATAGAATTTCTCTCCCCAATCTGGGTTTCCTTTCGTTAAACACTGGGACTCATACCTAAAATGTCGTCCATTGTTGCCAAAGAGAAACTACAACGCAATGCAACGACCAAGCTCAACATCATCGTTGTCGGTGCCGGTCTTGGTGGTATAGGCGCAGCCATAGCACTTCTCCTTGCTGGCCACAATGTCCGCGTTCTAGAGGCAGCAGAAGAGATAGGGGAGGTGGGCGCGGGCATACAAATTCTTCCAAACTCCTCACGGGTGCTACAATCATGGGGGATGCGGGAGACGCTCGAGCAATTCGCCACGAAGCCCTCGCGAGTGAACATGCTGGGATGGAGGGGTAATTTGATATCATATCTTGATACAAATGAGTCGGCGGCGGCGTACCCTGGGACTTTTTATTGGGATTTCCATCGTGCTAACCTTCACAAATGTCTTCTTGACCGCGCCGTCGAGCTAGGAGCCGAGATACAAGTCCGAGCGCGGGTGATTGATATTAAAATCGACGGGCCTAAGGCGGAACAAGCAACAGTGGTCTTATCTTCCGGGCAAGAATTGGTTGCCGATCTGGTGGTTGGGGCCGACGGTATTAACTCGAACCTACGGGAAATATTCCTGGGAAAGCCAGACCCGCCAACACCGACAGGGGATCTTGCATATCGACTTTTACTTTCAACGGCAGAAATGCTCAAAGACCCGGAACTTGCACCCTTTGTCACTGAGCCTCAAGTAAACTATTGGCTCGGGCCAGACGCGCACGCTGTGAACTACGTGCTCCGAGGGGGAAAGCTGTTCAACATGGTACTTTTGGTGCCTGATGATATGCCTGTCGGAGGAGCCAATACTCTCGAGGGCGATGTGAAAGAGATGCGGGCGCTGTACAAAGACTGGGATCCTCGGATACCAAAGCTGCTCGCTCTGTGTGAATCCGTGTACAAATGGCGCTTACAAATTCGTGTCGGAATGGACTCATGGAGTCATCCGTCTGGCACGTTCACTATGTTAGGTGACGCTGTACACGCAACACTTCCTTACCTTGCATCGGGTGCTGGTATGTGTCTTGAAGACGCCGCTGTTATGGGTGAGCTCTTCTCAAGAGCACCGAACCCAAGAATCCCGGAAGTGAAGCAGGAGCTGTTAAGCATCTACGAACGATGTCGCAAAGAACGAACCGAAATGGTGGTCAAGCGAGGTAATTTGCAGCAGTACTTGTATCATCTGCACGATGGGCCTGAGCAAGAGGAAAGAGATCGAAAGATCCGAGAAAAAGAAGAAGGTGAGGCCCTGGCCTGGAGAGATTCCGGTTTGGCGCCACGACTGTTGGGTTATCAAGTTGAGAAGGATGTAAGTCAACGTTTCCGAAAGATGTGCTGAGCCATTTGCTAATCAGTGCACAGGTTGATACATATTGGCCACCCCGTTGCCTGCGTGAAGTAGAACCAGCTTCCCAAGCCACGGAGATCCAATCCCGTCTCTAGAATGAACTTGTGAACGAATAGCGGGCGCGACACTTCACGAGTGGTGTCATGTTCGACAATTCGAATTGAAGATCCCGGAACTTTGAAGGTATTTCGTGGGGCCATATGTCCAATCAGGTTGAAATGGTTTCTCACAACCTAGTGACGCATGGTGCTTCTGTGGAATTCATGACTAAATTGGGCATCGCGACTGTGCATTTTCAGGGTGGTTAAAGACATGCGGGCAAAGATTGGATTGTGTTCAAATCCGGATATACAACGTCTATCTAGCAAAGACTTATGCTGAAGACTACCAGCTATGGGATGATGGGGAGCGATGTAAGTGATAATGAGAAAATAAGAGGATGGGATGCATTGGGAAGAATGCTCCTCAAGAAAGCCTAACATTAAGTTTCTTGGACGCGCTTCGGCGGTCTCCGTGCTGGCGGCCGCCTCCTTGCTATTGGAGAACTTCGACCACATCTTATCTCAACACGAGGAATAAAGAAGTCGATATCAAAAATTGCTTAAAGGTGGTGATCTCAATTATATTTGCTACATTCTCGGTCAATCCCTGTATATACACTTTTCTCATAGACAAAACCCCCAATTCACACTGTCCTTGTTCTTCTTCCTCGAAACCCAATGCCCGGAGCCCAAGAAATCGCAAGCGCGATACTCAAAGCCACTGAGAATGACATCGTCCCCTTGACAGCAAAGCAAGTGTCTCAGGGCTCCAAGCTCTTCGGAGCAGCCATTCTAGACAGGAAATTGCTGTCGACAGTCATAGCAGAGACGAACAACGAGCGAGAATCGCCGTTGCTGCACGGTGAGATCAATTGCATCCAGCAATTCTTCAAACTACCAAAAGAAGGACGGCCAGAGACGAAAGATTGCGTATTCTTTGCGACCCATGAACCCTGTTCGCTATGTCTGAGTGGGATTACATGGTCTGGGTTCAACGAGTTCTACTACATGTTCACCTACGAAGATAGTCGCGATCTCTTCGGAATACCTTGTGAGTTGTGGCTTTTGGGGTTCAAGCAGAAATGAATACGCTAATTATTTGAAAGACGACATCGATATTCTCCAGTCCGTATATCAGGTTGCCTCACCTGGAGACACTGAGGAGACACTTGCGACTAAACCCCTTTACAACCGCAAGAATAAGTTCTTCACCGCACGATCACTTGCTGAGTTGATTGATTCTGTGGAAGATGAGGAATCACGATCGAGCTTGAAGACAGATCTGGCACGTGTGAAGAAATTGTATGATTCGCTGAGTCAGACGTATCAGGATGGGAAGAAGACGGGCACGGCATCGAGTAGTTTCTTCGCATAGTTCTGGGAATGCAGCTTGGCATGGGTAGGAGTTTAGGTCTTGAGACGCAGCTGTCTGGACCTTTCGGTTCCAAGTCAAACGACTAGTTAAACATCCCATTTTGGGTCAGTCTCGTTTCTATGCACCCTTACGTAGTAGTATAATGAACGCAACGCCAGACTTGGGGCAACGGCGACCTCAATACCTCAAATAAATCCCCCCAATCCTAAAGCCTAGTCCATTCCTCCGACTTCTCTGCCCTAGATTCTCCCATCTAACATCTTCAGGCGGTCCCATGGACTGTTCTGCACTGGGTCTCCTACCAGCCAGCTCCATTCTCATGCGCGACACATCCATGACTGGCAGTCATTGGGCAGAACTTGGGGGCGCGTGTGTCACAGCCTCCAGGTTGTGGCCACCAGGGCTGATCAAAAATGCGCCATAGTAATTGGGATGATAGTTCGTCCTCACGCCTGGCTTGCCGTTGTCTTTCCCGCCTGCTTTGAGACCTTCGGCATAGAAGGTGTCCACTTGTCCTCGATCTGAGCGGTAAGGGTCAGTTCATGAACTGCTCAAGACATGGATCTAGATAGAATCTTGCCTTTGGCACTCAGTGCTAGGTGAGTGCGGAAGATTTTCGCATCATCTGGAATTTGACTAAAGTTCTCGTCGTAGCCAAAAATCCACAGGAATGGCCCAGTCTCGTCGCCAACTCCAACGACGCCAGGTACTGGGCTCTTATGTACTTTGAATCCCATGTGTCCGTAAGCGGCGATAAGCCAGGCAACCTCTTCGTCTACCTTGGAAAAGGGGACTGGAAGCGAGGTGTGGTCGATGGGCATCTTGCCTTTGGCTATGAGAATGCTCGGGTCTATGTCTAACATGTAAAACTGTAGGTTTGCCAGTCACCACGATGTTGAGTATATCTGGATATTCGTATTTGAAAGGAGGAAGAGCAACCCCGCTCGAGGGATTGCAAGCTTCCTAAATAACAATTTCATTTTGGCTTTCGGTACCAGTGCTCAAAGAACCAGCTCTCATGATTTTACGAGCTCACGTGAAATCGTGTAGAAGTCGCGCAGCACTTCAGGGTCTCGAAATGCCTATTTTGATCTAGTTAGGTCAGCGACACGGGAGGGTTCAGGCAGCAATCCACGTGCAAAGGTGGTGGTTGGACACTTGGGTGGTCGGTGCCTAATCCAAGACACGCCGACGCGGGTTTCGGGGTAAAGGTATCAACTTCGCTTCCTTCAGTTTCTGATATTACTAATTTTTCTTGCAGGAATAAACATAACTAAAGAGCCCATTACTCAGGTAGGAAGGAGTTTATGCAGCCCTGATGCAAAACAAGGAGTTAGGAATCACACGGCGGTGAAGAGTCAGGCTGGAGGGCACAGCTTGCCATGGTGGGCTGCGAGAGTCCTCCTCTCTAATTAATAAACAGGAAAGCCATTCGTACCCAGTGTGCTGTGAGGATGATCCCAGGCTGGATCCTCTATCGGATCAAAAACATCCCTGAGATGGCCCATTCCAACGAGATCTCAATTACCTCGGGTACATGACCGTGTCCCCCGCACCAGACCTGCACAAGTGGCTATCCAGAGAGGTCAACCCCCACGGTGATGATGAGATTCATGACTTACCCCACACTCTCCTTCGTCCAAACAACATGCTGGGGTTTCTCATCCATACAAAACCTATGCCCAGTGGTTTGAGAAGCAACCGGCTCTTCCCACCTTCTGGAGTTGTGTGAATGTCAAGCCATTCTAAAGACATCATTGATTGGGTTACCTGTCGACATTAACATGCCGGACCAGAAAATCCCCGTATCAGAAGTCCTTGCCCATTCGTCACCGAGTGACGCTTGGCTGGTGATCAATGGCGTGGTGTGGGATGTGACAGAATTTGCCCCAGACCACCCAGGCGGCATAGATATTATAGTCGAATATCTCGGGCGAGATGCGACAAAGGCGTACAACGAAGTACATGGCCCGAGCCTTGTCTCGAAACATCTGGAATCCTCTAAACGAATAGGCACACTGGATGAAGAGACCGTCACCGAGGAATGGCGTTCTAAGCTGGAAGGTGCGGACGAGGTCGAGGGAAGCGCGCCGGTTGACGAGGGACCTCCGGATCTTGATTCGATACTTAATATGTATGATTTTGAGGCCGCGGCGAAGAAGATCGTATCGGCCAAAACATGGGCTTACTACTCCGGTGCTGCAAATGACTGCCTCTCCCTACAAGCAAACATCGACTGGTACCGCAAGATCTGGTTTCGACCGCGTGTCCTGACCGGCGTTGGAAGCGTCGACACAAGTGTCTCGATCCTCGGACACAAGTATTCGATGCCAATCTTCTCTTCGCCAGCAGCACTGGCGAAACTATCCCATCCAGATGGTGAGTTGGCGATGGCGAGAGGTGCCGCTGCGAAAGGAACAACGATCTGCGTTTGTAACGGCGCAAGCTATTCCTTGGCAGAAATCACAGATGTCATCCCCGAGAACTATCCCAAATTCTACCAACTGTATTTCAACAAGGACCGACGAAGTACGCAGAAACTGATGCGTGAGGTCGTGTCCCTCCGACCACGAGCCATTATGGCAACGGTCGATCTACCTGTGGTGGGAAAGCGTGAGGCGGACGAGAGGATCAAGATCGAAGCCACCTACAAACCCACTAGAAACGCACAGGTACAGGCGCTACCCAGAGACAACAAGGGCGCAGGTCTTGCACGTGCGACGGGTAGCTTCATCGACCCTGACGTCACGTGGAAGGATATCAAATGGCTCATTGAACTCTCCGACATCCCAGTCTTCGTGAAGGGCATCCAATGTGCACAGGATGCTCGACGGGCGCTTGACATCGGATGCAAAGGCATTTATATCTCTAATCACGGGGGCAGAGCGGTCGACACGGCACCTCCATCGATTTTGACCTTGCTTGAGATCCAAGCCAATTGTCCCGAAGTGCTAGAGCAGATGGAAGTCTTTATTGATGGCGGCATTCGCCGTGGCACCGATGTGCTCAAGGCCATTTGTCTCGGGGCGAGCGCGGTCTGCTTAGGCCGACCATTCATGTACGCCGTCACCTATGGCCAAGCTGGGATGGAACGGGCATTGGAGATCTTGCAGGACGAACTTGAGACCGCCATGCAAATGGTGGGAATTACGCGGTTGGATCAGGCTCATCCTGGTCTCCTGAACACAGCTGACATTGATCGATACGTCATCCGAGGCGACACCCACCCATGGGCGAAGAAAGTCGTAAGAAGAGTGAAGTTGTAAATGCGCCAGCTGACGGACAGGTTGCGTCATTTCCACTGCATGTACATATCTCATGTCATTCTCACAATAACGAAATACTTCATCCACAGTATAGGAAATTCGTGAGCATCTCAGACCTCGGAAAATTGGACTCCGGCCCTGATGCTCAACCTGCAACCTCCAAGGTCTCGCGGACAATAAGAGTCAACGAATCTAGATCGCTAGAGCCCGGCTGGTCATAAGCCCAATGGCGCTTGGAAAGCTCCATGTCAAAGAGGCGGAGGACCCATCCCGCCAGGGTAGTGATGAGCTGGACGAACTTTCCTGTGTGAAATCCTCCATTGTCAGTTTCCCAATCTTGTTCGAAAATGACAAACGAACAGTTCAAATGCAAAATAAATGATATGTCACTGTTTAAGAACCCTGACTCTAGTCCCCGCTTTGTTCGTCCCTTGCGGTAGCCTTCTGGCTTGGTGTTATGAAACATGACTATCACAGACAGGCACCATGGGACTCACTGAACATAGCAAGGCACTCTTGTCACCGGCAGGACAAAGAATATACCTTCTCACCAGACCGAAACATGGCACCTTGACACCTGCTGCTGACGCTTCGGACTCCACGATATAAAAGGATGAAATTTCGCATATCCTAATAATTGCAAAGATTTCATGGTCGCTCATTATCTTTCCAGAAGAACTCAGCGCGACTCCAGCTGCAACACAAGTAAGGAGTATCCGTTCATTTCAAAGATTGTTGTCTATCCAGACTTGGAAGGGTTACATTCCTTCTAGTCACCTCATATGATATCCGAATGGTCATATACTACAGTCCCTTTCCCTATCATTCTGTCTACAGCCTCGCGTAACTTCAAGGTCTTCCCAAACCAAATCGAGCAAAAAGGTACCCAGACCTAATGTGCTTCATATTCGGCGCCATCGTACGAGATCAGTGCTCCCAGTGCGGCATCGCGATGATACCGAGCGGCAGATACTACCCAGCCATCACACTGTGCTCAAACGACACCACGGAACCATGTCCGCGAGGGCTGAAGATCATTCCGAACCTGAATCTGAAGATGATTCTGCCGGCGGGAAAGATGTGTGAGACATGTGAGCGGAATGTTCGAGCGGCACAGAATGAAGCTATCACGCGACATATTTCATGGAGCTTGAATGCGGGTGTCCCCCAACGATCTTCCGTGAATGGAAGGGGAGTTTCACATCGGAGGTCGTCAGTTCAGTCGAATGTGCCGGCGACATCGACGGCGACGGTTGCCACGCCGCAGCCACAGCCGCAGCCGCACATTCAGACCACGGGTCTGAATGGGGAGCATCAGAGGAAGAGACCGAGATCGTCACTGGTGCACGAGGAGCACAAATCTACAGGAGTGCAGGCACAGGGTCATGACGCAGGAGCACCGCTGGCTGTGAGCACAGAGCTGCCTGTGTCGGCAGACGAAATGATGATTGAGGAGAATCTTGACCTGAATGACATCTTTGATGCTGCACCGGTGCCGATGGAGTGGACTTCGCTTGACGAGCTCTTCGGGCTCGGCGAAAATCGAGGGTCGGGAGTCTGATTTAAGTAGACATGAAGGCCGAGAGCACTTGCTCGGTGGGTCGACGCATGCGTTACAGACATCCTTCAGGTAGAAAATGAAATCACAATCACTGGCCTTGCATTATAAGTATTCGTGGTCTCCATTCCCCTAGTAAAGTTTTCCGTTCCCGGCAATAACCCAATGCATATACCGACAGACTGGCAGTATTCACTCAGCGTGAAACTCTACATCTAGCGTAGCATTAACCTCGACTTGCTGGGGCTCAAAGTCAAGGCCGACACCAATGCCAAAACTGGCGGTCGAAGCCATTTTCCTCGCGGCCTGCATCACCCTCGCCTCACCGAACATATACTGGGTGTCTTCGATCTTGACGGGCGTGACGGTCCTCCGACCAATGACGTCCGCATAGCCCTGGGCACGACTGATGGCGTGGCGCAGCGCGACGAGCTTCGCTTGCTCCTCCAGGGCCGTCTGAGACTCTTCCGTCAGGAGCCACTCGATCCCCTGCAGGCTGACATGTGGCTCGCTCGCCCACTTCACCACGGCGTCGCCGAGCCCCTTGAAGTCGCGGAACCGCACGTCCAGGCTGCATGTGGCGCTGTACAGGCGCTTGCCGGTCTTGTTGTGGTCGTCGTCATACTCGTCGTCGTTGGACGTCGTCAGTGACCCGATCGAGTAGAAACTCACCGGTGCCTCGGTGGAGATGTCGCCGTTCTCCAGCCGTGGGCAGAGTGTTTGGTCCAGGTGGGTTTGGACCGCGTTGATGGCCTCGATGACGTTCTTGGACGCCTCTGTCTGGCTGTATTTAGATGATGAGACGGAGATATCGAGTTTGGCGCGCTCGGCGAGCTTGTGCAGTTTGGCTCGGCCTTGGATGTTGATGGATGTTGGTGCCATGTTTTGGTATTGTTGTGGATGAGGCGTTGCTTTCTGGGTAGTGGTTCAAGTTGTCGAGTTTCAATTCCTTTGGAGTTGACTACGAATCATGCGGCTCAATGCTTACCAGAGCGATGGGCGCACATTTATAAATGAATCAGGACTGCTGCCTGCCAATAAAGTGAGTCGGTGGCATAAGGTGGAAGCTGAAACAAGCCAGCAGTGGCTGAAATGCGTCGTATCCAACAAAGCTTGGCAGCGCCACATATTGAAGATATATATCTCATCCTAAAATAGACAGAGGCACGAAACAAATCCTCACAGCTTGCGAGAGCCAGCCATGTAGTCCTTCACGACGCTCTTCTGAACATTCAATCTATCCTCCGTAATCCAATAAGGCTGCGGAACACTCGTCTCGTGCAGCGAAGCGACATCGCCACGCACCAACGCCGCAACAGCCTCCGAACAGCCCAACACCCTTGGCATGCCATGACCCGTGAATCCCGCTGTGACAAACAGACCCGGCTTTCCAGGCATCTCGCCAACCCAAGGTAACAGATCGGCCGAATAGCCCATGACGCCGGTCCAGATGTCTGTGACGCGGGCGCCCGAGTCCTCCCATCCGTGGAACGTGCGCTGCATGTAGTTGTCGAAATACTTCTCCGCGCCGGGGACCAGACTCGAGTCGTCGGCGTTGTTGTGCCAGTAGGACTCTTGTTTGAGGACGGCTTGCTTGGCGCCGCCGACGATGATACTGCCGTCGGTGCGGGCGATCAGGTAGTCGTATTCGCCGAGCCCGTAGCGGATCGAGTATGAGTTGTTGAGATGGGGAGCTGGTTTGGCAGAGTCGGGCGGTATTGCGATCCGGCATGCGACGCCCTTCGCGGGGGTGATCTTGTCGGCGAGCTCGGGAAGGAGGTTGTAGCCGTTGGTCGCGACGATGACTTTCTTCGCGGTGATTTTGCCGCGCGGGGTTTCGAGGGTCCAGCGACCGTCGTCTGCATTTGAGACTGACAGGACGGGCGTGTATGTCTGCAGGTTCGCTCCTCGTTCTAAGCAGCGATGCAGGAGATGTGTAACTAGTTTGTAGGGCCACACTGACCCGGCCGTGGCCGAGAATGCGCCCAGCGCGCCCTTGACACCAGAGATCTGCTCGGCCTTCTTGGGGTCCTGGATGAAGTGTAAGTCGTCGGGAAACTGAAATCCTCGTGCTTTAAGGTCCGTGAAAGAGGCCACAGCCTCGTCCAGCCTGGCCTGCTCGAGGAACACATCGATGCCACGCGTCAATTCGAAGTCGCAATCGATCTTCTCCTTCTCCACAAGTCGCTTCACGCTGAAGATCTGGTCCACCTCGAATTTGGACAGCTGCTCTGCAACTTGGATACCATATAACCGCTCATTGACCGCAGCACCATAGTAGACGTCGGCCTTGAGATGTCCCCCATTCCGTCCAGTTGCTCCGGAACACGTATCGCGAGCCTCAAGGATGACCACTGATGGACGCTTGCTGTCATCCTTTTCGAGTAGATGATACGCGGCGGTGGCTCCTGAGTACCCTGAACCGACGATGACAACGTCGGCTTCGGAAGGTAGTTCTTCAGTGGTCCGATGCTTGGAGAGCGACGACCCTTCTGAAAGCCAGTATGGTGATGTTGGATTATCTTGGGGAAGATGCATCTTTGCACAGTCTGGAACCAGGCTCGAGGGTCCAAGCAATGGCAAAAGTCGTCAGATTCAAAGGGGCGTATTATAGGCGTGTGAATCGAGAACCTGGAGGAATTGTTATCCACGTCCTTTCCGAGTCTCCCGCCTTACGCTTGGGAGAATGCAAGAACATGATGACCATATCACAAGGTGTTGATAGAGGTACCTTTTTGTATTTCACTCGAAGCGGGCTTATCCGCCACAATTGAACTTGATTTGAGTCCACGCTCCAGACATGGTGGTTGAGCAGCATCCCAGAGGTCCCGAGCCGCCACCATCACCAACCGGGCCGGTGGTGGTGACATATCTGGGGGCAGATCTAGCCTGCCTCACGTAGCCACATACATAACAGTCCCTCTCTCGTGCTCTGGGTTAGTTGTAAGTCGTCACGTGGTATTTAGCCCGGTCGGAGTGTTGAGGGTAAGTTGGCCAGAGAACCTTAATAAGTCATATATTCATATCTCATCATCTCATCTATAACACGCGAACCTGCCAGCTACGCAGATCATCCCGCAGATCAAACTCGGTAAGTTCACTATACTCGGTACGTTCTCTTCGCCTCGAATGTTGATGATCATGCTGGCTGGCATGAATTTGCTGCTCAATGCTCGACCTGCCACTGACTGTGCCCATTGGAGTACTGGCCATGCCACCAGGATGTCCATTAGGATTTCCACCGTCAGCGCTTCCACCTCTCCGGTGCCCGTGGTGCTGCGCCATCTGCGGCGTAAGATGTTGGCCTCGTGGTGTCACTGGCCGTCTGATGTCGTCGCTGGAGCTGGACCCCATGCTCTCCTCACGCGGACTCAAGCGTCCTGTATGATGTGCAGGCTTCGTGGGACTTTTCATCTTCCCACCATCTCCGCCACTGAATAGATCTTCGATCAGCTTGTCGGGTGCAAGCTCGCCTGATTGGCAGGCCCACGTCGCCGCAAGTGTTCGCCTGTAAATATCCTGTGCTTCTGAGAGCTCTCTCGTTTTACTCGTAATGCTGGGGATGTCGTCTCCCTCGCCCACCTCTGTGGACAGGACGCCGGCAATTCCACCAATGACCATGGCAGATTTGAGCGGCGGCGCGATGAAGTTGGCATCCCCTTCGGTCTGCTTCATTCGGATGCCGATCTTGAGTGTACTGTTCACCTTACTGTCCTGCAGGAGATATCGTCTCGTGATGCCACCATCGTCACTCTCGTCCTGGGGATCTCTCTCTGTCGCGGCTTCCGGGAGGTGCGCGTACTCGGCCAGATTTAACTTGACATTCCCCAAGTGTACTCTTCCACCTCTTCCACCCTCGTTGTATTCCTGTAGAACTTCGAAGTGGATGTCGCATTCCTGGAGCATCTGAGTCTTATCGATAGTGAGTCGCACGGGAATTTCCTTGAGGTAGTCCCATGTCGCTCTATGTTCGAGTATGTATGCCTTGTCCGTGCGTCCGCGATGTTCGGCGGCGTTCGAACTGGAGAGGTGCCATCGGACTGTCGCAGTGCCCGAGATCAAGGGGATATTGGTCAGGTCAATGATGCGTAGGGTGAGGTCGAATTTGGGCTGTGAGAGGCGTTGTTCAGGTTAGCACAGGATCCAGGGCTGCGGAATCGATCGAAGTGGGTAGCATGTACCTTGCGGTTCTTGGGGACTGTAAACGCGAGGTTGTTCAGCGCCTGCTTTCGCAGCATAGTATAACTTGACATTGTGGTTTCGCGGTGGGGAGGGGTGCAGGCATTGTTTACAGCAATGAGGTTTCTCGTAGGTGGGAAGAGTGAGAGGAAAAGACGCGATAAGCACTGATGATGGAGAGGAAATACGAGAGCACTTACCAAAAGCCTGCATTGTGACGGGCAGGACCAGTCACTGTCAGCGCAATCAATGTCACCGTGCGGGAACAAAGAACTCAGGCCGCATGTGCTCTGCAATCGGACTTTGAACTCCACGCCCCTCTGACCCGCAAATGTTTCGTCAGTTGGTCAAACAGAGTCAGATTGCGTGGCCGGGGGGAAGATAGATTGGCCGCGGATATCAAACAGATGCAGTGGGCATGGTGGATGAAGACAAAGTTTCAAACGGGGTGCGTCGGCGGAGGAATGTCACTCGATGAATCCATCTGACTGCGGAGTGTAGTACTCGTAACTATCTCCATCTCGGTGCGGAGGACGGGCTTGACAATGATCCGGCCGAGCTTATCGCCAATTATTAGTCATCCAATATCAACATCTTTCTCCACTGAAACCATCAAGTTAGCTTTGGTAGCTTTTGATATTGTCTATCAACGGATGTATATATACAGAGTCAAGGGGAGGTGTACGTCCCGTGTCACCCACTCAGCTATAGCGCGCTGTTTGGAAACGCCCCAGAAGAAAAGCATTCTACCCAGTCTAAAATATTCACATCGAATGTAACCCAATCGCCACAAAATCTCCTCGACCGATTAGAATTTGTGGACGTCTTCCTTGCTGTATCCTAGTTCACCCAAGATGCCACCAATGCTACCTTGCGTCCAGCCAAAGCCACCCTTGGCTCCAGCGACAGCTTCAACCATGGGAGGGGGGCCAGAGACAAGGACCTTAGTGTTGGCCTCCTTCAATTTGTGCGGCATGACCTTGGCCAGCATTTCCTTGGAGACGTAGCCTTGTTGAACCTGGCCATCGGTGCTTGAGCTGAGTTTGCTGACTGTGTAGAGTCTCTGAAATCGGTCCGGGTATTGCTGGGCGAGCTCATCGAATTCCTTTCGAAGGAGGATGTCCTCTTCGGTATTATTGGCATAGACCAGTGCAAGCTTGGTCTTGTCGGCAGGGTTGTTGAGAATGGATCTGGTCAGTTGGTAAAGTGGGGTGATACCTGAACCTCCAGCGATGAGTGTGATGTGAGAGAATTGGTTTGGCTTGTAGTCGAATTCATGTAAAGGCTTGAACTTCATCGAATCACCAGGCTTCAAAGAATGCATCTTGCCTGAGCCTTTGCCATTGGGATACTTCTTCACCATGAAAGTTACAGTTCCCGCCAGATCTTAGGAGCGAGGTCAGATACTGGCTAACCCACGTCGGAATTGCAACTCACCATTGTCACTCACTGGAGTGTAAGGTCGGAATACCGGAATGAAAGCACCTTCAGGTGTATGTCTTGTCAACAGTGATGCTAGTCTCAGGTTAGCGAGGTTGAAATTCAAGACACCCGAGGATATTCGAACTTACTGATTGGTGAGAGTCCCGTGATCGATTGATCATCAGGCAGAGCAAAGGTCAGCCGTTTGACATTGTGGTTGACCATCTCAGCCTGGACGAGCTTAAGCTCGGTGAATCCCTTCCAATCCATCTTCTTCAAAGCGGCTGTCGAATCGGAAGGAAGAGATTCGGCGTGGGCGGTGTTGAAATAGAAATGCGTGGTATTCCAATATCGATAGCCGGTGTACGCCAGGCCAGCTCCTAGTGCTGTGGCACTCACCACCTTGGCTGTCGGACGGAAATATGCAGACATTTTGTTGAGTGGTGATTCAAAAGCCCGGAAATAGGCGATTTTTTCCTTGTAGAGGTGAAATTGATGTTATGTTGAGCTCTATCGCTGATGATCAACTCGTCCGGACCCCTGAAATTTGTTGGGCAGAAAAAGGCTCCTACGCGTGAAGTACAACGCTAAAACGATCTAAAACGCACGAAACAGCCGTATTATAATGATCTTGAGGTTGATTGTGAATCGATTAAAAACCTTCTAAGAGAGAGCAGGTACACAAATGTGATGGCGATGATTTTTTAATATGGAGATGTTTGGAAAAAACAATCAGCTCCTGGAGATATCGGGGGCCGGTTTCGAACAGCACCGTGCCTAAACCCTGAGCTCACCGCGTAGACTGGCCGCCCTAAGGGCAAGCTGGAACCCGCACTAAAGGATCTCGGACCCGAGGAAAGCGGATCTTGGACTTTGGCGAGTCAACCACAGCGCCCAACTCGAAAACAAGCTTTGTCTAAAAATAAAGCCACCGGAGTCTCATTTTTCCTTTTCACCGATCATCCTCACCGTCTGAGCGACTTGAATGGGAGGACTGTGCAAGGCTGATTCCCAAAGATTATCAGCCTCTTCATAGTGGTTCCTTGCCCTGTGGAGAACATCAAGTCGGAGTAAAGAGCATGATTGATAAATCAAGCAATTGAACGTACAATATTATGTTGCTGGAACGACACCCAGGGCTCCAATCCTTGGCGGAATGTGTATTTGACGAACAAAGACATGAGTCCTTGGAAATCCATTGTTGGGGGCTTTCAAACATCTCTCACTTTTGTGTGTCCAGAAGAGATGCAGCAAGTGCATTTACTTGTTACTGACGAACAGTCCCAGGTTGCTCAAACTCTAACGACGGCCTCCTGAGTCCTATCTTCGACACGTGTTCATGGATAAGAAACCCATGTGACACGAGGTAAGAGTACTTGATGTACTCGGGACAACGCCATCTCCAATTGCGGAGAGTGTCTCGCGTGATGGAATGTTCGAGGGACTCCAAATAGCCTTGTACACGGTAGGAAACTCTGAGGTGAGACCAATCCCAAGTACCTCGTACTTGATGCGAGAACCTGTAAGACGATCTTACAAGACGTTTGCTGGTCAGCAAAAGGACCCTTATCGATACGACATGGCTTCCTTATCGATTGTGGGCAACGATTGCCCGGAGATCTGCACTCCCGGCCCCTGGGAATGAAAAATAACACCCAACAATCCCTGGGAACGTCAGGTCATCCAAGTACGTCTGAGGGAAGGAATATCAACTAAATGATTTACATACTAGTACCTAGGATGACTCTATTCGGAGTAAGCGAAGCCGAACATGCACAGAAGTACCTCCAAACCAGGGTTAACCAGGTGGACGGTAATCGGTAGGTGCTGATCACATGGCATTGCCAGCATGGCAGGGTCCAAGTTGGAGTCGGCTCTCACCGGATCACTTGGCAAGTGAAGGTCATCGTGGCTGATCCAGGGACCCCAAAAAAAGACAGCCACTGCAGCTGCAGTGCACAGCCACGGGACATTGATCTTTTGGGTGACTCTTTGCCTGCAGGGTATATCGCTTCCTCCGAACCCTGTTAGAGTCATGATTTTCGAGTCTGCCCGATGCCTTGGTTGAGGGACTGTCCTTGCGTGTCACCTGCCTTCATCACGTTCTGGTTTGTTTCGTGGCATGGCAGATGAGACATGCAGCATCTGAATCCACGAATGCAGGATCTTGTCGGCGTCTACTGCGACAATTTGTATCTGCCTTCTACAGCCCCAAAGTTTTTCCATGGGGGCACAACTGTCCCACATCACATGATGCGAGGGCAACTCGTACACTCCTCCTGGCCTTTGACCAATGATCTCACGCCGCAGGGATCTCACGAGAAGATGCCATGCTAGCGTCCAGCAGGTCTATCCAATCCATTTGCAGAAGTGCCTTCCGAACAACATCACATCAGCTGCATCCCGCCAGCTAACTCGGGCGGATTTCCAACATTTGGAAACAACGACCAACAATTGGCCATGCTCCGTATGCCATCTACCAGTCATCAAGCCGGCCATTTCGAGCGAGATAACTTTGCTCAATTCTGTGCCTTTTTCAAAGGGCTTGTTGCTGTTTGGGAGATCGAGACCCTGGGATGAGAACCTTTTCCCATCATTCTGAAACGTGGGAGTCGTAACCGTTGACTTGGAACTGCAAATCGCAACCGTGAGGCTGGCTGCCCTTGATATCTTTTGAGACGCCCGACCACCTTGATGGATTGTTGAGAGGATTCAGAAGTTTCTACGACGGCTGATCGCGCCAACAGGACTTTGCATGGCGAGGGCTCCCTTTGTGGCCTCTGACAGTAGCAGAGTCTCCTACGTCCCCTACATGTTGTCATGGTTTCAGCAAATCTGGAGGCCTCGTAGATCCCCGAGGACATGGCCATCTATGCTGGTTGATTCGAGTGATCACTAAGATTGAGGACGCCTTGGAGATCATCTAGAACGGTGGAGCTAATGTCCCGTGCATTTACGACGACGACAGGAAACGTGGATTGTGCAAGTGTAATTGTCCAAATCGGACAATTTCATTCTTTCTGGAATGGCAAACCACTCCATGCCAGGTTACGATTGCTCTCGGGGCCATCCGTCTTTAACGGGCAGCCATGGGCATGGGGGAGATATCCAGGCGTACGGCGCACGGCGCAAATGATCCACACGCCACCAACGAGGACGAGGTCAAGCGGGAAAGAAGACGCGGTGGTGGATATTACTTTCTGGCATCAATTTCGGCCATGACGAAGTTTTGATCAGTGTTGATATTGAGATAGATTGCATTTACGCTTAATTGAGTCATGGTGATTTCCAAAAGCACGGCTTTTGCAGCAAAAGACCACCAGTAATCTGTCAGGAAGACCAGTCACCAAACGGGAAGGGAGATATGGGTACATGAGAAGAAAAAGTTGCTGATCGTGCATATGCAGCTAAAAGAAAGAAGCCGTGTAGCCTGAGGGCGGACGATTGTTTTCATGGGCCTGGTCCAGCTGTGGAAAGCTCGTCATGGTCAAGGCGAAGAGTAGAAAATAGGCTGAGCTGGGGACAAGAAGGAAGGGCATGACAAGACCAGCCCGAGATCCAATGAGAATTCAACCAGGGCAAAGCAAGTGGACTTTTGACCTGAAGCAAGACTCGCAAACTGGTCGGACGTGCAGTAGTGTTACTGCAGGTTGCAGCGTTGCTGCCAGTGTATTCTCATTGTGCCAGTCTTGTGCGTGGCCATCACTAACGACTTACAGGTGCAGTGGAGTACGAGGTGCAAGTTTGAGGGGACCGGGGGGTCCAGTTAGGCGTGGTGGAGTCGTCTTTTAGGCTTACGAGTAGGGCCCAGGGAAGAAAAACCCTCGTGCGGTACTGGGCACTGAGGGATGATGACGGCTGCTCTCGGCCTCGCCTTGCCTGCCCTTTGCCTCCGCCTCTCTGTTTCTCGCATTTCGCCGCTTGTGCCTCTCTGACTCTCTCTGGATTCCCACTTTCTTGTTCTTGTCCTCTTTGCCATTGCATGTCGTTCGATCCCAGAATCCACTTCTCAACTCCCACGACTTTTTGAGAGTCCCTTTCAGGTAATCCACCCTCCCCCCATCCCATCCAACGACATGTCTTCTGCTGCGCCTGGGCCGTCCAGGTCCCAACTTTAGCTCACTGCACATCAACCTATCACTCGTCCTCATGACTACTTCTCCCTTCCATCTGATATAAGGTACGGCTCTCTCCTCCTTCTGTTCTTGCCCTTTTGGTCATCCCCGCCTTACCACCCTCAACTTCCCTCTCCCTCCATCCCAACACCTCATTTCCGTCCCTTCCTTCTATACTCAAAGGCGCGCAAACTACTTCCCTCGTTGGGACCGCCGAACACCTCGACTGCTCTTTATACATCCTGTGACCCCTGCCCTTTCTTCTCATTCTTTCTATTCACCACCCAAAGTGAGACCCCAGTACACAGAGGGTTCAAGAAATCGCAAAAATCATCAAAACTCATAATGCCGACGATATTATTACCCGCCTCTGCTGCGGCCTTTGCGCCGCGGTCGACTTGCAATGTCGTGCTGAACAGCAAAGTCGAGCCCTGGTTAACCGCTACCCTGAAGAGAATCAACAAGATCAAGCGACCTCTCAATAGTGTGCCTCAACATACCCGGTGTCTGACCGAGACACTTTCATCTACGAACGCCATTTGGTCATTATGTTCGTTAATGTTGCCCAAGGCTCCCGAGACCGAACTACGAAAGGATTCCAACCCCTTGGTTGAGGCATTGTTCAACTACCAACTGGTCCACATTGAAGCATATGTTGTCCACATCGACATGGTTTCGCAGAACGAGGTCGCCTTCAAGTTGACGACAGACACTATTGACTCGCTGGTCGAGTATCATAAAGAAGTCTTTTCCGTCGACACCGCTGCCAAGACCTGGACCTGGTCCGAGAAGGAACAACAGTTGAAGAAATTACAGGAGGAGTTTGTGCAAGCCGCCAACAAGTTTGTCTATCGGACGGGTGCTTTGGCATTGGAAGGTATGGAAGAAGATGGCGCAGGTGAACTTCTTTGTGGCAGAAGCGATGAAGTTCGCCAGGCCATTATGGGACTCTATGTCCCTCTTCTACCACCGCCTCCCAGAATTGTCGATGTCATCCGACCCACTCCTCTCCTACCCAGCTCAACTGGAGCCGAGCATTGGTGGCCATCGCAGCATCTCCAAGCCATTCAACCGGCACCGGTAGAATCTTGGAAGATCATCCCTTCAAGTCCCAGTCCGGTCTCGTCCTGTGACTCACATCAGAACATTTGGACGAGTGTGGGCATGAACGAAGTACAACTGCCATCACCTACACCTTCCTTCAGCCAACCTTTCTCTTCAGCGGCCTACAGCGCTCCTCAGTACTACAGCGCGCCTGCCTATAGTGCACCAGCTTATAGCTCACCGGCTTACAGCTCGCCAGCCTACAGCAGCTCACCAGCATATAGCGCCTCGGTAACGACATCTTCATATCCAGCTCTTCCTCTACCGAGCATGTTGGCTCAACAACCTTGCAGTACGTCTGCAAGCCTAAGTACATTCGGCTGGGATCGATACCAGGAATATACGATGCCTTATGCCACCGCCATGTAATGAACCAGAGCTGACCTTGATCGACGTCCGACTTGCAATATATTGAGCGACCAATTAATATTTTGACATGGGTCGCACCAGAGCCCATTAAGACTACAGCAGTCCGCGCGGTATCTAAATCATCAGCATTGGCATCCGGAGTTTTTTTGATTGACATTTAGCGATACAAGGATACCACTCTGCATTGATAAGGGATTTGGGATTTGAGGATAATACGGAACACAGGATTGATTTTCAGCAAGCGATTGATTTTGAATATTTCCTATGTGTTTGATGCTTACATGCATACATCAGCGGCTGGTCGGCTGGGTTAGTGATACACGATATCCCTGGGTTGAATACGGTCCCGCATCTTTACAAGAAGGATCAGCCTCACGGCAGGTTTGGGGATACACGCGCCAGGATTTCTTTTGCGTCGCCGTGGTGGGTGTTGGTTGGGGTTCATATGAGGCAAGTCCTCGTTGGACCTTGATCAGCCACTTGTTCCTCTCTGTCCTAGTCATTCACTGGTTGGTGATAGGCAGATTCGAACAACGGCAGGGTGGCACCTTATCACATCTGGTATGTGGTCAGTGCTGCCTGGTCACAGTGCCTCTGCTCAACAATCGATACGACTCATGTTGTTCTGCCTGTCTACGTCTGTGGCGTGGATATGACCACTCAATGCCTGCGGCATCTGGGAGGAGGTCACTTGAGGCGTATGATTGATGATCACGATGGCCTGAGGCCTATAGGGTCATCTCCTATATCTTCGACCTGGAGTCGAAGTAACCAAATCCACTGGGTGGAAATGGCATCGGATGCTGGATCTGAAGCAACAAATGCTTCTTTTACATAAAGATAATCTCCAAACAAAAGTGAACCATATTTTTCAACCTTGAACTGTGTATTTCCGCTCTTCCTCCACTTTTCATAACGTTTACTTTGTGCCTGTTTCCCTTTCTGTTGTTGGGCCCCAGTATTTTCATCTCCGGCACAATTCTGATTGTGCGCACGTGAGAGATGATGAGAGTATCTTCGGCTCCGGAATAAGTATGAACCGTCTTTATGACGTAAGTTCCATTCCATGCGAGCCGCCAGTCGGCCTCGGCCGGCCATGGAACGCTTTGTGCCCACTTGCTGCTACTTGACCTGCCGTGATGCAGATGTACCATGCTCACTCATCATCAGGTGTTCTGTTCTCAGCACTTGCATCCCCCCAAAGGTAGAAAACGACACGAACTGCCTACAGAGATCTATCCGGATTCCCACGATCTTCTTCTTGAGTCGGCCCTACCAGCCCATGCAGCTTCCTGCCCATCGAGCCAGAGACACCGGGCGGGTCCCGCAGTGTCGGCCAGCTTTATCGTAACCGCTACAACCCCCGTTTCGCCCTGACCATGTTGGATCTCTGACGTGCTGCTTCACCTGAACCGGTCCTTGGCTTCAAAACCCATTCATTCCAGACTTCGGCCCCTCCTCGTGCACCAGGACATCAATCCAAGATGGCCACCATCCATTCTCACCTCAAGTATCTCTCGCCTATCAGTTTCTCCGAAGTGCCACAGCAGAAAGAAGAATTAGATCCCTACCTCGCGGAGCTATTCGCTCATGTTCAGTCTGTAGTTGAATCCATACCTATCCCAGATCCAGATCCTGCACTTTCCAAGCGACTCGAACATGGAAGCAAATACCAGGCATCTAGTGCTGCCGAGATGTCCGTGTCTAGTGCTCGGAGTCCTCCCCCATCGGCCGAAGATGCTGCACTGCAGAAAGAGTGGGGAAAGCCCATCAAGTTATCTGCGAAAGAAAATCCCATGAACGTTGCGGTTTATAAACTTGGAGGCAAGGATGGAAAGGGTGCGTGGTTTGCTCGCCGAAGTGTCCATGAGGGGCTAGGTTTCTCGCGCTTCAAGAAAGGGTTCGAAAGAGAATTTCCTACATCCCTGGCCGTACAAGGAGCACCCGGTGAAGGGAACATCCGAGGTATTGGCGCTGAGACAAAGGTTGAAGAAATTACGGTCCCGAATCGGGGAAAAGTCGAGGTATATCGTCTAAGTGCTCAATTTCCAGGACCAACCACTCCCAGAGATTTTGTTACTCTCCTTGTGACGTCGAGCAGGGCCATCAAACCCCACGGAGATGCCCACAAAACTCCCGACTTGGTGCCTCGACACTATATGATTATATCTAAGCCTTGCGACCACCCTGATACTCAACCCCGATCTGGCTTCATTCGTGGACAATATGAGTCAGTAGAATTCATTCGTGAAATTCCACGAAGGTTGAAGACAACTACCTCATCTACAGACCTGACCAGACTGGCCCATAATCGACCAGTGTCACCTTCACTCGAAAAGGAAGTACTGAAACATAATGCGGCGAAGCATGAGGTCTCCTTCGATAAACTTCCTCATGATGATCAGCGAGATAATAAACACCTCAAGGTCGATACGTCGAGTTCCTCACTCAGAGAACTGTCTCCCGCAAGTCGGAAACGCAGCGCAACAGTTGGGATTCCTTCGACTCCTGTTTTGGGTGGAGAACCAGCGGATCATTATGATCCAGAGGACAATCCCGTTGAGTGGATAATGGTAACGCGAAGTGATCCTGGCGGCAGCGTTCCTCGCTTTATGGTAGAAAGAGGCACACCTGGTAGCATTACTGCTGATGCCATGAAGTTCCTAGACTGGGCATGTCAACGTGAAGATGATGATGACCCGGTAACATCACCTCAACCAAGGCCTGGTGGCAATAACCGACGTGAGAGCTTTGCGAGCTGGGAAGCTAATGGCACGTTAGCTGGTATCCGTGAGCAGGAGGAAAGCCTCTCCTCAGCTGTTGAAGATCAATCAGCACCATCGACTCCCAAGGCAAGCGAACATGGGGTTGAACCTTTCCCGAGCCTGTCAAGTGATGGTCAAGACCCTACTTCTAGTGGAGCGCCGTCTTCTCCGTCCTCTTCCACTGGAATCATTGCCGCTTTGTCAAATACCATCAACTCATATACTCCCCAGGTCGTTCGCGATAATATGCCTCATTTTCAGAACCTGACGCCGAGGGGCAGCCCTGGACTTACCCCCAGGAAGGATACAGGAGTAACTACAGTGTCGAACTTGTCAATCAATTCGCGAAGCCAAGCCGATGACGACGATGATGCCTCATCAACTATTTCGAGCACTTCCTATGCTTCAGCTGACTCACACATTATCTCTGATGAATCACCATCAGTTTCATCAAAATCACTGCAGGAAAAAAACAGTGAAAGTCAAATACTTTCTCAGCACAACAAAGAGATGGCCAAGCTGGCGGATCAGAAAGCGTCAATGGATGCAAAATTCGCTCAACAACGAGAGAAGATTTCTAGCCAAGCATACAAAGATACCGAAAAGGAGCAGCAAGCCTTGAGAAAGGCCGAAGAAAAGCATGAACGAGAAATAAAAAAGCACGAAGAGAAATACAAGAAGGAACTCCTTCGACTTGAAGCAAAGAAGAAAAAGGAAGCCCAAAAGCTAGATGAAAAAAAGCGTAAGCAGCAGGATAAGGATGAAAAAGGTCGACTCACAAGAGAGCGTGATGAAGCGCGTGCACAGCTTGATCTCCTGAAAAAGGAGAATGATCTCTTCCAACGACAGATTGGAGAGCTCCAGAAAGAGAATACAGCGCTCACGGCTCGGTTGGGGAGGCTAGAAGGCACGAGCCTGTCGCTTGATAGCCCTGCTAGTGGAACCAACCGGTTTAGAGCCATCACACTAGCTTCTGATGGTCGGAATAGGAGCTCAAGTCTGCTAAGTCGCAAAAAGAACAACGTTAAGTCGGAAGATGGAGGTAGTGAAGGATCCTGAGGTGATCGCTACGCACCCCACAAATTCTGAATGAAGACGACTCCGAGCACATTCTCGAAACACAACGTACTCGCAAGTTTGGGATACTTTGGTCTGGGGATTTGGAATGACTAGAGTTTGTATATATGCAGTTTACTCGAAAATCCTGTCAGGTGTCTTCAGTTCTTCCCATCATTACGAGTCCAAGCATGACTCACTTGACCTTTGAGTGTGGGTCAAGACGTTTTGTCCTTCCCGTGCAGTCGTTCAACAAGAGGTTGATGCTCAGTTTATCTCTTTACACTAGATGTCATCTCAGATAATCATCCTTCAAAACAGGTTTGACAAACTCGGACATATCACATAATGCACAGGGTCAGTCCTTCCTGATTGCTAACCCCGTCAGGACTAACTGCCTCGACATCAAGGCACTTTTACACTTCATGATTCCTCCAGTTGTCGCCCGCATGCGATTCCATATCATGTCTCGTGGAGAAACAACATCAGCAATGTTGATGCGTAGCATGATGAATCCGTGGAGATATAGCATCTTCGCCCAGACGACTGCTCGCAATTTCGACCGAAGGTTCCGGGAGGACTACCACTCATCCGGCTCAAGCACTTCTGCAACAGCGTCAAGGAAATGCAGGAACGGTAACCGTTACCGATCAAGGCGTGAGTATTCGTTCAAATAAATTCCAGAGGCTATGCTGATAGGATTGTATACAATAGTTACATATCTGGGCGTCTTTAGTTCTCTCAGGCCTGCCTAACTATAAAGCCCATCGTGGTAGTTAGACGAGGGGCTTAGCACAACCACGACTGACAACTTGGGGCCATCCTCGATTAGGACAAAGTCGAGTTGAACACCTTCTGCGCCCAGGACGACTGATTCCAAATTTGAGATAAGCTACGCCAAGCTTGAAGAAGATGTGAAATGTTCAACGACAAGCTATAACGATGCTAGGCTATCTTTCATTTAGCTTGGATCCGGTTCGGGCAGTTTATCATGAATCGAACAAAACGACCAGCCCAAGGGTTCTCTAAGCGAATAAGCGAGTACTCGGTATTGGTGTTCCCAGAGCTCCGAATTTATTCACTATCTATCTGCCGAAAACGAAACACATACTGCTGCCCCGCCCCAGAGTCACATCCACTCTTCATAGTCGGTATATCGATATTCCTCGCTCACAATAATGTTCAGGCACCCATTGGCGGATCACACGTCGCATTTCGCTTAAGAGAAGATACTACGATTGCTTTTCACATTCAAACGGGTATGGTTAGACATGCTAGCGTTCGCTAATGGTCATGCCGCCAGGGCAAGAATAAAGATTTTGAAATGACATTGGAACCTTCAACTCTAAGGTGGCCTTCGGTTCAAGCATGAAGAGAAGTCGACTCATCCGCACACCAAACCAATGCTGCTTGGAGCGACTGAGTGTCCTCCGAAGGGAAGACAACGGTCGTATGGCGTGAGTATTGCTATCTGCGACGAGATGCCATGTCCTCTTATCTATTGCCCTGTCATGCGACCGCTGGAACTCAGTCGAGTTGGTACAAGGCTGTTGATGCTAGAGGATACGAATCCAATCCGGTGGTGTGTCAAGCAAGACTAGCCGCCAAAACTAGCATTCTTTTTTACCCTGGTCAAGGCAAATCCCGTCTTCCGATAGCGATATCTCCACCCCCTTGGACATTCGTTTGAGTATCTGATTAGTCGTTGCTTCTATTTGATACCAAACTACGGAGACTGGCGCGGCGGACATGGGTTCTGGCCAGGGGCCTCGATTCTGCAGAAAGTGGATGCCTCGTTAGGAGCTATATCCCCCGCGTTATCAATCGAAAGTCTTATCAGCAGGCGGCGTCAATGCACTCACTGGCGCCGGAACTATATGATCTCTTTAATTTTTCGAATAGGCAGCTCCTTTCTCACTCCAACAAACAACCTTTTATTTCCCGCTCATTGGGGGTTCCAACTCACATTAATCACTGATCGAAGTAAATATGGCAGTACCCGAGGAAGCACCAAGTGAGAAAGTGGCAGCGACAGCAGCACTTGAGCAAAGCGTCTCAACAAGCAAAGAGCTGCAGAACAAGGCACAACTCGCCACGGAACACGAGAAATCACTCGGGTTTCTCCAGGCTCTTCGACTTTATCCCACCGCAGCAGGCTGGTCTGTGTACTTCTCACTGGGGATTCTGATGGCAGCGTTTGACCCGCAAATTGTGGGGAATCTGTTTGCTACAGGTGCCTTTCAGAAGGACTTTGGATATCAATTCGAAGATGGATACATCATCTCGGCACCGTGGCAGACAGGTCTCATGATGGGGAGTCCTATTGGACAGGTCGTTGGTGCTTTGTTCGCTGGGTCAGTTCTACTGCTTCAGGTTGAAGGGACCTCCGCTCCGACGACAGTTGCTGACTCTTTCTTGAACACCCAGCTATCCTATGGATTGGTACGGACGAAAGAAAACATTCATGGCGTGTGTATTTGCCACCACCGGCCTGATCTTCCTACAATTCTTCGCTCGATCGCTATCCGTGCTCTTGGCGGGAGAATTGCTCGGCGGTCTAGTCCTAGGATGCTACGTCGTCATCGCACCAGCATATGCGTCTGAAGTATGTCCCGTAGCCATGAGAGGTATCCTCACCGCATTCGTCAACCTCTGCTTCGTCACTGGCCAATTGATTGCCAATGGCGTGGCAGCCGGAACGCAGAAGATCGACAACCACTGGGCATATTCAACCCCTTTTGCTATCCAGTGGCTGTGGCCGCTCTTCATCTTTGTTGGCATGCCATTCGCTCCTGAATCGCCCTGGTGGCTGGCACGAAAAGGCGACTACGAGGGTGCGGAAAAAGCGTTGCGTAAGCTTTCCTCCTCCAAGATCGATGTCAAGTCGACGCTGGCCATGATTATCGAGACCGATCGGCTTGAGCGTGCAATGGAGGCGGGAAGCACGTACTGGGATTGTTTCAAGAAAATCAACAGGCGCAGAACTGAGATCGCGTGTGGAGTCTACTCTATCCAGGTGCTGAGTGGGATTTATATGGTGGGATACGCGACCTATTTCTTCCAGTGTAAGACAAAAGACCGCTTTCATTTCCCCATTATCAATACTGTTCTGTTTTTCCACGCAGTCCACTGACCGTCACAGTGGCCGGTCTGGCTGGGGATAAAGCTTTCAACATGGGCATCGGATATCTAGCTCTCGGATGGGTCGGGACGGTTTCATCATGGTTCCTGCTCGTGAGGTATGGACGTCGACGAATCTATAACACAGGCTTGGCTATTCTGGCGACCATCATGATCATCGTGGGCATCTTAGATTGTGCACCGAACTACATCAACCGTCCTGCTATCATCTGGGCGCAATCATCCTTGATGGTAAGTCCCTTCCTTTTATGACTGTGACGCCAGACCTCCTACATCCTTCTCCACTCCCAATTCACTCGAGGATTAACCTGACCCTCCACATCCAGATCCTGTGGAATTTCTTCTTCGACATCTCCATCGGGCCCGTCGCTTACGTGCTCTTCTGCGAAGTGTCGGCGACGCGCGTGCGCAGCCGCACCATCGCCTTCGCGACCGCCGTCCAAGCGACCGTCGGCGTCGTGATGACCGTCGCGATCCCCTACATGATCAATCCAGACCAAGCGAACATGCGCGGCAAACTGGGCTTTTTCTTCGGCGGCATCTCCTTCATCTGCCTGATCTGGGCATACTTCCGGATTCCCGAGACCAAAGGGAGAACCTTCGAGGAGCTGGATATCATGTTTGAGCGTGAGGTGCCCACCAGGGAGTTTAAGGGCTATGTCGTTGATTTGAATGATTCTGTGAGGGATATGAGGGACCTTTGATTTGGGAGGGGTGGGAGGGGATGGTCGTATGTTCGATTGTCTGAAGAGTCGGTTTTGGAGTGCTGTTCATAAGGTTTTGTCTTCGGCTAGAGAGCGACTTTGTACCGCAGCCTTGTGTCGGCTCATCCTTGGAGACGGTCATTCCTCCGCGTAGCTTTTGGTATTAGGGGTTAGGGGGTCGCTGGGGAAGTGTGCCATGAACCGCCCATGCTATGGTAGCTGACTCTCAAGCTAAGGAATGTAGTCCAGCGTTCAGGCTATCATAACTCAGTGGGAGTCAGTATCACTAGAATCAAGACGATACCATTCTCGAAAATGAACAATGCCAGACAACCAGTTACAAAGTTCACTTTCTGCCCGTGTAGTGGGTCAACGCCCCTATGTAACCATCATTTTTCCCACCACCCCAAACTCTGATTGTCTCTTTTTTTCGACATCTAAAAACATATGTTCATATACTATTCAAGTAGTACCATCACCATCACCAACACCTCCAACCACGCTTTTCCAAACAACAGCACCTCGGAAATTCTTACTTCAAACCCCCCACAAATACCATGACAACGACAACAATGGAAAGTCTGTTCCCCAACACGCTGATCTCCGAGGCGGTCCGCTCGTCCTTCCCAGCAGGCTACGTAGTGCGGTCTCTGGAGCGCAACGATTTCGCAAAGGGTTATCTCGACTGTCTGCGCGTGCTGACGTGGGTGGGCGATCTCTCCGAGCAGATGTTCCATGAACGCTATGATGAGATGAAGGCTGTGAATGAGGCGTTGGGGACGGGGAAAGCCAGCGGGACGTATTTCTTGGTGGTTATTGAGTTCGAAGGGAAGATCGTCGGGAACGGGAGCCTGATTGTGGAGAGGAAGTTGTGAGTTTTATCCTTTTTCTGATTGATTGATTGCTCTGGTGGGTTTGTGGTGCTTGGGGTTTCTTGTACGGGTGATAATGACGCTGGCCGTGGGCTTGCACTCATGAAGGAGGCTACATGGCTGTTGGCAATACTTGCATGTACATCTGACACTCACGAAGGAGATACAAATGGGTTTAAAACTCGGAAGCTAATATCTTCGACCGGCAGCATCCACGACCGCGGACTCTGCGGGCACATTGAGGAAGTGTCGATCGCAAAGGAACAGCAAGGCAAGCACTTTGGGCAGAAGATGTTGGCGGCTCTCGACTCGGTGGCGATCAACGTGGGCTGCTACAAGACGATTCTCGACTGTAGCGTCGACAAGGAGCCGTTCTACGTGAAGTGCCAGTATCATAACTCTGGGACGGAGATGTCACATTATCACGAGGAGTGGAAGGAGCCTTATTATCGGGGTTAAAGGGGGCAAGCTTGGTGACTACGAACATGCAGATGGATGTGTAGTTAGTGAAACACGTTTAGAACAGTTTAGACTATTTGATTAGCCATCAGGAATAGATACGTTGCATATTTTTGGTTGAGACGTAGGTGACAACAGGCCGAACCGCTACGATGGCCCTCAGTTTGATATGCCAAAACCTTTCAGTGCAATCTCCATCTCAAGTACCTGGGTAAGTAACTGAGCATTGGATACCTAAGTGCAAGGCTCAACCCACCTACGATCTGTCAGACAGAACCCTCCCCTCTACGAGACTCTGGGGGTGCGGTGTCAGTGGGGCTCTTCACAGACTGTTCGAGATGCTTTCAGGCCACCACTCGCGTCGGCAAATGGAGATCCTACGCGTAGGTCATTTGATTGTCTCTCTTGATTGCCCATTCGAGATGCGGAGGGGACAATTGCAGGCATGCTCATAGAAGTAGTCAAGCCACTTATCTGTTGCCGTGGCTATCGGAGCAAAGCGATATCCAACCCTTACATTTCCTCACGTCTCTCATGGTGGAGGGAGTATTGCTTAGTATATTGATCATCGTACTGGCTCATTTAGACGATAACATCCTTGGAATGGCATGGCACTGCTACTACGAATCTTTCTTCGTCTGTAGGTGGAACATCGCATTGCAATTATCGTAGAGTCGGGACAGACTGCTCTAGATAGCCTGAATCACTGTGGCTCGCTCTTCGCGATACTGCTGCCAAATGTAGTCCGGTAATGGCTCGCCAGTAACAGGCTTATCATCTCCGGTGGAGGTTTAAGCGACTTTTTTCGACATTAAGCATTCATTGCTCAACGGGTGGCCCAGTTCCCCAGAGTATTGAATGCGACGTTACATCGGCCTATGCCGACGACGAGCCATCAGTGTGTCACTTTCGATCACATGACTTTATTCCCACCGTCGTGTTACAGCCTGACACTCAATGGGCGTCGTTGTCGATGAGATGAGATTTTGCATCTACATAATGGGATGAAACTATTGAAGCAACAGCTACTCATCTTCATCCATCGGTCGAGGAAAATTGAAGCAAACTGATCGCATAAACACAAGAACTCTGAAAGAAACTTAACAAGCCATGGCCAAATCACCATACCTGGAAGCTTTGGAGCGTGATGGCTTTGTTGTTATCCGATCCGCTCTTAAACCTCAAGAAGTACAAGAACTAAGATCTTCTTGTCAGAAGGTGACAGCAAATGCACGTGCAGGTAAATGGCCCAACGTGCGGACGCTACCAAAGCAATTTCCTCCTTGGAACGTCGAGGAAGGTCACAACCCAGCTGAGGCTGGAATTTGGGGTGTACAAGGTCTGATGCATCCATCGATGCTCGATCATGAACTGTTTACTGCGACATACTTCTCGGACACGTTGATCAACCCAACAAAGGAACTCCTGGCATGTAGCGACGACGAGTTGGTCATGGAGCTTTTCAACCTTCTGGTCCGTCCAGACCATGATTTTGAGCTCCGTTGGCACCGTGATGATATTTCCGACAAAGCAACACCGGAAGAGGAGCTCGAGCGACTCAACAAGCCCGCATGGCATACACAATGGAATCTGGCATTGTACGATGATGCTAGTCTGATCGTAATACCTGGCTCTCACACACGTGCGCGTACAGATGCAGAGCGAGAGGCAGACCCATACGCAAAAGGCCTTGAAGGAGAGCTGCACGTACAAATGGGGCCAGGAGATATTGTTTTTTACAATAACAACATACTCCACCGTGGGGCGTATAACAGCGAGAAGGAGAGAATGACATTACACGGAAGTGTTGGACATGTCAAGGGAGAAAGCCTCCGTGCGAGGAATGTCCTACAGCATGGTCTTCGAGATTGGATTGGTCAATGTGATTTCTCACGGGTGCCAGAGTCTGGTCGTGAGCGTGCAGAAGGAATGCGAAAGCGACTCATCGAATTGGGTATGAAATCAGGCGATGTGGGATACTCACTGGAAGGATAATTATGTGCGATTCGACAGGATGACCGAGATATCTCAAGCACAGATACGATGGCTCATTGACACCGTGCAGGTGATGTGAAAAGACGATGACAAGGCTGAGGTTTATCTTTGCTCGTGTTGACGAGGCATGCTGTTCGACGGGTGGCAATATAATTCATGCGATCCTGACCATGGTCTACCTGTAGAGCCTCGTCTCGAGGAGATGGAGTTGAAGATGAAGAAAGGGGGTACTTGCCTTGCTTGAAGTGCGAAGAAAGGAGTTCGTTAAATCTTGCCGCCAAGACCTAACATCGGTGTCGGCTAAACTCACCTCCGTCTTGAAATCCATTTGCGCTTGCATCTTCAAGATTCTGACGTTGCGTTCGACATAATTTATCCAATGTCATCAAGTAGACCTTGAAACCAAACGACTTAGAGGCGTGTACTTTATGTTTGCCCGAGCCAATAACTCGGTGCATGTCTGCTTGAGATGCCAGAAGCGTCTGCTCAATAACATCCCCGTCAAATCATCCTCACAACTCAAAACCCAATCTCCCTTACGACGATGGCAATCCAACGCAGTGGCCAAATTCGAGGAGGAAGACGAAGACGAAGTTGACCATAAAAGTGCTTCTGACAAACCACCTCGAATCACTTGGGAATCTTATCCCGCCAAAGACAAATCGCGCCTATCGAAATGGCGCCCTGCTGCTTCAATCGGAGTTAACTCTTTCGGCAAGCCTGCAGAAGTTTTAATCCTCAAAGCCCACGATCGCAAAGTCCTAAAGGCAGTCTATGACACGCCAGATGAAGATGGGCCCGCGACTACTTTACAAGAGTCCCTCGACTCCGAACAAGCGCCGCTTGATCATACCAGCCTCCATCGGGCCATTGGCGATGTTTACCACAAGTTCGTTGGAAATAGGGACAATCCCGAAGCAGACCTCACTCTGCAAGAATATGACTCCATAAAGAAACATCTCACAGACTCATTTACCCCTACACAAATGCTGCATTATCTCCATGCGCATACTTCGAGTAAAGAACCATTCCAAAAGACAGGAAAACACGGTTACACTAGATCAACACTCATGCAGAGCATCCTCACTACTGTTTGGAACCTCAACCTGCCCCTTGACGCGCTTGAGGCAAGAAAGCGTGCGAACCGTAAACAGTCATCGTTATCATACATTGTCCGGGATGAGGCGGAACTTGACCACCTCTTGACCGCCCACAGGCAGCCGTTGAAGGAAATTGCTAAAAAGAACCATGTCAACATTGAAGTCTTTCGCCGACAACGCAGGCTCAAGGTCACAGGTGTGAATCACGAAGCTCAATTGGGAGTGCAAGCTATCGCCAAGTACGTTAAACAGAAGTTGGAATCAATCGTCGTTCCATTCTATCCAGAGTATTCGGTTTATGCAGACCCCTCAGAACGTGATGCCGTCAGGGCATTTCTGCAACGTGTACAGGAGAAATATCAAGTTCACATAGCCTTACGGAAGAACGACGTCAAAATCGTCTACTACAACATGCAATCTGCGGTCCGGGCCAAGCAAGCAGCTCGTGAGATCAGTATTGTCGGTGACTCAAGGCCGGAGTCGTATGAGATCCATGTTCTCCAGTCGCACGGCACAGATCAAGTGGCACTTGAACGGTTTCCTACTCCACCAGAGTTCGCTAGGGGAATTTTAAATCGGCCATGGCATCGACTGTTGGTCACTGATACTCCCGATGTACCGCCGAGGTGTACAACGGTAGACACTGATCAAAATTCCGATAGCACCACGATTCTGCAGAGGCTAAAACTTTTCTTGGATTGTGGCGACAACCTTCCACTACCAACCAAACGACGCGATCTTCGATTTCATGTGACAGCACATTTTGGACAAGCATTATTCCGATCTAGGCCGGCGCCGGCGCCACGGGTGACGACGAACAATTCCTCAATACTGGTCGAAGATTTGGCAAGTGAGTCTTTGGGCGAAATCGCGGATATTACAGATCAACCATGGGATCTTTCTATTCACGACGGAATAGCGGTAGGTGACTTTCAGGAGCCAGACAGTAAGACACTATCTGAGATCTTGAAATTCGATTCTGGAGAGCCTATTGATCAAGACGACTCACAAATACTTGATGATCATTTGTCGGGCGAAAGCCATGTACCACCACACTCTTCATCAAGCATCGATGTTGGAAAGGGAGCACAAAATATGAAACCTACCACTACATCGAATATGTTGGCGGACCCGACTTTTTCTTGTGACGTACCCTATGCTCTACAGCAGCTTGCGAGACTTAGCCCCTGGAAGAGTCCTATCAATGGCGCACAGCCAGATATCACTGCTGCTCCTACTCAGACCATTTATCGCCTGGAGTTCATCTGCTCATCTAACCCTAGTAATCGCAGAAAACTCCCAGTGTTTGAGTTGTACGTTAGTTCGACTGCAAGAAGTCACAAATCGGAAAGAGAAAGACCTTCGCTAAAGGTGTTGAGAGTCTCAGCAATTCACGATCAGCGCTCATTCTATGCACTGTGTCCAAGACGCCATGTGGATATCAAGTTTAAACAGCAGCTGAAGCATGATTTGACCTATCCAAACAATGATATGCCACATCTTTTCAAGAAGATTCGCGCCGCATTTGATAGCTATTTAGCAAATTCAAAGCATTCAGAGCAAAAAGAATGGTCTTTCGGGCCATATCTTGAGATTGCTGTTGATTCAAGCATGCGAAATGTCGCAAAGCGTTGCCTATCATCAGTGGCTCCCGACCAAGCGAACACCCTTGAACGAGAGATGTCGGTCTCTGGATCAAATCTTGAGACTACAGAGAACAACAAGGGCAACAAACTTGAATATTGTCTTCGACGAGCTGAAGTTGTAGAAATGGACTCTTACAGCATGCCAGTCCCATCCGCTTATAAGGAACTCAAGAGGAATACTCTGTGTCTTGAAAACATAACATTCAGTGGCGCTGAGCAAACCAGGCAAGAACTCTTACTTTCGGATCACTCATTGTTTTCCACACCAAACCTCAAGAATCAAGATCTCACGACTCTGGTGAACGGGGCATTAGGGCTGGCAGAATATCTGGGGAACAACTCGTCCGAACATCTTGAAACTAAGGTTGGGTCCTTTGTGTCATCTCAGAGCAATTGGAGCGACGAGCCACACACGGAAAGCTCGGTTGGGACCTCTGATTCTATTAAGGGCAAGAAGGAACATCCTAAAAAACATCACAAGAAGGCTATTCCCTCTACATTGCAAGCCACTGGCCATGATTCCACAAAAGAAATATCCTCCCCCATCAAAGCGAAGTCCAAACCGAAGCCTATTAAAAATAAAGTTAAGAAGACCAAGTCCAAATCTGAAGCTATTTCCAAGCCAGATGTTCGGGAACCTGGAATCACGATCGATCCCGTGGTTGGAAAAGAGTCTTCAAAGATCAAACCCATGTCAGACCCAAAGCTCAAATTCCATTTTGAAAAGACTGAACCTGTCGCTGATCGAACGGCTGAGCCCAACTCCAAAGCAGAGCCAAAGGAGAAACCAAAAGTCAGGAAACCTAAGCAGCACTGGATCGGTAGAGGTTCTGTCAAAGCCAAGGCTGAAGGAGGCCGAGGTTACCTGTAACTGAGGCCAGCTGAGAGCAAAGATATCGACATTTATATAACAATGAGGAACGATTACGACTGCTCCTTGCTCTTACACTTGGTCGATCGTTGACAGGCGCCGGGGACGGTCAACTCAATAGGCATCCCGATGCATAACATCTGTCATTGGGACCTGCGAGAAATCGCCATGTCTCTAATGTTTACTTTACCTCATACACCAATCTAAGGTGAAATATGGTGCCTTTGCGATATTGCTTAGGGATCTTGTGCAGATATTTTCATCCTCTTTTCTCTTGGATCACCATGTAGAGTCGGAAACTATCTCGATGAAATGGAGAGCGCGCAGTTCATTGTCCCCGTTACGTGCGTGTATTCTTATGTATAGATATTGTTATTAGCATTAGCATAGCATCTGTAGGAACAGTTATGAACAACATTATCCCCCCCGTTACTGAAATACGTTTCTTACAAGTATTGCAGAATCGACTTTCTACTCTTTGGGATGCTATGCCACTCAAACTCAAACTCCAAAAGGGCTACCAAGCTAACTGTAAAGTCCTTCAATTATGAGCACTCCAATGGGGATAAGTCTGATCTCCGAGACATTCATTTGACGTATTGAACATGCCTGAATACAGATTGCGGTTTCGCAGAGGATGTCCCGAGAACCGAGCGCGCTCGGTTAGGGTGCAAGGCTGTCAGGGAAAAAGGGGGTGAGCGGCATCGTCATATATGTACTTCGACGTGAGCGGTTCAAGAAGCAGACTGGGAGTAGTCGATGAAGTCTTGTCCTCGTACCTGATATCAGCTACTCAGAGAGAGGCTAATGGGGCTGCATGTAACCTGATGATCTTTTGAAAAACGAAAGAGAAGAATCGTGCGTACGTCGAATGTCATGTCTCATTTAACTTAGTCTGCTGACTTCTATTGCGTAAGTATCTATCGTGTCTTGATCTATGAATCCAGAGCAAAGTCTATGCTTTTCCCTGCTCCAAATACCTAGTCACATCGGCAGCGATGCTTGGACGCCTGCTGCCGGGCGCTCCGATCTCCACACTGTTGCGCTGGCTACTATAAGCGGCGTCACGACCGGTCTTCGCGGCGATCGCACGCGTCACGCTTGGCACCAGACTGGGGCGGCGCTGGTCCATCGCGGTGACGCTATATCGGGTCGCTAGATCCGTGGTGGTGGTCTCGTCGAAGGCATTGACGTCGGTGGTCGCGAATTGTCTGGCGGGGACGCGCTTCGCAAACAGGATGTCGAGCTGCTCGAACGTGCGGTTCTTGGTCTCCGGGAGCCGGAAGTACGCCCAGATGAATGTGAGGAGTGCGGTCGAGCCCCACACGAAGCCGGCGTAGCCGCGCAGGTTCCACGCCTTAGGGTTCATGAAGTACGGTTGGAGCACGCCCGCGATCACGCTGACAATGTAGTATGCGTTGCGCGCGAGGCAGATGGTCTTTTGGCGCAGGCGCGTCGACCCGACTTCGGCTGGGAGAGCCCACCCGAGCTGCCCGGCGCTGAGTTGGAAGAGGAATGTCCCTGAGGTGGAGTGTTAGTATGTGGAACGAGAGGGAGCGAGGACGATGGAGAGGACTTACAAACAAGGGTCAGGATGGCTTGTGTCATGGCGACTGGCTGTTGTCCGGTCCAGACGTTAAGCACGCCGATCAGATACAGGGTCATGGCCATGGCGAACATACCGACCACGTAGATGGTGCGGCGGCCGAAATAGGGCATCAGGCAGAACCAGTTTACAAGGGTCCCGAAAAGTGCCAATCCTGTGCCACCGAGATTGAGCGAGTAGGTGGTTTCTGTGGCGAGGCCGACTTGTTCGAAGAAATAAGATGCGTTGTATGCGAATGAGGAACCAGAAAGGACTTGTCCCGCGAAGCAAATGCAGGCAATCTCGGTTCGGCGACGTTCGAATCCGGAGAAACAATCGAAGTAGCTGGTTCCAACGGAAAGCTCCTCCTCAAGATTGTTCGTATATACGATGGAAGCGAGAGTCTCCTTGACGTCAATGTTTGCCGATGCACGTTGAAGGCGACGTAGCGACTTCTCGGCTTCCTCGAGGCGGTGGTGTCTGACAAGATGCCATGGAGACTCGGGGGCGAAAGATAGCAATGGGATCAAGAAGGCTGGCCAGACCCATTGGATGGCGAAGGGGATGCGGAAACCCCATTGATCGTCACGTTCCAAGCATGCTCTCAAAACTCCAGCAGCGATGAGTTGGCCTATATCTTTTTGTCAGTCATGGCACAATGCTTGAACGGGTTAGAAAATTTCTTACCGATAATGAAGCACATGTTTGTCCAGCTTGTGAAATACACACGGAGTGCCATTGGGAGACATTCTGAAGCATAGCCGGGAGCGATTGTGGCCAGGGCGCCCCATGGTAAACCGCACAGGATTTGGCCAACGATGAGGATCTTGATGTTGGACGCGAAGAAGGTGAGGAAGATGGTGCAGGAGAGCATGATCAAACTTCCAAGAATAACTCGCTTTTGTCCAAAAAGAGCGACAAGATAACCACAAAGAAGGGTGCCGAAGAAGGCACCAATACCAGAAGCATTGCCGAGTCCGGCCATCCAAGCAGGTGTGAGTTGATAGCCGGACCTTGTCTGATCTGTAATTCCAACAAACTCACCATCTGCGTCCGAGTTAGTACATTTGCATTCAAGACCGAGATAACAGTAGGGAGCATACATTGACGTTGGAACGATGGAAAGGCGAAAAAGTTTCCGATGAGAATCGTGTCGTAACCTTCCATAATGACACACATGCTGACAGCGAGACACCAGAAGATAGCCATGGGATATGCTTTGATGGCTTGACCAGGAGTAAGAGTCTGCTCGACATGAGCTCGATCCTCAGCAGCTTGACTTAGTCGTCGGCTTTGCCATTTCTCGTCACGCCATTCTCGTTGAAAGTGTCGATCACTCTCTGCATCAGAAAGATCGCGTTGTTCGACTTGGTTTTTTGGAGCAGACATGTTGATTGTTGGTGAAAGACTGAGTAAGGGTATGCCTTCGTGATGTTCAAGACTTCCACGGGTTGGAGTACTTGAGACTGAGTCGTGGTCTACATCAAAAATAAGTCTGGGACTTCAAGGAGTCTTATAGTTCTGAGAACCGCACCATCCATTATTGACAAGGCTTTTGTTCATCGAATATGAAGCAGGTGGCTGACAAGGAATTGGATAGGAGTGGATCTCGCAATGAAAAGGCTATTGATGCGAGGGCTCATGGTTGGATACTGCGGGCAAGCAGTGCCTCAATTCAACGGCTCCATGCAGCGGAAAACTCATAGAAGGACGCTAGAACACTTGCCAAAGGAAATAGCTAGGGTTCGTCAACAGTATAAGACGAGAGAATAAGAAAAGGCGGGGCGTTGTTAGTCGTAGAAGTCGGGCTTGGAGCAATAGCCGGGGCTCAAACCCTTGCGCCTTAGCAGTAAGAGGTTCAAGCGTGAGAAAGGAGATGGAGTATTCAACGGAGAAAACCACGATGATCTTCCTTGAAGTCGGGAGAGAGCAAATCCGGGGATGAGGAGCACGTCCGGAGTGTCAGTGGTCTGGTGCTCGGCGTCGACTCTCCTGATTGCCGGTGCGGGGTCAGTGGAGCAATCGGTAACTAAACTCATTTCGGATCGGAGAAACTTCTCTCCAGAAGACCAACCTACTCTATTGCGTCTGCGCTCTCATCTCGCCATCTACCCCAGCCTGCCCATGAAAGTGGTACACAGCTTCTACATTCTTCCCTTTCCTTCATTACCATCTCTCTACTTTTGGACAAGCCTACTTTGCAAGGCTGGAAACCGGCGGAAAACCGGCGGGTTTGAATCTCCATTTCTTTCTCAGCTTCTCAGCAAGCGACACGTCAAGCAGACGGTGGCAGCTATCAGACAGACTTGGCTCAGGTCGCGGTTTTAATTCTCTGATTTTGCCCTAGGGTTTTCCTAGGCTTTCCTGCCTGTCTCCTTTACTAGACTTCTGGGACCATTCTTTAACAAATCGGAGCGAGGTGAAGGTGTATTCCTGTAACTAACATCAATCATGCTAACGCATCCCACTCTCGCTCCACGCAGTTGGACAGTTCCAGTCACTTTCCAGTTGATCTTGTCTTGTCTTCATTTTTCAGACATGTCTTTTTCAATATTTCAATCCTCGCTCCTCTTCTGTAAGAATAGTGCCTTGCTTGTAACCAACCTGCTTAGTCCCTAGTTCCCTTGACTTATTCCCTGTCCCAGAGATGCTCTCATTGTTTGCGGGTGCTTTCCTTGCAAGCCAGGCCTTTGCTATCAACAATGGTCTTGCTAGAACTCCGCAGATGGGATGGAATAACTGGAATTCTCTAGGCTGTGATGTGTCTCAAGATCTTCTCCTTGATACTTCAAGGATACTGCTGGACAGTGGTTTGAGGGACGTAGGGTATCAGTATGTGGTTCTCGACGACTGCTGGTCGGATGGTCGAGGAAAAGATGGTTATATCCGCTCCGACCTCAAGAAATTCCCCAATGGCATGAAGTGGGTGGCCAAACAGCTTCATGATATGGGCTTTCTTTATGGCATGTACTCGAGTGCAGGTGAAATGACTTGTGCCAGATACGAAGGCTCCCTTGATCATGAGGATCAAGATGCTGAGACATGGGCCTCGTGGGATGTCGACTATCTCAAGTACGACAACTGTTACCATAGAGGACGCTTTGGATACCCCGAAATCTCCTTCAACCGTTATAACAAGATGGCAAAAGCCCTGAACAGCACTGGCCGACCAATTCTTTACAGCCTTTGCTCATGGGGTGAAGATTACGTTCACACCTGGGGCATGTCCATAGCAAACTCCTGGCGAGTTTCAGGCGACATTTATGACCACTTTAATCGTCCAGACACGTTATGCTCCTGTGATGATCCTCGGGATCCTCATTGTGTTGCCCCTGGAGCCCACTGCTCTGTTATGAATATCATTAACCGCGTCGCTCCCTTTGTCGACCGAGGCCAATATGGAGGTTGGAATGACCTCGATATGCTAGAGGTTGGTCAAGGTGGAATGACAGACGAGGAATACAAGGTTAGACCGGTGGTCTTGAGCATTCGATCACAAGAAGTCACTAATCGTTGTTATAGGCGCATTTCTCCATGTGGGCAGCCCTTAAGTCCCCTTTACTCATTGGTGCCGACCTTCGGAAGTTGTCCTCCACGACGCTGACAATTTTGAATAATCCTGCAATCATTGCTGTGAACCAGGATCCTATTGGCCGTTCTGCACTACGCATCTTCCGCGATCAAGAGGTGAAGAAGGATAGATACGGACAGGGAGAAATTCAGATTTGGAGTGGCCCACTCTGGCCCCATGACCAGCTGGTCGTCTTCCTCAATGCTGCAGATGAAGATTTGGAAATGACAACGAACCTCAATGACATATTCGTTCATCTCGGTCCCGAAGGCTCTGCCCCACAGACCAAGCTTGAATTCGACATTTACGATCTATGGGCTGACCGGATGGAGGATTTCAAAGCTGAACAAATCCTCCAGGGGAATAATCAGTACAAGAAGGACTGGTACAACTCGACGGAGACACCATACAAAGTTGGTCTTCAACAGGGAGACGTGAGGCTGCTAGGAAAACGTGTCGGCAGTATTGGTCCTCAACATGATGCTCTACGTGCAAAGGTTCCCCGCCATGGGGTTCGCATGTTCAGATTGCGGAATCTGAATGAGCCTGCCGCAAGGTACTCTTCGACTAAGGACGAGCTTTGAACCGGCAAAGTGGTCCCGCCACTTGTTGCGTTTGGAAGAGATTATACAAACCGTCTTTCTCATAGATGAGACCGCATCCTGTACAATGGTGATGGCCACTTCCCTCCTGGAATAGCGTCATGGGCTATTAAGTATGGCAATATGCGGTCCTCAAGGTGATTCCATCCATTGGGAGTCAATCATGATTTGTATCGTCCTTTTGTCAGGCTAACTGACTTGTAGCCAACGTCGTCCTAGGCACCGACTGCTGAGGCGCCCACTTCGTATCCGTGGACGATATAAATATGATATTTGTAACCCGATTTCGACATCTGCCATCCATGATAGTCCAGACCAAGACAACCCCGCACTTCCAACCCCCATGATACCTTCCAATACCCGCTTCCAGTCTGCAATTTTATTCTTCCACTCTGAAGCTGATAGTCACATGTGATCTACTTGTTGTCTCTTAAGAAACACCCATCCATTTTTATCTTCTCACAACGAATATCCACTTCATCCAAGGAACCAGACTGTCCGATATTCCATCGACAGCCAGAATGCGTCCTCCTACGGCTTGTGTGGCATGCCGGTACTTCTCCCCCAGCTTCTCCACAATGGCCCCCTCAATCGTAAATTACCTACTTATTAGTGTCTAGAAATCGTCGCCGGAAATGCGAACCTACAACCCCCGGCGCTCGATGTGCGTACTGTAAGAATCGTGAGGTCAAGTGTTCCTTCGAAGGATCGGCCCACGATGATGATACTTGGATGCAGAACTCTTCGGCATCACCCACGGCCGCTGACTATGAACTGGGGAGGTGTCAAAGCATCAGCACTCAACTCCCATCGAGGCCACTGTGCATCGAGCTAGTTGGACTGTACTTCCGCTATATCCACGACACCTTCCACTCCTTATTTCATCAACCTACCGTGATGCAGGAGGTCGCCGATGGCACGATACCAAAAGTTCACCTGTTTGCTATGATTAGTTTAGCTGCTAGATTTAGCGAAGATCCGTTCTTCGCCGGAATTGATCCCCGAGTTCGAGGGAGGCCATATGCTCAAGAAGCAGAGCACCTCCTTAACCTCAGAGACGTTTCTTTGCAAACAGTGCAAGCTTGCGTTCTGATCGGAGCGTACGTCATTACGGACGGTGATGCTGCGGTCGAAGCAGTCTACTATGGCATCGCCTGTCGAAATGCATTAGTGTTGGACCTTCCCAACATGATCGCCTTGTCTAGGGTGGAACAGGAAGTCAACAGAAGAACTTGGTGGACTTTGTGTATGATTGATGTCTGGTCGTCCAATGGCATCCGCCTGCCGCGATCCTTGACACCTAGGAACGATGTCCCGTATCCGATGGAGGAGACTATCTTTCTTCAATTGCGCAAGGAAGACTTTGACCTTCCCAGTCCCAATGCAATGGAGGAATCAGCAGCCTCGTTACTAACACAAATGGTCAAGCTCAATGCCATCCTGGTGGAAATTAGTTTGCTCAATCAACAGGCGGCCACAACCTCGGCTTTTGACTTCAATCACCAAGAAGCCGTCGAACAACTAACAGGAAAGTTGGACGCGTGGTATCAGAATCTCCCCGTCCAGCTTCAGGACACTCACGCGAATCTCACCCGCTACGCCGCGCTGGGATTGGGTCCGATGTTCGTGGCGGTCTATCTCGGCTACTACCACTATGGCCAACTGTTGTACTACGGATATCTTCACGAAGACTCCTACAATGACACCTTATACGCAAGGTACTACGCTGACAAGTGTAAAGCCCACTCGATCGGCTTGTGCGAAATCACCTATCGCGCCTATTCTACCCCTGGCTGTGAAGTGTACTACACCATGGTAGGCCACGTACTGGTCATCTCCTCGACCGTCCAACTCCACATACTCCTCTTCGGGACCGATGAGATCCAGATTCGGGCTGCCCGTTCTCGTCTCGAGAAGAACTTCGAGATCCTGAGCCGTCTCCAGACGTTCTGGCCTACTCTGGATGCGTCGTTCACCCGTTTTCGGGAGTTTCACAAGGCTTGTCAGAAATCAAAAGAGAATTCCTTCCGGATGGACCGCTGGATGCTACAGTTCCTGTTTGAATTTGCTAAGCCGGTCGAGGAGAAGGACGCCGAGGATCTCGCAGAGCTGAAGCCTTGGTCCATGCAGGATCTAGGGTTTAGTCCTTATTCAGGATCGACATTGAGATCGCCGACTTGATCTCGTTGAGATACTGCACACCTGACACGTCGTTCCCACACACTCCTGAGTCATCATACGTGTCAGCTTGCCAGCCTTCTAGCCTCAACAGTGTCAAAACACGGGCTGTGGAAATGACGAGTGGCAGCCGCTCTTCCCATTCTTCAAACAAAACAGGTGTTACAAGACCCGAGAGCCAGCATCACAGTCACCTACGGTCTAACCTGTGTCACGATTAGACACCGAACCTACGCGGCGATTTGATCATGGACTTGGGACGACAAATGAACTATAACCAGATATCTGCGTGATATCCTCCCCGCACCATCAACCTTTGCCTACATGACGCGCCAGATCAGAATTACAAGGATATTTCTTCTCCAACCTTTGCTGTGGTATGATAAGGTGACCGATACCAACTCCAGAGCCACCACTTGGCAATCCTCTTCTTCCCTATTCCACGAGTAACTCAGAACGTCATTTCATTTGGAACCGTCCTATCACGTTTCAGAGAAGGCACACGGGACTTCAGCCGCTCAACCAGCCTGAAATTTAGCACTCTTCTGGTTGCGTCACGTGAGCGTCGTTGACGTTGGGTCTCTTTGCCACCCCGTATGTAGTGTAGCTGTTCTGCTGGGAGAACTGGAGGCAAAGGGGGCGGGTTTCGACCCAGTCATCCAGAGTTCCTGGCTCAGTGTTGTCTGCTTGATAGTTCAGGAATGTGCCTGCGGTGACGATGAATGTAGGACACGACTTTTCCAGTCACGTAAGCAGTTCAAGTAGGATAGGAGAACGAAACCGAAAAGGGCCGGCGAAGTTCTGCCTCACGTACAATCACCAGAAGAAATTAACGAGATGATTTTGAATGTTCTTTTTTTTCATTCATTTTCCATTAGGTATTCTTCTTCAATAAGGCCGTCCATCGTGCCAAATCCTCAGAAACCACGCGGCGAGGTCCGCCCAGCACTCGAATCGAGCCCCCTTAGAAATACTAGGTAATTTATCATATTCGAAATTCATCTACAACATCGCCACACCGCCCAAGACGGCGGCGCCCAAGAGACCCCATCCGACGGAAAGCATGTTTGCGTAGTTTCCTGAGGGAGAAGGTGAGGAGCTGGCGGTGGCTGAGGCCGCAGTTCCCGAAGCGGACGAAGTGGCCGCAGTGGCGTTGTCGCCGTGGCCTTCGTGGCTGCTTGACTCGTTGGCGTTGATCGCTGCGCTGCCGACCAGTGCGGTCGCGGAGATGCCGGTGCCGTTGGTGCATGATGACGGTTGTTCGGGTGTGGTTGATGTGAATGTCACGTCGGCGCACTGGAGGGGTGGGCGTGTGTTAGGTTATGGCTTTTGGGTGGAGATGGGATATATGAGTTGTGGGGCAGAATTGAGACTTACGTTGTACAGACCGCTTCCATCGTGGCTGTTCGTGATGACTTGGATGGTGCCGTTGGTGCCGTCGGTGATGTTGAGGTCCGCTGGGATGGGGATGGCAGCTAGGCAGAAATCTCCGGGGCCGAACTCCTGGATCGTGGGGAGGAGGATGGTGTTGAAGCTGTCGCCGACGTCGTTGCCAATGGCAAGGGCGATCTGGAACAGGTTCTCGGTGTGGCCGAGCTCGACGGCGACAGCCAGGGATGTTAATGACACGGCTGTGCGGTTCTGTGTCTGCGCGTAGCCGCCGCAAGGGAAAGTTGCCTGGTTCTCGTCATCGTCGCCTCTGGGTGCTGGGAAAGACAGCTCGAAGTGAGCGGATACCAATATTGGTAGGGCGACGAGAGCGAGGAGTGACTGGGGAACCATTTTGGCAGAGTTTATCTTCTGGTCTGAGCTGATTTAGGTAGAAGATGAAGTAGAATGAAGTCGAAAGAGAATTCGACCTAGACCCTGCAAGTGGCAGCGAGGGGTCTTATAAAGATGTTCTGTCTCTGTGGAGTACCCCTGTCTTCCTAACAACGGACTTGACTTATTTAATGGTGTAACTTCTCCGTCCTCGTGCCACCACAAATACTTTGGTAGAAGTGTATCTGCCCATCTCGGCTGGGGTCTGCCATGTGCAAGCCTCCGAACGCGGGCAGATCCACCACATCTCTGGTCGACCACCAGTGGCAGTCCACGCCAATCCAGGAACCAGACGCTATGCTCGATTACTTGAGCTAAAGTGCGGCTCTAGGAATTTTAGGTGCATGCACAAGTCAGCACGAAGCTCTTAAAATGAAAAAAATGGGCAGGTCCAGTCTGTCACCGAGGAAGCAATGTGATGGTTGTAGACTTGCGAGTCGCTGAGGAGGCGAGAAGAGGTAAGATTGACCGCGATTGGACCCAGCATTCCATCAGAAATGTGCTCTCGAGGGAAACAAGCTCAAAATGCCATGGAATGGGCGCGCTTTTTCCCTTGGCTTTTTCGCGTTTTTACTTGGCGAGCAAGTTTCCAAAATCGAAAATCTCCATTTTGTGGTTTGATCGGGAAGGCCATGATTATCTCGGTTGTGTCAGAAGAGCTGTCTGGAGTTATCTCCTCGTGTCATCCCGCTACTATCGCTCGACTTTGAAAAAGCAAACAGGTTGACTACATGCCTAGGTAGGTACTTGTAAGATCTCGAATATGAAGGTTTGCGTAATTACTGATGGGGACCGACAACTAGGCCTAATCTGGTCCAGTACTGCAGTTATCGACACGTGATGATAAGATCTGGTCTCACTTATGACGTCAGGTGTATTGGAGGAAGTTGCTGTCTAGAAGAACGCGTCTCTACCATCAGCAAGCCTTTCAAGGGTTGAGAACTGCTGATTAGAAAGCTCTTATTCTTGGTGGTGCAACCAAAGTAACGCAACGGCGTGGCATCATGACCGCCTCGGTGTCTTATATTTATGATCTAGCGATGTGGTTCGAAGCATGAATACCTCAGGTAAGTCGTTGGCTATCTAAATCGCTGCCAATCAAAACTACCTCTACGACTTTGCAGTAGGCATTATTGTCGCTCGCCGGGTGGGCCGGACAGCTACTCATATACTAAGACCGTTGGAATGACCTCACCAAACCCAAGGACGGACAGCTGTTGGTGAAATCGTGAGCTCTCCTAGCAATGAAATCATTGCCTGCCATTCGTGTGTGGAATGGCCCTGACACTTTCGATGAGCTCAACAAGTGAGCTCGATTGACGAAGACCCCAAAGCGCAGTCCGAACAGCCTGAAACTTCTCTTCTAGTAGCGCTTCTCGACCCTAGTCATCAGAACGACGGTGTCTGAAGCACAGTCATCGGGCATCCATATTCCTGCAAGCTCCTACTATTTATGTCGTCCTTCACTTGCGGTTAATGTCATCCAGTTCTCTTTGATGCTCGCGCCTGTCGGTCTCGCGCTGAACGCGTCCCTCTTCCCCCAATTGGCGCCGGACCTCCCTTTGACTTATCCTCCTCCCCCGATACTCTCTCGCCACGAGTTCTTCTTGGCAAAAGACGGAATTATGGCCTCTGCTCGATGTCTGCTCCTGGTCGGACCATTCAACTCCAGGGCAGTCCTCGATCCCAGCCTCCACAACAGCGTCGCAATATGTTCGTCCTATGTCGCGTCTGCCTTTGTCGCGATCGCACAGTTGGTAGTACAGCCTGACAGGACCGAGGAAACACATCTTCTTCGACAGACAGGTCAGGTCTTCCCTTACTATGAGTATACTTGTGGGATTGAGCTTGAAAGTGGTCTGAAGTTCAGGTTATTGATCTCAAAAATACCAGAATTGATAGAATAGCTGTTCCAAGAATGCCACCAAACTTCAGCGGCCAATTTATAGCCTTGGAATACCTGGTGCAAACGGACGGGCTGAACCGTCATGCCCCTTCAAACGGTTAAGTCCAGCACGACAAACGCAACACAATCAGTGAGATGTCTGTTGGTTCTCATTTCCAAGCCCAAATTTCACCCAGCAGAACGCCTTCATGCTCGTTATCAAGGTCTCCCGAGCCCCACCCTCACAACCTAGCCCATGTCTTGCTGCGTTGGCGACGATGCAAGTAGTCGAAATACGACAAGCAGCGGTCACAGTAATTCCCCCTGACAGACCTCATCTCTTGGCTGGTATTCTCATAGTTGACGCAGCCATTCTCATTTCTGGTGTGGTCACACAAGGTTCGCCCATATGCTAATCTCCCCATGTAGCTATTACATCTTTGACACCACTTCTGGACTGGACCCATCCAGCACATCTTGTGTGGAAGAATCGTCTGGGTTTGGATCTGTGTTTTGATTTCGACTCGGGTTCGGGCTCTGGTCTGAGGTTGAGATATCTTTATAAGGTAAGTATACTGAGAGATCTGTTTTTGAGGTTAAGTAAGTGTCTGGAGGATCTCGGTATGATGACACTGGCTGTATGTATAGGACCCCAACTGGAAGATATGAATCGCAATCGAACCAAATTTTATATCTTTCGACGATCTCACTGCAAACAAGTCATCTCAATCTGTTTGTGCATCATACCGCTGGCTGCGTATTCTTCTATCTAGCACATTGGCTGAGCAGCCGGGGACGAACAAAACACTGCCACGAGACGACAGCCATTGATTCTCGTCCTCATGACTTCCCGACATCAAGACTCAATTGGCACTGCGGGATCTTACGCTTCGAGGGTCCACGGCACCTTGAGCGTCGCTCTGAGTCAGCGAGCAACCCTTCACAGAGGGTTGTGGTGACCAAGGACATGACGAACACTGCGCTTGGTGAGAGTCTGCACCGTGACACGAGGCTGTGACAAGATAGGGGCACATCATGGCCCACGGTGAGGATTCAAAACGCAGCATAGCATGGCGGGCTGCCATCGTGTACTCGATAGAAAGGGTACTCGGCAATTAACCCGCCAGGGCTAGCATGCAGCGGTCACAGTTATTTACACTGAAGACTCACATTTTTCGTGCTTAGCGCCTGCGCATTGATCTTCTGGGTGGTGGCGATGCGGGCGATAAAGGTCGTAAGTCACAGGCCCAGACTCAACTTCCCAAGAGGTTTCTGGTCGATTAGCGAGGACCTTGAGCAAGAATTCTCTGGAGATACATGTCTCTGCACTCTGATTCGAGCTTCGTCTCCATCTTGGAGTTTTATCTCTGGAGTTTTCAGTAAACGGGGTATTTCGTATTTTGAACTTCTGAGAAGAACAGCAAGGTCCACGCCAGGAACAGTCAGTACGATGTCCATAACCCAACAGCACCAGTAATCATCTAACGGGTCTCCCATGGCCATCTTGCTCTGCCTTCACACCTCGAAGGCATGTTCTTAAAGCTGATGGTACATTATCCATGCAACCACAACCAACAGTCTTCTCATTCACAGGACTGTCAGACCTCGTGTCATCTGGGAGCCTGCTTGGTGTCATGCTCACAACCCCTATCCTCATAGTTTGTGCCTCTCCAAGTAGGTGAACAAGCATAACCTGAGCAAACAACAGTCACTTGCCATATTCTCCTCCCTTGCATCAGTTCGACACTTATCGACTAGCACATTCCACAATCATAGCTTTCCGGGCGCGAGCACTCTCTTTGATATCCCTCGCCAATCTCTCATTATCCTTGACTTCCTTCACTGTCACCTCCGCCGTGCTCTTCTCTAATACCATCTTCTTCTTGGCCTTTTCTTTCAACTCCTCTTCCCTCTTAATACAGTGAGGGCACTGGTCCTGCCAGGAGTTGTCCCAAGCTGTCTTGGGTACCACTCCCGCAGCGCAAGAACCCTTGAGTTTGAACTCGAAACAGCGTTTGATAAGATCCCATTCCGAGCCGAAGTACCTGCCGCAAGTGGTGCAGCATTTGCGGGTTGGGTGGATGGCACACATGTTTTTCGGGGTTTGATTTAATAGAGCCGTTTGTTCTTCTTCTTGGATGTGGTTTGTTTGGAGGCGATGTGGACAGTTGATTGTGGACGATTTGTTTGTTGAAATGATAGATATCAACTCTTATCCTCTGTTTGGACCGATACACGTCGTGTCAGCTTACGGTCTTTATTGAGATTGTCAATCGTGCTTTGAAAGCCTGGATGCGCCGGTAGACAAGAGACGGAGTTGCCGAAGTGATGGGTTCGTCAATAACTCTGATGCTTTAAATCGCGGTTTCTGTAACTTTGACTACCTCAATTGCAAGCAACCACGAAGACATGAGGAAATGGTCGTGAAAACTGTTAACAAAGCAGTGTTTGCAGTGAACAGAGGAGCTTTGTGTAGTTGTAGAAAGGTAGATTGGTTGGGCAAGAATCCGAAGATCAGTGAAGATGCCAGTGGAAGTCAAGACTGCCTCATGATCGCACCTTCCAGTGGAGCGTGTAGACTCAAGAGACAGTAGTAGCCCGCGGGCATTGTTGATTGTTCAGGCCGCACCTGCTGGTGTGGAGCGCGATGAGACTTCCTGCTCTTAATGGTTAAGAGGCACCTGAGGTCCACGTACAAATGTGTCTCAAAGCACTCTGGCTCCATGTTCGCACATGGAATGCTTGAAAGAATAGCAAATCGAGACACAAGGAAAGATTCAGAGACCGCATGATAAATAGATCAAAGAAAATCATTTCCATACACCTATGTGCAAAAGAATAGCTATCCTGAAACGCCAAAGACATCCTAGAATCAATCAAACACATCACTAGCAACACGCTCCTGGAGGGCTTCCTTGAAGCGAGTTTCCATCTTGGCCTTCTCCTCCTCCGAGATATCGCCCTTCCCTTCGATCAGACGAGCACGGGCATCAATGGCAATCTTGGTGGCTGCGTCACGAATACCTTCTGCGAGCTTTCTGGTGCCACAGACGTAGCCGCGGGCGTCGCCGCGCCAGAGACTGACGATGTCTTCGGCGTCATGTAGCATACGATCAGGCACGTAGGCACAGCCTTTCGACGCGTCTTTTTCCTTGCTGAAAGCATATCGCACTTCGACAACGCCTTCCTTGACCCACTGATCGAGCTCCTCCGCGTACAGTCTGTCTCCAGTTTGAGTGCGGCAACCGAGGAAGAGGAGTGCGCGGGCGAGCTTGCGGTTGGGATTGGAGTGCAGCTGGATCGAGCGGTGTTGGAGGAAACCCCTGAAAGGTGCTATACCAGTACCGGCCGCGAACATGAGGAGTGGAGTCTTCTCGGCATCGGCAGGGATACGGAATGTCTTTTTTGCAGAGGGGCGGACGCTGACCTGTATCGTGTCCCCTTCGGTCAGGCTTTGCATGTAGTTGCCTGTCACGCCTTCATAGCGTTGCTCCGGGTCAGACATAGCTGCGGTGTCGATCACTCCGTATGTAATAGTGCAGGTCGATGCGTTGGCCAGAGGAGAGGACGAAATTGAATATTGTCGAACATGTAATGGTGGGAGCATAGTAAGAAATTCTCCGAAGGGGAGTTTCACTGATGCGTGATGCGACAGGATGTCGAAGAGGCTGGTTCGCTTCGCCGTGATTTCTTGGTCATATCGATCACTACTCGCAATCAGCTCCTGGAGGTATTTTTCGTCCTTCGAATCTTCAGAATGCAGCGAGAGGAGTTTAATGTTCTTCTTTGTCGCTGGCTCTGACAGCTCAACATAGCTGCGTAAGACATCAAAGACCGCCAGAGGCACATTCGTGGGGATGACTGAAGGCAAATCAGACTTGATGGTGACGACCGAGTCCCACGGTAACGAAAAGTGATTCATAATCCGTCTTACTTTCTTCTCTGAGTTCAAGGGAAGAACGGCAAGATAATCACCGCATTCATATGTGCAGTCCGAAGGAAGCTCGATCTCCATGTGCCGTTTGGTCGGTTCACCATTGCTCGTCAGGACGTAGTTGGACTTGACCAGGGCTGGTCTGACATCATATCGAAGATTGGATGCGCGTGCACTGGTCGAAATCTCGACATTGCTGGTGGACTCAAGGCTAGCCTGGATCTGCTCCAAGGCCATCTTGGGCCAGAATGAGTTATCGACCCAGTCATCGAAGTCGCCATAAAGATTTCCTTTAGCAGCGTCAATGTACCCAGCACTGACAAGTCGTTTGGCTCCGCACTTTGACAGCAACTCATCCGCCAATTTCGGGATGCGATGGAATGTGCGAGTCCAGTCGCCTATCACACAGTTAGCTTATCAATCAGCCAAACGGGGACGTTGCAGTATGTAACATACGATGGCCACAACCAAATACGGTGTACTCGACTCCGGCCAAAGAGCCCTCCTTACACTCCTGCAACCATTCCATGAATCTCGCAGCATTGTCTGGAGGCTGGCCCTCGTAGGATGAAGTGATCACCATGACTGGTTTGTCTGTCGGGAGCGACCCAGTGGCAGAGTCCATATCGTTGATTGTTGGTGCGTAGCCTCGAGATGCAACATCAGAGGCGATACGTTGTGCAAATGCTTGACAAGTTCCGGTATTGCTGCCGTACAGGATCAAGATCGGCTTCGAATCTGTGGGTTTTGTGGATGATTCTTTGCTCGTTCCATTTGTGGCGGGCTGGATCTTGATTCCGTTTGTGCCGTTGTTGGTATGAGTGACACCACTCGTACCATTAGCACCGTTTGCTTTAGCTGAAGCACCATTCGTATGGAGCAGTGAATCCATGTGTGTAGCATCCATCTGGTCTCTTGGCTTCACACGAATGTACAGGTCAGCAGGTTTGATGGTCAAGGTTTGCTTGATCTTCATGCTGTATGCAGGATCATCCAAAGAAACGTCAAAGTTCTGCAAAATCATCGCCAAAACAAGAAGTGCCTCTTGCCACGCGAATGGGCGGCCAATGCAAGCTCTCTTGCCATTTCCAAAGGGCTACCGAGAAGTCAGCTTGGGGGTGAATTTTAGTGCCTATGGGGGAGCTTACCTTCCACGCACCCGGGTATTCGGCGAGAATTTTGTCAAAATTCTCGTCCAGCATACGTTCAGGTTCGAAATCCGCTGCAGTATCCCCCCAAACCTTTGGATCTGTTTGACATTTGGACATAAGAAGGATGATGTGATCCTCCGGATTGATACGATACCTCCCATTGTCTAATGTAACAACCTCATGGGCAATGGCCGGGTTGATATGCTTTTGCAGGACAGGTACCGTGGGTGAAAGACGGGCGGTTTCGCGAAGCACAGCATTCAAGTATTTGAGGTTCTGCAGGTCTTTGGCCTCAATAGACCTCTTTCCAATAACTTCATCTACTTCTTTCTGTGCCTTCAGATAGACATGGGGATTTTGAAGAAGGTAGGCGGTTGCGAATGAAAGCAAACCAGAGGTAGTTTCATGTCCTATTTCTGAGAGTTAGACAGTCTTGGCGCATACCTGGTTCATGTACTCACCAGCAATAAGAAACGTCAACATCTGTTCTGTAATCAATTCATCACGCATCACTTGGCCTGTCTTGGGGTCTTTTCCATAGATCATGGTGTTGAGCACATCAGACTTGTCTGTCGGATTTGCTCGCCGGTTGGTGACGATATCTTGGCTGACCTTCCGCATGAATGCCCGTGCCTCATCGAATTGCTTGTTCGCTTTATATCTCAACTTTGTAGCAATGGCAGGTCGACTTGTTCTGGCAGTGTTTTCTGAAAAAACATACAGCATTGCGTCAACGAATGGATGCATGGTATCTGTGTAGAACGAGTTGAAGCGGAAGCTCATCGAACAAAGCGCTATAGTATCCAGAGTAAGGCGGGTGAAATCCTCCGTAGCCAGAATTTTGTGATCGGCTCCTTTCCGAGCCCAGGACAAGATCAATTGATTCGCAATATCTTTCATGTCGGGGAACATGGATTGGACGGAAAATGGAGCGAATGCAGGCATCAGGATTCTATGTCCCTGATGCCAGTCCGGGTCTTCATTTTTGGCAACGAAGAGGCCCTTGGGTCCGGGGTTGTTGGACACTGAAGGCGGTGGAACTTTGGAGAAACGTTTCTCGTCTGTGAGTTCTTCCAGTAGCGCTGCAGAACTGATGATGATGCGCCTTTTACCACCGAGCATAGCTTGATAAATTGGGCCATAAGCTTCAGCGACACGTTCCAACCCTCGAAGAGGAATATCTCGGTCTTGCCATATGTCGAGCAGGTTGCCGACGAAAGGGAGAGCTCGTGGACCTGGAATTGGTTCAGTCATATTGAAAGATGTAGTTGTGAGCCAGAAAGAAACGCTAGAAAGGATAGGGTACAAAGATAATTAATGCAGGAAAAAGATCAAGAGGACCATGGATTTGAGCTGATATAACATTATTCCATTTACCATCGGCCTGTAGTCTGCCAGCTGTATCGTCCGTATCCATCACTGAAACGCGCAGGGGGTGGGCTATGCTTCGGACATTCCAATATGGCATCGGCCGCGAGGTTGGGCATTGCATCACAATGGTTCTCAAGCAGGCCCGCGTACCAATAGCAGCCCATTCAATGAACCCAAAGGACCGGACTCTCATTCGGCGCCATGAGCGACCGGCAGTCTAACGAAAGCCGGTGTCTCGAGGTCGGTATAGCAAGCCACGCGATCCTTGTAATCGAATCAGAAGCGTGCGACAGTGGTAGTGACACCGAATCCATCAAGGCGTAGCTGCTCCCGCTATAGTGCGATGTGCAAGTCTAGTATCATCGTGTGGCACAAGCTCTCCCATGCTAATCTCTAGCGTCATCAGATAATAGCTCATCGAAAGGCTAACGGCAGAGCCACCTGTTAATCGCTTGGATGGGAGAGAGATAAAGTTGGCACAACGAGGCCGGTACGAATGGATCTCCAAGTTGGGGAAGGCGCGTCCCCCAAAAGGGGGAGCCTGACCCTTGGCGCGGGGCTGTTCAATCGCTGGAAACTCTAAGTTGACATCTCAACCGTCCGTGAACAACTTGACTTTCGTATTTCATCGTCCATGGGCCTCAGCTGAATGCCGCTCAAGCCCCGTACCGAGTATTTCCTGCTCGTGCCGTTGGTCATTGAATCCCTCGTCCATTTACGATTCTACTAGGCCATACTCAAGTAAGCCACAACGTGAGGAATGCACGGCGCCGAGAACCTGGAGTATCCGAGAACCCTTCGCTTAATCTCGTGTTTCGTTTGCGACTGGTATGTGGTCGGATCCTTCCGTGGACTCAACACTCCAGTACCTCGTACTTCGTGAATTGCCCTTCTGTGAATCAATCTACATGGTAAGGACAACACGTTAAGCATGAGCGCGAATCATTTGGATCCGAATAACCACAGACCTGATGCTGTAATCTGATATTGATTTACTACATATGCTAAATTCGCTAGTGTTGTTGTAGATTGGACATGTGGTGTACTTGTTATTGACACATCGGCCATGTTAGTGGTTGCACTTCACGTCAAGGGCTTGAAGTGAGAAAGCTAATATTATGTACAAGCGCTGTGGCCTACCCGAATGACATATAGCTGGGGAAATGTCAAGCTAATCCTCTCAGGAGCATGTTGAAAGTTTATTTGATCTGGAGATACGAATTGTATCCAGGCAGGACTGTCAGACTCAGCAATACTATTGGCTCAATGACCACATTGGAGTTTAATATTGGTTTGATTAGAAAACAATCACAACCCCTCTTCCCGAAAGCCCTCCCCGTTCGTGCTTCTCGTCGAATCGCATCTTGCGGAGTTAGGTTCGCATAGCGACCTATCTGAGTTGAGAAACACTAAGCGAGGATTTGAGGCAGCCACAGTCACTGCGTCGACTGCACTCACACAGGCTTCGCCGTAGTGTGGTGAACCGTCGAAACATGATCACGATTGCCCGCTCCCGATGGCTTCCATGCCGTGAACGCAATGAGGACACCACGTATGAGATCACCAGGACTGAGTGCATGTATCAAGGCACGTAGACCACTGTACTTCTTCCCTGGCGCAGCCGTTCCGTCCTGATACTCCTTGGAGTGGAAAGTAAAGTAAAAGCCGATTGTAAAGATCAAACTTTCGATCGACGTCAGTAGGGCGGGGAGTCCAACTGAGATATCGCGGAACGTGATTTTGGAATTGCCTGAGACTCTCGTGCTCACGATGCTGAAGATAAACTGCGAAGTGGGGTGTCAGTAAGACAACTTCGTGCTGGTCCCAAGCGCAGGTGGTGATGAGAGTTACTTACGCGCTGTAGAACTTGGATTGCGACGAATAGCTTAAATGCAATCAACTTCATGATCGCTCGCCGGCCCTCCATGAACTTCTTCAAGCGACGCTGGAATCTTAAGATTGCAATGAGTGCATAGACCATCGAGATTGTTTGAAGGACATTAAGCTAGTCGGAATGAGTCAGCCACCAGGACAAGACAAGGGAATCAAACTGGCTGGCTCACTATGATCTGCCCACGCTTTCCTTTCTTGGTTGTCGCACAGGCGTGACCAGTAGCCTGCAGGACCTCTTGGACGACGATGAGGATCGTATATATCACGACAAAGCCGAAAACGGTCCGCCATACCCGCTGCAAATTGTCAATCACCTTGAATTTCCAGGACCATCTTTGACTTACACGAAACCAGCGCAGACTACCTCCAGGGACCGGTCTTCCATCCTTGGTCGTGCTCTCCAGGTTGTGGAAGAACTCATCGCGATTGTGCGCCTCCGGCACAACGTAATGGACGTAGAGCAAGAATAAAGATGCAAGAGCATACGCCTCGTAGAGACTGGCTATCGGGTCCAAATATTCGGCCGCGTTGTAGGCATGCACGGCGATGAGTGCAATAGTGCAGAAAACCACTGGAGTCGAGATGATGCGAAAGATAGGCCGTTGTTCGTCCGGTGCCTTGTAACGCCGCAGATGTGGAATGGCTAGGCCGAGCCATAGAATAGCAGTGAGCGCGAAGCATGCATAGTTGATGTAAATGATGAGCTGTTTGAAAGTGAGAGATCCCGTTATCGGCTCGGCGTCTGTGGCGCTTGACCCTGGGGCTTCTGGACACTTGCCCATGATTTGAATCTGTAGAAAGCAGATGCAGGCAGAGATAGTGAGGATTGTGCGGGAAAACGTGTTGGATCGAGACCAGGAATGCTCCAAATGTTGCAAGTAGCGAAAAGTAGCGAAGAATTTTCCCGGTTGCGATAGCACACCCTGTCCGAGGTCCTAATATATGATGGACAATGGGATCTCAATCCAAGACTAAGTTGATTCGTGATATCGCAAGTCGAACAAATCAATTCGAACCTCGTGTCATACAACATAGCACTATGTCTTGTGAGGGAAGTCCTTCCCAACTAGGTTCGCGGCTGGACACCCATGAGCACTTCGGGCACAGAGAGCGGATTTGATGCCAGGGTGCCATGATTAAGACTAGTAAACTTAAGTCGGATGCATTAGATACGGGCTGGAATCTGATCCAGGCACTCCAGGGTGTATCTGGTGCCGAGAAACCACATGTTAGGAAGCCTTCACGAGCATACCAAACTTTGACCTTCAGCTCAATCCCTGTAACTGAGCCCTGCGATGCGAAACCTTACTAGCATTCGTGTTTTACTTCGGGCATTCCAAGCTAGTTCAAACGCTTGGACCTCGCAACCAATGAATTGATCGGCAGGGTAAGCGAACACGAACCACCGGCTGGCGATGCTTTTCCGGTCATGGAAGGCTGCTATTCAGCCACACGCTTTCCCCGTGTGTTCGATGAAAGTCTGGTTGCGCAATAAATATTGAAGCTTTACATGTGACGATATTGTACTGACAAAAGTAGATGTGTTTGAAGCTCTAAATTTACCTCCTGCTGTAAGGTTGTAACACTTTGCAATGGACAAGGCGTAAAAGGTCGTGAAATATGCCTAATCGGGAAGTGCTTTCGAGGTCCAACTGTACAACTGACTGCCCGAGACATAATTGTTTTCAACATCAGGTACGGCCTCAAAGGCCCAGCTTCGCCACCGTCTTCGCGACAATGTCCTCATACTGCTGCATCCCGCGTTCAAGCTTGCGCAATCCCGCCTTACGCACGTGGTAGACCACACCGGGTGTAGCAGTCTCGGACTCATCACTGTCACTGCCATCCTCTTCATCGCCACCTTTTTCATTCTTCTCTCGATCCACAACACACCGCATAAAATGCCGGTCGTGGGTGATGACTAGAAGTGCGCCTTCCCAGGACTTCAAAGCCTCGATTAAACCGTCGATCGTGTCGGCATCAAGATGGGTGGTAACTTCGTCTAGCACGATCAAATGCGGTGAGCTGTGAAACACCTGGGCCAGGGCGACGCGGACTCTTTGGCCACCGGAGAGTGATGACAATGGCACTTCGGCGACGATATTGCCTCGAAGTCCGAGTTTCGCAAGCAACCCCCGGGCGGCTTGTTCATCTCCAGTCCAATCTTCTTGCTGCATCAGATGTGACAATGCGGTTTTTTCAGGTTGTTGCTTTCCCAATTCTTCGAGCTCTTCAACAGCATGCTGCGAATAACATGCGACTCGAGCCTTGGAATGAACTGTGATTGAGCCTTTGGTCGGTCTCGGGGTGCCTCCCGATGTGGCGCCCATCAATAGTTTGACCATGGTTGACTTGCCGCTTCCATTCAATCCAGCGAGTCCGATCCGGTCGCCAGGATGCATGACTAGGTCAATATCCTTGAGTTGCCAAATACCAGACTTGGGGTAGGTAAAAGAGACCTTTTCGAAACTGAAGAGCGGTCCGGGATGTCGCAACTCGGTAGGCTGGTCGGGAAGCGTGATGTTGACTGGTGGGTCGAAGCCAGGAATCTCTATCTCTGCTCGGGTTGAGTTGAAGAAGCCCATTCTATCACTGACTTTGAATCGTCCTCCAGTCGCACTAACTTCCATTCCAGATCTCTCGTCAATTTTTTTTCTCCGCGATGCTGCTTGTTTCAACTTCTTGTCATCTCCCGTACGTTTTGCAGCTTTGATATTCTTGGTGACGGTATCTTCCATATGTTTGGTCTTCTTTTCTTGAGCGGCAGCCATTTTGGTCATTCGCCGGATCTGACGACGTTTCTCATTCTCATATTCGGTTAAGTTCCCCTTGAAAACTTCCAGAGTCTTTGCAGGGGTCAGCCGAACCAAGAGTAACTCCTGAGCAACCGCATCGGCAAAGTCTCTGTCGTGAGTTACTACTACCACCGAAGTTTTGGATAAAGAGGTTTCGACATAACGTTGCAACCAGACAATAGCCGGAAGGTCCAAGAAATTCGTGGGCTCGTCCAGCATCAAAACATCGGTATTTTGAATGAGTGCACATGCTAAATCACACCTCGTTCGCCAACCCCCGGAAAGAGAAGTAAACTGTTTCTCAATCTGTGCTTCCGAAAATCCCAGGCCCAAAAGCACCGTTCTCGCTCGAGACTCAGTACTCCCGGCATCCATGGATTCCAAAGCTAGCCTAGTAGCCTCCAGCATTTCAATGCCAGTCTTGACTGCTTCTTGTTCATCATCAATATTGGATTGCTCGAGGCTGCCCAAATTAGCAAATATCATCCAGAAGTATCGATGCAATCACCGTTCCTGTGCTGCGTTGAGAGAATTCTCTTTCTCGATGAGGACTTGTCTAGCCTTTGAGCCTCTTGCACCACTTCGGCGAGCAGCTATCAATTGGGCCTCTGCCAATTCCTGTTTGGCTTCGTCTACCTTGAGAGCGAGTACGGTCTGCACGATTTTCTTGGAGTCTGCCTTCTCCTCGATCGCCGCAGACAAGCCTGAAAAGGAATTAACAGGTCATTTTTGAATCCCTCCTTGGTGACTTACTATTCGCCGTTTTCAAGGCTCGTTCTCGCCGCTGGTCGCTCCTTGTCACATGATCCAGTACAGATCGCGATGGATCTTCTGGCTCAACCGGGTCCGTCAACGCATCAGAGCTGACCCTTGTCTGGCCCAGGAGGAGAAGGCGAAGGTTACTGGGGACACCTGGCACCCGCCTCTCTGCCAGTGCTCGTAGCAATGAACTTTTCCCAGTTCCATTGCGACCAGCAAGGACGTAATGAACGCCTTCAACAATGCGCAGATGGATATGGTCCAGCAGTTCCCGCCCACCCACGGATAGCGTCAAATCCTTGACATCGATATCTTTCGACGAAGGTGCATCGACCGCGTCGACGTGAAACCGACTTTGTTGGCTTGTGACTACCAGGTTACCATCCTCTGCACCCTGCACGCCTTTGGACAATTTCGACGGCTTGGGCATGGTTGTTAGACGGACTCAGATCAGTAGATAGGTAGGTTGGGCTCAGGATAGTCGGGTGGAAAACAAATAAGAGTAGTTTGCATTAAGGTAGCACCTTATCCAGTGCACACTATCTTGCATGAAGCCAGCCTTGAAGTTATACCAAGTTTTGTTGGTTTTGACGATCACCTCGGTTGCACATGCCGAAACTTGGAGATTTTCTGGGAAAGGCGAACCAGTGGGTTAGACTCACGCTGTTACGATGCCGAAGGAGTGACTCAGAGCCTTAGCAGTCGCAGATTAGTCCGTACTGACCTCGAGTTCTTACTGGACTCTAAAAAGAGATACGCGAGGATGAACTGTGACTTCTGTACGCAGTTGCCCGTAGCAGATCGCCCATGACTCATGGAGGTGTTGGTTGTGCAAGAAACTCTGCAGAAATCGCGTCATTGGAGACGAGTGTTGTGTTTGCGAGCTGAGGTGACATTGCAGTATCTTTGTAGAGCTTAGCGTAATAGCAACGACGCCTGAGGCATGACTCACTAGAAGATTTGTGCTGCCGAACGCCTAAAAGAGGTGGAGAGTCCCCTCGGCAAATTAGTTAAGTCACACGCTCGCACCGGTTCCCCAGGCGGGTAATGGCCCCTATAATCCCGCTGCGGGGCGACACAGAAAGGATATTTGTCTAGGTCCCTGACTACCTAGGCGGGTCACTATGATGCACTCAGTCAGTGAGATATGAAGGTTGTATTGCACGCAAATCTGCACCAACTGACTAGTATTGTATCCTGGTATCAATGTTCTGGTCTATGTCAATTCCATGACCTGCCACGACACGGACTATCTAAAGGATCACCGGCATTAAACCGATGCCTAGTATGTATCATACTTCTGAAGCTTCATGTTTGATATCTGATCGTAAGCCCATCGCGAATATCACTTTACGCGTCATTAGGTAAACACAGGTGAAAGTGTCTCGACTGAATTCAATGTCGTCACCTCTCTCACTTGATTCCTCTTCCAACTAAACCATTCGAGCTTTCACCTTTGTGATGTCTCTTGCGATCTCCTGGGCAATACCATTTGACCGTCCGTGGTGGAAGCTCGACTAAATTGACACACTCCATATGAAACCACTGTCCAAAGTCGCACTGTTGTAAATATGTCAGTGGATTTGGCAAAGAAATATGAAGTAGATCCCACTTACTTTGTCATCCAATTCGCAGCAAATCATTTCTCCCCAACTGACATCTCCACATAGACAGTAGCGTTCTTCATCCGGGTCAACAAGTTCTTGCCGTCCATCCACATCTATACGTATTTGTGGCAGATGATCCGCGGAGGCTGTAGCAGATTTGGGGGTTGTCTTCTGCTGTTTGGTAGGCTTGGTCTTACGTTTGCTGACACTAACAGCTGCACCGCCATCTTGACTGCTCTGCATCACGGTGCCCGGAGCATCTCTCTTACTGCGACGACTGGCCGCCGTGGCTTTCGGGCTAGGCTCAACACCAGGTGTCTTTTGCCCAGCCAGTGAAGGTGTCATGGAAGCACGTCGACTTGTCCGGGTTTGTGGTTGGGGCTCAACAGAGGCTGCTGTTGAGCGACGCGATGGTGGTCGTGAAGTCGCTGGTGGGGTATGTTCAGTTTTTGGTGCCACACTGGTACGTTGAACACTAGCGGCACGGGTAGTGGGAGCAGGGGTTGGGTCCTTGGATGTTGGTGGTGGTACATCGGAGACATTCAACTTGAGTGGAATTTTGATGATCCCAGCACTTGAGGGCTGTGATTGAAGTTGTGTTGAAGGTGGTTCGATGCTCGCTGATGGTGAGGTCGAGGGAGGTACAGATTCGGGACTCGCTGCCAAAGGCGAAGGCTTAGGGGCAATCTTCGGTCGCTTTCTCGTAGTGTCAGGCTCTGCAGAGGGCGATGCCGATGAGGTGGGCGTTGTCTCAGCCTTGCGCTTCCTTGACGTTTTCTCGGTAGGTTTCTTGCCTGTATTTTGGCCGTTAGTAGTCGGCGTACTAGCACTTCTACTTAAAGAGGCAAGCGCCGAAGCAAATGGAGTAGTGAAGAGAGTGCGGAATTTGGAGCCGATATCACCAAGTCGTCGAGCTGCGAGTTCAGCTTCCTGGGCTGCAAGGGCAGCTTGCGACTGGGCGACAACCTCCTTCTTGTCCTTCTTGGGTTCCGACTTCCTTCCCGCCTTGGGCTTTGGCATAGGTGTCACGCTGCTCGGGGTGACGGTGACGGCTGCCAACTTCTCCCCGGGCGGCGTCTCTTGTGAAGATGACGAGACTGATGACTCTTGACGAATTAAGTCGGGAGACTTTTTGGCAAATTTGTCTGCTTTCTCAGGATTCTCAATGCTCTCGATGGCTTCCACCTTGGCAACCTTCTGGGCTTTTTGAACTTTGGTTTTGGCTTTCTCAATGCCATCGAGGTCGATGAAATCGGTGCCTTCGGTCCCCGCTAAGGCTTTGGCACGCCAATAATTCTCCCATCCTCGGCCGTTCTCAGCAAGCTCTCTACGTATCATGACATCGCTGGGCACCCAACTGAGGTTTTTCTTCATTCGTTTCCTTATATTATACATCTCGTACTCGGTCAAGTGTGTCCAGGGCTTCCACTTGCTCCCAATCGCAGCATCTTCTGGGGGAGGAGTGGGCCTCTGGGAGGGCTCGGTAGTCTCGCGGGCTTGACGGGCCTTTTCAATTGCTGATATCGACTTTTCCCTATGATTCGTGGTTGATGTTGATGCAGGTGTTTTTGGCTGCTTGGGCTTCGAAACCGGCTTGGGGGGCGATGGTGGTGGCGAATCCCAATCAGACACCTCGGTGCTTGCGATGGGTGAATCCGGGTCATATGGAGGCATCACTTCACCAGGAACGGTGATTCGGCGGCTGCGAGGTCTCTTGAGGATGGCTGCTGCCACAGCATTTCCTCGAGGAGGATTAAGTGTTAGTCTTGCTGACGTACCGTTCTCAATCTTTCTCCCACTCCGTGAGCGCTTGACTTGTGTTGATGGCTGAGGTGGCGGAGTAGGATCTCGTAGAGGAGGTTTTGGAATTGCGTTCAACTTGGCAATGATGCTCTTCAATCTATTCTGATGCCTCTCTGCGACGTCAAATAGTCTGCAGGCTTCGGCATATGATGAGTCTCTGGAATTCAAAGCCATATCCAATTGTGAAGAAATCTGATCTCGTAGATCTTGTGGGTCTGGTCGGCTAGCCGGAGGCAGAGATGGCAGTGATCCATACTGTTTTGTCAATTCATCCAACGACGAGGAGGCGGATTGATATGCCTCATCGAGGCCATGGATCAAGGTGAGCGAGCGAATGAGGTCTGCGGGGAGATATTCGGTGTAGTCAAGGAAGTCTGTGACAGCAGCCTGAGCATCAGGATCGACCGCACGGTCATGGGTGAGGTCAGCCATAGTGACCATTGAGGCTGATTGTCACCGGAGCTGTGACATTGAGGCAGATTTCGGATGTGGGTTGGCGGATGATATACCACAGAGGAAGTGCTGAGGGCAAATGGCAGGTAGTGTGGGGGAGGATTGACGACTGCAGGTAGCCTGCTCCGCGGCTGTAAGTATGCTGGGTCGTGTTTTCGAAAGATGGAGGGGATGTCTATACGCAATTATTAATGGCTTCCAAATAGATTCCGCATTTACACCGTACAGATTGTTGAGGGGCGCGATGTTATGCAGCTGATGGGTGGTGGTGTTCAGTCGCGATGGAAGTCGACGTGTATCTCAGACTGTGTCCCCGATTATTGTTCCGTCTCCAAAAGCGGTGAGATTCGGCAGAATGACATTAGTGACACACTAATTCACGTGACTGCTCCAGCGGGTCCTGCTCCTAAGGTTACCCGTACTCACTGAGGTCAGTTCCTCGCGATTACCACCAGCCTTGTTACCATTTAATATTTAGATCATGTCACATCATATCGTAAATCAATAATGTAGAGGGAGAAATCCTTCGAAATGACTGGAAGTCGATCGAGAGCAAACTTCTTTCGGGATTGTACAGCAGTGCTACCCAACCATTTGCCGCGGCTTCGTTGTGCACCCAAGGCTACTTTCCGAATATATTTGTTCTAGATCGCTCAGGGTCAAAGTCAAGCGCGGCTCCCTCTTTCCTTGTGGTCACTGAGGTGGGCGATATTGATGTTGTTTGTACTCAGTGGCCTCCTGAGACTAGTAGTGACTCTCATGTGATCTTCATGCCAAAGATTACCTGTCAAGGTCTCTTCCTTTCTTTCTGCACAGTTATCCCCTTGCGCTCTCAACCTTTCACTTCGCCCCAAAACTTCTACCGTCTTTATCATCCTCCAATACACTCGTCTCAGTCTTTGGCTTTTACTTACACACTATCAAAGATGGAGACAAATCCTCAAGATCGTTTAGCAAACCTGTTCGCTGGTAGGCCTCTCCCAGTAACAGGCAAGTCTGGCGCACCTCACTTCTCTGAGCAAGAACTTCAAGAGAAGCGAGAGAAAGATCAACCAAAACCAAAATGGCAACTGCCACTGGCTGCAGAGTTTCCTCGTCAGATTCCCAAGGCCAGGGGTCCAAAGCCTCAACCCACTAGGGAACTCCTTACCAGCTCTGATGATGATGACGACTATGTCTCTTCCTTCTCGCAGAAGCCGTCAATGAAGACCACAGCCGAACAATTTTCCAAGTCAAAGAGTCGCGGGTCTGATGCTTCTGGTGGTCATCAGAGCAATCCTCCAGCCAACATCAACCCAGAGTACATCCACCAAGGAAAGAGCACCACCAAACGCTCAAAATATGCCCAAAACAGTGTGAGAAACACGAATGATCATCCATCAGATCCCGCAGCATTCCCAATCACCGGCAACTTCTGTCAATTTGGTCTCGCAGCCAAATTTCCTTATAAGTATATGAATGATGTTCACGACAGAGTATCACGTCATTTTTTCGCCAGCAACAAATTCTTCAGCCGGACTTGGGACTTGTAAGTACTCAGCATCGCTCCTCTGACTTTCTCACTTCTATTCGTGCAAGTGACAATTTTTCGACCGTTGTAGAATTGTTAAGAGGCTGATCGAAACGTCACACAGGTATTACCTCACTCCTTCTTATTCTCTAGGCGGCAAACCTCTGGTCATGGTTCCGCATGCTCAATTTCAAGCACTCATCAAGGAGATCGGCTATAAACTCAAAATTGACGTTTCTGTTCCAGACTTTCCTTTCACTCTCACATTCCGAGATGATGGCACACCACAACCAAAGCTATTGGGGACTTCGCATTCGCGCGAGGAGGCTGGAGAACTCCAAAATTCTATTCCTTCAGCATCAGTCAACCATGGAGAATGTCCTCCAGGTGCGTCAGATGCCTTGGCCAAGCGCTACATAGAGTTCAAAACCATGTGCCAGGAGGCAATGATCGCAAGCAAAAAGAAAGGTACAGCCATCAAGAAGAGAAGAGAAGAAGACCGACTTTTGGATGTGGGAGATTTGCACAAGCAGCTTCGACGTTGTCAAAGATATCTTGGTCTCCGACCCACAACTGGTCGCGTCCGTGATCCAGACTCCGCCATGTCATGGGATGAACAGGAAGACTTTCGCGTTCAGCAGTTGAAGGAAGCTAGAATCATCCTCAATCCGCTCAATGTCAGCACCCCTGCAGAATACCCTTTCCACAACGAACCAGTGCTTATCTCCTTCGATGTCGAGGCATACGAGAGAGCACACAATCTCATTACTGAAATCGGCGTTAGCACTCTAGATACCTTGGATCTTGTCGGCATCCCACCTGGCATAGGCGGTATCAATTGGCTCGATCAAATTCGATCGCGACATTTCAGAATCATCGGACGAGAGCACTTGAGAAACAAAGACTTTTGTCCTGGCGATCCAGATGCCTTCCAATTTGGAAAATCTGAGTTCATTGATCTGAGTGAAGCTGCAGAAAAGGTTGATGGATGTTTTAAGTGGCCATTCTCAGTTCAGTTCAAGCATGCCAGTCTCGTGGATCCCTGGACGCTGCCCCCAAAGGGTGGTAACGATGTCATGGTGGCAAGTGATTCTCAGTTTGGAGGTGTTGGCACGGCTCCGACCAACAAGGAGCAAGACAAAGCCAACAGAGCCGCCGTTGACAGCGTTTTGAATGGACAAGGAGACACCACTGCCATCCAGCAAGCCATCGACATGAAGCAGGCATCCCAGACCGATCCAGAAGTCATGCAGCGCGGCCCAAAAGAGCGAAAGCTCCTCATCGTCGGTCATGCAGTTGGTGGCGATTTAAATTTCTTGAAGGAGATCGGCAGCAAAATCTTCAGCTCATCAAGAAAGACTTATCCAGTTGCAGCAATGGACATGATGGGAACAGGTGAAGGCGAGTCAAAAGTAATGGCTTCCATTCTCGAAGCACTTGATACGGGCTCATTGTACCGTATTGTTAAGCAAGAGTCACAGCCACGGAATCTGGCCTCGATCCTGAGTGATCTTGGCCGGCCATGTTTGTTCATGCATAATGGCGGCAATGATGCCAGATACACCTTGGAAGCACTGGTTAGCATGACTTTGAAAGCGAGACGAAACGATGACGAAACCCAATCTCAGCAGCAAGCTGCGACGAAGACGGACCCTGCAAACGATGGATGGAACGTCGGACCTATCTCAAGTGCTCCGGGCGAAGAAGAAAAGTGGAGTGCAGGCCAAGATGGCTCTGCAACCAACCTACCACTGACTAGCAAGCCCAAGAAGGAAGAACTAGATGACTTTGAAGCCGCAATATTAGCATCCTCAGGCTCTGAAGCATCCCCACCTCGCCCGAAGGACAACACAATCGGCACGCTATTGGAGAAGATGAAGTTCGACGATGGAGGTGAGCCTAAAAGTCTGTTTGGAAAAAGACCTCACAAGAAGTGGTAGAGGATTCCTTTATTGCAATGGACAATGCTGGGGGAGAAGGGAGCACAGCTCGATATGACGGGTATTGCCCACAGAGATCTCAACTTGGTAGCGGTCAGTGCATACCTAGTTGCTGGATGCTCCTGCTCCGCTTTGCGACGAAGCCGCAAACTGTTAGAGTTGTTCAAACGACTGAACGCAGCGGAAAGGAGCGAGGTTTGAAATGGTCGGTGAAAGACAGCTGAAGTCTCAATCACAGTAGACACTTGCCGTCGAGTGGCAGTGATGAATTATGTCTTTCGTGCATTCAGCATCTTCAAGATACCACCAAGAAAATGGTGCAATATTTCTTATTGCCCTTACACTTCCTTGATCTGTACAGTGAGTAGCTCCTCCAGGTCATTCCATGCCTTCCAGGATTCCCAACGCCTTGTAATGCTGCTATGCTGTTGTAACACTTGGTGTATATATGGCATTCGCCGCCTCGTCTGTCGTCTCCGGCACAACCACAGACAAAATCACCAACTCGCCTTCTTCACGCCTGGCAAGCACCCATCCAGCGCATGTTCTCGGAACTTGTACTATAAAATCGAAACACTCTCGTCAATAATGATCTATTCGGACATGTTTCCCCATCAACCCTCCGTTCCATACATGTTCATATACATTATACATGATACAAATATGAATCCAAAGGGGGAGAACTTGGTATGCAGGGAAGAAGAACATACCCGACCCATTCTGAAGGCGCGGAGCACACCCCTCGCGACGCCGCCCTCGACGCAGCGGTTCTTGATCTGCGTCGGCCGCGTGTACGCGTGCATCTGGCTGAGTTGCAGGGCGGCGCGATTGCGGATCGTCTGTGGCAGCGACGTGTTGCGGAGGAGGTAGCGCAGAGCTTGTCTGGTGCGCGGCGAGAAGAAAGAGGTGGTTAGCTTTAGTTTTGTTTCTGGGTTGTTGCGTGAGGATGGGAGGATGGATGGGGAGACAGAGGTGTGGGCGGGTGGGTGTCTGCTCTACCTCTGTGGTTCGTGCTGCTCAAAGACTTTCCGCTTGGTGTGGTCGCGGATGATTCTGATGTTCACGAAGGCGCCCAGGTCGAGCTTTTTGGCCCGGAACGGGGCGTGCACCGGCATGGTGTTTGGTGGTGGTAAGGAGGAGGAGGATTGGGGAGAGAGAGAGGATGCGTGGGAGAAGTGGGTTGTTGCTTTATCGTGGTGGACTTTGATGATTGTGCGTCGCTTTCATATCTTTCATATGTACAGCATCACATGTAGTTGCTCAAAGCTGCGATTCCGTTGATGAAGTTCATATCGAGGTTCCGCCAATGGGAGTAAAGCTTGGCTACAAATTATCCGGGCACGTGATATCACTTGTTGGTGGTTTTTCAGCCTCGATCTTCAGCATTCTACACAAATGGACCTTGACCCTTCGGTCTTGGGGTGGCAGTTTCTAGTGTCTCAAGAACTGCCAAATGAGAGATATCAAGCAGAGCAAGGTCGCTGCGAAGCTGTGGGCAAATCGAGATACCTTGAGTTGCCATTCTCGCACTAGCCGACACAGAGCATCTTTCCACTAGGGGGAGAGAAACATACGATTAGTTCAAACATCACGGCCAGAATGACACGGCTGCTAGTTCAGATACAGTGACGCAGGCACGCACCAAGATATGCAGGTTTTTGGGGCCAGAAACATGATGGTACATATTTGCTATGTTATTGTACAAATCCCGAAGTGATCGTAAGTCTCTGTCTCAGTGAAAAACGTTAAGTGGCAGGGGACAATTCACAATATGGCGATCAATACCGAGAAATGTATCGATCCAAAATCCCACGCAATGGAAAGTGCGGCTGGATTACTCAATATTCGCCAGTGCTGAGCTGTGAGAATACGAGAATCTCCTCTCGAGCCAATCTCAAGTCGATGTCATTTGCTATGAGCGATGAGATACGGATATATCTATTGGCGGATTGGTAAGGAAGTTCGTAAGTCGCTGGTAAAATTTACCCTTAGAAAGAGGCATGTGTGGGTGTTGGCAGTGCTTCAACGCTCACAGTCCAAGTCCACTTACCGCGTCGTGGGCAAGATTGATCTAATGGCTGGGCGGGTTCCATCATGAATTCTCCTATCCCTCATTGCAGCCGAAGTCTGGAAGTAGTTCTATGTCAGCCTGAGAAACTGATGTGGACATCCAGGTAGAGTAAGTCCCAGAGCAGAGAGAGATAAGCGTCCTTGGTGGTAAGTTCTAAGCTTTTAGAAACTTTGTTGATTAAAAAGTTTACGGCGGGGATGAGGCCGGAATCAACATCGAAGTCAAAAGTGAGAATAATGGTGAGTGGTAAATCATTTACTCCGTGCTTTCATGGACCCTCCCCTGGGCCCCTGCATTTCGAAGTACGGCAGTCAAGGTAGCGAAGAAAATAATCATGAAAAATGTTCAGATTCGGCTAGGTATATCATCAAGGCGATGGAACAGGTACAGACTCAAATTAATTCCAACGTTGTTTGCTCACCTTCATGCGGCTCGAGTTAGCTTCATAGCGGTGAGTGGTTTCCGTGCATCCGCACTAGTTAGCCTTCAACAGGCTTCGTGATCCGGAAAACTGGAGATACATTGCCGGACACGAGAAGTCAGGATGCACGATCCTGCTTCACTGTGTGACCGGTTATCCGCAGCCTGCAGTAGAACGACATCTCTTTCGAAGGATTTTATGTCAACAAGGAGCTTTATCCTGCCTCTAAGGTAATCGTACCATGGTGAAGCAAAGTTTGGGGTCCGCGGAAGCATGAGCCCTGGTTCCGCCAGACTGGTCCTGCTACCTTAGCGAGGCTGTGGCTAACAGTTAGTGGAGTTTGAGAAAGAGGAGTGCTGGAGCCCTGCTGGCTCCCAACCTCCACATTCCTTATAGAGTCATAGCTGGATGAATACAATAATTGTCATCCAGTCGTTACCTACCAAGTAGGTGGAAATATTTTGTCAATCGGAAGCGCGTGTGCCGATACCCTAGATCGTCAGAGCCTCATCTGGTTCAGGATACGGGGACATTCAAGTTCACTTGCCTGGACACCATGAAGGACAGCGTTGAAACTGGGTCTCTCAAAATCCTAGATGGGCAGCATGCCCGGAATTTGACACGTGCTCGACGAAGGTATATCCTTGTGCTTGCGAGACCACGGCCACGTATGCACGATTTGCTCACTATCGCGATTGTGAGCGCCAACAAGAATAGGCTCCGTTTCTAAAGCAAGAGCATCTAGTCCATGATGCAAAGAGGTGCTCTCATGGCTGGAGAATAAAAATAACGAGCATCGTATAGTCACCCCAAAAGTGCCATTCAAAGAACTGTTAGCCCTGTCCTATGCTTTCCTGATAGTATCTCGAGAATGTTGACCGAAAATATTTGTCCACCTCTTGCTACTATGCATGGAAAAGTTCCTTGTCGACTAACGAAATCGATGGCGAGCCGGATAATGGGGCAATTGTGGGCTACCTACAAGTATAATGCCTGGGAACGGGGGGCCGAGCACCCGTCATGTACTGATAGGTTACGATAGGTACCTTCGCCTGATGTTTTCTGCTGCGTCGTACCTAAAAGTTTCCTAGTCAGGTGTGAACGGTACGCTGGTATGCTCCCAAGATTGCTTTCACGGCGGCTGTAACGTTCGACGCTACGTGTCTCCCTGGTGTCAGAGTACGGAGTACGGTGAGACGAATCATCTGGAGAATGAAGCGATAGATGATCCTGTTTCACAACACATTTAACCGAAACGCTTGTGGAATAGGTTGGTTGCCGCATTAGCAGACTTGTCGCCAACGGAGGACTTTTCAATATCCGGATGATAGTAATGTGGTTGCGACTGACTAGACTTGATAGTAACCATGCTTATCCATACAGAGAGAATCACCAATCCACTTTTTGGGTCGCGCAGGAGCTCAGCCCTGTCAATTGCGAAATCACAAATGAAGAAAGCAACATCGGTGATGATCGAGTGAGCTAGAAAGCAAGCGGAATGTGGAAACTGATTGTTAGACCTACACGCTGGAAACGCCAGGGTGCTGTTGTCCTCATCTTCGAAAAGTCGGTAACAATACCTCGTACTCTGTCCAGAGTCGAGAGAAGTTAGTGATAGCCACTGTGTGGGAACCTGGTGCCGGAGTATGGACACCATTATTGAGCAATTTTTCCGTATCCCGTATGTATGAATTCGGTGGGCAGAGGCCTAGGAACTCCGTCGCAGGGCACAAGACAGAGTCTGTGCCGTACCTTTTCAGGGAAGGCTGGAGAAGATAATTTCCGAGACCAACTTGATGGGTGGATCGGGTTGCAGTACCTCGTAATCTGGACATCAGAACACATGGCAGCTAACAATAATACCCCGGGGCTGCCAAGCAAGCAGTTCATTGTGGATCGGCTTACCGATACGATAGAGCGCGCGGAAGGCAAAGGGCTTGTAACCCGGCTGTCTCATCAAATCCTCAATCGTCAGTCCTTCGTTTGTAAGTTCGGAAATATGATTTGAATCCAGACAGGGACAAGACATCGACATACGAGTGTTTCGCGCATCGGATGGAAAGAAAATAGTTTCTATTCTCGCAACTAGTTTCCTTCGATGTCAGGCCGGTTGTGTGACTGTTGATGATAGCATCGAATGATCCGGAAATGTGACTTTTAATAGATCTTTTCTGGACAAGAGAAAGTATGCATGGGAGCAGGGTCAATGCCTGGAAAAGCTGTTTGGCTCTAACGGCGCAAAGAATGGTTGTTCTGGTGCGTGAGATGGAACGATAGTAGTCCCGCATTTCATACGGGGCAGCGCCTGGACGGTGCAGTCACCACTGGAATGCGACTCGCATCCCCCAGTGGGTGTGAAAGAATGGAAGCCTGCCGCCGGAGCCATGTGGCTCATGCCAATTTTGACCAGGATCAGTTGGGTGACCATGGTTAAACGAGCAAGACAGAATAATGCAACAGCGCTTCCGCCCCAACCTGAGATTCAACCCAAAGAGACTTACTCGTCCG